CAGTAACGTGAGTATAACTGCTGGAAAATGCCTTTTTTTTCAGTTGCTCTTCAACCTTTGGAGAGTGGCTCTTCAGTAATGGATACCTCAAGATATCGAAAATTGAGATCCAACGCACATGCTCATACTCAACTCTTCTTTCATTTTTGAATATAGTCTTTTCTCAAAAAACTAAAGAATAGCGTGTGATAAAAAAGAAATCTTCTCGAAGTTTCGCCCGAGTCTTCAAACATCTCTCTGAGTGTTGCTCATGTTACCTGGAGATTCGAACTTCCTTCAATGTTCCCAGAGATGACATCACATGACGATCTCATTTCAGAAACTCACATGTTGATAGTTTATTGTCAAGCCACGCCCCTTTGCTGGCGTCATCTGGATGCGTTCTACGGTTGATAGCCCTTAGGCGCTACCGGAACAATAAACGAGAGTTCGTCGAGGCGTGGGAGGCTTGTGAACGTGGAAATGAGAACGGGAAAGGGCTAACATGAGCAATGAGAAAAAATTTAGACAAATCTTCGCCAAGAATTGATATCAACAGGGCTTTTTTGTCATTCTTTTTCTTGAAAAAAATTTTTTTTGAGATCAAAAAAGGGTTTTTTCTTCAATATTTATTTTCAATCAGCCTAATAGGATCCATAAATTCATTTCAAAGTTTCATTTCATGAATTAAAACCTTTATAATTTCCCCATTCTTTCAGATCGAAAACTGGAAATAATCATTAATTATAATGCAAATATCAATCTAAAAAAATGTTTCAGACATTCCGTCATAATTCTCTAACAAGATTAACTATTCGAATTTAGTTGAAATCAAGCGATAAAAATAAAGGTCAACGTTGAAAATTCAGAAAGATTTATCAACTAACAAGGTTTTTTGGTAAGAAATTCGAACAAGAATATCTCACAAAACTTTTTGCAAAGCTGATTACCCTTTAAAACCCCGAAAAGTTGCAACATCTAACTAAAACATTCTCATTATAGCTTGAGACCATCAAAATTGATATTTCGCGCAATCTGCGACTTTTAAAAAAGTTCTGAATTTTCTTTTCCGAGTGGCCTCCCTTGAAAGTCATTAGAAAATCAAAAAAAAGTACTTGCGGAGGTGGTTTCCCGATCTCATTTCCATATAAGACCTAGACCTTAATTCCTGACTGGGTGTTCAGGAAAAGGACAAAGGTCGCGTATGTGAAGACTGGCAAGTTAATTTAAAGATGAAGCGATGCTGTTTTTTGAACACAAGAGTTTTCTCAGCTTCTGCCGACCAAATATCAGACGTCTTGAAATGAAAAAAGGCTATTCGTATGCGATGTCATTCAGAGGCCGTCAAATTCTATTTCTTTTGAACGAAACTTCATTTAACAAAAGTATGTGATGAGTATGAAGTCTATGCAAAACTATTACTTCTGACCGACATTTTGATTTTCAAAAGCTTAAAAATGTAAGGGCGGTTCCTTTCTCCTGAGTTGGTATTATTGGAAAAACTTCATAAAACCTGTCGGCTTTTTTCATTTCAAAAATGCCCACCTGTCCTAGCGATTAATCAAATTGAGTCGGTGGTTGTCAGGTGGGAGCCGGGGAAAATAACTCTATTTAGAAGCTTTTCCTGTTTTATGAGTAAGCTGCGCAAAAATGAACTTCTCCAAATGTTTGAATGTAAGTTTTAGAAGCTCGAAACTCTGCTCAACGGGTTTTTTGAATTACATCACAATAACAGTTCCTCCAAACCTTCCGACCAAAAATAAAAAAACTCCAAACCGATTTATGGTAATATGAAATTTAAAAAAACATTAAACTTTTTGAAAAGCGAAGCTGGATTTTTTTGACGTAAGAAGATCTCATCTCATTTGGTGACCGCAAAACATTAAAAAAAGGCACAAATATTTTTTTGATAATGCTTTTTTTTTTATTAAGTTTCCATCCAGTGGCTAATCATAAATCAAAAATGAGATAGTCTACTTTTTGGAGGATGATTTTTTCTCCTTGAACTGGCAAGTCTTCTTTTAGTGATATTGAGAGGAAAATTACACTATTTTTTTCTATTCAATTTCTTCTAGTAATCAAACGTCATTTCCAAATAACCGAGACTATATATAATTTACTTCGTTTGTTTATATTGGATTATCTTGATATTTTCGAGCAGAAAATTGTAAAAGTTTGAGGAAGTGAGTAGCTAAGCGATATGTTCTCGACAGGGACAGTATGAAAAATTTTCGGGAAAAAATGAAGAATAACCGGCCGTAAATCAAGCCGGAAAAGCTGACTTTTCGGAATGGAAAACGGCAATTACAAAAAGCGAAAAAAATTTCGAGATGAAAAATGGTTTTCCCGTGGAGAAGATAAAACAGAGGAAATAAAAGGAAGGCCACAGACATTTTATAGGTCGGGAGCCTTGGAAACATTCCACGAACACATGCTAAATTGAGAAAACAATCCCCGAACAATGGTCGGAAACCAGTTGCCTCAGGCGTTTCCAATTGCCAATGCTACTGTGGTGTTACTAATTGACGAAACAAAGTCAAATGTTTCCCGCATAAACTCGAAGAATTTCAACGTTTGTTTCTTTTTTTTTCAATTTTTGATTGCCTTGTGATAATTCTAAAGAACCTTACTCAAGCGGAATTGAAGGGGCTCAATAAGGAGATATGAAGCTTATTATAAAGGTCCTCAGAAGGTTCTACCTTTTCTAGCAGAGGAGGTATTTTTTATCTTTTATGGCGTGTTCATCAGAGAAAAGAAACATGCTTCAAAACGAAAAATCGTGTTCATCGGCGCGCCAAAGTTGCTTCAAAACAGTACTAATTTTTGTTTTGGAGCAATTTTTTTGCGTTTCGAAGCAATTCAAGTTTTGTCCAATGAACACGCCATGATGGAGTTTTTCGCGTTTACCTTTTTTCATCATGTTGTTCCACTAAAATCTTCATTTCAACTGATGGTTTTTCTAACATTTCAGGAAAAAAATGACATACTTTCGACTTTTTTTCATTGAAGAAGAAACTAAATAAATCGAAAACATCTTCATTTTTAAACAGACACGGCAGAAAGACAATCATATAAAGAAAAAAGTCGAAAAGACAAATGAGCAAGAAAAAATAGACTGAAGCAAATTCTTAAAAGCACTTCTCACCGACTCAAAACTTCAGTATGTAAAAAACTGATTTCAAAAAAATAGTTGCGTTCTCAAAAAACTAACGTTCATTCGTCGTCATCGGAATCCAAGTTGTTTCTGCGGCGATCGAACTGAAAAACGGGAAAAATTTCAGTTCAAAACCATTTGATTGTTTCTGAGGCTCCAAACAAACTTTTTTCAAAAAAAATGTCTATCCTAACTAAAAATTTTCACCGAAAAAAGTCTTTTTACTTGTGAAAACGTAGCTTCTTTTGAACTTCAAGTGAAAAATAACCAAAAATGTTGTTTTTGTCGTCAAACAACCTAGATAGGAGCCAAAAAAGTGGTCCCTGTAGGGGTAAAATAAAGGTGCCCCTATAGGGGTTTAAGGTCTTACCCCTGAGGCCCTCAAGCTCAAGTGAACCCTAAAGAGGTCTCTCAATTTGATTTAAAAAACGCTTATTTGTTCAGTCTTTCCCATGGAAATGATCCTTCGCTTAGACTATCATGTCTGCCTATAGGGATCACTTTTACAAGCTTTAGTGACCCCTCTAAGGGTTGGTAAACTGTTCCCTAGATAGGACCCTCCAAAGGCCTCAAAGGTTGCCCCTATAGGGATTACTCTGAAGTTCCTAAGTGAAGAAAACTTTCGCTTTTCGTCCCGGGCTTATAAGATGACCGGCCCTCGCACAAGCCTGTATCTGATAAAAGCACCCTTTTGTGATGACAACTCGCCTTAACCGTGGTGGTCCGTTGAGTCTGCTGCGAAACCCGTTCCATGAACTGCTTCAGGGCGTCGTCCGACATCTTACCGGCGATTTGTCCACGCCTAAATAACAAAAATACAGATCAATCACTTTTTTTTTTTTGACATTTTTCCTTTCAAAACAAAAATTCACGAACCGAGCCATGTTGATGAGGGCTGCTTCGACCATTTGCGCCTTTTCCGGCTTGGCAGCGGCAAGGTTGCTCAACCGTACAAGTGCCGTTTGATCAAGGATCTTCAAAACACAAATAAATCAATCCTTCAAATTCTAAAAAAAGAATGAATTGAAAAAAATTTGGTGTAGCCATTAAATGACTATGGAATAATATTCATCTGCTTCATCTTATTTTTTTCAAACAAAAATAAAAATGAACCTGAGAAAGCATGCTATTTTTTTAGCATTTTCTTGGTTTTCCGCTTGTTTTCTCGCTTGTTCTTGATTCTCCGCGTTGCTTGAGCCCTAAAAAATCTCAAAATTTCCCTATTAAAATGAAAACAAATGAATGAAAAAGTCAAATCTCACTTGCGGCATTGGGCGACCTCCACCGCTGCCAGACATTCCGCTGAAGAAGGGAAAACACTAAAAACAATTCGTTCAAAAGTTGAAAAAGAAATGAAAGTTTTCGAAATAATAAAAAAATAAAGTAGAGCGTTCGATCTTCAATAAGAAAATAGTTTTTCGAATATAAGAAAAAAAGTTTCCTTTTTTCAAATAATGCAGCAACAAAACAGTAAAACCAAAAAAATTGCCAAAAAAACTTCAGAGATAAAATCCCTTTATTTCATGCTCAATATAATATAATCGTTCTCAAACTTGATAAGAAATTTCTAATTATTTCAAAAAGCTATAGAAAGGCTAGAAATAAAAAAAAGAACTTCGTAAAAAAATTCTCAAAGCGGCGAAAGAGTACGATGGAGCGAAATTGATTTCTCCGACCGAAAGAAAAATAAACTTTAGTTTGCATTCTCTCGAACAATTAATTTTTTGATAAAAAACAAAGCGAATTAAATATTTATTGTCCTTGAACCCGTTCTGATAATAATTCGCAATAGTTCTGTTCATAACCAGCTGTACTGAAAAAATGAGAAAAATGTATGACTAGCGTTGTTATCCATAAGGTTTGAAAATTAGTCTCTTGAGTGATCTTCAACGATCGGGGGAGGTTTTCTATGTTTTTTGGCGTAGGCTGCTTCGGCTTCTTGCAAGAGGGTAATGCAGGCTTCGTTTTCGAAGAACTTGGCGTTGTCCAAGGGAGTACTTCGGAAACGGTCACGCGGACCTTAAAACATTTATTCGTTATTGAGTCGAGTAGAGTAGAATTCAAAGCAAACTGACTAGGATCTTCAGTCCACTTGTTGAGTAGATACGTCAAGGTGTTGACGTCGCCTTCACAGGCGGCGACGTGGAGAACGGTCCGATCGTCGTAGTCGCGCTCGTGGAGATTGTTGCCGGCAAGCATGTACCTCAAAAAGGTCCCTTTTAAAAGAAAACTCCATTTGTAACTAGTAAAGTGTCCGTCGTGTAAAAAATTTATCTGTAAAACTCTTCGAAGTACACGAAAACCTCTTGATAGCAGCGATATCTCCAATTTTGGTGGCGTACATAAATCGATTGGGCATTTCCACTTCTTTCTCCAAAGAGCGTCTTGGGTCCGACTTTTTGTCATCCGAGTAGACCTACGGTCAAGGGGCTGTTGATTCTATGAGTTCTTCACTTCCTACCAAGCTGTCATAGTTGTGGAAGTTGTACTTTTGAATGAAAGACTCGGCGAATTTTACTCCGCGAACCGAATTTCCGAGTTTGTCGAGCCGCGGACTTCAAATGAAAAGTTCTCAACTATAAAAAAACATTAGAAAAAACCTGTACAAAGCAATTCCCATCACATTCGGAATGACAATCATTAGATCTCCGGAAACGCCAGATTTTGCCGGAAGACCGACCTGAAAAGATTTTTCAGGTAAGCAAAAATAACTGGTGCGAAACATGAAAGGCGAACTGTCCAGACCAGTCGTACATTCCACACGAGTACATCAAGGAGAGCGTGTCGCGACAGGCCCTGAAGTGATAACTCAGGAAATATAAGCCATATTCATAATTTGTAGCTTGCAGGGTGGAGACAAAATGATCGAATTTTGTTTCTTTTCAGTCGATTCTCAGCAGACTCACCGATTATTGATGACGCGTTCGCCCATCAGAGGATTGACGCCTCCGTTGGCCAGAGTAGCCGCCATCACGGCCAAAGTGTCGCAGTTGGTCTCGATGGAGCAAATTTGGAAGTAGAGATCGAGCGTGTCTTGCAAGTTCGTGTTCTCCGGAAACACCTGAACGCTTGGCTTTATTTCCTTGGTCAAGGAAAAATGAACCTTGTGCTCACGCATGTAGTACGAGAGGGCGTAGTTACGGTCGGCAGTCTCGCGTTCTGACAAAAATCTAAAAATGAATGCCGAAAATGGTCGGGGAAAAAACTGTATTCGAACACTGAGTTGTTGAAACCGACGTAGCCGCCGCTGCCAGCCAGCTGACGGCATTTGTGCATCATCTGAACTTTTTAATCGTGAAGTTTGGAAGCTTTTCAGTTTCAGAGATGCTCTACAGCCATTCCATTTATTTTTGGAGTATCCAAAAATGTTTGAAAAATGATTAACTTTCATCGAAGTGATCGAAGAACTTCAAAATTTAATTTGATTGATGAAAGTTTAGTTGAACGGTGAGACATTTAGAGAACCTTTTCAATAAGCAAAGTAATCGATATCCTTATGTCAATTCATGTTTTTTCCATTATCAAAACTCAAGACATTTTTCTCATATTTAATAATAATAATAATAATAATGATTTATTTCATATTTCATCTAAAATTTTCGATTTTTTTCTCCTGAATAAAAACCAATTGGAAGAAGGGACGCATAGCGCTTCTTAAAGACCCACAAGAGTTAACAAACCCAGTTTGATCTCAATTTTCGAGCTCACCAGAACAACCGCACATGCCCATTAAGAACTCACAAAGTCGAAACGGTCGGCCAGCGTTTCCGAGTTTCTGAGAAGCGACACGGCGACGATCGCCCCCGCGTTGATGAGTGGATTGTGTGGTTTCACTGAAACCAGTTTTCATTTGAGAAACTTGCAGCTTTTGGGAACTGTCATAGTCGAGGCAAATGTCGTTGAAAAGCCGTCCAGAAGGCTCTTGACCGACGTGGCTGTGCAGCTTATCGGCGCCAATCTCGTCGTGCACGGCCGCGTAGGTGAAAGGCTTCGACACCGACTGGAACGAAAAGTTTTCGGGATTATTCGTCTTTATAAAGATATCTATTGAAAAAAAATTTCTAACTTTCCTCATTCTTTTTTATGACTACTTTGAAAGCAATCATCATAAAAATACTTCAAAGGAATTTATTACTTTTTTTCGCCTCGCGCCATAATTGAAATTTGAGACGTGGATCAGTCATTCCTTCACAAGGAAGGTCATTTTACTTTGCGGTTGGGAACTTCCTGGAAGTTGGCCAGAACATTCTTTGATGTACCAAATGAAGATTCTGAAAGTCTCAACCTGCACAACACCCTAGTTTTCAAGAAATAAGGGTATGAAATCCCAAAATTGCTCATTTTAATGGATTTTGAGCGTTTTCTTTGAATTTTCAGCGTATTCTCTCGAAAAGTAAAAAGCTGTGCAGCTTGAGGCTTTCAGAATCTTCTTCTGGTACATCAAGGAGTGTAATAGCCAAATTTCAAAAAAAAAACCCCCCAACCGCAAAGTAAAATGACCTCCGTTTTCAATTCATTCCTTAGTTTGTTAGAAAGCCAAATATCCTTCATCTTCCACACCTAACTCTTAAAAGTAAATAAAACATATAGCCAATTCACGATTAGCTTGGGACGCAAAAGTCGTGACCTGTCTGCGCTCTCTACCAATCAGGAACTGTCTCTTCTCTTATCGTGTCAGGACCCTTTTTCAATGGCTCGAGCCGTATATCAACTATAATAGTAATTCAAACCTGCAGACAAAATGGTTTGAAGGCATCGCCCCAGCTTTTCCTCTGACCATCAATCGTACAAACCGACATGGCCCAACATTCAGGAAGCGCTCGCGCCAGCTGTGGAATATATGTGGCAACCTGATTTTCATTTTTGAGAACGTAACGATAATCATTATATCAGAATGACTCACTTTCTAGCCACCTCAATACTTAGGAAACTAGGAAAATAGTTAGTCCTTAGCCAAGAAACATGTCTAAAATTGAATATATAAACGCACATTGCCTGACTTGATATTGCGGCAATCTTCGAAAAGCACCGTCAACTCGCCGACAAACTTTTCCCAGTCAGGAATCACCATGTGCCTTTTCAACGCCTTGCTTATCACACTGATGCCGCTGCCAACGTGCCTGCAAAAGGGTCTTTGTTGCGTCCGAACATCGCCAGCCGCCATAGCTCAGTCGGTTAGAGCGTGGGTCTAATAAGCCCAAGGTCGCAGGTTCGACCCCTGCTGGCGGCAAATCTTTTACAAACTTTTTGAATGTTTCCTTGTCGAGGTACAAATATTGGCTTCCCCAAACGAAATCGTCCAGAAGATCGGCGTCCTTTATATTCTGAACCATGTGAACTATTCGAGGATCATCTTTGCGAATCCCAGAGTCTACTAAAGCCTGAAAAAAGTATCAAATAATCCTTTTTCGTTGATCAAATACCTTGAAAAAATGTGGGAGGTACACTTTACCAGTTTCTTTATCCTTGTACAAATCGAATAGTAATTCCTGTATTTTTTTGATTTTTCTCTAGAAAATTTGAACAGACTTACCTGTTGGTTTTTGTAAACGTCGTAGGACATGGAACGGCAGATAACTGCTTGGGTGATCGTATTTTCTCGAAGTAAACTGTAAATCTTATATTTAACTACCTCAATCGAAGTTCTCAAGTTCTTGTTGCTCAAACTAGGTTTTTTTTTAGATAATAAGTATTTGAAAAGCGAAACTTGATAAATTTTTGGCAGCTTAGGCGAGTATCTACTTTCTGAAACTTTTCAAATGAACGAGGAAAGGGAAAAAACAAACCCATCAACATCATCATTTTTTCTGAGAAAAAACTTGAACATAATTACGGGACAATAGCTTTTTAAAGCCGAGATGAGCCATATAACGAAAGTTTCTAATAGAAGAGCATCTAGAGTGGATTAACCAGGCCAAAAAAAGAAATCTTGTGCAAGTCCAGGCCTTTTCAGAGGGCGCAGACACGCAAATTTGGCTCTTCTTCGATTTTTTGTTAAGGTATGCAAAACTCCAAGACGTATAAGAAAATCTCAAGAGCTTTCTTTTTGGCTTGAGTTATCTTCAAACATGTTGTGAAAGTGTATGAAATGTAACTAAATGGGTTATTTTTCACTCATCAAATCCGCATTCAGATTATATAGAAAAAGCCCAGATTTTTACGATTGTTTGCGGTTTTTATTTCACTGGATAATTACATTCACTTCAATAAAAAAAAAGCGGCAAGAAGTTATGACTTTTATTTTCCTCGTTGCTCTGAAGTTATAAAGTCGAGAAATAAATCAACAAAAGCTTTTTGGTAATCTTTTTTTCAATTTTTTTAAAATTACAAAAAGTCAGGGAAAAGGTAAGGAAATAACGCCTGACAGTTTTTGAATGTACAGATTAACCGTATTTTCATCTTCTAACATAAAGATATTCAGTTTTATGCGCGCAAAAGGAGAGTTTTGGACATATTTAGAGAATTTTATCCAAACAGTGATGCGTAGAGTACGATCGCGTTAGGGGAAAAGGTGTCGAGTTCATGAATTCAAAATTATTTTAATCTCTGATCAAAGCAAAAAGAAAAAGTATTACCTGGGCCTCATTTCGCCAAGATTTTCAGAAGGCAAAAGTAGAGCTCGAAGTTTTTTCCAGTAAAACGCCGCCAGAATAGCTCTACAGAGGAACAAAAAGCGGTTTTTTTTCTTTTTGTTGCTCAAATAGGGCGCGTGGGGCGGAGTTGAATAGAAAAACGGAGAGCCCACGACCTAATATTTTGCAATGGGGCAGGCCTTCGCTTTGTTCTGCTTTTTCGATGGCGAAAGTAGATGAATGGGTGGAGGACGACGTCAGTTCTAATCCAGAAGAACGAGCCGAATGCCCTGGAGCTATGAAGCGTACTTTTCTCCGCTGTGAGCGACGTCTCGACACGAAAGAGCCAATAAAATGCGCGAGAGAGTGGACACTTACACAGCAAATGAACGGAAAAATAATTGCGGGCGAGAAATTTATGCAAATCGGCACGAAGTTTGTTACTACACGGAAATTATGTAATCAGGAAACGCCGAGAAACAAGAAAGTAGTAAAACAGAACAAGTCCAACATCGATACTTGTCTCCTTCTTGGGGAAAAGCACTCAAATCGCAAAAAAAGCGAGAACTTCCGCTTGAATTCAATTCTTCAAAACTTCTATTTTTCATCGGTTGTTTTGCTTTCAAGAATAGAAAAAGAAACTGAGCTGAAAAAATATTTCCTGATGAAGCATTCCAGACTAGAATATTCAAAAATGAGTTGATTGAAAACAGCAAAAGATGAGCTTCATAACCTTGTTTTTCTCTCATTAAATTTTCGCATGAGAACGCTTTCAGCAAAGAAAAGGTCTTCCACTTTACTGTAAAATGTAATTTTTTAAAGGACTCAATAGAAAATCTTTCAGAAAATTTTTTTTCAATTTCTGAAATTCACCAAAGCTTATTTTTCCATTCAGTTCATTCATGACGTATTGAATTTTAATAGCTCGCCTTCCTGTTTATATCTATTTGAGCAGCTTCAAAGTTTGAATTTCAAATTTTTACGGTTCGCCTACGCTTTTCGTTCAACCCGTTGTTTGAAATCGTTAAAAATGAGAACCAGTTAAGCTTCGAGGCAAACGACAGGAAATCGCGTGAAACTCGAGAGTTAGCAAATAATTTTGGCCGATATTTATGACTTTCTCTGACTCTCTGATCTATGGGAAGTCTTTGACGAGTCCTATAGCATCGTATAACGTGACAAACCTATTCCGTCCAGACGAATGCATTTTAAAATGTGGTAGAACTTTGCGAATCGCGAAGTTGAACTGAAAAAGAAAGATTGCACAAAATTAGCAAAATTCTTTCTTCAGATTTTTGTTAATATATTAACATTCTCAACTCATGTTAAACTTTTAATTAGTTATAGAAATAAATGGAAAATTTTTTTGAAGATACCAAGCTGAAATAAATGTATTATTTCTTGAATTAAAAAAACTTCTTGGTTTATTCAGAAGTTCAATAATAAACTTCATACTAAGTTGATGACAAAACATGTACTTTTATAACCTCTCATATCCAAACGTACCATAATCAATCACAGGAAAACTTCAGAAATGAACGCAAGGTCTTCAAAAATAAACACGCATGGGTTTATCTTCAGCATGCATGAAAGGTTGTGTAAAAACTGCGTCACGAGATAGCATCACAAGCCCGTCTGAAAAGAACGCACTTTAAAGTAAAGATCCAAAGCTTTGAGGCTTTAAAAAAAAGAGCTGACGAATAAATAAAAGAAACATACGAGTATAACAGATTACAATTTTTAAAAAGCAGCTTCAAGTTATATAATTTTAGCAAAAGTTTCAAAAAATCATTACATCCTTTTATATTATCTAAAAAAATCAATCGATGAGAAATTATTCAATTTTTTTATTAAATTTAATGAAAAATTCTTTGAAAAGGCCACGCATGCGCGCGTATTTAGGGTTACGGTCACACCCCTAAGGCGCTTGCAGAAATCTTAGTCCGCAAACTATTCAGACTCCCCCACTAATGTTATTTTTATTTTTATTTTGCTGTTTTTTCGTTTTGAAAAAAAAGCTAGCTGATTTCTATTTGCCGTGTTCGATTTGATTCCTCGAAACGCAAAATGATCTCTGACTCTCCAAAATGTAGTGATCTTTTCCGTTCTCTAATGGGTATTTTGCATTTCATATAATCCAAATTGAACACGGCAATTGATTATTTTTAAATCGAATCTATCAGTTATTTATTAAATTAAGGTTTACTCTAATTATTCATGCATCTCGATAAATTAAGCGACGTCGAGAGAGTGAACCTGTGCAAAAGGTTTTATTTAACCTATGAAATTTTGTTAATTTTTTTTCAGGTATTTTTTGATTGGAATCTTCTGTTTACCCTTTGTGTGGCTAACCAATTTTGTCTGGTTTTTCACGGAAGCCTTCTGCAAACCTTTGACAGTGCATCGGACACAAATTCGCAGATATGTTATCGCGAGTGGAATAGGTTCTTTATTCTGGCTGGTTGTCTTCTTAACATGGGAAACCGTGTTTCAGGTAGATTCTCAATAATACTTTTCTTCATGCATGTTTTCAGTATTATCGAGCCCAAGGTCTAGTCTGGACGGATTATCTCACTTTTGTATTTCCAAAAGGACGTATTTAATTTGCATATATCATTTTTTTTTGTCACATTCTCATTTCTATCGGGTTTTTACAGATTTAATAAACGCTTTATTGACTTTTTTTGGTTTTTTTTCTTTCGGTTATTCGCCGTCTGTAACTTATTAAAAGTTTGAAAAGTTTGGTGATATGACTCGAAAAAAACCTTTTCAGATGTATTAGCTTGTTGAAAGAATCACTCTCCGAATGAATAACTGTCCGAGGTTAAAATTATAATCGGAGTAATCGCAACATCTCAATTTTGTAGAAATTCTGCTACTAAATTGAGCAGGGGAGGCAGCGAAACAGCAAGCGCAACGACTACGACAACCTGTTCATCTCCAGCCGTCTACAGAGCTTCGGCTCTCGATGTAAATGATGATGGTTCGATGCTGGAGAATGGCTTCTATTGTAATGAGGTAACTTTCGTGAATCACTCTTTCCAAGCGCAATTGTTTTACTTTTAGGACACAAGTCTGACGGATTTCCCTTGCAACCAAACAGAAGCAGCTTCGTCGCAGAGAAGCATTCTTCTCACAAGAGCCAACTTGAACGATTCCTTCGGATTTGCCATACAGGTTCTGTCGTGGTTCGAATTTATTCCGATCCTCGTCATTTTGCAGTCTTATGTGTTCAAAAGGTCTTCGAGCAAGTCGCTCGAAAGGATCACCTATATTGACTATGTTCAAGCCGGGAGCCCAGCTGAAAGAGCTGGAATCCAGAAAGGTCAAAATGTCTTCTTGATAGTCAGAAAAAAAAAATGAAATCATTTTACCAAGTGAGTTGAAATTATTTAAAAAAAGAAAAAACGATCACGTTACACGATTTCAAAACATTTTTCGATTTTTGGTGTAGATTTCTGAATGTAGTCTTTTCAGAATGTCTTACTGCAGTAAAGGCACATAATTCTCGCACGAGCCAATTTTTTTCTCGTCAAACAATTTTTCGGCCACTTGCGTTCATTTATTTCTGATTTTCCACTATCGCGTAATTTTTCAATGATTTTTTTAAAAATTTTTATCATCTTCAGGAGACGTTGTTGTAGCCGTGAATGGCGAATGCGTTCTTTCGACGTCACATACCGACCTCGTCGAGACGATATCCTCCCTTCTGCAAACCAGTTTGATTCTTATCTACAAAGTTGAAGGATTCTTTTCTTCTTGTGAAACTAAAAAAAAGTCTTCAGGATGTCGCCAAAATCATCTCGTTGACGATGCGTTCAATGCAGTTACGCTACATTTTGGAGCAGAAGAAAAAGCTGTTGGAGATTTTAGAAGACCAAGAAGCGTTCCTTTTGAGAAAAGGTTAACTATTTTCTTTTTTGAAACTATTTGAAACTAAATGTTGCGAAGAAATATGAATATGATATGGGGTTTCCAAAAATAATAGCTCTTTGTTGAAAATGAAACAAATTGATAATTTTTTTTTCAAATGAAGGTTTCTCCTCAAAAAGAAAACTATACGGTTTTCTCGACGTTCTCATCGTAACTTTTTTATATCATTGATATGAATGGAGTATATTTTCGTTTTTGATTTTCGCCAGCGTCTCCTCTTCTTTATATCTCGAACTTTACAGTGGATTTTCCTTTAATCAATTTTTCTATGAGAACGCTCTCTTCCTTAATGATTTCATCAATTTATGTTTATTATTCTTCAAAAAAAACCGAGAGTTTTTTTTTCTACCTGGCTATAAAATTTGAGAGTATGTAATCTTTCTTCCTCTCACAAGCAAGGTCTTTTTAATTTTCGGTTCGAATTTTCCTGAAATTTTACCAGAATAATTTTTGATTCACCAGGTGAAAAGCTTGAAAACTTGCACAACTTCTTAGTTTTTGAGAATTGAGGGCCCAAAGTCAACGAACATCCTCAAAATCCGCTTAAATAGCCTTTTTTTGCTTTGAGCTCTATTTTTTTTTTCAATTTAGTTTACAAACTTTCATTATTTTACACCAAGAAGTTTTTTGGCCAACTTTTAGGATTTTCTCAACTGCAAATTAAAAAGACCTTCCTTGTCAGCTCCTCTTTGAAAAGAATTTTATAGAAACCAACGATTCGTTGTTGTACACAATGGAAGACCTTCCTGAGGTCGACGGCTCGCCGTCTTCTTTTGCGGAGATCGACTCTGCAAAGTGTACTTCCGTGTTCGGCTACCGCCACGTCATCAGAGTCGACAGCTCCGGAAGCACGTCTTCTTTAAATTCGCCGCAAATCACCCGCTTGTAGATACTGATGCATTATTTTCCGGTTGACGTTTTGTCTTTTCTCTTAAAATGCTTGCTCTGTCCTCTTCCTCCTTCAGTTTTTAATTGAAATTGCGTCTCCTGCAAATTATCTCTTTTTTCTTCTCTTTTCTCAGTTCAGCCAGTGCTCCTTCTTCAAAGTTTTATTGCCTTTTCTATGTGCCTTCCAAACCTTGTACATCTATCTTTCATATATATTCATTTGCGGTGCTGATCGAGCCTCATGCCATAGACTGTTTTATCTTCTCGGTTGTGAAAAAATCTCACTTGACAGATTTATTGAATATTGTGGCCGTTTTTCTAAGATTTATCGTGTATGTTATATTCATTTTACGGTTGTGGCCTTTCATTTTTGCCTTCTTCCGGTGTTTTTTTTTCCACCAAAGCCATCGAACTTCTTGTCATTTCATACTTCGTCCCATTCCCAGACAGTTTTTTTTTTCCGGATAACAAGGGTACTAGAGATTTATTTCTTTCTTTTTTTTTTAGATAAAAGATGATGTATTTCTCTTGCCTTAGTATTCATCATTACTGGCTTCAAACCGTGTTATTTTTTTTTTTAAAGGTAATGATCAAATAAGAGAAAAATGTTCAGATGAATTCACTACCCCGAATAGTTATTTGCCAACGTAAATTAGTAGTCCGTCCGTTTTATTGGAATGTTATTCGGTAAGAGACAATTCTGAAGACCAATTTTCAAATGGCTAATGTTTCAGTTTGACTTCTTATGGTCCTCCGCCTTCGACGCCACCAAAACCCGGGTCTTTAACCTACAAGTACGAAAATTTTCTTGGCCGTTGGCCAAAAGTCCTTGCCATGCATCGAACCATCGTCGATGGTTTGTTGCCATGAAAAGTTACAAATGTCCTCAAATATTTTACATGTTCCCGTTGGTGTTTCGCTGACGTGAAGACGTTTTTTGGCACGAAAAAGGCCTTGTTTCAAGGCGAGAAAAAGCTCAAAGACTTGGAAGTTCCACAGCTCGAAGTTCTTGTCCAAGTTCGTTTTTAATTCTTATTTTCACTATTTCTGAATTTGTCTGTGTTCATGTGTCTGAGTGCATGATCAAGAACACTTTTTCCAATAGTTTCCTTCGAAACTTTCGTTTTGACATAGAGCAGCGGGGAGTTGCTCAAAATGATCTCTCTTCTCGTCGTTCTTCAAATCCCTGGGCCTGGCGATATTCTAATTATCATGTTGTGAGTTCAAACAATTTTTCTAACGACTTCGGCAAAAACGTAGAAGGGAAGACGTATATTCAGTTCGTTGAGGTTTCTTTCGATACGATTTTAGGATTTTTTGCTTCCATCTTTGGTGTTCTCGGGAAACTTGGATATGGTTTTGCAAGAAGAAATCATTATCTTTTCATATTTTCTTGTCCGTTTGCACTTGTCCTTTTTTATGCTAACCTTTCCCGTGTGTTAAAAAAGAATCCTTCAGAGGAAAGCGTTTCTGAGTATTTTTTTTTCATTTTCCAAACTTTTCGGTGGTATGAAAAAAAGACCAGCGAAAATTCAAACGGCTTTTCCGTTTTTTTCATATCGCTGAGGAACTTCCCGACGGCCACCTTTCCGACTTTTTTTCCTCGATAAAATCTTCGCTTTAAATCTTCCTTCATAGATTAGGTAGTTGGTTCATGATTAAAACACCAAGAAATAAGAAAAAAATGTTTATAGATGTTTTATAAACCAAAAAACATAAGGGAAAAAAGTCGGAACGGATTCCGTCGGAAAGCTCCCTAGCGATATGAAAAAATCGGAAAAGTCGCCTTGAATTTTCGCTGGTGTTTTTTCATACCACCGCTTTTCAAGCCTTATTTTTCATTTTGTCCGAAAGCCATTTTCTAGTTGGTAGCATCCTGAAGCGCATTATTGCAGATGTCAAGCGAAGCACCCAAATTGACGATGGTCACTGTATTGTTGCCTCTGCCCTTTGCCTTCTACGTTTTTGCCTTAGCGGTGTACGTGACGCTTATCTGAATAGCTTGTAACGACGCCTTCTTCCAGAATCTTCTTCCCACGACTCGTGCTTACGCGCCATTTTTGGTCGGATCGGCAGCGGCGCGAATATTTCCAGCTCGAGGTCACCAAGTCGCTGGTCAATGGTGAACAGCTCGTCAAAAGCCTTGGAAATGTAGGATTTTTAATGCCGAAATTATTAGTTTTCAAGAAAGATTAGGTTCTGAGTGAAATCACAAACAGAAAAGGGATTCTGAAAATTCCTCGATTTTTATGTGGAGACTATTTTCGAAGCATTTTTGTCTTCGCTGAGTTAATAGTTCACTAATATTTAAAGGCATAGGGGCAGTAAAAAAATGGGGTTTCAGGTGAAAGCAGCATCTTATATAGTTTTTTATTGCGAATCGAATGGTGTACTCAAAAAAATTACAGATGTGACAACTTTAGAAGAAAAACGCGATTTCACTTTCCCGCCTTTAATTTTGAAAAAAGCTTTGGATCGGTATGCAGACAACTGTTTACAGTAGCCGTGCACGAGATGTTGCGGACGTCTTATTAGACTCGCATTTTGTATGAAATAACCGGCTATCTGCTTCAAATTAAGGGTTTCTTCTCTGAAAAATTGATTAAGAAAACCGAAAACACACAGTGATAATAAAGAAAACACAAATAATCGCTATCCCAATCGAAACCTGTGTAAAATCATCATTTTTCACCAGAAAAGCTTTTTTGCGATCAAAGTTTGCAAATTATACATGAATCGAAGGCTTTGGTGACGAAAAAAACTCTGGTGACAACAGAAAAAATTGAAAATTAAAAGAAACGAAGAAAAAAGCGAAAATCCGGAAGATGGCGAACCCTGTTGTCCATAGAGCAACTTTACTGCAAAGTGCCCTTTTCGCGGGAACTCAAACTTTCCTCTTTCCGACTTTGAATTATTTTTTCTCCAAAACGATGAAGTTCTGTACGTTTCCAAGTTCACCGTTCGATTTTCAATGAAAAGCTCTACAAAATACTGCTTTGAACTGGAACACCGTTTTTTACTGCCCCTATGCCTTTAAATCTAGTTGAAAATGTATCATGAGAAAAAATGATTTTTCAGCCTCGCAAACCCGAAGATCTGAGTTCGAAGGAGCCCTCGGCTCTCGCTTTGAATGAGAAAGTAGGTTTTTATAACTCGAAAGAACTTTTCCAGAGCTTCTGCTTGATTAAAAGTTTTACTCATGAAAAGAACCGGCACAATTTATAGCCCTATAGTTCAAATGGCAAATTAAGTAATTTTACGTCACTTTGCACTCTGAAATTTCCTAAAAACCAGTCTGTGCACTATAAATGGAACATATAGGGGTCCTAGAAACCTGCTGAAGGGATTATTTCGAAACTTTAGGCCGTTTTTTTGGAAGAAAGAACAGCTTTTAGAAAATTAAAGAGTGAAGAGTAAAAAGTAAAGATGTCGGAAAAACCGCATTCGGACTTCAAAATTCATCAAGATTGTGATTTTTCAAGTATCTTGAAAAATTAGCGGCGCTGGTCTTCACGCCTACCTGTCTACTTATCGTTTTCTAATGATGTTTCATCAGAATTTTCATTTTTGTATCTTTGGTTTTTTTTTTCCCAATTCTGATGCCTGTATGACCACTCAAATTAATTACGGAATACATTTACAGTACCTGCTCCAAGCTCTGCACTCGATATTGTTGTTGCCGGGCTCAGAAAGGCGTTTGAAGGCTCGAATCAACGCCCTGAGACAGTTGGACGCGGTTCTCCCCGCTGTAATCGATGATCTCACCGAACGGCAGCTCGTCTTTGTAAGAGATTATTTTCTTCTCAATTTCACAGTTATTCTCAGCATACATACATACGGCGACTGAATATTGGCAGCAAAAGCGAGGAGCAACTACGGAAATCTCTGAAAGACTACATCAAATACGGTTATTTCTCAAATGATTATTGAAACGCATAAATTTCCCATAAGAAACAGTTTTATCGACTTCTAAACATTTTCAACGAAGAAAATTTTCAGTATCCAAGTTGGACGACACCGCGTATCTCTACGCTCCGGTTTTCATCAATCGAGCTTAAAAATCTAATGAAGTGTAAGAAATGGCCAATTCTCTCAAAGTAGTTGCTTAGATCTTTTTTGATTCATCCTAACGGTTACCTTCAGGGCTTTACTGAGTTTCTAACTTTTTTAATTGGAAATTCTTTCAATCTACTTTTTACTATTTATTCATTCGTTTTTCTTCTCGTTTACATTTAGAACTGCCATAAGTGTACTTCAATTCATAAAATATTATTGGGAGCTCCAAAAATAATTACACATGATTTTTTTTTCATCATCTATTTAATTTTTCTAGGTTTTTACTGGAGCTCATTTTCTTGCATGTCCAAAAGTTTACTTGTCATTTTTTTTTTTCGAAGAGTTGCTTGTGAAGATCCGGTTATTTGTAATTAATTATGATGTATTTTTTTCTGGTCTGTAAGTTGTAGCGGTGTCAGAAATTTTTTTCTCTCCTGTCAATAAAATCATTCTTTCAGTGTTAATTGTGTCAGTGATATAACGAGCCTCTGGCATTTAAAAAGGAAACTACATACACATCACGTTTTTTCAGTCAAAAGTTGGACAAAGATTGATTCTCGAGAGGGCACGGATTCCGAGTAATCTGAAACTTGATTGAATAATTTTATTATTTTATTTTCTCACTGTGAATAAACATTTATATTATTTATCGCTGTTTTTTTCTTTTTTGGGAGTGATCCTTTCGATATCGAAAATGCAACATGGAAAGTGTGGACTGATGATAACCGTTTTTTTCAGGTCAATAAAATTAAGCTGCTCATCTTTTTTTGTGGTTGAAACTTATTTGAATGAAGGGCGGTTTTTTTCATATCCAGAAATTCAAAAAAACTGGCACTGAAAAAAAACGAGACTGTTAAAATTCATTTACAATACAAAAAGTTTGATGGAAAAATCGCCCATTTTTTTCAAATTTTTTGCATATAACTTTCTAAGCTTGTTTTTTTAAAGTTTTTTTCTATTTCCAGAAAATTTATTAAAAAAACAAGTGAAAAAAATAAATTCGAAAAAGAATTTCTCTGATATTCGCTAACATTTCGAAATCTTGTGTCGATTTTTTAAAAAAAGTACTGCTGTTTCAGGGGCATCACGGTTCTGTTGCTGCCTATGCTTCGTTTTTGTTGTGAGTGTTTTTTACTCAGATAAATCATAGTCGATATCTATTTTGAGGACATATTTAAAGCTTAGAAAACATTTTTATAAAAAAAGAGCGTGTATTAAAAAAATACGTTGTTCTCAATTTTTTTCAGTGAAGCACTTTTTTTACGTAATAAAAAAATTATTATAGACTAAGATCGGAGAACTTTTTTTCTTAGATATTCTTAATGGTAATTTATTAGAGCATCAGTAAACTGGCATGGTTTAAATTTTTTTCTCCAAAAAGATATATTTGATTTGCATTGTTTTGAAAAATATGATACTTTTTACTATTTTTTTCTCACTATTTTTGATAAGCTTGAGAACTTATCAAATATTGTTTTTAACTAACTGTGAATGAAATTATATATTCCTTTACTAAAATTGAAGGAAAGCATATTTTTTGAGGGGTATAAGGTTTTCATTTTCTATTCGGGGTCGCTCAAAATATTAAAGAAGAGACATAAATAGTAAAAATGATAAAAAATATGGAAATCTTTGAGAAACTTTTCTTAAATTATTGTCGATTACGATTTTAGAAGCAGAACGGAACTCTTCTTTTTTTCGAGTTATTCAACGCTTCATTGTGTTGTTGAATAATATGTGTCTGAAACTTTCAATCAACAGGACTTTCTAGAAAATTTGCTAAGCTTCAGAACGGTTTGTCTTAAAACCAGTTTGCAATTCTAGAAGACAGCATGAAGCTATGCTGATTTGGCAGAGGGTGCAGATGGCCAAGGACGACGACGTCCGCGTCCCGATCCTCGACGGCTCGACGGCGGCCGCTTCGCTGGCGCTGCGCCCGCTCTCTCCGCTGGATCGCGCAGCCGTTCAAGCCCTCTGCGCTGCTTCCTTCCCCATTGAGTATCCCGAGTGTTGGTTCGTGACTAGAGGACCTTTGCTCACGGATTTCCTCGTTTTATCAGGTTCGATGAAGTTGTCTCCGGCTCGTTGACGTCTTTGGGCCTGTTCGATGACAAGCAACTCGTTGCGATGATTGTCTCCGAGACGAAGAATATCTCCAAGTGCAACCTAGAGGCAAGTTCGTTTTCTTAGCGATTGATTGTGATTAATTTAGAATTTTTTTTTTTTTTTGAGAACTATTCTCTTAAAAACTTCTGGAACAAATTTCAATCAGTCTAGAAGAAAGCTATTGGAAAACAACGTGGTGGATTTCGAATTTTCGAGATATTTGCTATGAGCGGAATATTACAAGAATTGTCCGAATTAATTGGATTTGTAGTAGTTTTTAGTCGTGCAAAAATCCTTGTCGGATTTACCTCATTTATTCTGATTCAAAGCCCTCAATAGGATTTTAAAAAGCGTAGATGTCTTGAATGACCAAAAAAATACTGGAAGCGGCTTTTTTTCTATACTTTTTTTTAACGTACTAGAAAGGTTATTTTTTGAATAAACTGTGGTGTCGTGTTCAGCAAAATTCCCAAGAGTTTGAATTTTAGGTATCTCTTTCATTCTCTGACGGCCGTTTTAAATTTTACGAATTTTCCTCGGGCAAAGTCGGAATGGTGGAGAATGGCCGCTAAAAGGAAGCAGCAAACCTTTATCGAGCTTTCCTCCTCGAATTTCAAGGCTTAAAAAATGGTGGAAAAAGGGAGAGGCAGCAAAAGTGGTGCATAAAATGGAGCAAAAAGGTAGCAAAAAAAATTATGGAATTTTTATGGAACCTTTTTCCACCCTTTCCGACTTTGCCTATGTCTTTGAACACGGCATAGGCTTCAGGAATTTTTTTCTCAATGATATATTTTGCTTCAAGCATGGAATGGTTCATTTTTATTTTCCAGGACAGCGATATAATTTCCAATCAAAGCGCTCTGGTCGTCTACATCCTTTCGCTTGCCGTGTCAAACGATTACCGACGGATGGGTCTTGCCACGCGTTTGCTCAATTGTCTCTTCGAATCGGTAAGCGCTAATTTATACATCTTTCCGAATAACGACGCATTTTGAGGTGGTCAATCAGCCGCCATATCCGCGTGCCGTTTTCTTGCACGTTCTGTCGACGAATCTGCCCGCCATCAACTTTTATCGCTCAAACGGATTCAGATGGCACGCTTCCTTGTTGTCAGTTTGTATACTCGAAAATAATCAATTATATTTGACTATCTAAGTTGATTGCTTCCATAACGGGACAGGCGGTCGAGTAATTCCTATTGAAAAGAAAAGATGAATATTTCAGCCTTTGCCTTTGCTCTCCATAGATTCTTCAATTCTTTCAGAAACTACTATCGTATCGGATCCGGATTCGGCGACGGCTGCACCTACGTCAAGTACACGAACGGACAGAGGCCGCCCCTTTCCATTTCGGAGGTGCTGAGACTCGTCGGCGTCGTCGTTTGTTTTCCCCTCAAGACCCTGTGCAAATTGTTTTCTTATTAAACCACCCTGTATAAATTGTTTCTCCTTTCCTAGTCAAATCTTCATTTTGCTTTTTAGGACTTGTCTCTTTATAGGCGAAACCTTTTCCTTTTAGTGTTCAATTCAAAACGCAAATTTCAATTTTATTTTCTTTCAGTTTTGATTTTATTTACTTTTCTATTTGTCTTCATTCTTGCATTTGAGTCATTATATTCCTCCCAGATTTAGTTCTACTTTTGCTTTGTCTATTCAAAAATCTGCTCATCAGCTTTCATATTAAGATTGAATCTCAAAGCAATAATATACTCATCATCCATCTTCAGTTGATTGAGCGTTCATTCGATCATTTTCTCAGCGATCATCCTTTCAGACCACATATTTTAACACCAACTTTTTATGTACATTTCATTTTTATGAGCTTCTTTTCTACATATTATATGCACGCTTGCTTTTTCGTAGCTTTGTTTTTTTTTTTCGAGTTGTACGAGGTACTTTTTTATTTACTTTCACATTTCTTGATTATTTACGAACAAAAGATCGTCAAAAAGTCATAAATAAACTTTTTATTTCGCTGCGGAATTGTTTCCAATGTCGGTAAGGTCAGCCTGGCGACCTCATTTTAAGTTTCTGTGGACTTTTTTTTTTCTGTTACACAAAAAATTTCAAAATGTCATCAATATTTTAATCAGAACCGTTTGACGTAACTTCACATTAGTATAACAATTATTATGTCGGATTTCGATGAGCGATTTCGAGAAATAGTCTCAATCCAGTAGGCACGGAGCTCCGAGTCGTGCGAGTTCGGCATAGACGTGCTGTAAGCATGAGATCACTTGTCGAACACGTATGGTTTATTCGTCGCTGACTTGAGGCAAGGTCTACCGATAAGAGGGCCAAACGTGGTTCTACCAATCTTTTATAGCGTTTTTTCCAAGCTAACAGTGAGAAAAGTAGAATAAAAAAACTCGAAAAAGGTTTTTCCACTCACCTCGAGATCATTCTGAACTTGTTGCTTGAGCTTCATGACGATTGCGGCCAGAGTACGGTTGGCAGCGACGCTGTAGAAGCATTCCTCCATCTGTTGCATGATCCGCTTGAGGTTGAGCGACTTGACGTTCCAGTAGAAGATCTGGACGTCGTTGAGCTTGACGAGCTCGTCGTTAGCGCTCAACAACTGACAGCCGAGGTCGTACTTGCGGGTGAGGGCGTTGATCGAGTTGAAGATCCACGCCTCGCTGAGCGTCATCTTGTGGGAGATCATTGTGAGACGCGAGAGAACGTCGTTGGAAATGTCGGTGGTGAACTTGCTGAGACACTTGAGCTGCACCATGTGCACGGCGACGTAGCGCTCGTTGTTGCGGAACACGGCGGGCAGTTTGGTGTCGTCGATCTGGACCCACTGCCAGCAGCTCATCTCCTGCAGCAGCGCCTCTCCCGTCGACGTGTTCATCACCAGCGCCAACGCCGACAAGCTCGCGTCTTCATGGACACTCGTCTCGCCGAAGATCTCCGGACTTCCCACGATGCTCACTTCAACTTCGCTCGATGCTCGACGAGAATCTGTGAAATATAGATTGGAGACATTTTTTTCAAAAGGATAGAGATTCTTAGTTTCCTAAGTTTGTTCAGTTTATCGTTTTCTCAAAGTTTGAAGCTTGGTAAATGCTATAACAAAACATTTTCATAATAGGTAAATAGTTATAATAGTGAAAATTAATAGTTAATAAAGTTAATAATAGCTGAGCTAATAGGTCTTTATATATGACTCATCGATAGCTAGAGACACGAAAAATCCACAATAATGTGACAATCTTAGGCATGCAAACACTATCCCTTTGAATCTGTTGCATTTATTCGATTTTTGAATGTTGGCTCCAGTGGTGAATCGAGGATACACGGTCAGAAAATCAGATAGCAATGAGAAGAATTAGGTTAAATTTCTAACAATAATTATGAGCATAACGAAACAAAACGAAACTCATTAATTGAGATTGGAAGAGAAAACAATTTATGACTATAATCAAAATTTATTTTTTGATGATAGGAATAAAACTAGAGTCAGTTATTTCCGACAGGTGTTCAAAACTTTCAAAAAAGCTGAAAAATATTTTTTCTTCGATAAAAGTCAAACTTGAGAGCGAACCGTTATCAGTAGAAGTGGTTGGCTTCTTGCCGTCCATTGTGTCGAATTGTAACGCTTGTTTTGGCTCACATTTCGAGATCGGGCCGTGGTTTTTGCCTGGAGCTCGTATTGATCGTCGGAGCACTCTGCGGATGGCACGCTCTCTCGCTTTCCCTACTTGGAGGTTTTCTCATTTCCTCTCATGGAAAGTTCCCTCCTTGTTTACTTTTCTTTATTTTTTCTCAAGGTATTTTGAGAAGTTCGCTTCTACAATTTTGTAGGCTACTGCTTTTTTTTCTATTTGAGTGTTTTTTTTTTATTATTTTCGCTTTAATTTCACCTAATCTTTTTTTTAAAATTTAATTTAACTCATATACTTCATGTTTTTACAATCTCTCAACATTCTTTATCAATGTTTCTTTTGGAGAAAACAAATTTTCTACTGATTTTTTCAGTTTTTACTCTCCTTGGTATAATATTTCAATACCATATTCATCATTTCTTATTTTTCCGCGTACTTCAAAAATTTCTATCACTTATTACTCAAAAACTACCGCTACTGAAGATGACTTTCTAATGCGAATGCATTGATCCTCTAGAAATTGTAAATTAAATATTCCTCAATTTATTCGAATACACTGTAGTCAAGATGAGGCGTCTTCAACGTCCAGAGAAGCTGTTGCAGATTCAAAAAGAAAAAGAAAAAGAAAAAAAACGTACTTAAACTTCTAAATCTTTTCTGCTATTAATTCGAAAAATTTCCGTTAAATATTGTTGCGAGCCTCTGCAACTGAACTATTTAACTTTTTCTCCTTTCACTCGTTTTTTGAACATATCAAAGTCGTAAAAAAATTTTTTTAATTTTTTTAATGATTCATTTTTTTGGCAGCCAGAAATGGCGGATCAGTCGTCTATAAACACCACCGGCGCTGGGATGCACGCGACGACGTCGATGAATGACATGGAGATGACGTCGCCGAACCAGAGAGCGCCTTCTGTGAACCCGACGATGCACTTCGGAAGCCACACGATGGAAGATCTCAACGCCAAGCAGGTCACTCCAGAAGTGCTCCAGCAGATGCTCAGCTTCTTGAGGAAGAACGGATTCGCGGTAGGGACCTCAGAATATCCTTCTGTTTATTAGACAAGTTCAGGAGGCCGAAGAATCGCTAACTAGAGAAGCAATGTCGATTTTGAAAAGCGATGCCAGCGCCTCCACTGGCTTGTCTTCAGAGTTAGTCTCTCTTCACATTATAATTTTCTTGAAAATTTTTTTTGTTCATATTTTTGAGCTTTCTTCCGATTATTCAGTCATTCCCCTCTGAAAGAACTAATTGACTTCATGCTTTTTGTTATTTTTGGCCTTTAATGGTATAAAACTTCTGTGATACCTTCTCTGAAGGCGCTTTATTTCAAAACAAACCAATATTCTAGAGTTTAAGATTTTATGAAAAAAGAAAAGTTGGGAAATACATTTTTTATTTTATTTTATTTTTCATAACTTTTTAGAGACGCCATCACATTGGAGTTTGATATTCTGATCCGACATGTTGAATCTTGTTGCGATGTCATTCAGGTTTGTATTTTTCGAACGCTTTTTTCTCAAATTTTTTGATCATCTAATTCATCTTTTCATTAAACAAGATATCTTACTGTTATTAACTCTTATTGTTCTTTTTTTCAGAAATCGGTTGAATAACATATAAAACACGTCTTCTGTATTTTAACATATCTCCATTCTTTTTAATTTCTCTTCAATTTATTTTTGAAGGCCGAGTTCAGCCAGCTCCTTTTTCCGGTTTTCGCGCACTGCTTCATTTTTCTAGTTGAGATGAAGTCTCCTAGTTGTAAGTTTTTCTTGTTGAAAAAAAAGAAAAACATTTTTTTCAGTGAGCACATTCTTCGGCCGCTACAAATCTTATCTTCCCGAGTGCTATTCCGAATTCGTCTATTATTTATCGATGGCCGTCGATCCGGTCTCACTCAACAACAATTTCTACGCCCAGACGCTCAAGTTTGCGATTTTTTTCAGTCCCTTTCTTCGTAGAAATTTTCTCGAGAATAATTTAATGCAAGAGATCAAATAGAAAGAACTTTTAATTTTATCCGAGTTATAGCTCTTTAATTTTTCTCTGTGCGTTCTTCCATGAATTTAGGAAAAAAATACGAAAAAAATTTATAATTTTTTTAGACATTTTTTTGGGATTAGGTTTCCAAATTTACGAAAAAAATTTTTGCGCATTAGATTCAAAATAGCATATGGAAAATCTGAAAAAAAAGAGCGGTTTCATATAGCGGTATATATGTTATAAAAAAATTTCACAAAATTCAAGCTTTATTTCTGAAACGTAAACATTATTGAAGTTGACGGCACATTTTTTCATGTATTTCTCAAGAAAATTTGAGTTCGGAAAAAAAAATTTTTTTCTGAGGTCTAATTTTTGAGTAATTTTTGTTTTGAAATTTGGGTCGTTGTATCAATGCTCAAGAATAATTTTTTTACCCCAGGAAAATTGGAAAAAAACATTTTTTGAATGATAAGGAAAACCTTTTCCAGAAAAAATCCATTCGTTGTGAGAATGTCGAAAAGCTGTATAAAACAGTTGGAACTTCAAATGAACCGGCTCAACGTCATCAAAAACATCATTCGCAATAACATTATCATTGAAGGTTTTTTTTTTAGAAAATTCTTCTATTTTTCTCGATTTTCAGAGACGGACATTGCTGCCAAAATTCGATCCTCCGTAGAAACGCAAATGGGCGGATTGTTGGGACAAGTCCCCTATAAGGACCGTCGTCACAAGGTTATCAAAATTCTAAGGATTTGATTTTTTTGTATCAAAAGTCAGTCAAATTACATGGAAAAATACAAAAAATTGTGAAGTTGAAAGTTCTCTGACAGTAATTTTTGAAGATATCTCTCTATATGTTTTTAAAACAAATCCCTTTTTTCTCAATATCCGCCTCAGATGCTCTACGGAGTGATAAAGGACGAACTGATGCAGCAGATCGAACGACGAAAAATGAAGGGAAAAGAATACCGCGACAACAACAAAAAGATGCAGCAGGTGGGTGAAAGTGTCGATTTCGAATCTATCATGATTCTAGGTGGCCCCCCAATTGGAAAGAATCCCATTGCCGCCAATCAGTGAGTATATCCGAGAAGATAAAAGAGCTCATTTGAAGGTTTTTCTACGGTTCCATGTCACTGAAACAGTCTGTTCTTGCTCAGGAAGTTCCGAAAATGACAGTTGTCTCCCCGGAATCTCCCGTGTCCATCTGTATGTACACGACGATGAACTCGCCGATTGGGGTTTCTTCTTGCGTTTTTTCCGACGATTCTACTCTTCTAGCCATGGGGTTCGAGAGTTGATATCTTACCTTCTTCTATTCATTCAAAAATTTACTTGAAGAAAAGAGTGAATTCTGAAGGGAAACGTTCATAGGAATTGCAGAGTGGTCCATATAGGGCCCTTCTAGGTACCCGTATACTAACCCCTATAGGGGCCACTAAAGCTTTCAAAAGGGGTTCCTATAGGGGTAGTAGTTAGTGGCCCCTATAGGGGACATGCTACTCGAAAATTGATTTGAACTCAAAGCGAAAATAATTTTAATGGGAAAACTGAATAGATAATCGTTTATGGAATGAATTTGAAAGACCCCTCTAGGGTCCACTTGAGCTTCAGGGTCTAAAGGGACCACATTCGTTTTACCCCTATAGGGACCACTCTGATATTCCTAAGTTCGAATTTTTACTAAAATATCGGTCCAAATTTCTTAGTTTTCACAAACGCACGTTTCATATCGAAGATAACCATTTGATTTCCTTCAATCAGAAAATTTTTTAGCTTGGCCGATTCCTCGATTTTGGTCAACTCTATGGATCCTGATAATCAGTTAAAAAGATTGAAAGACATTGATGAACTCGAGAAAATTGACCTCGAAACGGCGGAAAACGTTCTGGAGCAGATGTACGAGCCGGAGAGCGCCATGAGTTCGATTAGATTTTCGGTGAGAGTTTCCGTTTAATCGATTAGTTCTTACCTTTTTGCAGGGTCACGGATCGACGGTCGTTTCGGTGGACTTTTCCCCGGATCGACGCCTTCTTCTTTCCTCTTCAGCCGATAAAACTGTCCGGCTGTGGAGTATGGACGTCCAGAGAAACGTGGTCATCTACCGGACACCTTCTGCTGTCTGGGATGTCAGTTTCGACTGTTTTCTTATACTGATAAGCCTCGGTGCAACCTCTTTTGACTTTCTCTGAAAATGCCCGACGGAGAAATGCTGCAGGCCAAGTTCTGCAACCGCGGCTACTACTTCTGCACCGGCAGCCAGGACAAGACTGCGGCCGTCTGGTGTACAGACCGTCTGCAGCCGGTCCGGCTTTTCACCGACAGCTACTCCGACGTCGGCTGCGTCGACTTCCACCCCAACTGCAACTACATCGCCGGAGGTTCTTTCCGTCCGGAAATCCTCATTTCGGGCTCTCAGGAAGCGACGATCGCTATGTTCGCGTCTGGGACATCTCCAATGGCACCTGTGTGAGGACGTTTAGCGGTCACAAAGGTTCCATCAGGAGCGTTAAGGTATTCTGAGTTTAGTTTGAATTTTCTGAAAAAAGCTTTGAAATTACTTAGAAACTCCAGAGTGGTCCTAGGTGCAACCTTAGGCGCCCTTGGAGGATCTCCTCAAGGCAACACTTTACCGACCCCTATAGGGGCCACTAAAGTTTGCAAAAGGGATTCCCATAGCGGTTTCAGTTAGTGGCCCCTATAGGGGACATGCTAGTCGATAACTTTTTTGAACTCTAAGCGAAGAAGCATTTTCCTGGAAGAAACTGAATAAATAAGTTTTTTTGAATGAAATTGATAGACCTCTATAGGTTCCACTTGAGCTTGAAGGGCTAAGGAGTCAGACCCTAAAACCCTATAGGGAACACCTTTACTTTACCCCTACGGGAACCACTTTTTCGACCTTTATAGGGTTTGTTTTCCTTCCCCCTAACCCCTAAAGGGACCCTTCTGGAATACATTTTTATTCAGTCCAAACATCATCGATTTTATTATTGTGAAAACTGCATTTAATAAAATATTTATGCAGTTCTCACCGGACGGCCGATATATCGTTTCGGGAGACAGCTCTGGCTACATTTGCGTCTGGGACCTTGCCTACCAAAGGCTTTGCGGCGTTGAAGAAACCGACCAACCTGGAACCATCGTTCGTGTTTCCAGAATGATGTATAAGAACGACTTGGCAGGTTTCCATCGCCTTCACTCGGGACGGAGGCTCGTTCGCCGTCTCCCACGGAAACCCCTGCATTTCTCTGTATTCTCTCGATCATCTCATTTCCATCATGGGCGCCACGGCCAACAGCGAAGTCACGTTCGACCCGAGGTTTGCTTCCTTCCGTCCCCAGTTTCTAGTCGTACACTTTGAGAGTGAACTTGGACGGATTCAACTTTGGCACGTACCGAACCAAGCAGTCGCCTGTCATCGGTCTCCATTTCTCTCGCCGCAACCTCCTCATGTCTGTCGGCTGTTTCTCACCAAACTAAATTTTCCTTGTGTCATATCGTTTTTTTTACTTTTACGTGTACGGCTTGTGTATCTCTATCTATATGTTTCTCATTAAACGGGCTTTTTTTCTTTTCTAAGTGTGCTGTCCAAGTGCCTTATAAATTATTTTTTTATTAGTTAATGTGTCGCTTTTTTGAAGTTTGATTCTTCTTCATTATCTTTGTAACAAATCAAGTCATCGTTATTAAATGATAAAGGCGATGTCGTTTGTCGAAGGGCTGGCGAGCCCTGAGATGGAAATCGCCGAGGGCGGAGTTATACTCGACAACCGAACGTTTGTATTAAAAAAATGTATCAAAATTAAAAAAAGATTGTTTTCAGGAGGTTTGCGGACCTGAAAGCGATGCTCGACAGCAACAAGGACAACTTGAAAGTTGACGCCATGAAACGGATTATCAACGTTTGGCTGGTCAGAAATAACTGAAGATGTGTTATTTTTCAGCTCATTGCCAAAGGCAAGGACGTCAGCGAACTTTTCCCGGCCGTCGTTAAGAATGTTGCCGCCAAAAACGTCGAGGTTCTTTTTTTAATGTTTCTCAAGAACTATATATATAATTTTGCAGCTCAAAAAACTAGTGTTTGTTTATTTGGTGCGGTACGCAGAGGAGCAACAGGACCTGGCTCTTCTGTCGATCAGTACTTTCCAGAGAGCTCTCAAGGTAAACGAGAAATGGGAGTTCTATGACTGATATTTTCGTCTTAGGACCCAAACCAACTGATCCGCGGCAGTGCCCTGCGAGTTCTGACCTCGATCCGCGTCGGAATGGTGGCTCCGATTATGCTTCTGGCCATCAAAGACGCCGTCAGAGACATGAGTCCCTACGTTAGAAAGGTAATTTGTATTCTTGAGACAGAGGAAAATATGATAAAACTTCAAACCCTGTACAATTTTTCATGGAAGTTTTCCAAATCGAGTTCAAAAGTTTTAAGTTTTTTACCTTCATTTTCGCGTATTTATTTTTTAATAAGGCGTCGAGTTGGTTCCATGAGACACGAGGTTTCCTGTTGATGAATTTAATTTTAACTTACCTTCTTCTGTTTCCTAAGTTTTTCTCGCCTTTGCCGCTTCAGAAAATGCACAATTTTCCGATTTTGACACATTTTATGATTTTTTCAACTGGCGACAAGTCCTCAGTCAATAAATTTCGAACAATAATAATTCGGCAAAGTTCTTACTCTTGCAAAAATCTTTGATATTTTTTGTGAAACGGTTTTTTTTTGAGATTGAAAGCTAGGGTTTTTGTTGTTAAGTTTTTTTTAACCTCATTTTGACCCGTCCTGTGATATAATCTGCGAATATCACCTTTTTAGGTCGCTGCACACGCCATTCCGAAGCTTCACTCGCTGGACCCGGATCTGGAAACTGAACTGATCGATTGTATCGATTTTCTGCTCGCTGATAGACGCAGTCTGGTCCTCGGCAGTGCCGTTTATGCGTTCGACGAAGTTGATCAAACAGAGATTCGCGTTATTCTTTTTACTTTTTCTAGATCTGTCCGAGTCGAGTTGACCTTCTCCACAAACATTTTCGAGCCCTTTGTCGTGGCCTAGCTGACGTCGATGAGTGGGGACAAGTGAGTTCCAGCAGTTCTACTGCGTTTCTGAACTTCTAGTTGAGGTTGTCATGATCAATCTTCTGACGCGATACGCTCGCAGCGAACTGAGCGATCCGGATAACGGCAGGCTTCCAGATCCAGATCTAGTTCTGCTCCTGAACTCTGCTAGGCCCCTCTTACAGGTTATTTCAGAAGGGAAATTTCGAAATAAACCGGAAATTTCAGTCTCGAAACTGCAGTGTTGTGATGGCAGTCACGCAGCTGTTCTACCATGCCGCACCAAAGGCCCAACTGGCCCAGGTTCGAAAAACTCATTTTGCAATACATCTTCCGATTTGAGGTCGCCAGAGCGTTGGTCCGACTACTGCGAGGTCCTCGAGAAGTGCAATACGTCGTGTTGGTGAACATCGCGACGATCTGCGAACGCAACCCGGTAGAGGAAGGCACATTTGCCATATCGAAAGTACGCGCGCGTGTTCTGGAACCACCGTTCTGCATTTCGTGATTGTCTTGTGTCGTTCGATTGCATCAATTTCGTTCTGTTTTGTTATTGCATCAATGAACCGAGAAAAACGCATGTACTTTCGACCAGGGATGCGCGGCAAGTTGTCTTTTTTAAACTTAAAAATTATCAATTTTGAGCTTAGAAAGACATTTGAAAGTTGAAAGCAAGAAACATTTGAAGTGTTAAACATTTTGAGAAGATGCAAATTGAGATATAAGTTGCCGTGCATCCTTGCTTCCGACGTCGATCTACATTTTCGCACCCAATTAAAAAAAATTATTTCAGACAATGTTCGACCCATTCTTAAAATCTTTCTTCGTGAGATCCTGCGATTCTTCTCTGGTCAAAGAGTTGAAGCTGCACGTGCTGACAAGCTTGGTCTCGGAATCCAATGTTCACGTTATCTTGCGAGAACTTCAAGTACTAAATAGCTGGTTTTTCTTTCAAATTGAGTATTTTCCAGACTTATGTAGCTATGGGAGACCTGGCAGCACCGGCGATAGAAGCCATAGGTAGATGCGCTGTTCGCGTTGGCGCCGTCAGCGATCAGGTAATTGCGATTTCAAAATGCATCACTATAAAGTTTGAACCTTCCAGTGCATGAGTGGCTTGGTCCAACTGATTTCCTCGGCCAACGAGAAAGTCGTCTGCAGCGCCGTCGTGGTTCTGAAGCGGTGAGAAGCGTATAAATTCTCCCCTGGTATGGAGATACAGGTTACTGCATGCTGAAGCCCCGGTGCAGTTACTGGCCCGACTCATGCGCCTCATGTCGAAGATGGAGGCGGCACAAGCTCGAGCCTGCGTCATCTGGCTGGTGGCCACCCACGTCGAAAGCGTCATCGACATGGCTCCGGACCTTCTCCGCCAGATCGCCAAGAACTTTTCCAACGAACACGAAATGGTCAAGGTGCAGAGCTGAAAACCCGCCCTAAACTGAAAATAACTCAATTGCGCAGGTTGAAGCTTTGAAACTAGCCGTGAAGTTGTGGATGGTCCGAAGAGACGAGTGCGAAAAAATAGTTCAGTACGTCCTGCAGTTGGCTCGTTTCGACTTGAGCTACGACGTACGAGATCGGTAGATTCAAATCTGTTTCTTCGAGGACCAATTCATCTGCTTCAGATGTCGTTTCTTGCGTAATTTGCTTTTCAATACTCACATCCTGTCTCAACATGCCGAGGACGTTTTCATGGCGAAAAAACCGGCTCCGGCCTTGATGAGCTCCTTTAAAGGTGGCCGTACTAATTGACACTGAAAGTTACTTTTTTTTCTAGAAAGAGACCAGTTCCAGCTCGGATCTCTCTCCCATGTGCTGAACCAACGGTGCTCCCATTATAAAGATCTCCCGCCGTTTTCTGAAGTTCTTCAAATTTAATTGTAGCTTGTCTAATCCAATCCTTTCAGACTTCCACTGACCCTGCTCTGAGACGTGAAGCAAACGCTCCGGTAGAGTTGAAACTCGAAAGCGAAGAAGAGGAAGACGAGGACGAAGAAGACGAAGACGAAGAGGAGTACGAGGAAGAGGAAGAGGAGGAAGAAGAAGAAGACGATGAAAAGGGCAACGACGACGACGAAGAAGTTGAAGTTGAATCTGAATCATTCTCATTGTTCGCACTTCAGGAAGAAGACAGCGACGAAGAAGATGAGGAAGAAGACGAAGAAGATGAAGAGGACGAAGAGGAAAGCGAAGAGGAAATCGTTCCTAAACCGAAAGCCGTTAAACGTGAGTTTTCGAGCTTTCTCCGGACCTCAATCACCTATTTCTCAGAACCGGTGAAGCAAATCAACGGAAAGGCCAATAACTTGTCTCTGAAAAAGACGCCAGCTACGACATCTTCCAAGAAACCTTCAGACACTCTTGACTTGCTTCTTGATGTTGATTTTTCCGCCGCCGGGTCTCGACAAATCATGGAACCTCAACCATTCTCTGTACTGAGCTGCTTCTCCGATTTTCATTGGTCTTATCATTTCAGGCCAAAGTGAATGAGCTGCTGAACGTCGTGGAAGGCAACGGAATCTCTGTGAAGATGTCCTTCCCACGGAAGAACGATGCTCAGTACACACCTATACAGTTTTCGCTACACAACTCGACCGAAGAAGAAGTGACCGACCTGGAAATCAGTTGCCCGGAAGGACTCGACGTCAAGGGATATGGAAAGGTATTTGTGAGTTGAAAAGATCGATCGAAAAACTTTTTCCAAGATTGAATCTCTGGCGGCTGGAAACAGCGCGTCTGTGACTCTTTCCATTGACCTTGGTGATAGCAGTAGAAGTAGAGAATGGGTTTTGCGGCGAAGCGGCGACGAAACTGGCAAATCTTTCCGATTCGAGGTACCCAGCCACCTTTAACACTGAGCTTATCCGTTCTCAAGGTTCCCTACGGCGAGCAAATGCAACCGATCAAGCTGACGTCGGATATGGTGGACAAGGAACGCGCCAGACTCGCTGGCCTCAATCGCCACGTCTTGGAATTGACGACCGAACCCACTGCCGACCAAGTCTACTCCATCGTCAACGCCTTCGCAATCGCTCCGGGAGTCAGTTGTGCTAATAGATATTTGAATCGGAAAATAAGCTTACACCGATTCTAACCTCTAAAAGAAGCAGAGATGTGTACGCAAAACGATTTTATTTCCCCGCCCTTGTTCTGAATGCTGGGTCTGTGTAAAACAAACTGTATGAAATTGCGGAAGTGTCATTAGACTTTGCAATTTGTGTGTTTTCAACGTGTATCAGCTCCAAATTAGGCTTTCTTTCGCAACGAAGAGCCCTTTTCAGTACTACTTTAGTGGAACCACCTTTTTCTGAGCCTTTAATCATCCCGTTAAGCCGTTGTGAATTAACTATGTGTACTCCATTTTTCGCGACTTGAAACTCCTGTTTTTCTCTGCGCCCTCCTCGTCTCTAGGCGGCCCTCTCAAGCTGCCGTGCTATTTTCATGTTCCTCCTATCTCGCCGGTGAGGGAACAGAGAGACGCAGACAGTGGAAAAGTGTCAAGTCGAGCAGAATGAGATATGATTCTCTACTGCTGAAATAAGACAATATATAATAAACGGCTGTTTTGCTTAGGAATTTTAGAGTGGTTCCTATAGGGGTTAGAGAGTAAAAAAGCCCATGTAGGGACCGTAAAAGTGCTCCCTATAGGGATAAAATAAAAGATGCCCCTATAGGGACCATTCTGGAGTTCCTAAGTGTGTTTTTATTCCAAGCTCACGTTTAAGAGAGTATAGCCATTTTCTGGAATCAAAATGAGCATTCGTAACATTTTTCGTGACATATTTTGAAATGAATCGAACCGATTCCAGGTCTACACGTGCCAGACGCGTTCTCGGAAAGACGTGGCTATTCTGAAGACGTCGACATCGAATATCGAGGCGTGCTGCGACAATTCAGTCGTCGGCAGAATGCTCGCCTACGCCATCCAACAATCTCTCAAATCAACTTGAAAACTTGACTTTGTTCTCGGCGAGAAGGGTCATCTTACTTGTGGTTGGGAATTTTCTGGGAATTGGAGAGAGTGATTCTCGATGTACCAGATAAATTTAGCCGATTCACGGCTAGCTTTGAGCGCTAAGGGACCATTCAAGTAGTATCTCCTTTTATCGTGTCAGGACCCTTGTTTGAATGGCGCAAGCTACCCGTGACTGTTTCGAGAAACGACACCTTAAAGACAAAGAAAAATCATCAAAAGGATTGGGGGAAAAAATATTTAAAGCCCTTGGTCTCTCAAAATTAAGAAATTGTGTAGGTTGATACTTTCCGGATCTTTATTTGGCACATCGATGTGTATTCTGGCCAATTTTCGGAAAATTCTCAATCCCCAAGTAAAATGATCTTCCTTGTCAGCTACTATCAAATTAGAAGATCAAACTAACTAATTTCATTATATTTTTATCAACATGTTCATATACATTAGCAATACTCTTTTTTTACTTTAGTCCTTTATTTCTTGCCTCTATCCTTATCTTTGTGATTAAAGCCTTTCACTCACTTTCAAACAGAAAAATAATTAATTTATTTCATGTAAATGTTTACTGCATTTTTCTGTCTGTGCTCTTTTATTTAGGTGCTTTACATGACCTAACTTTGTATTAATTATGTTGAAATACTCTCAGCGGGATTTTCCCTGAAATGGTTGTGAATTGAGATTGCCATACTCACCCAATTTAATATGTTCTATAATACTAACTTATCACAAAATCGTCACTTGGAATTGGTATGTGAAAAAGTAAAAAAAAAAATTTTTTTTCGAAAGTATTTTCGTTCATCAAAAAGAGCAAAAAATCAACTTTGTGTAACTTAAATGGGCGAGAAAAAGGTTTCTTATCTGAAAAAGGCTATTAAGGCATGAGTAGACCCGCCGGAACAATATTTGAACAGGCGGGGTTCATTCACACCTTTGAAACCCTATAATTTTTGAGAGGAAACGACAAAAATGACGGCATCCTGCAGACCTACGTAAGCTCTGATGAATTTTCAAAAAACGACTCATTCAGCTTTTTTCAGCATGAACGAGGCGCCACTCCTTTCCGGCCCTGATTTGTGGGTTCAAGTTTTTCAAAGTTGTTAAAAATTACCCCTCTGGAAATTTAGACGGGGTTTGAACATGGAACAAGAATTCTCTCCCAAATTCATTTACAGGGTTGTGCCTAGTTATTGGGCGGCCTTCAAAACGTTATATACGAAAAACTGACCCTGCTTTTTTCTCGGTCGTGTCATAAGTATTGCATGCGTAACAGTCTTTTTCAGTCTGGGCGTTGTAAAAAGGTGCAGAACTTTCTTTAGAGTACCTAGAATTGATCGCAGCGTGAGACCTAATCGAGAAAATTGTTTTGTGCTCCAGAATAGTATCGATATATGTATACCTTCATCTTGGCTCCATCACCAACTTGAACTTGCGGAATCTCGCCCTTTTGGCAAATAGATGCCGAGTCCATGAATTTATCCTACTGCAATGTTTCACGTACGGTCTAGCCCGCTTCTTTAGTTGCTTGAAAGTCTTCGGCAAGTACAAAGAAATTTTGGAGGATTCAAACCTTTTAAAAGCGATACAGAAATTTTTTTCATGTTCTAGAATCAGGGGTCCTAAAGTACACGTCAGCAAAGTTTCAGCAAAAGTTCAACCGGGGGGTAAAAAAGGTTCCCTGGTAAATAGTAACAGAGATGAAATAGGGGATATATGTCACATTATTGGAGGTGAAAAAAATCAATAACTTATTATAAAATTTTTTTGTGAAGCATGTGCGGTGTGAAATGTAGAAGTATATAAAATGAAGCGATAAGAAGAACAAATTTAGGTGTAAAGATAAAGGGCGTCAGATCAGCTATACTTTCATTTTCACATCACATAAAACTCCCATATGAATAATTCCGATAATCAAAATTTCTTGTTAACAATTAGTTTCACCCTATTAAAATTTCTCAGTTTTTTTTCCGTTTCTCCGATCTTCCAATTTTGAAATGTCGAAAAATTTGAATTTTGGCGAACCAGTTTCCGACTAACAAAAAGAATTTCGGGGCTTTCGAGGAATCAAAAAAGAATAGGATCCCAGGGAAACGTTGAAGAATTTTTAATGTTTCTGGGAACGGCGATAGGGAATGCACTGCATTTATTCCGCCATTTTTTTTTCGTTTCTCTTCGCGAAATGCAATTCTCAATGTCTTTTTTGAATCATCCGCAGAATTTGAAAACTTTTTTTTGAAAAAGAATGTGGGGCGATTTGAATGAAAGGGGCCATTGTTAGGTCTCGAATGTATCATCCAGAGCGCATTTCATCTCACTTGGAAAAAGCGTTAGGACCTGATTGCTGCCTCGAAAATGTCTGTTTCTCTAGTTGGGTGCAACTCTTCTGTTCCCAGGTCTCATTAATTAACTTATCTTTTTTCCCTCGGACATATGGCGGGAAGGCAGCAAGTCATCTCTTGTTTCAAGTATTTTTTCCCATCGAGAGAAATTTCTAGTACTTTGCCTAAAATAACCTGACGTAATCTCTGCGAATGAACCTTCCGATTCAGGCAGATGAGAGCCGGATTCCGACAGCGTTATTTCCTGCTTCTTTTGATTGCGGTCTTCCTATTTATAACTTTTCTTACCGAATATTACGGGAATTATTTCAATATGGTTCGTGTTTTGTTTTATTCAGCTCGAACTCTTCAATTTTATTGTTATCAAGTTACTTTCCTCGGAAGCTTCTAGTTTTGGAAACGTGAAAAGTTGTATCTCAAATCTCGAAAAATGCACCGCAAGCCAACGATTTTCCAGCAATTTTTGAGAGAAGTCCAAAATTTCAGGTAGAAAATAATTTGATTATGAATAATTTCGAGACAGTTTGACACATTGTTTATGCCTTCGAATCCACTTTTTGCAGGCTTTCACAGATTCTGAAAAATACGATTACTACATTGACCTAGAAGGTATTAGTCAAGTCCCGTTTAATCAGTTTTTTATCAGCTTTGAAGTACATTGCAGGGAACGAAGACTGTGCCTGTCCTTCAAGTTCTCCCGGAAAATACTACGATTTCTGCTACAGACTTCCTGAGGTGATGAGATAAATATTTTCACAAAAAATATTAATTTAGAACAGGACGGTGCATGGATTCCGATTCAACTGTTCTTTCGTTGAAATTGTCGAGCGACTAGGTTTTTTGAAGAAAAATATTAAAATTGATGGATAAAAACTCAGGGCTGTTACCTGACTCAACAAATCTAACACATAGGCTAATTAACTTGAAAAAAGAAGATATGCCTCCACCAGTTTTTGTGACGGCGTTTTCCGAAAACCATGCCAGAGAAGGAAGGAAATCGGTTGGTTCTTCCTGTGAAAAAAACCAAAATTTTACAAATTTATTTTTCAGATTGAGCGCATTCGTTACATTTGGCCACAGCAAAAAATCATTCTTTACGATTTGGGAATTACTGAAGCGTTATCTCAATTCGTGGTGAGACCATTTTATGGTAGAAACTGAAAAAAAAGTCTTGCAAAAAGTAGATTTTGGATAGTATCTCTGAGAAGCTTGCTTGGTTATCAACGTGTTTCAGAAGTTGAATCAGCTTTTTTTTTTGCATTTTGGGCATTATCCTCTGCTTTTTCTAGCATGGCTTCCGGAAATTCCTGAAGTTTTTTTTCAAGCCTCCTCGAAATAGTTAAAAAAAAACAATTGAAATATTGATCGTCAGTTGACGAATTCTCAAAAATTATGTAAAAAACTGCATCGTTTTCCAATTTCTTTCTTCCAAATCTTCATTGCCATCTAAAAAATTTGCCAAGGAAAAAAGTCATAACCATGATGTTGCAGAAAATTCCAAACCTTGAAATACGCCGCTTTAACTTCTCTCAATACCCATCTTATTTCTCGAAACTGACCGAATTTCGCTGGAAGCCCATAATCATCGCCGTACGTTCTCTTTTCCCTCAGAAATTAAAAACTAACACCTTCTCTCGGTCATAGAAGACGCTAGCGGAATTCGGCGCCATCTGGTACTTGGACAGCTCGATAGTCTTCAAGAAGAACGATTTGTCGCACGTCTACGATTTAGTTAGGTGTCATAGAAACGTTAGCAAAAGGTCTGAATCGGTTTGGGAAACTTCGGATGAGGTTTCAGTTCAGAGTCAACCCGAAGCTTGCATCAGTGACTGAGGGAACAACGACGCTTGAAAACGGTTGGAACCGCGAAAGGTGGGATCAGAACGTCAGAGAATGTCGAAAGGTATTTACGAAAATATTGCATCAGGGAAACTCTGAATCTCAGTCAGCCTACCTTCTGCATGGTTTCTCTGGACACGGGATTTATCCAGCAACGAATCCAGGTACAAAAACCTATTGGAAAAGTCCAAGTCGAAATTTCGAGGTGTCTACAAATGGATCCCAACCAACATGGCTGAGCTCCGCAAGGGAAGCGCGGGAATGTACGATGCCGGCTTCGTTTTTGCCGTTTGGACCAGAGAAACGATAGAAAACATACTTCTGTGGTAGTGAACACAAAACAAGAATCATATCTTTTTGAATTTGAGGTATGTTCTTTGCGCACTACAAGAACGCTGCATGGCGCCGCGAGGAGCCACATTAGGTTGCAGTTTTAAGAATGATAGATACGCAGAATACGCAGATTGTCATCGGTTAGTGAAGCAAATAACTTTTGGAGAAAAAATGTTCTTATTTCAGATACGATCAATCGGTGGTGAACCTGCTCGCCGCCAATTCCTACCAGTATGAAAGGCGTAATTATGTCAGTGAAATAGTTGATTTTTTCGATATTGAACGGGGTTTTGACTAATGCCATAATAACGCTATCAATTTTTAATAGAACCTTATTACGTTATAATTTCGAAGTGCTATTAATTTACTACGGGGATCTTTTGAAATTTAATTTATGAAATAAAAATGAGAAGAAAGACACGAGAGAAAGTTCAACAATGTTGTGAATAAACTGAAACAAAAACAAAAACAGAATCTAAAGTTCGTGGTTCGTTGTTATCGTATTCCAAAAAATAGAAATTCTGAAGACAAAAAGGTGGACTTGAGCAAGAAAACACCAGAGACGAAAAAGACACGACGGCAGAAAGAAAGCTCTAATGATTCCTGGACTTGCAACGACTATTGGCGACCAGCGGCAGCGGCGAAATACGACGGAGACTGTTCATGTACACGTATCTGAAACGGCCAATTCACCTAATACTGTTTTGGAGAAAAATTATCAGAATGGTTCTTATTCATAAAGCACCGTCTGAAAATTCTCGTTTGCGCTAGTTTTTCCTATTCAATCAACAATTCCAACCTTGTCCTGTTTCGTAATTAGACAACTAATCGAAAAACTAATTGGTATCATTTTTTTCCGGTCAAACTTCAAATAGGAAACCTCCGAATACCTTTTTTTAAATTCAGGGCAGATGCAGTTTTTTTTTTAAATCAAAGCTTATTTTTTAAAAAAAAATCCAAAAAACATCTGTCTTATAAATCAAACTTCATTCAGGGAAAAATGAAGCTGCAAAAATTAAAAGGCCATCGAAGAAAGTGAAAAAAAGATTCTATACTCAATTTCTAAACTAAAAAAAACTTTCACACCAGATCGGGCACCTTTCTTTCTAAAAATCATACTGTAGGTTATAATTGTGCACGCTCTTAGGAAGAAAAAGTTATCGTGAACGGGTAAGATGTAATCGGGACCCACCTTTAGCGTGTTTGTTAAGAACGTACCTGCTGAAAATGATGAATAGCACCCTGAACCAGACGAGTTGAGAACGATGTGCAAGCATGGCACGCCAACATGCACGGATGTCGCGGAACCTCGCGACGTAGAAGAATGGCGACCGATGGCACGAGAACGGCGCGTCCAGAAGCCCAATGTATCTTGAGAAAGGTGACAGTAAGATATCTTTTCGAAAATATGAAGCATAGGTGAAGGTACTGTGAAATATACAGAAAAAACTCGGTTGATAAGAGCTGAAACGGACTTTCTCCACAGAGGTATCGAGTCGAGGACGAAGATGTGGACGTCTCGGGGAACGACGCCGTGAGTGTAGGCCGTCTGGAGGGCTTCGAAGCAGCTCGCGTGGTTGCCGTGGCCAGAAACGCCGCCCTGGTCGAACGAAATCACCGCGTCTACCGCCAATACCTGTGAAAATCACTAACTGAACTTCAAAAGTTTCGAATCTGAAGTTCTAAAGGAGAAGATGATAAATAGAAAATTTTGCTTTTCATTTACTCTGACCGGAATAAAATTTCAACAAGAGCGCTATGTGTAGTTAGAAGTATGCCAGGGTCAGTCTGTTGCCCTTACTTTCGAGAGTAAAGGAATGGGCTATTGTCACTGATACTAACTTCGACGTGTCTCATGATGACGAGGCTCAGTGGATGACGACTCCAAGAGTCGCCGTCCTGGAAAGCCTCGTAGTCGAGGATCGTAGTGTCGCTGGGAGAGATGCCAAGTCGTTCTACAGCTTCGATGAGCTCACGACGGCGAGTCGTTCCCTGAACGGGAATGATGAAACTAGACAGTTGAATAATATCTAGTTGGTATTAGAGTTATACTAATCTTCAAAAATACATTCTTTAATTACCAAAGCAATATCTGAATTTTCGCACACAGTAAAATCCTAGTGTTCCGGGAAAAAAAAACCATTCATTTTCAAGGAAATCAATCAATTTGGAAAACCATCGAGACTTTGAGTGTATTTTGCAACCTTCAGCACATCTTACTAGTACATCGAACAGTATTCTGGATACCTTTCAGAAGACTTCAGTCAGCAGAGGAAAAAGACCTTCCTTGCCTTAAAACCAAAACCGAACCTCTCCATAAAAGTTGCCAGAAGAGACGCAGAGAAGGAAAACGCGGTGACCGGCCTGTCTCAAGCCGCGGATCGTCGGTGCGAAAAACATAGTCTCATCGTCGGGATGGGCGATCACCAGCAACACTCGGCTGCCATTGCACAAAGGAAGAAAACGGTTACGGACCGATAACAACAAAACCACAACTAATATCAGGATGCCTACTAAGATCGTGATGGGAATGAACATCGCCTCTGAAAGTGTCTAGTTGTAGGTGGAGAGAAGGGAGGATGGCACCTTTCAGACGGTCGGAATGCCGTCGGGGGCGTTCGGGGCAGTCGGAGCCGCTGTTTTAGTCTCGATGCTGCGAAGAAAGTCCTCGAACGACTGCGAATCGGTGCTGGAGGCGAGTCTGAGGTTGTCGCCGAACGCTCTGCGCATCGCCGAGCCAAACTGGCGAGGCGTGTTCACGTTGAGCGCCCACGAGACTCCGACGATGAACAGAGAGAACCCAGAAACTGAAAAAAGAAACCATTTACTTCAGTACTGTCCAAATCGTACTCAGAAATTTTTGAGTGGTCCCTATAGGGGTTAAGAGGAAAAACAGCCCCTACTGGGGCCAAAAAAGTGGTCCTTATAGGGGAAAAATCAAGGCGACCCTATAGGGGTTTCGGGTCTGACCCCTTCGCCCCTAAAGCTTAAGTCGTCCCTATAGGGGTCGTTCAAATTTATTTGAAAAAGATTATTTTTTTTTAGTTTTTCCCATGGAAATGCTTCTTCACATAGAGTTCATGAAAATTATCGTCTAGCATGTCCCCTATAGGGGCCACTAACTAAAACTCCTAAAGGGACTTCCTAAGTCTACCCCTATAGCGACCATTTTTTAGAGTATAGATGTTGTTTTCCTCCACTAACCCCTTTAGGGACTACTCTGGAACTCCTAAGCTCCTTCCTTCTTTTCGCTTACTTTTATCAGGTTCTTTGCGGCTCAAATTTTTAAGTAAAAAAAATTCCAAAGTGAGATTGGAATTTTCATATCACTATCTGAACATATAGACGGAAAACATATCATTAAAAAAAAACTTTAGCGATACAAGAAAGCTTATTTGGAAAAAAAAAAGAATCGAAACCTGTGAGAACAGTCGCGACGGCGAGCGCTTTACCAGCGAAACCGACACCGGAATAAATCTGAAAACTTTTAATGAAAAAAATAATTCGTGAAGACGTGGCTTGTTTCCGTCAAATCATAAAATTTTGATGCTGGAAAGCTGATTTTTCAATTAAACTTCTTGAATTTCATCTTAAAAAACAACGTCCTGATATTTTTTTTGAACTTTGAGCTATATGAAAATATTGTGAGGACTACAATTTCTCACAGAAAAGCAGAAACGAGATGAAAGCCAGAAATTTATTGAAACAGCAAAAACATGTAAATTTTTCATACAAAACAATAGTCTCTTCAGAAATTGACTTAGACCGCGACTTGAAAACCGTAGTATATTTGAACATATAGAAAATGAATTTCCTCAGTACGATCTGAAAAAAACAGGTAGACGTCGCGCCGCACTTTTTTCAATAGCCTAGTGAAGTCAAAAAAAAAGACCTAGTAAAAAGCAACATTGATTCAGTTTTGTACGATCTTCAGTTCAAAAAGTTTCTGGGAACCTGTGCTCGGGCGAGGTCAGCGGCTTCAGGCTGCCGCGAATGTTTCCAAGCGCTCCGAAGGCCTAACAGGAACGTCGTCAGTGACGTCACGCCGACAACTGAAAACGGGTTGCCAAATTAGAACAAAACAGCCGGCGTGAAATTGTTCGTGGCGGGAAATTCTTTTTATTTCTGCAAGCGATGGAAGAAACATACGGATGAAATTGCAAACAAAATGGAAATTTCCTGGAATTCTCGTAGCAACGACAGAAGCCGTAGAATTGGTTGGAACGAAATGTTGAAGCTTATAATGTACTTCAATCGTCTCCAATTTTTAATGGCTCAAAGCTTCTCGGTTGGCTTAAAGTTCACAGCCGGGTATAATCCGAAAGCCATGCCCCTCGTTAAACTTCGAACTAATTTTTTAACAGGGGGTTTCACACAAAAAAGTGCTCACCCAAACGACTTCATTGATGAATTAGCATAGTTAAAATTTCTAACTTTAAATATTTAGGTAGAAAATTAAAAAAAAAAAGTTAAATTGTTACCAGAAAGTAAAATCGTTTTACCACAAGCAAAATAGTGAATCAATCTTTTTCAAATCAGTTTCGCTCTATAGGTATAAATCTGGATATTCGCAAAATTATGAAAGAGTGAAGGAAAAAAACTTTTTTTCACCAGAACTTTTTCTTCAAAATTCATTAAAATAAGCGAAAACTTCTGAACGTTTTTTTCCAAAACTAAAAAAATTAATCATATGATAAACTGTCAGAAGAATGGTTCATTCAGATTTTAGGAAAACGAAAAAAAAACTTTTCCGCTCCCATTCTCGTAAAAAAAATGTTTATTTTCGGGTGGGAACGTTCACGCTTTCCTGTTCTCCTTTTTTCCTCGATAAATTACAATGATGATGAAAATTTTCACCTTCCTCAGAGCCAGTTAATCGGATTAAAGATGTAAAATTGATAAATTTCCCTCTTTTTTTCCTATTACTGTTATATCTACATAAAATAGAAAGAAAGGAAGAACGCAATGACGAAAAATAGCCGAGTCGTGGAAGAAGTGAAAGCCTCTTACACGTTCTCGGAAGATTAGAAAGTTCGTCACTTATCAAAGCCGCAATCACTTTTTTGATATGAAAACCAAACTATACGAAAATGTTTCTGGTTTTTTGAACGGACAGCTGTTTCTGGGTGCGCAGAAATTGAATATACAAAAAAAATCGATACGAATTGGATGAAGAAATTCGGAGATAAACCGATTTCATTTCTCTAAGTTCAGCTTTGCAACTGGAAGATTAGGCTTAATATCTCCATTCTACAAACTTTAAGGTCGCCCCAAAAGATGTCTGAAAAGGCAAAAAGGCGTATATTCCGCTTTTTTGCGACTGAGAAATGTTTTGTAGTGCACGGAGAAAAGATGAAAAAACTACAAAAAGTGCGATGAGAAGGATGCAAAACTTTTTCGAAAAACTCAGAAAGTTTTCGATAAAATGGAGATCCTCAAATAAGGCAGCAAAGAGGGACCCTTTATCGAGCCTTCCATTTTTTCTAGGATTTTAGAGGCTCGAGAAAAAATGGAAGAAGAGAAAGGCAGCAAAAATGGTGCAAAAAGGAAGCAGAAAAGGAACCTTTGTCACCCTAAAAGAAAAAAATTTTAAGGAGCCTTTTCTCAGCCTTTTCTCACCCTTTCCGACTTTACAATTTTCCGTAAAAATCTTTGATTATTCGATTCTGACTAGAATTGAGTCATAAAAAAAGCTTTAAAAAAATAATTTCTCAAGGCATGATAACTGTCCATACTCAGAAAAACGAGCATTTGAAAATCACCAATTTTAAACGGTGATTGAATAGCTCCCAAAGATCCCTAACAGTGCAGAAACTCTTTTAAAATAGTTATTTCAGCACTTTTTCCTCACATAGGTAGACTGATTGCACCTGTTTTGACAACGGCGGCTGTGGAATTATTGTCGGCGCGGTCGAGGGCGACGAGTGCAGACTGGGCGAAAGTCGGCTGCACACCGGCCTCTCCACTCCCCATAAAACTGCTTCTCAGCTACCTACTTCCAAAATTTCTCTTCTTAACTCTTTGTAGAGCTCGAAATGTACCTTGGTCGTAACCGAATAACGAAAAAAAAAGATGAACTTCGAGACCGCAACTTTATTCTGGTCATTGCGAGAACAGGTAATGAGACCAAAAAGAAAGTTATTATATAAAATGAACTGGGATTTTAACAAAAACAAACATTTTTGACAAAAAATTTAAGAAGAAAAAGCCAACAATTGAAAGATAAAAATACATAATAACTTAATAATACAAGCTTGAAGATCAGTCGCTGTCACTGTCGGATCCAGAAGGCGTCGGCGTCCGCTTGCGTTCTTTCTTCTTCTTCTCCTGAAAAGAAGGGTTTAAATTTGCAAATTATATTGAAAAGGATACCTTTTTGTGTTTCTTCGACTTTTTCTCCTTCTTATCTTTCTTGCGTTTCACGTCCCTTTCAGAATCCTCGTCAGAGTCGGCTTTGCGGTGCTTCTTCTTCTTCTGCTCCTTGTCAGAATCGTCGCCCGACTCGTTTTTCCGTGGCTTTCTTTCTTTTTTGCGCCTATCCTCCTTATCCGATTCGTCGTCAGATTCGTGTTTCTTCGCTTTTTTGTCCTTCTTGCGCTTATCCTCCTTTTCCAAATCGTCGTCCGACTCATTTTTCTTTGACTTTTTGTCCTTCTTGCGTCTATCGTCCTTCTCTGAATCGTCGTCCGACTCGTTTTTCCTTGGCTTTTTATCCTTTTTGCGTCTATCTTCTTTCTCTGAATCTTCGTCCGAATCGTGCTTCTTTTTATTTTCTTTCAATTTAGTTTCTCTATCTGAAATTTTTGTAGGTATTAATATAAACTCATTTGATACCCTCACCAGAGTCTTTATCGGAATCGACCTTCTTGTTTCTCTTTCCCTTGACTTCAGCATCCGAGTCATCTTCTGACTGGACTTTTCTCTCCTTTCTGCGTTTCCCCTCTCTATCTGATTCTTCCGACTCGGCAGGCTTCTTCTTCTTCTTGAAAATACTGTCCGAAGCGCTGCTGTCGCGTCTGAAAATGACAAAGTCCTTCAGAAAAAGGTTATTGGAGGAACCTGCGACGCCTGGACACAGTCAGTTCGCTGAAACGACGACGCGGCGACCGAGAACGGCTGCGGCGCTTCGGAGGATCTCTGCGTCGGTCGCGATTCTCCCTTTCCCGTGAAGGACGTCTTCTGTCTGAATTTTATTTTCTGGACGAAATCCTCGGCAAAACATGCCTCGATTCCTGACACGGTCCTGTTCGCGTTTCCTTTCCCTATCACGCTCTTCTGCTCTGCGTTTGAGACGATCCTCCTCTCGTCTCTTCGACTCGTCTTCCTTCCTTTTTGAGTCACTGTGTCGTTCCTCTCGACGACGTTCCCTTTCCTTATCTTTTTCTTCTTTCTGAATCTCTCTTTTAGAATCTTCCTTTTCTCGTTTCTCACCGGAGGAGATCGAGATCTGGAACGTGAGGCTTCTGGACGTCTACTGGGAGGAGCACGTCGTGGACTAAGAGCCCTCTCCGGAATTCGGTCGTCTCTAACGTCTTTTTCTATCTTCGGTCCAGCATAACGTCCGCCAGAGAGAGTGACATATCTGCAAAACATTCAAGTTTCCAGTAGAACTTCGTTTTTGGAATTTGCATCATTTCGAAGAGTCTTACCAAATTTTTACCGAGAAGGATGCCTGGAAGCCCCGAAAATAGATTTGGAATGCTAAAGTTATAACCGTTTATCAGAAATGGAATCATTTAAAAATTAACAACTAAACTTAACTGCTGAAGGAGAGAAAAAGAAAAGAAATGATCACCTGTTGGTCCAATCGTTTTCAGCCATAGCGGCTGGAACTGGATTTTTGCTTTCGGCCTCTTTTCGCATTTCACTAAGTTTCTTATCGACAAGTGTTTTTGGAATTCCGTCTTCGGATTCATTTGCCTCGATAAACAAATTCCACAATTCTCCCATAAATTCGCGGGCACGACGAGCATTCAAAAAACCGGTAATATTGATCTAAAAAGAAAATAGAACTCATTAACTCGAATCGGGGCCAACCTGCATAAGCTTTGGGTTGAGGTTAGGCTGATCGAGCTGCTCGATAATATACTCGATGACGACGTCGTCTTCCATTCCCAGGATCTCGTTGACTCGCATCGTGATCCATGGTTTGATCACATCCAGTTGCACTTTGTCCAGGTTAATCTTAGAAATAACAACCCTGCCTGCCGTGTACTTTCCTTTAATACTTCTATTTTAAAATTAAGCCCAAACTGTGGGTAAAAGTTGACTTTGATCATGAAACTTGAAAAAACATTATCGAATAATAGTTGATTATATAAAAAAAAGCTGAGGCCATGATTCAACGAACAAAGAACAAAGCAAGTAAGAATTAAATAATACTTTTTCGAATATATATCACCCAGAAAGATGGAAAACATTTTTAAAACGGAAACCAATACTAGTTTGTTATCTGCTAGATCAAAATCCTACCTTTGTATCAAGTTGTGGTTCGAATTTCATCTGCTTCAAAAGCTTCTTCTCTTTGTCAGAAAAACGACCATCCTGATCAGAACTAACCCCACGGAAAAACCCAGCGTCCATCTTCAAATAAAAAAACTGAAGAAAGAATATTCATATAAAATGATCATAAAACAGGCAAAAGTTTTGAAAATGAACGTTTTCAAAAAAATTTTGTGCGTCAGGTTTTGCGCGTCATTTAAAATGTAGAGCCATTTATTGCACAAATTTTGGCTACTGTACCCATACCGAAAATTTTGTTTCGTTCAAACAAATTCTGAATTCAATCTTTCAAAAATGTATTCCAATAAACGTTAGAAAAAAATATTTTTATATGTACAATCAAAGCACGCGTAACAATTTGAGCCAACTTTTACATATTGCGTCCAATTTCATGAGATTTGATCATTTCATAGTGAAAGAGTTCTTTGGTATTATCAATAACAACGGGGAAATGGCGAGAAGATGAAAGGGAATACTCTTAAGAATGTGAATCGTGTGAAAAAAGGACAAGGAACAAATGAAGGCCCTGGTAGGAAGCCAAAAGGTCCTTCAAAAAGGCAAGGTCCTTCTCTCAAAAGTGATCAATAGTTGATGGAAGCTTCCTTGTACTCGGAAGAGTCCAGGTTGAAGAGATCCTCGAGTTTCCACTGCAGTGTCTCGAAAGTCGGCCGCTTCTCGGGGTCGGCGCGCCAGCACTGCTGCATGATGTCATAGAGAGCCGGGGGACAGTTGGCCGGGCACGGCATACGGTAGCCGGCGTCGACCTGTTGCAGTACCTCCGCGTTCGTCATGCCTTCAAGCATTGCTTTGAGTTTGGAAATGTGAAATATAGACAAACCAGGGTAGGGTAGACGGCCAAATGTGACGATTTCAGTGAGGAGAACGCCGAAGCTCCAAACGTCTGACTTTGTTGTAAACCGGTTAAAGTTGGCTGCTTCTGGGGCTGTCCACTGAAAAATGGTATGAAATGTTATTAGTAACTGTAAAACGTTAAACACCGAACTTCAAAGAATGAGCAACAGTAGAACCTTTTTCAAATCGAAAAAACATGCCTTTATAGGGAACCGAGCGCCAGTGCGAGCTTCATACTCGTTCTCCTTGATGAGAACACGAGCGAGCCCAAAATCGGCGATCTTGACCGACAGACTGTTGTTAACCAGGATGTTCCTTGCTGCCAAGTCGCGGTGGATGAAGTTCATCTCCTCGAGGTAGGCCATACCTGCCGCTACCTGAAACGTGATGACGTTGAGATCGAAGAAGGAGTTTCACCTGGGCGGCGATTTCGACGAGTTGCGGCAGAGGACATTGACGTCCGCGGCGCTGCAAGAAGTGCAGAAGGTTCTCCTGCATCAACTCGGTGATGATCAGAATCGGCTCGTCCTTCGTGCAGACCGCGTACAACGAGAGTAATTTCGGGTGTCTGAAAATGGAACAAAATTTTTTTGGAGTGAAAAGAGATATTACCTTAATTTCTTCATTATCTGCGCTTCAGCTAGGAAATCTGTTGGGTCGGCAGTCCCCGGCTTGAGTTTCTTCACTGCGACCGGAACATTGCTGTTCCATCGTCCTTCCCAGACCTGCAAAGTTGATTATAACTTCACAATGAAATGGAACAATAACTAGTAGAACAAACAGAAAAAATGTCATCAAAAACATTGGGCAAACTCGAAATATCATCGCAAAAACAAGATAATAACATTTGTACTATTTGTGAGAAGTTCGTGGAGGATACATGAAATGTCTAGAAAAAGTGAGACTTTCCAAATGAAAAAAATATTTAATACAAAACATGGACTCCTCAACTTTGCCGTGTGTTTTTCCATTTTCGAAATTTTCACTGTCATAATATTGGAAAACCAGCAAAAATTTCAGCTATTGAACCATATACTTCAAAATAATTTTTCAAACTCACTGCATAAAATTTGTTAATCTGTGGCTAATCTATGATGACTATTACAATGAAAACTTATAAAAAAAGCCCCAACTTGAATTAAAAAAATGGGGAGTTGGCACCGTCTACTCAGAAAATCTTTACCTCGAGCCATGATTAGGAGTTTTTGAGTGGTCCCTATAAGGAATAGAGGGGGAAAAACCTCTATAAATCAAAAAACGCCCGATAGGGGTAAAATTAAGGTGGTTCCAATAGAGGTTTAAGGTCTGACCCCTTAGCCCATAAAGCTCAAGTGGTCCCTATAGGGATCTTTCAATTTCATTCAAAAAACGCTTATTTATTCAGTTTTTCCCATGGAAATGCTTCTTCGTTTAGAGTTCATAACAATCATCGAATAGCATATAGGGGCTACTAACTATAACCACTATAGGGACCACTTTTGCATTTTCCGGTCCCTATAAGGGTTGGCAAGGTGGTCCCTAGAGAGGACCCTCCAAGGGCCCAAAAGGTTGCCCCAATAGGGACCACTCTGAAGTTCCTGAGTGGGCGAATAAATATTTGAAATGAATGAAAAAAATGAAAACGACTTTGAACGCGACCTTATCTTCCCCGATACCACTACCATCTACCAAATTAGGATGTGGTTTGACCAAATTTCGGTTCAAATCCATTTTTGGACATATTTTTGTGATTTTTCTCAGCTTCGCAGGCCGTTCAAAATTTCGATGTGACGGGCTCCGGCTCGTGCGAAAAAAAATCAGTCGTCGTCGAAAAACGTCAACGTTTGAAACAAGTGAACGGCGGCTCATTTATTTTGGCTCACTAGCCTCGGCGGCAAACAATCTCGAGGCTTCTATTTAAATTTCGAGTCTTCGTCAAACAAACAATCTTTCGCTGACCGGACCACCCATCTGCACACACACACACACACACTAATCAGCCGGCCTAGGCCAAAAACATCCATTTCAACGTGTCAATTAGCCGAGTAATCTTTGAGAAACTGGTTATGAATGGAGGTATTGAAAGAGACTGGTTATCGTTTATTTGAGGCGAACGTTCAGGTTATCAAATAAGGAATATATTTAAGATTTTTTCAAATTGAACAAAACTGTGAAGGCATATATAAGCTTTTCTCACACCCTCTTTCGTTCAGGAAATTTCACAAGACATAAAATTTTTTTCAATCCTCACCAGGGAATCTTTTTTACCCCCGGTCGAATTTTTGCTGAAACTTTGCTGAAGTGAACTTTAGGACCCCCTGATTCTAGAACATGAAAAACATTTCTCGCAATAGATCTTGTTTCAGAGTTATGGAGCTTCAAAGTCCGCAAAAAGCGCTATTTTGAGTTTTTGAATTGTCCTAACTCGCAAACAAGATCTATTGCGAAATTTTTGTTTGTTCTCGAATCAGGGGTAAATTTCACCGAAGTTTCATCAAAATTTCAACCGGGAGGTAAAAAACCGTTCCCTGGTCCATAAAGATAACTACGCCATTATAATCCCATTGAGTCTGAATAAGTAATCTACTCATTAAACCCTCCTTTTGACATTTTCATTGCGTTCTTCATTAAAAGTTATTCAGATGCACTCGCTCAAAAGTAACGTCTATTCTCTCCGAACGGCAGTCTAATGATGGATGAATATGAGCTGGTGAGCAAATAAGAACTGTTCCCAAATACCTTATTTGGATTTGGGATAAACTGCACCGGTCGGAAAGACATAAATTGATTAACTATGGAAAAAAAAACGAACCTCTCCAAATTGACCGGCACCAATTTGTCTGATTAACCGAACCGATCTACGGTCCACTTCCCACTGGTCATCTGCAAAGATCGAAAAATTTCAATGTTTTCAACTCTCTCCATATTCGAAATTGAAATTTGAACAAAAAGTGAGATTTTACAAAGGCCAGGGAAAGCGATTTTGAACATCGATTTCGGTGTTATTAGAACAAATTCTACAGCGACTGTGCTTTATCTTCAGCAGTCGACCAGAGACGCCAATCTCATGTGAATATGGAGGCTGACTGACCGTAGGTGAAGGTGGTAGTTTGAGGAGCGTCGCCCTTGACACAAGGCTTTCCGAGGCTAACACAGAGGCCGTCAGCTTGCTGCTGATAATGAACGATGAGTTCGTGGAGGGTGGCGAACGGGCGCCGTCTGGCGATGAAGAAGCCACCTTGGTCGAGTTGTCGGATACGGTAGTGTTTAACCGCCTCATCTTCTCGAACTGAAAGAACTTCTTTGTTTTTTCTGTGGCTTTTCATTGCTTATATCTTCTCTCAAGGACTCTTCATGTCTCTTCAGCGCAACGCATATGAAATCAGATTTTTGGAAAAGTTTGTGTTTTAAGAGTCGCCGACCCAAAGTTTAAGTCGCTTTCTGGAGAAACGGAATCCCTTCTTAACACCTCCACAGCCGCCACAGCAAATCGCGACTTAATTGGCTAAACTAGAAATATCCCAGTACCTCATCAATAAATTCACAGTCCGAGAGATGCGAATGGTATCCTAAAGAAAACCGGCTCAAACTCAAAAGACTTCGCAAATTTTTAACTAACAAGTCCTTGAGAATCGGACGAAAGCGACACTTGAAAGGTCATCCAGGTAGAGAATGTGGAAAATTGGGTTTTCTTAAGTGGAAACGACCGTTTTGATAATCGAAACTAACTGGAAACTCATCGGGAATCGGAAACGTCTTTTAAATTAACCCGCTATCTTTCTTACAAAAATTAACTCTTGTAAAATCATATGATTGCATTTTTCAAAATTTGATCAACAGTTCAAATTATAATAATAACATTTCGCTTGAAAATTTTGCCTTGGTGTTAATTTTAACACATGAAAAAAGAAAAAAAACACCGGAAAGGTTTTTATCGAGCAAAGGAAAGTTCAATAAAAAAGATTTTGCTCAAGTTTTCATTGCTTTCTGAAATTTTTTTCGATCCTCGTAAATAATTTTATAACGGTTATCGATTGTTGGAACGCCTTATCTTTTGCTTCGGAATACCTTTCCCAAAAAATGCAATAGTTAATTAGATGAGAAAAGGAACGAGGGAAAGGCCGTGGCTGAGATTGATGGGATGGGAAGCGTCGTGTTTTGAGAACAACTGGAAATCGCCGACGCCTTTTTCGGAGGCCCCACTTTTTCGCATCAATATATCATTAATTGATTTTATTTGACTATTCAGACTCGTTAAGAAAATGGAAAATACCACCACAGGATCTTCAAAATACAAAAACACTTTGATGGAGTTTTTTTGAAAAAGAGCTCGATCAAGTGATATTAAATTAAAAATATCAATAAATTATAAAAAAAGAAAACTTCAAAAAAATAGATCTAGCTAGTCTATCGAAAAAAAGAGATAACACAAAAAAAGTGGCACCTGACAGGGACAAGTCGTGTTGCCGACTCTCAGAATCTCTGACAAGAAAGGCGCCATGCTCGTTGCACGACATCAGGAGCATTTTCTCGGCGTCTATCCTTCTCATCTTACCGAAGTACCATCTAAAGATTATAGAACTTAGTTGTGAAGATAAGACTGACGGTTGGGATTCGACGCTTTTTTCCCGAGCGACATAGTTGCTGGGGATGTAGCCGGTTCTGCCGGTGGCTCGATGGCGAGCGAACCACCAATCTCCTTGCGTATCATTCAGAATTTCAAGAATCTGGAAGTTGGATAATTTTTTTTCTGAACAAAACGGCGGGAGATATGACGCATTGTACGTCAGACACATGATTCACATGATGCAGATTATGAACTAGAATGACGCGCAAAAAAGAAACACAGTTTGTTCCGGGTACACCCACAAAATCTTCCATTAATTTTCAACACTTTTGATTTTGGCTTTTACTGAGCTTAAAAACACAAAAACAAAAAAAACCCTACGTCATCTTTCTTGAAACTGAGATCGTCGTCGGTCCTCGCGTCATACTGAAACAGAGCGACAAAGGTGTTGCTGGTGGAAGGCCGATCCGAGGCTAGAGCCGGTGGCGGCGGTGGTGGCGTCGACGACGAGGCTGTCGCTGTCGCCGAAGTGGACGTCACTCGGGACACGACTGGCGCCGGCTCACCTCGCGCCTTTTCCTCCTTGCCGATGCAGCTGCCCATCAGGTCGGCATCATCTCGGAGGAGATTTCAGTTCCAAGCTTGGGTGATAAGAGCGGTGGCCAACGGCGAAAACCGAAACGAGTGTCGGACGAGAGAGGAGAGATCGGCCGACGGTGGAGGTCACCCTCTTTAGCAAACAGCGGCGACGGTGCAGCGAGACAGGACCTTCAGGGAGAACCGAGAGATGCAAAGTTGAAGACGAAAAAAATTGGCATCGGGATTTCCAAACACACAATCCCACGAACATGTGAACAACACAAAAAGCAGCTTTTGGGTGCAAGAAACGTCATATTTTTGGCACGACTAGTTAAATAACTTTTGAAAAAGACTGCCTTTGAAAATATTTTTTGGCAGATAGAATTGAATCAAGTGACAATCAAATCTTTCTCAAATAAATTTTAGTCTGACTTACTTAAAATACCACACGAAAAACTTTTCTCAATCAATTGAAAATTTCGAGAGCTTTTTCCTTGATTTCCTGAATAACTTTGTATTAAATAACCACTTTCCGAATAGGTTTTTTTCTCTGCTCCAAAAGAAAAGTTGTACAATGACTTTTCCAGTTTTTCGGTAAAGGAGTTCAGAAAATCCAGCTTGGAAATTTTCACCATATGTTTTTTTAAGAATCAAATTTCGCTTACACTCTTACTCTCAGAAAATATATGACAACCTTAGACTTCTCTTTCATTGTGTGCAAATATTTTCTCGTTCTCAAATAATTATGAAAAGCTACATTAAAAGGCTCTCACAGTTGGTGTTCAAGGAGAATTTGTTCTAAAGCTGTGATACCGTAGTTTTGTGATGGCCCCCTTTCTGCAGTATGCCGCCGGATGTATGGTTTGCGTCTGTTCCAACAAATCGTACGACACAAAGTAAAAAAATTTTTCAGTTTTTTTGTATACAAAATTTTTTGCTTTTACTCCTGGTGCTGCCTTTTGTTGTGTTTTATTTTATTTTTCATTTAGTGAAGAGAATAACTAGATATGCACGAGACTTGTGAATTTTCCTTGAAGTTTTTTTTCTTGCCTCTTCAGTTTAATGTATCAAAAATTTTCTGAATTCTTTTTCCCAGTTAGAACTTATGGTTATTTTTTTTCCATAGAATTTTAAATACACATTTTCGAATTCTTCATTCCTCGTGAGGCATCTCATTCTTCCAATTGAGCTCTCTCAAATTTCCGTCGATTGCGCAATAAGAAAAAAAATATTTTAGGTAAAAATGAGAATCGAAAAATGTTATTTTTGTTCTTCACCTATATATCCTGGACATGGAATACAATTCGTTAGGAACGATAACACAGTAAGTTTTCTTATTTGGTATGCTGATATTTTGTAATTATTTCAGGTGTTCAAGTTTTGTCGATCACGTTGTAATAAATTGTTCAAGAAGAAGCGTAATCCGAGAAAGTTGAGGTTCACAAAGGCATCGCGGCGAGCTCGTGGAAAGGTCCGTTTTCCTGTTTAAATATAAAATTATCAACCAAATTTTTTGTTCAATTTTTTAATTGATAGCTCAAAAATATGCCGATTTATGGAGCGAATAAGAAACGTATCCAAGCTTTTCATTGGCAATATGAAGTGTGACAATATCTTTTTTGATATTATTTTTTCAGGAGTTGATTAACGACGCTACACAGTTGTTAGAACAGAGAAGAGATGAGCCTGTGAAATACGAACGAGAATTGTACAAAAACACGATTGAAGCCGCAAAGACAATTTCAGCACTCAAACAGAAGAGGTGAGTAGGAAATTTTTCGATTTGAAACTCTTTTTTTGGATTTATAAACATTCATCAAAGAGATTTTTTTAACTTCTTAACATTTTTCACCTCAAAAAAACTATTTAGAGATTTTTTTCTCAAAAAAATTTTTTTCAAAATGCAGTCCGAAAAAGAATTTTTTTCTATCCGCTGTCTTTCAAATATGAAGAAAATATTCGTAGGTTCATTACTTAAAAGTGTTTTTTTTCACGAACCAGCAAAAAAAATAACAAATATTAAAAAAATGAAGACAGGGAAATCGAATTATCCCACTGTTAAAACCTTCGAAAATCGCTGTTGCAGTTTTATTCCTCCTTTTTTTATTAAGTCTTGGCGCAAAATTAAAAAGGGATTTTTGGTGTTAGTTTTGGGATAGCTTTGTTTATGCAGAGGCTCATTTTTTTGGCGGATTTTTTAAAAAAAGATATTCTTTAATTCTTATGTGTTCATCTGTAAAACTGTGAATCTTGAGGTATGCGAACTTGATCCGGAAGCGCCTGCAGCCCGGCAAGCAGGTCGTCAGGAAGGGTCTGCTGGCCAAGGTCGACAAGAAGCTGCACCTCATCAAGGCGCCAGTGGCGACCAAGGTCGGCGGCAAGCAAAAGACGTCGCAGAAGCAACGCGAAGAAGCCATGGAGACCAACTGAGGCGTCCCTTTTTTGTTATTGTTACACATCTTCCTTCCGATTCCATGTTCATTTTGTTGTTATTTGTTCGTTTCACCAAATAAAAGTCTTTTATGTCAAGTCTCGTAGAAATAAATTGCACAAGTTATTAAGAAAAAAAAGAAGTATTTACACAGGAAAATGATTAAGAACCCATAATAATTGAACAACTAGAGAAGGATGAAGTGAATGAAGAAAAAAAAAGTCAAGTAACTAGAAATCCATGAGTGAAAAAAGTAGACTATTTGGGGACTTTAGACGAAATTGATCATGATAAGGAAGTCAAACCGAGGCACCACAACGTCAACAAGTGAAATAAAGAAAACGATGATAATAATTCGAACCTAAGAAATGCGAATAAAGCTATGAAAAATCAATAAATAAATTAGAGCTATTTACAAGTCGGCGGTTGACCGTTTGCCCGTGGGGAACATGTCTTTCCGGAAGTTGTCGACCTCCATAATGCTGGAAGAATAACGGCCGAAGCTTTGGAACAGGGCCACCACTTCGTTTCTAAGAGAATTGTTGTTTATTATCTTTCTCACACGAGAATTTAATTTGCGGTTGGGAATTTCCTGAGATTTGGCCAAAACACTCCTTGATGTACCAGATTAAACTTCTGAAAGTCTCAATCTGCACAACTTCTTAGTTTTCGATAGAAAGCCCCAAAAGAAGCCAGTTATAATGGATTTTTAGTTTTCGTTGAGGCACCCTTTCTCAAAAGTACGAAATTTTTGCAGGTTGATACTTTCAAAATCTTCTTCTGGTACATCAAGCAGTGTTCTGGGCAATTTTCAGGAAAAACCCCAATCGCAAAGTAAAATGGCCTACCTTGTCAGTTCTTCCTTCGAATTTCCTATTTTTATGACTTTTGAGACGCAAAACATGGCTTAGAAACTTTTTTTTTTCGCAAATTTTCCTCTTTAATTATTGAAAAAAGCCATGAAAAAAATTGAGCTCATCAAAACTTTGAAGCGCAGCAGCGTTTTGAACAAGTTAAGCCTTTTTTTCATTTATAGGCATAGGGGCAGTGAAAAACGGGGTTTCAGGTAAATCGGTATCCTGTAGAGCTTTTAATTTCAAATCGAACGTATTTCAAAATCAAGAGACGGGAAATTTAATCGCTTTTTTCCGTAAAAGTAGTTGAATCGGTGATTTTTTGAGCACACCGATCGATTCGCAATGAAAAAAAACTCTACAAGATACTACTTCCGCTTTAAACCCTGTCTTTTACTGTCTGACGTCTCTCATGGCCAAAAAGTTTGTTTATACTTCTAATACTTGCTCCCGAACACTAAAATGGATGTTTCGAAACTCAGAGCAGAGCTAGAACTTATTAAGAAAAAATATTTTTTTTTGGATTAGACCCAGTTAATTCAGATCTATGATAATTAAATTAAAGTCTTTTTATTTATCTTCTTCCCTATAAATTGTTCACCTTGTCAGCTGGAACTTATTGGCGGCCTCGTTTTTGTAGTGAGAGTGGGGCAAATCCGAGAACAGGATCTTGAGCGCCGTTCCCATTCCATGCGTTTGAACCTTAACAATTTAGGTATTATGGGAGCTTTGAAGTAAAAGCTTTACTTTTCCCCAAAGCCTGCATTTATCGCACTCGACACAGTCCATAATTCGGGAAATGTTCACAAAATGCGATCGGAACTCCTCACGGAGCACACGAGCTTGAGCTTCAACTCCCTGAAAATTCAAAGAACTTTTGAAAGAACTCCCTGCTCAGGAAGGGGTACACTTTGTATAATGAAACCGAGTTTGAAAAAAAAATTCTTGATGCAAGAGTAAAAAAAAATGCATTATTGAAAACGGCTACTTCCCTTAACATTATGCAAAAAATTCCATTAGTCTTCTAACAATCTAGCAATAACTGAAATAAAAATTAATTTGAAGTAATTCTATTTAAGCCTTTTTTTTGTTATGCATTTTGAAAGTTGCAAAATCTTTGAGCCATTATTCAAATTTCGAATAGCGACATTAATGTCTGGAAAACCAACCGTGAACATTTCAGATTCATCAAAATGATCAGGATACCGACGAATCTCCTCGAGAAGCTCTTCGACAGCTTGGCGAGTCTCCAAGTCGTCCTGAAGCGAATAATGCATCAAGGACAAGGTAAGCAACAAACTTTCTCGTTTCCCGTGTAGAACAATTCGTTTTGCAGGTAAGGCGCCGCCTTCAAAAGCGCCCGTAATTCGAGTAAATAGGCAAAGTAGACGTTTCGAAGTCTGAGCGGATATTGATGGATGGAAAAATATTTTCTCTCGAAAAACCTCTGAGGACCCTCCCAACTCCATTTCGTGCCGAACCGACCGGCGAACATCTCTGTATTTCGGAACCAAGTTCCCATGGCAGCAGCGTTCCCGAATTTGCCAAGACCAGACGGCGCTACAAAGCCGATATGAAGATTTTGAACAGGAATAAAATTTCACAAACGGGGCTTGTAGTTGTAAGCCGCGATGGAGATGGTGATGGCAGAATGAAGGCCAGAAATGAGGCGATAGAAAACTCTCTTCTCCAGACACATGCCTAAATAAACTCATAAGGTTCAGCAAAACTTTCGAAAAGTCAAGCATAAAGGATGAAAAAAGTACAGATCACACATAAAGCTTGAGAAAAAGCGAGAAACTTCAATGTAGCTCACTGGAAATTGAGGCAGAAAGGTGATTTGCGTACGATAAAAAGGATCGAAATGGAAAAAAGACAAAAGGGGCACGACAACACGAAAAAACCATCTTTTGTCATTTTGAGAGACGGCGAGGCAGAAACAACATACCTTCTAAAAATGTAAATTTTTAATTGATTGAGATAATTTTAAAAAATTCCAAATGTTTATTAAAATTGAAAGAATATGGAACTGAAACAAATCGCTATGAGAGAAAAAAAGTAAATTTAAAAAATATTGGAACTGATTTCGAGAGAAACGATTTCAAAAACTAAACGTTTTTCAACTTTCCGGGTCACATAAAACAGTTTCTAAACAGTTTTCAAAAGGATTCTAACGCTAAAAGAAAATCATTAAATTGAAAAAAACTAACCAAAGTCGTTGGGGTTCGTGAGAAAATTCTTGTCGAATTTCGGATCGGGCCTGAAATCAGTTATTTTCATAGAGAAGAACAACAATTTTTTTCTTTTTATTGTCAAAAAAATGAAATTTACTTTTTATGAACTTTTTAGTGCTTAAGAGGATGTTAGTGAGCAAAAAAGCGTCTTTTGGATATCTTCAAAGACATTTTCAATCAACTTAACACTGAAAAAGAAGTCTCAAATATCTCTTTTGCGACATGAAAATGTGGTGATTCAAGTTCAGATAAAATTTTTCGAATTTTCAAAATTTAGGACTCTCAGTGAAAAAGGGGTTGTTTTTTTTTCGCTAAAACCTGTATCGGAACATAAAAAAAAGAAAAAAACCCACTTGAAGCAATTTTCTTGGTAAATGCTCTTCCAAACGCGCAACGCGGAGTCTCCCTTGTATCCAGTGTACCGTTCGGGATTCTTCGACAGATCCACGTAGTGCATCTCGTTCGAGTCATCGTCTAAAGCACTGTTTCGTCCTTTCTTCCCCTACTTTCCAACGAACTCTTTCTTTTCAATTATGAAAATTTTGATTTAAAAAAAAATGCAATGCATTTTCCAAAATAAAAAAGAGAATCAAACTATCCAAAGAGAACATTTTCCGTCAGAAAAAGAGAGAGAGATGGAGAAAAAGCTGAACAAAGACACAAACACAATGGCGCCCGTTGGAAAAAAAAAATGTTATTCTACATTTAATCAAACATAGAGCTTTCAACCAAAAAAAAATTTTTTTTAGTTTTGTTTACTTTCGGAAAAGAACATGGTTGATCTAATGGTTTGGTTACTATTTTTAAAATTTATTTTCAAAAATGAAAAAAAAGTTTGCTAATAAAGTTCAGTGAATAACTTCGGCAAGGCCTTGTGATAATAAACACAGATAAAAGCGAAATTTCCGACAAAAAAAGAAGTTCTACCGTTCAAGTTATAGAGGAAAAAAATACAAATCGAGCTCCAAAAAAAAAGTCAAAAAATTTATTTACCGTAACTTTGTAAGATAAAGTTTAAAAAAGACTTTCTTAATATTTTATAAAAACTTCATTAAAACTATCTTATTCATTGAGGCAATTACTAAAAAGAAAAACCTTCGATTTCGCAGAATTTGTCTTCCTGGTCGTCGTGGACGTCCATGTCTAGAAGACGTCGTTTCTCGCTTTCCATCAGCGATCGATCCATCGGGTCGAAGGCGTTGCTTCCCGTCGCGTCCTGGCTCCGTCGGCATTCCTCGGGAGTCGCAACGTCTTCCGCCGCCTGAACGCGGGCTTTCGTCGACGACGTCGCGTTCCAGCGGTTGGTGTGGTTTCGGAAAGCGGTGATCCGTACCGAGTTGACGGCGACGGAGCGACGAAGTCCAAGGGGAACTTCGTCGTCGCAGAAAGCGATGCCGCACTGGCTCGTTCCGCATTGTCGTTCATCCGCCCAGAACGGACAGGTCTTGTCCATGTTCACCTTAATCGAAGCTTTTTTTCAATCCTCTTTTAAATAACTTAAATTTTGATAAAAAAAATTCGTATCTTATTTCCACTTTTTAGATTTTCAATTTCACTCAAATCTCTATCTAGATGACCTGAAAGCTTTCATTACATCTAAATCTAAAAAAAGAGCAAATGGAAAATAGTTTTTTCACATATATAATTTTTCACGATGTACCATAAAAAGTTGCGCAAATAACACAAGTACCAAGCAAAAAAAAACCTTGTAAAAGCGGAAGAAGTCTTTTTTGAGAAGTTTCTGGAGCTTCTCGAAGATTCTCTCATTGTTCAGTTCATCGATACTGTTCTCAGAACCGCAGTCGCAAGGCACGACGGCCTCGCCGACCTTACAGAAACACTGTCGTTCTGGTTCGAACTGTGGATAGGCGAGCTGGACTAAAGCCGCCAGAAATAGGGCCGAAACCCATGATACCCTCATTCCTGAACATTGGGACGGATATGTCGGGCCAAGAAGAAATAATTTGACATTTTAAACACGATGAAAATGATTTCTTAAACTTGAAATGAGCTGATCAAACTTAGTAAACACTGAAAAAAAATAAATTTGGATCAGCTTTTTCATTAAAAACAAAATTAGCGACTGGAAAAAGCATGATATGCTAGATTAGACTCAAGATTAAGAAGTTCATAAACAATAAATAAAAAAACCGTAAGGACACGTCTTATAAACACGTAGGATTTAAAAAAAAAAACACGGGGAAAATATTTTTTGGAGCTTCTGGAGGAGACTAGGTTCACTATATGTAGTTTTTTGCGCTGGTTCTAAATCTGTTTTCGAAAAGGTTTTCTGTTAACAGTGGGACAAGACCCACCAAAAAAGCTCAATCTGAATCACCGCAAGTTTCGAGTTCTGAGAGCATCAAACTTTTTTTACAGGCGACTTTTGAGAGCAGAACCAGCTTAAAAAAATATTTAATGATTATAGTCTCATTCAAAAGCCCCTCGAGAAAATTCCCTGGTAAACCCTATTACTATCATCAGAAAATCTAATCAAATATAAATTGAGAAGCCTATTCGATGAAAGTGATCTCAAAACAAGAATGCCATCTGATCAGAGCTCAAAACAATAGAACCAATGGCAAGAAACGTCTTGGAACAGCGATGACAGCCGAAAAATCACAAAAAGGAGGCCAATGGAAAGCGAAAGCCGGCCGCTCTCGGTCAGTCCGGTATGGTGGCGACGCGGCAGCAAGCGTCACCCTTCCGGAAAGACAAACAGCCGGAAGAGCGTTTTTTTTTTCTCTCCTCGTGCCCACCTGCCTCTTTTTTTGTATTCGATGACGAGCATCAACAATTTTGTGACACGTTGCCTAACTAGAGACGCACGATAAACATATCCCATGGATCAGTTTTCATCACATTTTGCTACCTCACCAAATTTAAAACAGAAAAAAAGATCATTAAGAATGTATGCGATAAAGCTTCAAGATAAAAAAAAAACGACACTTACCAAATCGTCGAAAAATTAAAAAATAAACCTGTTTTTCCACACCAACCGCTGAAAAGGAGCATTAAGTTTGAAAATACATGAAACGCGAATTCTTATTTGGCAATTTAAAAAACCCGTCAGAAATAATAAATATTTATGAAACATCGGATATGACAAATTGTTAAAACACTAGTGGTACATGAATAGATGGGAAAAAAAGAGAATATGATAGATGCAGAAAAAAAGGGAGCCATAAAAAAAGACATAGAAAGGCCGCTCCAGCGACAATGAAAGGTGACGATGCACAACAGTGAACAAGAAATTACGAAATTGAGCGTTTCCCTGAAAGATTTAAGTGGAAAACTGTCAAAAACGGTATGAATTATTTCAAAAGCCAGTTAGTGACTTCAGAAAATTTGGAATATTTTCCAGAATCTGAGAATTTTCGTGAATGTTTCTGGGTATTCGAAGCCTCGTCGACTTGAAAAAAACTGAAAGGCCTCTCGCCTCTGAACTTTCATTTAAAAATTATTTTTTTGGATTACTTCAATTTTTCATTATTCTTAGGGTTTTCGAATCAAATCTATCCTAATTTTCATCCATTTGAAACCAAAACATAACGTAGTTGAATACCAGAAAAACCTCTTTTTGAGCTAAATTAAAAAAAGAAGGAGCAGATTGCAAGAAAAAAGTGATAATTCTATTCGAATTATTCTGAAAAAAATTTTTCTAAAAACGGTCACGAATCGGTTTGAATAGTAACATTGAGAAAAAAATTATCGGGGGAAAAAAAGTTTTTCATTTGGTTTAAAAAAATTAAGTATTTTTTTCTATAAAAAAAATATAGGCAGTCCTTCCATAGACAAAGTCGGAAAGGGTGGAAAAAGGCTTCATAGAAATTTTCCTATTAGGGTGACAAAGGGTTCCCTTTTTGCTGCCATTTTGAGTCATTTTATCGGCTCTTGTGCACCATTTTTGCTGCCTCTCCCTTTTTTAAAACCTTTTTTGAGCCTTCAAAATTCTAGAAAAACATTAAAAGCTCGACAAAGGCTCTTTTTGCTGCCTTTTTGCGGCCTTTTTTGAGCCTCCTCCTTTTAGCGGCCATTATCCACCATTCCGACTTTGCCCGAGAATCAAAAAAAATCTGCATTTCAAAGAACTCTCTTGAAACCCCATTTACCGACGATATTAAAGAACTATAAAATTTCAAGCATGCAGTTTCGGAAAAAATTTTCATGTTGAACAAACCTCAGCGTGACGCTCTTGAAATGGTCAGGATCCGGAAAATCAAAACGGTCCATTGACATCTTAAAATTGAAAAGTATAAGTTTTGAATGAAGGAAGCGAATAGACGTTTCAAATACAAATCCGTGTTTGGACGCAGTTTTCTGTACGCCGCCAAATACGGTTGACGCTGCCATTCCTCAAGTCTCCTTACATCCAAAGCCCTCCAATATCGCCTCGTTCCAAAGCTGGTGTATACGGGTACAACGATACCCTGTTAGTAGAACTACAGTACTGTTGAAAAGGAAAAATTTAGCAAAAAAACCGAAAATGGCGAAATTAGGGTTCGTCAACTCTTTTCTTTGAAATTCGTTATTCGGAAAGAAAGCCACTGATCTTGAATTTGATTCTTTTTGAACAATAAACAATGTTTTAACAGCATAAAACTTCAAATTGATGTAAATTTTTGGGGAAAATTGTATGTAAAAGAAGCTTTTTCTTCTAGATTCAAAATTCTACTAGCTCGAGTCAGTACCGCTTCGAAGAATTTTTGTAAATCTAATGATTCTTGAAAAAAAATGCCAAACTGAGACTTGCAGAAATGGTGGAACAGTCGTCAGACGGGTCAAACATTCCAAAAGCTAGTTTTACTTGAAAGAGAGGGATATGGTTACCATCATTCTCGCAGAAAAAAATCTCCTTCATCTTCTCAAAAATTTAAGCTTAAAAGAGTCGATTGATTCGATGCATCGAAACTTGGAGAAAAATTGAATTGGTCGGTAAAATTCGAAAAATATCATGTATGTTCCTGAAACCATTCTCATCCTACTCTTTGACTTTCTTTTATGTTTTTTCAGAGAGTTTTGGGGGGTCGAAAAAATTCGGGTCGAGCCATAATAAAAACGACGACTCTTAACAACGATATATCATTATTTTCATGTCCTTTTTGGAAAAATTTACGCGATAAATTTTTCTTGGAATGGATTATTTTTGGAAGCAAAAAAGCTGTGGAACTTTCGGTATTCAGCTACAATAAGAAGCTTTTCTTAGAAGTCACGTTATTAAAAGTTGAAAAACCAGAATTTTGCCCATTCCGGTTTTTAGGAGCCAACATTTTTAATTGTTTTGAGCTCATGTAAATCTATTGAAAACGTTTTTGTGCACAATATATCCAAGTTTCAGTAGATTCTGACCGTTTAAAGCAAAGATATAGCCAAAAAAAAATATCTATATGGCCAGTTTTGTACGAATTTTCAGATTCAAAACAATTGAACCATACCCCCAACGCCGAGACGAGATTCCTCGACCGTTCACAAAGCAGACCAATATCGATGTTGACGAAATCCCCAAGTGTTTCGGAACGGTAACAAACCGTAGAAGAGCCGCACTGGAAGAAAACTATCTCACCAGAGCGCTTGAAAACCGGGATACCAAGTTTCTTTCCAGGAACAAGTCGTCCAAAAACAATGCATGAACCGGCCATAAGTTCGCCTGAAAGTCTTATTAAATTGAAGTTTTTTTTTGACTATAACATGAAGACACAGATTTGAAAATGGAAAAAATCTCAAGTCTAGAAAATCTCAAAATTCAAAATCTCAGTGCTTTAAGTAATCAAAGGCAATAAAATTACAGGAAAAAAAAATGCGGAAGCGAGAACTCCCGAAGCGAAAAAAATTTGTATTCAAAAAAGAATAGAAGGCACAATGTCTTGGGAAGCCTTTGCAAGTCTTTGAAAGGCGTTCGGAAAATATTTGGAAGGTAAAAAATGAAAAAGGTCTGTCAGAAGCCTTCCAGAAAGCTGCTGGGACGCTTTTAGAATGCTTTTTTTCCGGGAAGCTCAGTGGAAGACGTTTGACAACTTGCTGGAAAGCTTCCAAACGTTTCCGAGGAACCGAAAGCAGAAGCTTTCCAACTTTTAGCTGAGATAGGAGTGAAGAAAATAATAAAACATCAACTGAAACATCAACTCCGAAATAATTACTCTGATGAATCGTATCACCAATATTTCCATTCTTTCATTTTTCCCATATTGACCGACTGATTAGAAATTAATAAAAACCTGTTCGTCTTCCCTGTGACAAACTTGAGAAATGGTCTTCACTTCCCACATTCCGTCTCCATGAATGACTGCCACGAAAGACATGAGCTCAAATGAATCAATTGGCTGAGCTTTTTAAAAAATAGAAAATACTTGAGAGGTCGGTTCCCATTCTGAATATTTCTTTAAATGATCTCGGGCGCATCCGGCTTGACAACGCATAAGACCGACATGGTCGCTCCTGAAAATGAGGCAGATAAAATTTCTAAAAATAAAATTCCGGGCTCTCATTCTGAGGCTTCCACCTAGAGCACGGTCTCCGAGTTCCAGCACAAAAGCCGCTACATTCTAAGCTCTTCAAGGTGCAACTGGATGGACTAGGCGCAGAAGGAAGAGGCGAAGTACCGTATGACCATGCTTTCAACTTGATCAACTACACGTTTGGACTTCTAGTTCGCGGCGGTTCGCTATAGCTTCAAAAGTTCTTGTTCATCGCCTAGTCGATTTCATCTATCACTAAAACAACAAAATAAATAATTTTATTCAAGCAACGTTAAAACGTGTCTTCGATGGTTTTTGGAAAGAAATGAAAAGGTTTTTGTTTAATTCACACACAGGTCCATGGAAATTTTCCTTTTAGGGTGACAAAGGTTCCTTTTTTGCTGCCCTTTTGCGCCATTTCATCGGCTCTTATGCACCATTTCTGCTGCCTCTCCCTTTTTCCTTATTTCTTGAGTCTCAAAATCCCAGAAAAATGAAAGACTCGATGAAGGGACTCTTTTTGCTGCCTTTCTGCGGCCTTTTTTGAGCCTCTCCCTTTCAGCGGCCATTATCCACCATTCCGTCTTTGCCCCAGCATAGACCAAAGAAATACGAGAATCAGAAAAAAATAATAATAATAAAAATGTAGTTTACCAAAAAATCTTTAGAGAACGCCATGAAACCTCTATCAGGAATAAAGAAAGAGCTACAAACCAGAGGAACCACTGAGATTCGCTACTGCTGCGTTTCCCGTAAGACATCACGCCGAATCCGCGACACTCCACTGTGTCTCCTTTGACGAACTTGGTCGACTTCAAGCCCGGTGGAAAGATGTAGAAATCGGCCTGAAAAGCCAGAAAAATTTGTTCGGAAATATAACTTTCTGCTACCCCTGTATAAACACCTGGACCTTCGACAAGAAGGTAGCCGTAGGTGTATGATTTTCGAATTTGGAAATCGTTGAGGGTGAGCCTTCCCAAACGATGAGTGAACAAGTCGATCTGAAATTCAAAAAGACGTCTACAGGAATGAAGAAAGGAGGATCGGCGTTCGCAAACCTTTCCTTGTTCTTTCGAGCGAGTCACAAACCCTTCGACGGCAAACGGATACACGACGGAGCGAGCCAAAAATTCATACCTGAAATACTTTTTTTTCCATTTTTTCATGAGTATTTCACCTACTTCTCATACAAATATTGCCTTTTATCTTCAAACGATGGGTCCATCTCTGCCTCGTTGCGTTCCTGAAACAAAAGTCAGAAAAATCACCAGGAAGGTCTTTCACTTTGTGGTTGTGATTTCTCTAAAATTGACCAGAACACTTCTCGACAGCGGAATGTCGTTCCGTGAAATTTCAAGTCGTGGCATAAAGACTATATATTTGAAAAAAACGATGATAATAAAAAATAGTTTTTAGTTTTTAATTGTTTAGCTTCTCTCCGCAAGTTTTCTTTTCTTTTTCGACTCATTATTGAACCCGCAAAAATTAGGCTTACCAGGTCGCAACTGATTGCCGACTGAATGACATCGCACGGAACCGGCGTTGGCTGCTGATAAATCTGTTGCATCTTGCGGATCTCCTCGCCGAGCGTCGTATTCAACGTGTCGTTGAAAAGGGAGTCGGCGTCGGATTCCGAAGCGCCAAACATGGGCTTGGCAACGATATTCTGCTGACGATTGGAAAAACCAACAAAGGAGACTGGATTCGTAGCCGGCGGCAGAGCGAACTTCGACGTTGAGCTTTCAGATGTGCTGGATTTTTCTGGGAGGACAGAATCCGTGCTAGCTGTTGGCTTGGAGGGAGGCTGATAAGTCGCGGAGGCAGAAAGATTCTTGGTTGGAATCGGGGTTGATGAGCGTGCCGGACTAAAGCTTGGCTGCAGTTGCTCAAAGCCGGCGCGGGGATCTGCTTTCGCAAAGTATACACTGCCAACTGAACTTGGCAACGCTCTACCTGTGTATTCCAGATTCTGGGGCAGAGCGCTGCTGAAAGTGATGTTCATTGGAGCACGATTCGAGAATCGGCGCTCGTCCGTGGTGTTGACGGAGTGGTCAGCGGACTTCCTCATCGGGCCGATAGTTCTGATCGTCACATTTTCCAACTTGTTGGTTCTGGTCGGCTCGCTTTCATTTTGGTTCTGCCGGTTTGGAAGTTGGTTCCTTTCGCTGTTCACCTTCAAGGGTTCAGGTGGAGTCTGTTCAACTTGTGGACTCGATGCTTCAGAATTGATCGTGAACAGAGGAGCAATATTTGTGGTGTCAAGCTGAGAATCTACGATCGGCGCAGCTTGAGCCGACAAACTCGGTTTTGGTTCAGAAGATCCTTTGGAGATCCGGCTTATTTCCTCGTTCCAAAGTTCCGACGGCAGTTTTTGAGTTACAACAGCTTCGGTAGTTTTTCTTTGGACAACCACTTGTTTTGGTGGAGCTTCGACCTGCAGTTTTGGAGCTTCTACTCGCAGCGGTGGCTCGGCTGTGACGGTAGGAACTTGTGCGGACAACTCTTCTTTCTTTTCAAAGGCCTTTTTTTGATCTGAAATATCGGAACATAAAAAAAGTACTCATTCGCTCGAAAATCTTAACCGATTATTCTTAAAACATCTTCTAAATTTTAAACGGTTTATTGTTGTTTTCAATGTTTAAATTTCCCTTTTTGAAAATTAGTTCTGTTAGAGGTCTTTTTGGTCCTTGAACTGTTATATTATTCGTATTGAATAAATGATGATGATGATGATGATGATTATGAAATTAGATGAATCTGATTTCTTGGCTCAGTGGAATAAAAAGCGATGATTTGAAAGTTGAAAAACGAAAAAAAAAAAACCGACCTTCGCTGATGAAAACTACTTTCTTCACTATTAAATGATTGTGTTCATTGAGCCCAGGCTCAAAAACAATGAAAGCCTGGAAAAAAGGCAGCTGAATCGAAATTTCACCCGAAAAATACTTCTTCGAAATCGAAAAGTCGTTCTGTGTAAACCGAAGACTGTACTAATAAACGTTCATCGTTGGAGAAAATATGATATTTGTTGTTTTCTAAATCCTTCAGGACCGCTGAAACAATTTAACTAGTCCATAGGAAAAAAAATAAGAGCGGAATGAACTCACTCGTAATTTTCGGTAAAGGCGTTTTCGCAACGAGATATTTAGTGACGCCAACTGAAAAAAAAATAATGAAAAAAAAATTGATAAAAAGGAACCTTGTGGCGATCGTTCAACCATTTTCGCCTTGTCCTACAAAAATCCAATACAAAAAGCATTTAAATTTTGAAAGTGAAAAAGATTTACTTTCAAAGATGATAGAAGTATAGATGATAGTACTAACCCAGAATATTTTCAAGGATTTGAATGCTTTTTCTTTTTGGGCTTGCCTCTTGCTACGAAAATAATTTTGCTTACTTCCTTGACCTAGGAATACTGCTCTGAAATTTCCAACAATCCCCTTAAATCTGATTTGTGCTAAAAACTAGATTACTATATACTGCGATTTTTACTCGTAAGATATTTGTTAGTTCCAACCTCTGAACCACTCGGACCTCTTTGAGCACTTTGACATTTCTCCACTTTATCTCAGACGAATTATATCTGACATCATAAATCTTTATAAAAACTCTCTTAATGTCTAGAAACAAGTGAAGTCGTTAGGGTTCACGCTGATCTATCAATAGATTATCATAATGTCTTTCTTATGCCAGAATAGTGATATGCAGAGGGAACGGCGGCTAAAATTTTCAAGAAACTACGAAATAATAGTTTTCATTTTCTACAAAACTTCTCGAATTTTTTTGTTTCTACGAGGACTTGTAACTGAGCCTTTGAAATTGAAACTTTTTTGAAAGACTTTCTAAAAAAATTTTTATGTAGGAATATAATTTCGCAGCTCATACAAAAAGCTTCCTTTGCTTACCTGATCAAGTGATTGTTCGCCGCTCGTCCAAGGCGATCCAATCGACAAAAAAAAAACTTCTGACGAGACTGCGGTAGTTGCTGAAAAAAAAATTTAAAAATTCTTAAATATATTTCAGACCCTCTTAATAAAGACGCTGATGAATAGAGCGAAACTTCACATTAAAGTACAGAAAAATCTCTACTTTATACAAATGCCATGGAAAATCTCGAAATTGTTTTACTTAGAAAGAGGAGAGGAGTTTTATATACAATTGTAGCCTGCGAATTTAAAATTTTTGACTCAATCAACTACTTTTCTATGACATGTTCATCGGAAAAAAAGAAAAGCGTTCTGAAACTCAATAAAACTGTACCAAAACATAAATAAGTACGGTTTCGAAGCAATTTTGCAGTCCATTACCTTTCTAAAACAGGGACGCGCACATAAAGACTGCAATATTGAACACTTGCATGTAAACTTATAGAAAACTGCGTTTTATGAATCAGAAAATTTTTTTTCTTTTTCGATGAGTAAATATTAATAAAAACAAAAAACGAAGAAAAAAAAATTATGTGCAAGGATTATGCACCTAGTCAATCAATCTACATAGGGAAACGCGCTCTATCGAGGATTCTCAGAGTCACTCAAGGAGTTCCGGACATTGGTAATGCGGAAAGGACGTGCTCCGGACGTTTCTGGGCAATTCTAGAGATCACTTGGGAGCGCTGACGCTACTAAAGTAGGCACTACTTATGCCCAGAAACGTCCGGAGCCGTTTCGCGTTAACAATGCCCGAGTAGTTCGAATTTTCAGAACTAAAGATACATACTTGAGAAAGGTAGAGTTATAAGACCGGAGCTAGCTCAGCCAGAGAATCTAGACCTATGTTGAATACTCAAAAAGGATCTATTTTAATATAAAACCAGTTTTTTTCAAACGTTTGCTCTACAAAACTGCGGAAAAGACAAAAAACAGAGGTTTTGAAGCGAAATGTGGTCAAATTCGGTATACGGACTGAAACTTGCTGCGACTTACTTTATAGCCGATAGATTTCATATCACTTTGAACCCATAATTTCAGCTCGAAACTTTCGTGAGTCAAAATTTATTTTTCATAAGCTCCACTGGATAACATGTATTCACAATAATTAAATAAAAAAACTGTCAGTTTTATGGCAATTAGGCATTTATTAAGAGTACAACAACGAAAAACTATAGATGTGTTAAGCGTAATTGAACAAGGAACGCTAGAGGAGAAATTAAACGAGAAACCCGAAGATGGAAAAATTATTTTTTGGAAGAATAATTGAGCACATGAATATTTTCAACCGAGGAGATACAACCGCTGCGCAGTGAAAAGCTTCTCCAAGTCGTTGCTCGAGGCGATTGGCCAGACGGGTATCGATAGCTGAACAATTGTTTTGGATGAACTTTGCGTAGTTACAAGAATTACCTTTTTAGCTATATTGGAAGTATCGTGATTGGACGTGACGCAAATAAAACTGCATTTTTTCCCGTACCTTGCCTGGATCTTCTCGAAAATCGCTTCCTGTAAAGAGTAATCGATCAGAAAAAGTTTTGATTGTATCTATCAGCAAAATTTGAATCGAACCATCTTTTCCTAATGATTTTCTGAAGAGGAAACCTTTCCGATCTTGGAGGTGGAGTAGACGTTGTCAATGGGAACGGCGGCGGAATGGCCGGCGACCAGCGACTGAACGATTCCCGAAACGAGGCCTTCGCCGCACGTCACCACGTTCGCGTATTTCTCCTGCGTCTCCGTCGACCTGTCGAATGACGTCATATGGGGGAGGCAACAGAGGGAACCGAACCGTTGGGTGACGAGGTCGAGGCAGCGGTTGGCAGCTTGCCATCGGTGGCTGAACAACGACTGCATCTGCTGCGCCGCCTGGGTGAGTTCTTCTTCTTGTGCTGACAGACCGCATCTATCCAGCAGTTCTGAACTCCTGGTCAGTGGGTGGTGTCAGAGATTTATAAAAAATGAGAACAAAGTCGTTCTGAAGAAAAATAGCTTTGTAACTAGTTAGGAACTCCAGAGTGGTCCCTATAGGAGCAAACTTTAGGACCATCCCTACAGGAACCACTCTGGCGTTCCTAAATACTATTTTCACTTTTTCTTTTACCTATTTCTCAAAATTTTACAAAAAATGCCTCAAATCAACAAATTCAATAGTTTCGAAACTCGTTTATGTTCTCAAATTAACTTGATAGTTCGTTTCTAATCTTTCAAATGATCATTTCAAGTCGAGAGGACGACTCGGAACTCTATTGGAAAGCCTCTGACCATAGCTGAAGTAGGTGTCGGCCTTCTGCTTGGCGGCGCACTCCTGGTAGAGTTCTCGTAAGGCGAGATATTTGCTCGCCACACGTCGCATCATGTCGACGCCCCTGTAAGGTCAACCAATTGCTTGGGCCCCTCAACTTGGTCCAACCTTGCGTCGACTATTGACCCGTCCGTCAGAGATTCCTCCATCGCCGCGTCTTCAATGTTCATCAGATCGCATTCCTGGAAAATTGAAAGGATATTGGAGTAGTGTAGGAAGATGTACTTGTTTGTAAGAAACTTCGAAAACCATTTTTCATTCCCAAGGGAACGCTTTTTACTCCCGTGGTTGAACTTTTGATGTAACTTTGTTGAAAAGAACTTTAGGACCTTCTGAGTGCAAAAAAAAATTTCTCGCAATAGATCTGCTTTTCGAGTTAGGACGTTTCAAAAGCTTGAAATAGCGTTTTTTTTTGTCATAATTTGCGTATTTTTCAGACTTTGAAGCTTCATAACTCGAAAACAAGATCTACTGAGAGATATTTTTTGTACTGCAAAAAAGAGTTAAAAACGTTCAGCAATATTTCTGTTAAATTGGAAGTTACCAGCTGAAACAGGAAACTAATTATCACCAAAAGCACCTCAAAGACGGGAGAACTTTCAACTCATCAGTTAACAGACAAAAAGTTTTTTCGATATTCCGAGGAAAATATAAATATTGTATTTTACATAAAATAATATACATGAAAACGAAAAAAATGGTAAACTTTTGAAAAATAAGAACAGTTACCCACCTCAGCGTGTTCTGAGAAACTCAACGAAACGACTCGTTCGACTAGTTGATTCAACAACATTGCTGGAGCCACGTACGGAAGAAACTAAAGAATATAGAGTTGTTGGAAAAGAAGAAGAAAGCGAGAAACCTTGGAGTTTTGAGTGACTTGGTTGAAAAAGTTGCGCGAGAGCATGCAGATGTCCTCGACGTCCCAGATGAAGACGCGCGCGTACTGAACGTCTCCCGGCGAGCAGGACCCTGTCTTTTTCTTCTTCGCCTTGCACTTCTTCTCGGCCTTCAGCGAAAACGGGAGTTCCACTGCTGGAGAATCGGCTGATGTCGCGGATGCGGTGGAGAGCGAGGCTGCCGATTGGACCTGAAGAATGGATTTTTTTGATCTCCAAGAAATTCTTCTAGATCCTCTGGCTGAGACCAGCTAGCTCCGGTCTTATAACCTAACCTTTCTCAAATAGATATCTTTAGTTATAAAAATTAGAACTACTCGGACATTGATAACGCGAATCGGGCGTGTCAAGGTTTAGTCACCACTTTAGTAGCGTCAACACTCTTAAGTGATCCCTAGAAATTCTCAGAAAGGTCCGATTTTCGTTGACGAGTAATTGTAGATTCTCTTTATGAAATATTTATATTTGAGCCTAAAATCTGAGTAACTAAAAATTAGCTGACCCAATGCCTCAAAAATTTTAAAATCGGGCAGGAAATTTGCGCGTCTATTAGTTCTTATCCAACTTTATTAAAACCAAAAAGTATTCTTTTTTTCAGTGAAAATTAATAAGTTCATCTAACTCGTTAAAGTAAAAAAATAAATGCCGAAAAAAACCTTCGAGAAGGAATTTCTATAGAGGATGATAAAATGAGATACTAGTTTTTAAATAAAATCTTACTGAAACCCGTCCTGTCTAAAAAAAAACTGGAAACATTATTTTCTTCTCAAAAACTTCGCGGTTCATTGAGAACAATCAAAGATAGTTTCAAAAGTCTCTCAGAAAATTGAAAAATTTACCGCGTAGGCAGCGGCGGGAGTGGCCAAGGGGTTGGGATAGTATCCGGATCGGATGCCTTGGTAGTACTGATTGTTGTACGCCGTGTAGTCGACGCCGTAGGAGCCCCCTGAAAGAAGAAAGTACAAAAGAAGAGAGATATGGTAGTTACCGTAGTAGGCGGTCGGATTGGCAGCGAAGCTGTAGGGGAAGGCGGCGGCTGCATTTTGGGCTCGCAGTCCTGAGGCGACCTGTTGGTAGTAGGTGGCCGGAGAACTCGCGTACATGCTGTAGCTCGTGGGGTACGTCGTGTTGTAGTAGGCGTTCTGGCCTGTAATATCATCTTGAAAATCAAAATTCTTTTGCAAAAATCCAGTTTAAGGTTTCAATAATAAAAAAATACAGTAAGCCCTGTTGCTAAAAAGAGCTACGAAATTAGATTTGAGCGACCAAAAAAACGAAGATAATTTAAAAACATAGATGACCAGAGAAAGGTTTCGCTTACAAAAAAATTTTTGGAAAATAAAAAAATAAAATCATTTTTTTGATCTCCGGGAAGTATTTTTCGGCCACAAAAAAATATAAGTTTTAGCCTCAGGGAGGTAGTATTAGATTTAATTTACGAAAACTCGGGAGGAGGGGTCAAAAAAAAAATGGTCTGCCCATTTATGATTTACAAATAAAATTTTATTTTTTTAAGGATAACTTTCTTAAATTCAACTGTTGGTGAAAGTACGTAGACCGATAAAAAAATAAATAAATTCAGACGACTTATTAAAAAAATTTCAGGCAAACTTTACTCTATAACTTTTTTTGCTAAAGAGGGAAAAGTCAAAAGTTTGATTTTTTTTAATCCGGCCAGACAAACGGAATTACAATATTTTGAAATTTAAAAAATGAGAGATATCGTATTCGAACCGTCTAAAATAAGACTATTGATGAAAAGAACCAAGATCATTCAGAAGGGGAAAAAAAACTCTTCAGAGGACCATAAGTGAGATATTTTCAAAAAACGCATCTACAGAACGAAATAATTTTCGAATTGATTTAAGGATTGAAAAATGAACGATTTTGATTCACAAAGTCGTAATAATGATCGAAATTACTTTTTACTGGAATGATTCATTATCCAACTTTTTGAGAGCCTTTTTTGAAAAATCACAGTTTCTATGAGCTCTAGTCAATGGTAAAAACGTCATTTCATTCGATATCATTTGTGAAAAAACAAGTAATAATTGACAAAATAAAAAGTGATTGACAAGCTTGAGTGACAGCATCGTAAAATAATAAGCGGAACGATCGGAAGCAATAAAAACAAATGCTCATAGAGGATTTGGGGAGCCGGGAGAGACTGTGGGTCAGCGGTGATCTGCCGGACCGGTGGGCGGTCAGAGTGGAAATAGCGCTGCCGGAATGGAGAGGCAGACGAAGGGGCTCCAACACCGCGATTGGACCGCCTATGTCAATTGGAACGTGTGCTAAGTGGTCTGTTGCGCAACATGCATCCAGGCACCCCAACAACCGTTCCTTCCAAGAATAATATTCCTTCACGCTTTCGAGGATATATATATATATACTGTGGATTTGCTTGAAATAAGAGAAACTTCAAAAATGAAATAATAAAACGGGTCAATTTGATTTCTTACAATTTTTTTTTCCAAAAAAGGGTGCTTTCGAGAAAACTGAATCATTAGTGTTACCTTACACGGGAGGTCATTTTACTTTGCGGTAGGGATTTTCCTAAAAATTGGCCAGAACACTTGTTGATGTAGCAGATGAGGATCCTGAAAGTCTCAACCTGCTCAACTTCCTAGTTTTCGAGGAATAAGGGCCTAAAGTCTCAAAATAGCCTATTTTTTTATGGCTTTGAAGGTTTTCTTCGACTTTGAGGCGTCTTTTCCCGAAAACGAGGAAGTTGTGCAGGTTTAGACTTTCAGAATCTTTTTCTGGTACATCAAGGATTTTTCTGGCCAATTTGGGGGAAGATCCCAACCGCAAAGTGAAATGACCTCCATTGTTAAAACCAAAAACCTTTTGAAAATTTTTGGAGCCGTCTTACCGAAAATACATGTACAGTCTTGTCAGTGCTGACCAGATTTGAAAAAGGTAAAATTTTCAACAAAAAAAATCTTTGAACAATTATATTTAAAACATTAAAGAGCTGGTAAAAAATATTAAATGAACGTCAACAGTGAGAAACTACTTATTTTTCATTCATCTGACACTATGGTTTCCTCTGAAGCGCTTGAAAAAAAGACTTGGAAATGGTAGTATAGCCTTTATTTTAAATGAGGAAAATCTTTCTAAACGGTTAACAAAAACAGCTATCAAACTTTCTGACAAATAATGAAAAAAAAAATGTTGAAAACGCAGACAAGGCGGGATTGAAAAAAAAAAAATTAAAAATTGCTTCAAAATCATACCATAGGCGGCGGCAGCGGCGTCAGTTATGCTGACGATGCCCGAAGCAGGTCTGTCGGAAGTGCCGGCGGCGGTCGACGCAGCCAACGTCGACGACATGTCTTTGGCGACGTCGGCCGAAGGCAGAACCGACCAGACCGACGAGCTGCTCGAGTCGCTGCAATCAAGGCGAAAGTTCCCTTTTGAGGACGTTTCGAATAACCTGGTGAGGTTCTGCGACGCGTCCGTGCTGGACAAGAATAACGGCTTGAGCTGAAAATAGTCGTGGTTAGTTTTAGATCGTAGGTAAGACGAAGAAAAGAGATGTATATCCCGAATCTAACGCTTAGAACTCGTACTTCAGGCGTATTTCTGTTTAAACATGATCTTCACAAGTTCGTTTCTCAAAAGTTAGAATTTTTACTCAGGTAGCGACTACAAGAAATCTCAATCTACACCTTCCGAGAATTTTTGAGCGCATTTTCCAAAAAAATTGAAAAATCAAACAAAAATAACCACTCTTGTGAGTTTATTCTTATTAACAATTGCAAAACTGAGCCGTTGTGTTCAGTGCGGGAAACGTTTCCTACTTTTTCGATTTCAAACATGGTATCTCATCGAGAGAGAGACCTGGCGCTCAATGACTCTCTGCCGGTTATTAGCCCATCTCGATAGGCGAGAAACCAGGGCCTCAGCGGGACGTCGGCAGACGTACTTTCTTCTGCATATGACCGTGTTTGGCGAACAACGACACAACAGAACTTGTCAACACGAGCAGATGCTTCTTGTCCATTTAGGGACTCTCCCAGCAAGCTGTCACCTCGGCTACGGTAATTTAGAGAGCCTTTATAGCATTTTTCGTTTTGAAAGTCCTAAAGATCTGATAGATTTTGCTTATTCATATTCTTTAAGGAAGAAGTTACGGTTTAAAAGCGATTTTGACAAATTTTCCCCGTTTAAGTTAAATCATAATAACTTTACATGAAAATGCAAACTTCAAGAGAAAGAGAAAAAACGATGAAACCTTTCAAAAAAAAAATCTCCACTAATTATTCTACACCATCTGGGTGAGCTTACGAAACGGTAAAGTGGCAGTATGGGGCCAAACATTGTACAAACAAGGCGAACAAGGCTTGACAGGTGTTGGACAGCCTGCATGCAAATAGACAAACGAGCTCGAGAAGGAAAGTCCATGAAGGAAGTTTTCAGAGGAGAAGCTCGGCCTAGTGGCGGCACCAAAGCGACCGACGAACGGCGCGGAGAAGCCGCCGAACAACGGTCGCGCTGTATCCGATTTCAAACTTGGACGGGTGTCGCCGCGTACAGCAAAAGGCCCACCGTCGTGTGTGGTGTGACCACTCCATTCACACCGGCACCTCTATCGATTTTCCGACCTTTCTGAGGACGTTTAGTTGCAGCTTTTCATTGGGAACGTCCAAAAGGAATATAAAGAAAGATTGGAGGTGCCTTTTATTTCAATGTAAAAGCGCGAAATGATCTGAATCACGCAGCTTACCGCTTCCTTTCCAAAACCTTTCTGTAAGGTTACCCTCTTTTCTCATGGAGAAGCAGCTGTACGTCGGAATTTTCAAAACTGGTCTACTTCTATCAAAAATGACGTACTGATTTACGCGCCTTTCTTGGATCAACCACAGTTTTGTGAACCGGCAAACAACTCTTCAATTATTCCATGATTCAGCAGAGAATCTTCTCAGAAAACTGAAAAAAATGTTTCAAATGCTTCAAAACGAAATCTGGTTCCTGTTCCAAAATACTTCAATACCATGTTTTTTCTCCTTTCCCTTTAGTTCCATCTCATCTCTATAAGAACGAAATCATAAATTTATAAAACGTAACAAAATCTCGACTTCTTCGAACTTTGAGAACAATTTTGTTAAGCCTATGATTAAGAAAAGCGTTTCATAATGGAAATCAAAAAAATAATTGAGAATCTAAAAGCAAGGCACTTCACTTAATGACTCGGCGCCACGTGTGAAGGCGGCGAAACTCAAAAAGAGCGCGAAAAAACACGAAAAGGTTAATTGCTCGGGTCTCTAGAACTCGCTGTGAGAGCCTGTGAACCGCTCGTTAATTAAAAAGTCGCTCAGTAAAAAATATCTTCCATTCACCTGGATTCCAGGATAAACAACTATCCGTTTTTACGGGCTTCTGGCAAATTGCGCAAATCGTCTAAACAAACTTTGCGCCGATGCCAAATCGATTGCGTGAGCACTCGATATGCAACAAAAAAAACGAAAGAAAAAGAAGAAAAATCTTCGATAACTCAAAAATTCAGAAAGAGATATGTTTGCCGGTCAAGAAAAGTGTTTTCGACAATTTGAAAACTTTTCAGGATTTCCACAAAGAAAAGTAGTGAGTTGACGAGTCAAAAAGTGAAAAAAATTGGTGACTTTCGAGTAATTAGAGTACAGTAATTCAAATTATCTAAAATTAAATGGGTAAACTGCTGAAGATTCCAAAGCTCAGTTTTCTTCGAGCAAACCGTCAAATTTTAACAAAAATAAAGAGAAAATGGGGACTAACTTATACGTAGAAGTTTAAACACAAAATGAACCTTAAGAGCAGTTTTTCCTTTACACTTGTGAAGAAGCAAAAACAAATCACTTACTTTTGAAATATTCCTCAATTAATAACTATATTTTTCAAAAAGTTAAAAAAAGCGCCATATTTTTTTAAGAAAAAAACATCATGGAACTCTACAATGAAGTCTTTTTACCTTCTTAAAATAGATAAAAAAAGAGAAGAATGAACAAAACTTGAAAATTTACAAAATTTTGAAAAACATTTTATCGAAAGTTCCAAAACAAAACATTCGTGATTTTTTGAAAAGTCCATTTTGAGCCGTATTAAAAAAGGGCTCTGAGTAGTTGAGACAATCAAAATTTCTTATTAGAAAAATGCAATTTCGATAAGAGAGGAAAACTTTCAGAAGAAAAGAAATTTCCGAAAATTAATTTGATGATAGACTTGAAGTGAAACCTGCTCTAACAAAATTCGATATTCAACAGTCAAAAAAGGAAACTTGCTCAGAATCTCCGAGTAAACAGTTTCCAGAAGCAGTCCGAAGATCAATTTTCCGATTATTCCAATTAGGCAGCATTTTGCGGTAAAAGAGCGATACCTGAGCATGAGGGAAGGCTCGGCGACGGCGCTCGAGTGCATTTGAATGGATATTCTTCGCAAACGCGCGGAGGGTGGGCGATATTGAATGACAAATTTGAAATCAAAGAAGCATCAATTTACAGGGACGACGAGGGGAAAAAGTTTCGTTTCTTTCAGGAGAGCTGACGGAAAAAAGTTATTTGATACGGCGTTAAGCGAGCCGCCGCCGCAGCGTGCACGAGCTCATTCCGCAAAATAACCATTTGCAACAGGTTGGAACGGACCTCTTGGTCGTCGACGGCGTGCTGGAGCATCGTCGGTCGCGTCGTTTCGGCTGCACCCGTGTGTCGTCGCAGCTACGCCCAGTCGGCGCTGCGTTTCTCTGCGTCTGACGCACTCTCCGTCCTACCGTACTCCTCAGGCTTTTCGAGTGCTTCAGCTTCGTGTTACTCCTTGCGCGGCCTCGAGACAGGTGCAGGCGACCGCCGTCTTCACCGTTCTTCTGATTATTCCATCTGAAGACCTTACCGCCATGAACGTCCTGGGCATTTTCTCTTGTTCCAAACACAACTTTACTGACGTTTTTATTTTTTTTTTAGAATCAGTTGTCCCAGACTATGCTGATCCATGAATAGAAATAAACAAATCAATCTTCAAACCAACCATTTTCCTTTCATTTTCTTTTCATGTAGATTCTTTTCAAATCGTTGAAGAACTTTTGCTTTTTCTCTGACCAGAAAAAAATAATACAGAGGTGAAATTAAAGAATTAAAAAAACTCACATATAAATTGAAACTCCTAAATGGTTTTATCTTGCGGCTAAGTTTCTTCTGATTTCGCTCCCTGAAGATTTCAAACATCTTTTTTTGCAGCATAATTTATTTAAAAAAAGTAGAAAAAAATGAGATTTAAAAAAAAGTGAAATTTTTTTGGGTAATCATATCTCTCAATTTTACAAAAAAAAAGATTTACACACATTAGAACATAAATAAAAGAAATTCTAAGAAATAACAATAAGATTTCGCAGGAAAAAAAAATTTTTTACCATGAAAAAAATTGAGAAAATGAAAAAAAGATAAAAAAATTATATATGAAAAACTTCTTAATACATTTTTTTAAAAATTGAAAAACGGTGGTAATTAAGCTTTAAAAAGTTTTATAAAATTAAAAAAATTATTTTTAAAAATAAATGGCGTAAAAATAGTGAGTTTTAAGTGCAGCAACGTGCTCACATAACAGTCCTACTGTAATTTCTAAAATTTCCACATGCATTTCAAAGTCCAAATTTGATTCTCAATTTTTTCAGCTCCTGAACGCATTGATCCACTCGTGTTTGGTTCATTTTCAACACGAAAAGATCTCACTTTCACTATCATTCTTTTTTTTTCATGACCTTTATGTGTCATCAGCATTTAGTTCATCCATTATCAACCCTTCTCTACTTTTCCATTTTTATTACCAGCAATTAGCGAACGATTGTTGTTCAGTTATTGTTTTGCCGGAGGCGTACGGCTGGGCCAAAAGCCGCGCTACAGTAGCCGCGCGTATCGGGTTTCCGTGGCGGCAGCCGTCGAATCGATGCTCGACGACGTCGACTCATTACGGCACGTCTCCTGTCTGTTTGTTCGACCCACACGCATCCATTAAAAGCTTGATGCACCAATTTCCTTTTGAGATTCCGAAAATTCGTAAGTCTTCCCTATCTTCTCTTAACTTGTTTTTTTTTAAATGAATTTTCAGAGAGATTTTAACAAAACTAATTTATCTGATGGAATGTTTTCGGCCGCTGGTCAATATTTTAGAGATCTTCTGAGTTCGCACTAATGCGTCTGTACAGGATGAGAGAACATGTTGTAAAAATGCATACAATTTGTCATACTTTATTTTTAACTCAATGAAATTGAGGTGATATCAGTTGTTGCGGTACATATATGATATATATTTGATACTTTCAGTATAAAAAGGCAGCGGTTATTGATTAGATCATAAGGGGTATTAATCAGACGGACGGAAGACACCAGCCGACGCCGTGGTCAATGCACGTTTTCCACATGCAATTCTGAACTTATTGGATTCGTTGCGCTGTTAAGGGAAAGGTACCATGTCGTCGGGAACACATCGTTCGTTGGGTTCGCAGCGTTGGCCGCAGCCCGTCTGAAGGCAGCATCTTCTGGAGAGATGCGTCGTTGGCGGAGAGGGAGGGGACGCTGCAAAAAATAGAAAACTGTTTTTTTGTTCATATTCAGTTGTTTCATTCAAAATATTAGAACCAATGCAAGCTTTGGTCTCCCACAAGTGGCTCTTTCATTTGCCTAATCGGGGCGGAGCTTCTGGCTAGTCGCCAGCTGGACTCTTAGCTCTTGTCAGCTCTGGCGCACTATTTCCGTCCGCGCGAACCCTCCATGTTTGTTTTCATATCGGATGACGTCACAGAAGGTGGTCTTTTCTGTAACTACTCGTGGCACCAACGTCGCAACTCAACAATTGAGGGCTTTTTCTGAACCCTTGATTCTTTGAACTTCGAAAAGCGGTACTCAATTGCTGAGGCTCGTTTCTAGCATGATCTGTTCAGTGCTAAAATTCCTGTTAGGCGACTATTATAGCCTGTGTACCACGACTTGTAATTTTACCAAACGATATTCCGCTGTTCCGCTGTGCGCATTTGCGATCCTTAGCCGCGCTTTTATTTTTCTTCTTTTATTAAGGTACTCTTCTTCCTGTGCTACCACAGCAATAAAAATCATTCGAAAGACGCTTCGCGAACGCACGCAGCGGAACAGCGGAATGTCGTTCGGTGAAATTCCAAGTCTTTGTACGCAGACTATGCGATTCCTGTTAGGTCAAGGCGACTATTACCAATGTGAAACAAGACGATAATATATTGTAAACGAACTTGGGATGCTGAAGGCCGTCTTTTTCAGTGTCTTTTTGCAGACGGAGGCGTATCCACTGGTGTAGCTGCACTGCCATTCGATCCAGGATCCTTCGGGTCGATTGAAGTCAAGCCACATCGACAAGCACATGTCCGTTCCGGTCGGCGCTTCTGGAAATGAGCCGAATGGAAAGAAGTACAGTTCCAAGTATACCCCTGAATCCTTCGGAAAAGCGAGTGATGGCACCGTCGTGCCATTCGTACGCCCCGGTTCGCGTCACACGGATTAGCCTTCCAAGCCAAAACGTTGGCGATGTCAGATTTGCCTTGCGTGCCAATTCTGGAGACGAGAGTTGATTCAAAAAGTCGAAGATCTTACCGAAGACGAACTGGTTCTCGACGTCGTCGTTGATGGAGGACAGTCGTCCGCCTTTGCTGAGACATTCTCTTTCGGCCTCGGCCCATCTCAGGTGGTTTGTCTGCACCATGAAGCAACTCTTCGACTTCTCCAGGCGAGACCAGCCTCGGCCGCAATCTTTCAATGAAGCGATATTAAAGAAAAAGGAATTAACAAATAAACACACCGTTCTTATCAGCCACAATCCTGCCAAAAAATGAAAAAAACACCAAAATCGAGGCGCTGAAACCGAAGGCACCGTGCATTTCTTCGTGTCGTTTATGCTTTTTGGAGCTCGCTTCGAACACACCCATCCTCAGTGTTTATCGCTTGACGCACGTGAAAAAAAGTCCGAATTATATAAACTTTCCATCGAGTCCTCTTTTTTTGCTCCCATCTGCGAACCGCCCATTTTGCAACAACGAAGTACACAACGGATTCGAAAAAAAAACTCCCATTGATTTTAGGACTTTTACATAAAAATTTTAGGTGAAGTTGCCTTTTTTCTTTTCAGGATCAAGTAACCGGCGAGTAACTCCAAGTTGACAACTTTTTAGGAAATTTTTACAGAAGTTTAAAGTTTTCAACAAGTTGAGACGTATGAAAATTTTCGAAGTTAAAGGACTTTTGTAATTTTTTAAAACTGGTTCTCCAACGGGAGGGTACCATAATGTGCCCACAAGTATACCTATCAAAATGGATCGTGGATATTCCATAATATGCCCATCATGAGACCTCCAGCATACCTTTTAGCTATATTATATATATGAGCTATATCGGAGGTCCTTGAGCGTCTCCCTCAAGTCTTCTTAAGAAGAGCAATTGCTCGAAGTCCCCAGAGGTTTACTCGTGGTACCATTGTTAAACTTCAGACCCTTCGAAAAACCATTTTCATTCTTTTCTCAATAACACAGCGTTCTTTTTACGACGTCAGGCCCGCAATTTTCGTAATATATGACGCCTTTGGTGCATACACAGAACGGCGCAAATTTCCATACTCATTTGATTCGAAAACACATTTCTAATGCGCAGAACGCCGTGATAAGTCAAATCTCTTCGATATTGCGTCGTCCCTTCATTTTTCGGAAAAAAAAAACATTGATTTTTCATTTATTACTTGAAATCGGGAAAATAACAAAAAAAAATTGCTGAGAACAAAAAAAGACGTTAATTTACAAAGAAAAATGAACGAGGATTGGATGATTAAGGCGGTTATGAACAAAAATACATGAATCAAAAAAAAATATAAGAACAAGGCACTGTAAAATGTATAAGTAAGATCTTCAAAATCACACGGGAAAACTGTAAAAATTAGACAAAATTGCGTCGTTCGTCGCCGTACGGATATTGGTCTCCCATCGTCGGTGCGCCATGTTTGTTATCCTGGAAATAGTAACCACGACTTCAATCGAAGAAAGATCCAGCTCACTTTGGGCAGTTCACCCACAGGCTGCCATTTTTCGCGGTTTTCCTCGGCGTTCGCCATTTTCTCGTAGTGACACAGGTGCCTGCAAAAATCGATTTTCTGTTTTCTAAGAAACTATCGCACGTACTTGTAAAGGCTGTAGACGATGTAAATGAAGAAAATCTCGAGGATCGCGACGAGGAGATAGATGATGATTATCATTATTCCCATGATGAATGTTGCTTAAAGTTGTTTTTTAACTTCAAAGAAATAAAGGAGAACGAACCATCATCGCTCATGTAGTAGTTACTAACGCCGAGCAGGTTTCTAATACCGCCGTAGGCGCCAAAAAGAAGCAAAATAGTGACAATGAGAGCAATCAAGATCAAAAATATCACCAGAAAGATCTGCAATGAAATTTTGAATTTTTCAAAGTAAAAAAGGACTTCCTGGGAAAAATTTTAGTGGCCATTATAGGGTTTTGACGTTTTAATGGCCACTATAGTAGTAAACCTAGTGGCCACTTAAGGGGTTAGAAGTTAGTGGTCACTATAGAGGTTAATTGCTACTACTAGACCACTAAAAAATTTTAGTGGCCACTTTAGGGGTCAATGGATCAACAAAACTCCTGTTTGAGAAAATTTTTTAGTGGCCAGTATAGAGGTCTAAGTGCTACTACTAGACCCCTAAAAATTTTAGTGGCCATTTTAGGGGTCAATGGATCAACATTACTGGTCCAATCTGTTTGTTTCAAAATTATCAGAGAACTGGAAGGAATACTAGATGAGAAACTACTGAAGTGGCCACTAAATAGAGATACTCTATAGCGGCCACTAAAACGGAAAATAGTGGCTTTTTATAGAGGTGGGTTTAGTGGCCACTTAAGAGTCCTCTCCAAGTAGTCCTTGGCGAGCCTCCATAGTGGTCACTAAACATTTTTCCCGTCATTAAAAAATTTGGTTGTTGCGAGAACTTCGCTGTGAATCACCTGAGCTGAGAGGTGAGGTATTAAGAATCGTGCTTTTTCACTCTTGATGGCGTAGATGAGTAGAAGAATGGCCAGGAGGATCACGAAAACCGATATGATTCCTGCAAAGACTTCGTTGCGAAACTTGTGACACATTGAATTTAGAACGTCCAAGACAAACCGACAATGAACCAGAAGAAGTAACTGGACCCGAAAAGGTGGAAATTTCGACAAAGACCGTAGACGGCGATTGCACATAGTATGACTTCTACGATCGCCACGACAAACCCGGCGATCTAAGATTTTACTTTTTTTGAATATCTGATTTTGGATGAACGAAAAAAACCTTGAGATTGGCGCAGGGAATGCCCGACCGCGCCATTTTTCACTCTCCAATCCTAAATAAACCTAAAAAAAAAAAGATATATAAGGGAAACAACATAAGAAAGCACTATTAATAGTTTTAAACCTTCTCAAACATGTATCAAAGGAACGAAAAACGCAAAACGACAACAAAAAGAAGACGCAGCTGCTGGGAAATTGCACAACGAGAGAAGAGAAAAAACTCACATGTGGTTGCCATCAGCAAAATATATATAAGAAAGGAAAGCAAACAGCAATAAGACATATCAAAATTGAGTAAAGCCAGAAAAAAAACGGAGAATTTTCGAAGCTATTACGCTTGATTTCTGAATAAATGAATTTTTGTTGCTCACTGAGCCCATATTTGGCCTTTCACATCGATAATCTCAGAAGCAAACTGAAAAAGAACGAGTTGAAGAGAAAGAAAAGTTGAAAAAGGGTATATTTGTTTAGGCCCCAGAAATAACTTGGCATCCTTGCACAAGTTGAAACAATCTCATGGTGGCAAGGAAAGCTTTAGAAGGGAAATTTGAGTAATTATGAATAAAAACTCAAGATCTCTTGTCGTAAAAGAGGTCTTGGAAATGTGCGTCCGATCTTGAGTAGATTCTGAAGGAAAATATGAATAAGCTAGATGATCAACAACTAAAGGGGAAGTGATGAAAAAATGAACAGAATTTTTCATACCAAGGGGTTTTTCGTGAACTTCATTACCTTATCGATAAGGTAATGAAATTCACGAAGAAGGCTTTTAGTGTGTCTTTCATAATTTTCTAATAAAGCGATTCATGAATTCTTTGTTGATATACAAATTTGGACAATTTTGAGTAAGACTTCTCAAAAGCTTGGAAAGTTTTCGTATTATTTTTCGAAGAGCTCCTTACTCAAATACCAGAAACTTATGTATTTTCCAACTTCCAAAATATTCTTTAAGTTATTTGATAACGTCATGAGTCCATTTTCAAAAAATTCTCACAAGGAAGGTCATTTTTCTTTGCTTATCATCAGAATTAAGCAGAACACTTCTTGACGTACTAAAAGACGATACTGAAACTTCCTAGTTTTCGAGAAACAAGGACTCAAAGCCAACAAAGGATTGTTTTAAAGGATTTTGTTTTCTTTGACTTTGAGGTGTCTTCTTTTCAAAAATAGCAAGCTGTGAAAATTGAGACTTACTGCTTCTTCATCTAGTAAGGAGTGTTCTGGCCAAAGCCATAAGATGAAATGAGGTTCCTTGTTAAATTAACTGAAAAGTTCATGAGACAAACAGTTCCCCTTAAGGAAACAACAATAGACACCTGGATTTTCGAGTTGAGATCAGAAAAAGGACGAGAAAAATAAAAGGAATGATCGATAAGAAGGTACGTAGGTGTTTGGCGCCCATGAAGGCCTCCGGGTGTAACACGCGGGACGAGAAGCCGCCGGAGCCTCAACAATTGTGCCGCCGTTTCCCGAGAATCCTCGGCTCGTACACTTTTCCCGCCACTCGTCGTGTCGCCGAACGACGACATGAACTTTCGGCGACCACGGATAAATAAATAGATTGGAGCTATGAACGGCCTCATGTCAAAGGTGTTGTACTTTGAAAAAATCAAGTTTGATTGTGATAAATAGTTCATTTATTCCTTAAGGTGAGATTGTGGAGAATCACTTCAAGTGTTGTAAGTCTGGAAAATCAGAAATTTTCAAGAAAAAACACGAAACTTAAATGTATTAGATGCATACTAGAGTTCTCAAAATGACCAATTGAAAAAAATGACATTTCTCAAAAACGAAAAATTTTCTTTTTGACATTTCAAACGAATGTCGTTTTTGAAAGATCAACCAAAATTGATCACTTTCATTCTTTTTCATTTTGTGACTTTTTCAAATAATGACTGAAAAAAATGAATGGTCATTTTTCTAAACAATCATATTCTGACTAGTAAATAAATGTTCGTCCTAATGACCAAATTTTTTTGAAAGTGAAAAAGTAAATGGTCACTTTTTTTGACCAAAAATTTTTCGAAACGAATTTTTAAATGTTTACTTTTTGACCAAAATTTCCGAAGTGAACTTTAAATGTTCATTTTTTTGACCAAAATTTTCAAAACGAATTTTTAAATGTTTACTTTTTTTCGTAGAAAAAAATTTTTCAACTGTGAAAAATTAAATGTTCATTTTTTTGGCCGATAATTTTTCCGAACCTGGATTTTTCCGAACCAAAAATCCAAATCTATACTTTTTCCTTTTTTTCCTCATTCAATTAATTCTCCAGATAGAACCTTTCTTCCGGTCTGCTCATTTTTTTAACCGGTTTCATATAATTTTTTTCTCGTCCTTAACCGGCTTTTTAGCTTTGCCCTTGACCATCCAGATCACTTCTGTTTTCCAACAGATTTATTAATTTTAACCAGAAATTAGTTTGAATTTCGAAGTAATCGATTCATGATTTCATTTGGAGAAGACTGAGATAGAATTGACTCCGACACAGATACTGCCAAGAGCCGTAGAAGTAATGAATTAATTAATGAATAAATGTTTACCTTTTTGAAAAAAATTTTCAAAAAGTGAAATTTGAATGGTCACTATTTTGACCAAAATTTCTAAAATGAACTTTAAATGTTCATTTTTTTGACCAAAATTTTCAAAATGAATTTTAAATGTTTACTTTTTTGACCAAAAATTTCAAAATGAAATTTAAATGTTCATTTTTTTAACCAAAATTTTTTTCGAAAAATAAGTAATTGTTCATTTTTTTTAAATGCTCAGTTATGAAATTTAACCAAAATGAAGTTTTTAACAAACGGTTCATGTGAAATTTAACTAATTGGTCGAATTCATCAAACGTTCGGAAAATGTTTGGTTGAACGTTCGTTCAAACATTTACTTTTGAGAACTCTAATGCATACCCTGTGTCTCAAACTGCAAAAAATTATCTTTTCCGAGATTATTTTCCTGAAAGTTCCTGTAATCTTTAACAGGGCCCTAGAAAATGAACTTAAAACCTACATTTCTCAAAGACTAAGAAGTTTTGCAGGTTCATACTTTCAAGAAATTAATCTAAGCGTGTTTTGAACAAGCTTTGGAAATTTCTGAAGTCTCGAGAAAGATGACCTTCCTTATAATGTCAAGCGGATCATTAAAGAACAAAAGATTTTGTTTCGATTCTATTTTCAGTCTTGAGGGTCCTTCTGACTTTGATAACTGAAACTTTTTAAAGATCAATCGAATGAATTATACGAGTCTTTCTGGATGATATGTTGTCGTGGACGAGATAGGCAAAGTCGGAAAGGCTGAAAAAAGGCTTCCTAGAAATGTTCCTTGTAGGGTGACGAAGGCTCCTTTTTTGCTGTCTTTTTGCGCCATTTCAACGGCTCTTATGAACCATTTTTGCTGTCTCTCCTTTTTCCACCATTTTGTGAGCCTTTAAAATTCTATTAAAAAAATGGAAGGCTCGATAAAGGGACTTATTTTGCTGCCTTTTTTGAACCTCTCTCTCTCTTAGGGGCCATTATCAACCATTCCGGCTTTGTCCGAGACAGCGAACCTGCCTTGAGATGTAAAATAATGATAGCTTTTCTGAAAATCTTACTTCACGTCAGCTGTGAATCCGTTTTTCATTGGTGTAAATTTTTTTATTGAGTTCGCATCTGACTTTTCAAAGGTCTGGAACATTCGGCAGCCTTTTAAAAAAGGACCAAAGTTTTCTTTTTCTTAATTTTTTTCCAATCAGTCTCAGGTTCAGGCAAATTTCTCAATACATTTATTAATTAAAAATTGAAAAAAAAAGTCAAGGAGCGTCAGCGGGTCGGGGCGGAACGGGGTCGCCTGCATCGGAGTAGAAGGCGTGGTTGTCCAGCTCATGTTTCCGCGCCTTGGCCGCTACAGAATCCGCGTGGTCCTTTAATTTGTCTGGGCTGTTCCGAAGAAAAAGTGATAAGGAACCTTGGCTTTGTTGATGTCCACCTCCAGCTCCTCGATCTGCATCCGACGACTCTTGTGGGTGGCGCAGTAGAAACCGAGCAAGAAGAAGAGTGTGAGGAACTCGATGACCGAGATAATGCTCATGCCCAAGAAGAGACCGACCTGACCTCCAATGTCCGAGATGAAGTTGACGAGCTGAAGAAAATTATTTTTTCAAATTTTCGCTATATGTCAAACTGTATAAGCAGGAGATTCGGTCAAGACTTGATAGTTCATTCGTTCGTAGTAAATTTCAATAAGGAGCGTGTTTTTCTGGTACCTGAAAAATTTTTCTTTTATGATTTTCGATTTTTTTGAAATTTTTCAACTATATATCGGTAACGACTTGAAAAATAGTTGAATTTAAATTTTTTTAATATAATAAAATTTTGTAAACTTGACTCTCGAGGTATTTTGGTTCAAAATCCATAATTTATGGACCATAAATAAATGCTGATATTTTTAAAAAAACAGCACCAGATAAAAATTTTTGCAAGTTTATGAACTTCCCCAATTTTAAATCGATTCACTTTAATCTAAAGAAAAAAACCAAGAAATGCAGGTGTCTTCAGTTTCCAGCCAAGGTTTCGAGGTGTTCGCCGCGGGTCCACATTCAGTGGGCTGAAAAAGTATTTTCAATAAATTTTCAGGCCAAATGTACAGTGTATCCAGTTGCGGGCCAGAGAGCAGTGGAAACGGTGACGCTGTACGAGTCGACGCTAGAAAAAGTTTTCCGTACAGGAAAAAGAAAAGAAGCAAACTTGCACGGCTGTGGACAGTTGCACTCGCTGATTATGTTGAAGACAGACGTGTCCGGATTGTTAATCTCATCGATGCAGGCCACTGAAATAGAGAAAGACAATCAATTTCTCCGACTCCTCCAACAGTTCGTCGAGGGATCGCCGTAAGTGTCGCAAGAAGCCGTCGAGTTTTCGGCGTGGGAATAGGCCGGATCGTAGCAACCACACTCCGTCACAATCTTCTCTTGCATGCAGCTTCGGAAGCATGCTTCTACCTGGAAAATGCGACCTGTTTGACTTGAAAAAAGACACAGATCGCAGACTTGGAGATTGAAAGCTTACAGTTTGGTATTTTTTGAAGTAATTTTTTTTTCGCGTTGTTTATAGTCTTTTTAATGATTTTTTAAAGGAACATAGGCTTAATTCAGAATCTTCTACAGCTTACGGCGTTTCTAAAGCTACGCCCCGCCCACAAAAAAATGTCGTAAAATATGATGTTTCTTGTGCATTTTCCGCCGACGTAAATTAACATACTGTCGACATTTTTTTATTAATTTTAAAGGGACAAAACGCTTTTTTTGAAGCTTAAAAAAAGTGAAAAAAAGTGAAAAAAATTGCTCATTTATCTTTAAAAACAAGAAATACTAAAAAAAATAAATTTCAAATGTTTCAAAAATTTTTTTACTGCTATTAGAAGCAATGAGTAAGGATGACAACCAGTCAGAAAAAAATAAATTGAAACAGTTTTGAACGAGGAAAAACTGCATTCACAATAATTTTGACAAATTTTATTTTTTTGAAAACTAAGTTGAAAAAAATCTTTTTCGCATCATTTTTCTTGCATAGAAATCATATCAAAACATCTGGTTGAAATAATTAGTATTGAAATTAATGATATTTTTATCGAATAATGTTTTTTTCTGAAACTGACAGTGTAGTTGCCTGTGTAATGAGTGGTGGTGAGGGTTTTCTGCGTGGTACAAGTGCCGTAGGGCTTGCCTAGTCGCGACGTTGAGACGTAATTCACACCTAAACAGCTTGAGCTTTAGGTTTCCGTTTGGTATAAGACTTGATCAACTCACCCAAGGATGAGGCTGTGCCCGGAGGAGCGAAATATCCAAAGACGTCAGGATAAGGAACTTCGTCTTGGGTGTGAATCACCATGATGACTCCAGAAGTCTCGGTCCAAGGCAGGTAGTCGGCCTGGTCGGTGCGCAGGACCATCCGGAGACCGTAAAGAGGCCCGGCGCGCGATGAGATAAACTCGCCTCCGAAGTTGAACTGCTGACACGTTCCGTATGTTGGGTTGTAGAAAGAGATGAAGTTTCTGGAAGAAGATGAACAAATTAATAAACATCACAGAAATTTGTACGTTTCATTGCATGTTTTGGCGTTGTAGGTGCAGCTGACAACCATATCCGAATAGGAATATGAAATAGGTAGGCCCTGCAAATGAGCATTTTTGAGAAACTGGAGAGTCGGTCGGACCAACACTTTCGACACTCTGATGAAGACGTTCCGAGTAGAGCAGGGCCCAGAGAGCCGCGCGTTTTTGTCGCTCGCTGTCCAGCCGCGCACCCCATCCAAACTCTGTCGAAGCGCCGTTCGTGTTGTAGGCTGAGATCTGGAAATTCGCCAGAAAGACCAATGAAGGATCTAAAATTGAACAATAGGAAAATTATGGTGCATCTCTTCGATTCTTTGTACAGTCTGTGTACCGAAATGAGAACCAATTCAAAGCGAGACCGAGGCTCGCAAAGACGCTTCGCGACGCAGCGCAACAGCGGAATGTCGTTCGGTGAAATTTCAAGTCATGGCACAAAACTATATATGGAGATTCGTGAGCAAGTTATTTTACTAGAATCTTTGAGAGTTTGTAAGAGGACTTTTGGATAACTCGAACGGATTCTGAAGTTCTCAACTCGCTCACTAAATCTCCAAAAAGAGCAATTTCAAAAGTTGCATGGTCGTTCTCTAGTACACTCCGAGGTGTTCCAACTTTCCGGTTATTATTGTTATTTTCGATAGAATCCTAGTTTGAATGTCATTCGCTATTGGAAAATGTTTCAAGTTTCATGTTCAGAAATTTTATCACTGACGATTATTTTCAGCTTCAACGAGCTCCCACAGTCAGCGTTTTTTTTACTACACGGAAGCGAAAAATATAAAAATTAACGTCAACATCTAGTTTTTTTCCTTTGAAGTAAACTTTTGGTTTGGCCTCGACACCTTTCGAACAGTTGCAGCAGCGTGGGAACTCTATCAATTAGACTAGTCAACAAAATTTTCCCAAGAAGAATGTACTTTCAACCATCTTTTCCGAGAAAAACGTACTCCCCAAACTGTTGCTCATGATAACCAAAACACAAAGAGCTGACTGACTAAGAAAAAAAAGTCCGTTTATTTTTGGTTTTATATGGACGATAATATGGTCTCCGCGTGCCGTTCACTCATGCATGGACATGGGTTTCCGGCCTCCGGGTATACACATCATAAAATAATCATTCTTTCACTTCACACCAGCTTGGAAAAAGAGCAATTATGCTTCGCATTCAAGTGGACCAACGACTATTTCCTCCTTTCTGTTTTTCCTTCTAGATGTCCTACTTGTTCCTCACTTAAGTTTGTAAAAAGTTCGTTTTTGCTATTAGATGGATTTGGAAGCCCTGGGGCGATGCTTAACAGTGAAGGACAAAATGGCACAGAGCGGTCAAACAGATCCAAGTCGTAACGAGTGCTCCATAAATCTCTTCCTCGAAGTCCAAAAGGTCAAAAAATTTTCTAAAGTAAAAAGAGGGATTCATTTTACTTCTTTTTCTCCTGTTGTAAATAACGTTTTGGTAATAAATCTCTCAGACTTGCTCTTCAGCCCAAATTTTTTTGTTTCAAGAAACACCCATAAATGATTTTTTTCATTCCTGAGAAATCTATCAAAAGAAAAGTTTTGAGGAAAAAGGTACCCACCAAACGAGCCATTTTTGGATCCATGGCTTGGGTTTCCTTTGCTTTCCACGCATTCAAATGACAAATCGTCACCACTGGGAACGTCCGCTCAGCGAATTGTAACTGGAAACATTTCCTGAGAAGTTTAGTGAGAATTACGTCTCTTGAGATGTGAAAAGAATCGCAAATTAGGCAGGAACTAATTTATAAAATGGTATACCCCGCTTACTTCCTGTCCTGGTGGGAAGGATAAAAGAAAGGAAATTAAATATAATCTGATTTTCCGGACAACTTTTTCAGATTTTTATGCAGCAGCCTATGCATTTTTGAGAAGAGAATAGTGCAAATTATATGATGCACTTACGACTGTTTCCGTGTTGACGCTGAAAGACAAGTACTTCTGCAAAAGGATGATGAACTGCCAGAGGAACGCCGCCAGAGAACCCACGACCACAACAATCCAAAAAAGTCTGTAAAATTGAGGATAAGTCACGCTGATAAGATTTTTTTTTTTTTTAAAAGCAAATAGAGAACTGAAAACAAATGTTTTAAATTTAAAATAATTTAGCCTACCAAAACTTTTATTTCGATCCTAATTTAGTTTTGAAAAAAAGAGAAAAAAAAGTCAAGAAATTTATTCAAAAAGTTTTTGAATTCCCGCGCATTCTGCGTACTAGGCGCAAAGTTGCTCCATAGACAAAGTCGATATTTCCTTTCATTTCTCAGAATTAAAAAGTTTCCTGTTATTCTCTCCGTTGTTTCACCGAATATTTTTTTGTCTTTTTTTCTTTTTATTTACTTAGCTCTTCGTCAGAAAAAATTTAAAGAGCAACCTGAAATTTTTCCTCCACATTCGGAAGGGCTTTCAAAATTTTTCTTGATTAAATCTTCATGCACCTTTAATCTTGGATCAAAAACTAGTACCTCAGCCAACGGTTGTTGGCCATACCGATGTGAGGAACACCATGCGTCGAAGTCCAGCAGGAGAAATCTCTGAATACGTACTTGAGGCCCGTCCAAAACACACCCATTCCTTAAAAATCGTGTTTTATACATTGCTCCTGTAGCTGATCACGAAGCTTAAGCACGATTTATTAATTGAGATGATCATTTTGGGACTGATTTCTTGTAGGTTCTTTTTTTTTTAAACTTCGTATTTATGTTATTTATTGTAGATGTTTGCGCATACTATATAAATGTCTGTTTTTAGTCTATTTTTTAATCAAATACCTCTGTTTTTTTGTCTGTCAAACTCGTTCAGAAACTCTCAAAACAGCCTAACAAAGTTTTCGATCTTTTAAGAGATTACTTTGAAGTCCTTCAATTAAAATCATGTGTTTTTAAAAAAGCAGGTGTATAATTCGAGAATCTTCGGTCTTCACCGGAAGTGTTCGTCCAAAAGAATTTTTTATCGCCTGTGAGTTAGAAGCTATTCTCTGTCTCCTTTTACAGAAAAGCAAAGAAAAAGCGGAAAATGGCAACATTCCCATGCGAATTTTGATCCAAAAGAATCCCTTTGCAGCTCATTAAGCGGCACAGAAATGCGAGAAAAATTCCGGCTCGCCTATTCTAGTAATTTCCTATTTCTTTTTCATTGAAGTTAGTCGCAGACCACCTTTTTCCTACTTGCTATTATCTGAGAAAGGTCTAGGGAGCTAAAATTGCAAAATCTCGTTTGACTTTCAAAAACCATTGGTGTTTCGATAATAGTAATTTTACTCCAATTTTTTTTTCGGACCTTCAAACTTTCAGAAACTCTCTAAGAAGCCACTTATTGAACGTCTAGAAAATTTTCTATATTTTTTGATTTCCACAGAAAATTTAAGCATCTTTGTAAATCAAAAAGTATAAATTTGTTAGTTTCACAACCACAAGATCCGAGTTAACAAGGGGCATTACCCTCCCTCTTTTAATTGTTTATCTTATTTAAAAGTGACAATCAAATCCGAAAACATTCCATTTTTGAACAACAAAGCACATGATCGTGAAACATGTGGCTTCCTTTTTTTTCTCGTTTTCCATCTTAAGAACTCTGTTCAAAAACAGCTATGATGCTTTTCCTGAGTCATTGTGCCGCCTTTCAGATGTAGCGAAACAGTAGGAAGTTTTTTCCGAGATTGGAGCCAAGGTTTTCTAGTCGAGACACAAGCCCCGCCCATTCCCATTGTTCTTTCGCTGCGAGTTGTGTTTCGAAACGCGATAACCCATCATATCAAGTGCTCAGGCTCCGCCCCATAGCTCCCGCTGTTCGGTTTGGACCTCGAGAGTCGCCAGATTATTCCTCGCAGAGCTGCTGACTTCAGATGCGCGCCTTCAGCTTCTACCTGTTCCTGTGCACCCTCCTCGCACTCTGCACACTCTCCTTACAGAGAAAAGGTAAGTCCTGGGAGCGGTTATAGTCTTTAGAAAACTTGTAGTTCAGTCTAGATTCTGAGGTGCGAAAAATCGGAAATATGGTTTTTAATTTTTTGAACATAATTCAAGTCCGACTTGTTCTGCTTCACAATTGAAATACGAAACGTCGAAAAAATGTATTTTTAAAAAATTCCCCACTAGTGAACTCCATTCATTGCGTAATATGAAAATGACCAGCGTTTTGTTTATTTTTTCCGTTGAAGAGCATAGTTTACAGCAGAAAACTTTCTCTTTTAGAGGCTGCAGAAAATTTCCTAAGTAGCTACTACGTAGTTACCCTACATTCTACTTCTGAAGCAGATCTTCTACAAACTAAGGAATATTCTCATTTATTTTCAAAAATCCTTCACGACTTTTCTAGCTCAAGAATCTTTCCTTTACTTCCATAATGTGCCTTTGAAAAGTGTCCTCTTTTTATCGGATTTCAAATCTTATGCAAAGTATCGAATTTCAAGTGGCTCTCTTGGCAGCTCTGAATCCTTAAAATATAATCTTATTCTATTTCGAAAAAAGATCAACTATTTCAGAAACCAAACATCTAAAGTATCAGAAAACTCGACTGCTATTCTTTTCACTGATCAATTTAGAATAAATTTTGCAAAAATGACTATTTTTGGATGATTTGTTGTTCAAATTGAAGACTTTTTCAATTAAAAAAATTAACTCTGTAATCACTGTTTATTCCTCGTGATGTTTTTTTATTATTCTAGACACGTTAATTTCTATGAAAAAAATGCGTGAGCAAGTGATCGAAGTCTTGCTAATCATCACAAGTTTTCCACTTAAATTATTTAAAAAAATCCAAATTTTCTATTCTAGACATTTTAGGAAAATTAAAATCAGGCTAGCCATTGCATTATGAGATTTTTAAATGGAGAAGCGAAAGGATCGTGACTTTTTTCGGGCATTAATAATAATTATGATCCTGGAACCTCACATTTCAATCATTTGACACGTTATTTGGGACATCAAAAGTGCGAAAACAAGGATTCTTGTTGTTTTCTTTTTCGACCTCTGCAAATTAAAAAGGCGCCGGGATTAAAAAAGAAGTAATGGCTTTTTTTTTTCTCATCTTCAAGAAATTGTACGTCTGAAAAGAATTTGAAAAGGAAGTAGAATTTATTTTTCGAAATGTAACAAATTGGTTCGAAATTTACGGCTTTTCGTTCACGGAAAATGAAAATCTGGAGGCGGTAAGTAATGACCAAAGTTGGACCACCGAATTGAGCCCACTTTGAGGAAGGGACTTTGAATAGAAACTTTAAAAAATTTTTTGAGAATGCAATTTTTCTTAGTGAAGCTATTGAGACACTGGGGCGATAAATGCCCTTTTTCGGATTAATTTCTGATTTAAACTCCTAAGTTGCCTTTAAAGCCTGCGAAAAAAGTTTTGGTGACTTGAAAAAAAGTCAAAGGGTTTCACAAGAGCTTTTCACGACCTGATACAAGTTTCCTTGGCAATTTTTGAAATGAACGTGAAAAAAATGAATTTAGTGCGGACTTTTTTTATTGCTATGGCCATTATGTAGGAAAAATACCTTCATATTCATTTTTCAAGTTGAAAAGTGTCGAAAACCTTTCTCGCTAAAAGTAGAACGATGTTTTTTTCTCGTAGAAAATCAAAGAAGCCTTGGTTTAATTTTTCTTGAGCCAAATTAGTCATTCAGGCTCCAGACGCAATATAAAACGAAAACGGATTTTTCATTTAGCTTTCCTTTTTCTTCAGACATAAATGTCGACCTAGAAGAAAACGATGTCGAATAAAAAAAAGTGATACAAAACGAGATCGCGTGACTCTTTTTCCGAACAAAGAGACGTTTCCAAAGACAACTGCATATCCTTTTCTGTTCGAAAAGGGTACCGTTGTCCCTTTTTTTTTCTAAAATGTGATGAAATCTTCTTTATGGACCTCTCCGCTTCAAACTGAAAATCGTGTAACGAAAATAGCCTAGGGGGACGAGAAGAAAAAGTGTATAATTGTTTTTTTCAATTTTTACGACCACTTTTACGACCTCGGTAGTTGTCTTGGACACGCACGTTTCCAATCTTGAAAACCAAAAAGAGTTGTTATAAATGTGAAAAAAAGATGGAAAAGCGAATTGAGGAAGGTTAGGCAGACCTTTTTTGAGAAGAAGCTTTTAGGTGGTTCTTGGCAACCGTCCACAACTTATTCACGACCCCTTTGTCCCTTTTTCGGTTTATGTTCTTTTGAGCAACTGAAAACGACATTCAAAACTGAAAAAAGTGACATGTAACTCGACGTAAAAGTTTTAAATGGAACCGAAATATTTATTAAACTTCTCCAGGCGGAGCTGTTTTCTAATTACGCTGTCTGCGCTTTCAAAAGGCTCAGGAAGGGTTTCCGGAATCTCGTTGAAGGATTTTTTTTATCAATCAACCTCTAAAAAACCTTGATACTTAAGTAGCTAACAAAAATTGCGAGACAAAAGTTCTAATGAAGAAAAATTCTTAACGGTTCCTGTTAGCCTCATATTCAAAAAAAAAAAATTATATCTCCTTTCAAAAAGCTTTTAAGATGGACGTATGAAGATGTGTCCGCCCGGAGGAAGTTCCTTCACGATGGCCTGGTCGATGACCTGTTCCATGCGACGCCGAAAAAGAGAAATTCGCGGTAAATCCGGTTCTCTTATTCATAATTACTGTCAGAAAAGATAAATCTTGAACTCATTTCACCCTGAAAAATCCTAAAATGAAGCAAGAAGTTTAGCAAAGCGTGCGCTAGTGGTGCCGTCGATCCGACAGCTGCAGACGATCTGCTGCCAGGTCGGCTGCAACGTCAACGACCTGCTCCCGTTCTGCGGTCCTCTCTAGAAGCTCGAGTCGCACGATTCCACGGGAGTTGGCCGGGAAGGCCACGTCATTCACAGAAGCACCGTTCAGCCGCACCTCCTCGATAAATCTTTCGTTGCCGACGTTCTCACCAATCTTTTCTTGCCCTTCCACACTCATCTCTTCGACGATAAAGATTTATCTGTTGTGTTTTTGGATAATTATGCAATATATATATAAAGTCAAGAATAGTCCGTTCGCGACTTGGCGGAACTTCTCTGCGCCCTCCTTTTCTCTCGACGTCTCTCATGTTAACGTGCTCCTTCCATGTTTCTCTGACCTCGCCGATGAGGGAACAGAGAGACGCAGACAAGCGAAAACTATCAAGTCGCGGCGGACGGATTATACAAGTGTACAAGTTCGATTTAACAGAGTGGACCCGCAATGGAATGAGATTCAAGTGGAGATGAGTTGGATGGCTTCAACTAAGGATGTCTTCTTTTGAGAGGAAAACGCTCGGTTCCTGATCGTACAACTGAAACCAAGGATCTTAGATATCGAAAATTTGAATCGGAAGACCACCTGAAGAAGCCCGCTATGCGGTGAGGATTCGAGGTCTGCCGTCAAAGATCTGAGTTCCAAAAAGTCAAACGACTGTCGCGCGATTTCATTATATTTCGAAGACTTGCCCCCTCGTTTCTCTTCGAGTTCTGTGAAAAAGGAACGAAAATTCATGTTTCAATTGCTGGCAACATACTGCCAAGCACAATGTTGCTCCAGTAGACGACGAAATGATCCAAGCCTTTTTGACTCCATTCGCCGGTTGGCTTGATCACCTCAAGGAAACTATTTTTAAAAAAAAGTCTTGATGATGAGAATCGAGTTGCGATAATCAGGTCGTTCCACTTTGGAAAACCGAAGATTTTCAAAAGAATTGATTTTTTTAAATGAAACATACAAATTAAAAAAAATCGCAACTCGATTTTTTTGTACATAAACAATTTCAAATTATCAAAAAAATCAAAGAAGTTGTGAAAAAGTGTACGTTGTGCAGATTCAAATTTCAATTCATTTTTTTCCAAGTTTTTTTGAAATTTTTATTTTGAAAAGCATTCTTCAAAAAATTAAATCTTTCAGAAAAAGTATACCTTCGAATTGGTTAACGTAAAGTAAAATTTTAAAAAAAAGTATAATGATCGACTTAGTGGCCACTTAAGTGGCTAAAGATTAGACCTCTTTAGAAGTCTAAGAGATACTATTAGACAATTCAAACTATTATAGTGGACACTAATTCACAAAATAGTGGCGTCTCTAGAGGTGATTTTAGTGGCCACTTTATTGTCCTCTCCAAGTAGTCCTTGGGGAGCCTCTGTAGTGGCCACTCAAAGTCTTCCCGAGACTATCATTTTGACAGACTAATTTTGGAAAAACGAAAAATTTTGACTAAAAAAAGTAAAGTTCAAAAAAATTTACTTCCTCTGTTCAAATATTAATTTCCTTCGTTGTCTTATCATTAACAATGAACTAACTTTTTCTGTTTTTTTCTTCTGGAGTAAAGGTTGCCTCGACCTTGAGTTATTTCTCTTTGTCCTTTGAGTTTTCAGACGTTTTTTTAAATATCAACATATCCAGGGAAAATGGTGAAAACTAAAGTTACTGATTTAAAAGAAAAACTTTCTATTTCAACCTTTTTTTAAAAACTATTTGGACCTATTCGTGAAAATAATGAGAAAAATAGAAAGAAAAAGTGAGAAAAAAATTTGGACGTGAGCCAAGAATATCCCATGCACTAACAGGAAACTTCTGTTTGCAATCAAATTTTCAAAGGAACAAGGTCGATGCAGTATGCTTTAGATTTGGGAAAGTGCAAAAATATGACAGAGTAGGAGTTCAGATAGACGATTAAATCACTAGGACAACTATACAAAACCTCCAAAAATCCTTCATAGTCGAAGCTGGCGTCCTGTTAATATCGGATGATTCGAGAGAGAAAAAAAACGATTAAAATAGAAACAAACTTCTTCAACGACAGGGACCATATTCGACAGCAGGAGAATTCCCAATCCGTGCAATCTGAACAAATCCTCGGCCTTGGCTGCTTCCAGAAGGTCGTGCAGTACCACTCTGAAAGAAATAGTTTGAAGAACAGTTTCTAATGAATCAAAACGTATTAACCAATGAAAAGCTTCAGTATCAAGGTTGAACTGATTAACTCAATCTTGAAAAAAAAAACCAATCAGGAAAATAAGAAACCTGCACTCGGTGATTTTATTCTGCAGATAATTATGAAAAGCCGTCAAAAAGCCGACGTTGTGTTTGACGATGGTCGAGCACTTGGAAATTCGATTTGCCGATAATCTGAAAATCGATAAGTCAAGAGTTTGAGGGGAATCTACAAGAGGGCAGCTTAGGGACTCCAGAATGGTCCTTATAGGGGCAGCCTTGAGGACCGTTGAAGAACCCCTTCTAGGGACCACTTTACCAACCTCTCCAGGGGCCATTAAAGCTTGCAAAATTGGTCCCTATAGGGTTTTTTTTATTTAGTTTCCCCAAAAGGGGAAATGCTAATCGATAAATTTTATGTACTCTAGAGAAGCGTTTGCATGCAAAAAATTAAATAAAAAAGCATTTTTAAACTAACTTGAAATACCCCTATAGGGACCCCTTAAGCTTTAGGGGCTGAGTTGTCAGACCCTAAACCCCTATAGGGACCACTTTTTCGGCCTCTACAGGGGCTTTTATTTCCTCCAAACTACATAAGGACCACTCTGGAGTCTCTAAGAATTCTCACCTTTCGGCAACATCGTAATACTCGGCCATCCTGCACTCGTTCAAGTACAACAAGGCCAAGTTGACGTTGATCATCACGTAGAGATTTCTGTCCATGCAGTGTTGATACTGAACGTATCCAATCAGCAAAGACCGGAGAGAAATAAAACCTTGATAGCCGTGAGATAATGCTTCTCAGCACTTTCCGTGTCCCGCATGTAACAACATATCAAGCCCTGAAATGGAAAAGTGAAAAAAAAAATGAAGATTTTTCAGTACGAGCCGTTTCTCAATATATCGGATTAATAAAGAGAAATGATTTTTAAACATTTTGGGTGCGTAAATTTTTGAGTCTCTCACGTTGTAGTGAGTCAAGTAAAATACAATTCTAGAAGAAAAAATTGAAAATCAAAATAAATTATTAGATGAAACTTTAAGCTCTATTTTCTGATTCAAATGGTAAAAATCAAGAAGGTACACTCTTTTTTACAGATTGAAGAACGTTTCGAAAAAAAAAATGAAGCGATAAAATCAAAGCAATACCAAAAGGTTCTGAATATTCGGCACGATTTCGTTGTACATTTCTGAGGAACCGTTCCGCCAGGCGTACTGCATAATCTCATAAATCTGCAAAGAGAAAATATCACCCAAAGCCGAAAAAAAAAAGAAATACATTGTTGATTCCGACGGACGGCTTGCAAGCCATCACGTTGCACATGCCGATGAGCTCCAGAAGGCCGACGCGCATTTTGTTCACACTTCGGATGACGCAGTACTCCGTCGGGGTGCGTACAGACTGAAGCGATGCTCAGAAAAACGCGGGAGAGCCTTCAGAATACCTTGGATATGAGGTCGTCGACGTGTTTGATGGCCACTCTGAAGTACTTGAGCGCCCTTTCGTAGTTGCACTGGAGCATCGAATTGACAATGGTCATGAGGCAGGCGAAAACCGTCATCGGCATGGTGTCCATCCATCTGATGAGGCCAAACTATAGACATGAAAGATGCAATTTTTCTATTTCTTTTTCTACATACTATAACAGTTTCTAAATCTAAAGAAGTCGAATCAATTTTTGATCCAAAGTTCTGGATTCCATGCTGGAAAAGTCGGTCGGTCAATTTTTCAAAGTTGCCATTTTTTTGAAAATTTTCAAGTTTTTCCAGTTCTTAAATGTCCAAAATGCGTAGAACTCTCGCTTCAGGTTAGGTTTTAAATTCGAGAAGCCGAATATTGGCTGCTCAAAATAGAAGATTATGCGTTTTTTTTTTTCAATAAATTTCATGTCAACCTTTTATATTTCGACCTGAAATGTGTCAAGAATATTGTTCATTAAGATTTAATAGCATTTTTTGGCAAAAATGGAAAAATTCAGAAAAAGTGGATTTTTGTGAAATATAATGGCCAGAATTTTTCGAAAAAAACTGACTTCGAAACTCGTCCTATAACAAGAAATAGGTACTTTAAAAACTGTTAAAAACCTTTACAAAGTCCAAAAAAACTCTTTAATTTTTGAAAAATTTAAAAAAATAGGCGTTATAAGAATGTGACCGAACCGACCGACTGAGCCGGATTTTTTTGAAACTCGAATAAGAGAAATTATTGAGAAATCAACTTCTTTCAACCTAATATGAGGTCAAGCCGATAATTTCTCAAAACTCTTTTCAGTTTTCTCTTTCTTCCATAAAAGAGTTAGTTCAAAAAAAGTTGCAAAACTAAAAAAAACCTGATTCCATTGATTGGAACTGTTTCGACCAATGTTCCAACCTCATTTTGAACGGCTCGCAGGACACCACGGGAGCTTCTTGTCTGAAATCGACAAAATAACTTTGTCAAAGTCGGAAAGTTTATAACAGTAATGGGATAGAAAAAAACCTGTCCATCAGTTAGCATGTGCGCCAATTTAGTGCACATGTAGAAGAACTTGAGGTTGACCATGTGGGGCCGATCCAACTCGTCGGACTCCAAGTTCTGGATCATCGATCCGATTCGCGTCATTTCCTCGGCGTCGACCTCCGTGTTCTCCAAGCGACACGAAATCTGAGAATTCCATGTGAATTTTCTTCCAAAATAACACTTAGGAACTCCAGAGTGGTCCCTATAGGGGCAACCTTAGGCGCCTTTGAAGGACCCATCTAGGGGTCACTAAAGATTGCAGAAGAAGTCCCTACAAGGGTTTTAGTTAGTGGCCCTTATAGGGGACATGCTAGTCGATCCTAAACCCCTATAGGAACCACCTCAATTTTAGGCCTATAGAGGCCACTTTTTCGACCCCTATAGAGACGACCCTGAGATTCCTAGGCACCAACCAGATTTTTGGTGATCCGAAAATAGAGTTGAATCGTAGGGTCGGTCACAGTCTCCAGAGCAACATTGCATCCTTCGAACGCTTGTAAGGAATTATTATCTAATGTGTTAATTTCCTACAAAAAAAAAGCTTAGAAAAAAAAACAACTGAATTCAAAATACAATATAGTACAGCAGCAGCTTGTGATAGTACAGAGGGAGCTCGTGCTGTCGAGCCGTTGTTAGTTCCGAGCCGATATCATGCAACAATTTGAGGAACTTCCAGCGGCGGCCTGTAAAAAGAAATGAACTCCGTTGTTTCATTTATGTGAAATTACAATGGATGTACAGCTCGCAGATGAAGGAAAGGGCTTCCAGTCTTTGTTCAACAAAATTCACGCCCATTTGAATCATCATCGAGTACTAAAAAATCTTCATTCTGAATATTTTTTCAATGATGAAATTACCGCAGTTTCCAGATGTTGACGTGTCAAGTCATACACATCCGTGTAGAAAAACAACAGCTTTCCCAGTTGCAAATGGCAATGAGCTTGCACTGGAGGGGATAGGAAAAGTTTCAAGGCTCCCTTAATGTAAAATCCATTTTCAGAAATAAAGTTTGAATATTACCCGAGCACATTTGATGGCCATTTTCAATTTAGGCGGCTTCTGATTTCGTAGTGTTTCGGACATTGCCAACATTGCCATTGCTACATGATCAGCAGACATTTGTCTGAAAAAAAAATAATCAGAAAATAAGCAGCAAACGTAAATTAACAAAAATAAAAAAAAAGAAAAATAAAATGCGAAATCGGATAATTTTAGGTTTTGCAAATCTTCATGAAGTTTATTAAACTACTATGCGTAAATTGTAAATCCAATTGAAAATCTTGATTCCTTGACAAATAACAAGTATCGTTAGGAAAAAAAAAGTGAAGATATGAAATAGTTGAACTACGTATCAATTAGAACTTCAAAATTATCAAAAACAAAAAAAGATTTCTCAAAATAACTGTCCCTTTTCCATTTTGAAAATTTAAAAATATAAAAATTGATTAGTGCCGTTTGGAAAGTAATTTTACCGTGATGCAAAATTATTCCTGACACTGCAAAATTTAGTTATATTTTCCCTTTTCTAATCGCGGAATCACTTTGAACAGGGCGTAAGATATGACTAAAATTAGTTGAAATTAAAACACAAAAAGCTCGCGCGCTGTTAAAAAATTTTTGAGTGGAAGATGAAAGAACGCTCCAAAGATAACTAGTTAGGCGCCTCTCAAGGGGTCTTATATTTTTATTTTTTTATAACTTTCTCAAATTCTTTCTCCCATAAAAAGTAAGTCTTCTTCCTTGGATAAAATTGAAAGTTTCACCATGAATTATTCGGTTTGTTAGACTGCGCAGTTGCGACTGAAAAAAACTTGTCTGGAAATAAAAAAATTTAATTGAGAAAAAAATTAATTTCTCAAATTAAGCTTCACTTCGTATTAAAAAGAACTAAAAAAATATTTGTTTATTGAACATTTCATTTTTTTGCTGTTGATAGGATTCAATTCTGAACTTTTTTTACGGACAGTTGCGTTCGATAAAATGCAAATTTTGTTTTTTTAATTTTTTCAATTTTGAATATTTTTTGAAATTGTTTTTGTTTCCGCTTCTTTTTTTAGATTGTTTTTAAAACGTTTTCCTTTATTTATTAATCAATCTTCATTTTTTTCTCAGGCGGAAAGAAAATTGACCGCTGTTTGACGACGCAGTTTTTAAGTTTGATTGCTTCTGTTTATTTTTATCATTTAATCGATTTTCTTTCCTGATTCATTGATAAAAACGGCTTATGATAGGGGTCAAAGTGTTTGAACCGAAGAAAAATGAACGGAAGTTAGAGGTGACAGAGAACTGGAAGTGCGCGAGACGCAGAGTCGCACCCACATCGATCTCTCGGCTCTCCAGCGATATAAGCTTTTGCTATTGGCCCCGCATTCCATGAGCATCATCCTTTCACATTCACCCGTCAATTAGAGCCGTTCCTTTTTTTTTTTTCAAAAATCAGTTATAGTTGATGCTCATTGGCAGGTCCATTCCGACCGCCTATACTGTACAATTGATATATTTAGCGTTTCAATTCTCTTGAGTACTCATGCAATTATAGAAAAAAAAAACGTTAAGCAACTAATTCATTTTTAAACATGAAACAGTTTTCTCTTATGACCTCTTTATTTATTGATGGGTGCGAGTGATAACGACAGCGTAGACTGACCTCGTTTCTTGTTTTCTTGTCTTGAAAAATTTGAAAAATTTTGGATTTTTTTGCGACTCTTGTCTCAAAATTATCATTCTTCTCTTTTCGATGATGCTTTTCCTATTTTAAGCTTTATGACAAGTCTGATCTTCACTTGATTGACGCCTTACCTGCCAATTTCGCAAGAAACATCCATTTCGGACGTCGCGGGACAGAACTGTCAATTATAAAAGACTTTTATCTTTTGGAATCGAAACCTTTAGATTTTCACCCCATTTTATCTTCCAAACTTGATAAATTGGCAATTTTTCACGAGCGTACTCTTCTTGAATACCTCTGTCCAAAAGTTATTTTGTTTTCCTTTCCCTGTCCAGGATGGATATGGAAAAAATCGGAAAATGGTACTTTTTCGCTATGATTATCGAGAACGAAATAGGAGAATTTTCCAACCTCCGGTCGGACAAAACTTTGGGAAGGTTAGACGTGGCCGAAACATTACACCATTTGTACACTGGTCTTGACAAAGTGTTCCTGTGGAGAATCCATCTTTTAATCATTCGATTGCACTTTGATTGCTTCTTTTCCGTTTCCACTCTGCAAAAAGCGTATGAGTGTGCCGCTGATGCGTCTCTTTTTTTGTATATACGATTAAGTGGCGAACGTTAGCAGCCGACGCCAAATCCGTGCCGAGGATTAGTTGTGTTTTAACATGCAAGAGGACACATCGCCATTTTCTATATAACCCGTATTGAAGCTAATTAGTTTTGGCGGAGCGAAAAAAACATACGAAAGTGAGTTAAAACTAGGAAAAATGACTGAAATCCCCTAATAAATGATTTCATTCATATCGAAAAAAATATTTGATATCTTGTATTTTTTTGTACTTCTAGAGCTCAGTGGGGGTTTTTTTCGATAGTGAGATTGTCTTAAATGGTGCGAGTTAATCCATTCTCAAAGGAATTCGAAAAAAAAATGATAATTTCAATTTCTTGCGGAAGCCGTATGCAGGGAAGTTCTGAAAACGAAGAACTTTTTTTGAAAAAAACTTGGGGGTTTTTTTAATTGAAAGAAACAACCTTTGATGTACTAGATGATGAATTTGCAAAGTCTCAACCCTAAAACTTTTTCATATTTTGTAAACGGACTCAAAAAGGAAAAGTCAAAATTTAAAAAAATTTATAAAAAAATATTGCTCCTTCAATATTGAAAAGAGAACTTCTTGCTACTTTTTACTTTGTTCATACCATGATTTCACAATTCTTCTGTTTCTATAATTATTTTCTTTCCCGAATGCAGAATTCAGTCATTTTTCTCCAATCGATGTATTCTATCGATACTCTTGCTATAAGTCAAAAAAGAAAGGTTTTCGCAGTGGATGTCGGAGGAAGGAACGGCGGAAAACCGGCCGACGTCGGCGTCGACGTCGTCGGAGCCGCCGTCGAGCACCACGCCTTTCTCGCTCTCCGGCGAACAGCAGCACGCCCCCTTCAGTGAGTCTTACTCAGCCTCCGTTTCCTGTTCGCCTTAAGTTCTTCTCCTTTTTTGGGTTCTTTCCCGTTTCAGTTGAATCTCAAGATGATAAGCTCCTAAATTTTCTTGAATCAAAAACTTTCAACTTTTTTTTTCCGTCCAAATTTGAAAAAAAAAATCTATATGCTGGATTCCCATTATCTCTAGTTAGTTCCCCTGACGCTAAAAGCATGTCTTTTATACATATCTGAACGGTGTTGATTTATAAGCCAGAGAGTCTAAAATATTAGAAGTTGGGCTAATTTCATTTTTTTAATCTCAAATGATAACTTTAAGTTCAGTTAGGTTCTAAATTTTGATAATTTGATAGTTTTGACGAGTTTGAAGCGATCCACATAAATTAACGGGGATTTTTATATTTTTTTCATAACTAATGGTTTTTTTACGGTCAGACTCCATGCCAAAAACAAAAAAACGTCCATTTTTTTCAAATTATTTTTCTCCGATTCTTTTTTTTCAAAAAGTCGGGTTTTCAAACATTTATCCCGATTCATTTTCTTCGATTTTTGATGTTTTCAAACATTTTCTCCGATTTCTTTTTACTTGGCATAGTCGATATTTTTTTCATGTAAACAATTTCTTTTTTTATCAAATTTTACCTGTTAACACTAAATAAAACTACTGATGAACAGTTCGACGACAAAAGCTTTAATTATTTTATGACTTTGAGACTTTTGCAGACAAAAGAGATAGTTCGATTAGAAATAGTTCAAAAACAACGTTTTTCAGCGATGCTGCCGCCAGGAGGAGCTCCTCACTTCTTCGCCAACCCATTCATGAACCCCTACATGGCGCCTCAAGAAGCGAACTGGCAACAGAACGTCCTTCCGGCCGACGCCAACGCCGCCACCGTTCCCGGCTTCATGCTCTCGCCGGCGCAGTACCAGGAGATGATCCAGCAGTACTTCCAGCAGATGATGGCCGCCAGCGGGGCTCAGTTCACGATGCCCTTCCCCATGCAGTTCAACTCTTCACCTGCTTTTCAGCAGCAACGGCCAGCAAGCCAGGTGCGTTTGCTGTTGATTTATTTCTGCCTAGGTGCCTTAAAAAAAAGAAAGAAAAAATCGGTTTTTTTTTTTTGAATACTCTGGAATGTGTTTTTTTAACGGTAAATATAGCAAAACGGATCATTATTTTTTTCAGTTTTTTTCGATACGATTTTTCGTTTATTTATTAACTTTTTTTCCATTGCTGCTTGATTTCAAATTCAAATATCGTGGTAGAGCTTTTAAAATTGAATATTTATAGAATTTTTTTAGTTAAACACTTGTTCTCGCTTTATAAAGAAGCTCAGAATAAAAAAAGAAAAATCGGTGGAAACATATGCTTTCAGATGGTTTTTTTCAGTATTTATGTCTTATAATTGAACTCAAACTCAGGGTTATTATCCAGACAATTAAAAAGGATTCTCTGCATTACGGTAGTTGGGAGAGTCGAGTTTAGTGCAAGTTTCAAAAAAAAAAATCCGGGCAAAACTAATCGTATCCAATTTTTTATGAATACATTTCCCAATTTTCCTTCTTTTTTTTTGGATTTTTTTTTCACGATTTTTGTACTTTATACTTGTGAACGAGCCACAATCTGTAGTCTAAAAATCCAATTAAAGTAAGGAAAGTTTTTTGTGACGTTTCAAGCTAGATTGAAAAGGACGAGGCCAATAACCGGTGTCCATGGCAGCACTCAACCGAATTTCGTTTAAGTGTTCCCAAAAGTCGGAAGCGCTGAGCGACGGCCGTGTGACATCTGCCAGCGTTTCGTCGGCGTCTCAGGAGCCCACTCAAGAGGTTCGTCTCGACCGCCATATGTGTCGGAGGACTAGTCACGCTATTTCATAACATTTTCATCGAAATCAACTTTCATCATTTGGTTGGAAGTCAACCAAGTAACCTTAATTCTCCGCCACAAGCTTTTCTGAAAAAGAACTGTCGAAAAAGGACAGTAGATGAAAGAAGAAAAAAGAAAAAATCAAAGAAAAAAAAAAGGTGAATAGTAGTTTTTGGCAAAAAACGGTTTTTTTCATCGTTTTATCGACGCCACTCATAGTAAAAGTCTCAGATACTGATGAAAAAAATATCTTTTTGCAATTCTTATCTTTGTTCAAATTAGCTGGGGCAAAGTCGGAATGGTGTATAATGGGAAAAAGGGAGAGGCTTAAAAAGGTCGCAGAAAGGCAGCAAAAAGAGTCCCTTTATCGATCCTTCTATCTTTTCTGTGATTTCAAAGGCTCAAAAAATGGTGGGAAAAGGGAGAGGCAGCAAAAATGGTGTATAACAGCCGATGAAATGGCGCAAAAAGGCAGCAAAAAAGGAACCTTTGTCACCGTAAAAGAAACATTTCTATGGAGCCCTTTCCGAATTTGTCTATGAATCGGTTATGAACCGCCAAATTGAAAGTATTCTCCCGAAATTTGACTTTCTGGTGATCGTTTCTATTTATTCACGATCTCCTTTTTGTTTATGGATTCTAATCTCACTGTCACGAGTTCAAGTCGAAATAATTAATTTCCTCAAGAAAAGTAGTCATTAGACTTTTTAATTGAAACGCCAGGTGCATCAAAGGTTGCCTAACTACGTCAAACTTTCCCGAAAGTTTGTAGCCTAGAATTTCTACTTCCTTTTCTTTTTATTTTACTGCTTTCCTCAGAAAATGATGGGAAAATGTAGATATGAGTCAGTACGTGAGGGATTATGACGCAAGAATAAGTTTTTTTCAGCAGCGGCCGTTGAGCAATGGAACGCGGACTTCAGAAGTCACGACGCCCTCAATTTCTGCACAAGGTACAATACGAGTGGATTTTTTAGGCCATGGGTTTCCGTGATTTTATCTGCTGGCCGCCTTTTAGATGGATTGCCATCCATAAATTGGCCTAAGGCCTCGTAATGGCTGAAAAAAAATCTATTAAAACAAGGGATAGGTCTTCCTTTTCTCATCATCTTTTTTTGAAGACCTATCGATATTCTTTGATTTCATTGAATAATAAAGTTAAGGAGGGTTCAATGAACATAATGTTTCATTTCTAAACATGTATGCGCTCCATTGTACTTCTTGTCGTTTAAAATTGAAAAGTCAGTGATCAATTTCCCTAATGGATGTTCCTCGGAGCCGTTATCGAGTCTGAGGCTAACTAACTCGCGAGAAGAAAGCTCGCATTCATTACCGCCCCAATGCGGATAATTAACTCGATAGGAAGGGCAATGACGGCGAGCCGCAAGAGGAACACGTAAACGCATTTCGCGAGACGGACATTTTTTTTTGTTGCAGTTGACATAACAATGTCGTTTGGAATGCATCCGTTGTCCTCTCACATGCATTCGCTTGCCTCATGTCACCGCGTAGTGGAATTCTCGAGTGGAACTATCAGCTGATCGATTCCGCCCTCCCACAAACCCAATCCGGAGCGATTAATATTTGCAAAAGAACTTTGTTATGGAAGTCCCAGAGGAGAAAAATGAGCTCAACCGTCAACACAATTTCCAGAATAGGAATTAGGGCAGTTATTCTCAGCGAGTATGGCCCGAGGGCCAGCATGAAAAACATAGGACAAATAATTATATTTCCACTCCCTTTGTCACTATACGCGTCGTGGGAAGCCATCGTTTTGAAGAATCCCTCCGTGCGAGAAAGCGGAAAATTAACTGCGATTTCACTCTCGCGATGTTCCCACACACACACGCACACAGACTCGATGGACGCAGCCAGCCAGAAGATGAAGAAGAAGAAGAAGAAGAAGCAACGTTTGGGGACGCAGAATCGTTCAACGCACACACAAAATGAGGCAGAGCCGCTTCCGCCGTATTCAAATTTGACATGGAGCTCCGGAAACGAAGCGCCAGCCCCGCGCGGAGAATGAGACTTAATTAATTTGAGCCGAGTTGGAGCTCGCAGGGGAAGTTCTACAAGACTTTTGATGAGTTTTTCATCAAACTTTCCTCGGACAGAACCCCTTGAAGGTAGTCTATCGAAGTTATCTCATTTTTCGAGATTTCGTGAGAGATGTGAACCTTGAGACATAGAAAAAAGAACTAGTTTATGCGAATTTTTTGAAGATAAACAAATTTTCTCTCACAGCGTCACTACGCCTTTGCGATTTGAAGAAAACATTGACAATATTTCAGCGAGCTGTCTGAAGCAGGGTGCTTCTTGTTTGTGAATAATATCATTCCGATAATAATCAATAACCAGCTTCTCGATAAATGAATAATTTCTGTGAGTACGGCCTTTATTTGTCTATTTTAGGATGCTATTTAGCAGCGTGTCCAGAATAAAAGCAGTATAAAAAACTCTTTAAACATGAGGTCAAACTCTAAAAAGGTAATGTTCATAATCTGAACCATTGAAAGAAGCAGCAGAAAATTATTCAACTGAAGTCGCTGAAAAAGGGGAAAAATCAAGATAAATCGGATCAAAGTCGGAAAAAATTGGAATAAATCAATGTTAGAAAATTACTCAGGAATACAAAAAAAAAACTTTTTTTATCAGAAAGTCATGCTATAAGATGTTATAATTTAACCTTAACGTGAATAGGAAACAATGAATCCTATTTTTGTGTAGTTTAAGGCTTCCGTGACAATTTTCTGAGTCATATAAAAAAAATGGACTTTTGAGCTAGTTTCTCTGCGACTTGAACGCAAATCGAACGAGAAAACCGGCGCGGGTGATTAATTACCGCGTGAGCTCTGCACGTTCGTTTTCTCCTTTTTTTTTGCCACTGAGACAGCCGGAAATGAGCCGGCAAATGTATTCTGTTTTGTTGGATCAGAGACCAAACATTCGTTCCCACAAATTCTCCGTTTGCAGAACAAACCGTGACTGATGTTAATCGCGAAGAAGCGCCCGAAGAGCAAACTGCGACGACGGCTAACTCGACTAATGAAGTTGCTGACGTCCTGGTGTGTGTTTTCAATCTAGATAATGGAAACTGAGAAGATCACTCTCTTTGAAAAATTGGCTCTCCAAATGTTAGGCTAGTCAACGGGTGGCTCGTAAATCTCTAGGAGCCGCCGACGCATGATATCTCGGAGATTTATTGGGGAGAAACGTGCTAGTTGAAGATAATGGAGATCATTTGTTTGCAGACGACGACGGAAGCAGAAGATGAAGTGGAGGGACAGGAAAAAGCCGCGTCGACGTCCTCCGGGGCTTCTTCGGAGGAGAAGCGAAAGAACTCTGGTAGTGGCTCTGACAGGACCGACAGCCTCATTCGGAAGCAGATGAACGAAATTGAGAAGGAGATCAATCGCCGGTCCCAGAACAAGAACATCAAGAAGGTCGGTTTCAGAGATGGACTGCTTCATTTTTTCTTCTTCTTTTTTTTTTCAAAAGGTGGTGAACGATACTTCTGATTTTTTCTTCAAGGAAAGCTTCTACGTATACACAATTTCTTCTCGCTCATTCTTGTCAATCTAACTATGGATCTTTTTTTGAGTTTTCTCACGCAGATTGACGATCGAGAACTGGCCGAACTGATCGGTTCGGCGCAGCCTTCCTTCGTCGCCACAGCTCTCGACAGGAACTTTGCCCCGAACTTCCCGCCGATGCCGTCAACGTCTTCTTCTCCTTCTTCACAAGATCAGCCCAAGGTGATTCTCGTCGACGTCGTGGTTGCTGTTGTTCGTGGCCTTGTTTCTGAGGAATCGTCTGCCTTCGTCAAGATGCTGTCTGTCCTGAACCGTCTTGTATTTGTCAGAATGAATGGGTTGTTCTATGTGCTCTCCTTTCAAGTTTTCAATTTTGATCATGCTGAATGGTATCCTCTCGTTGCGTTGAATCACATTTTTCTTTTCCCTCTTTGCATCCCATGTTTTGATATGATGTGATTCTGTTGCATCCAAATAGCTCTCTCAGCTTTTTGCTTTTAGAGTGCTCTGCCCTACACGTCTCCGGCAAACGATGGCAAGGCGCCAGTGGTGAAGGAGTCCCTGAACCAGTTGCGCTCCTCGTTCAACCTCGCCGAAGACAGATCAGCCCCGCCGACACCTCCTCACGTCGCCGGCGTCCAATCACAGCCGCAACATCAGCAGCCAGTGCAAATGTTTCCGACGACGTCGCCTTTTGTCGCGCAGAATCCGTTTTCTATGGGCATGGCGGTACGAATTACTCGTTGTTTTTGGAACGTTCAAATCGGTACAATATCGAAATTTAATAAGAAGTTTCACGAATTGAAAAATCTTTGATAATATGTTATAGGCTTCAAATGGAGTTTTTTTGGAACATTTTAAGGAAAAAAATAGCTGAAACTTTTTTTGGAAAATACTTTGGCTGTTCAACCGGCGTTGTACAGATTCTGCTAACTTCAAAAACTTTTATAAAAAAATAAAATTTAAAATCAAAAAGACAAGAATTGAACTACGGCGACAGTACGGAATTCTTTTCATGTTGTAGGTCTTGTTTTTTTTTTCAAAAACGTTTTCTTGGTTGTTAAGAGTAATACCTAACAGTGAGAACATTTTCGCGCCAAATAACACAAAATCAGACGTTTCCTAAGGGTTTAACAGTACCCGTTATTTCAAAGGCTCTGGCCCTGTTTGAACTGAAACCTTTCTAGATGCCCGGTCAGATTCCCTTTGGCGCCGCTCCGCCTTACGCCATGATGCAGCAGCAGCAGCCCTTCGGCATAATGCCAGGCACCATCACCAGCACCTCTCAGTTCATGCAGAACGGCGGAAATCCGTCCTACGCGCCGTCCATGCATTTTCCGGCTCAAATCAACCCCGGATTCGTCCAAAATGGATCTCAAAACTTCACGCCGGAGGTTCGAAACCTTTTCAATTCTCTTTCAAAAAATCTTTTCTTCAGCAACTGGCGGCGGTTTTTGCACAGCAGCAACTGGCATCGCAACAGTACCCAGCCGGTTTCTTGCCACAACCGGAAGCTCCATCAGCGGCTCATTCTCCGAATAATTCTTGCTCGATCGCTCCACCGCCGCCTCCTTCTCATCCGGTCGCCAGGAGGGTCGGTTCTTGTGTCAATTTGTAGATGAACTGGATGGAAATCGAAATAGATTCAAGGAAAGACCCAAGAATGAGAATTTGAAACGACAAAATGACAAATCACTTCATTTGATGCTCCAATGTTTTTTAGCCAAAAAAACTTAAAATGTCAGCCTGTATTATCTGTTCACGGAAACCTAAGAAGAGAAGGTTTTTTGGCCCCCGGTTGAACTTTTGATGAAACTCGGTTGTAGTGCACTTTAGGCCCTCCTTATCTATGTAAAAGAAGAATAATTTCTCGCCTCATTTTCGAGTAATGAGCCTTCAAATTTTGCAGATCATATAAATAGTGAAAAAGAGTTTTGAGAGGTGCGGAACTTCAAAACAAAATCAAGAACGACTGCAAGAATTTTTTTAAAAGGCCCTGAAGTATATTTCAGCCAAGTTTCATCAAAAGCTCAACCGGGGGCCAAAAAACGTTGAAGCATCATAAAAATACTTGTAGAAAAAATTTGAAAAAGCGAAAAATAACTTCTCTTTTACAGTGAGAAAATGATATTTTGACAGGCTTCGTCATCGTCAAACCCTTGGCCTGAAGAAAATAAAGAGAATGGAGTTCTGAACGGAACGAGCAACGGAACTGGAGATGAGCCGGTTTGGGTGCTCCGAGACTCTTACCTCAAGCGGATGCAACGAGATCAGCGAGCGCAGGCCGACGTCCGTTTTTCCTCTCACCAAATTCCTTAAAAAAAATTAATCTAAAGGATATAGTTTAGCCTTAAGTTCTTGGAAGTTTATGAGACCTCCAAAAGTCTAAATTTCGTGTAAAGGGAGGGTTGAGGCTACTTCATGAGGTTTATTCGGGAATGAAAAAGAAAAAAAAACTCTTCGATCTACAAATAAAGGGCTGCTCTACCAGCCCCTATAGGGGCCACCAAAGCTTGCAAAAGTGGTCCCTATAGGGGTTTTAGTTCGTAGCCCTTATAGGGGCATTTTAGTCGATAAAAAAAGTTATGAATTTTCATGGAAAAAAATTGAATAAATAATTTTTCAAAATGAAATTGAAAGACCTTTATAGGGTCCACTTGAGCTTTAGGGGCTAACACTAAAGCCCCTATAGGGACCACTTTTTCGGCCACTATAGGGACTGTTTTTCCCTCGAACCCCTATAGAGACCACTCTGGAATCCCTAAGAACTGTGCTTCCCGAGTCGAAGTTCGTTCTGACCGTTGATAATGTAGGAAATGTCGTGGCACGAAGCGGCGACGGCTGCCCAAGAACAGGCGGACGCCGGCGGCGACGAGGACGAGCGCGAGGAGACCGACCGACTCCTCATGGGTTCCGCCGGCACGAGCCAAGGAAACCGCCTCGGAAAAGACGCCGACCGACGTTCCTCCTTCTCCGGCGAGAAGAAGAAAAACAGCAAAGAGAGTCAGTTTTTCTCTTCGTTTTTTTTTTTCTGTCATACATGGGATTTGGTCTGAAATACTTGGAATCCAAGTCTATCTTAGTTTTTTTTTTTTAATTTTTATCTTCACTTTTTCTCGAGTTTTGGAAGATTTTCGTAGTTCGCAAGCATTCCATAGATTTTCAAAATTTGTATTTTTAACATTTTCTTCATAATCAAATTCTGAAAAGTTCAATTTTTCCATAAAGATAAATCCCATGTATGATGGTTGTGCTAGAATACATTTTCATAAAAATCTAAATATAGTTCTTCTTTCAAATTCTAATCTCGACCTCCGTCCACAAAAACACACTTTTCTCATTATTTCACGCTTATCCGTAGATCTTTTATTTTGTAGAAGTCAGCTCCACTGGAAAATTTAGTTACATGTGCAATTGAGTTACGAGTTCACTGGCCAGTTAATATATAGCTCGTTTTTTTTTTCATAGTAAACATATTTTTTTTTCTCTGAATTTCATTCATAATTTTTTCACGCACCTCACTGCACCTGACGGTTCCCGCATTAAAAAATGTTAATGAAAATCGGTGAGTAGTAATTTTTAAAATTTTTTGGTTTTTCTCTTTCTCGTGGTCCCTAGAGCTTTTTGTCATGGTACTTTTCGGCTTTTTCACGGCTTCTGTAGGATGAATTGGATGGGCCCTTGGTTTCCTTCTCTTTATTGGGATGACCCACGTTTTGCGGAAAATACAATCGGAATGACGCTTTGCTGCCTTTGTGAGGTTAATTATCAAGAAAATAGAACGGAATGGTGGTGAAAATGGTGGTAAATACGGATTTTTTAAGTTTACTTCTGAAAATGAACTGATATCGAAAAAATCTTTTTCAAAAACCATGTCACTCACATCTTTTCAAGTTTCCTTTCTCACTAACATGCTTGATCCTGGCACCGACCGATTGATGGCCTATTCTTCAGAAGGAGCTCCCCATAAGAGTTTCATTTTCTTCTTACAGCAATGGTCCACGAACCTGCAGTTCTGATCGAGGGCGTTCTGTTCCGAGCGAGATATCTCGGCTCAACACAGATGCTCTGCGAGAGCAGAGGCAGCAAAGCCGCCCGGATGTCCCAAGCGCAAGAAGCCGTCGCTCGCGTCAAAGTAAAACTCACGATACCTGGAATCTATAAAAAGTATCGTTCTTTCTCAGGCGCCTGAAGGGGAAATTCAGCCATCCACAGAGATCGACCTCTTCATTTCAACAGAGAAAATTATGGTTTTGAATACAGACCTGCAGGTGAGATTTCAGTTTAATTTGCAAATCAAAGGTGAATGAAAATGGTTCTTGCAAAGCTCGAAAAAAGGTAAACCTAAATAATTTTTGTCTCGCTTTTTGCTAAAAAATTCAAAAAGATAACGATGTGTTTTCTTGACCAGTTCTTAGGCACTCTAGAGTGGTCCCTATAGGGGCAATCTTATGGACCACTTTATGAACCCCTATAGTGGGTTTAGCTAGTGACCCTATAGGGGACATGCTAGTCGATATGTTATGAAGAGGGTCCACTTGAGCTTTAGGGGCTGAGGGTCAAACGCTTTTTCTCTTCCGAAGAGTAGTCTTGCAGAGGATATCGGACACGGACGTCCGACAAGACATTCTGATGGACCACGCCTTGAGGACCATCTCCTACATCGCTGACATCGGCGATCTCGTCGTTCTGATGGCCCGGCGGATGTCTACCAGCAACAGCGATGAATCATGCAATCAGTACGTTTCTGTTTCTAAAAAGCCCCACAATCGAAAATTTCATCCCTTCAATATGTTTTTGCTACAGAGGCGAAGGTGTTCGAAAAGCGCCCAAAGTGATCTGCCACGTCTTCGAGTCGGAAGAGGCGTCTTTCATCGCTCAGTCCATTGGCCAGGCCTTCCAAGTGGCCTACGTCGAATTCCTCCGAGCCAACGGCATAGATGATCCGTCTTATTTGAGGCAAATCGACTATCAGGTCTCGAAACCCTCCTTTTTTGTGAGGTTATTCATGGTTTTCAGGAAGTTTTGAACTCTCAAGAACTTCTCGGAGACGAGTTGGAGATGTTCGCCAAGAAGGAGACCCAGAAGGAAGTTGTCGTGCCTAAGAAGACGGGCGAACCTCTGGGGATCGTCGTGGTGGAGTCTGGATGGGGTTCGATGTTGCCGACGGTGGTCCTCGCCCACATGAATCCCGTCGGACCGGCGGCTCACTCAAACAAGCTCAACATCGGCGACCAGATCATCAACATCAACGGGATCTCGCTCGTCGGACTCCCGCTGTCCGCCGCCCAGACCCAAATCAAGAACATGAAGTTGGAAGCACCTAATCTTGAAAATCATCGATTGAAATGTTTCAGAACAGCGACAGCTGTACGTTTGACGGTTGTGTCGACGCCTCCCGTCGTCGAAGTTCGGATACGGTGAGAGACGTCGCTTGACAGCGATTTTGAATTGATTTGCTTTCCAGAAGACCAGACACTAAATATCAGCTTGGTTTTTCGGTTCAGAACGGTGTGATTTGCTCTTTATTGAGAGGTATGTTCGTATATATCATCTCTTTTGAAAGTTAGATCAATTTCAGGTGGGATCGCTGAACGAGGAGGAATCCGCGTCGGCCATCGGATCATCGAGATCAACGGAACCTCGGTGGTCGCCGTGGCGCACGACAGGTGAGTCGGAGATTCTTGAGTAAACTTCTCAGAAAGATCGTACTGAATTTATCCCCAGCCAGGGCTCTAAACAACTTTTGCATGATATTTCTGAATACTCACCGCTACTCACCGAACGAACTTAGGAACTCCAGAGTGGTCCCTATAGGGATTAGGGGGGAAAATGACACCTATGGGGGGTCGAAAAAGTGGTCCCTTTAGGGGTAAAGAAAGCTGGCCCCTATAGGGGTTTTTCCATTTCATTCAAAAAACGCTTTTTTATTCAGTTATCCCAATGAAATGCTTCTTCGCTCAGAGTTCATAACAGTCGATTAGCAGGCTCCTATAGGGACCACTAACTGAAACCCCTATAGGGAACATCTTTGCAAGCTTTAGTGGCTTTTATAGGGGTTGGGTGTCCCTCCAAGAGCCCCTACGTTGGCCTGATAGGGACCACTCTAGGGTTTACCTTTCAAGAGGAAATTAATTTTTTTTTTTGTCATAGTCGAGGAATTTTCAGAATCGTAAACATGTTGGCGACGGCGATCGGGGAGATCCACATGAAGACGATGCCGACGTCAATGTTCCGACTTCTGACGGGCCAAGAACAGCCCCAGTACATCTGATTTTTTGTTGTTGTGTTTTGTTTCACGTTTTTTTTTTCTTCTTCTTGTTAGTCACTTTTTTCTCATTGCTCATTCATGTTGAGATTTTTGGTTTGACCACTTTTTTCCCTTTCACTTTGGTTGGTTTTTACAAACAGAACAAAGAAACAAGGATTGGGAAGGTTTGGCGATCCATTTCATTTTTTCCAAGATCGTCAAACTTTCCCAAAGACCGACCCCCTACATGAAAAAACTTTTCCTCTTGCTCACCAAAGGCTTCATCTTTCCTCTCTTTTTCCTGTGATATCTATTTCATCATCCTTCTTTTCTTGTGTCCCCAATTCATTGCGAGTCGAATTGATGATTTTGATGATTTTCCTCTATTGCCATATGTTGAGTGACTGTTGTTTTCAGTCAGTTGAAACGTGTCCAGATTTTTTCTATATTTTTTTTTACTTTGTCCTCACATTGCCACCAACATTTTTTTGCTTTTTATTGCAATACTAATAATCAGTCTCTCACTTTTAATAACAATTTTATTTGAAAGGCTATTAACATAAAATTTTTTGAAAAAGTTAAACATTAAGTATAGGACTTCATGAGCGAAGAAAAAAAAAAATGGAAAACGTGTATATGCGACAGAAAACTAAGTTATGTGAAACAATAGATGTTGGGCATGACTCATCGCGAAACCCGGTGCAGACCATTTTTCGAGCGTACGTTATTATAGGAAAAATTTTCTGAAGGACATAGAAATCGGTTGTTTCGTGAACCGTGTACAGAGCCATTTGAATCGATATCCATGAAATATTGAAGGAGCGAGTGTTGAAAGAAAGACAAACAATGTTAGGAGGAGCAGACACTCGCTAAGCACGTATTCAATTTGATGATAAAAATGACAATCACAGAAAGAAATGAAGTGGTATTAATAAGGTGATCGTAATCATCTGAAGGAGGGGGAGGATAAAATGTGTTAATTAACAATTGAGTTTACTAATTGATATTCTAAAAAATTAGCAATATGTATATATATGGGCATAATAGTGTCTATGCAAGACGACCCAAACATAATTTCAATTAAAAAAGAAATTAAAACAAGCTAAAACATAACCATTCAAGCGCATGCAATTAATGAGAGGCAGAGCGTGTGCTCGTGCCGTAGATGAACACGAGGATTTATTCTCAAAAGTGGAGAAGAAGACATGGTAGAGAGGACGCCGTAGGGTGAGCAACTGGATGAAGAAGGGGACTGTCCGTGAGTCAGGAGGTGGTCGAGATGGTGTTGCGCGGGAAGAGGCCCATCCGCAGGAACTCGGCCTCGCGCTTCATTTCCTCCGTGTTGGCGTGGTTCTGGGCGAAGTGCTCGCCGAGTTCAGGAGCGTGGAACGTCGAGTAGTTGCATCTAAAGCAGGGATATGTTGAGAGATGTTGAAGGAAATGAAACTGACTCTCCACATCGGAGTTCTTGGCCCGTCATGTTGACTCGCTCCGCAACTGTCGGCGTTGGAACTTCCAACTGAAACATCAGAGTTAAGGGAATGAAAATCGTATTTATGACAAAACTTCATCGGATAATATTCAAACTAGTTTTCCATTTTCAAGTTTTTATTTTCCGCCTTTTATGCAAAATTCAAAATAAACGTTCAATGAAACATATTTGAGAAAACTTCCGTTCTAACTCGAATTTTATTCCTGTCTAATGAATCCAACACAGTTATAGCCCATTCCGCGACAGGTTATCACGTTTTTCTTTCCGCCAATAGATCCTATACCAAATTAGATCGAAATTGAGCATCTTCGCTTCAAGACCTTTTTTTGTTGTCTTTTTTAGCAGTGTTGTATAGCAAAAGATTGTACGGGAGCTTTTTCTTTTGTACTTTTAAAACGTGACCGTCTCGCGCGGAACGCACTATATCAACCCTCAAAACAAAACATTCGGATTGCGCAAAAAAAAACGTGAAAAGAAGAAAAAAAAGCCAGTCAGAAAACATAAATTTTTCAGAAGGTAGGTCAAAAAATTGCGCAAAACAAACCTTGACCAGATCAGGACACAAAGCGGCCTTCTTTTCGATCAACCCCATCGTGAGGTCCAAATGATGATTGCTCTCGTGGAATTCGACAACGCTCTTCGTCATCGAAGAATAATCGCAGATTCTGAAAACATAGATTCTGAAGGAGGTTCGGTGCGGGGTCAGACCTGCACTGATGGATCGAGTTCTGGCCGTGCATGTCGACGTGTCGCGAGAAAGTCTCCGACAATTCGCATCGGAAACAACATTTGTTGCACATGTGCTGAAACTTATAGTTTTTCACCTTTTCTCATCTTTCTCTACAAACATCTTTGTCGCCTTTCTTGGCGATTCGTCTGAAGCGCTCTTTTCTCCGCGAATCGTCGTCCTGGGTCGTCGCTCGCTTGATTTGCGTGATCAGCCTCTGTTGCATGTTCTGAAACCCAAAAATTAATCATCCTTAATAGGAAAAGTTATGCAAGGACTGCTTAATGCTTATCACTAACAAATGGGGACCGATCATACTTTTAAAATAAGCTGTTTCTCAAAATTTGTGGTAAAACCTAATGTACTGAAATTAGAGCCCGAGAGAGAAGTTGTTTTTTGTCCTAAAACGCGGGATTCACTCAGGTTGAATTTTCGAGTTTCTTAACTTTTCATTATTACAAAGAAATTCAAGAACATTCGTCATATTTTTAAAGTTTTAGCAGGCAGCGAGCATTCTTTTTTTAACATTGGAAATTACTAAAAATTGGCCAAAAAGCTAATCGATTTGAAAATTTTTTTTCCCAAGATAACTTCTAAAATTCTGGCTCTAAAAATGCTCCAACAAACCATCGCATGCTCCAAACGATGATGGACGTAGTTCACTTCAACTGCGGTCCGGTAGGTGCATTGCGTACACGTGAAATACTTGGACCCGAGAGGAATGGGCTCCGAATTCGGGTAACGCTTACGAATCAGCTGCTTTTTCCTGGAAAATATGGGATCAAATGAAGAATTTCGCTTTTCTTTCTCACTTTTGATTGGCGGCGCTCGCAGGGCTCAGTGGCGGAATGTGAAGATTCAGATGGAAGTGCAAAGCTTCGGCCGTACAAGAGCTGAGAAGGAGAAAAAGTTGAGAGGATTCAGGGAGAAGGGCGAAAAACCTGTAGGAGCAAATGTTGCAAGCGAAGGATCTTCGAGGGCCGGCGTGCATGTCGCGATGAAGACGGAACATGGTCACGTTTTCGTCCGAGTAAGGACAGTCCGGACATTGCAATTCTTCTGAAAGTAAGATGGGTGAGCGGAATAATATTGGCGACGGTACGACAAAATCTCAAGTCCGCAAATCTTAGGACCGTATTCATGTGTACGCAGATATCACAGCCTATAATCGTGGAAATCAAAAACCATCGCTTTTGCGAATAGATTTTCTGTGATCGAAACAAGATAATATAAGAAAAAAAGTGCAATAAATAAGACGAAAATGAGCTTTTTCCTTGAAATATTTTTTTCAATGATTTCCTTTGATATCTGAGGGATTTGAGGATAACAGAGATGAAGCGTGGAAAAGTAGACAATGATAAGATAATCGGATTGTTTTTTTTTCTTATCCCGGACCTTCGGCCTTTTTCTCGAGCTTCAAGAAATCGTGGACGGCGATGTTTTCCGAGGGACCGATTCGCTGTCTCATGACGCGCATCGCGGCGACAACGTCAACGGAGAGCGGCGTCGCGAAGTTGACTTCTGGCTTGGCGTCGACCATCTTCACCGACTGCACCACAGCTTGATATTGTTCGTTCCTGTCAATTCTGGACACGTTACTCGGAATCAAATAGTGATTCTTATTACTTTTTGCCCTTGGTCGACCGTTCCGAAGGCGGGCGAACGTGTAGCGGTGAGACCGAGCTCACAGGCTTCATCGGAGAGCAGGGCTCACTGGAAAAATATCTCGTGAAATAAACCAAGAAATATTGAAAACCTGGACGAAGTGGATGCGAAAGAAACAGAGAACGAAGGGAGCGGAAGTGCCTGTGTGAGCTGAGGCATGCTCCCACAACTGGTAAACTCGTTGGTAGACAACTTCTGAAGACACAACCGATTCGAAAAGTTTTCTCGAAAATAAGACCTTGATGTAGGAAGATCCTTCGGGATGAAGAAGCTGATGTTCCTCCATTTTGTCGACAAACGCCGAGCTGTAGTTACACATCGAGCACACGTTCTGTTTTGCAGGGGAATCGTGTCTCCTGAAACGAAAAAACCTCGTTGTAAAGAGTGCAATGAAAAAGCCCACCTGGCGTGACGCCAAAATGTTGCCAAACTGGACGTCACGTAGGGGCATTGTTTGCATGAGTAATTCCTCAAAGGTCCGCTCCCTCGTTTCATACCGACATGTTTACCAGAGATGATTATTTTGTGGGGACGCATGTTTTCCTGAAAGTTCAAAAAATAACTTAGGCTTGAACATGGAAAAAATATCCTGTGAATGCAGTTATTTAGGTAAATTAATTAGATGTAAAAAACGAACACTTTTCAAGTTCATCTTGGTGTGCAAGCTGAGGTGTTGGCGCAGGGAAACGTTGCGTTTCGTGGTGTAGCTGCATTGCGTACAACGGTACTTGGCGTTCATCGAGTGCATGGCGCGATGAGTACGCATGTCTCCCAGGAACTTGGTCTCGTAAGGACACAAGGCACACCGTCTCTTCTTCACTCCGTCGTCGCCGACAACGCGGATCGAGATGGCGCTGGTGGAGGCTTGCGAGTTGGGCGAGTGTCGCTTTCCAGACGTCAGCCACTTCTTCAGAGCCTCGCGTAAAGATGTCGAAGACGGCTGCGAGTGCAGAATCTCCGTCACCTTCTTGCGCGATTCCTCTACCAAGGTCCCGTTGACTTTGGGCTACAAAATTCTTCGATTTAAAAAAGAAAAGCGTTTCAAGAACTTTAAAATTAAGTAGGTTTGAAAAAAATTGCATTTGGTGTCTGATTTACATTTAAAAATTGCAAAACAAAGCGATCAATTCGGAAAAAAAGTAGTCACAGCCGAACCAATTTAATCTCACAACTATATTTACGTAGCGTTTGCTGTTTTTGTCTGCAGTTGAGATGATGCATACTAAACAGCGTAATACACGCGCAAAACTTTTAATTTTTTTCTAAAACGTCGAAACATTAAATTTATTTCTAGAACTTCGAACTTTTGATAATTTTTTCAGTTCAAAATAAAAAGTTGAAAAATTAAAATGACCTTTTTTCACCCTTTTTTTCAAATATTACTAAAAGTGAGAATTTTCAAATTGGACTCACTGATTCCGCAGCTTTCTCTGCGTTTTCGTTTATCGAGTGAAGTTGCTCGTGTTTGGCCATGACATCAGCGCCACGACAAGAGAAGGTGCAGCTTTTGCACTGGAACAGAAATTAGACGGTGAATTGTTGGACTTCAAACCTTGATATCGCTGCTCACGAGGTGTTTCTGGGTGTGACGTTTCATGCGACTCTGGTTGGGCGCCTTGTAAGGACACATGTCACACTGGTAAGTCAATACCTGCGTCGAATCCTCCGTTCGGTCGGTAACCGTGGAACTGAAAAAGAGAGTGATTAGAATTGAATTTTTGTGAGAAATTTTTTTAATTTTCAGTGAGACAACTCAAAAAATTACGTATGAGGTCTGAAAACCCGAATAACAATTCAAAAATGCTACTAACCACAGTTTTTCAAAACATACCTGCAGCTAGGACTTTCTTCGGCCTCCAAAGATGGGCTAGGACTTTCAGGCTCCGGCGACGCGACCACTTCTTTATTAGGAGAAGACTGGTCGAAGAACCTAAGTTTCTTTTTAGATATGTTCTCTATGATGATCTCACTTCATGAGAAAGTCGTGTCCAATGAGTTCAGTGAGGAAAAAGAGCCGCGCATTGGGATTTCGGAACCTTTTGTGCAGTCTTTCCTTGTGTCTTCGGAGTTCCCATTGTGTCGCGAACTTGGCGCTACACTGCCGACAGAAAAACTTGGAATTTTTGGCGAATTTCTTCTGGGAAAAGGAAAATGAAAAAAAGACAGTTTTCTGGAGTTACCGGACGATGAGCTCGCAATTTGTGGGTTGCGACAAGCGTTCGGCACGTCGTATTGAAGTCGCAGCCCGTGACGTCGCATTCGAAGCCGCTCTCCGTTTTCCGCGCCGAAGAAATCGACATCTGGAAGTCCACTTTGAGAAATATTTTAGTCGGTTTTCGAACGCACCTGAGCCCTTCTCAGCTGATTGAACTTGATCTTTTTCCTCGTCAGATCGGCCTTCTCGCCAACATAAACTAAAGCGAACTCGTCGGCTTCTACTTCATGAAGTTCCGCGTGTTTCTTCAGCACCATCGGTGACATGCTTCTGAATAATTTCACCTTAAATTCGGAAAAATAGACGGGAGGAAACTTGAAAGAACAGGCAGGACACTGGAATCCGCTGGTCCGTTTGTGGCCAGCCGTGTGTTGGCGGACAGTTGCTGGCGACTCACTTGTAAAAGGACAAACTGGACATTTTGTCATATGCCCTCCTTCTTGTAGCACTGAAACAAGGAACTGTCGGGAGAATTTTAGAAATCTATTTTTTTTTTCCCAAGAAATTTGTGTATTGATGAAATGTTGAGAAAGTTGCTTCAAATGGTCTTTTGCCCTGTGTTCTGTTATTTTCTGTGAATTTGATCAAACTAGGAAGAAAACGCACATATTCGCTATCTGCGCAAAATTCTCGTTTCAGAGATGGGAAATTTCAAATCTGCAAAGTATGGGTCTCGGACTTGGTTCTGTCTTGAACGCGAAATTTGAAAATGAATCTCTAAACCTAGAAATTTGCGGAGATGCGAATATTCATTAAAAATATTTGAGCAAGTTTAGAAAATTTTTCAAGAAAGCAGGCCAAAAATTTACTCTTAATATTAGGTGATAAAAAAATAAATATTTTTTTAATGAGTTGTGTCACTTTTTTAAATGATTATTCTCTTGATAAATGAAAAAAAGTATTGGTAAAAAGGTACTTTGAACAATTTTTCTCCAAAAATATACTGGGGAATTAATTCCCATCTCACTAGGGAACGTTTTTTATTTTTAAATTTCTCGCAATAGATCTCGTTTTCAAGTTAGGACACTTCAAAAGCTCAAAATAGCGTTTTTTTTTTGTCATATTTTGCGGTCTTTGAAGCTCCATAACTCTGAAACAAAAGCTACCTATTTTGGAATTTTGAAAGGTTTTGAAAAGATCGTTCAGAGGAAGAACATTTGATGATGAGATCCAACTATTTTGACAGCTATCTCGATAGACGGATAACGCAAACGAACCAGGCGGTTGCGAAGGATTGGGTAAGAGAGGCGGCGGCGACGACGACGAGGGGGCTGCCTCGGCCACGGCCAACGACTGCTTGGGCAGGGCAGGCGAAAGTCGCGGAGGGGTCGCGCTCGTTGACCTTCTGTCCGACGCGTCGCCGTTTTCTGCTCTCGTGTATGTGCTCTGGAGCAGGGCGAATTAGGACAGTCCGACGTTTTTTTTTTCAAGAAAGAGAGGCTTTTAGCCAAAAAATTTTGGAGATCTTACGAAAAGCCTTGAAGTAAAAATAGCTATTGAGAAATTATTTTCTAAATTCTTGCATTTTTTAAATGAGATTTGTATCAAAAATTTCTTTTTCTCAGGTTTAAATCAACAGATATAATTTTCAGTTTGCCGTGAAAAAAATGACGTATTGAAAAAAATATTAACGGAATGATAAACTGCCTAAATTTATTTGCAAAGTCGGAATGGTGGATAATGGCCGCTAAAAGGGAGAGGCTCAAAAAAGGACGCATAAAGGCAGCAAAAAGAGTCCCTTTATCGGGTCCTTTTATTTTTTCTAGAACTTTGAAGACTCAAAAAATGGTGAAAAAAGAGCGAAAGAGTGTAGCAGAAATGCCCCAAAAAAAGGTCTTTATCAACCCTAGGAACGTTTATATAGAGCTTTTTTCGACTTTTGCGTACGTATAGAAAAATGATCCCACGAAAACTTTTTTTTTACTTTTTAAATTACATTAACCCCCTGAAATTTGGCTCAATTCACTGAATCCTTCGATTGACATCAGATTATTCATTGAAACTGTAGGCGAACCTTATTGATTTGAGAAATCGGAGCAGGCTGCGGAGCGGTGGAGGTCGTCGCAGTCACATTTGGAATGTTAGGACTGGGCGTGGCGGTGACGACGCCGAAGCGTTGGTGGATCCTCTGGTGGATCCGGAGCGCCTTGAAGGTTTCCGAGGAGAAGTCGCAGATCTCACAGGGAAACTTCCGCTTGATTTCTGAACTTTCTTGTTTGTGAAAGATATTCGGAACGGTAACAACTTGTGTGTAGTTTGGAATGATTTGCGATTCCGGAGCGAGATTCGTACCTCGCTGGACACTTTTTGCACCGGAATTCGCCCTTCCAGCCCCACGCGACCAAGCTCCTGAAATGTGAAATAGATAAATATGCGGTGAATCACTTTTACTGCCCGAAATTTCAAAATTTTCCACTTTTTGATTTTTGAAGAAACAACAAGCTATTTCAATGGAAACAATGTAGAACCTCGTCGTCGTCATTGTCGTCGTAAAGAAATCCTCGTCCAGGAGCTGAACGCCGTTTGCGCCGCCCGTCTTCTTCGCCGTCCACGCCGTTCGCCATACTCATTTCCGAGCCGTCGATGTTGATCGATAGCGGATCGAGGCGACTCTGCAAAACAAAAGTCGTTGGATATTCTTTTCTCATATTTTATCATTCAGATACAATAATATTCACCTTTTTGCTTGGATGGCCATGAATCGCGGCAATGTCGAGATGGAACTTGTTACGTTTTGAACGTCTCAAACTTTCAGCAGTTTCCATCTCTGCAATATGGATAAAATTACGAAAAAAAATTTTCATGAGAGAGAACGAGCAGAGAAAGTAGAGCAAGAAAAGAAAAATACCGTTAACGAGTTTTTTTCATTTTCATAATTTATTTTTTTCATCTATTTTTAAAAAGCACGTACGTTTTGAAACCATCGTAGCGTGGTTTCAAAATTTCGACATGGATTTTCTAATTTTCAAAACAAGCGAGCCCCGTTCTCACGGCAAACATAAAACAATGAGTTTCCTACAAATGAAAGTGAAAATAATGAAAGCGAAAGCTTCGTCTGTTGCGTATGAAGAATTTTTATTTCAAATGAGATCAGAGTATTCCTCATGAAGCAATCACCGATTACAATAAAAGTTCCTGAAGAACAGTGAAAAAAAAAAACAACAACAGAAGGAGAAAAATAAAATGCGACTGTGAGAATAATGAGTGCCGAAGATTTGAGGCTCTGCCCACGCCTATTCCTTTCACGGACCGCCCCTTTTTAACAACAAACTGATGAAGTGAGTTTTCGCATTGTCAAAAGGATATAACAAGCACCAATTAACCTTATTCGAAGACCTTCCAATATTAGTGGAACTTTTTTGAGTATAAATTGTTAACTCAATTCTAAAAAGATTATACTTTACCAACTGAACCATGGAGCATACTGGGTTCCATTTTCCGGATTATCGATTTAGCCTCTAACAATGATTATAAGAATATTCCAGTTTATTTAGAAAAACCTTTTAGAACTTCAAAACAAGCTTTTAAAGCGGAAAAATAGAAGCTAAACTGAGAATGAAAGACGCCAAAAGAAAATGCAGCAAAGCGGCAACCGTAGCCCTAGGATCGCACCTTACGAAACTAAAAAATTTCAATTTTTTTTTTGAACGAGCTACTTTTGAATAAAAAGTTAAATAACAATCAATCAAGATTAATGTGCGTTTTTCTTTTTCATCAAGAAATTATTTTTTAGTTTCTGAAAATTTCAATTTTGAGAACTTTTTTTGATACCGACTTCAGTGAAGCCTCAAGAACTTAACACGTTTTCAAACGTCTTTCTTCTCTTTTTTTCATTGTTCAAAAAAATCGTGATGAATATGAAAAAAAGATAAATTTTCCTAATAATAAATGTTCAAAGTTATTTCCGCGAAATTCAAAGTTATCTCTGACTCTCCGAAATCTGTTTATCTTTTTCTCTCTCTGACGGCTATTTCGAGTTTCGCGGAATCACTTTGAACACAGCATAAAAGTATTGGAGGTAGAAAATAGGTAATTAATATTTAGGAGTTAAAATTCGCTGAAAACTCCTAGAAATTTTTTTTCAAATTGACAGACAGTCGTTATTCGCTTCAAGTGTAAGTTTTGAATTTCGAATAATCGAAAATAAGTACGATTTTTACTAACTTGATTAAAAAATTATCTATTCTCAACAACCCAGAAAACTTTTTTATTATTTCAAAAAAATTCGCGCAGAAAGCGGCTGAGCGGACTCGTTTACAGTACACTAAAACTGTTTCTGCAGATTCTCAGCAAAAATCGCTTAAATGACCTCATTTTTGAACAAAAAACCTAAGTTTTCAGGAAACTCTCATCAAGATAGTTTCAAAAAAATAAAAGAACGTGTAAAAAAAACAAAAAGGATTTTGTGTTGGACTTTTGCGCCGACTCGTACTTTATCTCTCCCCATTAGTAGCCAAGGACGACCAAACTCCGAGGTACTCTTTTCGACAAAAAGAGAAGAAAAGAAATAAACAAGGCGTGATGTGCTCCCAACTCTGTCCCATTGAGAACTGAAAGATCCGCCGTCAGAACAATCGAATTGATGAGAGCGCAGCACCGTTTCGCACGTTTCCTTGCCAACACACCCAAGGCAATTTGGATTGGAATCAGCTGGCGGTGTGAGCTGTCGGATGGGTCGACCTGGGTCCCGATGGTGCGAGCTTGAGCCATCACCATAATCGGTGACAGCTCCCAGACTCTCGTTCCAACACCTCTTCGGGGGGCAAACATTGGCAAACCAATTATCGGTGAATTTCAAACCAATAATTATGTTTGGTATCGGCGGTACAAGATTTGTGAGGTTGTCCAGCTGGAAACTACACAGATTTGTGATTTATTCTATGGTAGTAGATTTAAAAAAGTCGTAAGTCTCCATCTTAATATGGAAACTGTTTTTGAGACTACCATGTCATCGTCTCTTCATTGAAAAACGATGAAAAAAACTTGAAAGTTTCTTTTTCTGATTTAGATACAAGAAGAAAAAAATTTAACTTTCTGGAACTTGTAGAGAAAAAGCAAAGGAGAAACTGTAAATCGGGGAGTAAGCCGTGAGAAATCTAGTATTACTGTCCAAAAGCAAAAAGTATTTTCGACATGGGTAAGAGAACAATAAACTTTAAAAAAGTCCTCATAAAACTCTTTTGAAAAAAAAAATGAGAGGGATCAAGTAAAAACTGAGAATGAAAAACGGAAGATCAAGTCCACAGTAAAGAACTCCTTCCACGACCAAGAAAAAGCTTCAAAAAAAACATTCTTTGTTTAAAAAAAAACCACAATCTGAGGAAAGTCCAAAATATATTTCTTTGAAAATCGGAACTGTTTAGAAGAGAGAGTAAATAAGATCGGAAAATGTGAACAGAACTAAACAACAGGTTCCTGGTCACGACGCAGACTTTCAAGTGAGAGAAAAAAATTTTCCTATAATGATAATTTGCTCCAAAGAAGCGTTGAAGAGAGTTGGAAGATTTGAGAAAAAGAAAAGCGGCTGCAGAGAAATGAATATACAAAAATTTTCAGTTCAAAAGCATAAGTGAACTATTTTAGTCTAAAAGATTTGCGCATCCGTAAAAAGTTTCGATTTCTCATTATTTATTGTCTTTAATTCAAAAACCGTAATAAAATAGTTGCTAACTACTAAAGTTATAGAAAAAAAACTTGTTAGAACAAAAAATTTCTTGCTATGTGATTATTTTGTAGGTTGATGAAGTGAGGTCGCCAACTTATATTTTTTTAAATTCTGAAATTTCAAATTGAACTTCGAATTTCTGAATATAACGAGAATCCGTGGAGTAATTACTTAAGACATTAAACTACCGAAAAAAGACGTTCTGTTGCTTTTTAGCAAAGAAACTATCACAGGAAGGTGATAGTAGGTGAGTATTCTCACAATATTTATTAACTTAAACTTAGAAAGTCTAAATCCAACCGAGAATTCGTGGATTACAGCGCATCAGCTCAAAAAGACAAACGCTCGCTATAAAATCCTCTCAAAACAATGAGGACCTAGGCGTGTTAGAGCGAACTGAAAACTAATATGAAGTCTTTCTAAAAGTCTTTCAGAACCAAGTTGTTCTATTTAGAATCCAGTTATCCTCGATATCATTAGTTCCATGCTAGAAGCCTTGACTGAGCTTGGGAAGCACGGTCCTGAGAAATGGTCAAAGCGTGTGGGGAGGGAGCGTGGCAAAGCGAGAGGGTGCACGGATCGATACAGCCCGGGCACACAGCAACACCCACAGCGCGTAGAACCACCGGAGGCACCTAGAGACTGAAACGAAACGAAGATTCTACAATGAAAAACTGAAGTTATGAGATAAACTGTCGGAATCGGAGAATTCGCAGCAAGTAGACTATCCAAGGCCTAATGACTGAGCGAGTTGCCACGCAATAACGTTGATGGCGGCCGAGAAATGGTTTCCTTTCAACTAACGTCCTCTTGATGGATGGAAGCATGAGAACACTAACGGTACTCCTTTCTATCAAAGCGGCTGAGAGATCCAATAAATGAGGCATCTTTTTTTTTCAAACTTCCGTTAGAGTTAATGAACAATAGTTATCACAGAGACAAACTCAAACCCAAACGACATTTTTAGCGTAAACCATGAAACCAACTATCAACTTTCAATAAGAGGCATGCAAAAAATTCCTCGTTCTATTTTTCCGATTTGAACTGACTGGAAGTTTTTTTTCTAAGCTAAACTTTTTTTTCCTAAGCTAAATTTCCAGCATATTGAATTTTTGTTAATTTTCGCAAACTCAAATTAAACTCGAGGAAAAAAAAATGAAAAGAATCTTTCGTAGATGTTCTCCTGTTGTCAGAAGCACTACATCTCAGAAAAAAGGAAAAGAGAATTTATATCATGAATGTATAAACTTCTAATTTTTCTTGGAATTACGCAGAGCAACACTGTTTTCATATCCTCGGAATCATTAAAAGTATTCGGATTTCGAAAAAAATCTTCAAAAAAAATTATAAAAAAAATATAAAATATTTTTGCTCGTCCTAATTGAAAAAAAAGTATGGTACACAATAATTGAAAAAGAAAACCGAGAAAAGCTCCATTTACTCGGATTTTTTTAAAACTTTGTTTCAAGCATCTTTGATCTACTTAATGATTCTATTAAATCTTTCCTATTATAAATTTGCACACCATCTTTTCAATTAATAAATGGAAATGAAAAGCTAGAAGTGAGCGCTAATCGTATAATTACGTTGACAAGTTCAACTCCAAAAAGTTATTCTAAAAAGTCAGATCAACCGCCCGTTAGAAAATTGCTAAAGAAGAAACTAACTTCCGGTAAATTGCCTAATAGGGAAAATATGAGAAAAGCGTTAAATTCATTGCGCGACTTAGGAGTGTGGGCCGAAATCGGGCGGTCGGCGAGGGCGCGCCGTATACTCATGAAAACGCGTCCTCGATTAAGTCGCAGAACTCAAATTATAGTTCAAAATTTGCTCATTTTTTATGACTATCTCATACAATCCTTATCGGACGTCAAAAACTATCTGATAGAATTATTTTTTTTCGAAGAAATTTTCAAAAATTGACCCCCATCAATAATGTAATTTTCTTTGCTGCATATTTCATGCAAACTGAGAGTCCTAATGGAATGGAGAGGCTTTCCGAGTACTTTTGCCTACGAGAGTCTCTAGACAGTATTTAGAGGATGAAACGAAAACGAAAAGGCAATCATTTCTATCATGATCATGATGCGTTTATTCTGAGAGTTTCTCTGGCTTTGAGAATACCAGTAAGGAGAAATCATCGCCAGCAGGCAATACACGCGCAGAATATTGGAAAACCAGCAAAAGCTAGTAGATTTCGTAGATACCAGGAGAGATAGTTCTCAAAATCCGGACAGGAAACGAGAACAGATCATATCTCCTGGAAGGCTACAGGCCTATAGGCGTCCTGAGAGCCTGAGGGGATAACGGAGTGCGAGTCCCGAATTGGAAATTGAAAGTCGGGTAGTTGATCCGGAGAAGCTCGGGACATGTAGATCAGGAAGCATAAAGGCTTGCGACAAGGAATCAGTCGCGGTCTCACTCTCCTGCGCCGTCTTTCGTCTCCGAACGGGGTAGGTGCTAGAGTGCAGACAGACAGGGTGCTCCTCTCTTCGTGGCTAGAAACGCAGACTGCCTTCTCCATAGGGCCAGGTACTGAGAGGCCAAAGAGACTACAGATATAGAGGAAGATGAGGACTGAACTCAAATCAGAACTTATCAACGTTTTCTCGTGTAATTACGAAAAAAGTCCGACGAATTTCCGCAATTTCAGCTAGGGGGCCCGCATTACAACGTTTTAGAGGAGAAGACTCTGAGAATTTGGACTACGCTCAAAAAATTAAAGCGAAAAGAATTTTCACAAATTTTGGTATTATAATACGGAAGAAATTCAGAGGCGTAGAGTTCTTAAGTTTTGCGAAAAATTATCTCGAATCGATTTTCAGTAAAGTGAAGATGACGAGGAAGGAAGATCCGACGGAGAATGGCAGGTGTTTAACATCGCGGTTCCTTTAGACTCTCTGCTAAAGGAAGTGTAGATCTTACTACTTTTCTCTCAAATTTCGAAACATTGGATAGTGAATATTCACTAAAAACGGTTACGGAAAACCCAAAATTAGAAAATTAGACAGAGATTCTTATGGGAGTAGACTCTCAGTTTCTTGACCATAGCTAAATGAAGCTTTGGTATCCTTCTGGATAAATGGTAGAACAAAAGGTAGCGACGTCGATTGATAAGACAATCGATAAACAGGAAAAAAAGCTGCTTGAGAGTTACAAGAGGTTCAAAGGAATAATCACAAAAATTTCCTGTCGAAAAACTTCAATATTTTTTCAATTTAAAGAGTTTATAAATGGTGAAGTTAGGAAAGAGTTCAAAATATCGTTGAGAAACTTTTTACTAGCATCAAAAGGATCATCAAATCACGACAAAAACTTGAAAATTGATACCATCCAAGATAAAATAAATTATTGAAGCAAAAAAGACATATATAGTGGCAAAGATTAAAATTACATAAAATAATAGAACAAAACTAAATTTTATTTTTGTTATTCCTTGCTAAACTTTATTGATGAAAGTGCTGAAGCCAGAAATTTTATCCCCATCACAAAGGACTTTCCAGTAAAAAAAGGTTTTAAAGTCGAATTCTTCATGGAAAAAATAATGAAAATGAAAGTTTGTTGGACTCACGGTTAACCACAAGCTTGAGAATGAAACGTTTATCATTTATGAAAGGCACAAAAAGAATTTTTGAAAATCGTTCTAACTTAAAACCGAGCTAAATCATTTCTGAAATAGGCAAATTGTCTTGGTTTTGTAAGCAACTTTTGCAAGATTGCAAAACCTCACGAAGATACTCAAATTTATTACTTTCAGTTTTTCATTTTTCTTCGTAAATACGGAAAAAAGGTGTGCGTGTGATAGAAATTGCGGTTCCAAAGCTAAATGTGTCTCAGGTCGATATGTCCTTTTTCAGAATTATAGCGTGCAAAAATGAATTATAAAAAAAAGGTACTAGACACTTCAAAACAATGTGGGTGGCACGAAATGAGAGGCACGAGATAGGAAAACGAGAAAAAAAAAGCTCGCGGCAGTTCAGGTATCAAATGATTAAAAAAAAAGAAAACTCCCATAATTTGGGTTCGTAATCTTCGCTAAATTAAAAACTAGATCGCGTTGAGAAAATTAGAGCCGCAAGAATGACTATAAGATGATGACGTCATCAAGGTCGTTCATTTTAAGACACTTTTTCACAATGCAATTTTCCAGAAGTGCGTTCGGCTTGATGAAGAAGTTGGTCACGAAAAAACTCCTGGCAAACCGTTTTTTCTTCTGTCGGATACGACGGGAATGCGGCGCGCGGATCATAAAACAAACAGCGGAAATGCGGAGACTTGGTCATATTAATTATTCAATTAAAGGAAGCAACTCAAAGGCGAAAAACAAAGATTTTCATTTTTATTTCCGGACGTTAAGCTTTAAAATATACTCAAAAAGGTAATGATTATTCCTCATATCGAAATAGTTGAGATTATGACGGAGCACTTTACGGCGAAGCTTGAAAAAATAAATTTCCATTCTCAATTTCAAAAGGTTATCAAAATTTTCGTTTCTTTTTCGAAATTTAGTTTTTACGGGGCTCTATGTTTTTAGTTATCGTAAAATCATCACAGCGTTAGAAATCGGTAGAAAAAAACAGAGAATGTAGAGCTTACATACTTCATTTTTGGATTATGAATCTTCAAACAGTTACTCTAGAGTCATTCGGATGTCCATACCTGATATTCATGAGCGATGCTCACATTGGTGACGATTGCACCTTCGCACGGGTTCTTGTAGGGACCAATTCGGTTCCAATCACTCCTGGTATCATTTTTGCCAGACTGAAGCCTTCCAGATGTAGTGAAAATACGCATAACTATCTTTCTGTTCTACAAGTACGGAAAATAATATTTACTCTCAAACGTAACAACAACAACAACAACAAAAAATATCAATATTTCAACAAAAAGGGAAGAAATTTTCGAGGACTAGTCGTCGTCGGCGAAAATGGTCTTCTTGCCACATGGTACGACGTTCTGCTCCTTGCGCTGATTCATCCGTGCCGCCCAAGACGGATGAACTTCCTCTGGAAAAAAAAATATGTAGAGATTAAAATAGGAAAGATGAACCTTGAGCCTGTTTGCTAGAGCCCTTTCCGAATTTCTTCGTAGCTGGACCATCTCTTCTGTTGGAGTTTTGGGGTGCAGACAGTCTCAACCGCTTCACTTCCACCTCTTCGTTTTTTTCTGAACAAGAAAATTATTCCGCATACAGTATAGAGAAAAACAAACGTTTCGATTTTTCTTCTCTCATTTCTTTGCGCTTGGTGGCGGCGACACTTTTCGTGACGAAAAATGAAGATTTTGCCTCTTCATCCTCATCATCGCTGCTGTCTTTTCTTTCATGGGCAACATTCGCGTCCGGAGTTTCTTTGGCGATAAAACCTCCTTCAGATAAGTTGACGCGACGGACAACCGCCTTGAAAATCGAAAATTTTGAATTTCAAAATGAAATGGCACCTGAGAGGGGATCGTGGGTCCTTCATCCTTTGCGGGTTCAGAAGAAGGCGCTTTTGTCGCTATTCCTTCCTTCTTTTTCTTTTTCGCCTTTGTCCCCTTTAGGTTTCTTGGCCTGGAAGTTCAAAGTAGAGTTGAAAATTCGATTTTCAAGAGGGTTCGTTATAGTTTTTTTTTTGAAAAAAGGAGTAAGGAAAGTTTTATATATTTTTTTCTGCGCGCAATTTGACAAAAAGAAAGTTCATACCATAAAATGTAAGATGTGAAGAATTTCCTTTTTAAAAATTTTGAATACAGTTCAAATTTTTTCGTATTCACATATTTTAGCTGTTTACGATTATAGCTGGAGTATTCAAGAAATAACGATGTATTCAATACAATAAAAAGCTAACGAACCTTGACGTCACTCAGGCTTTTCTTCAGAACCTGCTGCAAAAGTTCCTTGGATTGTTTTACAGAAGTACCGGTGATTTTCTTCGGTTCTTTCTCAATTTCTTCCTCTTCGTCGCTTTCCAGAGCTTTTTTCGATTGTGCTTTTGGCGCCGGTCGAGATTTGTCCTCTTTCAAGCCCGCCAAACCCAAAAACTGCAAGAAAAATTTCGAAATTGAGCAAAGCTATCCTTTATTTACGAGAGCTCGTCGTTTTTCGGCAGCTTCTGCTTCGACTTCTTCATCGCTGTCGCAAATTTCGATGTCCGAGATGTGGCAATCTTCTTCTAAATCTCCGTCTTCGGCTTCCTCGGAATCGTGCATCGACTCTTTTTCAGAATCCTCCTCGGGATCGTCCGATCCTTTCTCAGCAGTTTCCTCTACTTGTTCTTTTTCAATGATTTCTCTTTTGACGTCTTTCTTCTCCTCTTTTCCAGAATACTGAAGACCAAGCCGTTGTAGGAAAAACGCCGTGGATGACTCCCATTGTAGGTATTTTTCACTGGAATTCATAACAAAAATTAATGTCTCTCATCATATTTCCCACCGAAACTTCTGAACAGCTTTCACCACAGGATCCTCACAAGCCAGTTTGTACATGAGACGCTCCAAAACTGGAGTGTCGCCCTGAAACTTTCAATGAGTTGAAATATGAAAAGAAGTCGACCTGAATACGGAATTCGTTCAGTTTCTTCTTATTGAGCAGGGCGAACTTGGAAACTGTGTCCTTGTCAACCACCTGAGCGAGAAAAAAGCCATTGAAAGCATTTTCAGTGAATGAAACCTTGATTTCTTTGATTTCTTCTGCCAGACGCTGGGCCTTACGATCAAACTCGGACTTCTTAACACTGGAAATCTCCATTTTTGCGATTTTGTGATCAATCGCTTTCTTTTTGCGCACCAAGTCGCCCATGAGGTGACCTTTCGCGGTTTTGATCACCTTTCTCATACAAACAATCTGAATTTTTTAAAAATCAGTTCAAAGATACGTTTCAAATACTTCGTTATTTAAAGCTTGCGCCGTCATTGGCCTTTTCTCGGAGGAAGAAGACGCCGCGGGACCTTTCTTCTTCTTCTTCAACGCCGTCTTTTCAGGTTTTTCCACATCACGTTTAGATTCAGAAGAGCTGGACAAGTTGGGCAAAGCGAACGTTATTACTGGAGTCGGTATGTCCGACATATCGAAAATCTGTAAAAAATCTGAAGGTGACGGTAGAAGAGACTCTAATAAGACCTTGTGGCCCTCAGAGACATCATCGACATCGGCAGACTTTACTGAAGGTAATTCTGTCGACTCTTCCGTTTGGGTTTCTGTCGGCTTTTTCTTTGTTTTCAGCACTTTGCGAACTCTTTTAACCATGACCATCTAGATTCTATATAAATGATCGAGTAAAGGAAAAAATGGAATAAGCAGTATTCGACAGATAGGCCAACAGATCTTCCTGCAGAAAAAGACAGGTAAATTAATACTTTATAAAAAAATTTGTTTCTCTTATCATCACCTCCATATTACCAGAACAAAAAAATCAGGAATAGGGGAAATTTTTCGCACCAGTTCGTATGGTTTCTATCACAATGGAATTGAAAAATTGCACTCGTTCTAGTCAAAAATTGACCAGTTAATAAAATAGAGTACCGGAGGATAAAATCTGAAGAAAAGTAAATGATCACAATAATTTAAGGCGAAATACAAAAAGGCAGCATATATTTTACAACAACTTTTTTTTCCGTTTTGAGAGATAGAAAAATTGTTCAATCAGATCCAAAAGACAATGTGCAAAGTGAAGTTCAGATTCAGACAAGCGTAGTGCAATATGTACGGATTTCCAATTTAATATGCAAATGTACACGAAAAAGGCTAAGAAGTTGAACAAACTATGCAAGAACTTGACTAATTTTGCAGAAAGAAGTACCCAGAAAGAGGAAGGAATCATTATAATGGAGGAGGCTGAGAGTTCAGCGGCGGTGGATTGAACATTCCTTCGGTCAAGTAGCCGGCGATTCCGGAAGTAGGTCCTGAGAATGGCAATTTTGTGAAAGGAATTTTTTTAATAAAAAAATAAAAAAAACGTTTTTTTACTGCAGATCATTATTCGCAGATTTGCGACTGTGAAAAAGTTTCCGAAAAAATTTCATCAATTCTAGTTTTACTCCTCACAATAGTCTTTTCAATATTCCCCGAGTTCGGCGCTTCATGGTAAAGAGGAAAATTCTATGGAATTCTTACAAGGTTTGCGGTCTAGAATTCCTCGAAAATCTATCAGAACACTCCTTAGAGTACCCAAAAAGGATTCTGAAAGCCTCAAGTTGCACAACTTCCTAGTTTTTGAGAAATGAGGGTTCAAAGCTGACGAAAGCTTCAAAATCAGTCAAAAAAGGCCATTTTTGGGGCTCCGAGCGCTTATTTCTTGAAAAATAGGAAGTTTTGCAGATTAAGACTTTCAAGTCCTTAATTTGGTACTTCAAGGGAGATAGTGATTTCTCGAAAATTTCCAATTTGTAAAATGAAATTACATCCTTTGTCAGTGGCAAGAAACGTCATGGTCATGAGAGACTTCTGCACTTTTGAAAATCAGAATAATAATTTTTCAAAAAGATAATGCTATAATTGAAGTTTCGCGTATCCGAAAAAGGAAACTGAGACTATCAAATCTATTTTGAAACGCTTGAAAATGAGTCTTCGAAAATGGAAAAAAGAAACCGTATACTGATATTTCACAATTCGTTTATTCATTTTTATACTTTTTCTTTTCCTATTTTCGCTAAGAAAAAATTGATTGGTTATAACCGGTTCAGTCACCTCCAACAAAAAAACAAAGAAATGTTGAATTATAAAACGAAAAACATACCAGCGATGGCTTGAGTCCTCGCGGCGGGCAAGAAAAGGTCGTGTCTCTGGTCCTTGTACTGAGCCCACACCGGTGACTTCTCCAAGATTGCAGAAATCTTGTCGCCGACTTTCAGGTCCAAACAAGTCGATTTGAGGGCATCGACAATTTCTGCGCGAGCCGCCGCGGAGTTAGAGACTCCTTTAAAACACGGAAATGATCTACTAAAGGGAAATCTCAACCATCCATAGGCTGATTGAGGACGTCGAGCAAGTACGGAACCATTCCAGAAGTGAGCATTTGCGAGGCCAATTCTCCAGTGTTCCGTTTCATCAGACACTTCAGAGCATGCGCCGATTCACGCATCAACGCTGAAAGTTATTTGAATAGTACGAAAAAAAATGCGTCGTCAAGTTTTTTATTTTAGGATTTTGTTTTAAGACATCAAACCAATGGGAACTGAACTTGAGATGTATAAACTCACGGTCAATTATATTGTCCCTTTGTAATCTGTTCTAATTGTAGTAAACTGATAATGAAGTTCAAAGAGAAGTACAGAACACATATGCATTCTTTCAGTCTTCAGAGAAGATTATCTGCTGGATCACGTATCACTAGAATGGTTGTTTGTCGGTTCGCGTAGCTGTCGTTGATCAAGCTTCGACGGCGCGTAGAGCATCTCGCCTTTTCTTGTGATAGTAGTAGATAATTTTTGAGCATTCCGAAGATGAGCTGCTTCTCCATGTACGAACAGTACGACACCGAGGTTGTCCAGGGCTGGCGGGCTTCGGATTGAATCTCAGGCGAGGGCAATAATGAAAACCGACCACTCGGGAGGTAGAAATGAGATCAAGAACTTAATATGCAAAGTTTTCCGATAACTTTAGCCTCATGTAAACTCAATTTCCCTAACCCGCTGATAACTTTTTTTAAATTTTTCTTCCAGTCGAACTGGAGCCCTTTGTCCTAGAGAAACTCACTAGGCTGATTCTTCATCGACCTCATGATCCCGTCGATGCAACTCAACTGTGAGAGAGCGTCTGCGCAGTACTGAAAAAAAGGGCGTTCAACAGTTATTGAGAGAATGAGAACATTGTTTTCGGAGAGTTCCTGCAGGATCAAAATGGCGGCTCGAGAGGCCTCTGAGTTCTGAAGACACATGGCCGTGCAGAACTGCGGCAAGTAGCCTTGTGCGGGAAGCTTGAAAAAAACTTTTATTCAGAAGCTCTTCAAAGGGTATAGTCAAACCTGATCAGCAGTGTTGGGATGATTTCTGACGAGTTCTACGAAAGCCCTTGTGATCAACTGAAGATCCTTCGTTGGCTTGGCCATTTGCTCCAGAACTCTGAGTAGATTTTGAAGGGAAGAAACGATGAGATGACAACTTTTCGATGAGTTCTGTCGCGAAATGCTTGGGATGCCTGACCGACCAAGCGGGGTTTTCCACGAAAAGCCTCACGAAAACGCCGCCGACCACAAGTTCCCCGCTCACCGAATCTCCATAGGCGCACGCGGTGTCCGCAAGAGAAGTCTTAAGATGACTTTGAGATCCTTGTTGAACCCGATTTTGGCATAATAACAGAAAAATTATCGGAGAAAGAAAAAATTGAGAAGGAAAACTTTGGTGAACAAAAATTTCTTGGTTCGATGATTTTTTTTAAGGGGTTCTTTGTAGAAAAAGGTGGAAAAAAGAATAGAAACCTCGAAAATTGATAAATAGTATTTTCAAGAAATTAAAATTTTTTCAATTAACTAATTATCTCAAGTCGTTTTCAAAATAAGAAAATATTAAAAAAATGAATATTTTATAGTCCACCGTAACCCTTACCGTATTCCATTTCGCGAGAGGATTCTTAATGTGCTCATCGTAAAGTTTGGCGGCCTCTGTTTCGATCACGTCGCGGACTTTCTTCCGTGTCGCGTCGTTCCAGATGAGCTCCGGATTCTCGTTGGTCGAATCGAACATGGTCAATCTGAGGACTCGGATATGAAAAATTACGCAGATTGAAGGAATTACGCCATGTTAGGAGAGTCCCTGAGTGCGTCGGCAAAGATTTCGGGAAGATATTTGATCAAGAAGCGCGTCCAGCGCGGTCCTGTCAACTTGTCGGCCTGGAGTTTGGCAAGGAGTTCGGCGGCTTGGAGTCGTTCCGCCTGGTCGCCCATCGTCTGATCGAGAATCGAGAGGATGTAAATCAGGCCGCCTATCAGATCACTTTGAGAGCTGGAAGTCACTCAATTCCTACCGTGCTCCAACATTTCCTTTACGATCGAGCCATTCGACGAAAGGGCAATCAAGACGTCCATAACAAGAGGAACAGCTAAAACTGCGGGATATTATACAATTTCGAAGAAGCTCGGGACTTTTCTTGCGGTCCCGGAGCATCGTGAAAAGTGTTGTCGAGACTTGAACCGAAGCCAAATCATTCACACATTCCTTGTTTGCCGCCGCCATTGAGAGAACCTGCAATGGGGTTAGCTTTGTGTGAAAAGAGGGGAGAAAAGCCTTGAGAGAAGCGATTTGAAGATCCGAATGCAGTCTGCAACGGAGATACGCGACGAGCAATGGGAACCGTCCTATGAGCAGCATTTCAACACCTGAAATAGAAAATTTCGTGTGATTTAGAGAAGATGAGGAATAACAGCGCCACGTTGAAAAAGGATTCTACTACTGCTCAAACAGAAAAAAGTCTAGCCACTATTACATAGGCGAATCGAGAAAGAGTACCGTGATACCCTCTGAGGTATTTCGCAGGGTCTGCAATCTATCGATGGTACCTCGAGTATACTTCTGAGGAACTCGAGCAAAATGAGATAGACTTGTAGGAGACTCTCAAGTACTTTTGAGATGACTCAGATAAAGCTAAAAGGTATAGATGATTCACGGCTAGCTTGGGACGCAAATAGGGGTGGCCTGTCTGCCCTCTCCACCAACTAGGGAGCTGTCTCGTCTTTTTTCGTGGCAGGACCCTTTTCTCGATGGCTCAAGCCAGCCGTGAATCAGCTATATGCTGAAGGTCTCACGATAGACATATTATGCGGACTTCACGATCCATTTTTGGAGGTATATTTTTGGACACATTATGGTACCCTCCCATACGTCGGCTGGATCCCACCCCGAGGTGCGGCCTACACCCCTCAAAAATTGCGGCCTTACTCAGTACACTTTCAAATTTTTTTTTCCGCACGTAAAAGGCTGGGGTGGGATCCAGCCGATGTATGTACCCTCCCGATTCGCCTGTGTAGTTACAAGGAAAGCTGGGAAAAGCCCCACAACTTCAACTCAAACCCACCTTTACGATCAGGAAAAGCGTCAGCTGTCATAATAATATTATGAATTCTCAAATGGCTCCAAACAAACCGGGATAGGCGGAGATCAAATGCGCCAGGGCAATCAGACACATATGTACTTTTTTTCTCGCTGCTCAACGCATTGCCGTTGGCGTTTCCCCAATCGATTTCGATCAAATCTTCGCTCTAAAAAAAACTTTTTGAAAAAATTATGTGGTACTCCGAAATAAAATCCTAGGAAATTCATAAAAGACCTTCAGGTCGCCGGCCTCCTTTTTTGAAAAAAGAAAAAAATAATTATAACCTTTTTTTTGACCCCAGTCAATTCGGAAACATGCTTCTCGATAAAGTCGACAAAGTCAACTGCCACTTTCTTCGGCTCCTAAAAAATCTTCGATTCATAAACCATTCACGTTCAAAACGCACATGCAAGGGGAAAGTCGGCTGTTCGTTATAAATCCTGACGAAAACGTCTCCAACGATAAGTTCGCCGGCATGAACGGAAAGACGGAACTCTGCGCCGAAAAGATCACTCTGAGAAACACTTTTTAACACCGGGGTATTCAGAAGACAGCTACCGTCGGTTCGTTAGAAGTTCTATGCCGCTCAACAAACTCGAGAACTTCCACTCGAGTCCCGTTGTCCCAGATGATGTAGGGATTCTCCAGGTTGCTGTTCAGAGTTTTCAAGACCTTGAATTTCGAGTTAAATTTCAAAAAACTATGACAGTCGTGCGGCAATCGCCTGTCAGAAATCACGCATATTTTTTTTCGTTTTTGAATTTTGAATTTTGTTTCGGATTTCTACATGAAAATGAGGGGATTATACCAGAATGGCGCCCACTGGTGTAGGATATCTAGTGGTTTAGTAAAAAGTGCGATTCTGTATATGTGGGGAGCTGAACCGGACAAGGCTTGTATTATTCCAAATTTTGCAAGGGGCTCTTTGAAGGTTTGCCTAGGCATTCTAGAATCGTCACGCTATTTCCGCACTGTGTGAGGAAATTCTAGAATAAGATAAGCCGCCCCCCCCACACAAGGTCTTTTTAATTTCATCTGTCAAGTTTTTTTCTCACTACGTCGCCCTGTAACCGGGTGGGGGGCGATTCTGGAACTTCCTCTCTTGTTTCCCTTTCTTCGAACCTTTGAAACTTAAACTAATAGGAATTACTTCTCGGAAAACTAGCAATTGCCGCACACTGTTGCCCCCTAACCATGTCATTGCTCTCGAGCCGCATGCATCTGCAGACGTAGGGCGTTAGAAGCGCCTTGAGGCTGTTCTGGACGCCGTCGTTCTCCGGAGCGTCTTCCCGGAAGCCGGCCAACGCAGCCAAAGCTTCGCAAGAGCTTCTGGCCAGCGAGTTCGACAAGGACTGCTTGTTGGAAGACTCGCTGTGCGAGACGCCTGTAAGAAAATCCAAATAAAATGAACAGATCAAAGTATTTCCATCAAACTGAAGCTCCCAACCTCCTTCATCCAACGTGTAGTCGTATCGGAAGAGATGAGGGACCAGCTGCCACAAAACGCCAGCCTGAAATGGGAAATGACAACATCAAAAGAAGTCCTGAATACCTGGAACAAGTTGCATCTGAAGAAGCGTGTCCACAGCCATGGCACGGACACACTGCGCAGCGGCCGTGGAAAGTCGTGGAAGTTCGTGGAAATTGGAGGAGACGGCAGAGGTTTCCGAAAGACGGTGGGCATCTCGGCGATTCGCTGGCGACACGCCTCGAAGGTCGCCGACGTCGCCAGGCAGTTGCAGATGTGGATGCACACCTGAGAACAGCTTAGGGTTCATCACAATTCCGAGAGAGGAGCAAAAAGGGGCAAGCTAAAGATTTTTTGAATATTTCTTCAGGAATTAAAGTGAAAAACACCAGGTCTTCTTCTCAGAAAAAAAATTAAGATTCACGGCTAACTTGGGACGCTAAGGAGGCGTGGCCTGTCTGCGCTCTCAATTAACCAGGAACTGTCTCTTCTTCTATCGTGTCAGGACCCATTTTTCGATGGCTCAAGCCAGCCGTGATTCAGCTATAGTGGTTTATTGTTACGAGAGTTGATTTTTTTCTTTTATGAATATTCAACTTACCAATAAACACATTTCATCTTATTTTGCTGCTTAATGAGAACATCTTCACTTAAGAGATCACAAAAATTTGATGACACGAAAATTTTTTTAGTATTAAGTTCGAGCATCCAATATTGACTTTCCTTTTTTCTGTGACTCTCTGAAAATCTCATGACTGAAATGATCATTAAATAGATAAAAAAAAATCACTTGAACGGGCATATCATCTGGAGCGGAGCTCAGGGTCACCACAGGGACACAACGATCGAAAGCGATGACAAGGGCCTCAAAATTCGTATATTTTACGTTGTTTTCATGTTCAAAAAACCTCCAAGCCACGTTCCCTTCTGAGTTGCTCGGCATTCAAAGGACTGCTGATCAGGGTGTAATTGGCGAGTTCGATGGCAGCCGACAAAAGAGCTCCGCCTCCCTGAAACCCAAGGAGAATGAAAGAAACTTTGGAAAAAGGACTTCTTGGAACAGAGTCGAATCTTGTGCCTCCAAGTCGATCGTCTTGATCAGCTGGGAATAGCCGGCGTACTTGTACTCGGATAGTTCTTAAGTTCACATGATAGAACCTTCGGAGGAACTTCCAGAGCACCTTTGCTGTAGCGACTGTAGATGATACTCTGAGCCTGCAAGCACAGGACGATCCGGTGCGAGTCCGGCAAGTTGTTCTGCTCGGTGTTGGTGCTGAGAAGCTCGTAGGCGGCGTTGATCTTCTCGAACATCTCGCGGCCTTCCGGATTCTTTGTCCGGGTGGTACTTGGCCGCCAGTTTGTAGTACTGACGACGAACCACCGACGCCGTGTTCGCTCTGAGTTAGATTCCGTGAAAGAGTTCTCACAAGGAAGGTCATTTTACTTTGCGGTTGGTAACTTTTCAAAAATTTATCTTAAGGTCCTGAAAGCCTCAACCTGGAAACCCCTTAGTTTTGAAGAAATAAGGGCTCAGAGCCCCGAAAATGGATTTTATGACGGATTTTGAAAATTTGCTTTGACTTTGAGACGACCTTTCTCAAAAATTAGGAAGTTGTGCAGGTTGAGAGTTTCAGAATCCCTTTTTGGTGCTCTGAGGAGTAACTTGGCCAATTATCAGTGAATTTCCAACCAAAAAGTAAAATGACCTTCAAAAACAACCAAACATACACCACTGTAGGCAACTTCGATCATATCATTTTGTCCAAGTTCAATCACTTTTTCTGATTATAACTTTTTTACGGATTCTCTTCAGAAATTCAGTTGCGCACATTTAAATATCGGACATTTGAATAATTTAAGGCCTCAAAAGAATTTCTACCATAATGAAAGTATAGCACTAACCAAAATCGAAGATTTAATCTAAGTTTTCTTTTTTTCAAAGATTTTTCTTACTTGTTTCAAGGACACGCAATGAAATTGAAACAGACTTTTTCTGTGAGGAAACCCTGAATTATTTGAAAATTATTTTAAAAAAAAACTGGAAAAGTTCTTGTTCACCGCCTAGTCGATTACATATATGAAAAAACCACAAAACAAATGATTGATTGATTTTTGATGTACAAGACAGAAAAACATACCCTTCCATACTGGGATCAATCAGAAGCGCTTCTCGAGCTTGTTCGATCGACATCGCCGGAGGCTTTTTCTCCAGCTCATCATACCAGGCAGCTAGGCAAGATCGTAAGAACGGGATCTGGAATTGAGTTTTCCATGAATGAGTGAAGAAAAACCAATTACCGGATCTCTGATCGGCCAATCGGGGAACCTTTCCCGGTTGCAGAGATGTCGAAGATAGTAGACGTGGCAGAAGAGCTCTTTGTTAAGTTCCGGATAATCGATGAGGGGAATCGGACAGAATTGATAAAGAGCCTCAATATCAGTGATAATGACGAAGAGAACCGGTAAAGTTACTTTGACGTTGGAAGTGAGTCTGTGGGAAAAGTCAGCGACGTGAACCGCGATCCTTTCGATGAGATGTCGTCTGAGAATTTTCAGATTATTTGCTTCAAGAGGCCATTCAACCTCATGTTGGTGTTCCAAATGATCTCCGGGTTATCAAACTCTCCCAAGAAAACCTCGGCGTACTTCTCCGCGCCGTACTCTTCCAGGTAAAACGTCGCCGCTTCAGGTAACAAGGGCGCCAGTACCGACTGTCGTACTCCTTCGAGAGTTGGCTGGACGTCTAATTGAGAGAAGAAAGGGATATCAAGGCTCACCAAGCTGGACCGGAAGGCCTGTTTCTTGTGTGTGTAGTGTAAGAATCTGGCGATCGGCAGCACATTCGAACCGTTGTACATCAAAATGAAGAAGAACACGCCAGAGAGATAGAGACGAGGCAAGAATGGATTGTCCTGAGACTCATGGAATCATGGGACGAATGGTGAGAGTGTTGCACCTGCATGACCATATGCAACAGGGTGGCGACTCGCTGTACGATCTGAGGGTCGTAAGTCAGAAGGAGCTGGACGATCTGGTAGAGCAGAACGGGTTCGGTCAAAATCTTCTTCGCCGCTGGCATCGGCCTCACGACGCAGTCCTGCGCGTCTCTGTAGCGTTTATTACAAGTTCTTCCGTGTAAAGTCATTCGAAGTGGTCGCTCTCATTCCGAGGCTTCCTCCTAGAGCACGGTTTCCGGGTTCTAGCACAAAATCCGCTGCCTTCACAGCTCTATTTTCAACCTACCTTTGGCCAAAAGATCAAAGTCTCCTTCACATCCTATTTGCCCATCGTTATTCATCGTTTCTTCAAATATGGCTGATTCACGGCTAACTTAAGACGCTAAGGGGGCGTGTCCTGTCTGCGCTCTCCACGAGCTAGACGCTATCTCGTGCATTATCGTGTCAGGACCCTTTTTTCGATGTATCAAGCCAGCCGTGAATCAGCTATATATGATTCGAAGTATAGTCCTTTTTTCGCGACTTGAAAGGGCGGGACTTTTCTGCGCCCTCCCTATCTTTCGATGTCTCTCTCATGTTTATGTGCTATATCCATGTTTCTCTGACCTAGCCGGTGAGGGAACAGAGAGACGCAGACACGCAAAAACTGTCAATTAGCGACTACAAACTCAAAACAACTGCGACACAATAGAAAAAATCTTTTTTACTTTGATCATAATTTTTTTTTCCCCAATTTTTATTGAGAACATCTAAAATCTCCGCGTTTCCTTCAGAGAAATGACTTTCGATGCCAGAAACTGACCTCGAAGGGAAGAACTCGCACATTTGAATCATGGTATCCAAGCACAAGACGCACAATTGGGAAAAGTTCAACAAAGTGGCCGTGAAGCCTCCTTTCTGGTCTTCTTCCTTCAAATTCAAGTCTTACTTGAAAAAAGAGCTTTTTCCTTGAAACCACTGTTTTTGAAGTGCAAACGGTCCACCGAAACTGCGGAACCGAGCTCAAATTCGCCCATTTATCCATACCGGCCGCCCAAACAGGCGTTTTTTCAAAAATCGTCTTTTCCTCGTACAACTCTTTCATCTGGAAAAATTATTAGTTTCTCATTTTTTTTTTCTTCGAAAGACCTTCTCGAAACTTAGTGGCCCAACTCTCTGAGATTGCTTATCGTTGTAGTACCACTCCTCGGCTCCTCCTTCTGACATTTGTTCCTTGCTCGCTTCGATCACATTGCTCTATTTTTTTCCCAATATGTTCATTTTTCAAAAAATCATTTACCTGGTTTTGAACTTTTGCCCTTTGAACATGAAGATGGGCTAGGACAGACAGATCGACGAGAATAGGCAAAATATTGGCGACGATCAGTTCACGCACGTTTTCTTTGTTCAGCGCCAGTTTACTGAGCAGTAAGATCTGAAGAAAAGGAGGAAAGAATGGATCTGGACTCAAAAAATTTTACAGAATGATCTCTTTCGAAGGGATTGGTACACTTCGAGAGCATCGTGACGAAGTATTTGGCGTCGGCGAAGGTTCCGATGGTCATGTGGTGTCGAGAATAAGTTATGGCCATCGCCCGGAGACACAGACACCGCATATCGGCCTTGGAAGAGAGCAAGAAGCGGTGATAGACGTTGTTGAAGAACTCCGTTCTGGAAATGAAAATTTTCCAGGAGCAGGAGGTCCGAAATTACGGATTGTGGATGGGAGTGGCCGATTCATCTTCTTCTGTTAAGAGCAACCGGAGGTAATAATCGCCAATCTTGATTTCGTCTTGGAGAGAGGAGTAGCGGATCTTGAAACGGGGAATGGAAATCAAAGCTTTTCACGTGAAAAAAGGTTATATAAACAGGATAATTGAGATTTTTTGAGAGAAAACATCTCTCTTTAACAAGTCAAACCAGAGAAAAAAATCAAAAAAATTATAAGATTTTTTATAGCAAACTAGTTCTAAAAAAAATTTGAAAACAGTTGTAAATTTTTTCTCTATATAGTCCGTTTGCCGCGACTTGAAAAATTCGACTGTCTGAGCCTCTCTGTTCTCTCACCGGCGAGGTCACAGAAGCGCGAAAATAGCGCGCCAACGTGAGAGGGTCGTCGAGAGATAAGGAGGGTGCAGAGAAAAACAGTAGTTTCGTCACGAAAAACGGACTATAGAACTATAGAATTCCTACTAAACAACTTCAAAAAAACATTTTTATTAATAAACCATCGGCTACAGTAAGAATAAATGACTCAGAAAATTGCGTCCGTAGCTGGCTTTTTCTGTAACTTGTTATTTTTGGAAACTTTTAAAAATTTCCAAGACAGCCTGTTTTATGCTTCACTATTTAGCGCATGTTTTACTATACATCAATAAAAAAAATTTTTTTCACAGAGAAACTTCAAAACGATCAAAAAATTTCTGAAAAAAGACCTGAAACTCGGCATGATTCCAAGAGATGGGAAGTCCCGTCGGGGCCTGTTCCTTCTCACTGTTCAACGCGCGGATTTCGTTGTCCATAGCATGTCTTCAAATTAAATCCAGAAGATATGAGGAGTAAAAATCGATAGGAACCTAAACTCCTCGCGGGTTTTCTCGTTCCAGATGAAATCCGCCTGTGCATGATCTCTCTGGAACTCGTAGGCAAAAAGCTTCCAATTGAGTTTGCTTTGGACTCGGTTTCTTCGTTTGCGGAGGACGACCGGCTGCTGTCGTTGTTCCTTTTTCTCCTCAAAATTCGGAGATTGTGGAAAACTAAAGGAGCCGACAAACGTCATGCATCTTCGGCAAAAAGTTGAGTTTCTGCTCGAGGTCCCAATGCTGAATGAAACGGTCCAAGCCAGCCTCCGCAGTTACCCTGGAAAATTTCGCGAAAAATGACAAATAAACGAGAGAATTTCCGACCTGAATTGCTCGATTTTCTCTCGTACGGCACTTTGTCTTGACTCGTTGGTGGCGGCTTCGAGATTGTTCCGCGGGATGAGCAAATCTTTTTCTTGCACTGGTACTTTTGCGTCCGACTCCAGAGCATGAAGCAAACCTCGTGGCTGGAATCAAAAGACGTGAATTCAAAACGTCGTTGTTATTTTTTTTTACTTCCTTTGAGGAAAAGTCAAAATTTGGAGAAGATTTTTCAAAAACAGACTTATCAAACAAGGATACTGGGAAAATGATGATGAAAAAGTGTTCAAAGAAAAATCAAACATCATCCAAAGTCTCTAAGAAAATTATTGATCGACTCAGCTCGTAATGAATTTTTCACCTCTATTTAAAAACGTGAGTGGTCCCTATAGGGTCAACGTTGCGGATCTTAAGGACCACTTTACAAACTCCTATAGTGGCCACTAAAGCTCGCAAAAGTGATTTCTAAAGGGGTTTTAAATAGTAGCCCCTATAGGGTACATGCTAGTCGACAATTTGTATGTACTCTATGCAAAGAAGCATTTCCATGCGAAAAACTAAATAAATAAACGTTTTTTGTGAAGTTGAAAGACCCCCATAGAGACCACTTAAGCTTTAGGGTCTAAGGGATCTGATCCTCAACCCCTATAGGGACCACCTTGATATTAGCCCCTATAGGGACCACTCTGGAATTCCAAGTGTTCATCCAAGTCTTAAACCATTTTTATTTGTACTCCGAGTATACTTCTTTCTTTCCTTTTTTTTTTGTTGAATTCTAAATCGAAGTGAACTCGTTGAGGTTCTTTTCAGGATACTGGTAAAAAACGTATGAAGAGCGATTGAACCAACCAAACAACGTGAGAGAAGGTCATTGGCCGGTTGATTATCAGCAACCCAAAGACTGATCAAATGGCCACTCAGTTGCTTGTTCGTGAGCACCTGAAAAACAACAAAAATATCAGATTTTGCATAGATATGAAAAAACCCTGAGATCTTTTCCCGCCGACAGCAAGGCCATGTACAAATGAGTCAGAAAGGCTCCTTCCGATAGGGCGAGAGTCTAAATTCCAAGTTTGGAGGGAAAATGGAACGAAAAGGTGAACCTGCATCGATTTGGAAGTTTCGACGTCGGCTTCTTCGATTATCGCTCGCATCACCATTCCGGCTCCTAAAATCTCATTGGAAATACGATTTATCGTCGGAAAGTTCACCTTTCACAATGGTCATGCTGGGACACTGGAACAGACGAAAAAAACTTCTTCCTCTAGTGGCGACCATTTTCAAAATGTGGTCAAAGGTATCGCCTGAGATGGAGTTCTGAGAGGTATTGAACTTTTCGAGTTACCTGACGTGGTTTCGCTGTAGGGCGCACACACGGCAAAAGTCAGGAAGTTGAGCATCGAAGCTATGACGAGCCAGCCCGTTGCACGCTCCTAAGTCAGCTTTTCTTGAAAGTTTATACTCGGGCAAAGTCGGAATGGTAGATAATGGCCGCTAAAAGGTTGCAGAAAGGCTGCAAAAAGACTCCATTCAAGCCTCCCGTTTTTACAGGACTTTAAAGGCTCAAGAAATGGTGGAAAAAAAGAAGAGGGAGCAAAAAGGATGCAAAAGAGCCCATTAAATAGCGCAAAAAATAAACCTTTCTCAACCTTAAAAGAACATTTATATAAAGCCTTTTCCGTTTTTTTCCAACTTTTCCTATGTAGCCTCTTGAAAAAAAGCCTCGGGGGATTTTTTTGAAAAAAAGCATTATCGGAAATTTTGAAAGCAAAGAAAAAGATCTTTTTCTTCTAATATTAATGAAATAGTTAAACTAACCCGAAAATATTGTTAATTATCCATATTCACGACAAAAAAATTCGATATAAAAAGAAACGCTTTCTGTGTGAATTTAAAAAAATGGTTTTCTTTATCAAGGTGAACTTATTTTTCTAAAAACACGGAAGTTTAGAGAAAGATTTCGCAAAATGATAATTTTTATGATTCCGAGCAATTTTTTTTTGTTTTTTTTTAAGCCGAAAAAGTCCAAAATTTTATTTGCGTTTCAAATGATTCCAAGTGTTTCGACAAAAGGAAATATTCAACCAAACGCAATATAATTAATAAAGGTCCGTATGAATTTTCTCATCAACTTTTAATAAAAACAACAAAAAAAAAAGAAATACTGATGAGACCAACCACATGAATGACGACCAGATCCAGGAGATGTTCAACGAACTTCGGGCTACTCATCAAGCTAAAAAAATGAGTAGCTATAGTTCGAAGGCGAGTAGGACCTTTGCTTGTTGAGTTGTTCGATGCGGAGTTCGTACTCGTTGTGCATGGGATGCATCAGGGCAGTCAGAGCCTCGACCGTCGCGTGGTCCAAAGACTCGCACTTCCAGGAGAGGACCCTCACCACCAAAGTGCCCAGTTTCTCGCGAACTCTGAACCACCGCCGAGTTGGCAACCCTTTGGGATGGTCTTTTCTTACCCATTCACTTCGGTAAAAGCTTGGAACCCGCTTTTCGAGGCGAAGAGTCTCCGGAGACAGAGAAGCTGTGCTTCAGTCTTGTGCTTGTAGTGTTGATCTTCCTATGAAAGATTTTTTTGAACAACTTTTCGAAGAAGAGAAAACAAACTTGTCCGTAGTTTTCAGAAAGAACCGCTTCAATCGCTCCGACTATCACTTTGCCCTTGTTCTCCGTGAAGAAACCCTTGAAAAAATACAATTATAATTCAACTAATCAGCTCCCAACAAAGATATAGAGATATAAATAATCCTCTCTACTTCTGAATTATTTCCCTATTTGCTCAAAAAGTGTTCTCGTATCGTTGAAGTACTTTGTCAACACAAAGAAAATTTATGAGATAAAAAAAAATTGGAAAATTATTTGCCATTCTCATATTACTGATGCAGTTTTCAAAGCGATTCCACGAAATCCAAAATAGGCGTCAGAGAAGAAAAATATGACTAAATTCTGGAGAATCAGAGATAATTTTGAACACGGCATTTAGTTTTACGGGATAAATTTTTTTTTTCCTCACGTGTACTTTTAAAAAATAATGAACTAAATTTTTTCGGCTTTAAATGTTCTAATTAACGACAAATTTCTTAAAACAGCTAAGAAGTTACACTGTGAAAAACGTGAAACCCTTCAAAATAACCTCATGAGATTTAGAAAACCGCAATCCGGAGTAAGGAATGTTGGCATTGAAACGACGAATCGTGTCGGAACGTCGCATTCCAGCTGAAAACCCAGAGATTTTCAAAGTTTCTCTTTTCCAAAATCTTCGAGAAGGGAAAACTACGCAGAAGAAAACATTCTGCCCCTCAGAAAAACAACCTACGTGGAGCGGCGATCATATGGCGCATACACTGCGACTCAGAATCCTCGTCGAGAGTCGTCGTGAGCGGAATCACGCGCAGATGACGTTCGAATCGGAATCCCGTGACGAAAACCTCGTCGTTGCCAGACGCTCGGATGCCATCGAGCAAGGAGGCCAAAATCAGGTCTCTTAACACGTAATTCATGAAGAACAGTAGAAACTGAGCGAAGAAGATATTTCAGTCGGGAAATGCTTGAGCCTAGCTTCTTTTTTTGTAAATCGAAGCGTTTTATGAATCTCAAAACTTATAAAAATGCAGGAACTTGGAGAAAAATGAGACAAAATATTGATGAGTTATGGCAAAAAAAAAAGAAGCTAGAATGTAAATCATCGGGCACTGTCAGAATGGTGGATAATGGCCGCTAAAAGGGAGAGGCTCAAAAAAGGCAATAAAAAGGGTCCCTTTATCGAGCCTTCTATTCTTTCTTTAAAGGCTCAAGAAATGGTGGAAAAAGGAGAGAGATAGCAAAAATAGTGCATAAGAGCCGATGAAATGGCGCCAAAAGACTGCAAAAAGTGCCATTTTCAGGAAAATTTCTATGGAGTCTTTTTCCACCCTTTCCGACTTTGCCTATGAGTTTACGGGTAGAGGCGCACTCTTTTTACCTCAAGGGATTCAAAAATTTTTTGGTGTTTCTCTAAAAAAAAAACCCCCCAGAAAAAAGCCGTACCGTTCGGCAGCCACGTAGGCCCGTCCTTCGCCGTTTTCATACTCGATGAGGAATTCCTGTGGGTCTTTCTCCCCTCTAACGAGACAAACGATCTCAAAATTATGTTTGGATACAAGATAGAGATCTTTAGTACATGTTTTAGAGGAGTGGCGCAGATGACGGAGTAAGTCGCGATATCGCGTTCGATGATGCACGTCTCGCTGAGACACAGGATTCTGCGCGTCGGCGTCTCACCCCTCCGCGTCACTTTCGAAACCTTGAACTCGGCGTATGACGTCACTTCTTCGTCTCGGCTGCAAAATACAGTTGAATTGGACTTCAGAGTACAATTCAGCACCTGCAGAGGCCCAGACGAGTTCGAATGAAATCGTCGAGAGTAAGACTTTCTTTAGCCACCGGCACCACGATCCCTATGTTATCCGCGGCCAAACGTCGAATTTCCTTGATCAAATCTTCGCCGTTCGCAGAGGCGAACATATGCTACAGAGAAACGACTAGTAAAATCAAATTTAGTGGACCCGAACCCTTCGACGGTGTTCGCCGACGTCGACTACGAACCCTCCTGGACAATCTGAGACTTTTCCAATGCTTCTGATGCTTTTGTAAGCATAGCTTTGCACAACTACACCACGATTATCAATCTACAAACGTATAAAAATCTATACGAACAGAAGAAAATAGTACTTGTTCTAGAAATGCAGCATTTGCCCGTAAAATCACAGGAACCCGTCGATCACTCCAACTCTGCTTGAACGCGTTCACACTCTGAGAAGAATCAAATAAGGCTTTTGCTTGAAAACTTCTCCAATCAATGTTCAGAAATAAAACCAACCAAGGGATCAACTTTTTCCGCAAATTTGCTATTGAAACGCAGACAGTCGGTCAGAACGTCCGTTGTATGGTCTGACGAAAACCTCATGGTATCCTAGTTGATAGACGTAAATTATATGCCAAAAGTTCATAACAAACTTTCTTTCCTTTGGATCGGACAAGGATGGCGAATTCATCTTGCTTCGAATCGCCGGCTGCGTTTTTCGGAGACGGTTTGACGCCCAGAAAGTCTTCATAGAGCCACTAAAACTTTACCAGTATTGAAATTCACGGAAAATAATCAAAACCTGATTAGTTATTTCAAGCGTTTGTGGATTGTAAGTTGAAATAGCCAACGTTCCGATAGAGAATATACGCTTGTACCTGCAATTCTAGCTAATAAAAAATTCTGAGAAGCAAAAAGCTTACTTCCCCTTCCATGAGTGCTTCGTCACCAAATAACAAGCGACGTCCCTGTTTTCGGCGCAGAAATGAGTCAGTTTAGCCATGAGAAAGATCTTTATATTCCCCCCGACTTTCTACTCCTTGCCGCTCATCAGAAGTTCAGCAGAATCTTAAATTTATCATTGATGAAATTGACCATTTGATGTTGTTCATAAAAGCATGAATAAGCGATTAAAAATCATATGAACCAAGAAAAACCACGAAAAGAACGTTTCAATTTGTTTCGTTCTAGCCGGTTTTGAAACATTATCGCTGGAGCGCACAACCTCTCTACAGCCCCTTAAGGGGTGAAAGTTCGGAATTCGCACTTGCAAGTTTGAAATGACGGAGAAATCGCCGCCTTTGGAAAAAAATGAAGAGAGTTTCTTTAACAAGAAACTTTTTTTTTCTGGATAAAAATAAAAATATCAGGGATTCAGAAAGGAAAATTATGATAATAGAATCGTATTTTTTTAAAAAGGTTAATTAATTTTGTTGAAATCAAAATTAACCCATCATTTCAACAAAGTAGACAAAATGGGAAAAAAATATTTTTTTCAAAGATGTATTATGGGACTGAAAAAGAAAACGAAAAAAAGCTCAAAATTTTCCCAAAAAGGAGCCAAAAAGATCTTTGTAGCATCTATTAAACTTTCTTTTTTTATTTGGTCTTTGCCTTTTTCTTGAACCTTTTTGTAGCATTGGCCATCCCGACTTTCTGAAAGATCCTTCTTTTTTTGGGATTTCGCGGAAAAGCTAGAACTAAAGGAGTTGAGAAACATCTTTTTCATGCTTTTAAAAAATAATATTATTTCTGAGACCTTCTTTCTATTTGCTTGTGAAATCTGAAAAAAACTCAATTTTCTTTTAATGAAAGAGTTTCCTCTTTCCAATTGTTCTCACATTTTTCAAATGGAACCAAGCCGATGAGTTTTGGGAAACCTTGGTCAGTCAGTGGTTTACCACCTGGCTCCATAGCAACGAAAGGCAGCGGAACGCCTATTTTCAATAGAGTATACCTAATTTTTTTTTTATCTTGTTTCACATTTACTCTAATCTTCGAATATTTTTTTGTTCTTTAGAAAAATATGTCTTACTGTGTATTTATCTGACTCGCAAACTAATTTTTGTTTGAAGAGAAAAATAAACAAGATGAGGCTCAAATTTCATTTAGGGATACATCAACGCATGAATGGAACGACAGACAAAGAGAATGCCAAAGAAAAAGGTAAGCTCTGAAATTTCATTCGAGAGCTGAAAGGTCTGTGAAATGAGAATGATATGGACTAGGTTAAGATGTTCTGAAAAGAAACAAGAGCAGAGTTTGTGATGATTTTGAAGGAAGAATGTGGAACGGAAAAACAGGTTTAAAAAGTTGTTTCTAAAAAAATTAATTCCAGTCAAACCCTCTATTCCCATAGAAATTTTGCCGAAAAAAAGTTCGCATTTTTCATAAAGAAAATTTTTTTATTTTTATTACTAAGTTTTTTTCAAACTAGAAATAATCAACTTCTGTAGCTTGAATTCATGCAAAACTAAAAAAATTGGACAGTATAAAGCAGCTCCTGGTACCAAATTTACGAGGAATGTGCAGCACAGTCGCGCAATCCAGCATACTCGTTGAATTTTTTTACTGCAAAAAAATTGATATAAAATTTAATATAGTTTTTGCTCAAATTCAATTGAGTTTACCTTATAAGGCCGTCCAAATTGTTCGCGTTCCTAAAACAATCTGATAAAAACCTTGAAGTAAACTTTAAACGATGGTTTTTTTTGCTTTTTCATTTTTTTTTTCTACAGGAGACGTGCGAAAGATCTACATCCTACGAGTGGCCAGCTACATCCTTGGGCTGAACATAACGGAGGATAAACTCAAAAATACCCAGCCTTTGGACACCTTTTGTGATACCAACACCAACTTGCTGGTTGTTGCGCGTACCGACCAGGTATTTCAAAAGTGTTTCTAGTGAGAGTTTTTTTTTGTTACGCAGAAGGTGGAACTATGGAATCGAATGCGACACGACGGGTCCAAGTCTCTGCGAGTGGTCTTCTACAAGACGCACTCGACGACGTTGTCCAATGAGAACTACAAAATGGTGGTCAACGTTATTTCCATTAATGGTGCACTCAACCAAGTTTTCCTCAAGTCTGTCCAAAATGTGAGGTCGCTTATCACAACGCCGTCATTAATTTTCTCTTCAGGTTTTTGGAAAAGAGCTATCGGAGCAGGCGGCCGCCAATAAGCAGCTGGTAACAGCTGTCAATGAGCTGGAAGAAAGTCTGCTGGCGACTGTCGAAAATGGACAAATCGAAGGCGAGTTTTTTTGCAGTTGAGAAAATATCAGAAGGAAAATCGTTTAGGATCAGGCTCACTTCAAGACGAGATCAGGTCGTGGAAGAACAAGTCCGACAGCGCTGCCAGAGAGTACACGGAAGTTTTCAAAGACTTTCAAGTATTACTCGACACTATGCAGGTCCGAACCAAGCTTTGTATTTGAAAATAGAAAAAAATTCCAGGAAAGAGACATACACGAGCTGGCAGCCTTGGTTGAGTCGTTCGAAGACACCGCCGATGAACTTTGGAACTGTCAAAAACCGTATCCTCAGGCCAAAATGAAAGTCCTCATTGACGCGATGGGTAAGTCAGAAGGAAATAGTTTTAAATTATATTTTTATTCAGCTTCTTACCTTTGTGATCAAATAACTTCGAAAAATAGATGAAAAAACCATTTGGAAAAGCGAAGAAGCGACTGAGCAACTTCGAGCAGGTTTGAACCCCTCTAGATTTTTTCATTAAAAGGGAATGATTGAGATTCTTCATTAGAAAACTTTTTCCAGAGCTGTTTTAAGGAAAGGAGAAATAAGAGGTTGTTTCTAGTTGCGAGGAATATAATTAAATGTATTTTCTTGAAGCTTAAAAACAAAGGGAAAATTTTCTACATATCATCATTTTTTCACTGAATGCTTCATCCAAAAAGCTTTGAACTTCTAGCAATCGACGTCTGCGAGCAGTTCGAACTGACAGTGTCGATGTTGACGGCGCAGACTTGGAAGAGGAGTGTGGAGAATCCGTGGGAAGGAGACGCAGTCCATCTGAAGTTTCTCGAAGGCTTCCGAGGCAGACTTCAGGAGGTTCGAAGGGTCGAAAAAGCCAGAAGTTGATTTCTTTCAGGTGCTGTCCTTGAAGTCGTTGGGTCCCCAGATGGCGTCCTTGCTGGAAGAGAAGAACGTCGACGAAGAAGTCTCGAAGACTATTGAAACGGCTCTTCGCGGAATGTCCCCTCTGGCCTACAACCCATTCACTCAGCCTAACTGGAAGTCTCGCGTTCTGGTTCCTTTATAATTAAGTAACAAGTTTGAAATTTTGAATATTCCAGGTTGCCGAAAGGTCTATAGAAGGCGTCATTGACCGAACGCTGCCCGTTCTCAAACAACGCCTAACTCCGAGTGACGTCAACAACCAAAATGTTTTTTCTTCTCTGACTAATATCACATTTCTGTTACAATTTCAGATAGCCACGAGTCTCGAGAAGTACCGGAACTTTCTATGTCGAGCCAACATCAAAGAAAAACTCAGGACGGAAAGGTTGTGAAAATGTTCGAAACCTCTATTAATTGCCTTCCAGAGAAACTTTGCTGTCGCGGCTAACTTCCATGATGAACACCAAAGACAGAGAGTTTCAAGAAAAGATCAACATGATCGACGTCAGAAACTTCCATTTTTTGACGGAAGTTGGAGCGAAAATCGTCTGGATTCGTCAGCAAATCACGCAGGTGTCTCTTTAAGGATAGAATTGGGAATAATAAAAGTCGTTGAGCTGGAAAATGTGAAGACGCTGAGCACGACAGTACTGAACGACCTCCCAACATTCGAGACATTTTCGAGGCGTTTGGACGAGTCGATCGAAAAGTTGCACTACGCCGAACGGGAAAACTTTGACGATTGGTATTATTTTTGTAGTTTCGAATTGAAATTACGAATGCAGGTGCCGAGATACGGTGCAAATGATCGACGATCAGAACGACTCGATAGCTTTGGAAACGACTGGGAAAATCATGGTTTTCGAGGAGGCCAACGGAGAACTCAACGTCAACTACAGCGACCGACTGCTGCGATTAATCAAAGAAGTCTGTTTTTCTCAGCGCGCAGAAAGAAACATTCGCGACAGGTCCGACAGCTGACGTCACTCGGTCTGAATGTGCCGTCGAAAATCGTGAACTGTGCCAACAACGGCGAAAAGTACCATCACTACGGAGTGACTTTGAAACAAATCGCCCACTTCTACAACACCATCGACCAACAGATGCTGCCTTGTCAACAGGTAGCCGCGAAACTCGGAAATGTCTTGAAGAGAGCTTCAGGCGCTGATGCTTGAGGAAGCGATAGCCTTCGAGAAGCTGGTGATTCCTCGGAAGAACGAGGAGAGCGCGGCCTCGCGGGTCACTTGGGACAATCCCAAGCAACTCGAGGAGTTCATCAGACAGCTCCAAGCCGCCGAAGAGAAACTCGCTAATCACAACAGGTTGAAAAACCTGTGTTGAGGAATGTATTGTCGTTTTGCCAGACGGCTGCGGAACGTTCACACGGAACTGACAGGCGAAGTGGCTAAACTGATGGACCTGAACATTGTGAAACAGAGCAGCGAGTGGAAGGAGATCATCGCCAAACTCAGGGGCAAGGTAAAGTAATTTGACTCGCCTTAGAAATTTTTTGCATGGAGAATGGCTCAATTTGTAGGTTTACTAGACATAAGATTTGAAAAGACTTACAAGGAATTAATTTTTTGCGGTTTAAAGTTTCTGAAAGTTCTTAGGAACTCCAGAGTGTCCCCTATAGGTTCAACCTTAGGGGCTCTTGGAGGGTCCTTTTTAGGGACTACTTTACCAACCCCTATAAGGGCTAGTCGACATTTTGTATGTGCTTTAAGCGAAGAAGCATTTCCATGGGGAAAAAACTAAATAAATAAGCAATCTTTTTGAAATAAAGTTGAAAGACCCCGAAAGGGACTATTTGAGCTTTAGGGGCTTAGAAGACAGACCCTAAACTCCTACAGGGACCACTTTTTCGACCCCTATAGGGGTTGTATGTTGACTCCAGGCCTGATTTTGTGTTAAACGCAAATTTTCGAATAAACCCTTTTAATGATGACAGATGAAAGAGGAGGAACTGGCCCACGGATCTTCGCGGACCAACATGCGGCCTTGGCTCATCCACTGGGACCACCAACTCTACAAAGCTCTCAAAATCCAATACGAATGGGGAATTGAAAGTATCCAGTCTCAGATGGCGGCTATCCAAGTGCAGCTTGTCTTCGCGTACGTTGTTTCCATCCCAGGCCTACTGTATTTTTTTACAGGGACCAGAGGATCCAGTTGAGACCAGCATTGGAAGAAATCCGATCCAAGTACTACAAAGAACTCACCAAGTTCTTGAGGATTCCGGAGAAGTTCCGAGGAACGCAGGAAGACGAAGTGGTGAGTTTTGAAGTGGTTATATCCTTCAAGGGAAATCAAATTGAGGCTACTCGATTTTACGGGCAAATGATCGACCGAAGCATGCACTTGCTGCCGACAATTTACGAAAAGGCCGAACAATTGATGGAGAAAATCGCCACTGTTGACCAGCAATTCGTGGTGAGACTTTCGAGGGAGATTGCTGGAAATTTCGGTAGAGTTCAGGATTGGCTGGTGGTAGCCCAAGTCGATCTGGAGGAGCTCATCGAAGAGAAGCTGCACGACGCGGCCGATTGGGAGGTCCAGTTCAAGCTTCTCAAGTCCAAGGCCAGGGAGGCAGAACGCTTACCAAAGTTTTTTTTTCATTCCGTCTTCATGTCTCGATATCCGTTATAGCGAGCTGAAGCTGGAGTGTGTGGTTGTGAGCACGACGAACGTGAAAGGGGCGATCGAAGAAGCCGTCCGAAGGGTTTTCGACACTCTTTCCTGGACCCTGAGGCACTCTATCAGCACCACCTCGGCCACTATAAATGCCTTCCTGACCCATGCCATCGAGGTCCTTTCCTCGCGACCGCAGTCCATCGACGAGATCGCAGAAGCCAACGTGAAACACACTCAGTTTGCCGAAACCAACAAGAAGGTTTCTACCGAGATGGAGGCAAGTCTACGCGGGTTTCAGTTAAAAGCCGAGTGGAAAACGATGGAAGAACAGCACACCTTGCTGCGGTCGGTGGCCGGCAGCGGGGTCGAGCAAATGGCTCAGCTCGAGCAGATGTGGGAGCGCTTCGACCTCATGTTGGACAGTCACCAGCTCATGATCAAAGACCAGGCACTTTTCCTCGTCAATCAACGAATCATTCAACTTCTCAGGTCGACGTTCTTAAAACAAATGTCGCTACCAACGTGAAGAGCCTTCAAGATGAAGCTGAGAAACTGAAGGCTCGCTGGGATCAGTTCAAGCCGAAAAGCGACGCTCTACAAGGAGACAGGTCTCACAAAATAATTTAAAAAATTTAATTCCGTATGTATTGAGTTTGAAAATCGGATTTGATTTTTTTAAAAGAATGATAAGTGTTTCAAACAGATCGGGAAAGAAAAATTTGAGAGTTACTTAGGAATCTAGAGTGGTCCCTACAGGGTTTAAGGGGAAAAACAGCCCCTATAGGGGTCGAAAAGTGGTCCCTATAGAGGTAAAATCAGGGTGGTCCTGACTCCTTAGCTCCTAAAGCTCAAGTGGGTCCTATAGAGGTCTCTCAATTTCATTGAAAACTCGCTTATTTATTCAATTTTTCCCATGGAAATGCTTTTTCGCATGGGGTTCATAACAGTTATCGACTAACATTTCTCTATAGGAGTTGGTAAAGTTGTCACTAGAGGGACCCCTCCAAGGGCCACTAAGGTTGCCCCTATAGAGACCACTCTGAAGGTCCTAAGTATGTGTTTCAAACGTGAAGCCCCTATAGGGGTCCCTAAACAACAAACCCCTACAAGGTCCCCTCAGAAACTCCTGAGTTGATCCAAAACGGCTTTTAGATTTGAAAAAAAAAACTATCACAAAAACTGATCTCCAGAGTAGATATTTTCCTAGTTCAATGTCAGCTGCGAGTTTTCAAACGAAATAAAAGAAATTTGAAAAAAAAAAGACCAGTATCATTTTCAAGAGAAGCCATGCTGAACGCGATAAAGTTCATCAAGGAGAAGCGAGAACAGTGGCAGGAGCTGGTCAACATGTTGGAGAAGCTAGAGTGAGAGAAAACCCGCGCAAAGTCGGCTGCAAACTGTGATTCAGAAAAGAATGCGCACAGTTCTCGCTGCCGCCGCCACAGGTCCCCCTTCTGGAAAGCATCGACAACGAAATCAAAGATTTCGAAGACAACTGGCTCATTTATGAAACTTTCAACGAACAGCTCGATGAACTTTCTCAAGAAGAGTGGATCGTTTTTAGGTTTTCGTTTTGATTTTATTTTTAGAAGAAACATTTTTTAGAGGGAAGACTTACCTCTTTGATGAGTTCCTTCAAAAATGGATGGAAAAACTGAAAACTTCTTCTCATACACATATGAGCGTTCGCTTGATGAAGGATGTGGAACAGTTTAAGGTTAAAATATTATTTTATTCTTTTTTTCCAAAGAGAATTTATAGGAATTGAGCGGTTGTCTGAAGTTTTGCCGAGGAGATGTTCTGAGCGCAGACCATTGGCTCGAGATGTTCCGTTTATTGGGACTTCCCAGGTTTGAGAATCTTTTTTTTTAACATCAAGGTTTGATTTAAGGACCGCAAAGCAGTATTTATCAATTTTTTAAAAATTTCATTCGATCGCTTCGATTTTGTTATCATCTTGTAGCTGATGCTCCTCACTAGAAAACCCCAAAAAAAATCTCGAAAGGAGAAATTTTTCAAAAAAATGATTTTTTTCATTTTTTTCCTTTTTTTCGTATATATGTGTTCTAAAAAGTCGAAAAAAATCAAAAAAACATTGCTGAAAAAAACGTTGCTGAAAAAAACGCGAGTTTCAGAAAAAAATTCCGTTCCAGAGGGTTTTTGCGTTTTTGAGTAGGATTTCAGATTCTATATCATAAATTATGTCTTATCGGATCCTTTTTTCGTTTATGAAGGAAATCGCGCGCGAAGTAGAAAAGAAAAATACAAATGTACTGAGCAAAAAAACGTTCGCAGCAAGTGGGCGGAGCCTCGCGGTCCCTAGTTTAATCCATTCCATCATTGACCTTATAACCAACCTTATTATCATCATCATCATTCATTTTAATTTTTCAGAGGAACCACCATTGAAAAGTTGAAGTTTGCCGACCTTTTATCGGTCTCGAGGAACATCTTAGATAACTTGGATCAACTGAAAGCCCTGAATTCGAGAGCCCAAGGCGAAGTTTCCATCAGGGAAGCGATTCAAGAGCTGACTCTATGGGCTGCTCAGGTTGATCGAAACTTGGTTTTTCAAAAACGAGTCTTTTAATGATAGGCGGAGTTTTCACTGACCGACTACAAGCATTCCAGTGGAACTGCCATGAAAGTGATCAAGGATTGGAAGGAGGCCATCAATTCAGTTTTTCTCCATTCAGATTGAATATTTTTAATGCGAAGGATTCAGGTGAAAGACAGTCAAGCGCTGCTTCAGTCCCTCAAGTCTTCGCCCTATTATTCGCAGTTCACAGACAAAACGGCTGTTTGGGAGACTCGGTAATGAACCAAAGCTAGAAACGGGTGCTACGACAAGAACAAGTTTTCCATTTGCTGGGAGTACTGTATGCAGAAATGCGCATTGAGTGCATACACTTTGCGTGTTTACACATTTGCATTGTTCTCGAGGATATTGGCACGATAAAAAACAGTAATTGCCGATATCGCAGCGGGCCGCACGCGATCTCGTCAACATGTCGCTGCGACCTCGTCAAAGTCTCGCTGCCATATCGCTCCCTCTCATAAATTTGAAATTTGAAAAACATTTTTTTTGCTTTATTTTTGACTTTCATGATGAAATCAATCAAATTCAAAAAAAAAACATTTTTGAAGAAAAAAATTTTTCAGAGAGCGATATAGCGCAAGACGTTTGCGAGGTCGCAGCGAGAGGCGAGCGATATCGCTCGCGGCTCCCCCGCGGTATAGCGTTACTCTCGCTGCGATATAGTCCACAAAATTGGGTGTGTCCTACCCGATGACGTCACGCAACGAAAGTGTAAACACGCAAAGTGTATGCACGCAATGCGCATATCCGCATACAGTACTCCTCGCAAATGGAAAACTCGCTCTTGTCGTAGCACCGGGAAAGGCGTTTCTTCTAAACCAAATCAATTACCTGTTAGAAAGTTAGGACGCTAGATTAAAGTTATTAGAACAAAAAAGACCTTCTGCACCTTAAAATGCACTAAAAAGGAATTTTTTTTTCTGTGACTTTTATCTTCCAAACGCTCCTAGATTCGCTATCAAAAAAAAATTGTATCACAACCCTGATTCTCAATATAAAATTTATCAAGATTGGCTGACCTGGACGTGTTTCTGGCGCAAATGAACGAGATCCAACGCAAATGGATCTACCTGGAGCCGATTTTCGGAAGAGGAGCTTTGCCTTCCGAAGCGAGTCGCTTTGCCAGAGTCGATTCTGAGTACCGTGGCATTCTCAACGGTGAATAGGTCCCCCTCTCGTATAAAGATCATTTCTCAGACGTGGCCCGGGATCCCCGTTTGGCCTCCTTGTGCAACCGCCAATCGCTGAAAAAGACTCTCGAGCAAATCGTCGACCAGCTCAACCGATGCCAAAAGGCCCTCAACCAATTTTTGGAAGTTCATTCTTCTAATCATTCTCAATTCAACCATACACTGAATCCAGCAAAAACGGAGCGCTTTTCCTCGCTTTTATTTCGTCGGAGATGACGATTTGCTGGAAATTCTGGGCCAATCCACCAACGCCGTCGTCATTCAGACTCACATGAAGAAACTTTTTCAAGTACGTGTGAATCGGATTTTCTCATTTCAACGATTTGGCAGGGTATAAATAAAGTGATATTTTCTTCCAACAACGAGTCGATCACGGCGATCGTCTCAGCGGAAGAAGAAGTAGTCCCGCTTTCGAGGCCTGTCCAGATCGTAGCCCAAGTGGAGGTCCGAAATCGGTCAAGTTTCGTCCAATCAAAATGCTTGTTTCAGATTTGGCTCCAACAACTGTCCGATGAGATGAGGAGGACGATCAAGAGTCTGTGCGTCCAGGCGTGTTCCGAAGCCAGCCCGAGTCTTGCAAAATATCCTTCCCAAGTCCTTTGCTTGGCTGAAGAAATCCGCTTCTGCACGAACATCGAACAGGTATTTCTCACTTGGTGCCCTCTCTTACCTCTATCACAATCTCGTGTTTGTGTGCTTCTTTGACTTCTGAGAGAGAAGAGACGCAGAAGAGTCAGATCTCTCCAGTCACATAACTTCTTGAGAGACATTTGTCTTTCAGATCCTCGAAGGCTCGAAAAATCTTGGAAGTTTCAAGTCGCAGTTACAAGAGCAGCTCAAGACGTACACGAGTAGAAAAGACGACGATGCGGTCATCGAATTGAAGTTGAAGGCTTTGATTTTGGACTTGATCCATCGGATCGACGTTGTCGATCAGTTAGTTGGAAACAAAGCGAGGTGATTTTTTTGTTCAAAAAGGCTTTATGGCGAAAAAAAAAAATTGAATAGGAAGACAAAGTAATTTCAGAAAAAGTTTCTAGTTCGTTTTTGAACGTTATCCATTCCGTTATGGATCGGTTTGAGACAAGAATTCGGAAAAATACAGATTTTTTGATTTTTTGAGCTTTTGCTTACAGCTCGACGTCGTGCTGGACCTGGCAACGTCAACTCCGATTTTATCTTGTCAATGACCAAGTCGTCGTCAGGCAAGTCTACAGCGAGTTTGAGTACACCTACGAATATCAAGTTTTCAAAGAGTCTCTCATTTCCTTTTCCATTTTTCGTTTTGAGGGTAACTACGCCAAGTTGGTTCACACTCCCTTGACAGACAAGTGCTATTTGACTCTGACTCAAGGTGACATTTCCATACAACGGTAGATATTCGAAATTTCAGCAATGTACATGGGTTTGGGTGGCAATCCGTACGGACCTGCTGGAACAGGAAAAACGGAATCGGTGAAGGTTTGTGGGGATTTTTCAGAGCCTTAGGAACTCTAGAGTGGTCCCTACAGGGGCAACCTTAGGGGCCATTGAAGGATTCCCTCTAGGGACCACTATACCAACCCCTACAGGGGCCACTAAAGCTTGCAAAAGTGGTCCCTATAAGGTTTTTAGTTAGTAGCCCCTTTAGGGGACATGCTAGTCGATAATTTTTATGAACTATATATGTACGAAGAAGCATTTCCGTGAGAAGTCCCCTATAGGGCCCACTTGAACTTAGGGGGGTTGAGGTCGAACCCTACACCCCTATAGGGTCCGCCTTGATTTTTTTCTTCTGTAGGGACCACTTTTTCGGCCTCTAGAAATTTTTTCTTCTCTAACCCCTATAGAAGTCACTCTGGAATTCCGAAGAATCTTTTTTTTAAAAGTTTTTCACAGATCCGAGAGGGATTATTTATTTCTTAGCAAAAATCTAAATTCCATTTTTTTTTCTTGATACATTTCTCCTCTCAAAATTGTATTTTCGAAACCTTTTCCAGGCTCTCTCTGCTCTTATGGGTCGGCAAGTCCTCGTATTCAACTGTGACGAAGGAATCGACGTCCATTCCATGTCGCGAATCTTCACCGGAATCGTCGAATGCGGCGCCTGGGGCTGCTTCGACGAGTTCAACCGACTTGATTCGGTTTGCGACTCTCTGTATTGATTATTGAAGAAGAACTTACAGACGGTTCTGTCCGCCGTTTCGATGCAGATCCAGACTATTCAAGGCGCAATCAAATCGCGCGTCGGTTCCTGTGTCTTCGCCAACAAAACTGTATCCCCTCCAGTCTTCCTCATTTTCGTCGTTCTCCAACATTTCAGGTGCAAGTCAACCCGAACTCGGCCATTTTCATCACGCTGAACCCAGCTGGAAAGGGCTACGGAGGCCGTCAGAAAATGCCGGACAATCTGAAGCAGCTTTTCCGCGCCGTCGTAATGGGCGTGCCAGACAACGAGCTCATCGCCGAGACGATTCTTTACTCGGAAGGCTTCACCGAAGCCAATGTTTTGGCGAGAAAAATCGTGGCCGTCTTCAAGTTGAGCAAGTCAGGAGGCCAAAGGGTACTAAGATTAAAAAGCGATTTCTAGAGAAATGCTCTCAAAACAACAGCATTACGACTGGGGCCTTCGAGCCCTCAAAACGGTGCTCCGCGGCTGTGGAGCCCTCCGAAGGAGCAGCCCGCAGAAGTCGGAAACGGATGTCGTCGTGCAGGTTAGTGATACATACAATTATAGAATTTTTCAGCTTACAGGAAAGCGATTTCGTGCACGCTTTTAGAATGGTTTATTATAGAAAGTAGTCAGGAACTCCGGAGTGGTCCCTAGAGGGGCAACCTTAAAGACGGCTTCATGAATCCCTATAGGGGCCACTAAAGTTTGCAAAAGTGGTCTTGGTTCCTAACTGAATAAATAAGCATTTTTGAGTAAAAACTGATAGACCCCTATAGGGACCACCTTGCTTTATCCCTATACGGACCACTTTTTCGGCCACTATAGAGGTTGTTTCTCCCCTTAACCCCTATAGGGACCACTCTGAAATTCCTAAGGTAAATTGCGTGTGACACTTGCAAGATCTTCAGTGCAGCCGAATTTCAGAAGTTTTCAAATAACAAAATTAGCTCAACACCGGATTCAGAACAACTTTTCAGGCGTTGTTGTTGAACACCTTGTCAAAACTGACTTTCTCCGACTCCAAGCGGTTTTCCAGTCTCATTGACGACATTTTCTCCTCTGTCGATAAGCAAATGGCCAAGGTGAACTACTGTTGAAGGCTCCAATTTTTTAACAAATTTTGCAGTTTGGAGATCTCATCGAACCGTTGGCTCAAGCGGCCAAAGAAATGAACATCGAAATCTCTGACAAACAGGCAATTCGAAATTTCTGTTCTCTCTGGATTTCTAGATTTTCAGTACGACAAGGTTTTCCAACTGTACGAACAGTTGCGTCAAAGAATGGGCGTCGTTGTCGTGGGGGCTTCTGGAAGCGGGAAGACGACCATCTGGAGGGTTCTGCAGAGGGCCCTTCTCATCCTCAAGACTCCCCTGCAAGTGATCGCCTTCAATCCGAAAGCCGTCGCTCGTAATAAGGTGAATAACCAGTCCAGAAAAGTGGTTATGGAGAGTTTTTAGCGAATAGTATATAGAGCAGAGCTGATTAACGGCTAGCTTGAGCCATCGAAAAAAGGGTCCTGACGCGATAATACGTGAGACAGTGCCTGGCTTGTGGGGAGCGCAGACAGGCCACGCCCCTTTACCATCTCAAGCTAGCCGTGAATCAGTTATAGTCAGTTCAGATTTTGAATGTCAAGTAGAATGACGTCATTCGAAAACGCTCTGTGGATGGCTCGCTCTCTGATTGGTTTATAGCGCCATTAGGAGGCGGAGCTTGAGGGAGGACTTGACATTTGAAATCTGAACACACTATACACATATATCAAAAACACGTAACAGAGACTATACACATATATCAAAAACACGTAATTTAAAGCTCCTCGGCCACATGGACGTCGACACCCGCGAGTGGTCGGACGGAATCTTGACGATGGCCGCGCGTGACGTCATCAAAGACACTTCGGTCCACCGCTGGATCGTCTGCGACGGAGACATCGATCCAGAATGGGTGGAGGCTCTCAACTCGGTGCTCGACGACAACCGACTGGTCGGTCCACCTCTTCTGAACCCTCACCTCTTCTATTTCAGCTGACCATGCCTTCTGGAGAGCGTATCCAGTTCGGGAGCAACGTCAACTTCATATTTGAGACGGACTCTCTCAAGTTCGCCTCCCCGGCTACAGTCTCTCGGATGGGAATGATCTACATAAGTGAGGAAGATGTCTCGCCCGAACAGATCGTGTCCGCCTGGCTTCGGAGCAACAAGGACGAGATGCACGCCGATATGGCTAGCTGGATCGAAAACTTCTTTTTCAAGTCAGTTGGAGGTTTTTTTCTGACTTAGAATTGATCTTTGAAGAAGCTTCAAGTGGGCGAGAAGCAATGCGATTCCAGAAGTAACGTCTTACGCCATTCTGAAGAACGGATTGACTCATTTGAAGTGAGTTCCATTATACTAGTAACATTGAAACGCTACAAAAATGGGTTAAAACTGTATTTTTCGTAATTGATTATAGTCTGTGTGCCACGATTTGAAATTTCACCAAACGACATTCCGCTCTTCCGCTGCGTCGCGAAGCGTCTTTGCGAGCCTCGGTCTCGCTTTGAATTGGTTATAATTTCTGATAGATGAACTGTTCCACTAGGAAAACGTTTTGGTTGAGTTCTTGTATAAAATGAAAAATTAAAGGCAGCGGAACAGCGGAATGTCGTTCGGTAAAATTCCAAGTCGTGGCACAGACTATAATATCCTAACTTCTATATATGAGTTTCTGGTTCCTTTCACAGTGTTCAGAAAAAAGTTTTTTTTCCTCTAAAATGTAAATCGCGGATTGAAATTACACGATATTCATTCAAGAAGCAAAGTCGTAGTGGTGGATAATGGGCGCTAAAAGGGAGAGGCTCGAAAAAGGCCGGAAAAAGGCAGCAAAAAAAGCCCCTTCCATTTTTTCTGGGATTTTAAAGGCTCAAGAAATGTTGAAAAAAGGGAGAGGCAGCAAAAATGGGACATAATAGCCAATGAAAGGGCGCAAAACGTTTTTCAAAGTATTTTCAGAAACGCCAAAGCGAAACTTCATTTCCAACTGCTGCTTTACACGGGCCTCGCTCCAATGGTTCTCGAAGAAAAACGACAAGAACTCGCGAAGACCGTCATCTTTCAAGGTGCAAATACCCTGAAATGATTAGCAACTAGAAAAATAGGCGTGACTCTTCCCGACTCTCAAAACCCTCAAAACATCTACTACGACGATCGGCTGGACACGCTGATGAGCTTCACGGACGATACTTCCCAGGATATCCGCAAAGAAGACGTCGAGAGAGAAGAATTCAGGCCGTTCGTCCTCACCGCCGACGCGCAAAGATATCGAGATCTAGTTGAAATTTTGGACAGATTCAAGATAGGAGCTTTTTCTTTACAGGTGCAATCGTGGCTGACCAACGGAAATCGTGCAAGCTTTCATCCTTTCGGGGCCTGACGGCTGCGGAAAGCAACAGCTTCTGAAGCACTGTTTCCAGCAGGATCCCGACAGTCAGATGGCCACCGTCTACTGCTCGGCCCAGTCGAAGTAAGGATATCAAAGTCGACAGAATGATGACCTTGTTCTAGCTCTTCTCATTTGCTGCATGTCCTTCAGCAGAACTGCTTCCAAGCCAGCAACCCTCAAGGAAGGTCATTTCCATTGTCAAAACGACGTTCCTTCTAACAAGATTTTATTCCAGAGTCCTGAGACCCAAAGAGAAGACGAATCTGATATTCTTCTTGAAAAGTATTCACTTACCAGCTGCCGATAAGGTTTTTTCATTTAACCCGACTCTGAAACATATCAATCCCAGTATGGAACCAACGAACTTCTGGCCTTTCTGGAGCAACTTCTGGCCTACCAAGGATTCTACGACCACAACCTGGAATGGATTTCAATTGAGAACATTCAGTTTGTCGGTTCCATGCCAGCCATGACCGAAGGCACTAAGAGTTTACCGGCGAGGTATCAGGAGCACTTATAGTCACGACTTGAAATTTCACCGTACGACATTCCGCTGGTTCGCAAAGCCGCACAGCAGAATGTCGTTTGGTGAAATTCCAAGTCTTGGTTGAAAATATCCATCTTTTTCTCAGACTCATGTCTTTGATGCGGTGCGCAAGCTTCGGAAACTCGAACGAAACTCAGCTCACCACAATCTATTCGGCGTTTTTGACACCCATCTTAGAGGTTCAGTGGTTTATCACTGCGTTGAAATTTCGAAATAAACCTTCTTCGAGTCTATTCATTTTTAGTTACTGCAGCTTTATTAACACGCTGTCTCTGTAATTTTCAGAAAATTCCAAAAGCAACCGGTACAAGAAAAAAATTTTTTTTTGATTTTGATGAAATCCAGTGTGATAGCCAATCATCAGAAATGCGGATCCAACTTTAGCAGGGTTACGGCAGGCGGGTGGGCACCTGAGTATCTAAGTATAGAAATTTCACTAGGCAAGTGATATATCAATCGATAGGTATTGCAATTTTAGGAATTTTTTCAGTACATACCAACTTGGGTTACTGTAGAAAAATTTCGAGATACGGTACTTTATGTGTTTGTGGATTTAGTTTTTTGGTCGCCCAGAGCTCGAGCCCGGGGGTCCTTTCTTCTCCGCTCCTCAAAAGATACCTTTTGAAAAGCTCTACAAGCTGATACCAGTTTGATGGAATTCTAGGATGGTCTTCATTTCGCAAAACCGCTCAGACAGCGCGCAATCGTGGTCTTGCGGATGGCTTTCACGACGCCTGACGGCTCGTTCCTCGGCGATCTGTTTCAAATTGCATCAAAATCAAAAAAATTTTTTTTCTTGTGCTTGTTGTTTTTGAGAATTACAGCTTCTTACTAAAATCCTGATTATCACAGTGGTTTTTACCGACCACTGAGTCAATAAAATCATAGCTATAGTGAAATTCTTTTAGACTTGTAAAGAACTGAAACCTTAGACCTGTCAAACTCCTCAATCGAAGAATATTAGGTATTTTAAAGGTCTCAGGCTTCACCAAATTGATTGAGCCATACAGAAAGTTCGACTGAAAAATATTTTTCCTTTATTAAAAAATAGATTCTTTTTATTTGTTATGAACTTTTCCCAGCCTCTGGAAGCCGGATCGAGAGCCGAAGTCATTGCCAGCCGAATGGTAGATATTTACCTGAAAGTAAGGGCCAACTTCCGACCGGCGGACAACGTCTGCTACTCGTTTTCGCCTCGAGACCTCACCAACCTAGTTCTTTCGCTGTTGCGACATGACGCCACCGATGCTACACTCGACGTCATCATCGCTTTCGAAGCCAGGAGGATTTTTTGTGATCGGTTGGAGCTTTTTTTCTCTGAGGACTTCTTTTTTAGAATAGTACAATGATTTCTGTGTTAAGAATTGCGTTCAGACTGACTAGTGATGCACACAAGCAAAAGTTTGAAGACATACTCCGAGACGTCGTTCCAAACTCTAAAGGTAAGAGAGGGCCACAAAAAGAGAGATTTTTTAATGATAAAACATTTTAAGAAAAGTTATTTGTGAGCACTGGGACCGTGGTAAAAGGGGAGAGCAACGTCGGCCTGCCACTATCGGAGATGAACGTGGATGGATTCATGTCAATCTTGCACAAATCCGTCAACCGCTTCGGTTCTTTTAAACTTTATCTCCCATTAAGTTCCTTCTTCGTCAGAATTCGAAGTGGCCAACTTCGCGTCGATGCTGACCGAGCAGTTCAGTCTCCTCTGCGCCTACGTCGACCGCTCGCTGACGTCTCCCGGAGGAAATCTGCTGCTAGCTGGAAGGCCAGGGGTCGGAAGACGCGACGCCATCCGTCTCGTCGCCCACATGCATCAACTGTCCCTATTCTCTCCCGCCGTCACTCCCAACTTTGGGCCCAAACACTTTGACAACGAGTTGAAAAATGTGAAGAGAGGTCTTTTTGACAGAAATACGAAACATTTAAGGCTATTACAACGGCGGTGACGAATGGAGAACACGTGGTTCTGCTGCTCGAAGACCATCAAATGCGTCAATCGGTCTTCCTGCAATCCATCAACTCGCTTCTGGCCAGTGGAAACGTTCCGGGACTTTTCAATCAACAGGAAACGGATGGCTTGGCGGCGATCGTGAGTGAAGCGGCGAGTCAAGCTGCTTTCAGTGGACATCTTCATCAGTTCCTGGCCCATAGTTACGGCTATCACCCCTGCTTGATTCGACGAACTTTCTTTAGGAATCCGAAGCTTAGTTCACGTCGTTTTGATATTCGACGTCGATTCAGACGACTTCACAGCCAACATCGCTCAGAATCCTTCCATTCTGAAGCACTGCAATATAATATTCTCTGATAGACTTGAACGCAAATCGTTGACCGAGGTTTCAATAGGTTTTCTAATCTTTAAAATGCTTTTTCTAGATACCTGCTCTTCTACTCGCCAAGAACAAGATAGAAGTTTCTGACAGCATCATCGGCGGCTTCGGCGACACGATCTCGGCCTTACCACAGAACTTGGCTCTGCCCATGAAATTCCGACAGTTTGTCGAGAACTTCGCAGACATTTACAACGAGAAGAAAACGGCCGTTTCTGCCCGATTGCAGCGTCTTGAAGTCATTTTCTTCGTCATTAGGAAAGAAAAATCTGTTTCAGGGAGGTGTGTCCAAACTGAACGAGGCTCGCGAGGAAGTGGCGAAGATGCAGAAGAAGGCGGCGAAAAAGAGCAAACTTTTGGCGGAGAAGCAGGCAGAAGCTGATGAGGCCCTCAAGGCCATCACCGAGAGCATGACGGTTTTTCTTATTTTTATTTCTTAAGAAAAATTAATTTTAAGGGGGCAGAGGACCAGAAAACGTCAATGGAACAGTTGAAAATCGACCGAGAGAAGGAAAATGTCCGTATTGCTGAGCAGAAGGTGATCATCGACGAGCAACTGAAAGAAGTCGAGCCTATGCTGCGAGTTCGTTATCTCTGTCTGTTGAGACCCAAAGTGATCATTCAGGAAGCTCGAGAAGCCGTGGGGTCCATCAAATCGGAGTCTTTGAGTGAGATCCGAAGTCTCCGCGCGCCTCCCGAGTCCATTCGGGACATCTTACAGGCCGTTCTTCTGTTCATGGGCATTCTCGACACTTCCTGGGAAGCTATGCGAAAGTATCCAAACATTTCCGCCGTCACAAAAATCTCGCGTTGAAGGTTCTTGTCGAAGAGCGGCGTCAAAGACGACATAATCAACTTTGACGCGCATCGGATCACGAGCGATGTTCACAAGAAAGTCTCCGCCTTGGTCAAAGCCAAAGCGGCTTCGTTCGACTCAAAGGCAAGGGATATTGTAGGAAATTGAGTCTGACTACTCAAAACTAATGTAGTGAATAAAATTTCCACCTCGAAAAAGTGCGAAATAGAGTTCAAAGGCCATTTTCGCTAACATACTTCAGAGAGGTCCCTATAGGGGCAACCTTAGGGGCCCTTGAAAGGTTCCTTCAGGGACCACTACTAACCCCTATAAGCTATAGGGCCATAAAATCTGGCAAAAGACGGGTTTTAGTTAGTGGCCCTTATAGGAAGCAGGTCAGTCTATTATGAAGAATCATTTCCATGGGAAAAACTGAATAAATAAGGGATTTTTGAATGAAATTGAAAGACCCCTATAGGGACAGCTTGAGCTTTAGGGACTCAGTGATCAGACCTAAACTCCTATAGGGGCCACTATCTCGGCCCCTGTAGTAGTTTTTCTTATCTCTCACCCCTATAGGGACCACTCTGCAGTTCCTAAGTATTTTTTAAATGACTGCTTTTCTTACTTTGTTTTCTTGGTTTTTCTGGAAAGTTTCTGTTTGTATTCAATCAATTTTTGATGAATTTTCGATAAATGTTGGGAATTTTCTACATATCACCTGTGTCTCTTATAGACCATATTCAACTTATCAAAAAAAAAACCCCCCAAAGTTTTCAGAATGCGAAAAGAGCCTCCGTGGCCGCAGCGCCATTGGCCGCTTGGGTCCTGGCGAATCTTCAATATTCTCAAATTTTGGAGAAAATCTCACCTTTGGAAAATGAAAAGAACAAGCTTCTCAAGTATGAAACGAATTTTTGCGTATGGGATTATAGATGTTTTTAGGAATCTGGCAAAGGCCGAAAAACAGATGGAAAGTCTCTCTAAAGGTCTCCAATCGGTCGATGAAACAGTGGCAGAGCTGAAGAAGAAGATTCGAAGTTTTGATGAAAGAAGCGACTCAAATCAAGATCGACCTCGACAAAGAGCAGGTGAGAGTCTTTCGACTCATTTATTATTATTTTATGACCCCAGGAAACGATTCGCATAGCGGGAACGCTTGTCGAAAGCCTTTCCGGAGAGTTTGCGCGATGGCAACAACAAATGGGGGTTCTCAGTGAAGAGCTCAAACAGGTTATTTCACAATGAAAATCTTTAGAAACGCGCTGTTTCTTCATTATTTCCCATTATTCATAGGCAAAGTCGGAAAGGGTGGAAAAAGGCCCCATAAAAATGTTCCTCTTTTGCTGCCTTTTTGCGTCATTTCTTGGGCTTTCATGCACCATTTTTGCTGCCTCTTCCTTTTTCCACCATTTAATTCTCGAGCCTTCAGAAAAAATGGAAGGCTCAATAAAAAGACTCTCTGCTGCCTTTTTTGAACCTCTCTCACGTCGTTCTTTTGACGACGCCTCGCGCACAATTTCCGTAATATTTGACGTCTTTGGTGCATACACAGAACGACACAATTTTTTGTAATATTTGACGTTTTTGGTGCATACACAGAACGACGCAAACTCGCATACGCATTAAATTCGAAAAAAAATTGTTTTTCTTCAAAAAAATAATTTTCATACACGTTTTGAAAATCTCAACTTTCAAAGTTTTCAAAAGCTTTCAAATATTCGGAATTGTAGTTTCTTTTTTTCAGAAATGCTTTTGAATGAAGAAAAAAATAAATTTGACTAAAGTGCTTTTTCTAAAAATTTTTAAATGAATCCAGACCATTTGGAGAACTTCCAAAAACCGAAAAAAGTTTAGGTAGAAAAATGTGCGATAATAACATCGGCATTTGTGACCTACTTGGGGTCGTGCTCGGAAAAGCAAAGGACCGCCGTCCTCAAAGACATTTGCTCCCTTTTCGGCATTCCTACCTTCAGTCCTCTTGCTTTCGCGTCTCTCGAAACTGAACAGGTCTGCTTTAGCTTGGACGTTTGAAACAACAAAAAGGTTCCAGCTTAATTGGAAAACCAAAGGACTTCCTTCTGACGTGCTGTCGATGGAGAACGCCATGATTCTGTTCAACACCGTGCATGTTCCATTGGTCATCGACCCCTCAGGTAGTTTATGGACGGAGTTAAGAATCAAGCCAATAAGTTTCAGGTCAAGTTTCGGCTTTCCTAAACAAATACATCGAGAAGTCTGAACTTCTGAAAGCGGCTCAAAACGATCTGATGACTAAGGTGTCTTCAATCCACCTGTATCCGAATGTTTTCCTTCAGATTGAGCTAGCGATTCGGTTCGGGAAAACCATTATTGTTGATGATCTCGTCGACTTTGACGCCACCTTGCTGCCAATTTTGCGAAAAGATTGCTCTTCTCAGGGACCTCGACAGGTCTGTATCCTTCACCTTTCCAAGAAAAAATTGGATTTTTGTAGGTGATCAGCTTCGCCGGCAAACAAATCGACTACAATCCGGAGTTCCGGCTGTTTCTCTGTACTCGCAATGACCAAGTCCGTCTCCGGTCGAACGTCAGTTCCCTCCTCTGCCACGTCAATTTCACCACCACCGCCAGCGCTCTCTCAGCACAGGTTCTGTTTTTTTTTTTTTGATTTCATCAATTCTTAGGAACTCCAGAGTGGCCCCTATAGGGATAACCTTAGTGGATCTCGGAGGGTCCCCTAGAGGGACCACTTTACCAATCCTATAGAGACCACAGGGGCTAGTGGTCAGGCCCTGATCCCCCATAGGGATCACCTTGATTTTACCCCTCGCGTTTATCTCGGCAGTTATTCTTAGTGTCCCCCTCCCCTCCCCCGCAGGGACTACTTTCTTTTTCGGCCACTCCAGGGCTTGTCCACTAAGAATAACTGACGAGATAAACGCGAGGTCGGTGGCGGTACATTGACTAACTCGCAAAAATGTCGCTTTTTTCTCGGCGCGACCTCGCATTTATCTTGCATTTCGGAAATTTTCAAATTGCCAGAGAAATGCGAGCTCGCGCCTAGAAAAGTGCGAGCTGGCGCCCAGAAAAAAAAAGGCGCGAGAAAAAAAGCGAGATGTTTGCGAGCTCGTCAATGTACCGCCAGTGTCTCGCGTTTATCTCGGCAGTTATTCTTAGTGTCCCCCCGTTCTCTCAACCCCTAAAGGGACCACTCTGGAATTCCTAAGTTTGAACGAAAAATAAGCGTGTCAATAATTCCAGCTCCTCGGAGCTGCTATGCGCCTGGAAAAACCGGAGCTCGAAGGAAGGTCAAGCGAGCTTTTGAGAGACGCCGAGAGCAAGAGACTTGAGCTGGAGAAGCTCGAACAACTACTCCTTCAGGTAAAGCTGTCGTCTTCATGAACTATGAGAGTTGAGAGCTTCTAGCAATTGGCCTCGTCGCAAGGCAATCTTCTGGAGAACTCGGAGCTGCTCGCTTCGCTCAACAAGTCGAAGGAAAACGCTGAGACAATCAGCAAGAGCATCGAGGAGAGCGAACAACTCCACAAGCAACTCTCGGCGGTGATTTTCTGGGCCCTTCTAGACAATTGGAATCGTTCTTCAGCAAAAAGACAACTACATTCCGCTGTCGACCTTCGGATCCGCCCTATTTTTCTCTTTTTCGCAGTTGCACTTCCACAACCAGATGTACAACTACAGCGTCAACACCATTTTGAAGCTTTTCGAGACTACCATCAGAGATTGCAAGGTGATTCGGAAGACTAGAAGGTCGAAGTTTGGAGAAGACGGTTTTTTGGCGTTTTTATAATGGAAAAAAAATCTAACTAGTAAACTAAAAATGAAAAATCGGTTTCTCATTCAAAAAAAAAAAACGAAATTTTTTCCTGTTGCTGTGTTCAAAGCGATTATGCGAAATTTAAAATAGCCGCCAGAAAATGAAAAATATAACTGAACTTCGAAAATTTTGAATTTCGCGAAAATTACTTTGAACACGGCATGTGCGAGAGCGCCGCAGTGCATGCACGCTACACACTATACTTGACGGTAAAAACAGGCGGGGTGAGGGCAAAAAAAGAAACGTGGGGTTATTGATTTCAGATGAAAATTATAAGAAAAAATTATAGATGCACTGAAATTTTTTTCGTAAAATATGAAATAATGCGCACTTTTTATAATCGTGGATTGAAAGATTGAAGTGAATTCAAATTAGAGCTTGAAAAAAATATTAAACTTTGCTTTTTAATATTGTCGAAAGTTTTTTTTTCAAATAACTCCCAAAATTTACACTAAATGTTGAATTTGAAAATAAATGAAAAAGTTGGAAAAACGTGACATGAAAATCCTTAAAAAGCAACCTTAAATTTCAACATCAATTTCTCATAGGACACAGCCTCGAGTAGAGTCGACAGCTTGGCACGAAGTTTGCAGCTGAATGTTTTCAACTACGTGTCCCGCGGTATCTTCAAGCACGATCGACTCATGTTCGCTCTGAACTTTATCCACGCCAGCCTTCCCAAGATGTTCCTGGCCAAAGTTAAACGGAACCAAGTTCCCAGTAAGAGCCCCTGTTTTGAAGGAATGGGAGCTGTTCACGGGAGTGCTGGTGGACGATTCGGCCGAACCGAGTGCGGCGAGTAGAATCAGTTGGGTCGCCGAGGAGCGGACCGGAGCCGTCGCCAAGCTGCAGACCCACCTGCCCTCGCTGTTCAACACCGTCCAGCTCCATGATCAGAGCACTTGGGCAGAGTTCTCCAAAACTCTCCAGTGCGAAGAAGCCTTCCCACCTAACGTCGACAGTAAGATCACGCCCTTTCAAAAGGTGATTCTTCAGAAAAAATTTCCTTTATAGTCTGCCACGACTTGAAATTCCACCGAATGACATTCCGCTGTTCCGCTGTGTGCGTTCGCGAAGCGACTTTCGAATCTAGGTCACGCTTTCAATTGATTTGCATTGCTGTGGGAGCACATGAAAGTAAAGTACCTTAATAAAAGAAAAAAGGGGCGACCAAGGTTTGCAAGGGCGCGCAGCGGAACAGCGGAATGTCGTTTGGTGAAATTCCAAGTCGTGGTACACAGGCTATATATAGTATTTCTCAGCTTCTCATCATTCAAGCTGTGCGCCCAGATCGTCTTTACAACTGCATGCTTAATTTCGTCCAGAAAGTCTTAGGTATAAAAAATATTTTCAAGCTTTTCTTAAATATTCATTTAGATATACCGTCAATAAATCCACCCGCGTTCAGCCTCAAAGACGTCTTCCAAGAAAGCGAAGCCAAGGAACCTATTCTTCTCGTTCTGGCTGATGGCGCAGATCCTTCCCAGGTTTACCCCAAATGTTTTTTTTTTGTATAAACTTTTTAGGAGCTGCAAGAACTGGCGAACGTCGTCAGAATAGGCTACAAAAGCATTTCGATGGGACAAGGACAGGAGGAGGCGGCCATTGAGGCGATAAACGAAGCGGCGAAAGACGGGACTTGGGTCTGCCTCAACAATGTCCATCTCATGCTAGCTGTCGTTCCTCTGATCCAAAAGGTCTGAACTCACACCGGCTCCTAATAAAAATCATTCCCAGGAGCTCTCGCTTCTCCAGCCGGATGCGAAGTTCCGTCTGTGGATGACGACTGAAGCCGACCAGCGATTTCCCACGATTACGCTTCAACAATGCTTCAAAATCACCTTCGAACCTCCTCCAGGTGAGACTTGGCAAAGGAAACACCTTTCTATCCACCCAGGTGTGAGGAACAACTTGCTGAGGACATACTCACAAGTGGAAGACGTCCAGCGCAGCGTCGTAACCAACCAGAGCATTTTCGTCGTCGCCTGGCTCCACGCCCTACTCCAGGAACGCCGCACTTACATTCCACAGGTACCTTCAGACCTAGCTTCTCTCTCATTTTTTCCTGTAGGCTTGGACCAAGTTCTACGAGTTTGGCGCCAGCGATATGCGTGTCGCCAAAGTATTTGTCGAGCAAATCACGTTGAGAAGTTTCCAATGTCCCTCATTCCTTTTGAAAACAAAAGTACATCAGAAGCTGACTGGGAATTCGTACGAGGAATCCTGCTCTACGTCATTTATGGGGGTCGAATCGAGAACGTCTTCGATGGCCTCGTGCTGAACGCCTACGTCCAGACGCTCTTCAACGATGCGAAAATAACTGGCAAGACCGGAGAGAGCCTTGTGAGAGGAATTGAAATAATTGCCAGCTCCTCGACAAAAGTGCGCTCCATTGATAATTTGTTGAAGATTTTGCCGTTTTTAGGACTATGTAGCTCACATTGCGAAAAACGTGCCTGCCATAGATGAGCCCTACATGTTTGGACTACCCGAAAATATCAAGTATTCTTGGCAGCTTGTCCAGGCCGAGAAAACTACGTCCTCCATGAGAAATCTCGGTGAATAAACCTCATGAAAACAACGATTTTTGTTTGGTTTCAGCTCTGGGAGGCGCGACGCCGACCCTGCAGAACGCAGAAGAAGCCGTGGCCCCGATAATCGCTCTGTGGAAAAAGCTGTGCCAAGCCGGCGACGTTCACAAGATGAATGTATGACGTCAATCGGATGACAGATCGTATGACGCCTTCAGATGCCACCGGAGAAGGACCGCAGTGACGCGTTGGCCGAAGTGCTCTGGCTTGAGTTGAGAAACGCTCTCGAAATCGTCCAAAACGTCCACAATTCGTTGCGAAACGTATCGAAATCGGTTCGCGGCAGTGCCGTCCCAAGCTCTACCACGACTCAGACTATACAGGCGCTTGTTTTGCATCAAGTATATCCTTGTTGGATTCAAAGAGGATTCTGAAGAGTTACAGACTCCTGACGAATGGGACGTCATGTGGTCAGGGCCTAGAGATCCGGCCGAATACCTCAACTCGGTCGTGCAAAAGACCAAAGGCACGCAACAGGTGTGCGAAAGTTTCTAATGTATAGTAAGACTGAAATTCTCAGTGTAGATGGGGAAGAAACTATGGAAATTTGAGAGACCTTCTTTCTTAAGTTCTGTAAAAAGTTTTGAGTTCAAAAAAATATGGCTTTTTAGAAAAGTCGCTAGCAAGATTTTCCACTTTTACAAGATTTTGTAGCTAAGATGTTCATAGTTTTTTTCGGGAGAGAAATTCATACGATAAATTCGAAGCTTGGAAAAAAATGTATACTCGGGCAAAGTCGGAATGGTGGGTAATAGCCGCTAAAAAGGAAAGGCTCAAAAAATGCTCCAAAAAGGCTGCAAAAAGGTCGCAGAAAGGCTGCCAAAAGGCCGCAGAAAGGCTACAAAACGCCGCAGAAAGGCTGCCAAAAGGCCGCAGAAAGGCAGCAAAATGAGTCCTTTTATTGAGCATTTCATTTTTTCTGGTTTTTTAAAGGCTCAAAAAGAGGTGGAAGAAGGGAGAGGCAGGGAAAAAGGTGCATAATAGCCGATGAAATGGCGCAAAAAGGCATCAAAAAGGTGCCCTTATCCCCCTGAAAAGAACATTTTTATGGACCCTTTCCGACTTCGCCCTTGCAGAGGAGTTTAAGAATTTTCTTCTTTTTGAACTTGATCAAATCAAAGTTCCTTCGAAACTTCACTGAGTTCATTTTTACTCAATCGCCGTTTTTCTATTGCTGTGTTGATACATTTCATTTCAAAAAAAAGCTATCAAGTTTTCAGATGTTCACCGCTGCCGAATCCGACGAGTTGCTATCGAAACCCGTGGACTTCTCGGATCTTTTCCGACCGACAGCTTTTCTGAATGCTCTCAGGCAGTCAACATCCAGAGCTCAGTCTACGCCGATGGATGAGCTGAAACTTTCATCGGCCTGGGATTCGTCTCGACTACCTTCCAAAAGTTCGATTCACGTTCGAGGACTTCTCATCCAAGTTTTCATTCTACCTGTGATCATGACTCTGAAATTTTCCCAGGGAGCCACATTCGACGGAATTCTGAGAGAGACGACGGAGAGCAGCCCAGTTATGGCGCCAGTTCCTCCGCTTTATCTGGCATGGACTCGTGACGTCAGTTCGTGTAGATGACTTCGAAAAAATCTTTTTTCTCAGGATGAAAGCACAGTGGTCGGCGAGCAGACGACTGTGCCTCTCTACGTGAACAGCGAGCGCGAAGAAGTCGTCGCGCGAATCGCGATGCCGTGTCGCGAGAAATTCGTCTGGGACATGGCCGCCGTCGCCTTGTTCCTCAAGTGAAAATCAACACACTTCCGGGTTCAACACCATCAGTTTTTCTGCTCTTCTTTCTTCTTCTTCTTCTTTTCCAAAGAGATTTAGCCAGAACTTCGAGGATCCAGGTTTTTTTAAGCCTACCATTCCGGTAAAAAAATTTATCCACTTCATCGCACTAATAATTTGAAATATTTTATTTTTATTTAGAGCAGCTTTTTTTGCCTCCTTTTTAATGTTGAATGCTGCTCTCAGCCAAGCTCATTCACAAGATAAATTTAATAAAAATAATAAGAAAAACTTTTTTTGAATAAATTCTCTATCAATTGTATTTTTACGCGGAAATCCCAAAGGTTTTTTTCTTTAGAAAAAAATACAAATTTTCAAAAAATTATTAAACTTCGTGCATGTGAAGCAGACTGTAGAAATCGCGATAAAATACTTTTTTAGGAATTTTTGCTTTATGTTCACTACTTTCAATGTTTTTCAGTGTGCAGTACAATACTCTATGCAAGTTATCAAATCAGGTCTTTGTTGCTAAATTCAGTTACTTCTTCTCTATTAACGTGTATATCTGTTCCTATAATTCCAAAAAAACTTGTTGATAGTTACAAATTGTATCATATTTTAAACTGTGCAATCATGTACATAAAATAAACGACCCGAAATTCGAACAGTTTGTCTCATCGTAAATCTACCCACTTTTCGCAATGGCGCGCACTTACTAGCGTCAATTCGGAATTTTAATTTTTTCGAACAAGAAAAAAAGAGTGACCAAATTTAGAGCTCGAGAATCTTTTTACAGTTGCTAACCTTCACCATAACTTCGAAAAGCTCTTCATTTGTTTTTGTAAGCCTCAAAAATAACTCTGGTTCTGTGTGTGTCCCGTGACGGCGAAATGTGATTTCGAATTTGGAATTCAGGCGGAAATTCGCTTACCATTTTACATCGGCGAGTTGTGCCAACATGTGCAAAGTTGACACAACAGCTTCTTTTTTTTCTGTGTTTTCTTTCTCGAGTTGTTTGAATGGTGTGAACAAACAAGAAACAAAGGTTTTTCTAACTTAATCTGCTACGGTCATGAGTTAATTTGTAGAAAAATATATGAAGGAAAAACTATCTTTTTTTCACGTTGTACTGAAAACCGTTTTACAGTTTATTATTGCGTTGAGATCTTCGAAAGTGACAAGGGAAGGACGGCGTCCCCGTCATACACGAGTGTTGCTATTGCGAATGAGGCTAGTCTCTAGGAGCGCTGAGATCGAAACAAAGGGAAACAACTTGAATGGTCCAACATGACAGCAGGGAAATCGAGTGGAACTCTACAGTAGGAGGATGAGAGGTTACGGTAGGCTTTTGCCGTGTCCGATGGGGCGAAAAAAAGTGAATGTGGGCCAGTTTTGAGTGACAAAAAAAAAAATGAATGACAAACTAAATGTACATGTGTTTATTGGTTAGTAGTATGGAGAATCGGTGACGTCATCCACGTTTTGTGTCTTCGTTCATGACGTTGCTGATCAAGTTTGGCAGCTCGCTCACGTCTTCCAACTGAGAAAATTGTGTTCAAAATAAAATTAAGTGCAGTAGACTATCTACAAAGCTTCGATCTAAGATATGTGAAGTTTTAAGAAAACTAAAATAACCTAGCTCATTTTTTCAGCCAGATATTCTTTCTCAAACTCAATCCACAAAAAAAAATCACAAAAGTTCTCACAAAGTAATCCGTGTACTCCTTGAGAGTTTCTCGCGTTCCGACGCCAGTCATGACTGCGACCGAAGCGCGAAGACCGGCGACGCGGCCCATCTTCAGGTCGGCGATCGTGTCGCCCACCATTATCGCTTCCTGAAATAGACACTCTTTGTGGCTCTTTCTCACATCATTTTCCCAAAGGAGCGCACGGAGCGATGACGTCGACGGGCCAAACGTCAGCCCACAAGGGAAGGGAGGAATTTCTAACTGAAACGGATCTGTGGACTTGCCTTGAGGTCGACGCCGAGACGTTTGCAAATGTGCATGGCGCAGTGTGGAGAAGGTTTCGGGATGACGCCGACGTCGTTGCCGCACACGATGTCATCCAGAAGACGTGCCACACCGAGCATTCTCATCTGTTCCATGGTGGCGGTCCTATGAAATCATCAATCTCGAGTCGCAAAAGATGGACAAACCGGCTGTCAGCAGTGCAGACGGCCAACTTGATGCCCATGGCCTTGAGCGTCTGGAAGAGGAAGATGAGGTCGCAGACCGGCGCCGTCGCTCCCGTGCTCGCCTCCGGAACACAGCCTTCGACTATCGCCGCCGCTTCTATCGGATTCACCCCAAAGGTCTGAAGACTTCTTTTGACGCCGTGGTTCTCTTCAAACTGTACCTGCAAGGTGAGAGCGACGTCTTCACGGACCCCAGTCAACGTCTTCTCAGCCAGGCAGCCCATTGAGACCTGTAGAAGTTTCCGAAATGGACTATTCATAATTTTTATCATCCTTCATTAGAAAGTACTGCCTAGAGTGGTAGAATTTTGATATATTCCGTCTCGAAAGAAAAATTTTATCATTCACTTCTTTCCACGTGAAATCATTAACTTCCACGCTTTAGAGAGAAAAAAAATCATGATTTCCACAAAATGCAAAAGTATCTCTGACTCTCCAAAATCTAGTTATCTTTTTCTTTCTCTGACGGCTATTTTGGATTTCGCGGAATCACTTTGATCCCGGCATTATAATTATGTTATATTCATAAGTTTATCCAATTTTAGAACAGTTACCTAGTAAGTGATACTGATTACATGCTTGAAAAACGTTAAATTAGTCCGGAATTCGTATTTTTGGATTATACCTTCTTCCCATGGAAATTGCAGCCTTCTTTGCCTCAAAATAGTCTCGAAATTCAGAAAGAAAGCTCAATGAGACTTTGAAATGGGATTGGACACGTAGTACAACTCAAAAATGCGATTACCCCGATGGGTATCCAATGCATCGCCGAAAAAAAAAGTCTTCTCCTGGCTCGACGCCAGTTCTTTTTGAAACGTGAGACTCGCCCCCGCCTTTCACGTCAGCATAGGAAACGCGCATCATATCTATTTTTCAAATTCTCGAAAATCTGGGAAGTGCGTTTTTTTTCATTCAGTGAAATTTTAGAAAAATTGCGTTTTCTATCAAAAATATACTATGTAGAGCGAGGTTTCTGAGGAAACTCTAATTCATTTTTTTTCCAATTTTTTGCGGACGAAAAGATGGATTTGTTACCTACTCAGGAACCTCAGAGTGATCCCTATAGGGGTAACATTAAGGGCTCTTGGAGGGTTCTCTCTAGGGACTACATGACCCTCCCCTATAGGGGCCACTAGAACTTGTCTTTAGGGGACATGCTAATCGATAATCTTTATGTACTCTATGCGAAGAAGCAGAATAAATGAGCGTTTTCTTAAACAAAGTTGAAAGACCCCTATAGGGACCACTTGAGCTCTAAAGGCTAATGGGTAGACCCTAAGCCCCCGACCATCTTCATTTTACCCCTAGAGGGGCTGTTTTCCCCCCTAACCCCTGTAGGGGTCACTTTAAAAATCCCAAGGGGACACAATTTCTCTGGAGGTACATAATTGTCTAGCAAGTTTCTCGAGTTGAGAGCCAAGAAGAGGAAATACCTTGGCTTTGACCGGGTCGACGCCGAGGGTCTTGTACACGGCTGGACCGACGGGAAGTTTCGTAGCTGCTTCCAGTCTAAAAAAATATTTTTCTAAGTTGAAAATCTATAGTTTAAAGATTGTGATCTCAACTTACAGTCGGACGGTGTTGGCGGCCCAGGGAAGCCACATTTTGTTGAAATCGAGCAGGGTGCCGTCCTTGTCGAAGATCACCAGTTTTACACCATTGTTGGATGACGTCATCTGAAGTCGAAGCGTCGTTTTGTGACGCAATTTCAAGACACGATTTTCAGTCGTCAAAATAGGATTGCTTCTGGGAAATTAATTACAGGAATGCTCTTTTTTTCTGTGGCGGGGAATGGGAGAAGGAGTCGGGTTGGGTTGCATTTCTCAATTTTGTCTGGATCAGGTGCCTATTGCGGAGAAAACAAACTAATTTATTCGAATTTCAACGAAAATTCTCCTAAGTCGATGTGCCAAAATTTCATGGAACGACACTCCGTTGTTCTTGCGGTTCTTATGCGCGCTGTCGCGAAGCAACTCGCTTTTGCGAAACTCGGTCGCTTTCTCATTTTTTCTTTTATTCTAGATCCTCATCATAATAATTATGTTTTTATTATTATTTTTTGTTTGGCACGAAAAAAACAAATCGAAATATAAATGGAAAACAAAAAAAAATTTGGAAGCGCGACCGAGATTCGCAAAGGCGAAGACGCTTTCACGGCCACGCAGCGGAGTGTCGTTCCATGAAATTTCAAGTCGTGGCACACAGACTATATAAAGGCGAGGAAATCCAAGGGGAGCTTTGAGCTGCCACAAAGAAGGTCATTTTTACTTTGCGGTTGGGAATTACTTGAAAATTTGCCAGAACCTTTTTTGATGTACCAGAAGAAGATCCTAAAAGTCTCAACCTGCACAATTTCCTAGTTATCGAAAAATAAAGACCTAAAGCCTAAAAATAGCCCGATTTTGAGTTTTCATTGAGGCGTACTTTCTCAAAAACGAGGAAATTGTGCAGGTTGAAACTTTCAGAATCGTCTCCTGGTACATCAAGAAGCATTGTTCTGAGTTCTGACCAATTTTTTTTTTCGATTTTTTTTTGAGTTCAAGTTCTGACCAATCTTCAGGAGAATCCCAACCGCAAAGAAAATGATCTACCTTCTCAGGTTTTCGTGTAAGTTTTCTAGATCTGAATTACGTGTGAAAAATTAATGAACTAGAATTCTGCTTTTAGCGGGAACGAAAAAAACGTAGAAAAATAGCAGAAATCGAATGGGTTCGGTCGAGGCTTTCGGTTCGTACATGACAATTCTTTGCACAAATAAACGATCCCAAGGGTGGAAAACTGTGCTTTTTCGCCTTGTTTCGTGGCTAAAGACCGTTCTTTGCAAAGGTGATGACGTTTCTGTTGAAGCTCACCAAGCAGTTAGTCGAGTTAGTTGAGCTGGGGTCAGTGAAAATGACGACGTTTTCACGTAACCTTCTGGTTTACCTCATCTCACATCATTCTTTTTTTCTTCACTTCTAATTGAAACTTCCAGAGCCAATAATTATAGCGAGGGGTTCTCAGAAATAACGAAAACAATTTGTTGTCGGTTGTCAGGAGAAAATCCAAGGGCGTAAGCAGATTTGAAGGCACGCAAAAATGAATGGATACGTGAAGGAACAAAACGGAGGGCAGCTTCGAAAAAAAAAAGGAAAGAAGAAAGGACGCGGGGTCTGTTAAATTAGCTCAACTTGTTGGCAGCGAGCCCATCCGCTGAGCTTGTTCCGTCATTTTCTTTGAGTGTTTGACCTTTCGATGTCATAATAAACCATTCTAGTAATTTTTTAAATATACAAGATTTTTTGTGTAGACAAAAAGTATCTCGAAAAAAATTTTTAAAAAATTGAAGTACGGAAGGCTGCAAAATGGCCGCTAAAAGGGTTCCGTTTTGCGGCCTTTATTGAGCTTTTTTCTTGGTGGGCTCCAAAATGGCCCCTGAAAGGGTTCCGTTTTGCGGCCTTTATTGAGCCTTTCATTCTTGGTGGGCTAAAAAGCCTCAAAAAAGGGTTAAAAAAGGGAGAGGTTGCAAAAAGGGTGAAAAAAGGATGCTGAAAATCTCGGCCATTGATTTTAGTAGAAAGTTTAGGTACCGGAAGGCCCTGAGATCCGATTTTATTACTGTGGCCCATTTTGGTTCATACACGGTCACTGGTGAAGATTATTCTCAATTCATATCTCAAAAGGGTTCAAAAAAGGTGGATAAAGGCCGATGAGAGGACGGAAGCAAAAAGGAAACCTTTTGCACCCTCAAAAGGCTCCTTCCGGCTTTACCTATGGTGATAAGTGTATATTCAAATTCTACAGAAAACCGCTTCTCTCTTAGAAAATTGGGAAAAATATCTCGAAAAATAGAAAAGCACTTTAAAATAACATCTCGTCATGCGAGTGCCTATCAGCGAAAACGAAGAAGGGAAGAATAAGAAGAAAGCAAGGAAAAGGCGTCGTTTTTCGATCCCTCGAGGCCATCCTGGCCCGTCGCCTCTTTTTTTTTATAAAAACAACTCATCTGGGATTCCACGAAGCTTGGCGAGATTGAGAGTCAAATTGAGCTCTTTTTTCCATCGTTACTTCAGAATTTCGGTGCCTTAATTCTAGTGAGAAGGTTCTACATCAATTAAAGCTTTTCTCACTTGAGAATAGTTTATTCAGGGCTTCGTGCGAAACAGAAAAAGTTCGGTTTTAATGGGAAAAAGCAAAGATGAGTCTAGGATATTTTAAAAAAATTTTTCAGAGGAAAAAGACCAAAATTTTCAGTTTTTGATGGAACGGAAGGGATAATTCAGACGTCCTTCTTTTTTGGGGGAGCTGAAAAAAATTGAAAAAGCTGAGAAGGTTTTACTCGGATAATCTTTTTCAAGAGAAAAAAACATCTTTAAAAAAAGATTTTTACTAGTTTCGAAAGTTAACAAACTTGAGATATTTCTATTGGAGATCAATCGAAGTCGAAATTTAAAGAAAAAGACTTTCTTTTCAAGCTAATTCAAATTGCAAAAATCTCTGGATAACTATCCTTTCAATTCCTTTTTAAAAAATAGCTTGAGACGGGAAAAGCGAATATTCCGAAAACTTGAACGTTTCCTCATTGAAAATTCTGCCAAAGCATATTCTTTTTTCTATTCACACGCGACTCGGTTTTCAGCTTTTCAGTCTGGGATTTCCCACTTTTTTCGCTGAATAAAAGGTCGTCGATCGTTTTTTTAATGAGGGGAGGCTGGAAAATATTTTCGATTCTCAAAAAAGGTTGCTTCAAAAACTAACATTTCCTTTTTTCAGATTTTTTTAGGATTGACAAGTTCGGAGCAATACAAAGAATGGAGAGAGCTATTTATCTGAGAAGTTATCCCCACGAGGAATCCGAGCACAAAAAAGGCAAAAGCGGCTGCTCCGAAAAGTGGGCGTGGCTTTGGAGGGAGGCGTGACCTGAATTTTCTCAGCCGAAAACGTCGACTTTTTCCTGAAAAATCACGAAAGCTCGAACGCCCACGGACTCCAACTAGTTGAGTTAATTTGGCTCGGCCCAAGTTATTTAGACCAAACGTGGGTTACGGTGGAATTTAGGGATCTTATGATAAATTGAGAAGTTAGAAATTGTTTTCTTTCTGCCAAATATGGCCATCGTCTTTTTTTGACGATATAAATAATTAAATTTGAAGTAGAGATACGAAAAAATAGCTTTTGTTTGGAAAAAAGAGAAATTGTGAAAAAAATTTGTGAGAAAAGAAGAAAGAGAGGTGCAACTAGCGGAAGGTTATCTAAAAAGAATAGAAACGATATCCCGGATGGCATGGCGCAGTGCCTGTGGTCTTGGCTTTCACTTGAAGGTCACAGGATCGGAACCGAAAGACAAAGTTAATCTCATTTTTTTTTTTGCCAAAAACGTTAAATTTTCTATATTTCCTGCAGGAATGTGTTTCATCTGCCATAGATTTTTGAAAAGAAGTATTCGACTTTAAAAAAAAATTCGGAGGTCGACGAAGAACGGTGATGACGAGAAATTGTTTCCAGAAGACGTCGGCTGACGTTAACGAGGTTGGCGCCTTGTTGGGCGGCTCCTAACACGATTTTTTGCTCCGAATTCCCGAATCGCAAAGCGTGAAGCGAGAAAGAGAAAAAGACAAAAGATGGATGACGAACCAGGAAAGAAATTTTTTGAAAACTGCGTAGATATGGCTCAGAAAAGAGGCGGAATCCTCTAGATTTTCTTCGTCGCGCACTTCCTCAAAAAAAAAAAGTCATCCGATATGTGGGAACAGTGCAGATATTTGGGCGAAGAGTGTTACTGGCGAAGGTTTCAATATTTCTTTCAGAGAACACCTTGAAGTTTCTCTACAGGTATGCTCACCTAAACTTTAAGTTGATATATATCTCGAAAAGTACTTCGGGGTCGCTTCTTTTTTCCTCAGTACTTGGTTTTTTTTTGCTATTTAAACACTTTCGCGTTTGGATAAAAAAAATTGTTTTAAAAAATTTGAAAAAATGAAAAGCGTATGCAGTTCTACGAGGAGGTGCATGCGGGACGAACAACTTTGCGCGTCGCAATTTTGAAATTATTTCAAGGACAATTTAAATTTTTACTGTTTAAACACTTTAAAACTGTTTCCATTTGTTTGAATCAATTTCACATTCATGATGTAAATTTAGTAAGTTTTTAAATATTTCTCTCGAAAAAAAGTTATTTTTCCAGATTTTTTTCTTCTCTAAATGGACGGGAATTATTCAATCGAAAACCTTTGTCGTCATTTTTCAAAAAAATAAATGTAAGAAACCTGAGCTTCCGCAAAAGAAGTAGAAAAAGTTAGAAATTTTTCCTCAGACAAAAAGAAACCAGATAACCTTGAGAAAAGCGCGCTCCGTTCTTTTTTTAAAAAAATGTATTCCCCAGTTGGATATGTCGTTATGGAAGGAGAAAAAAAATGCGAAGGCATAAAAAAGAGAAAGGAATGAAGGCAATTTCAAGAAAGTATGAGCCAAACTTGAAGAATACGCATTTCCGCAGGATAGGCCGTGATTATTTTCTCTTTTTCTCTTCAAATGGACGTTTTTCAGTTCAGCGATGCTGAGCGGAAGGCTCTATGTTTGAAATGGAACTATCAATTAACTTCTCTTCTTTTCTGAACCATGCACGGGACTTCTTTCTGTGATGAAATCTTATTCATTCACATTTTAACAAGTTTTTTTATGCTGAAAAGTTTTTCACAAAGAGTAAGTCAAGGAAAGAATCAGAAAAAGGCGCGAAGGCCGAGAAGCGCCAGAAGAAGCAAAGAGCCATTCCACAGAGAACTGCCGCCGTTGAACACGTTGTTCCTGAAAAAAAACATTCATTTTGTTACTTTCAGCTCAAAAAGACCAATGATGTTCGGAATGGAAGACGATGCGTTTGCGAATAATGTCCATGACTTCCTGGATCTCAGTCTGGTTGTTTCCGCGGCATTTCTGGATCCAGCGCTTCACTGTCAGAGATTCGATCGACCCTTTGTCGAATCTTCAACTTGGCTTTCCGGTAATATACATCAAAAAGTTCACCTCAAGGGCATTCCCAAAATGGAAACGAAGTCGTCCTTCATGCAAATTTTGAGCGTCTCCGAGACCTGAACGAGTTGCAGTTTGGATTATTTATTATGACGGAACCTTGCAGTCGAGGCCATCGAGCGGCGAGCAGAGGAAATGGTAGTATTTCATGGAAAGTTGCTGCTCAACGATCTCGTGGAGTCCGATCTCCTCGTGTCGCTCCGGCGTCGTCGGCACGACGATGGTCACCGCCGAATGGTCGTCCAGTCGCTTGGTCTCGATCTCGATGGCAGGCGCTCTTTGTTTTGTGTGGACCTCGACGACGGGCGCTTTTTCCGGGACCGGTACTGGCTCACTTTCTGCGTTTTCAGAACTGTTTTCATTGGTAAGATTCATGTGAGATTCCTTTTTTTGAAATAATTTTATTTGCCTTTTTGCAATTTCAGTACTTCTTACAGAGATGAACAGAAAACTACTCGGAAATTCATACGGACATACTCTGGACAAGTCTAGGGATCACTCAAGAGTGTTGGCGCTACTAAAGGGCCCACTAGAAATGCTCAGAAACGTCCGGAGCACGTCCGTTTCGCGTTACCAACTGGGAAAATTTTTAAACTATAGGCTTTTGACGTTTTAGTGGCCACTATAGCGGTCAAATTAGTGGCCACTTAAGGGGTTAAAAATTAGTGGCCACTATAGAGGTCTAAATGCTACTACTAGACCATTAAAAATTTCAGTGGCCACTTTAGGGGTCAATGGATCTACATAACTGGCTCAATCTGTTTGTTTTAAAGTTATCAAAGTCACTGGAAGGAATACTGGATGAAAAACTACTGAAGTGACCACTAAATATAGAACCTCTATAGTGGCCACTAAAACGAAAAATAGGGACCGCTATAGAGGTTGGTTTTGTGGCCACTTCAGTGTTCCCTCCAAGTAGTCCTTGGCGAGCCTCTATAGTGGCCACTAAACATTTTGCCAAAATTTCGGAGTAGATTCATAACTAGTCCATTCTGGCCCATCACAAAAATTTTCGATGCGCTAGACAAAGCCTCAAAACTTTTGAGAACAGAACTTGAAACAAAATTTCGCCCACTCTTCAAAGTTCTATGTGAAAAATTTCTCTTTTCAATTTCGCAATAATTTAAATGCATTATTTACATTTTTCCCGGACCCTCACTGATTCATTCTGATATGAAAAGAAAGTTATGGCGAATTCAAAATTTCAACCTCGAGCCGATCAAATGACAAGCCACCTTTTTTTCATATTTCCTCGCGCATTAAAAAATCATAAAAACCTTTTTTTCTTTCTTCTTTGATTTTTTACGGCTCTATAAAAGATCTGTCCGATCCCAAATCAACGAAAAACTTTGATAAACTCACTGGCTGTGATCGTGTTGTTGGCAACATCAACTGCTACTTTCACTTCTGAAAACTTGGATATAAAGTTTGATTTCGTTTCAATTTTAGTATATTTTTCACCAACAGCAAGAAGGCTTTGAAAACGGTGACTTGAAAAATTTCCAAGTCACACTAAAAGTAGAGACCCCAAAGCCCCGCCCCTTTTTTCCGATGGTGAAATGCGTTGATTTTCTGGATTTTTTCTTCGTGAATCGAACCAATTTTAACGAAAATTGGTGGAAAGATAGAGTGGACCTCCCTCTTTCGATTCATGTAAAATTCACTTCATTTTCTTGCGTTTCAGCTGAGTTTCGTACAGAGAAGTGAAACGAATTTGGTGTTGTATTTTTTTTTTACTCACGTTTTCGGGCACTATAATTCTTTTCCTTGAATGTTTTATCATTGGAAGGGGAAACTTTTAAAATAAAAGAATGAAAATTTCATGATTGGGAAAAATTTAGAAGACCGTATAAAGTTAAAAATAACTTTTTCTCGACCTTTCTTATTTGGTTTATATATAATTTGAGGCTTTAGTCTAAATTACCCGGACTGATAAATGGAAATTAAACTGTTAATTTTTGAAATTAAACATTGCCGTAATCAGAAAGCCATTCCGTAACTTTTTTTCCAACCATTAAGTTACTCAATTCAATCAAATTAAAAATAATAGACTTAAAAATCATTAATCCACTCAAACATAAGCTATAATTTTTTTATTAAATTTTCTAAAAATAAAAACAAACCATTAGCAGTTCCAGAAGGTTCTTGTGCAAAAACAGAAGAAAGGAAAAGAACAGACAGAAAGGAAGGGACGATCATTTTCACCAAATGTTCCTTTCTCGCCGTTTCATGCCTTTCCGCCCTTTCCCATTCCCATTGGTTTTTAATTGAATTTAAAATCAGACGTTTCTCAAACTCACAAAAATCGTACAAATGTTTTTGGATTGCTTGTGAAAAAAATAATAGAGCATCTTTATGCGTGGTTGGGTCGCTGGGATATCAAAACCATAACAATCGAACAAGAGGAACGAACAAAAAAACATTGCAGTGCGGTAAAAACAAAGAGATAAAACAATGAAAGAAAAAAACAGAAGAAAAAAAAAGTTGAACCGGTCATTGGCACAATAAGGAAATATCAAGTGAAGATGCGGGTAGTTTGTTAGAGGAAAAAATCAAAAAAAAAAAACTCTGACCAGCACATTTGACTTGACTAGTTCATACGAACATGTGAGTATAGTTTGGTGATTCATTTGTTGAAAAACTTTTTGTTGATGTATTGAATGAGATGAGGGACGTCGAAAACGACACGATCCTGCAGCATGTACTTCTGTTCCTCGTTCGAATCCGCCTTCAGAAGATCCTGCAAAATAAGACGATTGGAACTGTGAAGATAGAGCTCAAAAGTGCCTGGAATTCGAGTAAATGAGTCTCGACGGTCTTGTTCGAGTCGAGTAGCGACACTGAGAAAATTCCGAGGTCGGCCGTCGAGCCGATCTCCACCGAGAGCTTGGACATCTGCTTGGGCGTCTGTATTCCGATTACGTCAACGAGAATACCTTTTCTGAAAAAAAATCACTTCTAGAATTGAAAAACAGGTAAAAAAGACCTGAAAAGCTTTTCGGCCGAGCTTTTGTATGACTTGGCTTGGTCTAGGGAAGCGCGCTGTTTCTGAATCTTGCCGGCCTTCTCTGTAACCGGACGGAAAGAAAGTCTTCTGAAATCACGCAAATTGAAGAAACCACTGATGAACTTAGGGATTCCAGAGTGATAACTATAGTGATTGAGGGAACAAACAGCCCCTATAGGGGCCGAAAAGTGATCCCAATAGGAGTTTACGGTCTGCTCCCTTGGCTCCTAAAGCTCAAGTGGTCCCTATAGGTATTTTAGTTAATGACTTATAAGGTTATAGGGACCACTCTGGAGTTCCTAGGAAATGTTCTACCGGCTGGTGCGGGTCAGGTTCTGCAGACACGTCTCCAGGTACTCTTCGTACTGCGCAAGCTTCGCCTTCAACTCTTCACGCTGAACCAGAAGCTTCTCCCTAGCTTCTTGAACGCTTTTTTTCTGCTCGGCGCGTTCTCGTTGCCGCCGCGCATGAAGACGAATGTCCTGTAGTTCATTCTTTTCAAGACTTAATTCGACAAATACGACTGACATTAGCGATATCCGTCACAACACTCTGATAGTTATCCGAACTGCTGGAACGGCCATCCTTCTCGAGGTTATTCAAACTCTCATTCAAGTTTCTCTGCTTCTCTCTGATAGAAGTGCTGAGAAAAAAAACTGATTGCTCGGAAAATCGCTTCTATAGCCTACATCTGATCATCTCCGAATAGGGATTTGTGAAGTTCTTCATTGGAGACTGTAGGAGAGGCGTTGAGCAACTGAGGCAAAGTGGAGCCTGCGAGTTCGCACAAAAGAAGGTCGACGACAAGTTTTTTCGCTCTGAGAGGTGAAATGAGTCTTCCTTATGATTACCAGGAACCTGGCAAATTCCTGAACGTCGATCCCGTTGACGACTCTCTCGGTCGGCGAGGGGTGCAGCTGTAGGAGAATGGTCTTGTCATTCTCGCCCGACGGTGACACTTTGGCCGACGCAATCAACGTCGAAATGAGCTCTTTCTTGTTGTCACAGACCGGAAAACCTTGATCGTTTGGGAAGGAAAGAGCTCAACAAACAATTGTGGCATTCTTCTGGAGCTGCTCGACAACTGTGTAGACGTGCTTCTCCAGAAGACTCAACGTAGGCTTCTGGAAGGGATCGAACTGCGTGTACTCGTTGAGGCCATACACATCGTCCAGACTCACGCCGCGAGCCGAATCCTTCACGAACTTTCTAAACGCAAGTGATTATGACATCAAGAATGACGTCGTTGCTCACGTGAAATCCTTGTGAATGGTGTGGATTTGTTTGTTCAGTGACGTCAGGTACCATTTGTTGTTGCCATACTGCAAAAAATAGCTGATAATGTTATTAAAAAGTTCACAAGGCTATTTTTCTTTGGAAACATTGAAAAAAACGACTTACACCACGGTTAAGAACGGCGAACCCAACAAACTGCAGAATGCAATCGAGCTTCTGGAACGCATCCGCAGACGGCTGTTTACCCAGGGCACGGACTTGGTTCTTCGTAGAACTCAAGCTTCGGCTCAGGAACACCTGAAGATCCGTGTCTAGAAACGGTTGTTGAACAACCTCGTAGGCGAACTGCGCGACCATCTGCTCGACTTCAGCGCTTGACGCCGACGGGAAATAATACCGGAGCTGAGCTTCAAGCTGCACGCAAATATAAATGGCGCTCCGTCTAAAAATCAGAAAATTCTCAACTCTAAAAATTCGTCGATATACGGAAGTTTGTAGGTCATGAAAAGTGCATTGGTGATAAGCTCGCTCCATTTCGCCAAAAACGACAATGAATTACTGAGGACCTGAATAGAACTGTTAGCTCCTTACAAAGTCGTACGAATCAACCTGAGACACCTGCTCGTCTTGCAAAGCCTTTTCCGGGGTCTCGATAGGCTTTCCATAAATTGATGTATAAAGCTGAACAATATTCGAATTTTAAAGATCCGAAATCATTCTTTTTACTTGTAGAGGGTCCAAGTTGAACGTTTCAATACGGTACTCCTCCTCGACAAAGTTCCCCAAAACTTCGTCAATTGCTCGGCACGGGTCTTTGATGACGTTATCGAAAACACTGAAAAATTTCAAAGCTAAAAAAAAATGCCCACAGTGTTTTATCGTTGTTAAATTCAATGTTTTTTTGTTCTTTCTACTAAATTGTTACATGAAAACCTTTTATCAAAAAGTTCAAAAGAAACTTTTTTTCACTTGTTGATACCCTTAGACTCGCAACTTGTCCGTAGAGCGCAAATGTGGCAAAAGTGTTGCGGATTTACGGCTGCTTCTCAAAATTATATTTTTTTATATTTACTCTTTGATGACCATATCAATTATATAATAAAGTGTAATTAATTTTTATATACACTAGTTTCATAGACATAAAAAAATAAAAAAAGATTACGCACTGAATCAAATTTCTAAAATTGATAGAAGACATTTCTTCCATTTTATTTATAATATTTTAATATTTCAGTTTTTCTTTTTCATCAAATATTTTTTTCATTTTTTTCTCACTTAAATTCAAATTTTTCTATTATTTTTTTCCACGCATGAAAAAAACTATTTACGTGCGACTACAGTGTAGCTTGTGTAAGCTCAAAATTCAAAAACCTTCATTCGGAATTTATTTCCCCTTTTTTGATTGCTAATTTCTTTTACAGACGAATGCCGAGGGGCAGAAAACGGGACATCGATTTAATCGACACGGGCCAAGATTCGAAAATCAAAAAAGATGATCTAGCCAGCCGGCCATCAAATGGTTAATTTACAATACGATGATCAAAAGTTCAACAGTTGATTTTTCAAAATATCCCTCTTTAGAACCAGAGACGACGTTAGACTCAGTGAACCAGATAGAAGTGCAAAATATTAAAAGAAGTGAGTTCATACTTTGCTTCAAACTGTTGATAGTTTTAACAAAGATACAGGAAGCGGATGAGCAGGAAGATGATGGTTTTCCGAAAAGTACGACAAGTGATTTCGTGAACAGGCCTAACCCTAAAGAGCAGAAGCCGGCAGATGACGTCACAAAGCAACACAACAGCGCGACCGCTTCAACCTCATCCTGCTCGGTCAGGCTTTTTTAAATACTCAAGTTTACGGAAAACTCCGAGGAAAATGACCGTTTTCGATTCAGAACCAGTTCTCGCCGGCCTCTCTTGCTCCACATGAACTTGCTCAGCGTTTTCTATTCACCGCTGACGGTAGTCGAACGATCCCCTATGCACAGAACAAGGTTCGATAAATTTTTTGAAATCGAAAAAAAAAATCGAATACAGGAACTGATCCGAGAATTTCTCGCTGAACGCAAGGAGATCAAAGTGGACCATCTGACAGAAGCGGCCCTTCTGGCTCGGGGAACCGATAAAGAAATGCAACTTCTCACTTTGGCCGGTTATGGATTGATTGTCAGAGAAAACCCACTAAAAATCCAAATGCACTAAATTTTGAAGATAAATCGTGAGCTAGACAGATTATACGACATCGTGAATTACAGCAGCCGGTCTAGCAAGTCTAACGGAGTGCACACGGTACTTTTTTCTATCTTTTTGCGATTAGGAAAAAAATCTAAGAGATTTGTTTGCAGACTGAAGTGTCGCTACTTCCGACGTCGCGATTCAACCACGACGCGGTTTTGACGCTGTCGCCTCTGACCTCGCTCATCCACGAACTGTCCGGCGAGACTTGCGACTTGGCCACCGCCGCACTCGCCGGACCTCTGCCCAATGTTTCCACCGTCAACAGCATCGTCACGCAGCTTGTCTCCAACGTTTTGCACAGTGTCAGTCTCTTTTCTTTCTTTTCGAAGCTTTTGTTGAGCTGTAGAAATTCAGGTTGACGTAGTCTTTTGTAGACTCCCATCAATACAACCTTTGTATTTATTTATTTCAAAATGGAGTTTTGTAGATTTTTGATGAGCACCCGGATAGTTTGGTTCTGACGGCAGCCACATCGAATACGACTTATGTTAGACTTCATCACGACTTCATATTTAATCTTGTAGGTAAGACTATTTGATGTTTTCCCACACTAACTCCCAAAGTGACTTTAAAATTTCTACTCTTTTCTGAATTGGTGAAAGTTTGTGAGTCTCAGATATAATCGCAGCCGCGACCAATCTGCAAACGTGCGTCGCCGACGCGCAACAGCAGATGAAACAGCGTGCCAACATTGGAAAAATGGTTCGCTCGCAGTCGATCAACTTCTTGTGAGTTGTCGAAACTCATCTGAAAAGCGACTGTTGTTCAGCGACAACAAGCGGAAGGCGTTCGTCAAGACCAACTCCAAGTCGGAGCTTCAGGCCCTTCTCCGACGAGTCCACGACCGAAAGCTGCTCGATCCAACGGAAGGAATCGTGTTTCCCAACGGCGATGAGGACTCCCAAGAGTCGCAAAACATCGAGGATGACGAGTAGACTTTCCTTTTTTGCGCCAGCATGAGTATTCAATAACGAGAAACACCTTCAAGACCTTTTTTTAAATTGATAGCTACGCTAATTTTTTATGTCATCACAAAAAATTAATCACTTCAAGCAAAAAGCCTGGAAATAGTTATTATCCATTTTTTTTACCTCGAGAAAATGTTGCCTTATTTAATCACGGTTCCAATGTTTTTATTCACCTTTCAATTCAATAGTCCACGCATTTCCTCTTCCGTATTATCATGTAGAGCAAAGCTGTGATGGAATTTCGTCCCCGTGTGTTTTTTCTCTTTACTTGGTCTATATTTACGAGTTTTTGGAAAAATCTATATTTTAATACATCTCGGTGTGAAAAAAAAAGTATAAAATGTTCATTTTGTCACTGACTTTCGTTTAAAAAACGTTTCATCCGATTTGGACCACGCAAAAAAAAGTTAGAATTTTTTCGTATTTGGGTCACAGTAATTCTCAAAAGGGGCGGAGCCTGTCAAAACCTCAACTAAACGTTTCAGAGGATTGTGTAGTTTTTGTGTTAAAAAATGTGAGCTCAGAAAGAGCAACATGAATTTTTAGCGTCTCACTGTTTTGGCAACGCTCGGAGAACGTGTGTTATATTATGAGAATGAAAATTTCACCTGCTAGTGAAAAACTGGGCAACAGTCTGGACGCAGTTCGTCGTCGGTAGCTCCTCCAGCCGGTTCATTTTCTCAACGTCTCTGGTGATGAGTTCGCAGAGCATACGCACCTAGAAAATATTAAACTTTCCTTTTTTTTTTCAAACTGAGAAACCATCAAAAATTGTTCCCTGTTGTCGCTAAGAAAGCCGAAGATTGGGCAAATCACGTCGTTGATCAAATCGTCAAGGCCTTTCTTTCCTCGAGCTAGAAAAAATGTTGATGAGGAAACGAGAGGGGGAGATACCTTCGATAAGGTTGGCCAGGTGTGCAGGCTGAGTCTGGAGGTAGAAAAAGAGCTGCTCCAAGGTGGAGAGGGGCAGTTTGTCGCGTTTGCGCATGCTGATGGCCCGCATCGAGAAAGCGTCGGCGGCTTCGGCCGTTTTGTCGCGGTGAGCCATCACTTCCTACACGTTTCATTGTATTTTTTCTGATCAACAACTAACACACGAATGTTTTGGACAGTGCTACGGGCAATATCGAGCCGTCAATTTCAAAGCCAGGAACTTTTTTTCTTTTTTGTTTTGCAATTTGTTAATCGAAAATTAAACAACTTACGTCACAAAAAGCACACAAGTTTTAATTGTATCACCGAAAATCCTATCTAAACTACCGTAAAACCGGCCGCATTTTTTTTCTTTGGGGCGCGCCGTAGCGCAACAGGTTGTGTGCCTGTCTACGGTCCAGAGGGTCACAAGTTCGATCCCCAACTCGACCTAACCAAACGGTTCAAGGAATGTTGGTAGCGTGAAAACCACGAATTCTTAATCCTCAGCAGTCTCCCACAAGAAAGGATTTGTCACTAGAGCCAGTCTACTGATTATCACTGATATCAGGATAGGACCTCGGTTATTGGAATTGAAGCGTCGATGCCGCTCAACCGGTACAAAGGCGTAGGACGAAAAAGACTGATATTTTTTCTTTCGGTCAAACTTTTCCCCTGGAGTTCTCACCTCGAGGTTGAGCCTATTCTTGATGAGGAGTCCGATCTTCTCGTCCAACTCCACGAGGTTGGCGTCCAGCTGTCGATTCGCGGCCATCAACTGAGCCACGTTCGATTTCATCTCAGCTACTTCTGAAAAGAAGTTCAAAGTTCTCCCCTAAAAAGCGGACAACTACCAAACTCGTCGCTTGTACTAACTTCGGACCGCGGCAGATTCTTGACAAACTTCCGAACCAAAGAGAGGCTTGGCTTTTCGGCGCTTTCTGTGGGGGGAAAAGACCAATGAGACAAAACCAAAAAGAGATTCTAACTGAGCAGCTCCAAATCTTTTCTGTTGCGATAAGACTTGTAGTGGTTCTGGATGGTGAGAGCGGCCTGTTCCATCGACTTTTGCCTGGCTTCCATCTGCTTCTTTCGCTTTTGCTCGAGGAACTTGCGTAGATTCTTTTGCGACTTCACCACTTGCTGTTCGTTCGTCTTGTAGTACTCGTCGAAATTGACGTCTTCTTCGTCAAGCATTCTCTTAAAGTTCATGATAAAAGGATAACGAAGTCATTTTCAGAAATAATTTCCTTTCTATCTGGTCGATTTACAACTGTCAGAGAGGTTTTAAAAACCCAAAAGAAGTACAAAGATTTGTCGAAAAATTTCGCCGCTTTTTACCATAATCTTTTGAGCGACCGTATTTCAAAAACTAGCCGAGAATATTAGGTTTTTTTTAATTCTAAAAATCGGGTTCTATACTTCGTTTTTTGGAACTTCTCTGCACTCTCCTTATCTCTAAACGTCTCTCTCATGTTTACGTGCTGTTTCCATGTTTCTCTGACCACGCTGGTGAGGGAACAGAGGCGCAGACACGCGAAAACTGTCAAGTCGCGACGGACGGACTATACAAAACACTTGATCTTGAGAAAAAGTTAACGAAACGCCCTTTTTTCCAACTCAAAAGAAGTCTGCGCCTAAATAAATCCAAACAGTTTGAAAAACCAATAAAAAACGTTTAAGTACGATTTTTCTAATTATTTTGAAACGTAGAAGTGACAGGTTCTCCTCGCTCACTTCAATTTCTTCCCAAGTGAAGTAACTCTCATCGACAGGTTCCATCGGCACAGTACTCCTGTGCAACGTGACCGTCTCAGCCCAAACAGTTCCGAATTCGAAGTCAAAGTGGAGCCACTTCTTTTCCAACTCGTTCCGCGGCTCGACTTGGGCCAGTCGGTGCTGCGACTCCTGAGAAGAGTCCAATTCGATCCAAGACGAAGCGAGAAATGTCAACCTTGATGAGCCTCTGAATGTACCAGTGGAGAAGTTCTCGGCGGAACGCGTCGCTCTTCATCGACGTTCCTAGAGACACCAGGTTCAGACGGACCGAAGACTCGTGATCCACAGTCATGGCTTTGTTCAGGCGGATCACTGAAAAAATCGTCGGATCTCGGCGAATTGAATGGCTGTTCTTGCTGGAAAAGATCAACAGCAGTCTAATATTATAGCCTAATCCAAGTTTAACCCAATAGATAGAGTATTTTTTTTCAATAGAAAACTTTTTTTTCCGATAGAGCATTTTTCCGTGATTTTGAAGAAGCCCAGAGAAAACCCCGGCTCAGAGCTTTATATACTGCTTTGGAACTTTTTAAGAAAAAAACTCTCTAGTCTGAGCAATAATGAGCAGGTGTGAAGTTTTAGTATTTTAGAAAGTGAATAAACCTTGTGACAAACTTCAATTGGGATTCGTTAATGTTTTTTTTTTTCCGATGTATGAACTTTCGAAACTTTTTACCGTAACCCTTTGAGCTACCGTATCTCGAAAACTAATCGAGTCATGATATTTTGTTTTTTTTTTCAAAAAATCCTAAGAATCGTGTTCTACAACATATTCGATCAAGAGAAAAAACTATCTTAACGCTCTTTTTTATTTTCAACTCAGCCTGAACTCCAAACGAAACCGAGCTTGATCAGGATTTTTTTTTTGCAAATTAATGAAACTGGAACAATTTCCGAAACTTTTTCTGCGACCTATATGACCAGGATATCATGTCCCTAAAGCGTTCGCAGATCTGGCTCAGGAGGATCAAGGGAGAAAAGCTCACGCGTGTCCAAATGAGAAAATGCGCGGCCAGTCTCCTCGTTGACGTCACGCAGAGCCTCGCCCAGCTCTTCCAAGCTTGTCGGCTGAAAATATATCATCTCTTCGTAACTTTTGATAATTCGTACATGGCTAATAAGCTCAAATCATGAAATTTCGTCACGAGACCTCTTTGAAGGATCCCTTTCTTCTAGAAAAATACTTTAAAGCCGCTTTTGATACTCAAACCCTGACGGCGCGTGCGGGGAACGCGTCGGGTTTTTCATGCTATTGTTTTGCCTTTTTTCAATATAATATGATAAATTCCGTTTAATGAATCATGATGCTTAAGTCTCATAAAGCTCAACCATACGCGATTTTTCCTTTAAAAAAATAGTTCTTGTAAAAAAATTTCTCAAAAAAAGCTTGAAACAGGTTTTTTTAAAAGTGTTAAGGATACTAATAAGAACAATAAAAAAATTTCAAAAAAACGCATTCAAAAGAAGATTTTTCCTTTCAAAGGGGAAAAAAAATAAAAAGAATTGAAAAAGAAAAACTAATTTAATCCAGACTTACCGATTTTCTTTTTCAGCTTCGTGATATAAAACTCGGAGTTCTGTTCAATGACAATTTCGGCAAAAGTCGAAGTTTTCAAAAAACTCAAGACCGCCTCGTCGTCCTTATTCGCCAGTGCAGCTTTCAGTTCGAGTACTGAGAGTAGTATATGATGGAGGAGTTATAGCGGTATTTTCGACATTTTGCTTTTTTGAATGTTTTTCATTCTCTGATGTCAGAGAATCACTTCATTTACAACAATTTTCTTTGTAAGTAAGAAATTGGTGGAATTTAAAAGCACTAAAAAAAGTGCTTATTTTTCACTCAATTTTTTTGTTGAATTGTCGATTTCATTTTTTTCATTTCCTATGATCAACTCCCTGTAATTTTTTTGTACTCTATTGATGAAATAAAATAGATAAAACACTTCTTTATTGCTTTAAAATGGTTTTTAAATCCATAAGCACTATTTATTCCTTTTTGGAAATTCTTGGTTCTCTTCGGTTGATTCATTTTTTTTTGTTCTTTCAATTGTAGTATGACATATTTTTTATTATCATTCAGAAAATTTTAAACTCTGATCGAAAACAACTACTGGAGTCTAAATTTAAAATTCCCACTCCTCTTTCGGCAAAGCGTCTCTCATGAAGATGCCTCAGAAACTCCTAATTTCCAGTAAATCTAGTGATTCTAAGAGATCTAGATTTGTCAGAGGCTTCAGATCTTTCGGAAAATGCATTTCTGTGGCTTTGTTTTTATAATACCATTTTTTAAAAGAAATCGACATCTACTGATGTTTTAAAAGTATGAAATGGAATTAAAATATAACATTCAAACATGACAATAGGGAATGAATAATTAAATCGACATATAAACAAAGAATTGATTTAATTATTGAAAATAAGCACCTTTTTAGTGCTTTCAAAAATCCACTCATTTCTTACTTTTTTTCAAAAAAACTGTTCGAAATTAAGTGATTCTCTGACATCAGAGAATGAAAAACGTTCAAAAAACCAAAAACCAGAAAAGTAAAAAAAGTACTTTTTCAAAAAAAGCTAAATGTCGAAAAATCCCGCTATAATCCCTTCATCCTGGTATTACCACAGAAAAAGAAATCCATTAAAACTTGAGAAAAAGATAAAACCTTGTCGCTTGTCGGCAGAAATATCATCGTATTCGATGAGGAAAAATTCAAGCTCATTTCGAGTCAGAAACTCCCCTTCCGCCTTTGACTCGTACTCTTTGCGGATTCTGAAAAAATTCAGCTGGAGGTCCAAATGTTTGTGAATGGAATTCAAAAGTCTAGTGAAAAATTTGAAAACACACAGAAAGTTAATAAATTCAAGCTTCTAGAAAATTGATCACCAGCATCACCATAACGATGAAAATGATCAGGACAAGAAAACTGAAACAGGATCCACGAAAAATGAAAAATTAGGAGAATTTTCTAATTTTCAGCACACCATTTCTAGACCATTTTTAGAGGCCGCCGACCCATCCTTCCAAGTTTTCCCGACCTGAGTCTAAAACTTGCACTATTTTGGTCGAAACTAACTTCCTGAGGGTGAAACTTGATTATATTCCTGATTTTTTGAAAATTTTGCAAGCCAATCCCTCCTCCCAGGCTGAAGGAGTTGTACTTGCCCATCTATATTTTGAGTCAAACTTTTTTTTTCGCTTTTCTCAGAATAAAACTTCCTCCGGGCGGCCCAAAACAGTTCAAACTTCAAATTCTGTGAAATGAACCGAAATTTCCTTCATAAATATGATTCACGGCTAGCTTGAGCCATCGAAAAATGGGTCCTGACACGATAATGCACGAGATAGTGCTGGCTCGTGGAGAGCGCAGACAAGCCACGCCCATACGTCGGTTAGATTCCACCACGGAGTGCGGCCTACCCCAGCCCCCCAAAAAATGCGGCCTACTTGAGTACATTTTCAAATTTTTTTTTCGCGCGCAAAAGGCTGGGGTGGGGTCCAGCCGGTGTATGGCCAGGCCTCCTAGGGTCCTAAGTAAGCCGAGAACCGGCTTTAGATAAAGGTGAGTATGAATTGAGGACCTGTTGTAGTAGAGACGAGCATTGTTTGGAGAAGGGTTCAGCTGGAGGGCGGGATGTCGGAGAGCGAGGAGGACGTCTTCAGATGAGCCGTGGTCGACGGCCACACGAACTTCCACCAGGGCGTTCGCCACTGAACTTCTCTTTTAATTCCCAGCTGGGAAAAGCCTCCAACCTGCAATGATTTCGGCGACCTTTTCCCTGTCAAGCGACTTTCCCGAGTTCTTCTTCTCTCGTTGCAGTAATGTCGAATACAGGAGCAAAGCTGTTGGCCGCACGTCCTGAGATAATGGATCGATTTGCGGGAACCACAAAGAAAAAAACATCAAACTGAAGAACGTCGAGAATATGAAGAAGTTGCTCTCCATCGTCTGTTCCAAGCGCTCTATCCAGTTTTTCGAGGGCGCTTTCATCTGAAGTTCTGATGATTGTTCGCACAAAAAAGGACAAACTATTCGTTTCGACCACGATTCTCTGCACAAAAGGCTTGGTGAACTCGACTTCGTCCACGGACGTCAACTTGACCAGATACTCTTCGGCGAGATTCTCCTCAACGAATTCGATTCCGGCCTCAGACGATTTCAGGGCCTTGACTAGCTCCGTCGCATCCTTAATTTAAAAGATCAAAGGAGAAAAAAGGCAGTTTCAAACTTTTGATTTGACGGCGTCACGAATTGTTTCGATAGCCCTCGCCTGAAGATCGGCATTTTCTCGGCGACCCGTCAAAAGACTTCCGACGTCTCCAAACTCAGGAAGTTTGGAATCTTTCAGGTTAAGCTTCATCTCAGAGAGCTCGTCATCTAAATTAGGCACTGCAAGGTTTTTTTTTTTGAGAAAAGTTCTGATGGAAACACTTACGAATTTTAGAGTGATATAATGGTTTGGCGGAAAAAAAGTTCCTATAGGGGGAGCTAAAGTGGTCCCTGTAGCGGTAAGATCAAAGTGGTCCCTGTAGGGGTACGATCAAAGTAGTCCCTATATAGGTTTAGGGTCTGACCTCTTTACTCCTAAAGCTCAAGTGGTCCCTAAAGGGATCTTTGAAATTTATTCGAGAAACGCTTATTCATTTCATTTTTTCTTGTGTGGAAATGCTTGTTCGCATAGAATGCATAACAATTATTGACAAGGTTGCCCCTAGAGGGGCCACTTTTTTAAGCGTTAGAGTTCCCTAGAGGGGTTGGCAAAGTGGTCACTAGAAGGGACCCTCCATGGGCCCCTAAGGTTGCCCCCAAGGGACCAAACTGAACTCATTTTTTTTTCCTAAGACTGTTCCAAACTAAGAATGCGGTACTTGTGAAATTTCGCCTGTCCAGCGACGTTCCTCATGGGCGGCGCCTTCCGAAGGCGATGGAGAAGAGTCGCCAGAGCGCAAAGGCAGAAAACAGTCTTTTGGTTGCGACCTTCGAAGACGTCAGCCGTTTCGGGAATGAAAATCTGAAAAAATAAAATAAGTGGATTGAAAAAAAAGGAGGAGACTTCAGGCAGATGGATACTCTCCATGGCACGACGCCACTGCATGATATTGTCCGAGTGGCGGTAGACGGGAGTGTTCTCATTCTGCTGGAAACGCTCCTGCTTGACGTCGAAGACGCCTTTCAGAGGCACGACTTCTGGAGCGAAAGAGTGCGCGAGGCGGGCGAGGAGAACACCATTCCGAAGGTTTTCCTCGAGTTCGTTCACGTTCACGATCTGCTCGTCCTTCAGACACTCGGCGAGCCATCTGAAGATGATATTCTTCAGTTGAGAAAATGAGAACAATAATCACATTCTGACTTGCAAGAGGCGGCAAAGATACTCGTAGGCGACGCGGTTCAGCCGCCGCTCGTCGACGTCTTCGATCTTGCCGCCGCTCTCATCCATACGGCCTGAGAGTACAGTATTCGCTTAAAAGTTCACGAAAACGTGACATTTCTAACTTTGGGTTCATGGAATGATAGTCATAATAAGAGAAGAAAAGCCGCCGGAAAAAAAGGAGTCACTAGATAAAAAAAAATAAAAAAAACTATGCTAATTTCGCTGTACGTTCACCTTTTTCTCATCAACCTTGATGAAATCATAATATTTTTTTGAAATACCATTTGATGGAAAAAGAAACAAGGATAAAGCGAAAAAAATAAAACAATAATTGCATATTTTTTTCCGACACTTTTTTTCTACGAGATTGAAAACTATAAATCTTCAGCTAAATAAAAATTCCTTTTAATCCAAATCCTCTAAAAAGATGATTTTTTAAGAAAGTAGCCGTAAATTTAGAAAAAAAAAAAAAAAAGTGACGTATATTTTCATACAAAATGCAAGATATGGACAAAAAAAGAGGAAAACGACGTCTAAAAGCTAATTCAGTCATGGCAACACCCGAGCTGAGGATTCGAAGAGGCAGACAAAGTTGTGTGTCATCGGGATTCAAAGAAAGCTCAGGGGAAGAGGGGCGGCTCATTTCATTCATTTCGCTTTGCTCGAGTTGGCACACGGGCCGCAGCATCATGTACTACAACAAACATTGGAAATATGACCGAAGGCAAGACGAGATCAAGCCAAGCGCGTCAAAAACTCAGAGGATGCTCCGTGGGATTACTGAATATGACGCTCGATTCTTTTGATCCCCTCTTTTCGAAAGAGGAAAAACCTGTACTATCACTGCCCGAAGCAATTTGAGTCAAAAATCAAAAAAAAAACTACCTGTGACAGTATTTTAATGTTTTATTTCTTTCAAAACTCAAAAGTTAAAATCTTTTAATCAAAAAACCATCAGCAAAAAAATTCGTACACGTTGATTTTCGTATTAAGATTGTGACATTCACGGTTTGCTTGAATGAAAAAAAAAATTAAATAGACGTCTAAACTTTTTTCTCGCATCGCTTTTTTAATGAATAAAAAACAGTCAAACCAGTAACGAACGCGAGAGATGTGTCCCACTTGTTCATTTTTTCTTTCTATAGACGATTGTCGATTAGAAAAAAAAAGCCAAATTGACACGCGTGACACGTAGAATTACAATTTTCATATAAAGCGAAGTCGCTAGAGATCTGAAATAAATTTTGACTTGTTCTTCTTTTCCCAAAATTTCAAAAATTTTCAATGAAAAAATATTTAAAGTTTTTCATTTATCTCATTAACCGTTGCATGTAGAATGTCCATTCAGCCTTGCTACCTCTATCAAATTTCTTCCATGACAAAAATGATCAAATTAAAACCTTCCGCAAACTACGAAAATCAGATATTTTGATAAGAATCCGTTCAAACTAACAGAAACTGGCCGATCTACCAAAAAAAAATCACGCATACTAAAAGATTCGGTTTGAAACATACATCCTTTTGAACTGATAAAAACTATTTAGAAAAGGAATATGAAAGAAGAAAAGAAAAGGCAATTAGAGATAGGCCCTTTTCCTAGTGCAAACGTCGGCGTCTCTTTCAACGTTTGACTCGAAATTTTGAAGAAAATAAAAAATGAGGAAAATCGGAGAGATCATAAAAAAATGTTGATTGCAAGAGACGCAGTGTTTGAAACCTTTTTTCTTTAGAATTTCTAAGAACAAACCTCCAAAATTCAAAAATATAAACCTGAAAAGTGGAAAAATAAACCAAAATAAACGTTATTGGAGACAAATAACTAGTTTTTAAGCTGTCTTCGCATTCATTTCCCTATGAATTTTATCTATTACTTTACAGAATGAATGGGACAGTCTGAAGTTTAAAAAAAGCAGCCTTTGTCGGTGTGAATCACAAAAACGGACTCATCGCACGGCCCTTTTCCTGCCCCAAATCGAGTCAACAAAAACGCCAAAGAGTCCTTTTCCATGCATTTTGCCGCGTACAAACACTGATATCATTTTATCTCGTTTAACGATTGATATGCAACTATATTGATTAGGAAGAAATTATAAGAAATTTCGAAAAGCTGAGACTTTTTTCGGTTCTCCTTCAGGGATAAGTGGTCTGTGGATCGGAATTTCTCATTATTTTTCAAATGGAGACTTCTACACCTTTTTTCGAAAGTAATAGCTTGAAATCATCTATGAATTTTGACAAAAATCCTATAATCTTCTGTACATTTCGTGAATATCTTTTCTACACCGTCAGTTCCTGCCAGCTTTGGCTTTTCTCAAATCAGAGCAAAAAGAACGAGAAGGGAAGAAATAAGTCAAAAGTTTCGGGAACAAGACTTTGAGGCTGTCTACTCAAACGAAAAAAAAAGACAAGGCAAGCACGGCAAAAAATGGTTTCGAGCAAGGAGTTGCTCAAAAATGCAAAGACGCAGTGCAGGTGAAAAGACAAATAGAGCATTAAGCAGCTTGGAACGGCACACCTCGGGTCCACACAATGTTCGAAAAGCCCCATTTAACTTCTCAAAAGAACACGTTCTAAAAAGGTTTAGATTCATCTAAGATTTTGCGCTTCAAACTGGAATTAGAGAAAACAGACTAAAAACCAAGTCTAAAGAATATTTTTTTTCTTATAAAAATTGCTACCATTACTGCGCCGTTCTTCCTTCTCCAAGATATGAATTGGATCTCTCGTTGCTAGGGTAACTTTGGCGGAGAAAAAACAAATATCAAGTAACTCTGATGCAAAAAACAAGACGAAAATCGTACAGAAGCATTCAAAGCAAAATATTCATTCAGCGTGTCAGTATCACAAGCAAGTAAATTAGCAGATTTCATCAATGGGTTAGAAAGAATAAGCTGGAGGCGCCGAGTTTTCATCCGTGGCATGATCTGCATCCAGTTCATCATCCGAGAAGAACTCGCTGATGATTTTATAAGCGTGCGTATAGATCTGAAAATACTGTGATATGAACCGACAGGTGAACTGTTTCAGATGCTCTTACTTATATTTAAACCCCAAAAACTGACCTCTTGAACCTCAGCTCCTTGGAGTTTTTCGAGAGCATCGAGTCCTCCATTCGCTTCAATAGAATCCCGCACTAGGTCAAGCTTTTCGGGGTAACTGGAAAAAACATTTTTCAGATAAAAACGGCGAAAAGTGATTACTGTGTAGAGACAGTTGTCAAACAAGAGTACAGAGCCTCTAAGCAGTTATTCTGCATGTCGGCGGTCGCATTTTGGCCCAAGCAAATCGACAAAACTTCTACTCCTTTCTCCTCCACCATAGCGTAAATTTGTTTCGAGGTTCCTCCTTGCGTAAGATTGGAAAGAGCCCAAGAGGCCTCGATTTGACTTTTGAAGTCACCCTTTAAAAAAACATTATAACAAGCCATGAAATTGAATGCATTTTCATATTAAAAAATAAATAACTGTCATAGTTTCGCTACCTTTTTCAAAACACCAATAACAAAGCCGAGAAGACCCGAATCGATAACGGCTTGAATTTGACCCTGTGTGCCCGCAATAACGTTGGAAATCAGCCAGCAGCACTCCTAAAATTCTCATTTTATCACCTAATGTTCAATTTAGCCACCTTGACAATGGATGTGGAAGAAGTTCGCTTGAGAAGAGAAACAATCTCAGGCAAGACGCCTCTATCAATGATCTCTTGGGTCAACTTGTCACAACCCGTCGCAACATTTCCAAGAGTTCTCAGGGCCGGAGCAACCAGCTGGTCGGCGTCGCGCAAGAATTCAACAACCGTGTTGATTGTACCTGAAACTTCTTTATGCTGCAGGGTAAATTTGGTCATGAAAGTATGTATTCGGAATGCATTCTAACCACTCGAAATGCAGAGCTCAATCTGCTGATCGGGCCCGTCAGTCATGTACGCCACAGCCCAGCACGAGTCCTGGCGCACTTGTTTATCCTGGAACCATATGAATGACTAGAGAAGATGAAGATCGCAATGATACTTCGTGCTTAACGAGTTGAGCAAGAGCGACGCTTATTTGGCGAAGAACAGAGAGAGGCGCCTCTTTGTGTCTGCTGATATTGGAGATGGTCCAGGCGAGGGTTCTGGCGTGGTTCAAGCTCAGCTTGTCCAAGTGAGCAACGAGATGCATGATCACCTCGATTCCGCCAACCTCTTAAAAGTTCTTGGTATAATTTAACATTTCAAGACTTTTGGGCGCAGACTTGTTCTGCGCCGATTTTAGCTGGTTTGTATTTTACTTTAACAAATTTGAAAAGCGAAACATACTGATAACGTAGTTACGAAGCTGAGGCGAGTCGCCAGCAATGTTAGCGATGGCCCACAGAGCTTGGTCGGCCACTTGTTCGTTCGGATCCACAGCGAGCTTGATCAAAGGCTCCGTGGCGCCGGCATTCACAGCCGCAATCGTTTGCTCAGAAGTTCCCGAAACGATGTTGGTCAGAGCCCAACAAGCTTCGTAGCGAATTTTGTCGTTCTGAAATTTAAAAAAACTTGAAAATAATGCCAATGAGATTTACTTCAATGGACAGAGCTTGAACAAGAGCGGCCATCAAGCCAGATTGGATGAATTCTTCGATTGGCGGAGTCCGCGTTTTCGAAAGAATTTTTCGAAGCGATTCGAAGCACTTGATTGTTTGTTCCAGGTCCGGATTGTTGAACAAAACAGATTTCACCTCTTCGTAGGTGTATCGAGGAGTACCCTTGCTAACAACTTAAAACAAAAACTTGAAGTTAAGACGCTAATAAAAAAAGACCGACCGGGTTTTTCAACGTCGGAAAAGTCATCGAAAGTTTCCTCTGCATCTTCTTCATCGTCGTTTTCATTCACATTGATATTGCGACGCTTCATTAGCATTTCGTCACCTTTCTTCTTTCTGATTTCAACACTGCATTCTGTTCGACGACGACGGAGATCCTTGAACACGAAAAAACAATATATTTTACAAAAGCCGTGAGAAACTTCATGTTTGTTCAAATTCTTGTACTGTTTCATTCGACTATCATCGCCATTGTCTCCATTTTCGAGGACTTTTGGATCGTTTGACTGCGACATAAGGTACGGACTGAAATCAAGCAATACACTTTTCATAATCTTAGACACTGGTGATATTCTTCCGCGGCATGTTTTGAAAAAGAAAAAAGAAATAGAGCAAAAAATAAGTACGCCTGTGGAGAGCCACGCAGAAGTAAACGGAAAGTGAGGGAAATTGGTGAGTTTACGGAAAGAAGAAGAGCGCTAAACGATGAGGAATAGTGGACTTTGGCTGTCCGCAAATAGCCGATAGGAATAAATTATTGACAGTCTTCAAAAGCGCCAGATGGGTGCCTGGTAGATCATCTTTTAAAAAACGGTTCAAAAATAAAAATTTTTAGCCGAATTCTGGGAGATCAGACAAAATGGTTTTTAGAGATAAACGTTGAACTTTGAACGGAAAATTATTTTTAAAGCTAAGCTTGTCGCAGTTTTAAGTCAAAACGGAGATAAGATTTCACATATATACAATAGCAGAGGATTAGAACAAGGAAAAAAGTTCTTTCAGGTTGAACTGAAGTGATTGAAAAAAAAATTGAGAGTAAAACAGCCATCAGCAACAGGTTGCCAGCACTCGCTTTATCAGAGAAGTGCCAGGTACTGATCGACCATTTTGAAAAAGTTTGCTTGGCGCGTAAATTTAGGAGATCAGATTCAAAATTCACGTCAATGCGCACTGGCTTGCGCAACTGCAGACAGCTGCCCACGACTGGCACGAAAGCTGGGCAAATTTTTCAATATTTTATTCATCCGTTTTTTTCTGAACTTTCATTTTTTTCCGCTTTCAAGCTCTCAAGTTTATAATATGAACTCTTTTTGCTTTCATTTTTCAAAATCATGATTAATTGAAGGTTCGGCTTCGTAACTTCGAATTCCCACTATCCTTTCAAAGAAGCGACATGTCTCGATCAATTTTTCTTCTCAGTTTGTTTTTCCAGATTCTTTTTGCTTACTTGCTCATGATTGCGGGTGGTACGAAATGCTCTCAGGCTGGTAGATTCTTATTCTCTTCTCAAAGCGTTGCGAAAAAAATCAAAAAAAGGTTTGAAAATTTTTATTTAAATTAATTTGATAGAATTTACAAAGCTCCGTCTTTATTTCTAACAAAAACGCTCTAGATTTAATAATATCGTTGAAAAGCTTCAATTCAGGTCAACTGCGCTGTATACGGCTGCGGATTATCTGCTTCGGGAGCTTTAGCTATTCCCCAGCTCATCACTCCTAATAACTCTTGTGAGCAGTTCAACTTTGTTATCAATCAAAACCTTCAAATGTTCTCTTTCAGCAAATGGAAAATTGGTTTTACTAAAAACGAAAAAGACGTTTCTAAGTTTGCTTTAATTTTTTCGAAGTCTATTTTATTAATTAATTTTTTTTATCTTGCAGCTGAGAAGCCAGTTGTTACTTCGAAAGAAGCTAAAAAACCGAAAAGAATTTCTTCTTTGAGTCCCCATGAAATACGCTTCGTGTCGAGTGGTTTGGATTCTCCTTATTTGCTTCAAACAACAAAGTTTTTGGTTCAGGACTTAACAACAGGTGAGTAAAAACTTTTTTTGGAATTTATTTTCTACTTTTGTACCGCTGAAGCCCAATTTTTATGAAGCTTCTTGAAACCTAAACTTCGAAGTTTAGGTTTCAAGTTGGAGGACATGTGAGGAACTCGGAAACAGATAAAGGTCAAGATTACTACATCAGTGCGAAAAGGGTTGCTTTACCTGTAGGTTAGTTTTTCGAAAAATGAATCGAAATAGATGAAATTGTAGAAAACGAAAAGATAATCGGAGTCTCGAGTGGTCGAGCTCATTCTCTTATTGCAAGCAAAACAAAAGTCTTTGCGATTGGTGAGAACATTTTCGGTCAGTGCGGTATAGATCCTGAAACGTCTACTCATTCAGCTGGAGTAAACTTCTAGACTTATAAAGAAGCTTATTTTCGTATCAGTCAGGTGAACACCGGTTGACGCCAGTGAACAATTGAGAGCGATCAGGAAATCATTGCAGTACATTGTTCTTTGGATACATCGTTTGTACTAACAAAAGCCGGAGAGGTAGATTTTTCTCTCTTGTTTCATTTACAGTAAGTCAATTGACAATCGCAGATTTTTGCCTTTGGTTTGAACGAAGACGGTCAGTGTGGTAACGGCAAGTACGGGATTCAGTGGCAACCTCGAAAAGTTTTAGGTTTCTTTCTATAGGTTTATCATTCTCAATCGAAAAATTCACAGGTGACGTCAATGGGGAGAAAATTATCGCCATTACTGGTAGTACAGACACGCTTCTAGCTTTGACCGCGTCAGGCGACGTGATTCTCTGGGGCCAAAATGAGTTCTCCCAAGCAGGGGAGGCTTTTTCAGACATCCAGGTATCGAGTTTCTTAATAATAAATAAAAAATTTTTTTAACAGTTGAATGTGTCTCGCAAAAATCCCGATAGCAGGAGTCAGAAATATCACGTCGGTTGGCGCAACATCGACGTCTTGCGTCGTTTCAAATGACGATGGAGAGGTTTTTAAAACAAATTCATTTTTTGCTAATTTTTTTGACTTTTTATTTGTTATTTTTCTTAACTTTTTTAACTTGGTTTTTTTCCAGGTTTACACTTGGGGCGTCGGCGTTTTGGGTTTAGGTCCCAATACTCAACGGATAAACCGACCAACCAAACTCGATCAACCGCTTTTCGATAGTTCTAAGGTAGTTTTTCCTAGAGCTTTTTTTTGACATGTCACCCGACCGCGAAACGACTTGCGCCCTCTACAATCTTAATAATTATTGTCGAAAAATCTTCAAGAGCAAAATTTTGAATTTCAACTTAGACTTCTAAATGTAGGCAGAAGTATAAGATTCACAGAGAATAAAAAACTAGGACTTTAAAAGTTCCATTTTCAGGTAGTTAAAGTTTTTGCGGGAAACACAGCGATGGCAGCATTGAACGAGAAAGGAAGATGTTTCGTTTGGGGCGAAAATAGGTGTGTTTTATGGAATTTTTGATGAAGCCGTTGTTTTCGGCTCGAATAACGTTATTAAGGTTTGCATCTCTCGGTTTGGGACATTCTAAAAGTCAGCTCTTTCCTTTGCACCTTTCTCTACCTGGTGACGTCAAAGACCTGTCATTGGGACCAGATCACACGATTATTTTAACAAAATGATTCGAATTATAAATAAATTATCTTCAAAGTAAATGTTAACTTAATGAGTGAAAAATAAGCGTTTTCGCTGAATGTTTCAGTTTTCGAGATTTTCTATGACAGGACCTTGTCAGATAATTATGTCTGGTGTTGTGCGCGCTGCTGGTCTAGTCGTCTACAGGAAGCTAGGCGAGAAGACTGAATTTCTTCTACTTCAGGCCAGCTATCCACCGCATCATTGGACGCCACCGAAAGGTGTTTTTTCCAAATTTTCTTTCAAAACTTGAATGATTTAAGGTCATGTTGACCCTGGCGAGGACGAATGGACGGCGGCTCTGAGAGAAGTTAACGAGGAGGCCGGCCTCACAAAGCAGCAGTTGACTATCCACGAGGACTGTCACGAAACTTTACACTACGAGGTTGGAATCACTACATTTTTCTTCCAGATTGACTTTCTCTTCAGCCTCTTAAATTTCTTAGATGCATGAAAGTTTAAATTAAAAACTGCATTTTCTGTTCTCAAATTTGTCGAATTCGGTTGAAAATTAAAAATGTTTCAATTAAAAGAAAAGAAATACGAATTTTTTTTTTCTAATCAGCCTTTCAGAAGCCATTTTACTCAAAAATAACCTAAAGGCTTTTCGGCAGTCACTATGGTTCATCAAAGAAGTTTTTGCTGAAAATCCTCAAAAATTAGGAATAGAATAGATGCGAACTTGATCCACCCAGTAGCGATTCTTTGTAATTTTCTCATTTCATTTTTTTTCTTGAGGTAGGATCTTCAGTCTGTTTGGTTTTTGCTAGGGAGGTCATTTTACTCTACGGTTTGGATTTCCCTGAAAATTGGTCAGAACGCTCCTAGGTGTACCAGTAGAAGATTCTGGAAGTTTCAACCTGCATAGCTTCCTCTTTTTTTTGAAAAAAGAAGGCTCAAAGTCAAAGAAAACCCTCAAAATCCACTAAAATAGGCTATTTTGAGCTTTAGGGTCTTATTTCTCGAAAACTAGGAATTTTTGCTTCCAGGATCTTTATGTGGTATAACAAGGAATATTTTGGCCGATTTTCAGAAAATTCTCAGCCACAAAGTAAAATGACCTCTAAAAAAAAAAATAAATCAGAAAGTGTGATTTATTTCTCGTTTAATGAACGCAAAAAAGGTTCTATCTCTCCTCTCAACTTTCTATTCAACGGATGTCTTTTCTTAAGGTGAAAGGAAAACCGAAATCGGTAAAGTATTGGTTGGCACTGCTGAAAAATCCATTTGACGTGAAACTTTCTCACGAGCACCAAAATTGGAAATGGGCCGAGCTAGCAGAAGCCGTCAAAATCGCCGACTACGCTGAGATGGGAGCCCTCCTTCGAAAGTTCGCCGAGTACATCCAGAGCAAAGCTTGATGATATGTGCTGAATGTAATAAATTATTCTTTCCTGCTCACGTGCTATCAAGATGAAGAAGAAGCTCACGGAAATGAGAGATGTTATCGTGGACGCAGCTCGTCGGCTCGTTTTATCGCCTCTGTGAATTGGTTAGGTGTTGCTCACCCTCTCAATTAGTCATCTGTGAGCACGTGGCTCTTCATTGTTTTTTTTTTTTCTGTATAGATTCTAAACCCTTTCATCAATCAAAAGTTTTGTTCGAGCTTTATCATCATCACATGTCATTGTCGATATTCAGCCTGTGCTTTTTTATCTGTGTTACGTAGAAAAATAATAAGAATAGGGGCATTGCTCAAAACAATCACAAGGATAGTATCAACGGGTGTGGAGCGATACCTGTGATAAAAACATAGTCCCTTATCATTTTTGTGAGTCTGTTTTCAACTGCCGGGTTATTTCCAAACGTTAATGACTATTCTCAAAGTTCCCTAATTTTTTATTGTCTCATAATCCAGATAACTAAGAGAAATTGTAGCTCATTTCCTATACCTTACCGTAACCTTGAGAGCGAAGAAAAACGGCTGTCGGTATCGTATCCCGTTTGCCAGACAACGGATGCCAATGATAAATGAGCCAAGCCGCCGCGAGAGGAGAAGTTTGAAGAAGCGAGGGAACTTTTTGCGAAGTTCAGCCCCGCCGAGCCCCCCGGAGTTGATCTTATCGCGACGCTGCATCTCCTCGTGTACGTCCGGCCTGACTCCCATTGACTGGCTCCTTTTCTTCTCTTTACTTTTTTAGTCAAAATCAAGATTATTATGAAATTTTTGTACTGGCGACAATCTTTTCATTACCGGGAAAAAGATTGAAAGAAATGTTTTTCGAAAAATATATATTTCATGCGGAACAGGGGCCAAGTCGGTAAGGGTAGAAAAGGCTCCATAGAAATTTTCCTTTTAGGGTCAAAAAGGTTCCTTTTTGCGTCATTTCATAGGCTTTTATGCACCATTTTTGCTGCCTCTCCCATTCTCCACCATTTCTTGAGTCAAGTCCCAGAAAGAATGAAAAGCTCGATAAAGGGACCCTTTTTACTGCCTTTTTCGAGCCAGCTGGCTTGCTGGTAATTCCAAAATACGTTTGAGCGATTCTTTTACTTATTCTTTATCAGGATCTAACAACTTTATGTTCTATGTTTTCAACAAATCGAAGTTTCCTCCTCGACACTACGATCAAAGTTTGAAAATGGCTCGCGGAGAGTCGCGGCTCAGCGTTCGCCTCTTATCTCGCGTATTTTGGGCCACTCGAGTGATTGCGTATCACTGAACTGATAACTTGCAGGTGTTGTTGTCGCTCCAATGAACGAGATCGTCGGCTCGCCCTGGGCGCTTTCCCTTCAGGACCCAGTCGTTAGCGGTTCGTTCCTCATTCCTCATTCCTCAAAGCTTTTCAATCAAGAAGAAAATTCTTAAGCTAATTATATAAGATCCTGTTCGAAAATGTTCTGGCTGGAGAGTCTCACTTTGGCTGGACGTCTATAAATTACGTTCAGAAAATAGGAATTTTCCAAAAAAATTCAGTTTTCTCACAACATTTGGACGTTCCAGGCTGTTTTTGCTTATCATACTGATTAGAAGTCACTTATCAAAGAGGACGCAACATTTCTCTGATAATTACAGGTGATAGGAGAACCATGCTCTGCGACGTAGAAACGGACCCGAGTCGTCTCGAGTTTGTTGTCCAGGTTTTTTTTTTCTCTTTTTGAGATAGTTTATAGTCTTTTTTTTTATAGTTAATTCCGCACTAACTTTTGAAGTTTAAAAAAAATAAAATAAAAACCATAGTATACAGCATGCTTATTCCAGCTTGTCCCGATTTTTTGATTTTTTTTTTTCTTCCGAGCTACGAAACCTTTCTCTTTAACAAGCCTGCTTGCATAGAAAAAAAGGAAAATTCAGTTGAAAGAAAAAAGGTGAAAACTGGCGCAAAATAGGCTTTATAGTGAATTAAAAAACTTTTTCTTGAAGTGTTCTATTTTTCAGTTTTGGTTTCTTTATAATTATAGCAGAGTGTTCAATCTTACTCTAAATTGATTATAGTCTCAATAAATTTTTTTAAAATAATTTGTTTTTATTTTTTTGTGCTGACTTTCTTAAATTATAGTCTGTGTGCCACGACTTGAAATTTCACCGAACGAAATTCCGCTGTTCCGCTGCGTTTGTTCGCGAAGCGTTTTTCAAATTTAATTCACGCTTTCAATTGATTTTTATTGCTGTGAGAACACAGTAAAGTAGAGTACCTTAATAGAAGAAACCAAGGTTCGCAAAGGCGCGCAGCGGCACAGCGGATTGTCGTTTGATGAAATTCCAAGTCGCGGTACAAAAACTTATAAAATAGAATTTTCAGGCAGCTCTGAAGTCCTTGGAACGAAAACTGCGTCCAGAAACGAGCGATGAGGATGAAGAAAATCCGTCCGAAGTGATCGAGTTCCGGTCGGGCGAATCCAGCGGTCCTTTCCCTATCAAAAGCATCCAGATTCCGGTGGATGGCCATCCGACTGTCTCAGTGAGCCTATCTTTGAATGACACAAAAATATTTGATCCATTTCAGTTGATAGATTTGATCGGGAACATCCACCGGTTTGAATACCAAGAGTCCGACCAACTTCTCAATAGACTTTCTCTTTGTCCATCGCCGCTGTTGGCGAACTGCGTCGTCGTGCTTTTAGGTCCTTTTTATCATTTTTGTGAATCTTGATTGTTCGTTTTAGAAGGTTTCCTTCAACTACTTTTTACCAGGGATATCCCAAAAAACGCGCCTTTGATGGGCGTTCTCATCGTGCAAAACGTGAAGAAACCTCCGCCTGTCATCATTGAAAAACGTTGGTATTCCTCTCCAACAAATTTATTTCATAACTAGAACTTTTTCTATTTTATCTGAGTGGAACACCGCATGGCACAGCCTGATAACAGCTGATAATCTTTTCACGAAACTCTGTTCGGTTCCAGGCTACACCTGTCCCAAGTGCAACGTCGCCAAATTCAACAGCCTCAAAAACCTTCAAGTCCATCAGCAGGTGTACTGTACATTGCGGGAAGCACGAACTACACAGGGTGAGAAATCCTTTCTTGGTCGGACTTTCGAGGTTTCGAAAACCCATTTTTTAGTTACTGTAGGATGACTGATGTTTTGTTGTAGATGACCCGCCAATCATTTAATCGGCGTTATCGAAATGATAAGCGATCAGCCGCTGCGGCGCGTTTCAGATTGTTTTTATATAAAAAACATTACGTCATCATCAAAATTTTGGATTCTAAGCTTCAATTTCAGTGTACGGCGTTCCCAAACGGGGTGGGGACCAAAAAGATTCCGGCGCAAAATTTGAAATCTCAAGTACGCAGCCAAATGGAGAGTACGGTATTCTTCATGCCGTTGAATACTCAGTTTAATTTTCAACGTATAAGTAGCTGTGACGTCACAGTCCTTTTATCCGTAGCGCGCACTTACTTTTTTTTGTAAATTCAGAAACTTTGACGCCTCGCTCACCTTCCCTCACTCCATTAGGAATGCCGTCCGACGATCAAAAATATCTTATTTTTAAACCTTCTTTGTTTCCTTGTCATCATTCAAAGAATAGACAAAAGATATTTAATACCTTCAGCTTTTGCAATGGAATTTGATGACAATTTTGTTCCACAATTTAAGACTAAAAAAAGTATTTCGAAAAGAATAAATACGGCTGATAATTTCTAAAAAAGATACGTCGATTCAGTTTTCCTGCACCTGCGTTTGAACCTGAAAAAATGTTTAGAAAGAAAAGATTGTACAAAAAAAGAAGATTATCTCTCTACTCGCCTCGGCGATCTTTTTCAAAATCTGCGGCAAGTCGGCCCGCGGGACAGATAAGCGCTAGATTTTCTGGACGATAAGAGCTTAAGCTCGAGAACCAACCCTGGTTTGCTCCTGATTTACGGGTAGTCGCAACTTTTATAAGAAATTGAAACTTGAGGGAGAAGTTTTAAAAAATTCTTTAGTAACTTCACCAGTGAGCAACGTTTTCTCTGGAGAACTGACTGACCATCCTCACGTGATTCTGCTCCCAGTAGCCTACCACGACTTCCCACAGCAGCAGCTAGTTCAGGTAATAGAGAAAAGGTGGTATAGTCTGTGTGCCACGACTTGAAATTCCTCCGAACGACATTCCGCTGTTCCGCTGCGTGCGTTCGCGAAGTCACACTTTCAATTGATAGTTATTGCTGTGTGAGCACATGAAAGTAGAGTAGCTTGATGAAAGGAAAAAAAATTTTAAGCGCAACCGAGGTTCGCAAAGGCGCGTAGCGGCACAGCGGAATATCGTTTGGTGAAATTCCAAGTCGTGGTACACAGGCTTTAGAATAAATAATTGGAAATTTGAGAAAGGAATCAAATCTAAATAAATGTTCTTGCAGCCCATCGGACCAGCTCAAACTTTGGTTCCGGTAGCGATTGGCCGGCCATCAATCCCTCAAGATCCAACAACCGCCGTGACGCCACTTCTGCTCAGGACTTCTCTCGGAGATCCGCTTCCCACTGAGCTGAAAATCGCACACAGAGACTTTTGCGTGAAGGTTCCCGTGGTTCAAGTCGATGAACGGTGCAAACTTCCATAAGAATATCTTGTGAACAAAGCTTTCAGACCCCTGCCCCAAGACCCCGCCACAACAACGACTCCTCTGGACCTCTCGTCCAGCCGGAAGAGAGAAGCCTTGGAAGCATCAAGTCCAACTTCATCTCCTCCTCCTCTCACCAAGGTATTTTTTGAGGTCACATCTGACTGAAAATCGTTAAGTTACAGAAATCAGGAATAGAGAAGCCGTTCACATGCACTTGTGGGGTTTCCTTCACCGCAGACGCAACTTTGAAAGCTCACCAACAATTCTACTGCAAGAACTCGCAAAGGCCTACCTGTGCAAGTAAAGAAGCATCCAGAAAAGTATCCGGCCGAAGCTCGTTCTCCAACGACACAGAGAGAAAGTTGAGGTGCCGACGCGTTGTTCGCAGTGTGACTTCGAGCCTCAGTCCGTGTCTCAACTCTCAGTCCACGTCCGCAGCGCCCACCACAATGTCAAGGCCTACATCTGCAACATTTGCGGCTACAGAGGCTTCAGCATGCGCGGAATCCGCACTCACTTAAGGTATTAAAAAATATTTCTCTTCGCAGAGTACATTTGACAGTTCAGGTCGCACTCACAGCTGGAAGGCCTCAAATTCGACACGTTGCTCGAAAAACACGTCTCTAAAATAACATCCGATGAGAAATAACTGTGTTATGTGAACGGGTAGATCTTAAAAACGCTTTCCTTTGTTAGATGTGCATATTCCGTTATCCTAATCTTCGAAACCCGGGTTCTTATCAAATTGCTTAATATATTTGTACACATATATATATATATATAATATTTTTTTATAGTTTCCTACGCTCTCAAATCGATAAATTTTTGCGATATTTCTCATGGATGAAGGCAGAAAATTGTTATTTTTTTAATATACAAATGACACTAAAGAGCATTAATCGAAAACGACTCGAAAAAGAAAAGCCAGATACACAAGTGGAAATCCTGTATTAAAAAAGTTAAGCGCTTGTAATGTCTAATTAGGATATTATCAAGAGACTTTTTATTATTTAATTATTTTTTGAATTATCTCTTTTAAGTTTTTAATGTTCTTTTCTTCACATTTGACATTGGGCAATATTTTTTTATGCCGTGTTCGAGCGATTTCCGCGAAATTCAAACTTAACTTTGAATCTCGAAAGTTTACTTATCTTGTTTACTCTCTGACGGCTATTTTGAATTTAGCGGAAACACTCTGAACTAAATAGACAAAATTATAATTTTGGAGTATATTCCAATTATGAGATGTGGCGCCAAGTTGCAGTTGGATGATGCGGCAATTGCATGAGCCGATTTCGGAGTTTTTTTACGCTGCTCATTTCTTAAGTAAAATTTTTTTTTCTTCTTTGAATTTTCCTCTCCATTGATTCACTTCAAAACTGTTTTATTCTTTTTTTCGGCTGTAAAAAGGTGAACACCTTTGGTTTTCTTTACACAGTGCCTATCACGTGCGCGAATCTGACTTTCTTTTTATTTTGAACTCCTTTTTTTCTTGATTAATTTTTACTTGCACATAGGAAATGCTGCCATCATTAGCTGCCCAAGCTGTTAGCCCGTTTCCGAATCCACCTCCGATTGCTGCTGAATACACTAATGAACGGATTTCTCAAGGTTTTTTTTTTCATGATAGAAAATTCAAATTTTTTTTCATTTTTAGTTGTTTAGAACAGAATAAAAATCACCAGAGTAAAATCGTTTTATTTTTTTGAAAGGAAGTGTTTGTAGGAGGAACGTTGCCTCCTCCAGCCGTACAAAAAGAGTTCACTGTTTTTGGAGAAGAGTACAAATTCGAAGACGAAATACTTCGGTAAGGGCTCGTCCTAATTACTATTCAAAAGCGTCTAATTTCTGAGAACATTTTTTGTTTAGTTCACTACAATCACAAGGAATACGTCAACTCTACCCAAGCAAAAACGACTGGAAAACGGAAATGAAAAATCTTAACAGGTTTTTTTTATTCAAAGTTATTTTTTAACTGGGAAACTCTAGAAGTGCGGTTGCTGCTTTTTTGGATCTTCTGGAAATCCTTGCGCGATGCCCAGATAGTCCGGAACGTGTCGAAAAACTGAACGATTTGCACACAACTTTTATCAACATGCATCACTTGATAAACGAGTATAGGCCTTTTTCAGGTTTTTCGAAAGAAAATGAAAAAAACTTTTTAATTTTAATTTTTAATTTCAGGCGAGAGACATGATAAGGCTCATTCAAAAAGACCAGCTCAATCAACTCAAAACTTCTGTTGCGGATTTCAAGTTTATCATTTCTCATTTACAATATATCGTGTAGCTTTCCGAACTGTTAGGTTTAGGATGATCGCTTGAAGTTTTTGATTTATCTTCTTCATGAAATAATTATTTAGTTTCAATCAAAAATGATTCATGTAAGAAAATGAAAAAAAAAGACTAAAATCCCAAACGAAAAAGGTGTTTTTTTTTTTTGCAATCATCGATTTTATTTTGAGTGAGAAGAAACGAGCAGTCATTTTGTTGTTTTCTTTTCAAAATATCATGGAAGTTCAAATTCAGATCGTTCCTGCAAGAAGGAAAAGAAGTTCTGGCTAAAGAGCTCACGTTGAAAGATCTGGAGTTCACTCCGGTGCCCAAGCCGAAGCCGATCACCAGAATACGGCTGAATTCGGAAGACGAAGCTACAGTTTTGACCACTGAACCAGCTCCTACGACGGTGCTCATTATTGTCTCAAGAATGAAAAACTCAGCATCTTTCAGGTCGAAAAAAAGGCAGAGGTTTTGGCCAACGAACTGGAAGATCGGGACGACATGTGGAGGACTGCCAAACCGTCAGTGGCCCGTTTAAAACAGCGTCAATTGGCAGATCTTTCCATGCTCTCGAAGCCTTGATATAAATCTCATAATTTGTACATTATATATTTATTTCTTTACGCAATAATGATGATAAAGTTGTTCATGATCTATGTGGTCAACTATTATTTTAATTGTGTTTTTTGCACAAGATATTTTTGATTTCATTTTTTTGTGTATTAATGAGTCTCAATAACTATTGAGTTGGTTTCAGATGGATTCGTGTACTCGCAGATTGATGAAAGAATTACAACAGTTACAGCAAGACGCGCCCACAGGAATCCGTATCAGAAAAGACACTGCGACGCAGGACCTCAAGTGGGACCTTGTACCAGAAAACCTTTGAATGAACCATTCTAGACAATGGCGAGTTGACGTCATCGGCGCCACGGGTACTCTTTACGCCGGTGAAGAATTCACACTCCAGTTCACATTTGGGCCCCAATATCCTTTCAATTCGCCAGAGGTACTTTTTATGGTTTTATTTCTGGATTTTTTCTTCTTACTTAGAAACTCCAGAGTGGTCCCTATACGGGTAACCTTAGGGCCCTTGGGGATCCCCTCTAGGAACCACGAAAGCTTGCAAAAGTAGTCCCTATAGAGGTTTTAGTCAGTGGCCTCTATAGGGGACATGCTAGTCGATAATTTTAATGAACTCGAGGCGAAGAAGCATTTTCAAGCGAAAACTAAATGAATAAACGTTTTTGAAAAAGAACAATTGAAAGACGCCTATAGGGACCCCTTTTTCGGTCTCTATTGGGGCTGTTTCTCCCCCCTAACCCCTATAGGGAACACTCTAAACTTCATAAGTAGTTCAAATTTTCTCCTTCCATTTTATAGACTTTCTTTATGAGTGAATAGTGAACAGTCGTTTGAAAATCTTGCAAAAACCGCAAAATGTGCAGCTTCTCGATGCATTTTGAAATAAAGTTGTATTTTTTACAGTTTTCTCTCCTTAGGAACTCCAGAGTGGCCCCTATAGGGACTTTAGGGGTTCTAGGAGCGTTCCCTCTAGGGACCACTTTACCAACCCCTATAGGTGCCGCTTAAGCTTGCGAAAGCTGTCTCTATAGGGAGCATGTTGGTCGATAATTTTTATAAACTTTGTGCAAAGAAGCATGTCCTAGTGAAAAACTAAAAAAATAACCTTGTTTGAATAAAAAAAGAACGACCCCTGTAGGGACCACTCAAGCTTTAGGAGCTAAAGCGTCAGATCCTGAACCCCAATAGGGACTACTTTTTCGACTTTTTAAGAGGCTGTTTTTCCCCTAACCCCTATAGGAACCCTTTAAGATTCCTAAGACTCCCTCTCTCCTTTTAAATGGTACGTTCTAATAGAAAGTTCCCTTCTTTCAAAATTTCTACTGATAAACTTGATTTAGGTGATGTTCGTCGGTGATAAAATCCCAGTACACCCGCACATTTACTCCAACGGCCACATATGTCTTTCGATTCTTTCTGAAGATTGGACGCCTGCTTTGAGTGTACAGTCCGTCTGTTTATCAATATTATCTATGTTGTCTTCTTCCAAAGAAAAGGTTCATTTATTTATGAGGCTGAACAAAGTTTTTCCTTTGCAGAAACACCCGACCGACGACGCCATTTATGTTAGAACGTGTAGCAAAAATCCAAGCAAAACGCGATGGTGGTTTCACGGTCAGTTAGTTTTGATGACAAGGAGAAAAAAAAAATTATATCTATCAGATGATAACGTGTAACCGTCATGCCGAAGAAAATGTTTGCACGAATCGCAATGAAAAAGTTTGTACAAATTTGTATTTTGAAAAAAGTATACGACACTCAAAACACTTTCATGGGTATTAAGTGTTAATATATTGCTTTTCATCCGAGTTTTCTCATGAAACATGTTGTAGCATCCCTGTGTATTTTTCATCCCTCCTTTTTTTCTCTAGTGCCATTGTGTTATATTGCTGTCTCTTAACTCTTTTCGAGAAACTACACCTTGAAAATCAACAAATCTCTTTTTCATCCCTGTGCGTTTAATTGTTGCCTTTTGCAAGTCCCCGGACCCTTGAAGCACAATCAACAAAACCAGTGAATAAAATTCAAATTTAAAAAATACAAACTGTTGTAATTCGGTGCATCTTAGGAATAAATACAAAAAAATCTGGATTATTTTTTTTTATTCAAAGGGTAATACACAATTTAAAAGTTAGAAGGGAAAGTATAGTCCGTTCAGATTTCGAATGTCAAGTAGAATGACGTCACAACGCTCTGTGGATGGCTCGCTCTCTGATTGGTTTATCGCGTAATTAGGGGGCGGAGCTTAGGCGAGCACTTGATATTTAAAATCTGAACAGACTATAATGTGACTTATTTTTCTCACTGTTATAGCTGATTCACGGCTGGCCTGAGCCATCGAAAAATGGGTCCTGACACGATAAAAAAGGGGACTGTACCTGGATGATGGACAGCGGAGTAAAGCCACGCCCCCTTTTCGTCCCAAGTTAGCCGTGAATCGGCTATAGAGCGAAAACGATCAGAAAATGAAGAAATATAAATAGAAAATCATCGACCCGAAAAAGGTACTGTGCCAATGGGGCGGAGTTAGCTGCTTGAAATTCAAGAACCTGAACAGACTTTTAGTGCGAGACGGTCACGTTTTAAAAGAACAGCAGAAAAAGCTACCGCTAATCCATCTTGCTCTACAAAACCGCTAAAGAAAGCGAACAGAGGTCTTGAAGCGAATTGGGGTCAAATTTGGCTTACGGTCTTTTTTTGGCAGAAAAAATTGGAATAAACTGAAGCGAAATGAACATCGACACCTGTATATAATCTGTTCAGATTTTGAAGCAAGGAAACCCCGCCTCCAACAACGCCTCTATGGATGGCTCGCTCTCGGATTGGTTTGAACTTCGCATAAGGGGCGGAGTTTGAGATGACTTGAAATCCAAAATCTGACAAACTATAATGTATCGAATTGAAAGAAAAAAGTTGAGATGTAAATTACTTTACTTTTTCGTACAAGTCAACCCTTGAAGCGTTCGACCGAACTGTGAAACGATATCTGAAATCCTACAGTCGACAAACAAATTTTCAGCAAATATAAGGTCAGAAACTCGTTTTCCAGCTATTTGTCTTTCGGATTTCGAGTTGTTTTTCTCCCTGTTGTTATTTATCCGATTGGAACTGTTCCCATGGAGAAATTCCATCGTTTTTCGGTTTCTGGCTTCTTGGGTTATTGAAAACGGGAATAGCCAATTGATCATAAACGAAAAAGTTTTCGAAGTTGCCTTTCAGACTTGCTTTTGACCGTCTTGAAAGTTTTTAAGTTTGCTCTATTTTCTTCAAAAAAAAGTTCTTTTTCTGCTCTACCAAACTCATTTTTAACTCGGAGAACCTTTTTTTCTCGCTACAAATTCTCTTACTTTATTCCAACATTCACATTTCCGCTTACTGAGAACTGTTACACTGTTTCCCAGCATGTTATCAATGTCCCAATCATTTTCTAATATATCGATAGGGAGTCATCAATTTCTCAGTATGTCTTTTTTCAACTCCATCTTCCTCGATTTTTCGAATATTAAACGCTTTTGTTACTGAAAAAAAGTGAAGTGAGAATCGGATTTTTGTTTTAACGACCTCTCATTTCTAACTGCGGTCTTCGTTTGGAATAAACTCTTTGATTTATTATTCGGCTTCGCTCTTTACTTCAAAAAAATCTAATTCCTGACATCCAAAAACAATCGAGGTGTTTGCTTTTGCCAATTTGTTTCAGTTTGTCCAAAAATTGTTGACGGAACAAAATTTCAACTTTTGGAATTGCCCAAAAACGATTGTTTTTGCCTTTTGGATATTATACTTATTCATTTGCAGATAAAATCTCAAATGCTCACATTAAGGCCGCTTTGCGGTGTTTTCCTACTCACAAGTGAGTTTATTTTATTAAAAATTTTTTTGATTAGACGAAAAAATGCTAGAATTGTGCTAGACGTTGACAACTTTACAGTAGTTTCATCGGCCCCGTCTAAAGCCTCGCTAAAAATCGCAGTCGTGGGCGAAGGCGTCATCGGTTTGAACACGGCTACGGCGATTTTTGAGCTTGCCCAGGAGCGCGGAATTTCACCACCGGTTGAGTACAGTAATGAAAAAAATTGAACACTCAATAAAAAAATTAGTGATTTTTCTTTTTTTAAAAAAAGATTAAAAAAAATTAAAAAATAGAAATGAACCTTTTTTTCACTATCACGTGACGTCACAGCTGAAAAAAATGACAAACTCCATAATTCAAATTCAAATTTGTCGCAAAAAGTTTCCAATAAAAAAATAAATAAGAATAAATTTTTGAATTTTTCAAAGAAATTTTTTTAATTCTTTTTGCGCGTCCCCCGAATAGTGTACGCGAAATTGCGTCGCTCTGCTTGCTTTTGTGTTTTTTTGATAATACGACAAAATCTCAAGTCCGCAAATCTCGAGGACCGTAATCTTGTGTACGCAGATCTAAAGTCCCATAATCTTGGAAACCAAAATCTTGGAGACCAAAATCTTGGAAACCACAATCTTGGAAAGTAAAAATCAACGCTTTTGCGAATAGATTTTATCAGAAATTGTATTCGGTGATCCAAAGAAGAGAATATAAGTAGATAAAGTGCAATAAAGAAGACTAAAAAGGAAGATTTTTGCTTTCCAAGATTGTGGTTTCCAAGATTTTGGTCTCCAAGATTTTGGTTTCCATTATGGGACTTTTAGATCTGCGTACACAAGATTACGGTCCTCGAGATTTGCGGACTTGAGATTTTGTCGTACCATCGTTTTTTTTTACAAAAATTAATTTTATGGTTTTAGAAAGAATAATTTTTCCCGTAATTGAGTTCAGTCCAATGAAATCAATGAAATGATGTTTCTGCAACAACGCATTTTCAGTCGATCGAGATTTTCCACAACAAAGATTTCAAAGACATCTTGAGTAAAAACATTGCCGGCCTTTTCCGAGTCGACGATGGATCTGATATTAACAAGTTTTCCTTTTAAATGCTTCTCATATGAAGAATATATTACTTAGGAAGTATGGAAGAGACACCTTCACTCGACTGGCGAAGTACTGGCGTCAACACGGCGGACGAAGTGGTGTTCAACTCGTTTCAGGACACATAATCAGCGACAATCCGGAGAAACTTCAAGCTCAGGTATACTTTTTTGCTTGTTTTCTTCGAGAGTACTTCCAAGATGAACTAAAATTTTTTAGAGGAAAAACTACGGCGATATAGTGTACAACTACCGCGATCTGGACGACCGAGAGCTTCACGGACCTGCTTCTCTCTTTGATTTCCCACTTAACAGGTTTTTTTTTACTTTTTTGGCATACCATTAGCTGTTCTCAAAAACAGTTCGTCGCAAGGGATCCACTACACGGCCTTCACTTCAGAGGGGCTCCTTTTCTGTCCTTTTTTGAAGAAGGAACTCATCGCCCGAGGCGTCAAATTCACTAAGCGGAACTTGAAGAATTTGAACGAGGTCTTTCGTTTTCAGAAAACTTGATTTTGAGGATTTTTGTTAGCTTGGCACCAAGTTTGATGTTGTCGTCAATGCTGCCGGACTGTACGGTGGGGTTCTGGCGGGTGACGACGCTGGAAACGTCTTTCCGATTCGAGGAGTCCTTCTGCGGGTTTGAAAAAAGATCCATATTTCACGTCAGCAAAAATTTCCAGGTGGATGCTCCATGGCAAAAACATTTTCTCTATCGAGACTTCGGAACCTTCACTATTCCAGTGTGAGTTCAGCTATAACCCCAATGAGTACTCTGTTTATTTAGTGCGCTCAATAGGAAATTTTGCAAGTCTTTTCCATTCAAAATCAATTTTTTGTTGATTATTTCTTTTCGGACAGCTGAATTCGATTGTAGAATTCAAAAATCTTTGCTGGAGGAAATTATCGTAGGCTCACTGCGCTAAGGCAGCGGAAAAACGACTTTTTTTTGACAATTTTACGACAATTTTTTCTGCTCAAGATTTTTTGTAACGTTTCTCCCTGTTAACAGCCCGATTGAAACTAGGCCGAAAGAATATGAATTTTGTTTTATTGATTTAAAAAAAGCACAAAAAATAGCTACGAAATCAGGAAATTGGAAAAGGTTCAGGAATTTGAAATGAGAAAAATTGCATAATGCCGTATTCAAAGTATTTCCGCGAAATTCTAAACATCCGTCAGAGGAAGAAAAAGATAACTAAATTTTGGAGAGTCAGAGATGATTTTGGATTTCGAGGAGATTAATTTGAACACGAAATAAGTCGAGAAACAGCATACAAATTTTGAGACAACTGACCATCGTGGAAGATAGTTTATTCTTTTAAAAAATTGGTTTTTTCGATCCGTTATTCAAAAACGAAACTGATTATGAAACCCCTTTGAAAATATAAATCCATCAAAACTAAATATCTCTTTTTTTTATTTGGCATCCTTCAGAATCGAAGGTGTCGCCGTAGGCACTGTGAAGCAGGTTAATGAGATTTACCCCCTCGAAGTCACGTCCAAAGACAAAATCGACATTGCAAAGCGCTACATCGAACTCCAACCCTCCTTCAAAGTAACCTTTTTTTCAATAAGCCTGTATCCGTTTTGAAAGTCTCTATCACTCTTTTTAGGACGTCCAATTGAAATCTAGCTATATTGGATATCGACCAGGCAGGAAGTCGTTGCGCGTCGAGAAACAGGAGAGAAGCGTCGGCTCCAAGAAGTTCAAGGTAAGATCGGTTTCTTGGACAGCCATTCTCATGAACAGGTGGTCCACAACTATGGACACGGCGGAAACGGCTTCACCTTGGCTTACGGTAGCGCCTTGCATGCGGCTCACCTCGTCTTGGGTCTCGACACGGCCGAGTACGACCGAATCGCCCCTCCAACTGTTCCGCCAAATTCCACCCTTCCATCCTGGGTTTCTGTCCTTTTCCCATGAGCTTTTTGTAAATTTCATTCTGTGTTCTTTCGATAAATTTTATTGCCTTGTTGATCACATCGAAAGACATTTTCCTTGCGAGAAGATTTAAAAAAAAGCTTGAAACACTAGGTGTTTTTAGTGGTCCCTATAAGGGTCAGGGGGAATAACAGCCCCTATAGTATACTGTAGGCACCGAAAAAGTGGTCCCTACAGGGGTTTAGATTCTCCCTAAAGCTCAATTGGACCCTATAGGGGTCTTCAAACTTCCCCCTAAAGCTCAAGTGGACCCTATAAGGGTCTTTAAACTTCATTCAAAAACGTTTATTTTTTAAGTTTTTCCCATTAAAATGCTTCTTCGCTTAGACTCTAAGCCTTAGAGTTCATAACAATTATCGACTAGCATGTCCCCTATAGGGGCCCCTAACTAAAACCCCTATAGAGATCACTTTTGCAAGCTTCAGTAGTCCCTATAGGGGCTGGCAAAGTGGTCCCTAGAGAGGACCCTCCAAGAGCTTTAAGGTTGCCCCTATAAGGACCACTGGAGCTCCTAAATGTGTTAAAGGGAATGATTACCATGTGTTGACACCTCAGGCGCGCAGCCCGAGATGGAAGAGACGCTAACAGGCGTGTTGCGATTCGAAGATGACACGGACAGTTTTGATTTGTTGGTTGAGACCGGTTAAGGAAGTGAGAAGTGTTTTAAGCGGGCGGAAAAAGCGACGGCGCAAGAGCTTTTTTCAAAGCAAACACTAAGAATAACAACGATAGTCAGCCCTTTTTTGGCTGAATGGAAGATTCCCATGCGTAAAAGTTCCAGAGACGGGAATTTCATAGAACCTCTTTCTTATTTCTGTATCGGGTCACCAACGTTTTGTTTGAAATTTCTTTCTTCAAGGGAGAAAAAAAGCCTGACGTCATCGCTGTACACGTTCCCCGTTCGATCAGAATTTTTTTTTCCATGCCGCATTACAATTTGCGAGTCTTTTTCGTCCAAGTTGATTTGACTTCCGGCTGTACAGACTTGTTTTTCGAAGGAGATGAACGCTTTCGAAAACAACTGGCTGTTAAATTTTCGATCACTTTTTCAATAAGTGAGAAATTGATTCTACTCAAATTTATCAGCGGAAAGTTGTCTGTATGAGTTTAATGAACAAGTAGAGCCGATTAACGGTTAGATTGGGCTTTTCACCACACAGGCAATGTCTTTTTTATCGTGTCAAGACCCTTTTTCGATGGCTCAAGCCAGCCGTGAATCAGCTATAAATTACACTGACCTGCAGAATAACGTAATAAGCCTCCCAAGACTCAACTTGAGATCCGATTACCCCTTTTGCCGCTAAAGTCCTTCTCTTAGTCCACTACACTTTATTTCAATTATTCTAAAATTATATAATTTTTTTATTTCAATAGTTTCCATAAGATTTTTTTGAAAAAAATAATAAAAAAATAAAACTCTTAGCTTTCGAGTGCAGAAAACATTTGAGAGGCCTTCAGAAAAATTTTTCGGCGAAGAGAAAAAGCTTTTTTTGGATTGCATAATTTTTAGATTTTTTTAAATTTTTTTCTATTTAAATTTTATTTTTTTGCGCGTTGTTTCAAGCGCAGCGGTTGCGCCATTACGTCGTTCTGCGGTAAGAGCGTTTTTTTAATTTTTTGGATTGATCGAAAAATTTTTTTCGGTTTTAGTTATTGTCTTTTTTTAAATTTCTGAGCTTTAGGCTGTTACAATAAATGTTGAACTTTGGCTATAACTTTAAAACGGGAGTAACATACATTTCAAGAAATCGTGGCTTTAAAAAAATAGTTCAAGAGGCTTCGTTTTCCAACTAGACCATGTGGATGCTTATTTAGTTAAAATGTCTCACAGTTGAACTGTCACGCTAATGATGATTTAACAGTGTTCTGTTTTCAGTGAAATCCACTTCGAGGTGCGTTGCGATTGCGATCATTTTGATTTGATAGTCTGTCTGCCACACCCGCGTGTTTCTCTTCTTCTTTTTCTTCTTTCCATCTTTTCTCCGTCCATCTAGGTCTGAAGACGTCGGCCGTCGCCACTCCAAGTCGTTTTGTTTAGTTTTTTTCAATTTTATCACCAACACACCTCCGAAAAACTCCCCGTTTCGGTTGTTAATGCCAACAGCTGCTAGTCTTTTTAAAGATTGGATGAAAATGAAAAACCATCAAAATTTTTGAAAGAGTTTGGGATTCAAGTTATTTTAAGGTGAAAAAATGGGAAATTCCATCAGTTTGACTCATTAATGAAGCTCGGCCGTTCGGTTTATTCAAAAAAAAGGGCAAGGGGGCGGAAAACTTTCATTTTCCTTGAAGAATAATGAACCTCCACTGAAACTCACGGAACCCCTCCACAATCATTCTCCGAGTTCTGAGAATTTTTACATGAAAAATCATAATTTTTCGTCATATTTTTAATGAAGTTTAATCTCTTTTCATGTAAACTTACCAAAAACTAATGTAATTTTAAAGAAAATTTTTTACTGCTTTATCTGACATCGCTTTTTCTCGATCCACAGTGAGAGAAACTCATGGGGAACGACAGTCCGTCCTCAAAATAACTCTTAGTTTTGGAACTTTTTTCCAGGTCATTACCTAAGCACCTCTGAACTACCTTCCGAATGGGCTGATTATTCGACAACGCCCCGCTTCTTTTTTAGTTTCCTCTACTTCTGCTCGAGTCACGCTTTCAATCAATAAATACTGAGTTCTTATCACATCATAGCAAGCAAAAAGTGATTTTTTTAGATTCCTCTCTGGTTTTCTTTTCTTCTAACTGGCGTTTCGGGACATGCCAACTGACTTTCCATGTGTGTCAAGTGATTGTTTGTAGGCCATATATGCGGGCGAATGATGTGATTGATATGATATGAGACACGTGATGATATTCATCATCTTCCATCACCTGCTTCTCGGTTCGTTCCTTTCTACTTTATTTACTGTCTCGTTGGTCACTGTAAACTCTTCCGATAACTGGACGATTAAACAATTTTTTCAAAAATTATACATCCATAGGCAAAGTCGGAAAGGGTGAAAAAATTCTTCATGAAAATTTTCCTTTTAGGGCGACAAAGGTTACTTTTTGCTACCTTTTTGCGCCATTTCGTCGGCTCTTATGAACCATTTTCGTAACCTCCCCCCTTTTCCAACATTTTTGTGCCTTTAAAACCCCAGAAAAAAAAAATGCAAGGCTCGATAAAGGGACCTTTTTTTTGCCTTTCTTAAGTCTCTCCCTTTTAGCGACCATTTTTCACCATCCCGACTTTGCCCGAGTAAAAGCCCTAATTAGGTTTCGGAAATTGAAAAAAATATGAAAAAGTTATATTTATAATGGAGGATGCCGTCTTGAATTATTTAAAATGCCTTATTTTGAACTTTTTCAGCATTTGTGACCGGAGCAGTGCTGCCTGCTTGCCAACCTCCGAACAGTCGGTTTTATTTTCGTTTCAATAAATTATTCGAGGAACCTAAAGTAGAATTGTCGACTGTTTTATAATCCTTGTTCAAAAGAATTTTCGTTGCCCATCAACTAAATGTTTGTCTGAAAACCGCAAAACATTTCAACCGCCTGAGGTAAATTCAGTACTTCCTTTTTTAAGACATATCTTTCTATTATTTTTCAACTCGATGCCATAAGTGGTAATTTTTTCTTTTTGAAGATGTAGTTTACAAGTTTTAATTCTTTGTGTTCATTTCTAGAGACTTGTGAAATGATGAGCTTCAGTTTTGTGACAATGTTCTTTTTTCCACTAAATGGATGATTTCAGACTGCTCCGTTCATGTTTTCCGAGTCCGACTCTCACAGAAGCCGGATGGCGATGAGCTATTGGATACTAGCACAATTACGGTCAGAGAAAGTCGGAAATTTCTCCTAGGTTTCTTTTCTGACTTCAGGTGATACAACAGATGAAATATGGAGCCAACGCTTTTGAAATTCATGGAGGTCCTAAACTGAATCCAGAGGTTTCTCATTTTTTTTGTTTTGTTAAGATATATAACGTGCTAGGTAACAAAGGAGATCATGCAAAACATCCCGGCGAACATGGATCCAAGGCTCAAGGTACGAAATCTTTTTTTCAAAGAGTTTATGTTTTCCAGGAGAAAATAATCAAGAACGAATTCTATCTAAAGCCAGTAGGACCACACGATCCAGAAATGCCGGCGGCAACTATCCCACCAGCACTTCCGCCGAGCTCGTCCAGCTCTCCACCAACAAACGCGGTAACTGTAGCCGTCCTCTTCTCTTCAATCTTCACTCCTTTTCAGCGGAAAGGCACCTATTTCAGCACGGAGTTCACGATACTCGTGATCATCCTTTTGATTTGCATCGGTGTGATCCTCGGAATCGCTTTCACTGCTTTGATCATCATGGTGACCGACAGGAGGCGTGGCCCGACTTTCGACAGGTTCAAAACGGTTAACATGAGCAATGGTAACATCCAGCCGTTGCAGATCAAACGCAGTGGTGTATAAAAAGTCGGCAGACCTCGAAGGTTTGATGCCAATGGAGCAGCGGACATTCCCGCGGATGCACATCAAACGGTCGGCCGCCACCCACTCGGCGACGCCTTCCCAGTCTTGTAAGTTCAATCATAACTCTTCTACTTCTGTTACTTACCTTTCAAGACATATCTTCTTATTTTTCTCAGTGCCACATGTTCAATATTAGGCTTGAAACGGTCTACAGTTCTTAAAAACATGCGTGAACAATTTTTTTTTTTTCATCGAAGTTCGTTCATTTTTTGATATAACTTTTTAAAATTCTCGTTATCAACTGCCAAAAATCTTTGAATTAGCGTTAATGTCAACGGCAGAAACGTACTAGCCGATTCTAAAAAAATTGAATTCATATTTTTAACTAATAGCGGTAAAGTGAACAATTGAACCTATCATTTCATTTTTTTTCTCTCAAAACCGTTTCAGTCTCAATGAAGCTAAACTTGTTGATGGAAGTCAGCTAGACCAAGATCTTTAAAATTGACTTTAAGAAAATATAAAATTCACAAGTGTCCCGATTTTTCCTAACTTTTTTCAACTTTCGATATGCGCCTTGCCCTTAGGCCGATCTTATTTCTTCTATCATCTAGTTTTTTTCTTCTATTTTTTCAACTTCATCAAACTTTATACACGTGACTGGATTTTGAGGCTCAGAAGTTGAAAAAAAAAAACGAAGCTTTTATAGATTTAGGGTAACCTAAAGTGGCTCAAATAATTGTATTTGATAAAAAAATGTAATTAATACCTGCCTACACCTTTCGTTATGGAACTACTAAATATTAACACGAACTCAGTCTGGCAAAGAATGACAAGCATCGAAAACGTATTCATTAAATGAATAAGTGCGTGAGAAACTTCTTTTTGACAATAGGCAACTTATAACTAGAATATCGCACTAGAGAGGTAATGAGAACTCAACTAGAGTTCCTAACAAGGGAGGTTATTTTACTTTGCGGTTGGGAATCCTGGAATTTGGTCAGAAAGCTCCTTCGTGTTTCTGAAGATTCTGCAAGTCTCAAACTGTACAAATTCCTCGTTTTTGAGAAGGGACGCCACCGAAGCGAAAAAAATCCTCAAATTTCATTTAAATAAGCAATTTTGGGGCGTTTTTGAAAAATAGGAGGTTGTGCTGGTGGAAACTTTTAGAATCTCTATCTGGTACATCAAGGAGTGTTCTGGCCAATTTTTAGGAGAATGCCAACCGCAAGGTAAATTTTGGGGTATATGATAATCGAGCCGCGAAAATCGAGCCTGCGAAAATCGAGCCGCCATTTCTACAGGGCGAGACGAACAGAGAAAAAGAAATAGTGTATTGTCGATTGTCGCAGGCTCGATTTTCGCGGCTCGATTATCATATACCAAAATTTTGAAATCAAAAAGCGGGAATGATGAGTTTTGCAGCTTCGAGCCGAGCACCGCCTTGGCGTCACAACATTCGACGGGAGAAACAATCAACGATTCGACAAATATCTTTATGAATGCCATACTTTCCAAACTATCGATGAAATCTTATTCAAATGACCTAACCGTAAGTTGGGTTCTTCCTCACCTTCTTGATACTCCAACCTGAACTAGTCATTGCCAGTTAACTCAATTGTCACAAATATGCATCATATGGGTACGCGAAAGGCGAATAAATACTAATTAACTATTTACATCAAGAGGTTTGTTTGTGAAAGATCGAAAAGATGGCGGATCGTCGGCCGACCGTGTGGACAGTTCTGAGTTGAAAAACTTTTGAGAAAGAGTGAGAGAAAAACACACCCAGGGTTGATCCAAATGTCCCAAGTTTCGAACCACCTAAAGCAGTTGAATTTTAAAAAGTAGTACTTTCAAATTGTTGCTTATTAGTGCCACTGTTCAAAAAACGACATCAAATTCTGTTTTCTCGTCAGAATTTGAACCTAGTTTACAATTTCGTTGAATTAAAATATCAAAAACAGCATAAAACTCTTGAAACAGGAAAATGAGTGAGTGAAACTTGAAAAGAAAAAAAAGTTCCAACTTCCTCGACAACTAAGAAAAGTTGAAGCGGGTTCTAAAGGGAGTTTGAGATTTGGTGGGTCCTATAGAGATTGTATTAGGACCTCCTGAAGGGACAAACTTGGAAGACCCTCTATAGGAGGCCTTTTGAAACCCCTCTGAAAATTGGTAGGTCTATTTCAAACCTTGCGCATTTGGTGCTCATTGAGAGATGTACCGATCATGATTGAACTTCTGCAGGCTCTCGATGCAAATATTTTGCGGATTTTCGTTGGTCGGTACATTTGACCGGGGTACTCGGCCACCATGGACACGATCTCATCCAAATCTATGCAAATTTGATTTGTTCGATATTCTCTTCGCAATCGATTTACTAACATAGGCAAAGTCGGAAAGGGTGGTGGAAAAAGGCTCCATGAAAATGTTCTTTTTAGGGTGAAAAAGTTTGCTTTTTTGCTGCCTTTTTGCGCCGATATATCGGCTATTATGAACCATTTTTGCAGCCTCTCCCTTTTTCCCTCATTTCCTGAGCCTTTAAAATTCCAGAAAAAATGGAAGGCTCGATAAAGAAACTCTCTTTGCTGCCTTTTATTTTAGCCTTTCTGCGGCATTTTCGCTGCCTTTTTGAAGCCTCTCCCTTTCAGCGGCCATTATACACCATTCCGACTTGCCCGAGTAATTTTCCTCATTAGCATTCACCTTGGTTCGTCAAATTCTGACTGAGGATTTGTGGCCGAGACGTCATGTAGGCTTTCATGCAGCCATCCTCCCCTTAATCGAAAATTTTCATGAAAAAAGTGACCAAAACCTCTATCAACGAATTTGAAATCGAAGCCGTTGGCGCGGAAAATCTCAATGTTGTCCCGGATAATCATCTCCTGAACTGCGCCGAAATTCAGAGAGGCTGGCCTTAAAAGCACCTTTTCTCAGAAATCTACTCACAGAGAAGCAAACTAACGTCAAGAGAGGTTGCATAGATATTTTGGCGTTTTTCTGAAGTTTTTCGAAGTTGTACTTCTCGTCGCTGGCATGTTGGTCAATGATGAACAGATTTCGGCCGAAACGGCTGATTATGAACCCCTGAATCACGAGTTCTTGCAAGACCATCCCAAAACTCACTTTGTTGAACTGCCCGATGATTTTCATCTGCCCAAAGTCGGCTTTTCTGAAAAAAAAAAGAGATCTACAAAACATCGCTGAAAACATACTTCAGAGCGCGATCAAGCTCTTTTTCAGCTTCTTCACTGTCTTCAGGTCGGATCACAGAGTGAAACTCGACATCTTGTGAAAAAGAAGGAGTCTCCTTCTTTCTTTCAGCCAATTCTCGAATTCGATCTTTGAAGTTTGCCATAGAAAATTTGATCTGAAATTCGATTGAATCCAAGTGAAGACAGGAGTCTCAATACATTCTGCTGCGTTCGGACGAAGTTCTGAACTTTTTTTCTTTCCATTTTCCCCTTGGGAGAGTTCGATGAGCATGCGATCGTATCATCATCCTGCAAAAAAAAAGTCCATAAAGTGGATAACTCGGTGAAAAAACCTCCAAAGGATCATCCTCCCTTTCTGCCTCGTCAATGGCTTGTTCAATTTTGTCCAAAAGCGCATCGTCGGCTCGCGAATCGATGTGAAATCCTCGAGACATGTTCTTGAGAAGCACTGGCGAAAGGATTTTCCTGGAAACTCTTGATTTGAGAGCCAAATCTGGGATAACCCCACTCAGTTGGTGGAAAAGGTTGCGTCGGAGGTGATTCGGAATTCTCTGTCTCTTGGTTTTGTGAACTTGTAGTGCTTGAAGGTTCATGCGGGGTGAAGGTGAAAGAATACGACTCCAATGTTTTTCGTTGCGAGGGAAACAGTGGTGAGGACGTTGTCGAAGACCTTCCAGCCATGACGTCAGCCAAACGGACTCGCTTGGACGGAGGTCCGACATTCGATGTTCTGCCTTTTTTGGAGCTGGCGCGGGCTTCCCGCAGCAAGTCTTCAATGTTCTGAAGCGGTTCGGAAGGTTCTATGACCGTCGAGTTTGCCGACGAGTTCAGAGACTCGTCGAGATTGTCCACACTGGACGAAGATAAACTGCGAGCTGGAACTAGAGAACGTAAACGCGTTTCAGATTGGATAATGACCGAAGGACAGGTTGCGTGTGTCCTCGACGCTACTTCGGACAGAAGTCTGCAGGCCAAGAACGGGACGGAACGTGGCTATGAGTGAGGCTCGCAGCAACGCCAAAAGGTGCTTTTCCTTGTCGAAGAGGACGGTTTTCTTGTCAGGAGTGACGTTCACATCAATCGTTTCTTCAATTCATATCTTCCGGTAGGAATGGGAAACGTTCTCTTACTTGCCGGAACGCCGATGAAAAGAACGAGAATCGGGTATTGGGACTTGTTATACTGTTGGTACACTTCATTCACAACTCGACAGACCTGATGGACTTTTGTGTAACAAATAAATCAGACGTGGTTATATATAGTTTAGTTTTAAAATAAAAGAAAAGAAAAAGCTACCGTAAATAAAATCTTTTTCTCTACAAAACTGCTAAAAAAGACAGCAAAAAACAAAGGTTTTGAAGCGAAGATGCTCAATTTTGATCTATTCTGGTATAGTCTGTGTACCACAACTTGAAATTTCACCGAACGACGTTCCGCTGTTCCGCTGCGTGCCTTTGCGCGCTTTTGATTATTCTTTTTATTTAAGAACTCGACCAAAACGTGTTCCTAGTGGAACAGTCCATCTATCAGAAATAAGAACCAATTAAAAGCGAGACTAAGGCTCGCAAAGACGCTTCGCGACTCAGCGGAACAGCGGAATGTCGTTTGGTGAAATTTCAAGTCGTGGCACACAGACTATATACGGTAGTGAAGGAAGGTGAGCGAGGCGTCAAAGTCTCTGAATTTACAAAAAAAGAAGTGCGCGCTCCGGATAAAATGACGTCACAACTATACTGAGTATTCAACGTTAATAACTTTGTTCGATCGCCTTTGGTTGCGTACTTGAGATTTGAACTTTCGCCTAAATTTGAAAAAAAAAGCTGCTGCGGAATAGGCTATATGATAAAATATCACTCTCACTCGATAATACTCGATAGGACGATTGTTGATATAAACAAACTGTCGGTCAGCGCTGCTCCTGCCGCTCCCGTGTTCACAACTGCTGACGAAACCCGCGAGACTGAGATCTATTTGATAGAACTTCCAAGAAGTCACTATCCTACGTTATTTCGTCGTAAAGATGCTCCGAGTACCCGAGTAAAGAGTATAACGCACAAATTTCCTCGTCCGGCAACTCGCGTTTGATCTGCAACTTCTTATTGCACACTTGGAATGGATGCTTCTTGCCTCAATCAACGACGAGCTGCTGTTTTTTTTATTGCTCATCCCTCCGAAGAGATTCAGTACCACCTCAAATTTTTGACAATTTCAAAATGTTGGAAAATCCTACTTCTTTGATGGAAGAGTTTCCCCCAGGCGTGCAAATTAAACTTTGTCTTTTGCTGAATTTTCTTTTAAATAGTTTTTTTTCGGAATGAATACCCGGCAATCATGTTGCTGCAGAGGAACTTGATCGTTGGTTTCATAAGGGAAAAGGATTGAACCGTAACCAATAGCTTGGGAAAGTCTTTTTTGGCTGTCCTTTCGAGTTCTTTCCTCCGCACTGGTAGGGTCTCGAACAGATTTTCAACTATTACCGTGGTTCCAATCTGTCAAAAATCAAAAATGGAAAACCTTTGAAATCAATAACAGAGCTGAACCTCGCGAGCCAAACTTGTCTTGGACACAATGTTTCCGGCGTGATCGTATTTCAACCGGGTCCCCACTTCGCTATCAGCAGCTCTCGTGAATATCGTTATTGTACTGGAAATAAAAACTCTCGACCTCAAGAAGATTGAGAAGCAAACCTCAACGCACAGAGTGCATTCAATGCCTCGCCGCGGAACCCTAGAGTCGCCAAATGATCGAAATCAGAGAAATTCGAAAGTTTCGATGTAGAATGTGGCTTGCCTAGAGTTCTCACAACGTCTTTTGTTTTGATTGCAACCTTACAGAGTAATTCAAAGTTGGAAACTTCGATTCCATGTCCGTTGTCTTGGACTTCCAGACTTTCAATCCCATAATTTTTCACACGCACTTCTTGAACAGACTTGAAACTAAAAAGATTTATCTGAGCGAATCCAAACCGATTGTCTTCGCTGCAGCATCGATAGAATTGTCAATCAATTGACGCAATGCACCAGCAAGACTGATGACAACCTTAACTTGATAGAAAAACTTGAGCGAATTGTAACTTTGAAAAAAACCTGCGCTGTAGTTATTTTGTCAGCAACATCTTTTGACATACGATGAATCGTCCTCAACGAACTTTCAGCCATTTTTATTCTATATTTCTTAACAGAGCATTTGTTAGCTTTGAAGGAATATAATTTGAAGAGCCTAGAAAAAGCCTAGAAAAAACAAATACAAAGAAGATTTTGTTAAACTGATTCCTATAACACAGATCTTCATAAAAAAAATTATAAAATCTCAGAAAAATTCTGTAATTTGAAAAAGAAAAAGAAAAAAAAAACGAGGAGACGTTTTAAAATTTTTGTTTTCCCGCATTTGCAAGTTCGCCCCAGTGCATTCGTTCCGGCAAGTCTGAAATATTTTTCAAAAAAAAAATTATAAATTATCGGGGATTGGAAAATGAGAAAGTGTGTAAAAATTAAAAATTTGAGAAAATGCTCAGATTTTATTATGATAAAACCAGCGTTTCATGTGAATGCCTCAATTCTTGCATAAAAGCCTTGGTGAGCTGGGTCCAAGCTTTGAAAAAAATTTTAAATTTCATCAAAAAAGTTTTCAACCCTCAAATTTTACAATTACATTCACATTTATTCAGTCTTCAGAGAAGGTTCCTTACTGAATCATGGAACAATAGAATAGTTGTTTGTAGATTCGCGAAACTGTCGTCGATCAAGAACACCGCGTAGAACATCTCGTCCTTCTTCAGATAGCAGTAGTCAGTAGTGCGCTAAAAAATTATTCTACAACTTCATGGTAATCATTGAGATTGAAACTACTTAAGAATTTTCATGGGAAAGATTATTTGTGTTTGATGAGTGAATCTGAGGGAAAAAAGCCCATGTTCCGCTGTCGCGGGTATCGCTGTTTGCCATCAACAGGTCAAGTCGCACTCCACGTAGTGAGGCAGCTTTCCCTTCTGGGTCTCACCTAAGCCTCCATTTCTCGCCCACATCCGCAGGTCTTCGCTCCCTTAGTCATGCGCTACCGGTTTTTGCAGCGATGCTCCAAAACTTCCTACATTGCAGCTGCAGTGACTCTTCTAGTCTTCTGTTATTTGAAATTCGGATTGAACGGACCTGATCTTGGCAGCGACAATGAAGATGACCCTTCGGTTTATAATGACTTTTTATCAAAATGATGATTTTATGTGATAAAAAACCGTTCAGATAAATTTTCCTATCGCCAGAGTAGAAGCCACTCGTTCGCTGAACGTAGCAATCGTGATAATCGTTGGAGATATTCAGAAAGCTCGGCATGACTACAGGTAGAAAGAGGATTTTTGAGAATAATTGCTCAAAGAGTCACTTTCAGAGTTGCCATCAACACCTTGGAATGTTACGCAGCCATGCATAACTATCCCCTTAAAATATTGTCAACTGAAAGTTTCTCAGAAGTTTGTTCTCAAAAAGATGTGAGTCTTGGAACACCCTGAATGTGTAGCGGATTGAAGTTCATGTTCCGAAGGCATTGTGTCGTGGCAGAAGTGTTGAAAGAATCCGAGTGGGTCCTTTTCATCGACGCTGATTCCGCTGTCGTCAACCCTGAAATGTTCGTGAGAGCTTCAGCCTCATCGAGCAGTACATTTTCAGCCTTATCGAGCAGTACATTGATCCAAGATACGACATCACGCTCTATGACCGATTTGTTAATTGGGAGGTGGGTTTCTTTTACTTTTACTAGAGCTCTAAATTGATGAACTAAACTGAAATTGATCAACTTCTTTCAGATAGCGGCTGGATCCTACATCGTTCGGAACACACCTTGGGCTATCAACTTTCTGAAAGAGTTTGCAGACTTTGAGAAAAAACTGCCAGAGAGTTTCCATGGCACGGATAACGGCGCTGTTCATGTTTCGAAAAGCTCGAGGAAGAAATTAAAAAGCAAATTCAGGCTTTCCTTCAACAAAATTTCATGCCTAGTCTGAAAGAACATGCCAGAGTCTGCATGCGAATTTGGGAGAACTCCCAGAGTTTCAAAACGCTTTTCCTGTACGAGGCTTGCATTCGATCAGTAATGGGTGACGTTCGCGACCTCGGTAAAGTTCGAATTCTCGAAAAGGTGGGTCCGATTAAATGCTCCGCCTAACTTCTTTGCTAGTTTAGGGACGCGGATGGCTGCGAGACGTTTGGTTGGCCGACAGCCAATGGAGCGCTGAGCGGGATTTCATCCTTCACGGTCTCAAAGAGGAAAACCTCGTCAAAAACAGCAATATCTTCCGAAATATGTTGGCTTTCCGTTCTTCAAAGAAATATTTTCTGAGATTTTCAGACTTATACCTCAGTTCAGCTGGAGGAACCCCCTCAAAGAAAATCTGAATATAAACGGTACTTGAGATTTTTTTATTCTTCAAATTAATATCCATTCGTTCAGAGTGTGCTAGGCGGACGCAGATTTGGCCGTATGAAGAGTCTTTACGCGTCAGCCGAGAGATCGTTGAGGATCATATGAGAAAAAGATTCGTCCAAGTTGAGAAAGACCGCTGGAACACTCTATCCAACGTGGCCCGATTTATATGATAATTTCTACACTGCCTTTTCGTACGGGATTTTTTATGCTGAATATTATCATGAATAAAGTGCATTGAAAACGAATATTTCCATTGTTTCGAAACTACTTCTCGGAGTTTCCGCAACTAAACAGCGTTTTTGAAAAAGCTTCGCAATTATTTTTACAAAAACCATTCGAGAAGATATCAGTGCATGATCATAAAATATAATACCATGTTTAGAGTGACTCCGCGAAATTCGCAACATCCGTCAGAGACTGAAAAAGATAACTAATTTTTGGAGAGTCAGAAATAGTTTTGTATTTCGCGGAAATCACTTCGAACACGGCACGAACCAACTATTTTCAAGCGAAAACATTCAGTATATATATATTCCCTCGCCAACTCTTGCGGGCTAACTGATCAGTTTCGCGTTCCGCGGGGAAGAAATTATTCTACGCCCGCTTTGCGGATTGTGGGCGGAGTTAGGCCTCGCCGTTGCCGCTTTTCAAAATCATCATTTTTTATAACTGCACTTTAGTTTTTATCAAGTTTTAAACGATAGAAGCGTTTCTATATTTTACCAAAGTGCACACTAGATAGTTCTACATGTTTGCTCTGAAAAAATCTTTGTCTTTGCGTTTTTTTTTCTTTTTTTTAAACATGTGTTTGTGAAACTAAATTTTTTAAAATATTTGAGGTAATGTCTTCAAGAGGGGTGCGAGCCACTGGAACTGATGGAACTGACTTTCAACACAGGCAGCGTGTCGCTCAACATTATCAAGAAAGGTTTTTTAAAATTCATATTTTTTGTTTCAAAAGTTAATTTTCAGTGCCACCTATAAAAGTACGTTGAAGTACTTTTTCCTGCTGCATTCCCTCATTTTAGTTTTCATGTGGTGTAAGGTTGTGAATAACTTCATACCTTGTCCTTATGTTCTATTTAAGGTAGGAAGCGAGATCCTCCGGCGAGATTTTGGTGTCAAAATTGGCTTCTTCGAAAGATTGGATATGCCTCCTGCTTATTCTTGGGAATATGCTTGGTGCTTCTCCTTTGTGCCGATTATTTTTGCTCTTCTCTCTTTTCCAAGAAATAAGGTACTCGGAAAATACAAAAAAGAGGGAATTGTCAAATTTTCTACAGCTGCAAATGCTTCACAAGCACTACTATGGTCAGTTCCTGACGGGAATCGTTCCTTGCATGATTGGTCTTGGCGGACAACTTCCGGAGCTGATTGAATACATCAATGACATGGAAGGAAGTAACACTCCAACTTTCAAGGTTTTTTTTGTTGCAATAAGTTTCGAAAATGAAAATAGAAAAAGAATACAACGATTACAAAAATAATGAAAACAAGGGAGTTTGAACAATCAAAAATGTTTTCCAATCAGCTGTTCAGAATATGATAGAAAAATAGAAGAAGTTTTTGTAGGGAACTTTTCCAATGGTCATCATCTGGTATATCTTCTTCGCCGTCGCTCTGCAAATTCATGGTTTTTCTATGTATTTCTCTCATCTTCTTGCTTCCGCGTGGGCGCCTGTAAAGAGAGATTAAAGAGTCTGCTTGTTTTTATTATAGGATTACGAAATAGTTAATAACAAAACTTCATCGCTTCCCCTCATTCATTGTTAAATGACATTGTGATATTACAAGTATTCTGCTGCCTTCCTTGGTCATGTTTTTTTTTTTGAAAATAAATTATTTTAATTATTTCCGAATGTTTTGTTTTTCGACAGGTACATTACCTTTCTTACCTAATTTTATTTTTTTCAGCGTTTAAATACATTTTAATTTTTTTTATTAAGAATGTTCGGTTGTACCTTTGACGATCAGGATGACGAGGAGCGAGCTTTGGAATCTTGCAAGCAGAGTTTCATGTTTGAGCCGCGGCACAGCGATTTCGTCTTCCCTTCGTTGCCTCTCGGCATCGACGTTGGTTCCTTTCCAGGGGAATCTAGTGAAAAGCTTATTCCAGAGCAAATCATTCGTGAGTCAGCATTTTGGTAAGGACGCGAAGAACATGCAGTTCCGCAAAGGAACCACCACGTTGGCATTCGTTTACGAGCCCGCTACCGAAAACGATAAGGTAAACGGTTTTTCATATATTTTCTTCATTGGTATAATTAAAGGGCGGTATCATCATTGCTGTCGACTCTCGTGCCTCAAGTGGAGAATATATCTGTAAGCGTTTTTCTTAATCTTATGCCTTTTTTATGATGGCGCAAATGAATTGAGCTTCATTTTTGTACACAACTCGTATTTTTCCATTCCAGCCTCAAAGTCGGTTATGAAAATCCTCGACATCGGAGATCGTATGGTGGCCACGATGGCCGGAGGTGCTGCCGATTGTCAGTTCTGGACAAGAACCGTTGCCAAGTACTGCACGTATGTTCTGGATTTCTGAACCTTAAAAGAAAAAAATATTTTTCAGTCTTTACGAGCTCCGCGAAAAGTCGCAAATAACCGTGAGCGCGGCCAGCAAGTACTTTGCCAATGTTCTTTACGGATACCGTGGAAAGGGACTTTCTGTGGTGAGTTTTGAACGATGGGAGATGAAATTTTCTAATTAAACCGTGTGTAACAGAAATGTAGGAAATCGGGTAAAAGCTCGTAGAATTTCCACAGTGGTCCCTATAGGGGTAAAATCAAGGTGATCCCTGTAGGGATTTAGGGTCCTATCCCTTAGCCCATAAAGCTTGAGGGATCCCTATAAGCCTAGGAAACATCATAACAACCCCTATAGGGGCTACTGAAGCTCGCATAAGTGGTCACTATAGGGGTTTTAGTTAGCGCCACTCATCCTCCAAGAGAGTTGCCCCTATAGGTTCCGAAGTCCTCTCTATATTTGTGATTCTTCATTTAAGGCTCGATTAGATTTTTTCAACAATCGATAATGAGAAGGAAATCGAAGTTTGAATGAAAAGGGTCTGTCCCAGCTGCTTTGAGAACAAAATAACCTCTGAAAAAAACTATCTGTTTCTACTCTCAACTGCATTGATTGAACCAACATCAAACGCAAATTTCAAGTCAAGTCCCTCCTAATTTTTAACATTTTTTGGTTTGAGTTAATTTCAGTCGGTATATCATTATCCAAAAAAAAAAATCCTCCTTTTTCGAGCTATTAAAAAATGTGGACATTTATAAAAATTGAGGAAACCCGAAAGTAGATCAGTGTGAGCTTAATCAAAATTGAAAAATTTTTAAAAAAAGAAAAAAAGTCTAGACTATTTTCCATATTTTTGATTTTTTCAAATTGTTTCTCTCGTCGTTATTCTAGCTTATAAATTTTCCCAGTATTTCGCACGGCTATAAATCAATCGTATTTAGTTTAAGAAAAATTTGTTTTTAGGGCTCTATGGTGGCTGGATATGACAAGCGCGGGCCTCAGATTTTCAAGGTGGACAGCGATGGTGACCGCTGCCAACTGCGCGTTTGCTCTGTCGGATCTGGCTCTCTCAACGCCTACGGTTTGTCTCATTTTTCTTTTTTTTCTGGCATGTTCAAAGAGATTCTGCGAAGTATGAAATAACCGTCAGAGATTGAAAAAAATACTAGCATTTAGAGAGTCAGAGACAATAGTGCATTTCACAGAAAATACTTTGAACATGGCATAAATGTTCACGTTGTTTGAGAAAGTAAAAATTCCAGTTAACCATTTTCTTCTCTTCTCTATAGCAACTCTTGAATTTTTAGGAATCCTGGACAACCACTACAAGCCGAAAATGACGGATGACGAGGCGCGGAAGCTTGGTCTTCGTGCCATAATGCACGCCACTTTCCGTGATTCTGGGTCAGGAGGCGTCTGTAACTGTAAGTTTCGTTTTTCGAAAATGTAGCTGTCTTGTAATAATTTTTTTTTCAAATGCATCTTGTATTCTCATCAGCTCACTACATAAATAAAATCATATATTTACGATTATTATAATTAAAAAAAAATTTTTTTGATGTCTCTAGTTTCAATCAATGATGAAATCAAACGTTTTGTCAAAATATGCTTTGGTTTTTCTTTTCAAAGTTTATTCATTTATCAAGAATTTTTCTAATAAAAAGAACCAACCTAGGAATTCCTGAGTGGTCTCTATAGAGTTTAGGGAAAAAACGGCCTCTACAGGGAACGAAAAAAAAAAATGGTTCCTGGGGGTTTAGGGTCTGAATTATTTTTTTTAGGGCAAAGGGGTCCCTATAGTTTCCCTTTCAATTTTTTTTTTCAAACAACTCCGATTTATTTAGCTAAACTTAGTTTTCGCACTTCTTCGCATAGATTTCATAAACATAGGGGTTGGTAAAGTGGAACCTAGTGGAGACCCTCCAAGGGCTCCTTAGGTTGTCCCTACAGGGACCACTCCGAAGTTTCTAAGAACGTCTCTGAGAAAAGCGAGAAAGTAATTCTATTCATTAATTATAACTCGTATATATCCTACATATGAAGCCCTTTTCATAACCTTGGGATTGTAAAAAAAAAGGTTACCAAATTTGAAAAACGAGTCATGAAAAATTTCTGTAAATTATGCATTTCCCATAGGATTTTTCAAAGTCAACTGAAAGAAAGACTGAACATAATGCCGTGTTCAAAGCAAAATGATTCCGCGAAAATCAAAATAGTCGTCAGAGAAAGAAAAAGATAACTAAATTTTGGAAAGTCAGAGATAATTTTGCATTTCGCGGAAATTACTCTGAACATGACACAAAAAGCTGAAATCAACTTAGAAGCCGTATACCTAAAAAATCTTTCATTTTTGAAAGCCTTTTTTGAATGCATGTTTCAGTGTGCCACATCACGCCGACCGAGAAAATCCGCCTACCGCCTTTCGACGTCAGCAAACTGTACTACGAGTTTGCCGAAGAACTTGGCAAAGACATTGTCTACACTCCCCGTGATGACTAATTTTCTATCTAAATGCGCCTTTTTTTTCCTCTTTTTAAGTTATTCTGATTGTAACCGGTTTACTCGTGTGAAATAAAATTTTCTAAAAGCTATTGATTGATTTGTTTTTCCTGGTACTAACATCGATGAAAATACGAAAAGCATTTTTGAATTTGTTTCTTTAAAACAATTGCTGAAACATGAGGTCAGATGACGTGCCCGGCGAGGTACAGCTGGGAGGCCAAAGCACTCGACTCCTTTTTATGGGAAAAGGTTCTGAAAACTGGTTGAAAAACTGAACGAGGAGTTTAGGACGGCAGGGACCCAACTCAGCCCCAAGACGCCCTGCGAACCATTCTTCTCATCGCTTTGTTCGGCCTCACTTTTGCTTCTTCTATGGTTCGGAAAGGGTTATTGAGAACCTCGGGGAAGGTTTTTTTCATAGGTCGCCACTTTCCTGCGCGGCGATTGGGCTAGAAGTCATTTGCTCTCGTTCGTTTCTTGCATCGGCGGTGGAGTTTTCCTCGGCGCCTGTTTGCTCGACCTTTTTCCAGGTACAAATAGGTCTATATAGTTGATTCACGGCTGGCTTGAGCCATCGAAAAAAGGGTCCTGACACGATAATGCACGAGATAGCGCCTGGCTCGGGGAGAGCGCAGACACGACACGCCCCCTTAGCGTCCCAAGCTGCCCGTGAATCAGCTATAGCTTCTTCCATAAGCCTTGATTGGGAGATCGAAAAATCCAATCTTATAGCGAGTCACGTTTTTAAAAAAAAGCATAAAAACAGCTTTTTTGCTCCCTTGCTTTACGAAACTGCAAAAAACAAGGGTCTCGAAGCGAATTTGATTTAATTTGGTATACGGCCTTTTTGGCGGAAAGAAAAACGTAACAAGCTTGCGCGGAATGGGCTATCTTTTCAGATTTTAAATGTCAAGTTCAAGCTCCGCCTCCGAATGGCGCGATAAACCAAGCAGAGAGCGAGCCATCCACAGAGCGTTTTCGAATGACGTCATTCTACTTGACATTCAAAATCTGAACAAACTATGTCAAAGACAAATTAGTGCCGTGTTCAAAGTAATTTCGGCGAAACGCAAATTTATCTTACTCTCCTAAATTCCGTTATCTTTTTATTTCTCTAACGCCTTTTTTGAATTTTGCGGAATCATTTAAACACGGTATGAAAGATGGAGATGCGGAGAGGCTTTTTGAAGACTTCTTGGAAAAATGCCAGGCTTTTGAATATTCAAACTCTTCAGCAAGGATTTTCTAACAGATCTCCGTCTGAACTTTCAGATGCCGTGGAGTCTTTCGAGAAAACGGGAATCGAAATAAAGTTCCCGTTGCCGTACGCAAGTGTCGCTGTTGGCTTTCTACTCGTTTTGAGCATCGACCAGGTGATTGATTTCGTGATTTAAGCTCTTGTATAATCAAAAATAGTGGAGTGACTTGAACAGAGTTATGATTTCCAACAAGATTTGAATTTTTTTCGAAAAGTTGGTTTTTTTTACGGAAGCTGCAAGTATCACAAGATAATTGAGCTCGTTTATAGATTAATTTTTTTAAATTTTTCTTCGGTTTTTGAATTGGAGTGGAACATTATCAAAGTGGAGGCAAATATAACTTTCCTGGTTCTTTTACCTCTGAAAAAATCGATAAAAATGAAAAAACAAGTGACAAAAATTGAAAAAGTTTGAGAAAGGAAAGAAAAAAATCATTTTGCATGTAGAATAGTAAGTATGAAAGTTAGAAAAAAAAGTATTTTGCATTTTATTATGCCTGCGCAGTCCTTCCTTCGAAAGAGAATTTGAACCCATAATAAGAGAATTTTGAATCGAATTATTTTTTCTTCGAGATCGCCAAAAGCGCCCGAGAACAAGGATATTTGGGAGCTGGAGCACGACATCATCATCTGCACAGCCATGACCAAGAAACGTCCTCTAGGTTACAAACTTCAGAAAATAAACGTTAAAAAGATCTACAGTTTAACCGACGGAGAGGAGCCATCGGAGGAAAGCCAGTCGAGGCTCGGAGCAGTTCTTCTGGTTTTGGCTCTTTCGGTTCATGCGCTCTTCGAAGGACTCTCCTTGGCTGTCACCAGTGACGCTTCGCAGCTCTTGCAGGTTGTAGTTGATTTCTTCCCAGCGATCAATTATTTTCTAGATTTTCGCTGCCCTCATCATCCACAAGTGCATAATGGGCTTCTGTTTGGGCGTGCGGCTGGTTCAGTCCGGCATGAGTACGCCTTGGCTCGCCCTTTGCGCCCTTTCCTTCAGCATCCAAGTATCCGTCTCATGTAGATCCAAAGGGAAATTGTTGCATTTTTCGGTTCTGATCGGTGGCCTGGCCGGCATCGCAATCATGCGCTTCATCGGCGGCGGTGAGCAGAAAATCGCTTCGACAGTTGCATCCATCCTGCAAGGTACTTTGGAATATGGAAAAGACGATACTTTCCTTCTTAAAGTTGTTCTGCGAGTTTTTTTTTTTGGAGTGTTTCCAACATGGTTTTTCTTTTGATATTTTCCTCGAGCAAAGTCGAAATGGTCCACTAAAAGGGAGAGGCTCAAAAAAGGCCGCAGAAAGGCACCCCTTATCCTTTCATTTTTGAGACTTTGAAGGCTCAATAATTGGTGGAAAAAGGGATAGGCTCAAAAAAGGTGCATAAGTGCCCATGAAATGGCGCGAAAATGGCAGAAAAAAGGAGCCTTCGTAACCTCAAAAGGAAAATTTCTATGGAGCCTTTTCCACTCTTTCCGACTTTGCATATGATGACGGATTACAAAAATTGCAACAAACTATTAAAACATAGTTCAAGATTTTTTGGCGGGAATTAAAATTTTTAAAATTATTTAAATGCAATTTGAAAAAAAAAATCGATTCTTCATATGTAAAGTCGGAAAGGCTTTATGAACATTTTCCTTTTAGGAAGACAAAGGCTCCTTTTTGGTGCCATTTTGCGCCATTTCTTCGGCTCTTATGCATCATTTTTGCTGCTTCTACCTTTTTTCATCACTTTTGAGCTTTTAAATTCCCAGAATACTTGAAAAGCCCGATAAAGGGACCCTTTTTGTTGCCTTTCTGCGGCTTTTTTTGAGCCTATCTCTTTTAGCGGCCATTATTCACCATTCCGACTTTGCCCAAGGTCACGATAACTCAAGTTTCAATCTAATAACCTCAAAAACTATTTTTTATACTATAAATCGATTTCAATTTTAATTGTTACAGCGATTTCGTGCGGAACTTTCTTGTACATCACGACATTCGAAGTGATCCCTCACGAGCTGCAGAAGTCCAACCATAGAATGCTCAAGCTCTTCTTCGTTTTCTTCGGATTCTTCGCCATCATCGCATTCCTTCTCGTGTTCCCCGATGCCGCATAGACTTTCCTGATGTAAATCCTTCGTCTGCTCTTTCAAGGCCATCATTCCTACGGTTTTCCACTTGCCAGTCTTGCTATGTATTCATTTTCCTTCCCCCTTGTTGTTGTACAAATCTCCCTTCTTGTCTATTAGCCCCCCACTGTAACTTTGAAACAAATTCTAGTCATTTTTCAATCGTTCTCTACTCACTCCTCTTTCTCACTTGGTATTTCACTTTCTCTCGTTCTAGAGCTTCCGTTACCGTGTGATGCCGGATCTCCCTGAGAGTTTAGTTCCATTTCAACGTGTGCAATGAAATTTTTTTTTTAGCTTTTGTCACAAAAAATCACGTAAAAACGTTTTAAATATTTTTAGAAGATTGGAGAAGACATTCATTTGGCTCTTACAGATTTTACAATGATTGCCTGATTTTATGTTTGAAGAAAAGCGATGCTGTGGTTAGCATTTGCCGCGTTGATTGCCTATCTTTTATGGAAGTTTGTATTGAAATGAGTTCTATTTGAGAACATTTCGATTCCTTCAGATATTCAGTAGTTATCATCAGCAAGGTGCTTTCCGTGCTCGCGAAATGCAAAATCCGCGTCGGGAGTGTTGGTTTCCTCAGAATCCGCGACGTCAACGTCCGATTGCCCCAGGGGCTTTCCGTTCACGTCGACATTTGCTCTCTTCAAATCGACTCTAATCATCCTAGGTAACTTTATTATCCAGAAACCTTCGAAAATGTTGCAGTCGTCTGTTCGTTCTTCGATGTGGAGACGTCAGGATAGAAGGAGAGTCTCGGATTTTGACTAGGAGAGAAAGCGAAGGAAAAGCCGCGACGTCTTCAGAAAAAGCGGCGTCTCTGGCCGGCTGGGGCCGTCTGACACTCCTGGCTCAGGCATTTTCTGTATATCGCGTCTCTGTCAGATGGGAATTTGCAGTACGGCGGCCTCTTCGTCAACAGAGTTCATCTTGTTCTTCTTGAAGTCGTCCCAGAATGCATGGTTCATGTGACAGTCGACGAGCTGTCAGTGGAAACTTTTCGCAGTCGTGAAGGGTGAGTGGAGCTTTTTTAAAATAAGGAATGAAAAAATGCGCTAAGAAGGTTTTGGTTGGTACTCGATTATACGTATTCAAAACATATTTCCGTTTTTTTGGAGCCAAGTGGTAAGAAAACTTTTTTGAGGGTTTATCAATTTTCGAGTAAGCTCGAGTTTCAAAAAATTCGGTATGCACAGCCTATTTAAAATAGTTTCCTCAGTTGTTTTTTTAAACTGAAAAAAATCTCGGAATGATGCAAAAAAACTGTTGATTTTATTTTTAATAACTTTTTTTAATAAGTTTTTGGAGCCAACTGTTTTTTTATTTTGATAAAATCAACAGTTTTTTTGCGTTTTTTTGAAAAATCCCACAAAGCATTGTTCAAAAACTATATCAACTTCTGGCACAATATCAGTGTCCTTAAATTAACCAAACTCAACAAAAATGTGAAAAAAACAGCTAGAATCGAGAATCCTCAGATGGCAACTGGAAACGAACTGCCGATTGATACAAGGCAAAATGTTGCGAAGGAGCGGCCCCAGCGGACGTCTTCTGGCCGAGTTTTCCTTTCCCCTGCAGCTCTCGGTGGACATCGTCGCCTCGCGTTTCAACAAGATCGTTCTGAGAGTCGCCGACCCGTGCATCTCCTTCTCAAATGGTAATGAACCGGTGAAAAACCGATGCTCAGCTGTTTTTCCAGGCATTTTCGACATTTTCCAAGAGTTCCGCGAGCGGAGAACTCTGGCTGCTGCGATGAAGACGGAGGAAAGCGCGGGTGTATCGGAAGAACCGCCGTCGGAGCCTCTTCTGAAGATCGACTGGCAATTGCAACTGTCGGTCGAAATCCAAGGGGTCACCGTGAAGTACACAGGCGATTACCAGGAGGAGAGGTAATATTTTTCTCGTTTTTGCTGAAATCTTGTGCGCGCGTTCAAAGTAATTTCCGCGAAATGCAAAAATATCTCTGACCCTCCAAAATTTAATTGTCTTTCTCTTTCAGTCGTTACGCAACTTTGAGCATAAGAGAAGTCTCCGTCGGAAGGTTTGACGACAACTTTCAGGTTAATCGTTGAATGCAACCGACTTGACAAAATGCTTAATTGCAGCTTAAACTATCAGGTTTCGCCCTTGTTGATCAACTCCAAAAAAGCGCCGTCCGCACTAGTTTTCTGGAGATTTCGATAAGTGTGAGTGCAGAGGGGAAATTGAGTTCATTATTAATTTTATATCCATCATTCAACGCTTCTTTCGCTTTTTGAGTTGTAGATGAGATCAAGCATAAGTCTTCAGGAAGCAAAGGAGACGGAAATAGTCGAGATCAGCCTTTTCTCGGACAGCATGCAAACGATGTTGTCACTTCACGATGCCATGTGGTGGCGAAACCACGCCGACTTTCTGATCCAGAACTTCTCGTCGCACTCCGAGAAGTCGGTACGGAAACATCTCCCGGGGCATCTCAAGATACTGCTTTTCAGAAATCAGAACGGCTCGAGCCGCAGCGTGACCTGCCGAAAATTGTCTGCCAGGTACAACTCGCCGCTGTCTCCTGCGATTTTCAAGACTTTGAAAATATCCAGTCTACGCTTTGCGTCGACTTTTTGAGTCTTGTCAAGGTTTTTCATTTTTTCTCCTGTATGCAAAAATTGAAACCTTCTTTAGCAATTTGCTTTTTTATTTTCCTCTGACTTGGCCGCTGAGGAAAAAATAATACGCAAATTTTCTAGACTGTTCTAAACTATGATCACGGCCTTTTCGTTGAAGCAAGACAATGCGGAGCCAAAACTCCGCTGTTCTCTCGTGATGTCATCGGAAAAAAGTCTAAAAACAGAGGATATTAAAGGCACATGTCTAATGGGTCCTGAGACGAATCTACTTTTCATTTTAAAAAACGCATTTTTTGAAGCACATGTCATGTTCAAAGTGATCCCGCGAAATTAAAAATAGCCGCCGGAAAGTGAAAAATATAACTGAACTTCGGAAATTCAGAGATTTTTTTGAATTTCGCGAAAATTATTTTGAACACGGCATGTGTGAGAGCGTCGTGGTGTGTGCACACTTTACGGAAAAAATATGGGCGGGGCGAAAAAAAGCCGTGTGATAAGTGGATTATCAATGAGAGATTGTTCTCAGAGAGAAGATTGCTGGGAGGTCGGCGTCGAGGCTCTCAGCTTCTGCTCGGCATCCGCCTCTGATGAGAATCCATTCCCTAAACCGAACTTCGAACAACATTACTGGGGCCAATCGGTATAAAATCAACAACAAAAGAGATCTCGAAGGATTTTTTCCAGGTCTTCATCGGTGCTGCCTTGGTGGAGATCGACGAAACCAATGAGGTACCACAGGTGACGATCGGCATCGATGACGTCAAAGTTGAATGGAGCGAGCAGTTGAGCAAACAGGCGAGTTTCTGGAAAGCCAAGCTTCATGACCAGCAAATCTAGATAAATGACGTGGTATCCATTGCCAAGAGCGGCTCGCCCAAAAAAGAGAAGAAAAAAGAGAGGTCTCCGATCGCCCTACGCGTCACAACCAACAGGTGACGAGATAGTGTTCTCATTTACATGAGGATTTTTCAGAGCCGTGGTCATAGCTGTGGCACACGAAACCTCTTTCCTTGCCTTACTTGCGGAAAAACTCGTCGTGGAGTCCGTCAACGTCAATTCGGGCATCAGTACTCTTGTGCAAGGATTCCGAGCTCTGGTCAGTGAATATTCACAGAGCAGGCCCGAAATTTGAAGAACCTAGAAAACGTTATCCAAATCTTTCTCATAGACCTTGTTCGCTACTAATCGAGACTCTTTTTTGGAGCAATTTTCGTTTTGTCCGATCACCACGTCATTAGAATTCACCCAAAAGAGAAGTAAAATTGGCCTGTTCATTTCTGTAGGGGAAATAGACGACTCAGGTGAAGTCGGAGGGTGATTGTTGGCCGCTAAAAGGGAGAGGCTCAAAAAAGGCCTTAGAAAAGTCCCAAAAAGAGTCCCTTAATGGAGCTTTTCATTTTTTCTGGCATTTTAGACGACCAAGAAATGGTAGAAAAAGGCAGCAAAAATGGTGCACAAGGGCCGAGAAAATGGCTCAAAAAGACAGTAAAAAGGATCCTTATGGGAGTTTTCAGGTTTGTGCGTCGAGAGAAGACGTCGTGGACGTGAATGGCTTCCGAACGGTGACCAGAGAAGACATCGTGGCGCCACAGCCACGAGAAGTGTCGCCCTCCCGCCGTTGGAATCAGTCGGAACGCGATCGGCAAGTCTTTTCTGTCCGCTACCAAACAAGGATTGAATTTAAGGTCCTATACCGAAAAAAGAGAAGATCAGACCGAGAAACTGGAGAAGACTATACGGCTGGTTCGTTTTCTATAGACGCGAGTCAGTTTTTCCGAATTTTTAGTGTTCCACAATCGATGAGTTCCGCTTCGCACTCAACTACCGATCTCCAGTTATCACGGAGCTTCGTTTCTTTTTTAGCTGCCACGTCTTCATTTCCTGGTCCCCAATCCTTCATCTGATCCTCCTTCATGCCCGCAAAGTCACTCAGCAGTTTTCCTCCTGAGCATTATCAAAATATTAAGAGAAAACTTCAGAGCGTTTCCCTCAGCTTCTCCAGATGGATCAGCGAAAAGAAAAGTTCCTCGCAAATCGCACTTTTACTTGTGCGCGAATGGGCCCGTTGAAGTCGAGATGCAGCTGGCGAGAAGCCATCGGTTTGATCGAATCTTGGCCTTTTTTCGAGCTTTTTCTTTGAGGATCCTGTGGCAGGGCGATTCTCTCAACTTCCAACTGATCGAAGGACAACTCACAACTTCGACCAACCAACTTAAAGTTGTTCTGAACTCACTTTGTATCATAACTGCGGTGGTAAAAACCAAATATCCTAAAAAGATTCAAAAAAAGGGTTCAGAATGTGATGATCTGCAGCCGACCTTCGGACGAAGCAATGACCGCCTCCAGAATAGCCTTCGCGTCACTCGATTCTGAAGTCAACAAGGTGTTTTTTAAAGCATAGGCTTTAAAATTGAACCCATTATGTAGGTATGGACGTGGGCGGCTGAAAAGCTCCACTATCGTCTTCCTTTTGAGTTCAACTTTGCTCAAGTTTTTGATGAGGTTTTCCTTTAAAAGTCCACTTAGAGAATATTTTTCAGTTTGTGAATATTTTCAAATGGATCAAACTGGTGCATGAGGTGAAAAAGAAACCGTTCACGGCAGAATCTCCTCTTCCAAGTGACATTCGCATCGAGTTCAAGGTGTTTCTCCACACTTTTGATCCACGATCGGACTGATAATGTCTCATTAGGAAGTGATACTCGAATTGGAAGACGACGACTTTGAAACGAGGCTGCAGCAGAGCCATGAACTCAAGCAAGACGAGGTCAAACTCTACGTGATTCTCAGAGTTTACCTGTGGTTCCAGGTTTACGAATGCGAGCGCCGAAGCCAAATTCTTCAAGAACGACTGATCGCCTTGAAAAAAACAGTTCCGCTTATTTCCAGTAAGTAATCTCTCACTTGGGATGTTAATTCATTGGCACCTGGAGGGTTCTCTCTAGGGACCACTAAAGCTTGCAAAAATGGTCCCTCTAGGGGTTTTAGTTAGTGGCCCCTATAGGGAACAAGCTGATCGATAATTTTTGTGTACTCAATGGAAAGAAGCGAAAAATTAAATAAATAAGCGTTTTTTCAATGAAATTGAAAGACCCCTATAGGGGCCACTCAAGCTTCAGAGGCTAAGGGTCAGACCCTAAACCCCTAAAGGGACTTCCTTGATTATACCCCATATAGGAATCACTTTTTCGGCCTCTATAGAGCTATTCTTCCCCCTAAACCCTATAGGAACCACTCTGGAATTCCTAAGGAGTATAACCGAGGTCCTATCCTGATATTAGTGATAATCAGTGGACTGGTTTCAGAGACATGTCCGCCCTTGTGATTACTAGGGATTATGAAGCCCAGGTTCACAACCTGTTGCGCTACACCCCCATAGGATAATCGAATATTAGAATAAATTCTCCTTCCCAACGGAGTCGTTCAGAGGAGACTATCGATGAGATTATGGCGAGTCTGCTGCAGAAGAACAGCGAAATCTACATCCAACGGTGGAACCGGACAGAACTGGATCAGAGGTTCGTTTTGTCCCCACTTTTTCTACGTCTGTTCCAGACCCTTGTTCATTTCGAAGTGGACTGGCTGGAGCATGAGAGCTTTTGCGGATAAATCGCTCCACGGCACTGATAGATGCGTCGAACTCATGAAAATTTTCGATCCTCTTAGGTATTCGCCTTCTTGAACCCTTTTTCGAAGGACTTTCAGTGAATTCCCCGAAGATGGACTCCAGTTTTCGACCTTGTGGGCTCGCGCCGTAGAGTTCGACCTCGATGAGTGGACCATCAATTTCAAGGTGCCGCGAGGGCTTTCAATAATCCTCCACAGTTCTTTCAGGACTACTCGATGAAGTATCTTGACGCGAAAGATTTGCATTTCTTCGGGACTCTGGTGGGCGCCGAGACGTTCCAAGGTCTGTGTCTGACTTCCTTAAAAATGGTTTTATCGCACTTGTATTAACAAATACCTCAGGTAAAAGGCTCAAAAAACTCAGGTAACAGGTAGTTAAGAAGCTTCTGCTTCCGGTTCCTCGGAAGGCGTTTGGAAACTGTCCAGCAAGGGGTCAAAATTCTTCCATATACCTTTCCAAAACTTCTACTTACCTTCGAGTGCTGGAAGGTTTCTGGCAGGCATTTTCACTTTATTACCTTTCAAAGACCATCCAATAACCTTCTGAACACCTTACCAAAGCCTTCTCTAGGACTTCTAGAGTTCTTTGACTTTTCAACCACCTGCTGGTTACCTTCCGAACACCTTCCCAGGAATCGCCTGAGTATAGTCCGTTTTCCGCGATTTGAAAGAGCGGGACTTCTCTGCGCCCTCTTCGTCTCTCGACGACCCTCTGTTTTTGACGCGCTATTTTTGCGTTTCTGTGACCTCGCCGGCGAGGGAACAGAGAGACGCAGACACGGGAAAACTGTCGTGGCGAACGGACTCAGTGAAATATAGTCTGTTCAGATTTTGAATGTCAAGTTCTCGCTCAAGCTCCGCCTCCTAATGAAAAAAAAACCAATCAGAGAGCGAGCCATGCGCAGAGCTTTTCGAATGACGTCATTCTACTTGACATTCAAAAACTGAACGGACTATATTTTTGTACCTCGATTACTTTTTTGAAAGTTTGATATGAGTACCACAATCCAAAAATCTTTGAAAATCAGAGCAAGAGAGAACGATGGAACAAACAAAAGAACCGTTGGAAGCGAAGGTTGAACGAATTTCAGAAGGCGGCCGTTCTTTGCGCGAATCGTCCATTCCAGTGCCTTCTCCGTGGTCAACCCACGTCATCCAACGGAACATGTCCCCTCTGAAGTTCTACTACGACCTCCAGTGCGGTGAGACCTGGATCGAATGTAGGAGAGATTAAGGCGTTTCTCAGCGAGTACGGAGTTCACTGCGACCTACGGACCTTGTTGGGAGCCATGTCTGTCGATGATCTCCCTCAACTGGAACAACATCTCGGCTCCGTCCAAAGATCCGTCTCCTCCTCTACCTTTCTGGGATAAAATGCGACTGCTCCTCCATGGACGACTACTCTGGTCCAGTGAAAAGGTACATTTTCAAGTAGACATGGTTTCCATTAATTACTAGGATGCTTGTTTTCGTATATAGCTTATATAGCAGAAGTATAAAAAACGGATAAAAAAACTTCAACGTCTTTTATTGAACCTTGAAAGTTAGCGCTGTTCTGTGAGGGGCAACCTTAGGAGCCCTTGAAGGGTCCCTTCTAGGGACCTCTGAAACTTGCGAAAGTGGTCTTTATAGGGGACGTGCTAATCAATAATTTTCATCAACTCTAAGCCAAGAAGAATTGACATGCAAAAAACTAAGAAAAAAACCCTCTTCGAATAAAATTGAACGACCCCTTAAGGACCACTTAAGCTTTAGAGACCCTAAATCCCTATAGGGGCCACTTTTTCGGCCACTAAACCCTTATAGGGACAACTCTAAAATTCCTAATCCTGGCATCAGATGGTGACGACGATGCTTGCTTCTACGGATCCATACAACGAAACAGAAACGGTCGAATGGTGTTGGGACGACTTCGGGCTGGACTGGGCTTTGGGAGAAGTTCGGGTCAAGTCTGGTCTACGGGTCTTCATGAGGACTGCTTCGCGCTACGACGATTCCCGAGTTTTGATGCTGCCCGATGTTCGGCTCAAGATCTTACTAGGTGTGGGAGAATATAATTGTGTTTCTTAGTGTGGGATTCAGGTTGGGTTTGTGCTGGAGATCCGAATGACCACCATTCCGTTGTATACTGCTCTCCTCAACGACTACCTCATTATTCCTCCGTGAGGCAAACGTGACCTAAAACATCATTTTCCGAATGTCCCAGGTGGATCAACACGACTCCTTCCGCTCGTTTCGTTCTTCTAGCGTCAACGTCACCTTCAACTTTGAAGTGTCCCCTGGAAGTTGCACTTCTGCGGAGAAAATGCCCAACGTCCTTCTCTATGCCAACACCTTCAGGTGTATCGAACAATTATTGGTAGATCTCCGAGTTGATTTGGAACAGCTCTTATATCATTTGCAGAAAACTTTGACGATGAAAAATCGAAACGTTCGCAGAGGAAGAGTTTTTGGCAACTGGGCACTTCTGAAGCCGCAACTGAGCAAGCATTTCGGGTAAATTTTTTTTTTCGAATTTTTTCCAGTTGCAAAATTTTTTTGGCTTTGAGTATTGAGAAATAAGTACAATCAAAATGGAGTTTTCAAAGAAATTCAACTTTTTTTTTTAGTTTTTCAAACAATTTTATAGTCGATTCATGGATAGCTTGGGACTCCAAAGGGGCGTGGCCTGTCTGCCTCTCCACCAGCCAGGCACTATCTCTTTTTTTTTCGTGTCAGGACCCTTTTTTTTAGCCGTGAATCAGCTGTACTTAGCTTTCATATGGGGGCTTTCTTGAATCTAGACTTTCTCAAATGCTTGTTTAAAAATCCTCGATCATCGTATTAAAGGTCATGCAAAACTTCTGCGCCTTTAAGTATCCACCGAATGGATTTTGTACAAAAACAAAAAGTTTCAGGTGCATTTTTTGCAGTTCAAAGTTTTCAGAAAAATGCAAGTCTCCGTCACACTTCCAAAGTTCTTTGTGACTTACTGGATGTCGCACTCCTCGGCCTTCGGATTCCGTGTCTTCTCCGACGGACTTCAGATGACGGCTTCGTTCCGTCAGTCAGTACAGCACTCGTCATTGAATCGTGTAGGCTGGCTTTTTCTCCACGACGAACAAAACTCTGACCTCCAGGAGATGAACGTCCGTCGGCGGAAGGTCTATTCCTGGGAGGTGCAGCACATGACCTGCACCCTCTGGGCCACGCAAGTCCACGTCTACGGAACCACGTCGGCGCCGCCTCCAGACGGTGTTCCTATCGACGAGACCTTTCTCCTGGGCTTCAGTCGAGTTCAGTACGCAAGAGAGACCTACCCCGGCAAGGAGAAGGAGACGCCCGTCCACAAGCTCACCGCCTACGACCTCAAAGTTTCCAACAAAAAATTCATTCATGAGAAAAATCATCAGATGTCGTGGACTGCCGAGAACCGCAATTCTTGCTTGACTATTGCCGACGGCGTTCATCGAGCCCACATGTTAAGGAGGATTCTGAGTAACGACGCCGTGAAAATTCTCAACGTTGGTCTTTTATGCTGCTTTTTTCTGCAGATCGAGCTTTTCAGGTGCATCTGGAAGAGGAGGAGGCGTCGAGAAGAGAGAAAAAGGTGGCTGAATTGAATCGGGAACGCGAGGAAGCCAACAAAGTTTGATGGTCGTGTTGATCGTAGTTAATATTCTGAATGGAAGGCACATCGTCGAGGCTACAGCATGAGCGACGCCAACCAATGGATGCTGACGCAACTCATCGAGGAGGCCGGCACCAAACTCGTCGCTCACTGTGAACAGGTCCTTGCAAAGAGAATATTGTTGAGGAAGTCGGAAATTTATCTGTTTTGGCGAACCACTGCTCAGCTATGTGAAGAGTTCTGTTTCCAATAAGGAGGACCAGTTTTACCTGAGAAAGCATAAGTTCGGATTTCAGTCGTTTCGGTACTGTATTTTTTCTGATTCATACCTTGTATAAACGGAGTTCAGTTAGAAGCTTCGGTATGAAAGACCCCGATTCCTAGAAAAAAAACTATGGAAACGGAAGGTTGAACAGAATTTCCGGTAAAGCTGATTAACGGATGGCTTGAGCAATAAAAAAGGGTCCTGACACGATAGGAAAAAAGGCAGTGCCTGGCTGGTGGAGGGCGCAGAAAGGCCACACGCCCCTTAGCGTCCCAAGTTAGCCGTGACTCGGCTATATCATTCCCATCGGCTGCATTTTGGGAAGTTCTCAGGCGACGGACGTCCCGATCGACTCGCTAGTGGGAGTGCAGCAGTGTACGGCGGATGACGTGCGACTTCTCAACTGGCAAGTCGACTTGTTCAACAGCCAACTCGTGCTCAAGGGCTGCGAGAGAGACGGCTTCCTGCTGGTCTCTGCCGCCAAAGCACAGCTCCTCCAGAATGTCCGTCCCGACCCAGTCCCTCTTTAATTTCCGCCCTGTTTCTAGGTTCATCGAAGCGTTTGGCGTAGCGGACTGCTCTTGAGCAAGAAGTCGTGGAGCGCTTTGCTCTCAGGAATGCAGGTATAAACTTCTTCTCTTCCAAATTTTGAGATACATTTTAGTACTTTGCTCCCATCTCGGTCACTGGAGAGAATAAGCAGAAATTTCGATGGTTGCCACGAGAGGTTTATTTCGATCCAAACAGAATTAGGGATCTTTTTTTCTCCTGTAGGTGATAGAAGAGAGGGTGCAAGACACTGGTTTCGCCGACGATTTCGTTCAAAAGTTCTCCGCTTCTGGGGAAGCCGTCGGCGGCGTCGTTCAACCTGGTGAACCACTCTCCTCGGATAATTTTCCATTGTTTCATTTCAGAAACATCGAATGGAGAAAAGTCGCAACTGCAACGTATCGTGTCGCGTTGCAGCTGCCAAATATACTTTTGCTACTTTTCCGATGAACTGAAAACCGAAACCAGCGAAGATATAGCTGTTCCGAAGGTCTCCTCTCGAAAAGTTTGAGGGAAAAGCCGTGAGTTTTAGGTTGAAGAGAGCAAAAGAGTGATGGCTGCTGATGAAATCGGAGTCGATTGCCTCACGTTGAAGCACAACATGCTGGAAGCAACTAGCAATTCAGAACAGGTAATGGAAGGGCTGCTTTAAAAGTGCACCCGACCACTAACCGACTTGCGCGCGACCCTTTGTTAAAGTCTAGGGGATTAGTAGAAATTATTAATCGTCGCCATAAAAAGTTGCACTAATAAAAGAAAAAATGATGTGCTTAGAGCTTTGGTAACAACAGAAAATATTTAAAATTGAAAAAAGCGAAAATTCGAGCGTGTTGTCCAAAGAGCAACTTTACTGCAGAGCGCCCTTTTGCGGGAAATCAAATTTTTTCCTCTCCGACTTTGAATTCTTTCTTGCCAAGGAAGTTCTGTACGTCTCCAAATAAATCATTCGATTATCAATGAAAGGCTCTAAAAAGTACTTCTTTCAACTGAAACAACTTTTTTGAACTTTTTTTTCAGTATGAAATGGTCGTCGACATTGTCAACAATCTCGTTCTCTTTGTCGACCCAAATAAAAAGGTTTTTTTCCCCAAAAAATCACCATCCTTTCTTCGATTTCTTCCAGGAACTAGCCGAAAAACGACGAAGGCTTCGTTTCGAGTCGCAGATTATGGACATGGGGGAACTTCGACAGAAAATTATGCGATTTCAGGTTATAAAAGCTGTCCAGAGATCCCATTTTAATACAATTTTTACAGTCGGACTTGCGAGAAATCGTCTCGGTTGTGAGGTACTTGGAACGCCAGATATTTTACCTTCATCAGGAGCAGGAACCGCAAAACGTTGGTTTTTGGGCAATTGAAGATATATAGGAGCTCCAGAGTGGTCCCTATAGGGGCAACCTTAGGGCCCTTGGTGGGTATTTCTAGGGACCACTTTACCAATCTTCATAGGGCCACTGAAGCTGGCAAAAGTGGTCCCTATAGGGGAATGCTAGTGAAGAAGCATTTCTATGGGAAAAACTGGATAAATAAGCGGATTTTGAATGAAATTGAAGGACCCCTGTAGGTTCCACTTGAGCTTTAGGGGCTAATGGGTCAGATCCTAAACCCCTATAGGGACCACCTTGGTTTTACCCCTAAAGGAACCACTTTAGCTTTAGGGGCTAAGGGGTCAGACCCTAAGCATCTATAGGGCCCACCTTAATTTCATCCCTAAAGAGACCACTTTTTCGGCCCCTATAAGGGTTTTTCTCCTCCCTAACCGCTATAGGGACCACTCTGGAACTTCTAAGATAATACGTTTAAACTTTGAAAATCGGGCACCTTTTGTAGGACGACAGTTCTCTGAGTGAAGATAGGAGAAAAAGTATTGAAACTGAAATGGAGGAGAAAAAACAATTGATGCTCGTGGTGTCGGATCAGCTGGCCACCTACATTAGGTTCGTTCTAACTTGAAATCGTAGTCGAAAAAGGCTTTTTTCAGTTGTTTCAAACAGCGACAGGTGAATGCGTCCAAGGCTGAGGTGCAGGAAATGGAAACGGACGCCTCCGCGCCGCTCGTTCGTCGCTTCGAGGTGATCCTGCTAGATTCAAATTCCGTGTCTCGATTTGTGTGAAATACGAAGAAATTTATAGGATTTTTTTTAACAAACCAAGAGGAAAGTTTGAGTATCTAATATTTACCGATGTTTTGTATCATGGACTTGAAAGGCGAGGTTAGCAGGAGTGAAGCGTTGCGTGTGCGATGCGGCTTTTGGCGGGGACCTTGAGGTCATAGGTAATCATCTCTCATGCTTATTCACGGCTAGCTTGAGAAGCAAAAAGGTGTGGCCTATCTGCACTCTCCACTAACCAGGCACTATCTCGTGCATTATCCTGTCAGGACCCTTTTTGATGGCTCAAGCCAGCCGTGAATCAGCTATAGCTCAGCCGTGCTAAAACGGGGTCTCAGCTGGTGTTTGACCTCGGGATCCCCGCCAAGAGCCGCCTCGCACACGCAACGCTTCAACCTTGCCTATCAACCTATCTTGCCTTTCGAGTCAGGAAAGATTAACTAAAAATTTTCAAATAGTTGTAAATGATTGGATTTCAAACGATTTTGTTCCGAATGAGCTCCTCTAACTGAAAGTTCAAGGTGTGCTTCGAAGACTGCATCTGGAAGTTGACTGAAAATGACGGTCAGATCGCCCTGGCTCAAACGCAAATTCGCAACTTCCTGTACACTCGGACGATTCGCATGGAGAATTCAGGAGAGCACCTGTTCGAGATCGGCTCCATCCGCGTCACCAACTTGTTGCCTGAGGCTACCTACCCTCACACCTTACATCGGTTCGTTTTTGCTTCCCGGTGACCTTGAAGTTGTAAGGCTTGGAAGAAATATTTTTGAATTTCGTATTGAAAGAATATTTAGAATAGTATGTTTAAGTTAATCTTTAGAAAAGAAAGGTAGAGTTCATATGGTTATCAGATCTCTCTTTGATACAAAACAGTTTTTTTTTTGGCAAGTTCAGAGGAACCATACTTAGAAACTCCAGAGTGGTCTTTAAAGGGGCAACTTTAGAAGCCGTTGGAGGGTCCCCTCTAGGTAGTGGTCCCTCCTCTAGCGCATTTAACAACCCCTATAGGGGTCACTAAAGCTTGCAAAAGTAGTCCCTCTAGGGGTTTTTTGGGGAGATGATAATCGATGATTTTTATGTACTCTTTGCAAAAAGGATTTCCATGGCAAAAGCTGAATAAATAAGCGTTTTTTAAATGAGAACGAAAGATCCCTATAGGGACCTCTTTTTCGGCCCCCATAGGGGCTTTTTTCTCCCGAACCTATAGGGGTCAAACTTCCTGAGTAGCAAGACTTCATAACTCTCAAAGCAAGAAACATGTTTCAATGATTTTATATATGACGATGCACCTTTTAGTCCTAGTAAAGGATTCTTACTGTGTGACTAAACCGAATGAAAGTGTTCCATGGTAGCTGATCAAATCTGAGATGCACAAAACCTTCACTCTTCGCAATTAAGCGACGACTCGAAACATTTGGGACAACCGGCAATCCGTCTTTTCGTGCGCGACATGCCCCCGGTCGGCGGCATCTGCGTCAAAGAACACTTCGAGCTGAACATCTCGCCGATGGTGGTCGGCATCACCCATCGGCTCTTCGACAAGATGATGCAGTTTTTCTTCCCGGGCCGCAACATTCACAACCAGGAGAACTTGGATTCCAACGAAGGAGAGGCTTCGAAATTCTCATTCACTCGTCGGATCGCCAACACCTGGAGCATGCGAAGCAACAAGAGTCAGAACGAGAAGAAAGTTTCCTACCTGGGAAAGGTATGGTTTTTGGGAAACGCGAAACCGGGTCATTCCAGACTGGAGACGTCAAGGATGACATCGACCGGATGCGTGAACGTGCCGACCAGATCAATCACTTTTTGTACATAAAAATCCCGGAAGTTTCTTTCGTCGTTTCTTATAAGGTTAGTCAATCAGTGGGCGTGATAATTACTTCCATTAGGAAACATTTCCCCCAGTTGAACTTTTTGATGAAAGCTTCAAAGACCGCGAAATTGACAAAAACGCTTTTTCAAGGTTTTGAAGCGCCTTGGGTCGGGAACTTCTCATAGGTATCATTTCGAAGCTTTTATGCGTTGAAAAATTCAAATTCTTATTTTAATTTCAAAGCAAAAAAAAGTAAAACGAGATGTATGCGTTTTTCCAAATTTCTTTCATCCTGGGAAACCATCCTCTGTAGGGAAACAAGGAGAAAAACTTGACCGACGTCGACCGCTTCAACTTTCTGTTCCCCCTGTGCGAGTTCCACGAGAAGAACTGGACGTGGCTCGACCTGGCGCTGGCCGTCAAGCAGCGGTGCAAAAGAGTCCTACTCCAACAGGTGCGAAGCTTCATCCTATTCAAATTCCTCCTTATTTGCAGTTTATGCGTCAAAAACTTTTGCGTAATCGGCTTACGGGCGGACCAGAATCGCCATTACCTCAGGGCTTCACTGAAGAAGAGAAGAAACGAATCGCCGTCGGCATGGTTCGTTTCCAATTAATAGAACATTTCCATTCGATGTTTTTTCTCTAAAACCTCGTTTCCAAAAGGCTTCCCGATAATATAAACATTTTCGTCTATTCCCATCTGGTATTTTCAGACGAGCGCCGTGGAGAAGAAGCGAAAGAAATGAGCTTTACAATTTCTCAGAGCTTTCCATCGAAGTTTGATCTGATTTTTGAGCTTTTCTGTTCTTGTGCAATTTTCGTCATATTCATCTCACTTTCATGATCTCATCATTTAGGGAAACTTTGTTTACAATCAACACAATGGGTATTTTACAGCTTGAATAATACTGGGAATTTTGTGATATTTTTCAAAGGCAATGAAAAGTTTAACATTTCTTTTCGATTCCAAACGATTTTTCGAACGAACTGTTCCAAACGACTTCCTACCTTTATGTTTGCAGTCAAATCGAAATTTCCCGCTCAGCCACGTTATCGAATGCTTTGTCCAAACGCGGTCAGCGTGTGTGGCTCTCTTTTCCAAAAATTTTCCGTTTCCTTTCCACCTCATAAAGAATTTGTTTCAATTCAGATGTTAGCGCCTCTAATAGCTTTTTTGTGTGTCACGGGTGCCTTTGCTCAGCAAGATCAAACTCCCAAAGGGCCAAAGGTCACTGATAAGGCTAGTACACCCTTCTCAATACTCTTGATTGATACAATGATTCCAGGTTTGGTTCGACATCGAAATTGGAGGCAAATCAATCGGTCGTATAACCATTGGCCTTTTTGGCAAGACTGTTCCCAAAACTGTCGAAAACTTCATTGGACTTGCCAAGAAACCTAAGGTTTTGGATTATAACACATTTTTCAAATTATTGGATATATTTATGAAGTCACTTTGTTCTCATCGTTTTATATTTCACGGCTTTTTTATTAGTGGAAGAAAATGCAAAACCAAAAATAAGTTGGGCGTAATCAAAATATCTACCGTTCCCATGTGACGTTATGGGAAACAAGCGTAAAATACAGGAAATATTGAAGGCGCATGTTCAATGGGTCATGAGACGAATCGATTTCTCATTTGAAAGAAAAAAAAACGCAATTTTTCTGTTTCCATATTCAAAGTAGTTTCGTGGAATTCCAAATAGCCGCCAGAGAGTGAAAAATAAAACTAAATTCGGAAATTCAGAGATGGTTTTGAAAATTACTTCGAACACTGCATGTGCGAGAACGCCGTAGTGCATGCACACGACACACTACACTTTACGGAAAAAAGTATACGCCGTCAAAAAAAAGTCGTGATTTGGTCATTTGCTCATACAGCATTCCAAGCCAGTAAAATCTCAAAATATGCTTCTGTTTTGAAGGGCGAAGGCTATGTTGGAAGCAAATTCCACCGCGTCATCACGGATTTCATGATCCAAGGAGGCGATTTCACGCGTGGTGACGGAACCGGTGGCAGGTCAGTATTTGAGAAGAATTACTGCGCAATGATAGAAAGATCAGATCGATCTACGGCGAGAAGTTCCCCGACGAGAACTTCAAACTGAAGCACTACGGCGCCGGTTGGTTGTCGATGGCCAACGCCGGCAAAGACACCAACGGCTCGCAATTCTTCATAACGGTCAAGAAGACGAGCTGGCTGGATGGTAGACATGTCGTCTTCGGAAAGGTTTTGTTGCACTATCGAATGAGGACTTCTTGGTTTTCTCAGGTGTTGGAAGGAATGGACGTCGTCAGAAAAGTCGAAAACACGGAGAAAGGAGCCAATGATAAGCCGGTCGAAGACATCACCATTGTTGCCGCAGGCCACATCGTCGTAGACCCTCCCTTCGCCGTCGAAAAATCCGATGCCAATTAGATAATCATCACTTCTATTTTTCTTGTAAATTCATGCTTATGCCAAAACAACGGTCCTTTTAACTTATTCTGATCTTCATATCCCGTAACTCGTACAACAAAATAACTCAACAACATCAGGAGAAAAGAAAAGTTAAACTTAAATTTTGCTCCTCTTTTGGTCATTCTTCCTCCCACTCGCCTTTCAGCCGTTCTCGGATTCCGAGGCCGATGAGTGCAGCCAGAGCGGCTACCTGTTCGGCCATCCGGACGTTCACCTGTCCAATCTCTGAGCGAAATCGTCTCTCCTCCACCTCGATGGTCGCCACGTAACGCTTGTCCTCACGTTTCGTCTGTCCAATGAGCCTTATTAACGAGAAATACTGAGCCACCGACCAAACTATAGACGGGCTTGGGAAGTCTCTTTTCGCCGCAGTAGTCGTTGAGGACCTGTTTGGGCGTCGGTACCGCTTGTCGCGCCGTTTTCAATTTTTTCCTGAGTGTCAAGATAAGTTATGAGGCCGGCCGAGATCCTCACATGGGGAAGGTCACTTCGATCAGTGTGGTCCCATCTTCGGTCACCCGGGCTTTCCGTTTACAACATCTTCTTTGACGGTCGCGGTGCCATTCCTGAGATGAAATTAAAACAATCTTAAATCCAGTACATCAAAGGGCATTTTCTAAAATGCGCAATGCTAAAAATTGGGAAAAGTGAAAGGAAGTTCAAAGTAACCTCGTAGACTTGCTCCTTTCCCCAAGCGCGGCAGATCTCCAAGACACTGCCGGCACAGACCGTCTTCCGGCCACGCGGATCGTATTCCTGATCGGCGCCGAGGATCCTCTGCACCACGTATTTGGTCATCGTGTAGCTCTCGTCGTACTTGCAGGCCTACCAATCTTCTCGATTAATTGTGCAGCTCACGATGGAGTGAGATGAACTCTGGTCCGACCTGCTGTGGTAGATATCGGAAAACTTAGGAACTCCAGAGTGGTTCCTAAAGGGGCAGCCTTGAGGGCTCTCGGAGGGCCCCCTCTAGGGGCCACTAAAGCTTGCAAAAATGGTCGCTTAAGGGATTTCAGTTAGTGGCCCCTATAGGGGACCACTTACCACAGAAGTTTGGACCAGATCCGCGGTGTTCAGTAGAGACTTTTTCGTCAAAAAACACCACCTTGTCCAGGAATGCTTCAATATCTTTGTCCTTTTCGAGGACGCCTTCTCTTCGGAAAATCGACGGCGTCGCGAGGGCTTTTCTTGCGAGCATTACCGAGCTGGCGCCGGTCTGAACACGCCATTTCTCGATGTCTTCGTAGCAGTCGATTTCCCCCGAAACGCCACTAAAAGCGCAGAATCATTAGAAATATAGCCACGAATCGTACTTGGTAATGATGGGAATGGAGGTGACTGTGCGTGCGACTTCTCGTATTTCCTCGATTCTTGAATAAAGTGACTTGGAATGAATATTCAAGCCAAGAAAAACCTGCACTTATCAGGGTTCCTCTCTTCTCTCCGACGTCCATGAACCCCTAAAGCAGCCACTCCGCACTTTTCGATCTCTCGCACCAAGTTGAGCGTGTCACTGGGCTGTCAAGATACAACGGTGATGATCCGAGGGTGAGCCGAAACTCACGTCATCCAGAACCCGGATCTTGCAAGAAACGGGGATTTCTGCAGCTTGAACTAGGGAAGTCAGGATCTGAAAAAAGATCTTAGGAAATTCAGAGCGGTCCCTATAGGGGTAGGGGAAAAAGCCCCTATAATGGCCGAAAAAGGGGTCTCTTCACGGGGTAAAACTAAGTTGGTCCCTATAGGGGTTTAGGGTCTGACCCCTTAGTCCTTAAAGCTCAAGTGGAAACTATAGTGGTCTTTCAATTTATCCAAAAAACGCTTATTTCTTCAGTTTTTTCCATGGAAATGCTTCTTCGCTCAAAGTTCGCAACCATTATCGAGTGGCATATCCCCAAAAGGGGCCACTAATTGAAAACTCTATAGGGACCACTTTTGCAAGTTTTAGTCGTCCCTCTAAGGGTTGGTAAAAGGGGCAATACAAGGGCCCCTTAGACTGTCCATATAGGGACCACTCTGGAGTTCCTAAGATATATCAAAGCATTCAAAAGTGGTCCCTAGAGGGGACATGCTCGTCGATAGTTTTCATGAAATTTCCATGCGAAAAACTAAACATATAACCTTTTGTGAATAAAATCGAAAAACCTCTATAGGGGCCACTTAAGCTTAAGGAGCTAAGGGAACAGACCCTTAACCCCTTTAGGGACCACCTTGATTTTTCCCTCATAGAAACCACTTTTTCGGTCTCTAACCTCTATAGGGACCCCTCTGGAATTTTGAATCTCTAAAAATCAACTATTTTTCTCCTATTCTGTCAGATCCTTTCGAATCGGCTATAAAAAGAAGATCGAAATCACGTCTTTGATCTTGTCGGTCTGCCTGAGAAGGGCGGCGCCCATGCCGGCGTGCACTGAGAAAGGCTTGGGACAGCCCATGTTGACGTCGATCGCAGCGACGTCCGTCTGTCTGAAGACAAGTCTTCAGGTTGAAGCCGGAGAGCGAACATGTCTACACGAATTTGGCGACTCGCGCCGCGCTCTCGCCGTTGTTCGTGCCGATCTGCAGGACACACCGTCCCCGCTCTTCTGGAGCTATCCGCAGGACGATGTCGTCGCCGTTTTTATAGTCGATAGTGCCGACAGCATCTTAAACCCCGTTCCCTAGCGACCTTATTCCATATCCTACCGTTTAGAATACGCTCACAAGAGAGAAGTTTGTGGTCGACGATTTCTTCAGTGTAGCAAAGGTCGGCGCCATAATCCAGCGAGAGAATCCTGAAACTTCAGAGTTCAACTGTACAGAGACGAGGTTAAAATGGTTTACTTTGGTTTTACGTGAACAGTAGCACTTTTCAGGTAAACTTATTTATTTTCGATGCGATAATGGGGCTTGAAAAGGAAATAACATACTTCAACTTCTTAGGATCTCCAGAGCGGTCCCTGCAGCGGCCCTTGGAGGCTCTCTCTAGGAACCACTTTACAAACCTCTTTACCGCTAAAGCTTTAAAAATGATCCCTTAAGGGGCCCCAGATAGTAGCCCCTATAGGGGACATGCTAGTCGACAATTTTTATAACCTCTCTGCGAAGGAGCATTTCCATGGGAAAAAAACTGAATAATTAAAATAAACATTTAAAAAAATCCCTATAGGGACCACTTGAGCTTAAGGGGCTTAGAGGTCAGACCCTTAATTGCTAGAGGGATCACCTCAATTTTACCCCTCTAGGGACCACTTTTTCGGCCTAGGTTTCCACAATATAGTCAATGAACTGAGATCAAAAAAAAAATACTACTATTTCAACTCTTCCTTACTAGAGTGGTCCCTACAGGGGCAACTTATGGTTTCCTTTGAGGGTCTTCTCTAGGGACCACTTCCTCAACCCCTATAGGGGCCACTAAAGCACATATGTCAAGGGCAGCACCTCAAAGGAGTTCTTCCGGCTCGAACCATCGGAGCGAGAATCGTCTTCTTTGTGTACAGCGCCGTCCCAGACTCCATCTGATCTTCCATTTCACCTTATATAGATAGAGAAACCAATTCATGTACTTGTCTAGCTTCTTACTCAATACACTAACAATTAAAACAAATTTCGGAATTTTTTTATTTAAATGATAAAAAGTATTACAAGGCAATGAGAAAAGGTAAAAGCACACGCACACCTCAGACATATTGTCGAAAAGCAATATAAATGATGAAACCACTGATAAATCAATATAAAAAGGCCTAAATGGAAAAGAAGGGAATTACGATAAAAATGGTACAATGTGTACAATTTGAAGGACGAGGAGACTTTTGATTGGAGAAGATGGTTAAAATATGAGGCTGGGGTTATATGTACAGCTATGAGGTGAGTAGTTTCCAAGCAGTTATTCTTGCATCGCGACGCCGTTCGTGTCGTTCGTCGGCTCGACGGTGTCGACTTTTTCTTTTTCCTCAGGGGGGAGCTCCATTTTTAACTGCAATGAAGTTCGTTTTGACCGTTTCTATACATAAATTTCATGCCGTGTTCATCGGAAAACACAATTTTTCCATTCAAAATTTTTTTTCAATCTTTAAATGAAAAGGTTTTGGTACCTTAACTCAATAATTCGCTCCATTGGGGGTGGAAATAAGTGAAGGTCATCGGAGTTTAAGATCGATAACTATTCACTTTCTATGTGAACGGAAACGTTGCTATTAAATTTTTATAAAAGATAGCAGTCATGAATTATAATATAATGAAAAGCAAGGAACGATCAAAGCATAATTTCTGAAATACTCTAACAAAAGTTGCGGTGCACCCTGCCTCGAACCAACGGTGCACCCCGCAGAGTAACCAGAGGTGTACCCCGCTTAGTTTTAAATGCCTATTAAGGTACTTATTCCGTACACGACTTTCAAGTGGTTTGTTTCCCAATATCACCATTTTATACTGTTTCATCCTGAGCTGTTACGGTAGCTCAAAAACAGCTTTTCATTTCCGCGCGGTTGCCCCAGGGGTGCACGCCATTTAGGTGCACCTCCGGGTAAAATTAACGAAAAATTCACTTTTTCGGGGTTCACTGCGGGTTTCATCCTCATTTTTGTTAGAGTGCCTCAATTCTTTTTCAAGATTCACTTTTTGTTTTCAAAAGGACTGTTCGTTTTTAAAAGTCTAAAAAAGTCCTGATTTGTCACTGATGATATTTTTGTGAATGAAATAAATCATGATTACTATTAAACGGACCATAGTGCGGATTCCAGTGAAGGCGGCGGCAGGAACGCGATAAACTCCCATACGATCTCGAAGTCCACGCCAACCAAGGAACAGTCCGGTGAGCTGAGAATGAGGCGCCCTTCCGTACATTTCTACACGTTTGAGGGTCATAATTAGGTCTGAGACGTCAGGGAAACCATGGATAGCGGCGCTGACACATTTCGCGATGTATTGCCTCTGTTCGACGTTCAGAACTTTCTTGGGCGGTCGGAGCTGGGCCAGGGAGCACAGGGAGATCTGAAAAATGCCAAGATTTTGTTAGAGCCCACAGTTGAGTTTCTAAAGGTGAAAGTTGAAGCCAACCTCTACGATTTCTCGAGTTTCATCCTTCAGGCCAGTGATTTGGGAGGCGAATCTGAAGATCGTGCCGCCGAAGCTGATGAGTTCAGTCATACGCTCCCTGCAAAACTTTTTTTGAATAAATTCAAAGAGCTTTGGATACCGAAACGCGTCAGCGTCAAAATCTTCTGGAGGCGTCAAATGGGTGCTTTTCTTCGATTTCTCTTTTGGTTCCGTTGGAAGGGGTCACTGAAAATTTTTCTTCGATCTATTTTTTAACAAACTGTGCGATATCAAAACGATACTAGATTCTTGATTTCGAAAAGATTCAATAGAATAATTTCTCTCATTTTGAAATGAACCAAAAAAGCAAATATTGCTTAGTTTGTACAAAAATTTCTGTGGAAAACATCACTGACAGTGATTTTTAAACAATTCTCCCGACATTTTTAAGAAATAAAGCTTTTGCAGACCTCCGTCTTGGACAGCCCCAGTGGCTGATTCTTGTCCTGATCGAAAAGTTTTTTTCGGCGATCGGCCGTTTTTGCTCGGCGTCCCTGTGCCAGTGTTCTTGCACCTGAATGGAGTGGACTTTGGAGGAATCGACAGTGAAAAACAACTACAGAAACCATCAAAACTACATTTTCAAATTTTCAGTATCACAATTAGAATGGCGTTGAACAAAATCTAATTGGCTACATAAATTTATTCAAAAATTGCTTCGGAGTTTTCGTGATAAACCCTATAGTGACCGAAAAAGTGGTCCCTATAGGGGTTTAGGGTCTGACCTCTTAGCCCCTAAAGATTAAGTCGTCCCTATAGGGGTCTTCCAATTTTTATTCAAAAAAGGTTATTTGTTTAGTTTTTCGCATGGAAATTTCATCAAAACTATCGACAAGCATGTCCCCTATGGGGGCCCCTTTTGAATGCTATAATGGCTCCTGTAGGAGTGAGTTGTGCCAAAAGAATTACTTGAAAATAGAGGGTCCGCACAAAATATTTTCAGCTTATTTATAGATTCTGATTCTTTAAGACTTTCATAACAAAAAAATATGTCCTTCATTAAAAAGGAGTCAAAAGGTAGCCTGAATAAGTACAAGATTTTCACTTATCTGGTTTAAAAAAAACCAACTTTTCTGCGTGACGCCGAGTGACCGCGGGCGATTTTCGGGCCGGCGAAGCGTCCAACTTGTCTCTGCGGAAAGTCTCTGCAGCCAACGAATACTTTCGTTCAAGTGAAACGAATAAAAAACCTTCTTTGGACCTTCCGCGTTTGTGGGGATTGCTGACAAGGCTCTTCTTGACCTCGTCGATCTCGCTGACCTTGCTGGTCGACGGAGCGCAGGAAGGCGCCACAAATGCACTCGGATCGAAAAGAGCCGCTTCTTAAAAAAAAAAATACTGAAAGCTTCAGTAAATTGTAGATTTTCACGCAAAGGAAAGTATAAGGGAGATCTTTTCTTATACAAAGTTTTTGCTTTGATGCATTTGAGTGCTGAAATCGGCTGAATTTTGACCAATTTTCGGAAGTTTCATGTTTTCTTGAAACACCAGAGTGGTCCCTATAGAGGTTAGGTAAGAAAAGAACCCTTTAAGGAACGGGAAAGTGGTCCCTAGAGAGGTAAAGTTAAGGTTGTCCTTAGAAAAGGGTCAGACCCCTTACCCCCAAAGCTCAAGTGAACCCTATAGGGTTCTTCCAATTTCATTCAAAAAACGTCCAATAGTTCAGTTTCTCTTATGGAAATGCTTCTTCGCTTAGCGACTATCATGCCTCTACAGGGGCCACTAACTAAAACCCCCACATGGACCCCTTTTGCTAAAGTGGCCACTATAGGGGTTGGTAAAGTGATCCCTAGAGGAGACCCTCCAAGAATCCTAAGGTCGCCCCTACAGAGATCTCTTTGCGCTTTACAAAAGAAACAAAAATACCACAAATGGAATCATTATACTTGATCAGTTTTTTTTCTGAACAAATGTCATGAAATTCAAGTCTCACGTCTTGCTTCTTCATCCAACCGTTTAAGCTCGTCTTCTCTTCCTAGCAGTTTGAGCATCTTTCTCGTCTTATTTTTCCTTGGTTTTTCAGGTTCCGCAGGGGTTATAGTAGGCGTCGTCGCGCTCTCATTTCCATTATCCTTTTCTTTTTGATTGGATCCGTTGATCGAAGATATTTCGGAGCCATTTTTCTCGCTACCGACAGCCTCTTCATTTTGTTTCTCAATTTGCTTTCCGTTGGTATTCGAATCCTTGGTTTTCTCGTTGGAGATTCCGTTTTTGACGAAACCGTTCTTGACCAGTTTCCCTTTCCTCTCTCGTTTTGGCTTCGTATGCGACCGTTGAATCTTTAGAAAAAAGTAATAATACAGCATGAGAAAAAAAAAAAACCAACCCTGGCCAACTCGGCAGCGGTTTCTGCAAAGCGATAGCAAAACAGCAGAAGGCGAACATTGTCATCCTGTTTACGGAGATTCGGAAAATATTGTCGAATCAGAGCGTTTATTTTCTCATATTTCGACCCTCTTTCGATGTATTTGTGAATTTCTGAAAATGAAACTGGGAAACTTTTGGAGTGGTCCCTATAGGGATCTCACAAAAACAGATAAAGTAGTCCCTATAGGGGTAAGATCAAGGTGGCCTCTATAGGGATCTAAAAATTGGCCCCTGGAGGAGTAAACTCCAGGTGGTCCTTATAGAAGTTTTTAAGTTCTGACCGCTTAACCCCTAAAACTTGAATGGTTCCTATAGGCTTTAGAAGTTAGGGGGAAAAACAGCCCCTATAAGGACCGACAAAGTGATCCCTATAATGTAAATTAAAGGCGTATATAAGGGCTATAGGAGCCACTAACTAAAACCCCTACAGGGAACACTTTCGCAAGCTCTAGTGGCCCCTATAGGGGTTGGTAAAATGGTCCCTAGAGGGACTCTTCAAAGGCCCTAAGGCTGCCCCTATAGTGACCACCCTGGAGTTACTAAGTTTTGGTCATGTTTTTCGAGAAAAACGTTTTCTCAACGACTTTAGGAAAACTGGTCGAAAAACAAAACTGACTGGTCCGAATGTATATACTGTTCAGCTTCTCGTCGTACGTCGCAGCCACGGTCTCATTGAACAGTTTCAACGTCTTCACGCCTCCCTCGTAGGACAAAAAGGAAGAAATAGTGCTGAGAGAACAAATTGATGCTATTTTTCGGGGATGGAAAAAACCCGTCGATCCAGTTCTTCATATCGTCCGGAAGAGGCACACGTTCGATCACCTCGATATTTTGCTGTTGCGATATCTTCAAGAAAAATTTGTGAAGTTGGGAAACCAACATTTCCGGTTACTTTTCGATGACTATCAATGTCGTAGGCGAACTCTTTGTGTCCGAAGTTGGCTTCGATTATGACGTCAGGCATTTGAAGGCCCACAGTTGGAAAAAATCCGCTCACATTTTTCGAGCATACGGTTGCGATTCCTTCAAAAAACACACTATAATCGAAAACATTACAAATAGAAAAAGTCAAACTTTTTGGCTTTTATTTGAGCTCCGTGAAAAATTTGAAAAAAAAAACTTAGAAAAGAAGATTTCAGTTAAATTCGATTCTTTTCTTCTCATTAAATCGAAGAAAACAACACGAAAAATGAACTATAAATGTTTATTTTTCACTTTTTTTATCAAATATCGAAGAATAAAAGTTTATATGCTACGTTTTAATGATATTTAACCTCGAAAAAATGAGAAACAATAATGGAATTTGTTTTTTTATAGGAGATTTAACTCTAGAAAAAGACTTGACTTAGAAACTTTCAGAATCTTTTAAAGTTCCTAAGGTTTCCTTTTTTAGTTAGACGAAAGGAACAAACCGAGGTTCTTTCCGTTTTTGGTGAAGAAAACACTGCGAGCGTGAGAATTGAGGCCGCAGCCGACGACGTCGCCAGTGCCGAACGAAGGTCCGTACTCAACGCCGTTGCCAGAGGAGGAAAAGAAGTGGCCGTCGTCCCCGTGGTAGCCAAAGGAATTGCGGTCCCAGCCTGCGGACATCCCCCTCATCCCTCGCATCCCGTCGCACTCACCAGGCATCCTGTTGGTCGGACCGTCTTTCTTGGTCAGCCCGATGCCTAATTGGCCCTTGTCGGCCTTCACAACTGTTATCTCGAAATAGTAGATGCCGCAGGTCGTCGGAATCGGACTGTCCGTCTTTATCGACGCCGAATCTTTCTTGTCACGAGCCGTTTCCGTCCCTAAAGACTCATCTTTTGAATGATAATGGTCGATACATAAACCCCGGTGAACCTCTTTTACGAATTTTAGAGTGGTACCTATAGGGGTAAAGCCAAGGTGGTCCCTAGAGGGGGCTATAAATTTTATTCTAAAAAGATCCATTGTTTAGTTTTTCGCATAGAGTTCATGAAAATTGTCGACTAGTATTTTCATTATAAGAACCACTAACCTAAACCCCTATAGGAACCACTTCTGCAAGCTTTAGAGGGTTGGTAAAGAGGTCTTCAAAGGGCTCCCTATAGGGGTCGTTAAATTTTTATTCAAAAGGGTTATTTTTTTGCATGTGAATGGTCCTTAAAAGGACCCTCTCAGGGTCCCCCAACCATTCTCGAGTTCCTGAGCTGGGAGCTCTCCTAGACTCATCTAAGCTATCTTCGAAGAAAAATATTGCAGAAACGGCAAAAAAATTTTCTTTCTGTGGTCAAGTTAAAAAATTGAAACTGTATTTTTGAGTTTCGAAAAAGGGAACAAGTGACAATCCTAAAGACGTTAAGAAGTTTCAATAAACTTACCTTCGTGATAAGACAATCGTAGGCCGTGTGACGTCACCGAGAGAACCGAAGAACCATTTCCTTTGTCCCATTTTCTCGGGAAAGAGACACTCTAAATCCCAATCCAATGGTTTTTTTTTTCTTTCAAACAGTTCTTACCCATGCTCTTTCTCTGACAGTTGGGTATTGAGTTCGCAACTTTTTTGTCACTGTTTTCTGGTCGTCCTATAAATTTAATGATTGATAAGACATCTTCGAATAAAAAATTTTCAGAAACTCTCTCATCACGAAAATTCAAGTTATGAACCCGGACACTGTGAATACCAAAAAATCCCGATTTGATGAAAAAAGCACCTCTAACGACGTTAGAGAGCCTCTCAAAGATTGATCACACGGTTTGTCGCTTTGATCTTCATCATCGCTCTGAAATACAAGAATGAACAAGTAAATTTGTTCAGCAACCTCGGGGTTATCAGAATCGGCGTCGCCCGGTTCAGCAGGTCCGACTTCATCATTTTCGGCAAGCATGATCTTCAAAGTTTCAATTTAGGCTGAATCAATGAAAATAAAAGTGTTTAAAATATTCAGCGCGATAACGCCACAGTAGCAACAAATGAAAAGCAAAAATGGAACAAATTTATATCTAAAATGACTGTAAAACTAAAACGAGAATTCAAAAAGTCGATCGATCACTAGGAAAAAAAAATCAATATTTCCACGCATCGTTATGGTACGGAATCTGCTTGATACGGTCGGCGTACATCCGTGAGTGGCCCTGAATACGATCTTTTATAATCCAAAGTGTCCGCTAGAAACAAAATTTTTATACTAAATTGTTGTTCGGAAATCGTTGATTATCTAATATACGTTGAATGTAATCTTTAAATGGATTGAAAAACTTTATGCTTATTGAAAGCTTTGAGGAATGTTTTCTTCTAGTTCAAACAAAAAACTGAACAGTGAAAACATAATACTCTAGAATTATACTGCGTGAAAAGTGGACAGTCATCCGTCGAAATTGATTCAAAAAGACTTTTATCAAAAAGAGGATCGACGCCTTCTCTGAATTGAAATTTTTTCCTAATCCCAACCTTCATCATTTCGACTTTATCGTAGCCAGCTTCTTCCCACCGACGAGAGAAATATATTATGGCCACTGATGCCGCCCAGTATCCTTTCTTGTCCCAAAAAGCGGTTTTCAGAAAGTAGTTGAAAGTAAAAGTACCCATCTGGAACGAAAAAGTTAATTTTACTGGGAGTTTGAAAATCGAAAATTAAGATTGATAAAATTGATCCCGATAAACGCGATTTATTTTAATACGTTCAGCGCAGATATGTCACAGAAACTTCGTAAAAACGAAGAACATTTATAAGACTTTTATGAGCGCTCTTTCTGTTTAAAAGGTTGAAATCACGCGCTTCACTTTGACACACAGAAAAAGTAATATTTGATTATCTTTGACGGAAGAAAAATTAATAAAACAAAAAAGTTATTATTTCTCGTAAAATCACGCGATGAGAAATTTATCATTGGAGCGAAAATGGTCATGGACGGTGGCCGAGAAAGTGGGCGGAGCCTCACGCTGCGAGACCACAACTCAAAATGGGGTTCTTTGGCGCTTTTGAATTCTCGCAGAATTTTGCAAACAACATCTACTTCTTATCATTCATCTTTGACTGTAAATAATTCTTGTTAACAATCGGTTTCGGAGGAAAGTTAACAGTCAACGAATATGTTTGGACGCACGGCACAACGCGCTTTCAAATTGGCAAGGAATTTTTCTCAGGTGAGTGAGTTTTTTTCATCTTATTTTTTTCCTCATTTTTAATGATGATTTTGAAATTATCGCTTTTTTTGAACAAATCTTCCTTCACAAAAAAACTTTTTATCAACATTATCAAATCATTCGGAACTAAGAATTCAGAGTTTCAATAACAAATAATCTTTATTCAATTGAGTAGCTCAAGCTCTTTTGTTCCAGAAAAAGTCCGTTAGACGGGTAGCAGCCGGTGGAGCCGGAACTTCCTTCTGCTTTTCGTTGTTCTCCTCGGGTCAGAAGCAACCGACGGAGACGCAATCAAAAGAAACCGCTCAGAAGATCAAAAACTACGACATTGTCTTGAGAGACACGGATGAGCTATACGATAATTATCTGATTGACAACGCCTACAACATCCTCAAAAAGTTGGTTTTTTTAGATGTTTAGAATATTATAACGAGATTCGCATCTGAAAATAATTAATTAAACTTATTTGAAAGCTCGAGTTTGAAATGATGCAAACGTTTTGCATTACCTGAAAAAAACTTTGATAAGATTCTGAATTCTCTTTAGCCATCCAGATAGCACTGGGAGACACTTTGATCGGGCATAAAAAAATAGAAAATATTTTTCAAAATCAGAACATTTCGGAGTTTTTTTCCATTTCACCGTGTGATAAAATTGGTTCCTGTGCTTTTTGAGGAACTCAGAAAGTTTTTTTGTGGATAAACTAAGTATTCCATAGTTTTTTTAAATATTCTATGGCTAACAAGAAAAAAGTTTTGAACTCTTTTCTATTAAAGATTCGGATCCAGTGATAACTCTGAACTATTGTGGCGTCTCGCCAGAGTTCTATGTGAGAAGTCGAAGCTCTCAAAAGACGTCGCCGAGAAAAAGCAGTACATGTTGGAGGCGTTCGCCGTCGTCCAGAAAGCCCTAGTTCATGAACCAGAGAGTGGCTGTTTTGGGGCTCACAAATGGTCCGTTTTCTTTTTTTTTTGCACAATCACTCTTTTAAACAGTTTTCCTCAATTTTTCGACTTTAGTTCCTGTGTTAAAATATTGAGAGAAATGCTCAAATATAAGCAGAAAAGACGGTGAGGTGCTCTCATATCGTTTGAATTTTGAGCCTTAACTTGAAGACGTTCTCAATTTCCTGTTTCATGTCCAATTTCAACTGAAAATCTGTAAATTTTTTTTTTTTGATTTTTGAGAACATTTAATTTCCGTTGCTCTTTTAAACCTGTATCTTAAGAACTCCAGAGTGGTCCCTCGTAGGGTCCCCTCTAGGGACTACTTCACCAACCCCTATAGGGACCACTAAAGCTTGCAAAAGTTGTCTAGGGGCATGCTAGTCGATAATCGTTATTAACTTTGAGCGAAGAAGCATTTTAAAGGGAAAAACTGAAAAGCGTGTTTTCAAATAGAAAGATCACTATAGGGTCCACTTGAGCTTTAGATATATGAGGTCAGAACCTAAACCCCTATAGGGACTACCTTTGTTTTACCCCTATATGGACCACTCTGAAACTCTTAAGACTTCCACGGCTTCAAAAAAATCTGCTGTTTCTTTTGAGTTATCAACGTACCCATAAAACACAGATAAATAAATATAAGTGATGACGAGAGCGCGAATGAAGCACTATATTCACTAAAAGCTTGCTTTTTTTTTTGTTCTAACGACTAACTTCCTTCAAGGTACGCAATCATCCTCGATTATGTGGGCGAACTGCAAGGATCAAAGTCTCGAATCGAAAAATCCCACGAGGTGAAGGAGCACCTGGAGAAGGCGCTCAAGATCTACTACGACGACCCGACCACCTGGCACATCCTCGGTTCTTCCTATCAAACCGAAAGAGCCGGAACCGTCGATTTTCAGGACTTTGGCACTTCGCCTTCGCCGACATGGGCTACGCGACGCGCCTTGTCGCAAAAACGATTTTCGCCACTCCACCGTCTTCCACCTACGATCAAGCGCTCCATTACTTCATGAGGGCTGAAGAAATATCTGTTATCCTAGAATTGATGACCGTCGAGTTCATCTTTTCCTTTGCAGCCTGGATTCTACAGCACGAACACTTTCTACATTGCTGAGGTCTATGACCGGTTAGGAAAGAAAGAGGATGCTGTGGAGTATTACAAGAAGGCTTTCAAAATGTCCGTCTTGACCGCCGATGATGCCGCTATCCATAAAAAAGTTTTACGGAACTCACTTCAATACTTAAGTATCTTATTCAGGCTCACGATAATCTTCGGCGGAACGGAGTCAAAGACAGCGAGCTGGTCGCATAATAATTGTAAATATCTTTCTACCTTTTCACTTCCCCTTGTCTGCTCCGTTAAATGTCCCGTTAAATAAAGAAACTTTCATATATAAACTCTATCACGCAGTTTTGGTTCTTTGGCCATTGTTTATTAAATAAATCGAACTTAAGATATCAAGAATTTTTCTCTGAAATATTTTTTGCTGCAGAAGGCTTTCGTTGAATAGAAACATTGAATTCATGAAAGAGGCCTTTCGACTCGAAAATTTTATCAAATTTAATTATATATTTTCAAAAGACCCAGCACGGTATAGTCTGTTCAGATTTTGAATGTCAAGTCGTCGCTCAAGTTCCGCCCCTAATGGCTCGATTAACCAATCAGAAAGCGAGCCATCCACAGAGTGTTTTTGAATGACGTCATTGCACTTGACATTCAAAATCTGAACAGACTATATTTGAAGAGACAGAAGTTATATATATATATATATTTTTTTAAGGCCTAATCGGGACGCAAAGGGGCGTGGCCTGACTGCGCTCTCCACCGACCAGAAACGGTCTCTTCTCTTATAGTCTGTTCAGATTTTGAATGTCAAGTGCAATGACGTCATTCAAAAACACTCTGTGGATGGCTCGCTCTCTGATTGGTTTATCGCACCATTATGGGCGGAGCTTGAGCGACGACTTGACATTCAAAATCTGAACAGACTATATCGTGTCAGGACCCATTTTTCAATGGCTCAGGCCAGCCGTGAGTCAGCTATAGTTAAAATTTGGGAAATCCTTTACTATTGCTATCTGCTTTCTATAGCTGATTCACGGCTGGCTTGAGTCATCAAAAAAGGGTCCTGACAAGATAATGTACGAGACAGTAAGATAATGTTCAGATTTTTAAGGTCAAGTGCAATGACGTCATTCAAAAACACTCTGTGGATGGCTCGCTCTCTGATTGGTTTATCGCACCATTAGGGGCGGATCTTGAGCGATAACTTGACATTCAAAATCTGAACAGACTATATTTAGATCTGAATCTGATCAGAAAAAGTCTGAAAAAAACGTATTATGTTTCTATACTGATCCGTTAATATGCGATTAATCATTTTCATGAGTTACATGTAGGATTGAGAGAGCATCGAAACAGTCCCAAAAATTTTAAAGCACAAAGAAAAAAACAAAGTAGAGAGACCAAACAACATTGACGCCATGAGAACGCACGCAAACAACAAACATTTTTTGTTGTTTTCCCCGCCTATCGATCTTTCAGTTGCAGCAGCAAACATGTTCAGACGCGGTGGTTTTCAAATTCTTCGAGCAGCTCGGGCCTTTTCCCAGGTTTTTACTTCAATTTAATTATTCTATTCAGCGACTTTTTCAGCGTAAATTTTTTTTTCCCAAATTTTAAATTGTGAAATCCTACATTAATGCAATTTTTCCAGGTCGTATGTGAGATAAATTTGCAATAAAGAGTTTATAAGACTAAAGCTTGAGCAAAAGGTTTCCTTTATATTTTTTGTTACCACTCAGATCCGCTCTGGTAGATTATATCAAGTTGAATAATAAAATTCAACTTTCTCAAGATTTTTCTCATTCCTTCAAAATTTGGTTGTTATGTCTCGTAAATTAAATTCATATAGGCCAAAGTGGCTAGCTTTCCTACTTAATTACAGACGAGAAGCTGAGAATTTGTGCGTTTTTCGAGTTTTTTCGAAACACATTAAGGTCACGTTAAAATCCTTTCGAAAAGTTGAAGAATTCTACATGTAAACAAGTCATTTTGGCTATGAGGTGTTCTATGTACCGTAATCTTATCAGCAAGGACGATTGATCACTATGACAATTTTTTACACTCTAATAGTCTTCCAAAAGGCTATGTAGTTCAAAAGCAGTGAATCAATTATGAATGCCTATGAAATTAGGCTTCCGTTCAAGGGTTTTGTTCCAGCGCCCAGTAGTGCGAGCAAATGTTCGTCGAGCTGCCATCGGTAGTGGAGGCGTCGGCACGTCACTCGGACTATCGTTCTTCTCGAAGAAGAAGGAAGAGCCGAAGAAGGAGTCGTTCGCCGACTTTGACGACCTCATCCGGGAGGCCGATCAGTTCTTTGATAAATACCTTGTTGAGAACTTTCAGTCTGTTATCAGCACGTCAGTTTTTCTAAACAACCAATCGTAATTGATTGGTTTGATTCCAGTGTCGGCAACAGCGAAACGGCAGAGATTTTATGGCGGCTCGTCAAAACTATTCTGGAAAAGTCGAGACTTTCCGAAGATTTGGGTGACAAAACAGGCGCCATGAAGAAAGCCTACGGAGAAATCGAGCGAGAGCTGAAAAATGAGATCAAGACCGGCAACTTCAAACCGGACAAATTGTGAGTCTTTTCTGCTTTCGAGTGTGTAACAGGAAAAGTTTTCCGTTCTCATTTCTTTTGAAGAAGGAAGTACCGTTCAGGTATGGAATTGTTAGCGAATATGTCGGCGACAGCAAGAAGGGAATCGCGGACAAGGCGAAAGAAATCAGGGGGCAGCTTGAAAAGGCGATCAAAGTCTACAAAAATGACCCTATGATGTGGCACGTCCTGGGTTCGTTTATCTTATCAATATAATAAATTTCATTTGGGGGAAACGCCTGTTTAAGGCGGCCGGTCGGATTACGGTAGTCAGGATAGGTTTTCCGGTAATAAAATGAAAGCGAATGTACTTTTTGTGACGTATCTTATCTTGCAACCTAAAGAACTAGAACAAGTTGCGAAAAAAGAAACATCAAAAAAATTTCCTCACTCCGAAACTGACGGCGCGCCTCCGTAACACTGTCAAAAAAAAGTGTGAAGAAGAAATGTTTTTCAATATTTTCTACAGGGCTTTGGCATCTCGCATTTGCCGACATCGGACACGCCGCTAAGAAAGTCGCCAAGACAGTCACAGGACTTCCTGTTGATTCGACCTACGAAGACGCTTTGCACTACTTCGAACAGGCAGAGAAGCTCAAGGTTTGATCAAAACCTAATCACTTGTTAAAGCGAGATTTCCTTTTTTCAGCCAGGATTTGACACTGCCAACGCTTTCTACCTTGCGGAAACATATGACAGACTTGGTAAAAAGGAAAGAGCCATCGAATACTACAAGAAGTCTTACGATATTCCTGCCAAAAACGACGATGACAAAGATATTCAGAAAAAGGTCTGTTTCTCATCATTTATTTTTCACTCCACACTTTTTTTTCAGGCTCTTGAAAGACTGAGAGAGCGCGGAATTCAGCAGAAAAAATAACTATTTTTTTGTAAATTTTTTTCTATGTTGAGTGTATATGAAATGTTGTAAATAAAAGTTTTCTTTTTTTTATACGTTGTCAATTTGATTATGTAGGCAGGCATATTTGCAGTGAAAAAACGGGGTTTGAGGTGAATGCAGTACATTTTTGTGCCTGAATTTCTACCTTCAAGACTCATCCATTATTTTTTCTCCTATCAAGACTCATTTCTTGAATTAACCTCGCCGTGTAAATAAAATATTCCAACTTTATTTTCCAAAATAATCGTTTTTCAAGAACACAAAGAACTTTACTTAAGGAGATGAAAACATTCAATCGAGAATATTTAAAAGCGGGTTTCAGATCCTTTTAATTGTCGGACATCTTTTGGATGAGTTTTTTGGTCCTTCAATTGAGGATAAAATTGTTTGAAAATCATTGCTCCAGCTTTATTGGAACCGGACATCCCTGAGACAGTAGAAGACCACCAGGTTGTTGAATAACCCCACCAGGGTGGTGAAGTTGTTGACGTCGACCAGGTTGATGAAGTTGTTGACGTCGACCAGGTTGGTGAAGTTGTTGATGGTGCTAAAACCATCTCATTTCATTTTCTATATTAATCTAAAATACTTTGCGTATTTTGGGTGCCCGTTGACGGTGAAGTAGTTGTATATGGGGTAGAGGTCGAAATAGGAGTCGCTGCAAAAAGTCGGATTTTCGTTTATCCTGACAACAAGTTTATTAATCCTGACAACAAGTTTATTAACTAGAAAAGCGGTAATATAGTTTTTGATAGAATAAATATATATTTTTTTGACCCAATGAAACAAGTTATCTATGCGGCATGGCCATGCCAAAGTATCCATTCAAGATTTTACAAGTTTGTAAATGAACCCTCGAAACCTTGAGTTAAAAAAAAAGCAATTTAGTCTTTACTATGTGAAGCTGAAATTTGCAATCATTTCAACTTTCTGATTCCTGAAAAGAATGGTGAGAATGAACGAAGTAGCAATAAATCGTATTTCTGGTATTCAGAACAGAGGATTTATACGGTTGAAGTTCTTAGGATCTTTGTCTGGCACATGAAAAGTCATAAATGATGTTTTCAACTTTTCAGCGTCAAAAAATAAAGTTGCCCTGTGGCAAGTGAGAGACCTTCGAAAGTCCTTTCCTAGAACTTTTCACAAAATAAAAAATAAAGAGAAAGTTATATATTAGAGAGGGTATTTCTAAACCTAAATAGCGTTGAACAAAATAGCGCCTAACTTTCTAATTAGCGACAACTTAACAAGCCTAACCATAATTTTTTTCATGAAAATTTTTTTTAATCATTCTCTGAAATTTCAGACTGTACGAACGAACCTCCATCGGGGCCCCAGCAGACGAAGCTGAAAAAATAAATTCAAAAATAAAAAATAAAGCTTTGGCTCTACCTTTGTCTCTTGCCGCAGTCTTCGGTATACCACCTTCCGTTTCCTATATCTTGCTGAACACAAGCGTTTTGGGTGATCCGTGGCTCTCCTAAAATTTTTATGTTCAATTAGGCAACAGTTCTTCAAGCACCGGCAGCCCAATTACGGTAAGTGCTCGTGGTACCGTCTTGCCACTGGAAACGTCCAGAACTGTCCGAGCTAAGGCCAATCCAATATCGCCCAATCGACGTTGAGAAGTGCGTTCCAGCTTGCACTAAACCAATATTGCTACTTTCAAATTTTAAAAATAGTTCCGAATACTGGGTTTTTCTATAAGATACTTTCAGCGCATTTGGAAAAGATTTGGGGTTTTGCGAAAAAATTATCACTGACTAGGGAACGTTTTTTACCCCCCGGTTGAACTTTTGCTGAAACTTTGCCGAAATGTACTTTAAGACCCCCTGATTCCAGAACAGGAAGAAAATTTCTCGCAATAGATCTCGTTTTCGAGTTAGGACACTTCAAAAGCCCGAAATAGCTCTTTTTTGGCCTAATTTGCGTATTTTGCACACTTTGAAGCTCCATAACTCGGAAACAAGATCTATTGCGAGGAATTTTTTTCTTGATCTGCAATCAGGGGGTCCTTCAGCAAAGTTTCAGCAAAAGTTCAACCGGCGGGTAAAAAACGTTCCCTGGTGAGATGCACAACAGCTTGCAGCAATTTCTTACAGAAGACGTAGTTGTTTGCGAAAGCGTTCACAATTGAAACCAAGTTGTATCCGCTATACGAGCACGACGATTGCGCATCAGAGAAGCTGGACGGGTTGGACTTGAAAGAGTAGCAACTGAATTTCGCATTTTGCAATTAAAAAGATGAAATGAGCTCCATTTTCCGAAGGAAACCCGATTTTCATGCCAACTTACAAAATATTAAATTTAACTTACTTATGACCGTCGTCCTCTTCGTTGGGGTAGCATGCAAGGACGGAAGCTGCAAAAAAAGGTAGCAAGAAGAAGCGGAGCATTGCGTTACAATAGTGATATCACCAACAGGACATTTATACCTCTTTTTATGAGTTTCCTTATCTCAAATTAGCAATAAACTTTTAGAAGAAGAATGCTTCATGGAGACACGAATAGATTTGATACACTTTGGGAGCGCCTGAATTTTCAATCTTCAAACTAGTTTCGTACTAGACTCGAACTCGAAACTCTAGTTTTTCTTTTTAACATAAATAAAACAGTACAAAAAACGAACAAAATGAAATATTTGTCGAAATCACTTTCGTCTCTTAGAAAATAATTTCAAAAAATGTAAAGAAAAAAAAAGATGTTTATCGAAGAAACACGATCAATATTCACAAAAAAAGTATCCAAAAAGCCTAAAAAAAACTTGAAGTCAGGACTCAGAGTCTTCATTAAAAGCCGCTGCATGGCACGAATCCACCATAACCTTTACGATTTGTTCGATATTCTGAAAATATGCAGCATAACAGAGAAAACAGTTGTTAACCTTACCAATGGTTTCCTTTTCGGAGTTTCAGAAGACGTCGACGAGTCAGACATTTCTGGAGATTCGCCGTAAAGTTTTTTGACTTTAACTTGAGATCGCGAAAGCTGCCGACCAATGTTCTTCTTGTCCCGTTTTGAAACATCCAACTCCTTGCGAATATTCTTGATCTCCCAGTCTTTCCGTTGGAGCTGCTCCGCCATTGTGTTGTACTTTGCGTGGAGCTCTTCGTAGTCGTCATGCAGTCCTTTGATACTGGCTTTTTGTAGCTTCAGAGCGTTGTCAACGTGTTGTAGGGCCTCGCAAGCTCCATTCAGTTTCTCTCGAAGTCCTTCGATCTGGGCGCCGCGCACATCCATTACGGATCGGTACATTAGCACCTATAAGAGGAAAATTTTTCTTCTTTTGATACCGTATGAACTGTTTTCGGCTTTTTATTTCGTGATTAACTTCCTAGAATTCAAAAAAAAAATCCCCGTTCAAAATTGAGCTTACAAAATTTAACACGACATCTCATATAAATTAAAAACACTTTTTTTAAATATTTATAAAATTGTCGAAAATTCTTCCTATAAAAAAGTTTCTGATTTCCTGGTTGAGCCTTTCTCCTAATTTTCTAGAAAGATTTTTCAAATATGAATGCATTTTCAAAGTACATGTGAACACAATACATACAACTAAAATTGAAACTGCACCTCTTTTTTCAGTCGTTCGTTCTCCTCATCAATCAGCATAGTCGTCATCCTCATTCGCAATCGTTTGAGCAGAACTTCTTTCTCTCCATGGACGCGCTCGAGCTTTTTCTCGAGTTCGGAATTCGCAGAAAAAGACTCCATTTTCAACACGCCAAGGAGCTTCACCAGCTCTTGCACATTCTTTTTAAGAGCTAAGAAGGAATTGTGCAATTCTTTCAAAGTTGCCGATTCTGAAGATTCGTAATAGTAGACTCTGTCAGCTTGTTTACGGAGGAAGTCATTGTGGGTCCTAGGAATAGAAGTATTTTGAACTTTCAGGTAGTTCGAATAAGGAAAATTCGAATCGTAAGCGGGCAAATTTTTCGATTTTCGAAGACTTGTTGAAGGAGATGTCGCTGCTGCATGGTCGTAACGCAAGTCTTCTCCGTTCTCTAGCTTCTCGAATTTAGACTGAGCCGTATCGGTTACTTCCTTGTTTTCTATCGTATCCACACGAAACTCCACGGATTTCGAGAGAGAAACTTTTTTCCTTCGTTTCTGAGAGTTCGCTATACTTGCACGCTGCTTCCTAGACGGACGAGGCATACTGCAAATTTTATCTCAAATGAATGGCGTGTTAATCGGACAAAGCGGAAGTTGTTCCGAAACGTAGAAAAGTTGTTCCAAAACAAAAATTTGTACTCTTATGGAGAAACTTTGGTGTGTCCAGGCTTGTGCGTCAGGCCGGGCTTCGAAAAAAATTTAAAAATTTCATTAAAACAATTTCACCGAAAAATTATTCTTACTGGTTGACACATAGTTTCTAATAACTCTATGAGGAAAAATGAGCAAAAACCCCACTTTTCTCTTTAAAAAAAAGCGAAAAATTCGACATGAAGAAGATTTGAGCTTTTTGGGCGAGGCCGGCCTTTTTTGCTTGAGGCATTCCTATAGTTTGTTCATATTCTCGCTCTCTGAATGGCTTTTCGGGCCATTAGGGGTGGAGCTTTAGAAGCGGCTTGACATTCAAAATCTGAACGGACTATAAGGCCGGGCCGGGCCGGGCTTTGGAAAAGGCCGGGAGCCGATAGGCTGATGGGCCGGCCCTCGCACAAGCCTGAGTGTGCCGATGAACGGTTTTGCGTTTTCAAAACGTTTTGAAACATGTTCCGTTTCTCCGATGAACCCGAAGCGCGCCATAAAAAAAGCGAAAAAAAAAATTTACGACAGCTTGTTCGCTCCAACTCAAATTGGCGGGAAGAAGAAATTTTTGAAAAAAAAACTTTTTTGAGATGAGATTTTGTAACGTGAAAAATATATTCATTTATGCCGTGTTCAAAGTAATTTCCGCGAAATGCAAAATGGTCTCTGACCCTCCAAAATTTAGTTATCTTTCTCTTTCTCTGACGGCTATTTTGAATTTCGCGGAATCACTTTGAACACGGCATTACTAAATTAAATTTTCTCGTTACAGTTTTCGAGACTTTTCATTCGGTTAGAGATACCATGTTCAAATTAATTTCCGCGAAGTGCAAAACTATGTCTGACTTTCCAAAAGTTTTATAGTTATCTTTTTCTTTCTCTGACGGTAGTTTTGCATTTCGCTGAAGTTACTTTGAACACGGCATAAAATTGGTTCTCCTTCTCAACGTGGCCTAGCAAACGTCGTCTCTTCTTTTGTACTATTTTCTTTTATTCACGTCTTTCCAATCCAGCTTTGCGAATCTTCAGGCATCCTCGAAACAATTTGCATTCATCACTTTCGATTTTTTCCGGCCAATAATTTCCCTTACTTGATTTTTTTAGAAAATGCTATCATAATAAACTTTAAAATCTAATAATGCTTTTTTGGACCATCAAAGTATCAAAGTAAGTAAGTAATGCTTTTTCACTCTTTTAAAGCGTGAACACGGCGAAATGCGCGATAATTTAAAAAAAGCTTCCGCCTAGAAGCAGACGAAAATTACTTAAATACGCTATATTCGAAAGTTTCTTAAGATCATTTCTCAATAAACATTGTCTTAGTTCTGTGGGTCCGAGTTTTTTACATATTTTTAGGACTGAATTTATATATGTTTCTTCTTCAATAATTCATAAAATAATTTTTTGTCTAGAAGCATTGTGTTTGAGCCATGGCGGACCTCGAGTGTCGGCGACAAGCCATGCTCGACAAGCTGTCAAGGCGTCATGGTGAGATGAATGGATAATTTTATTATTATTTTTTCCTTATTCCCAAGTTTTCAGTGAATCGAGCTATGGAGAGTATGATGAAAGTGCAAAACACCACTTTAAATGCTCCGTCAACTTTTGACGAAAAGTCGATTCTATTGGTTGTTTAAAAATATGTAGATTTATAACTTTAATGTTAAGAACAAAGTTCCATCGAACGAACAGTCGGATTATCTACCATGGGAAGAAAAATTACAACAGCAAATGCGGGCTCTGTCCGTCTGGTGCAACTCTCTGTTGCGGGCCAACGATTCCATGGAAGAGGTTGATTTAGGCAAGACGAAAAAAGGTTTTAAAAAGTTGATATTTTCTTGAATATGCTTTTTTTGTCTAGATGCTTGTCGCAAAATCCAGAACATGCTTCGCAACGGAACTGCTCAGAAGTCGCTTGAAAATGAAGTTTCTCAGCCCATCGGCTTTGTTCTCAAGCAGTATCTCAACAAGCATAACCAGGACACGCTTCGCGACAAGTTTGAAAATCGGAAAAAAGAGATAATGATTGATAATTTACAGATGTGCTCGAATGGTAAAGGATTCGGAGATTAAAACGTCGTTGGACACCTTGGTTTCGAAGGACGTCGTCGGAGTTCGGGACGATTGCTCTGTCTATAATGATCTTGGTAGCTGATTTCGAAACTATTCTGTGAAGAAAGATTAACATAATTTTTTCGATACCAAGGTGTTTTCCATTAGCACAGGTAAAAATTTAATGAGGTTATGTCTCGAATTCGAAAAAACTTGGTCTAAACGGGTTTGTGAAACAAGTTGAGGATTTTTAGAGTGGTCCCTATAGGGTTTAGGTCAGAAGCAGCCCCTATAGGGACCGGAAAAGTGGTCCCAAGAGGGTACCCTCCAATAGAACCTAAGGTGGCTCCTATAGGGACCACTATAGTTCCTAACGAGGTTATAAATTAAAAATAATACAAAAATGCCCAATAAAGATCTTGACTTCCAGAGCTTCAAACAGCTCTTCTCCGAATCTTCCTCTCCTTCCATCCGGCGTGGCTTCACCTGGCTTTAGAAACGGGTAAATTTCCAAACTTGTAGAAAAAAACTTTACATTTTCAATCAAGTTTTCTCATGTCGACTTGAATTCCAACCAACGGAGTCGATCACGAAGACCTTGTCCCGTTTCATAATGCGTCGTCTGTTTTCGGATCCGACGCTGCTCAAAAATCGAAAGTTTGCGCAAGGCTCAGGAAAGTGAGTGAAAAAACTTCGTATTGAAAGAAAGAAGAAGAGTTACAGGCCAATTATCACGGCTGCCGGGCGTGCAGCGTTGCACCAACATTTCCTCCGAAACACTCTTCTTCTGCTCTACGTTATCGAAACGTCACACCGGGCTGGTTTCCAGCCACAAGTGCCAAGAATGTTCATAAAATCGTCGCCTTTCAAGGTTTAACTGAAAAAAAAATGAGAAAAATAACATTTTCCGTTTCTTCTAGAGCCTTGACGAGATTTTTGCCGAACTGAGCCGCGAAGTTCTTTCGGGAAGCTCGCAACCTCTGAAGAAGCTTTACGCGCGGTGCAACTTTGTCCCCACCTTTGTTCAGGTATTTTTTCTCATGGACGTGAAAAAATCAAACTTTTCAGAGCTTCATTGACGACTACGACTATCGTGTCGTTGATTTTGGCGATTTATCGAATGGAATTGTTTTGGGGTTTGATTTTTTTGCTTGTTTTATAACGCTTTTTCAAACTTTTGACGTCACTATTAAATTTTGCTGTTACAGTCGATTGGTGGAGCTCGTTCTAGAACTGCCACCAGGCTCTTTGACCTCAAAACTCCGAAATCCAAACGGCGACCGGCTGAGAAAACTGAAAAACGTCGAAATCGTACTCCACGAAGTAGTTGGAGCTTTTTCTTCTGGTTCTTTAAAAGGTTCAAACAATGAAAAAAAAAACACTCAGAAAGAAAAAAAAATTTTAGGAATCAAAGCATCTGAAATCGTTGGCGTTCAGAAGGAATCCATTCTCGTGGTTCTTTGGCATCTTGTCGGTGTTCACGAGGTTTTGAAAGTAGTCAACAGCTACGGACATTTTCGATTCAGATGACGTCCCGACGACGGGACGCTTTCCGTCGAGAATCGCAGATTCTCCCCTCGTGTGGAATCGCCTTCAACAATCATGATGCCCAGTCAAATGCCGATTTTGAGGCTACATCACTTGCTTTGTGTCGTCAGATTGGCCGGAGCATCGGAGTTGAGGTCAAAAAGTCACAAAAATCCAAAAGCATCTCCATTCTGAATTTTTTTTGCTCTGAAGAAAATTGCGGTGCACCCCGTAATGTAATATCACTATTTTCTTCAGTCTACGGTAGCTCAAAAAGAACTTTTTATTTCCGACCCGTTGGTCCAGAGGTGCACGCCATCTAAGTCTAACGCGGGGTGCACCGAAAAAATTAACAAAAATTTTACTTTTTTCGGGAGAAATTGAAACTCGAGAATCGTATCCTAGATATTGAAAGGTTTATAGCCAAAGTTCCATTCTTTTTTATTCAAGTAGGCGATTAGTTGTGAAGTATACATTGAACAGAAGTTTGGATCTCCATTGACAATGTCTGAAAAGGTAGGTAGGTAGGTCAATTCATTTGCGGTTGAGAACTTCCTGAAAATTGGTCAGAACATTCCTTGAAGCACCAAAAAAGAATTCTAGAAGTCTCAACGTGCAAAACTTTCTAGTTTTCAAGAACTGAGGGCTTAAAGCCTTAAAAATATCCTTTTTGACGGATTTTGAAGGGTTTCCTTGACTTTGGAGTATCCTCTCTCAAAAACTAGGAAGTTAGGCAGGTTGAGACTTCCAGAATCCTTTTTTGGTGCTTCAAGGGATGTTTTGACCAATTTTCAGGAAATTCCCCACCACAAAGTAAAATGACCTTCCTTGTGAGCTATTTCATACTTCTTGAAAACCAATCTAGATAGGCATAATTTTTATCTATATTCAATTTTCCTCTGACTTGTCCAAATTCGCTTCTTATTAATTTGTTCTAGCCTTCTTAAACTGTGAAATATTGCGTTTGAAGGTGCCCGATTTGGGATCGCTCCGTGATGGGAACGTTCTCTCGGCCGCCTGGACCATCTACAATGGATCGGCGCCTGCCGTTCAGTTCTATCCAGGCAGAAGCCTTTTTGACAAAATTGTTCATGCTGTCCGTGTCCGATTCATTTCCAATCGAAGAAAGATGCGATTTCCAGGCCGACGAGGACCTTGGCATTCCGCGTGGAATCGACTCTTCTTTGCCCTTGTTTGTGCAGATGTATCTTTCCCGACTGTTTTCTATCCGGCGACTCAACTCGGCCGCTTGTACCATCCAGAGGGCTGTCAGAAATTTCCTTCACAGGAAGGTAAGGTTGACATAACACTAAAAAACAATGGCAAAAAAAAGTTAGCGGCAAAAAGATTCGAACCTTCATCATAGGCTCCGCAGGCTAACACTCTAGCCACTGCACCACTCTCCTAGGGGTCTGCAATGGTGCGTCCCGATTCCTTCCAGACGGCGTCCAATGGTTAAAGATTAAAAATTTGAAAAATCCAAAACTAGTAGTTTGCGCAGAAAGCGACTTTGGGATAGATTTCCAGTCGATTACTGATCGTTTTTGCACATTTATAGAAAATTCTGAACTCTGCATTAAAATTACCTTATTTTCATCCAGATCTCCCAAAAAAGAAATTTTAATATGTGATTGAGAATTTTCTAAAATTTGGTCGAAATAATCCCTGTCGGCCAGAAGAAGCTTCTCAAAGTCTTAACCTGCAAAATTTCTAATATTTTAAGTGACGTGCATAGTCGAAAATCAGACTAGTTTAGATGAATAGATGATTTTCTTGAACGGTAGGAATTTTTTTTTCGAAAACGACAAACACTGGTGAATCGAGAGATAGATAAAAGTAGGTACAGGGTACCAAATCAAGTCAAATCGGCGAATGGTAATCGGTGGTCATTTGTATGCGACCGGGTACTATCTCAGTGGTACCTGGATAGTACCTGATCGGTATCTGGATGCTACCGGGTATGTACCTGAAATTTGCGATTGCCACTGGCTGGCACATTGGTCGTTTATATAGCATCAGTGTTTTTTTACACCTTCCCAAGTCTTCCAGGGTCTTATTGGATAAAGCTGAAACAAAAAATAACGACCCATGAAGCAATTCCAGACTTTCCGATAGAAATCGCGAATGTCAGGTAGCTACTTGCATCGACCTCCGACCCAGGTACCATGGAGATAGTACCCGGTCGCATACAAACGACCACCGATTACCATACGCCGATTGACTTTTTCAAAAGTTGTTACCCGGTAGCTATTTGTATCGACTTCCCGATTCACCTTTGAAATTTTGCAGGTTCAGACTTTCAGGATTTATATACCGATGAGTATTCTTCCCGAATTTCCAGGGATTTCCCAAACGCAAAGTAAAATGACCAAGAGCAAAAATGAAAACCGAACAATCGGGAGGCAGAAATAAGATATAACTCATTCACGGCTGGCTTGAAGCCCTCGAAAAAAGGGTCCCTGACACGATAAGAAAAGGGAATAGTATATTGTGGATGGAGAGCGCAAACAGGCCACGCCCTTTTTGAGTCCCAAAAAAAAATTTGAAAATTTGGAGCTTTACACTAATTTAACTGTTAAGAAAAACTGAACGATTCAGAAGTACCCTGCCTCGTCTTGCCGTCCCTCGATTGTCGGCAATAGGACCTACGTGATCAACCGCCGAAAGTCCGTGACCTTCCAAGATTCTTCGATGGTCTACGAGTTCGACACGATGACCGGCGCCGAGTTGGAAAGCGGCCACGGATTCCTGAACTGCGTCTCCTCGACGCCGTTGTTTGACCGCAGCTCAGCAGCAGGGCTTCTCCGACGAGAGGAGCACCTGGTGAGATCGACGACGTGTCTGGAGGTCGTCGAAGAGCTGGACAACACCAACGAGTCGGTCCCCGAGGCCCCCTCTATGATGATGTACCGAACGGCGGTGGAAGAGGTCTTCTCAAGTCCTCGCGAATACCTCGACGAAGTCACTCCGAGAGCTTCCATCGTTCAAGGGATCAATGACGAAAATGCAACGCCTGAGGGTTGGGTTCTAGATTTTTCTTTGGATAGGAACGTCTAGAACATGTGAAGAGAGAGATAGACGGTTAACTTTTTCCAGAAAAAAACTTTTTTCATTTAGATTATCTAGACAAAATTCAGAATACTGTTTTTTCTTGTTTTTCAAATTTTATTTAAAGGGAATCCACCCGCACATCGATCTCTGGCCGAACAAATCCAAGAACTTCGAAAAAAGAAGCCGGAAATGAAGCTGATGACGACGCCGCCGGACATCAGCAAATCTCCATCGAGGAGAATCAGAGCCGTCCTTGCGTTAGGCTTTTATTTTCCCATAATGAACTAAATTGTTTTTTTTTTTTCAGTCAGAAGAATCAAATCTCGAATCAAAAGCCATGTTTCGCAGCAAATTTCGACGATTTTCTGAAGGTGGCGCCGAAACTTGAAGCTATTATCAAAATCCAGGTTGCGCAAAAAGTTGAAATAATATTTTTGAAATGAATTTCTAGGCTCACCTGAGAGGTTATCTGGCTAGGAAGCGATTCGCTGAACTAAGGGCGAAGAACGAAGAAGAAAAAGTTGAGGCGAAGGGAGAAGATGAAGAAGTTCACTCAAGAACTCTTCGTGATAGTCAGGAAGATTTGGAGAGCCCTTTTGAAAAGGATATTCAAGAAAGATTCCAACAAGAAACGACACTGAAGGTCGAATGCGACAAGACAGAGCATCTGCAAGTTCAAGAAGAATCCGAAATTGAAGCAACTCCAATATCCGACTCTGCTTCATGTGAATATCAGAAGACCCCTCTCAAGGAACTTTTGGAAGAAGAGTTTTGCGCTGAAGCCGCTCCGAAAGTTGATCCTGCTGAATATGAAGATCAGGAAGAGACTTCTAACAAACAAGTTCAAGAAGAAGTTCCACTCGAAGCGACTTCAAAAACAACTGAATTCGGAAATCTGGAAGAACTTCAAATTGAGTTGAATCCTCTGCAAGATGAAGAGCATTCTAACGACCCGACGCCAGAAAAAAATGACCTTTCTTTCAAAGACCGTCAAACCGCTGGCATGGATCAGGTAATCGCCGAGCTGAGATCAAGGTTCGAGAATATGCTCGGCGATCAAGTCGAAGAGATGGAAGAGGTTGCTGAGCAGGAGATGGACCCGCTTCTTGAAGTAGCTCTCGAGGCGACAAAGAACCTCAGCTTAGAAGAGGAGGCCGATGTCGCTGTCCTTGAAGAGAAGTCGCTCCAGGAGCTGCACGACATCATGCAGGAAGCAGCGACGCCACTGGCAAAGGTACAGTTGAAGGTCGCATGAGAATGGCTCAACGCGTAACGGCTGGGGTCACTTTTGTCTAAAATTTGAAACTCAACCGGTTAAGCCATTCTCAATACGTTGGAAGGCCCGAAAAATGTATAACATTATTTTCAGGATCGAATGGCCGAGCTTCTAGAGGAGTTCCTCGGAGAGCCGGCGACAATCACCCGAACAACTCACGTAGTCAGCCTACGCAAAAGATCTGACGAAACTTCATTTTCATCCTCAAAAAAATGGTTCGGACAGAAAAAAATTGAACTTCAAAAATCTTATTTTAATAGAATATAAACGTGGACGAAATCCGAGAGATTGTGCGACGGAAGTTGCAACTTGAGAGACGTCAGACACTCTTGGTTTCTCTAGAATTTCGAATAAAATACAATGAGGATTGCAGAAATCGAAGCTGGACCAGCTTGTCTTGCAGTGCCGACGGCTGAAGGATGAAGAAGAAGCTCGTGAAGTGAAGCTGGAGACGGAAGCAGCTCAAAAATCAACGTCTGAGGGCGATACTCGTTTGAATGAACTTGAAGCCGACGTCGTGCTGGAGACGGAAGAAGCTCAAAAATCAACGCCTCAGGGTCGTTTGTATGAATTCGGAGCCGACGTCGTGCTGGAGGCGCAAGCAGCTCAAAAACCAACGTCTGAGGGCAAAACTCGTTTGAATGAAGTTGAAGCCGACGTCGTGCACGGAAAAGGACAAGACGATGTTCGAGAAATGTCTTCTGAAGACGTGCTCCTGCCACAAGCAAATGCTGCGGAAAACTCTGGAGACGTTCTCTCAGAGCGGGCCAAGGCTGTGGTCGATTCTGAAGACATTATTTTCGTGACTGGAGAAGAACAGATTCTGTGCTCTGCCTCGGGAAGCGTAGAACAAGCTGTCTCTAGAACCGTCGCTTTCATCGTTGGCGATCCAGATGATAATCATATCGTGGGGAATTTCGGCGACTTTGATGAAGCTTCCCAAGAACCTTGTGAAAGAAGCACTCCTGAAGAATTCGTCCAGCCGAAGTACGTGCCGCCACCCAGGAACCCAGCTGAGAGATCGATGGCTGCACTCAGAATTCAGGTATATTTAAACGGAGGGAAATCAATAATCTCGGAACTGCAGAAATGGTGGCGGGGAGTGCGTGTCCGTCGAGCTATGCACAAGGAGATCCAAGACGTCCAGGTCTCAGCACAAGCCTACCGTGAGCTCGCCCTCCAACAGGATGCAGCTACTATGGATGTCCCCCTCTCGTCCAATAGCAAGGAGATGAGCGCCAGACGAGCTTCATCTCTCCCGGCACAACTCAAGTTGGTCCAGCTCTCAGAAAACCCTCATTTCTTCCGTTCAGACTGACCCATTCGGTGACACTGCTCTTCAGCAGCCGTTTCTTCCTCGCCGTCGTCGCCGCTTATCGTATCAGTGAGTTTTTCCAAAGAGGAAAAGGAAACATTTGAACCCGCCCATCATAAGATTATAATCAGAGTCTGCTTTTTTTTTTTTCAAATCTAGAGCTGCTGGTTGGTGAAAAGCCAATTTTTAGAGTGCTCCCTAGAGGGGCAACCTTAGAAGCCCTTGGAGGGTCTCCTCTAGGGACCACTTTACTAAACGCCTATAGGGGCCACTAAAGCTTGCAAAAGCGGCTCGGGGTTTTAGCTAGTGGCCCCTATAGGGGTTTCAGTTAGTCGCGCTATAGGCCCCTATAGGGGAAATGCTAGTCGGCTAAATAGCCTATTTTGACTGATTTTGAGGGTTTTTTTCGACTTTAAGGTGTCTTTTTTCACAAACGTGGAAGTTGTGCAATTTGAAACTTTCAGAATCTGATCCTGGTACATCAAGAAGCTTTCTGGCTAAGTTTCAGGAAAAATCCCAACCGCAAAGTGAAATTGCCTCCCTTGTAAATAATGATCTAACACAAAACAGTCGATGTTCACAATATACGAAGATTTTTAGCTTTTTCCAATATCCATAAATTTTTTCAATTGAGCATGTCGGATCGGTGATCAGGTCAGTTCAATGTACAATACTTTTCAGACCGGCTGACCAAGCTGATGCCTGAACTCCTACAGTTCTTCGTCAACGATTGCGACGGCATCGGCTGTCTTCTGGACAAGTTTTCGCATGCCGACCGCGGCCACGCCTACAAACAGATCATCGAGATTCTGATCGATGTCGTCCTTCGCGTTGTCAAAGTAACTTTTGCATTTTTGTCGCCCCTCTGAGTGGCTCCTTTAGACTTAGGGACTCAGCTTTAGTTTTAAGAATTGCTCGAAAATGAAGAAAAAATCGTCTGAAGAAATTTTATAGCTTCTCTTCGGTTTTTGAGTATATAGACGTTCATATTTAGTCGTCGTTGCCGGATGTGATGGCCGCGTTGGAGGCGAAACAATCCGATTTCGCCAAAATGCTCCTTCATCTGATGTTGGCGCGTCACCACGACGCCGTCATTCTGAAGAAGACGTGCAACGCTTTGACGCTCCTCATCCGTCGAGCCAAGCCGGGATCTTCCGGCTTCGAGAAGGCGGCTTTTTACATTCGTCAGTCCAAAAAGTTAGTTTCTGCGAGTTAAAAAGGACACACTTTTCTGCCAAATTTGATTAAATTTGACCCAACTTCGCTTCAAGACCTTTGTTCATTGCTGTATTTTAAGCAGTTATCATCAATTTCTCACCCTTTTTCAGTGGAATCCGTGATCCAACATGCCTTCGCGCCATCACCAACGTTGAGAAGGCCATTGCAGAGATGAAGTGCTAATGATCAGAAAAATTTTAAAAAAACGATCTCCACTTTTTTTTCATTCTCTCGGGTCTTCGCAGGTCTCACTCGCGCCTTTTTCAATCATTTTTTTCGTGTTGTATAATATTTCTAACATGATAACATGATGTGTATTTTTTTTTCTTCTATTAACCTGAAAATGAATTTTATTTTATTTTTAGTGTTGAATTGCTTCGTCGTTTGTCGACCATCGCTCAGTGTGGGTTACCGTTAAGGTTTTTTCATCGTTTGAGTTTGAAAAATATTGAAACTTCTGAAGGTAAAACACGTTTCTAGCGGGAAATGTACTGAAAAATTGTTTCAAACTTCTTGCTTCATTTTCATTCTTTAAACTGAAGCCGTATGCAATGAAGGGGAAAATGATTCTCGGAAATTTTCCTGAAAATAGAAAAGGCCTGAAACTCACTATCAAATTATTGATTTCGTTTTTTTCTGACGTGAATTGATCGGGAACTTTTTTATTTCATCTCATAATTTACATAAAATAGTTTTCCTAACTAACGCACTTTCTCTTATTTACACACTCTTTGAAAATTTCAAAAAATTTTCGAAATTTTCGACCTGATCGCGACCGCCAGCCCGGCCGGCTCAGAGAACAGCAATGGAACAAATTTATAAAAGTTGAAAAAGGGAAATAATTAGCTTCTTTAAACGAAAAGGAGAACCCTAGGATGTCCCGGCCTGAAACGCCTGAGGACTTTGCACTACTGAAGCAAGAGTGCGCTACCGCATTTCTCCAAAAGTTGTGAAATTTTTCTCTGTTATAAAAATTTTTTTACTTTTTTTTTTTTTTTCCGTCAGCTGATATGTAAATTTTTAAAATTTCCCGTGCTTTAAATCTTCCGGTCACAGTTTTGGAAAGATGAGATCATTAAAGGAATCTCTTAAGACGTGTTCATCAAAGACAGCGTTTCAAAACGAAACATTTTCTTTTTTCGAAATTTTTCACCATTTCAATAGGGACCTTTCCAAAGAGAAGGCGCTAGAAAGAACTTTTTCAAAGAGTTTTCTTTCTTTTCTGGACTTCGCTCGAGAAACTTCTGTTTATTTATGTGGTATAATACAACTAAATTGAATTTTTCGAGGTAATGGAGTCGATAGAAATAAAAACGACAATCGGCATGATCGCTTGCTGCGAATGCGGGGTGCCAATAGAGCCAAACCAAGCGAATATGTGCAACGGATGTCTGAGATCCCGAGTCGACATCACTGAGGGAATCACCAGATCAAGTTATATTCAGAGTATTTTCTCGTTAAAAAATACTTTTTCAGCCACGATCTACATGTGTAAGTTCTGCGATCGCTACTTTGTGCCGCCGACCACGTGGATGCGAGCCGAACTCGAATCTAAGGAGTTGTTGTCGATTTGTCTGAAAAAACTCAAGCCAATGATGACAAAGGTAGTTTTTTCAAACATTATTTCTTTTTTTTTCTATTGAAATGATGGGAACTCGGCAGTTTTCTGAGACCCTGCCTGAAATGGCTGAATTTTTGATTTAATGAGTATGAAAAGGTCGCGAGAAATTGGACAGAAGACCTATATATTCTTCACAGGTTCGCCTCACGGATGCGGCATTCGTCTGGACGGAGGCTCATTCGAAGCGGATAAAAGTGAAGCTGACGATCCAGAAGGAGGTCTTCACCAGCACGATTCTGCAGCAATCAATGGTCGTCGAATTCACAGTCAACAATCAAGTATTGCCCAACATTGCTTTTCCATGTACACTTAGGAGTTCAGATGTGCGATGATTGCCGTCGAGCTGAAGCCAAGGACTTCTGGAGAGCCTGCGTCCAAGTGCGGCAGAAGGCCGAATTCAAAAAGACGCTTTTCTACCTGGAACAGCTTCTTCTTAAACATTCGGTTCATTCATAGTTTTCTTCTGAAAAACAAAGATTTTAGGCGCATAAAAACTGCACTGGCGTTAAACCGGTCCCGACTGGAATCGACTTCTACTTTTCGAAACTTCAAGATTCAAGAAGCTTTGTAGATTTTCTGGTGACCGTCTTGCCGTGTAAATATCATTACGCCCAGGTTTTGTGCAGAGTTTTTCAGATTTTTTAATAGTCAACGCTTCAGGAACTTGTTTCTCACGACACCAAGAACAACACTTACGATTACAAACATACTTTTTGCGTTGAGATCGTCCCCATTTGCAGGTATTTTATGGGAAAAAATTAGATCAAAGAAAAATATATATATATAACTGCGTCGTTGTCGCCATATAGATGTTCCTTTTAGGGAAAGAAAGGTTCCTTTTTTTGCTGCCTTTCCCTTTTCCACCATTTATCGAGCCTTTAAAATCCTAGAAAAAATGGAAGGCTTCTCAAAGAGACCATTTTTGATGCCTTTCTGCGGCCTTTTTTGAGCCTCTCTCTTTTAGCGACCATTATCCACCATTCCGACTTTGCCGGAGTATTATTTTGTTTTTTCTTAAGAAATAGGGTCTTTTCACTTTTTTCAAAAGATTTTCAGCAAGGGGAATCAGTTATTTTTAAAAGTTCAACATTTGGTTTTTTATTTTTTTGGGTCTCTAAACCAGTTTTGTGAAGTATCGTCTCAAAAAATAACCAGTATGATTTTATTTTCATCGTGACTCCCAACTTACCAAATTAGCAATGAGCTATGCGACAGTTTCAGAAAACAATGGATTTCAGAGACGATATCGTTTGTCTTCCGAAGAAAGTGGCCCAGCAATTGGGAAACATGTCTCAGATCGTGATTTGCCTCCGAATATCCAACGTTATTTCTCTGATCGATCCCAACAACTTGCAGATTGCCGATATACAATCGTCAGTTTCCCGAAAAATAATAGTTTTGGCTTTCCTTTTTTTCAGAACAAACTTCTGGCGTGACCCTTTTGAGTCCTTGTGCACACCGAAGCAGCTGACAGAGTTTTACGTTTTGGATGTGGAACAGGACCATAATTTGGCTAGAAAGGTGGCAATTGATCTTTTTTGTGTTCAATATGTTTTTTTTTCTCGCCAGGCCGGCCATGGTTTCGTCAGCAAGAAGCACCTTTTCGCCAATGTTTGGTTGGTTCGCAGTGATCAGGTTAGTTTTTTTTGCTGATCTCGGCATTGATGAACTAGATTTTCGTAACTAATATTAACGATTTCTCTTACAAGGAAGTAAGGGGTCAGAACTTCCTGAATAGTCGCCAGAACACTCCTCGATGTACCAGATAAGCTTTCTGAAAGTCCTAAACTGCAAAACTTCCTAGATCTTGAAAAAGGACACCTCAAAGTCAAATAAAGTTTTGAAAATCCGGTAAAATAGGCTATTTTTGTTTGGGCTTTGACCCCGGATTTCTCGAAAACTAGGGAGTTGGGCAGGTTGAGACTTTCAGAGTCTTCTTTAGGAACATCAAGAAGAGTTCTGGCCTATTTTCAGGAAATTCCCAACAGGTATATTGACCTCCCTTGAGAATCCTTAACAAAAAAATGTTTATCATTTTGTAAGTTCAAAAAAATTTGACAAAAAAATAAAGCTACAATGAGATCGTTTGAGAAAGACATCCAATCATTTTTTTAAGTTCCTAACATTTTTTTCTTTTTCTTTCTTTTTTTGTTTGAAAAAAACAATTTTTTTGAAGCGAAAAATTACTTTTGAACACGGCATCAAATTTCAATCTTGAGGCGTTTTTTTGGAAAAAAAGTTTATTCAGCGATTCTGATAGAAATTTTTGAAGGCCATGTATTTTTTTCATTTGTGACTGGTTTAATAATAGATTGGAATTTTTGAGAGTTTGAAGTTATTATTTTTGAAAAAAAGTTTCATTAAGTTCTAACTTTTTTTATTTTTCCCTACTTCAATAGTTAACTAACGTTATTGAAACACAGTTTCAAAAAAAAGTTATTTATTATGCATTATCAGTTTTTTTGAAGGTTGGAAACTCGGAAGCGCAAACAATCTACACAAGAACACATTTGGGTCATTTGCTTCATCCTGGAGATCTTGCTATGGGTTTTCAGTCTATTATTAAGTCATATAACTTCTTTTTTAAAGGTTTCGATATCAGAAACTGCAATGTGAACAATCGAGTTTTTGATGAAATGAAAGCTGACGACGTTCCCGACGTCGTTTTAGTGCGAAAGGTCAGTTTTTCGTCATGGTTTTCTCAAACGAAATATTTGATTCAGGTCTTCGACCGATCTCGACGTGCCGCTCGTCGTCAATGGAAACTGAAGCGTCTTGTCGTCGACGGAAATATCATTGGAAATGAGACGGCGTCGGTCGCCGACGAGTTCCAACGCTTCATGGAAGACGTCGAAGAAGATCCTCAGATGCGCGAGAAGATCAACATCTACAAGGTTTCCTCTTGCTCATTTAACAAAGTAATTGAATTTTGAAGGATTCGGAGAAGATGGCCCAGAGGATGATGGTGGAAACGGACGACGAAGTTCCTCCGGATGGACCGACACTGGCCGAGATGCTCGACGACCTGCACATCGACAGCGACGACGACTCCAGACGTCGCGAATCCGTCAGCGAGGAAACCATGGAAACTTGATCACATGAGGAAGCTCTCAGATTCTCTTGCTTTTGAGCAAAATTATTTACTTTTGATTGTTCGACTACCCCTGGGCAGTACACTTTGAGAAATTCCCACGAAACCTGCGTTGTTATCCTTTTCTGTTGTTCACTCACCGTTGAAACTGTTTGTTGCCTTAATTTGTTGTTTTTTTGAAGATTTACTGCTTTGCGATAAATTTTCGTAGTTTTTTGTTTTGTTAATTGTCTTTGTGAAGAGTAGAAAGAAACCGGAAATTTTTATCTATCATTCTCTTTTGGGAGGATCCCTTTTAGGGACCACTTTACCAGCCCCAAAAGCTTGCAAAAATGGCCCCTTTAGAGGTTTTCAGTTAGTGACCCCTATAGGAGACATGCTGTACGATAATTTTTATTAACTCTATGCGAAAAACTAAGAGAAATAACCTTTTTTGAATGAAGTTGAAAGACCACTATAGGGACCACTTGAGCTTTAGGGGCCAGACATAAACCCTAAAGGGATCACGTTGATTTTACCCCTATAGGGACCACTTTTTCGGCCCCTAGAGTGGTTGTTTTTACCCCTAACCCCTATAGAGACCTCTCTAAAATTCCTAACCACGTCGGTTGTAATAATCGGACGTGCGGAGTTGGTCAAAAAACGATTTTCCATGCGGCTAAACTTCACGTGAACTTCACGTGCTCATCATTTTGTGCCGCAGAAGTTTCTTTCCAACAGAAAGTAGTTGGGGTTTTTTTCTCATATTTGTGTAAACAGGCCATTCTTGTGGCGGTCTTTTGCCTTCTTTTTTTTCTCCGTCGTGGGGGTGTACGGCATGGAATCGATTTATTCGACTTTAAGTCTTCCCGTGCTCTTTGTTATTTTACCCCTCAAGAATAGGCAATTTCATGTTTCTCACTTTTATTTTCATTTTTTTAAATCTTCCTTTTTGCGTCACAGACCTCTAAGCGCCTCACTAAAGACTGAAAAGGGTATTCTTGGATAATATTAAAATAATTTTTTCGTTTTTCTGAAACTTACGCATTTTCTCACAAACTGAGGCAAAGAAAAATTTCAAAAAACAGGCAAATATGCTTTTTTTTTTCTCATGAAGTCAGACGGAAATTTGGTTTTTTCCTACTTATTATAATGCATTCGTTATTTTTTTCAAACATTTATTTTTTTAAGATTATTCATTTTGGGACGATTTTTGTTGAAATATAGTATTGGAGGTTATTTTTCTTCATAATCGTGATGAATTTCTCCACTTAATTTTATGAACTTATTAATTGTCTCGAAAAGGCAGTTTTCTACTCACATCACTTCCAAATTTAGCAGAGAAAAATTACTTTGGCCGGTTTGAGTAGGCCGTTTAAGGCGCTTAATGCGATAAAAGGCCCGCTTTGGCTGTCTGGCAAATTTTTGTGGTCAAAGTATATACCTTCTTTTTCTCAATTGACGTACAGTTTTTCTTTTTTAATTAGTTGAACAGAAGGTGCAGTGAAAACTGAGAGTTGATAAAATTACTAAAAAAAATCGGCTGCCTGGTTGTCGATATATAACACAAGCTTTTCCAGTGGGTTTTTGTCGAAGATCCTCCTTCAAACAGACACTCAGCTCTTCCGTTGTAATCTTCCGTGTTTTCATCAAATCTCTCCAAATTTCTCGGCTTTGATCAATTTCATAGACAAAGTCGGAAAAGGCTTCATAGAAAATTTTTCTTTTTCGCTGCCTTTCTGCGCCATTTCATCGGCTGTTATGCACCATTTTTGCTGCCTCTCTCTGTTTCCATAATTTTTTGTGCCTTAAAATTTCTAGAAAAATGGAAGGCTCGAAAGAGGGACTCTTTTTGCTGTCTTTTTACGGCCTTTTATGAGCTTTTTCCTTTTAACAGCCATTATCCACCATACCGTCTTTGCCCGAGTGGGTATCGGCTGGTTATTTTTTTTTCCAAATATTTCAACTTTTTTCTTAGAAATCACATGCAATATATTAGATCTTTCAGTAGTCACTTTACCGCTTTTTCATATCTCCAGAAAAAAATTACCGACGACTCTTTTTTTCAGTTTTGTTTTTCTCTGATGATCTTTTTCGTATGGCCTTGTGAAAAATATATAGTTTGGTCATAATAAGAACATAGGTAAATAAACAAGAGAAAGAGAAAAGTGAAAATGGAAATGTAGGACAAGTCGCTATTCACTTTATACCATCGGCTTTTCAAAAATTAATTGCAATTCAAATTTTTTCATGTTCCCTTGATCTCTCGACTTTGAATCTTCTCCGTTTGCCCTTTTATTATCCACAAAAATGTTCTCTGCTCTTTAACATTCTTTTTCTTTACAACCGATAGTTCTATTAATTTTTGTGTGCTCCTTGTTCTTTTCAATTATTTTTGAGTACTCTAAACTGTTCCAGAAATGGATCTCTTTTTTGAATGGGCATATTTTGTTCGAAGATTTTTGATTTATATAGTTACGTAGAGCGTGGGTGTGAGAACAGCAAATCCAGAGTTGTCATTTAGACTTCGAGTTTTTTCTTGATTTTAGTCGGATCTTGTCACATTTCGTCTTATTATTAACGAATAGTTGTAGACCTCGAATTCGGAAAAAAAGGAATATCGTATAAACTATTTCTGTTTAATCCTGATTTATAGCCTATTCCGCTTGTCACTTTTTTATTTCCGCCAAAAAACCCTATACCAAAATGCATAAAAATTGAGCATCGCTTCAAGACCTTTGTTTTTTGCTGTCTTTTTTACGGTAGCTTTTTCTTTTCTTTTTTTTTTAAACGTGACTTTCTCGCGCTTATGCACTATAGAATGGATGTCGCTTGACAAATGAACTCTTTGAAATAGTTCAAACAGTTGACATGTTTTTCATTTTATTATCCGTAAATGTACGCTCATTTCTATTTTGAGATGTGGCGGGGCATGTCTCGATGGGCGAAGGCCGGCGCCGTCGTCGGCGGTTCCGTCGTCGCCGTCTTCGCTCTCGACGTCACCAATGAAAAGCGGTTCAATCGCCAGTTGGTCCGTTGGCCCTTTTTCTCACTATCACGAAGGCTCGTTTAAGCGCAACTATTTCCGCGTTGCCCATGCTGATCGACTGGCAGAACTCAATAAAAGAACGCCCTCGGCCTTGCCAACGCGTAAGGATCTTCTCGACTCTCTCAAGGTTTTTTTTTCTCATGTTTTTGCGGAAATCAGCTCACAGGCAAAGTCTGAACGGCCTCAAAAAGCCCTTAAGAAGAAGAGAATAAAGCTCCTTTTTGAGTTTTTGAAAAGGTGCCAAAGGTTTTTCGAAATCTCTTTTTTTCTGCCTCCTTTGTTCCCACCTCCTCAAAAGGTCCTTCTCAGGAAAAAGGTCTATAGAAAAAAAAGCGCCTTTGAGGCCTTTTGGACTTTGGTTAGAAAAAGAAGATGATTTTAATTTCTTATTTTAGTATTTCAAGTTGAAAAAATATTAAGCTCTCAGTTTCAACGTACTAATCTGTCCTACATGGGTAAAGTCCAAGAGGTCTCAAAAAGATCTTCGGAAAATAAGGCAACTTTTTCTTGACCGTTTTTTGAAACGGGCCTTTTAAGAAGGAAAAGTAATGTTGAAAAAAGGAGACTTGGGAAACTTTTGTAACCTTTTTAGGAACACAAGAAGGAGCTTTAGACACCCTTTTTTTAAGGTCTTTGCGAGGTCGTTTGGACTTTGCCTATGTAGGAGCAGAATGTCCGTCTTGAAGCGGTTTTTTTAAATTCTGCCGCTTATTAGTTTTATTTTGAACCTGCTCTTTTTCTGCTTTCTCCTACTTAGTATGAAGCCTCAAAAACTGCTGGCCTTTTTCAGTCAGGAGATGAGTTTGACATTCTCATCATTGGCGGGGGTGCGACCGGCGCCGGCGTGGCTCTCGATTCTCAGACCAGAGGTTCTTTTTCTCGATTTATTTTTCTGTTCCGAGTTTCACGACTTTTTTGATTTCAGGCTTGAAGACGGCCCTAGTGGAGCTGGATGACTTCTCATCGGGAACGTCTTCCAGGTCAACAAAATTGATTCACGGAGGAGTCAGGTATCTCCAAGCTGCCATCATGAAGGCCGACATTGAACAGTACCGCATGGTCAAGGTTAGGCTTTCCCTCTTTATCGAACTTTAGTTTCGAATTTTTTTTCTGAAATTTTGAAGGGTACATTGATGAATTTGTTGGTTCACAGTTACTTTTTTCTAGTTTTTGTTACGGAAAAGTTGTTTTTCCTGATTGCTATTTCACGGGCAAAGTCCAAAAGGTCTCAAAAAGGCCTCAAAAGCACCCTTATTTCAATACCTTTTTAAAAAGGACCTTTTGAGGAGGTAGAAAAAAACGAGGCGGGAAAAAGATAGAAAAGCGAGATTCCAAGAAACTAGTGACACCTATTTAGGAGCTCGAAAAGCAGCTTTAAACTTTTCTTTTCAGGGCCTTTTCTGGGAAATTTTTTAGTGGCCACTTAAAGGGTAAAAAATGAGTGGCCACTATAGAGGTCTAAGTGCTACTACTAGACCACTGAAAATTTTAGTGGTTACTTTAGGTGTCAATGGATCAACATAACTGGTCCAATCTGTTTTTTTTTTTCTAAGTTATCAGAGTTACTGGAAGGAATACTGGATGAAAAACTACAAGTGGCCACTATAGAGGTGGGTTTAGTGGCCACTTTAGTGTCCTCTCCAAGTAGTCCTTGGCGAGCCTCTATAGTGGCCACGAAAAGTTTTGCCAGTTTCTAGGTCGTTCGGACTTTGCCTGTGAAGGTTGAAGGTTAAATGGAAAATTTTTTCGGTTTCCAGTAACTTTTCTCTAGTTTTTCTTACAAAAAAATTATTTTTTTCCAAGTAAGAATCAATTGCAGGAAGCACTTTTCGAACGAGCAAATCTTTTGGAAATCGCGCCACATCTCAGTTCTCCACTTCCCATTATGCTTCCCATTTATAAGTACAGTTCCAGTCAGTTTTGCAGAAATACCTGTCTTTTTTCTCAGATTATGGCAAATACCTTATTACTGGAGTGGAATCAAAGCCTACGACTTTGTGTCGGGCAAACGCGTTCTGAAGAACTCGTTCTACATTAGCAAGGAACAGGCTCTCGAAAGGTAATATTCTCTTCTTTCATGAATAAAATAGATTCCTCGAGGTTCCCCATGTTGAAAAACGAATCTTTGAAAGGCGCTTTGATCTACTACGATGGCCAACACAACGACGCCAGAATGAACCTGGCCATCATCCTCACGGCCATCCGACATGGCGCCAAAGTGAAAACTCTTGTCAGGCTCTGAATTTTGCTCCTTTTCAGTGCGCCAACCACGTTCGCGTCGAACGACTCAACAAGAGTGAAGACGGAAAAGTCGTCGGAGCACATCTGAAAGATATGGTCAGCTCATTGGTCCTTTGTGTGCTTGGGATAGTTATAGTTGACGGCTCGCTTGAGCCATCAAAAAAAGGGTCCTGGCACGACAGTGCACGAGATAGTACCTGGATCGTGGAGAGCGCAGACAGGCCACCCCTTTTTGCGTCTCAAGCTAGCCGTTGAACTTCACTAGTTCATTAGATAGTTTTCATGTTGAATTGTGAGACTTAAATACTTTAGAGTGGTCCCTATAGGGGCAAACTTATGGACCCTTGGAGGGTCTCCTCTAGGGACCACTAAAGCTTGCAGAAGTGGTCCCTCTAGGGTCATTCTAATCGATAACTTTCACGTACTCTTTGCGAAGAAGCATTTCCATGCGAAAAGTTGAATAAATAAGCGTGTTTACCCCTATAGGAACCACTTTTTCAGCCCCTATAGGGAATTTTTCCCTTAACCCCTATAGGGACCACTCTAAAATTCCTAAGAAGGTTCTGAATTTGTTAACGTAATGAACTTCCTTATTTGATATTTTAAGATATTTCAGTTGAAACGGAAATGCCGAGAGCAAAGTATTATTACGTAGAAACGATATAATTAAAATTTTAGAATTGTTCAAAGTTTTTTTCAGATAACGGGAGCCGAGTGGGACATCAAATCGAAGGTGGTGGTCAACGCGACCGGACCGTTCACCGACACGATCCGGCTGATGGGAGACCCCGACACCAATCCGATCTGCGCGCCGAGCTCCGGAGTCCACATCACTCTTCCTGGATACTACAGGTCCTCCAGCTCCTCATGACTAGAACATCATCCTTTTCTGGAAGTTTTCATAGCGTTCCTTATTTTTTTTTTCATATCAAAAAGCTCTCTGACAAGGTGATTCCTTGGACGCCATCCTCAAAACCTTCTTCAACTTTGACTTCAGTCCTTCCAACACTGGACTACTCGATCCGGACACTTCGGATGGCCGCGTCATTTTCTTCCTCCCCTGGGAACGAATGACCATTGCTGGAACCACCGACGCGCCTTCCGAACTCACTCTTTCGCCTCAACCAAAGGACCAAGACATCGAGTTCATCCTTCAAGTCGGAGACTTCTCTCAGCCTCTTCCCATCCGCCGGCTTTCAGGAGATCCGTGGATACTTGTCCAAGGATGTTTCTGTTCGTCGAGGCGACGTCATGAGCGCCTGGTCTGGCCTCAGACCTCTGGTCCGAGATCCGAACAAGAAGGACACCAAGAGCTTGGCCAGAAACCACATTATCGAGGTATTTATCCGTGTTTCACTTTTCTAAAATATTGCTCCAAGGACTTCATGGGGGGTCTAGTGTGAAATCAGCGAACTTCATGAAGGGGGGGTGGAAAAATGAAATCAGCGGACGGAGTATCTTAATCTAAACCCTCCCCCCCTTATTGCCAAGTGGAGACGATCCTAGAATGCCTAGACAACCTTCAAGAATAGCCCCCTCCAACTTTAACTTTGGAATAAGCATAGCAAGCCTTGTCCGGTTAAGCCCCCCACATTCCAGAATCGCCCCCCTTCCCCCTCCCATCATTCTAGAAGTTTCGCCTATTCTAGAAGTTTTTTCTATCCCATTAGAATTGAAGAGATGAGTTGCACTGGTATAATACTTGCTTATGAAGGTTGGAAAGTCGGGTTTGGTGACGATCGCCGGAGGAAAATGGACGACCTACCGACACATGGCCGAGGAGACGGTGGACACGTGCGTCAGAGAACACAAGCTGGAGCCGGTGAGCGGCTGCGTCACGCCGGGACTTCTGCTGGAAGGCGCCCACGACTGGGATCCTCTCCTCTACATCCACCTCGTCCAGGACTACGGGATGGAAGTCGACGTGAGTTTCATTTGAGAAAAAATTTTTTTTCGGCGAGACAGAATTTTGCCTAAAGGCAGTAGAAAACGTAGAAAACGGGCAGTAAAAAACGGGGTTTCGAGTGTAATTAGCACCTTGTAGAGTTTTTATTGACAAACGAACGGTGTACTCAAAAAATAACAGATATGACTACTTGACTACTAGAAAAATGCGATTTTATTTTCCTGCCTTTAATTTTGAAATATGTTTTGGTGTACCGTAGCCTTTCACACGATTTTGCGGATTTTGTGAGATATAACCGAATTTTTCCTTCAGATCGAAAGTTTCTTTTCTGAAAAATCATTTACGCACACCATTAGTAAAGTTTACGCAAAATATCGATATCCCAACCGAAAATTGTATAAAATCATCACTTTTTTACAAGAGTGGCATTTTGCGATCAAATTCTGCAAATTATACATGGAAAGAGAGTTTTTGTGACGAAAAAACTATGAAGACAGTATAGTCTGTTCAGACTAACTCCGCCCCTGCTGAGACGGTACCTTTTCGCGTCGATGTTTCATCGCGCGGGACTAATTTTGATCTTTTTCGATCTAAAAGATAGAAAAAGAGGTCAAAAAAGCACCCTTATTAAAGGGCCATTGGCATATGTAGATAAAACATTGACGCGAAAGATATTGTAGCCTTGGGGGTGGAGTTAGCTACTTGACATTCAAAATCTGAACAGACTATAGAAAAAATTAAAAATTGAAGAAAACACGAAAACCAGGAAAATTGCGATGCCTTTACTGCAAAACGCCCTTTTGGCGGGAACTCAAACTTTTTTCTATCTGAATAACTTTTTCTCCAAATATAGGAACTTCTGTAAACTTTCGAGTATACCTTTCGACAGGCAATTAAAAACTCTATAAGATGCTTTTTTCACTTGAAAACCCGGTTTTTCACTGCCCCTATGGCTTTAAGCATTCCCTGAAGAAACATTCTCATGAAAATCTCGAAGAAACATCAAAAAATTATGTATCCGTTTGACTGGAAAAATGAAGTTGATACGTTTTTCAAGTACGAAGTTTAGTGGTAAAGGTAGAGAAGAGAAGTTCCATTTATTTTCCACACTTTTTCATCAAAAGATTGTCAAAATTTCAGGTGGCGCAGCACCTGGCCAACACCTACGGCGACCGAGCTTTCGTCGTGGCTCGTATGTGCAAAATGACAGGAAAGAGGTGGCCGATCGTCGGCAACCGACTTCATCCGGAATTCCCATACCTCGACGCTGAGGTCCGCTACGCCGTCCGCGAATACGCCAACACGGCGATCGACGTCATCGCCCGTCGAATGCGTCTCGCCTTCCTGAACACCTACGCCGCGCACGAAGTCCTGCCCGACGTGGTGAGGATCATGGGCGAGGAGCTCAAATGGAACGCCGCCGAGCAACGAGCTCAGTTGGACCGCGCCCGGCAGTTCATCGACATGGAGATGGGTCAACTCGCCAAGCAGAACGCTGCCAGCAACGTTCCTCTCAACTTGACCAGGTACTGTGTTTTCTTTTATACCTTCAAAGACCTGCCAGTGGAGGGCGTATTTTTATAGGCGAAATTGGAAGGAACCTTCACGGGCCTGTTACAGGTGCTAAAGGGTTTCCTTTTTGCAGCCTTTTAAACGTCCTTCCATCGGTCTTTATCCACCCTTTTCGGACCCTTTTTAGAACCGCGACTTTTTTTTAATTGAGAATAATCTTTACAAGTGACTGTGTATGAACCAAAATAAGCTACAGTAATAAAATCGGAAATCAATAGCAGAGACTTTCAGAAGCCTTTTGCACTCTCACTCTTTCTTCACCCTTTTTGCGGCTTCTCCCTTTTTTCCCCCTTTTTTGAATCTTTTTAGCCCACCTAGAATCAAAGACTTAATAAAGGCTCTAAAAAGGGACCCTTTTAATGGCCATTTTGCAGTCACTCCCTTTTTGCGCCCGTTTTCCGCACTTCCGACTTTGGCAGTGCCTTTAAAGACCTGCCAGTGGAGGCCGTCTTATTATAGGCGAAATTGAAAGGACCCTTAATGGGCCTTTAGAGAGTTTGTTACTGGCGCAAAAGGTTTCCAAAACGGTTGCCTTTCACTGCCTTTTTCCGTTCATTCATCGGCCTTTATCCACCCTTTTCGGACCCTTTTGAGAACCGCAATTTTTTTAAAGCTTCAACAGTCCTTTTTAGCCCACCAAGTATGAATTGCTCAATAAAGGGAGAAAAATGGCATCCTTTTAGAAGTGCCTAATATGGAGTTTTTGCAGAGATGAAATGCAAATAGCAAAGGATCGGTTCGCTAAACTCGACAAAGACAAGAAGGGCCATATCACTGTCAACGATCTTCGTCGTTACTTCAGAGTAACTTTTCAATGTTTTCTGAACCCCTAAATGTTCGGTTCCAGGAGCACAACCAGAAGATTGACGAACGTGTTCTGCACGAGCTTCTCAACGAGGTCGATCTGAACAAGAACGGCGAAATCGAAATCGCCGAATTCTTCCAGGTTCTTTTACTTTTGTTGGTTGAAGTTATGATGATATTCTTCAGCTCTACTCGGGCTTGAAGGGCGGTCAGATCACGGGAAATCGGCTCGTCGGCTACCTCGACGAGCTTCACGGAACTCCCAACGTCAACCGCGCCTGCGGAGGTCTTTGAAGACTTTCTTTGTTGCCGAATATATTTATTCACGAGACCAAATATGCCTAGAATATTCAGAATTTTAATATCGTTGTGTATCAAACTCGGTTATTTTCTTCTCATTATTTAGTTTCGCTCGATCTAGCCATTCTCAATAATTAGTATTCGATGAGATGTGTATCATTCATTCAAGCCAAAAAAGAATTTCAACACTTTTAGTCAGCTTATATTGCACCCATTTCATTCAATTTCTCAACGTTGTTTGTAATTTCTCATTTTACAATCATTTTTTTGATGCTCAAATACTAATCGCGTTTTTTTCTTCCTTCAAATAGCCTACCTTTGTAAAATCGACATAATAGCTATATTTAATATATTAATGCATTGCTGCGTTTTTTTTTCTTCATGTTTGATTGCATTTCAGCCGTTTTACCAAATAAATTGTGTTTCAGGCAAAACGGCTCAAAGTTGCCACGATCACAGAAAAAAATCGACGTGCGGAAGTTAGAAAGCAAAGAAAAATACATGAATACTACAAGATTCAGACGAGGGACTAGCGTGATAAAAAAAGTTTTTTTAGAGGGAAAAATTTATCATAAATATTTGTTTTTAAGCGCTTTATTTTCACTTATCGTTTTCAAATTGCAAAAGGAAAAAAACCCAAATGACTCGCGTAAAAACTGAGAAACAAAAAAAACGAACCCATGGAAAAGGAAACACGGCTTTTGGTAGTATCATCGAGTAGGATTAATGAACTGATTATATCACATCGTTGGCTTGGTCATTGTTCAGGAAACGTCAAATTATGAACATAGAAAACTGAATTGAATCATTTGAAGCGGTCAAGCCTCGAAACGACGTCAGAACTTGAATAGAAATGGTATAAAGCTATCGAAGTCATAGGAATCGATCAAAAATACGGCACCAGAATTGACATAGGTAAAAGAAAAAAAAACTCAACCCCGCAAACTTTTGGAGCAAATAACTCTTCCAAAACGTGTAGAATCAAAACTAGAACGTAAGTAAAACATGTGAAAAGGAATGAAAAATGTTAGCCAGAATAAAGTAGATTGTAGTTTGTACAACGTCTAGTCGTTCCTAATTAGGAAAGGATGAGCTTCCGTGTTGAAGACCCACTGGTCGAGCGGCAGGACGGAATCTTCGGAGAAGATCAAGTAGAGGTACTTGAAGAGTTCGGCGAACAGGAAAGACTGCTGGACGTCGTCGTGCTGCACCGTCGACTCGTAAACGTCCTTGATCCCCGAGTAACCCACGCCCACCTTAATCGTTTTTTTTTCCCCTATCAAGTCTTTTTTTCATGGCGCAATAGGTTGTGTGCCTGACTACGGTCCACAGGGTCACAAGTTCGATCCCCGTCGCGACCCAAAGAGGTTTAAGAAATGTTGATAGCTTAGGATTTTGTAGAGTGGTCTCTATATGGTTTAAGGGAAACATAGCCGCTATAGGTACCCTATAGGAGCAACCAAACCATGGGGTTTAAGAAGTGTGGGTAGTAGGAATCCACGACTTCAAAAATCCAGGTTATTCAACTTGGGGCGCCGGCTCAAACGGTACAAAGGTACAAAAAAACTATTCTTTAAAAAAATTGAACCGGTTACTTGAGAATTTTTTTCTATTGCATCGGTTGACATACCAAAAAAATACTATTCGATTTCGATTTCTTCTTACACGTTGAATAATTGTTTTTTCTTAACAACAGAGTTTTTTTTAAATTAGAGATTTAGTAATTTTCTCAATCCTATTCAAATTCGGAGTATATTGAGTTCACAGAACCGAGCAAAATCTTCATTCGTATGGCTGAAAATGTAAAAAAAAAGGAAATTTTGAAATTTTGTCTATTTCTTACCAAACTAGCAATAATCAAAATTTATCACTATATCATTTGGATATTGGTTCTCGGGCAAAGTCGGAATGGTGGACAATGACCGCTAAAAGATGGAAACTCAAAAAAGGCCGCAAAATGGCAGTAAAACGGCCGCAGAAAGGCTCCCTTTATCATGCATTCAACTTTTCTAGAATTTCAAAGGCTCAAAAATTGGTGGGAAAAGAGAGAGGCTGCAAAAATGGTGCATAATAGCCGATGCAATGGCGTAAAAAGGCAGCAGAAAAGGAACCTTTCTCACCCTAAAGGAAACATTCCTATGGAGCTTTTTTCCACGTTTTCCGACATGAAAATAATGATTTGAAGAAACCTACCTTGCAATACTTTTCCAGATTCTGCACATGATCCCACGCCCAGTCGCGGTATTTCTCCTTCTTGGTGATGCGCCACAAATAAAACCACGTCTCGACGACCTGTAACCAGTTGTTTTTGGAGAAGAAGTTCTTCTACAACCTCAGGCCTCAAAATGTAATATCTTTCTGGTTTCGCGTCGGTTTTCGCCTCGCTGCCGCTGTTGAACCGGAACGCTTCAGGGCCGATTCCCGTCGCTGAAATCGGTCCGATAGGACAAAAAATGGATGAAGGTGGGATTACTGGCTCTGGCGTAGGATTCGTGGCAAGTTTCCGCGAGACGTTCTCCCAAATCCAAGTAATGGCTCTGAAAGGATTGATGACGACTGAGAACTCCGTGAAAAAAAGAACTTTTGCCGTTTCGTCGACCTCGTTTATCGACTGTAGGGCGAACATTCCACCGGCGAAACAAGCCAAATGTTCCATTTTGTGTTCGACGCGGTTACCTCGGAGATTCGCGAAATATCTGGAGGCGGTTTTTTTTCATGAAAACGTCGGATTCGAAATATACGTTAGCTTGTTCTCTGGCGAAACGAACAGCATTTTGCGTTCCATCGCGGCGATCGCCTCGTCATATTCTCTTTTAGTCGAGTTGTCCTCAAATAATATGAATTTCAATCACCTCACGATTCATTTAAAATTCTCATTGCTATGGAGAAAAAATTGTTCTTCTTTCTGGTTTAGAATATAAGAAATATTATTTTTTGCACGAGTATTCCTTCCAAGAGACGTAGGAGTATTCAATAACCCAAAATAAGACAAAAAAAAAATAAGCAAGAAAGAACTTCTGACTAGGAAACGTTCAATAAGACCATACATGGGATAGTCTCGGTAGGACCGGAGAAAGGGGAGGGACTCGGCAAAAAAACGAAAAAAAAGGGGGATTGGCAAAATATTATGAATAATTGATTTTTGTTAAGTTTAATTGACTGGCATAGCTATTTTTTCTAGGTTAAAAGTGATCGGACAAAAAAAGGCTTTTCATTTTCGGTTTCAGCACCATCGAACTAAACTAAAAAAATTTTTTTTCTTCGAGCATGGAGGTGCGGGGTGCTTGGCATTAAGTGAGGGTGGGGGAGGGATCATCCCACGTATGACTAAGACGCTTTGAAAGCTTGAAATGGGGGGGGGGGGGTAAAAATTGTTCCCCAGCGAGCAAACTACAAGCCATCTTTCTACTTTACTCGAGCAAAAATTATCCCGAATGAATGATATTCTCAAACAGGTGTTACTGTATGGAAAACTTTAGAAAAAATCTGAGAAAGTTAAAAAAGAACCTTTTTACCAGTAGAAATCCATTGCTTCAAGAGGTACTCGTAGAAACTGTCGGCCATGGCGCCCAATGAGAAATCGCCTTGAAAAACGGATAGAATCAATTGCGACTTGAATTCTCACGTTGTCCCCACTTGCCGGATTTCGGATTGAGATATATCGGGTAGAGACCGTCGGGCTTTTCCAGACTCGTCAACACTTTGCGCACTTTCGTCGCCTTGAAAACTTTCGAATAAAAATATAACTTTTCCTTTGCAACCTTCTCCGCAAAGACGGTATTGCCAGTTAAGTTGGACAGATAGTCGAATTCCAGTTGCAAAGAGCCGAATTCGGAGAGAATCGAGCAGCCTCCAGCAGCCCATGCGTAGTTCTTGGCGTTGCCTAAACTTCGAACCAGGATTGCAGGAGAAGTGATATTTTGAGACAAGAATTTTCCAACAAAATTTCGAAACGAGAATAGATGAGCAAGTAAAGAACTTAGCCGAGGAAGGGTTGGCTTACAAAAATTTTGGAAATTTGGAAATAAATCAAATTTCAACCTCTGTGCGGTCTTTTCGGCTACAATGATACAATTTTCAGCCTTAGGGACGTTAGTATTATTCTTAATTTAGGAAAACTTGGGAGGAGACGTCGGCGGGCCTTAAAATGGTCTGCACATGTATAAAGACGAAAATTTTCGAGAAAACTCGGGGTAAGACCGAGAAGCGAAATAACTAACCCCATATAAAAGAAAAAAAACTTAAAAGCGATCGAAAAAGCAAAATTTTTTCGTACCATTGTTGAGTAGATACAAAAGATGCAGAAAACGATGAAAATTCCAAAGTTAACAGTAATAAAAACAATTAACAAAGAAGTGAAACTTCAAATTTCGTATTTGTTATTAAAAACATTGTTTTTCGAGCGTTTTCAACCATTTTTGTCATTTTATCCGTCAAAGCTCGAATAAATTTGCTCTTCTTAAAAGTTGTAGAGTGGTTCCTATAGGGGTTCGGGGGAAAACAACCCCTATAGGGGCCGTAAACAATCCCTATAGGGGTTAAGGGTATAACCCCTTAGCCCCTAAAGCTTTAGTTATCCCTATAGGGGTCTTTCAATTTTAAAAAATGCTTAGTTTTCCGCATGAAAATGCTTCATAGGGTTCATAAAATTATCGACTAGCATATCCCCTATAGGGACCACTAACTAAAACCCCTATAGCCTGAGGTTAAACCTATAGGGACCATTCGGGAGTTCTTAAGTTGGTGCATCCGGTCCATCAAATTTCACCCCAAACTTTGGTCTCTCTACTCCTATTATGTACTGTTCCTATCTCGGAATTTTTCGAAATGGAGTCTGGTGCAACCCTGCTTTATTCGATTGATCCAAAAGCTCTCTCCAGGCGATTCTACCGAAGAACTCACCGCTCTCTACGTCGACCAGAGCGAGAGGGATGCCAGTGGGAGTGTTGAACGCCGGCAGAAGGGTCGTCGCTATTTCTTCAGCTTTTTTCAGGAACATCTACAGCATAATTATCAAGGAGGAAATGACATTTGTTTAACTTTGTCTTTGGTCAAGGCGTAGGCCGACAGGAGACCTCCCACGAAACGAATGTTCGTCTCGAAAACCGAAACTTCTCCCTTCTGGAATATATTGTTTTTGAGCATTTTTCAATAGAGTTGGAGATTAGAAAAACTCACGGCGACTTTCTTGAAGTCCAAAGACTCGTCGATCCATTTCCGAGCGTCCTGATATTCTTCCTTGAGTCCGGCGATGTACAACGTGTCCAGGGCGTCCACAATTGTGGCACCCGTCTTACCGTAACCAAATATTGAGGCCGAATGTCCTTCAATACAAGTTTCTTAGTAACTTTAGAGGGAACCTTAGGGTCCCTCTAGAAGCCACTACAGCTTCCAAAAGTAGTCCCTATAGGGGTTTCAGTTAGTGGACCCTATAGGGAGCATGCTAGTCGATAATTGTTATGAACTCAAAGCGAAGAAGCATCTCCATGCGAAAAATTGAATAAATAAACGTTTTTTGAATGATATTAAAATGCCCCTGTAGAGACCACTTGAGCTTTAGCAGCTAAGTGGTCAAATCCTAAACCCTTATAGGGACCACCTTGATTTTAAACCTATAGGGATCACTTTTTTGGCCCCTTCAGGTGCTTTTTCCCCCTAGCCCCTATAGGGATCACTATAAAACTCATAAGTCAAGCGCTTTCTTTTCATTTTTCATCAATCTTACCTCGTTTTGTGATTGGACGAAGCTCATTTTCTCCCCACGCATAGTTCTTATAACCGTCCCAAGCAAACTTGATCATCTGCAGAAAAATTTCTGATGCTCAAGCAGAAAGAACAAAAAACCTGTTTGACGAAAATTTGCCTAGAGTGAGTGTCATCACCGGCCCCGATTTCTGGCTTCGGAATTGGCGGTGGATTTATATTAGCTTCTTCAACCTTTCGCTTCAGCTCAACTTGTTCTCTTCTTCGGATTTCTTCCCTTCAAAAACAGTCAGTTTATATAAATTATTTGTAAAAAAAAAAAGTTGAAGTTACCTGACATCTGCATCTCTAATCGGGATGGCATGCTTCGCCTGATGATAGAGATAATCGTCGGCTCCGGATGAAGGCAGAAAGAAGAATGCCGTTATGCAAACTGTAATCAGGAAAAGCAGTCCGACGGACGCCACTAATTGTTCATGAGAGCGTAAGCTCATCCTCCATCCGCACCCAACCTGAAACCAGAGAAGATGAAGAGCAAAAAGGTGAAGAATTTAGCGAATCTATTGAGAAAACTTGTTGAGGATTGAAACATTTGTGCCTTTCTTGATTTGAACAAAGGCCGTATGCAAAAAAATGGGACATCATTTTCTGAAGGCCTATAACTCGCTATAACTTTTTAATTTCTACTTTCTCTGATGTAATAAGGTTTCATAAGAAAAATTAGATGAGGAAGCACACATTTAAATGTAAAAAGACGAATTTTAGTTTTAGGCAAATGGCAAAAACGTTTTCCACGTTATTGCATTTTGCCTCAGGAAGTTGATAGGCGAAGAGAGAATAAGGACACAATTATGAACCGAAAAATCAAATCAAATGTGAAATTACGCTGAAAACTTGAAAACTGACGCATTTTCTTGTTTTCACACAAACGAAATTATGCCGTGTTCAAAGTAATTTCCGCGAAAGGCAAAATTATCTCTGGCTCTCCAAAATTTAGTTATCTTTTTCTTTCTCTAACGACTATTCTGGATTTCGCGGAATGACTTTAAAGACGGCATTAATGCCGTGTTCAAAGTGATTCCGCGAAATTCAAAATAGCCGTCAGAGAAAGAGAAAGATAACTTAATTTTGGAGGGTCAGAGAGCATTTTGCATTTCGCGGAAATTACTTTGAACACGGCATAAAGAAGAAAATAATTTTTTTTTTGAAAATTTCCTCCACGCGAGCAGGAAAAATATGTTGCAAGTAAGCGCTACGGCTATCCCTCCAGGGACTGCTTTAATATCCTAAATGATCGCTTCAGGGATGATTTGCTCTTTTCGTCATAAGATAACCTGTTTTTTTTTCAGTGTAATGTTTCTCTCTTGTTTGAAACTTGTTATGTACGAATCGAACATAGAAAAAAAGTCAGTCTATCTTCAGAGTAGGTTCCCTTTCACGTCATTCCAATTAAATGTGTACTTTGAACATATTCTCATAGGAACAGCCCTCATTCACGTGCCTTGCGTCTACTTACTCTTCCCTTTCTTTGCTATCTTGCGTTTGCCAGGACTACGTCGAGGTTTTTTTTTTGTAATAAACCAAGGAGTATGAACTTTCCATTTCTGCCTGACATGTGACCTGTCTTCCCAATTGTTTTTCCATTCATTTTTGATTCGTTTTTCTATCTGGTCGGCACATTATCATTGCCATAAACGTCAGTTTTCGCGTCGCCTTTCTTAATCAATGAAATTATTTCGAACTTCATTTTGAAGATGCATCGTTCGATAGCGCCGCTGAGGGTATTGGCTCGTGCTGGCTCCAGAAACAGCGAATATGCACGGGTGTTGGCCCTTCGTTCTCCCTCGGCCAGCAGGTTTTCGCGGAAGAAAAATATTTAACATCAGATTGAAAATATCTTTTCAATCTATTAAAATCATTGTCTTTTTGTATAATGATAATTGTGTAGGTTGAATGCGCGGGGCTGTTCCTCCAGTTCTGGCGGGAGCAACGATGGCAACGGCGGCGATCTGACCACACCGACCAACAAGCCGACGACCTCTTTGGGCAATTGCAAGCACTGCTCCAAGCCTTTGAAGCCTCTGCCAACGCTTACTCGTTGGTTTTCCATTTCTCATTTCCCGGGTTTTTCGAGTTATTCGGATAATTTTACAGCGTTTTTTTGATGCAAAAAAAAAAACTTGCCATCATAACCTTCCCGATAAAAATTAGAGGGATCCAGGTAAAAGTAATTTTTCAGCTTCTTCGCGTTACATTCACTGTGACAACTGCAAAAAGCTGTACTTGGCTAGTTTCGCGGAGGAAAACTCAAAAAATTGGAATATCAAGAATGAACAGCGAAAAAGTCCGCCGTATCCTTCACAGGTAGGTCAGACTAGCCTGATATTTGAATATTCCATTTTGAATTCTACCTGTGGCTACCGACATTCTTACGAATTTTAGAGAGATCCCCATAGGAGTTACGGAAAAAGTGGTCTCTATGTAAAAGGTGGAGGTGGTCCCTTCAGGGGTCTTTCAATTTAATCCAAAAAACGATTTTTTATTCATTTTTTCGCATGGAATAGAGCTCATAGAAGTTATAGACTAGGGTGCCCCTATAGGGACCACTTTTGCAAGCTTTAGTGACTCCTCTAGGTGTTGGTAAAATGCCCGCTCCAAGGGCCCCTAAGGTTGCGCCTATACCACTCTGGCGACTCTAAAGAATTATCTCTCAAGAAAATTTTAGTTTCCGAGCTTCAGTTCTTCCAAAACGCCTCATTGAGTAAACGCTAAATGATTTATGATTATTGTTCATTCAGGATCAGCTTGAGGCTCTAAATGAGAATGTTCACACATTCAGATTTAGTTCCGAAAAAGAGAAGATTTTTGATCTTTCTGATGTTTCTTTGCTCCCAAGCTAGTAGTAGATGTAGTGGCAGGCCTCAGATATCTTTTCCGGAAAAAAGGCAGCTTTTAGATTGCCGAGTACTTGGACAAGTTTGTCGTGGGCCAGAAACAGGCGAAAAAGACGCTGGCAGTTGGAGTTTACCAGCATTATCGACGTCTCGAACACAACATCGAGTCGGGTGCGGGTTCGATCCATCAGTCGGCCGCCCAGAGAAACGCCGCCGAGGACTCGAAAGTCCCTCGCGGAGTTCTCTATCAGGTCTGATCTTTTTCAAGTTTAAAGTAATATTTGATCGTAAATGTGCTTTTTTGACTAGAAAAGAGTAATTTTTACTTAAAAAATTAATTAAAAATTAGAGAGAGCCGAAAAAAATCAGATCTATGGGAAAATCGATCATTCAATAGGAGTTATCACCTAAAATGATGGTTTCTTACCTGCAGGACGAAATGCGCCTTGGGCAAATGGCAACTAACGAGCTTCGACCCACTCCCTACATACAGCAGGTACCTTTTAAAATTTTTTTTTCCAGTTAAAAAAGCCTTCTCTTGAAATTTTTCGCAAACTTCTAAAAAATCATCGAAATCGTCTTAGTAACCCTTAATTCAATTCAAAATTGATTAAATTGGTATATTTGAATTTTTACCTTTTTGTTATGGTTTTTGAGGAAATTGAAAAGAAATCTTGTTATTTCGTCTTTTCCTCTTGACCGAGGTTGTCCAGTTTAATTTTTTTAAAAAAATAACGTTTTGAATGAGAAAAAAAGTAAAAAGCAATTATTGTCAGCTTTTTGCATGGTTGTACTTATTCGAGTGAGAACTCCGTTGATTTCAGAACATTTCAATCAGCAACGCGGGCGCGGTCCAACAAGCGCCGGTCAGTCGAAGGGCTCCCCCAACCTTCAAATCCTTGCCGGAGAACGAACCGACTGTCCGACTCGAAAAGTCCAATATTCTACTCATCGGTCCTTCCGGAGTCGGCAAAACCTTCCTCACACAAACCCTCGCCAGGTTTTCGCTTATTGGGAGGAGAAAAATCATGAAAATCAAAAGAAATACAATCATTTGAGGTTTTTGGTTAGTCTACTATGGCTTTTCTAAATGAATGTATACGGTTTTTTTTATCCATTAATTTTCATAGGCAAAGTCGGAAAGGGTGGAAAAAAGGTCCATAGGAATTTTTTTTTTTGCTGCTTTTCCCTTTTCCCACCATTCCTTTAAAATCTCATAAAATAGAAGTCTTTCATTCATCAAAAGTTCTTCTGTTCAGAGTTCTGGACGTTCCGATTGCTTTGTGTGATTGCACTTCCATGACACAGGCTGGATACGTCGGAGAAGACGTCGAAAGTGTCATTCAGGTGACTGAGCGATTCTGAAGCATATTTTTATTTACGCTTCAGAAATTGGTCCAAGCAGCTGGAGGAAATGTCGAACGGGCACAGCAGGGAATCGTCTTCCTTGACGAGATTGACAAGGTTTTTGATAGTAGACTCGCAGAATCTGTTCACGATTCCTGAATTCGTAGTAAAAAAAAAGGGCTTTTCTCGTAAATTTCTACTGTATTACGATTATTCGAACGCCACGCCCATTTTTTTTCTCCGTAAAGTTTGGTGTGTTGTGTGCACGCACTGCGCCGGGTTTGCGCAGAAAAATTGCGTTTGTGTAGAGAAATCGAACGTCTTTTTTTTTTAAGATTTTTTTTTTCTTTCCAAGATTTTTTTTTCAAAATTTCAGATCATAATTTAAAGAGTGGAGACAAGAAACTATTCCCCCCTTCTCTCAAAAAAAAAAATGCGACAATTTCTCCGCTTTGAAGATTGCCGCTGCACAAGAAGGTCACTCGGCAGCGTACCGCGACGTGTCGGGCGAAGGCGTCCAGAACGCCTTGCTCAAGCTGGTCGAAGGGACGGTTGTCAACGTGAAGAGCGGCAGGAAGAGCGTCGGCTCCCAACAGGACACCGTCCAGGTCTCTGGTTCATCATCTCTTCCGACAACACGAAAGTTCAGGTCGACACTTCTGACATCCTTTTCATCGCCTCGGGAGCTTTCAACTCACTCGACAAGATTGTTGGTCGACGTCTGGACAAGAAATCTCTTGGATTTGGTGAGAAGACCTCTTTCAGAAAAGTGAAGCATGTTCTATAGGCTCCTCTTCTGGTTCAATGAGAGTTTCGACGGAAGATTCGAATGCCGTGGCAATGAAAAAGAGAGACGAACTGCTCTCCAAATCTGACCAGGTTTTCCCCCCTTGAAATCTTCCATCTCTTGATTGTCAAATTTCAGGGCGATTTGATCAATTTTGGCATGGTCCCAGAACTTGTTGGCCGTTTCCCTGTTCTGGTTCCCTTCCACTCTTTCGATAAGCAGGTTTCCTAAGAAATGGGCCTAACGTCTCCAACCGTCTTTAACTCTCAGATGCTTGTTCGAGTTATGACAGAGCCGCAAAATTCGCTTCTCGCACAGCTCAAATTGCAATTCGCCATCGACAATGTATGTCCATAAGCGTTGAAGGGAAAATATTATTTCTTTCCAGGTCGACCTTTCGTTTTCAGCAGAAGCCCTTGAGCAAGTGGCGCAGAACGCTTTGGAGCGGAAAACTGGTTATTTTGCATCCATATAGAGAAGTGATAAAGATCGTTTTTTAAGGAGCTCGAGCGCTTCGATCGATCCTTGAAGCCGTTCTTCTCGACGCAAAGTTCACAGTTCCTGGAAGCGACATAGAGTCGATCCTCGTTACGAGGTGAGGAAAGACTACTTCAAGAAGGAAAAAACACAAAACGGTTCTAGAGAAGCTGTGCGCGGTGAGAATCTCGTCGAATACACAAGACGACAGCGAGTGGAAGAAGCCGCGGACGACGAGGAGGCTCAGAGAAAAGCGGCGTCGGCTTGAAGTTCCACCCACGTATTTCACTAGACTCCTGAAATATTTTTGTTTTAATTCTACAGCTTATGGGTCGCATGGTTATCAATATTTCCTATCATTTTCAATATCTAGCCTCTCACGTACGGTTCTTGGACGTTTCCCCGTTTCTTTCTTCTAGTTTTGTGGTCAAACCCGAGAGTTAACTCGTGATATAGAAGGTGGCGCTGAGAGCACGACCTCACTCATTTTTGCGTAGGGCCTTTGTAAATACCTGTCGTATGCCTGTGACTCATGTACAAACTTGAATAAATTGCTCTGGAATTCATCAACAACAAGGAACAGCTTCAACAAAAGTTGCTACAACAAAAATGAATTTTCCATTTGTGAAGGGTACTGTAAGCGAATGTGCGCATTTCGTGTATGCACTCTGTGTGTTTACACACTCGTTGCTTGAATTTTCTTTTTCTTTCTACAACTTGTCTTTTTTTTCGATGATATTTGCACAATCGAAAACATATCCGAAAAAAAATCGGATACAAAAAAACTACGACACGGTGACGCCACGCAACAAGACTGTAAACACACAAAGTGCATGAACGCGATTCGCATACAGTACTCTTCAAAAAAATGGAAAACACGCTCTTTTCTTAGAAATCAACAAAAACAATTTTGGAAATAACAACAGAAAACAAAAATCAATAAAGTGGGAAGTCACATTAAAATATACATATACTATGATGGGTCGAAAGAACTGAGAATATCTTCCACTGAAGTCTCTCCCTGCCGCAGCTCTGTAGTCTGAAAGGAGGATTCGATTTGAAAAGAAAAAAAAAGAAGCTCACTATCTGAGGCGCAACTCGGCGTTTCTTGGCAGGAGTCTGGTTTTTTTCTTCCGAGTTCTAAAAATTAATTGTTCCACAGAAATCCAACTATTCGCTACCAAAGCGGCTTTTCTCGTCGTTTCTAACGGAGCAACAACGGCGACTTGCGTTATTTCGGTCACTTCTTCCACTTCGTCGTCATCGGATGAAGAGTCAATCTCGACGACGTCCGTTCTGTATTTCGCGCTTTCTACGGGTTTTTCGACTTTTTTGTCATCTCCAACCGGCTGAAACGGCAATATGATAGAAAAATGACACAGGGAGCATAAGAATTAATAGCGGTAGGAAAAAGTTCAGAATACAAACGATTCACGGCTAGCTTGGGACGCAAAAAGGCGTGGCCTGACTGCACTCTCCACCAACCAGGCACTGTCTCTTCTCTTTTCGTGGCGGGACCTTTTCAAGATGTTTTAAGCCAGCCGTGAATCAGCTATAGAAGCTTTTGGGTCAAACTTGTACACAAATTCATGAAGACAGCAAGATAACAAACTATGCTCAAAAAAAAAAAATAGAAACAACTACCTCCTTACTAGGAACAGGGTTTTCGAGTTCAGCAGCGGCTATTCGACGAGGCGCAACGGATGCCAAATTCTACAAATGGATGAAAAAACATTTTAAATGATAATCATAAATTATGCGAAGATCTCTATGCCGTGTTCAAAGTAATTTCCGCGAAATGCAAAATGATCTCTGACTCTCCAAAATTTAGTGATCTTTTCCTTTCTCTAACGGGTATTTTGCATTTCGCGGAAACTACTTTGAACACGGCCCTATAGAACGCTGATAAAACTGACATGAACTCGTGGCCGAGCCGCCAACTGACACAAGGAACGAAGGTGGCAGGCTCTCGGACACTGCGAGAAAACTTCCTGAGACATCCGGGCAACGATCGACTTGGCAACCTTCGAATGAACATCGTAAAGAGGTCTCCGTGTCACTCAAGTGTTCACTTGCAAAGGAGGGGGGACAAACTCGTTGGTGCAGACGAGGAACGAGGCCAAAATCTGGAGATAAACGGCAGAATTCGGCCGCAGGAAGGCCATCTGCAAGAAGAAGAGTGGAAATATTGAAAAACTGAGAAAAAAAATCTTCTAAGATTTGTAAGAAAGGATCGAAAAAAGTCTAAAAAGAATCAAATCATAGATGGGCATGTACAGAACTGATTCAGCCCCTGATGGGTTGGCTCACAAAAATATTGGAAACTTAGGAATAAAATCAAATTTCAACCTCAGGAAGGAAGTTTTGGCCACAAAAAAATAACAAAAAAATCCTTAGGAAAAAAATTCCGTTTCCACAGATCAGCTGTTAGATTTATTTGATTGTCTTGATGTTTTTTTTTTTGTATTTGTCGTGCTGATTGCGGAATGGCGAATAAACACTTGAAATGAAATGAATGAATGAAGAAGGTATTATTAACATTAATTCAAGAAAACTTGGGAGGAGGGGTCGGCGGACATTGAAAATGGTGTGCAAATATATGGATCAAACTTAAAGCTACTTCACAAACTTGAAAATTCATTTTTCGGAAAATTGAAGATAATGAAGGTCGCGTATAAAGATAAACCTTTTCAGAACGTTTGAGTGAATTTTTGAAAAAACTTCGAGCCGACCAGTACAGTGACTTTTCACAGAACGTCCTTACAGCTTAAAGAATATCAGAAAATTTACAAACCTCAGCAACACCTCGCTGAACGGTGATCAACACTTCAGGCTTGATAAGCGCTGACGAGCCTTCGATGATGTCGGAAAACAGAGGGCCGATGAACGACGCATACTCCTATCCGAATACATTTCTCTCTCATTATAAATGATTACCAGATCATCAAAAGGGTGTTTCAATGCGCTGTAGATGACGTAGAAGTGTTTGTAAAGAGTTGAGGTGATGGGTCCGAAATTTTGAGAGATGAAGCACAAGGTTTTCATCAGATCCGAGTCGACCTCATCAAGACGACTCATCAACATGAAGACAATACGTGGCAGCTAAATCGAGTCATCCATCTAACTTAGGATCTCCAGAATGTTCCCCATAGGGGCAACCTTAGGGCCCCTTGGAGGGTCCTCTCTAGGGACCACTTTATCAATAGGGGCCACTAGAGATGGCGAAAGTGGTTTTTATAGAAAACATGCTACTCGATCATTGCTATGAACTCTACGTAGAAAAACATCTTCATGAGAAAAACTGAAAAAATAACGTTTTTTGAATGAAATTGAACGATCTCTATAGGGACCACTTAAGATTTATGCGCTAGAGGGTCAGATCTTAAAACCCTATAGGGATCACCTTGATTTTACTCCTATAGGAACCACTATGAAATTCCTAAATAAGCTCTTAGAAATAATCAATGGAACCCACCAGAGGAGAAACGGAGGTCTTGGCACTTGCGCAGAGAGCTCTGAGTGAACGGAGCGCGCTTCCTCGCGATTCCTTCCGTTGGATTCCCTCTTCGATCACCTGCAGTATTTCGTTCCTAGGCACTCCCGTCTCTGAAAGATTTCCTGTTTTTAGGGAAAAAAAAATCGAAAAATACCTGGCTTGGTTACAACGGTGAAAGATACGGAAAGACACTCGAAGAGGACGGAAATCAGCGAAGAACGATGGGTTGATACTCCGAAGGTTTCTAGCTCGAGATGAGCTGTAAGATTTGAGAGATGAATGACTCGGGCACATAAGGAATGGTGGATAATGGCCACTAAAAGAGGCGGCTCAAAAAAAGGTCGCAGAAAGGCAGAGAAAAAGAGTCCCTTTTTCGAGCCTTTCATTATTTCTGGAATTTTAAGAGTTCAAGAAATAGTGGAAAAAGGAAGAGGCGGAAAAAATGGTGCAAAAGAGCCGATGAAATGGCGCAAAAAGACAGCAAAAAAGGGACTGTTGTCTCCTAAAAAGGCTCCTCTCCCAAAAAATTTCTATGAGACCTTTCCCCCCCCTTTTTCGACTTTACCTTTGAGATAACTCAAAACAACAAAAACTTCAAGAAAAAAATCTAAGAGGAAATTTTTGAAGAAATTATCTAAAGAAAGACGTTCAATCAAATTCATCAAAGTTTAAATATTCATTCAAGATTTTTTTGAACGAAATTTTTTTGAAGTGAAAAAAAGATTAACGACACATTTCGAGCAGCTAAAAAAACTGACATAAATCTTTCTACTCTAGTAAAAAAAGCAAATCCTCAATTTTCTTCCGCTTTTTTTCTAGTAATATTTTTCAATGTTATTGACTTTCTAGAATCATCAAACGCTGACAAGCAGAAGTTTATCAAAATGAAAGAAAAACTTTGGCTCACCTCCCGGTTTACGCCGGATCGTATCTCCGTTCAGGAGACTTTTCAGAGAAGCCAACAGAGAATCCAACGAGGAGCATCCAAATCGAAGCGCGTAAAGCTCTGCTGCCAGATACCTAGAAATATATCTTACAAATGGAAATTTAGAAGGAAAACCTGAAATTGGGATCGTTTGTGAGGACAGCCGAGTCGATACATCTGAGCACGATTGTTCTGACAACGGCATTGTGCAGCTCTCCGCACTACAAAGTAATTTTTCAAATCATTTATCTTGAAAGAAACATTCATTTTTCAAAATAAACCTGTGGATTTCTGACGAGCATCTCTCTAACAAATAACCCTGCCGCAAACGAGAAGTTTTCAGAGATGGACGTGAATTTTTTGCCGAGGCGCGATTGAATGGTACGCATCGTCTGGGCGGAACATCTGAACTTTTAATTTTAGACCGAGATTTTTTTTTTTCGCATACTTAGAAACCATGCGGCCGAGCAGCAAGTAACCCATTTCGAGTTCTTCTTTCGATTCGGACATTGTCAACTTTAAACATTGCTCGAAAATCTGCAAAAAAAAGTTGATGTTTCGAAAAAAAAAAGAAATGAACCTGAAGCTCTCGATCTTCCTTCACAGTCAAACTCGTTTCTGCTGCTAATTTTTCCATTCTAAACCTTTGTATAATAGAAAATCACTGAGTTATTCAAAAAATAAGTCGTTAAGGACTGGATTCGAAAAGACCACTAAGTGAGAAATGGCTGTGAATTGATTGATAGTCACAAAAATTTATTCATCGATAAAAATCTCTAATAAAAAAACACGCTGCTGAACAATGAATGAGCAAATCTACATATTCCTAAGCCGAGAGCGCATCTTTTTTCGCCTTTCTTTGCAGAAGCCTTCGTTCCCGTTCGAACTCCTTGAAGAAAAGGTATTTCGTTGACTAGAAAATGTTCAAACCTTGATTCTCATGATATAATCGTCGTACTCGCACTTATCCCAGGCGCCCCGCTGTCCGTCACAAGCATGACCGGCGAACGGAGCATTTTTCGTCTGAAAACAACAAAATAATGAAAATAACACAAATTATTCAAAAAATTCCGTTGCCGAATCCACTCACCTGACATTTCATCAAGTCAATCAGCAAATGAGCACAGTAGTCACGCTGACCGGGCTTCAATCGCCACTGTTCCATTTCTTCCCAAGTCGCTTTCATTTCACGTACCTTAAATCTTTTTTTGAGCCTTGAGACTTTTCGTGAAGAAAAATACCTTCCGAGGATGCTCAAATCCATACTGAGGGTCGAACGTTGGCGGTCGATCAACTCGAGGAGCGATTTCTGGCTCAAAAGCTCCTTCAAGGGACACAGATAGCTTTGTGCCCATCCCTGTAAAAAATTTAAAATTCTAAAAAAACTTCAACTGAATAAAAACACAGAAGAAGGCTAATCTTGATGAAAAATAATACAGAAGTTCAACAAAAATCAAAAAAACAAGAAAATAATTCTCTATCAAATAATTGTCTATCGGACAGAATTTTTCAAGCGTTATCCTTGAAATTAATTTCCTTTTCTTTAATCGCGCTTATTTTTGTCAAGATAAAGTATTATGAAGAGATATTTAACAATTTTAAAAAAAGTTTAAAGAAAAAAATTTACAAAAAAATAAAAAGAAAAAAATTTGCGCAAAGTGTCCTTAGAGCACAGTTTCCTCTTTAACACGGAGTATCGTTTGAAATAATTTTTACGTGATGTTTGCAAGTCTTTTTTTACACTCATTTGCGGGAAAACAACCAACAAGAGACATTTTGCGTCCGTTTCAACAGAATCGTTGTTTCGAATCTCGATTCTCGATTAATATTTGGTTTTTTTAAAAAGAAACAGATACATTTAGTTTTTGTATTTTCTTCAAAGTTAGATATTTTAACTTTTTATTCATGGAGGGTTGAAAAATTATTTCATTTTTATAAAGTATATCAATTTTTAGAATGTTTTTACAGCACTATGAACTCGCTCCGTTTGTTCGCGCATCCGATCTCTAAAGTTGTCAGCAGTAGAGTAAGTTATTGGGTCTTTGAACAATATATGAAATAATTCAATCGGTTTATTTTGATAGCAAAAAAATTTGTGCAGTAATAAGCGATTTCCAGACAATGGCCTCTCATCCGCTTTCCGATCTTTTGGGGCGGCTAAACCATGTTGCCATTGCGACTCCTGACCTCGAAAAAGCTTCCACTTTTTACAAAAATCTCGGAGCCAAAGTCAGCGAAGCTGTGGTATTAAAAAGGCTACTTGGGCGTTATAACTACTCAGTTTAGCCACAACCTGAACACGGCGTCTATACTGTCTTCGTCGAATTACCAAACTCTAAAATTGAGCTTTTACACCCGTATGGAGACAAATCACCCATCCAGGTAATTTTGAGGATTATTTGTTTTGAGATGGTGGTATGAAATTTAAAAAAAACCAGCGAATTTTCGAACTTTTAAAGGATTTATTTTCATATCGCTATGGAACTTTCCGACGGCCACCTTTCCGACTTTTTTCCCTCATCTTTTTCGGTTTTTAAAGCATCTATAAAATTTCTTTTTCTTTGTGTTTTAATCATGAACCAACTACCTATTTTATACAGGAAGGTTCAAAACGAAAAGTTTATCGAGAAAAAAAAGTCGGAAAGATCCCTAGAAAAATGAAAAAAATCGGAAAATTTCGATATTTTGCTGGTTTTCGTTTCGTACCATCTTAGAGCTTGCTTTTGTGAAAGGACTCGCAACTTTGCTGCTTTCAGGCCTTCTTGAACAAAAACAAGGACGGGGGTATGCACCATATCTGCATCGAAGTCAAATGCATTAAAAAGGTCTGTATATAATTATTTCATTTTATCTTAAGAAAAAATATACATATATATTTTGCAGGCGATGGAGACAGTGAAATCGAAGAAAATAAGAACTCTGACGGAGAAGCCGAAAATTGGAGCCCATGGAAAAGATGTGGTTTTCCTGCACCCCAAGGACTGCGGCGGAGTTCTCATCGAACTCGAACAAGAATGAAACGTTTGAATTTTTTTTAAAAGTGTATTCATAGCAAAATTTTCTACTTTAATGCACTGGTGCCATCATTAGGTCACTGATTTTTCTTGTATATTCTTTGTACGTCCCGGTTTGCCAGTTCACTTTGCCTCTGTGCTTCGGATCATAAACTTCTTTTCAATGGATAATCACAAAAGAAGGAAACTTTATTGGGTGTCAGTGTCGTACTGGAGTGTGGGAACGTCTGAAGTCTGAACTATGTTAACGTTGAAGTTCGAGTAGTCGTTCATGAGCTTCTTGAATTCTGAATTTTCAAATTGAAAAATACCAACTTCTCATGCCATTCACAGATACGTCATTGTTTTCCTCATATCGCGACCTAGGTTTCTTGGCTCCGCCCATTTTGCTTTTCGAACATCTGTTTTTGGTTTTGTTTTATTGTATTCATGCCCAAAACAATTTTCAGAATTCCTATTCCTTCCAATGCTTTCCTACGTGTGAGTTTTCAATTTACGTAAATAGGGGCTTTGAAACCACGCCTTCAAATTAAATATCATTTAGTCGTTTTTTGAGAGTTCTAAAACATAGGCAAGTCGGAAAAGGCTCTATAGAGATTTTCGCTTTAGAGTGACAAAGGTTCTTTTTTTTGCTGCCTTTTTGCGGCTCTTGTGCACCATTTTTGCTGCCTCTCTATTTTCTCACCATTTCTTGACCCTTTTAAGTCCCAGAAAAAATGAAAGGCTCGATAAAGGAACCCTTTTTGCTGCCTTTCTGCGGCCTTTTTGTAGCCTTTCTGCGACCTTTTTGTAGCCTTTCTGCGGTCTTTTTTGAGCCTCTGCCTTTCAGCAGTCATTATCCACCACTACAACTTTGACCGTGAAAAAAAAATTTCGTTCAAAACACCGGTAAACTTGTTTTGGTAAATGACCTCTAACTGTTTTTCTCACGAGCGTCGATGAGGTGAAAAGGCTTACAAACCATTCTCTCAAAACATCTCTTTTTGCCCCATTCCCATCGTGAAAAGACCATTTCTCTCTGTTTTCTGACTATCTCTTCCGTACAGGAAGATGTGCACGCACACACTGAGTCATCAATCGTTATTCCAGCCTTGGAACCTAAAATAAAAGAAAAAAAACTCGCCCGTGAGGTCGAGAAGACCATCTTCATTGGCGTCGCTCGACGAGAACGCCTCTCGCCAGTTTTCGTCGGGCACCACTCTCAACTGAAACTTTCCCGTTCTCTCTCTCTTTTTTCTTTTCTGTGATGGATATTTTCGAAATGGCTTAAGTGACCTCTCTTCTACTTGAGGGGATGAACAGTTTATATCACCCTATCTATAAAATGGAAGATTTTTTTTTCTACGAGAAATTTAATTTTTTTTTTCAAAATTGAGATCGATGAGTTTAGATTTTGATCAATGCAGATAAGAAATATACGCTCCTTCTTTTTCAAATCACATGAACTTTCAAATTTTTACATCTTAAGTTCTCTTTTTTATAAAAAGTCGGCTTCAGCCAGGTGTAGTTGTAGAGGTCAATGTTCTAACTGGGAAAATTTTTAGTGGCCACTATAGAAGCTCGCCAAGGACTACTCGAAGAGGACACTAAAGTGGTCACTAAACCCACCTCTATAGGGGGCACTATATTCCGTTTTAGTGGCCACTTGTAGTTTTTCATCCATTATTCCTTCCAGTACATGTGATAATTTTAAAAAAAAACATATTGGACCAGTTATGTTGATCAATTGACCCCTAAAGCGGCCACTAAAACTTTTAGTAGTCTAGTAGTAGCACTTTGACCTCTATAGTGGCCACTAGTTTTTAATCCCTTAAGTGGCTACTAATTTGACTACTATAGTGGAAACTAAAACTTCAAAACCCTATAATAGCCACTAAAAATTCTCCCAGTAAGAATAAAGAAAACGTTGCATCAATCACAATCTTTCACTTCTCAAAACTTCTTTTCAACTGACGTTGTTGAACGCGAATCTGTCGGCCTCTTGTTGATCCACGACCCCATCCCTGTTGGTGTCGGCGTCCTGCAAAAACATTGTTGATTGGGGACTACGCATGTGAGAGATTTCAGATCGTTCCGTTCGCCGAACAAACACCGCCATCCGACCCCAACATGTGCGTTTTTTTCTTTTCTTTTTTCGCTTCTTCACTCCTTTTCAGCTTTCCTTGCTTATTCTCCTTGTTTTGTTTATACAGTTGAGTACCTCAACCATGCTGTCGGTCGCTATTGTGTCCTTGAGCTTTTTTTTTTCTCGTTTTCTCTCGTCGGAAACCGAGTTCACAAAAAAAAAAACAAGTAAACCAGTTTAAAAAAAGGTTCAATACTTTCCAAAGATTGGTCTAAAGAGTTTTTGATATACCAGATGTAGATTCTGAGAGGCTTAGCTTAAATTCATTTTAATTCCGAGCTCCCAAAATATTTTTTCATGTACCATTCATGTATAGCTGCAAAGTCATGACTGTAAGAATTAAAAAACCTGATTTTTTACAAACCTTTTTTCGCAGCTTCGAGCTAAAATCGACCTTTCATAATTTTAAAAATCATGACAAGGGCAAAAACTGGGAAATTTTTAGTGGCCACTATAGAGGCTTACCAAGGACTACTCGGAGAGGACACTAAAGTGGCCACTAAACCAACCTCTATAGTGGTCACTATTTTCCGTTTTAGTGAACACTTCAGTAGTTTTCATCCAGGTTTCCTTCCATTAACTCTTATAACTTTAAAAAAAACAGATTAGACCAGTTATGTTGATCTATTGTTTCCTAAAGTGGCCACTAAAACTTTTAATGGTCTAGTAGTAGCACTTAGATCTCTATAGTGGCCACTAATTTGACTGCTACAGTGGCCACTAAAACGTCAAAACCCTATAGGGGCCACTGAAAATTTTCCCAGAAGCTCAAAACAAGGTGGTCACAGTTAAAAGCCGTATTTTTTTTTATCCCACACCAAGAAACCACTTTTCAAACTTTCAAAAACAAACAAGTAAACAGAAGAGTCAACTGTTTACCGTTAGATTTTCGCACCTCTTGTTGTTTTTGACGCATCTTTTCGATTCAAAAGTGCGCCGTTGCGTTTTTCTTTCGTTTTGATGAAACATTCTGAGAGAATAGGGTCCTACCATAAAACTCGTGTCCAGATAGTTGTCGAACATTGACTGGACTCGCTGCATCGAGCTCCTGTCGTAGGCTTCCAGCTCCTCTTGACTTACAAGTCCGTCTTCTAAAAAAAAAAACTTCAATTTACCACTCACGGCGCTTTCAGAACTACTTTCGCCCGTCAGATATGATGTTTCTTGTGCATGCACCCCGACGAAATTTGACATACTTTAGAAATTTTGATGAGCATATTTAAAAATGATTAATTGATCAGAAAATATACAACCTTGTGAAGTATTTGAATCAGTCGATACGGAAAAAAAACTTACTATTTGTGTCGATATCATCGAAGCAGCTCCTGGCAATGTTGGCCTTGCACTTGTCGGTCTTCACAAACTGCTCAAAATCCATTCCACGAGATTCGTTCTTCGAACTTCCAATGAGTTCCTCGGCGACTTTAGCCAAGGCGTCGGCCAAGGTCCCGTCCACGTCGTAGACGTCGACTTCGACGTAGTCAGGGCTGAATGGAGCGGCAGAAGTCGAAAAGACGAACAGTGGGAAGAAAAACGCCGTTTTCCACATTACTTGCGAGTCGAATGGAAGATATTGACTTGCGGAGTTCTTCGGGTCAATTTGTGTACCTTCTTAGAAGCTTCAAATATTTGGAGATTTTCACATTTAATCTGCCACCAACGTTTCAGCATCATTCGAGGCGAAATCTTTCATTTAATTTAAAAAGAAATGGAAGAATTAATTTTTCTAATCTTCTACTTGGTCAAAAAAATGATGATGGGTTTGAAGACACATAAGTATCGTTACTAAAAGATCCATAAATATACTGCAAAAAGTCTCAAGACAACTTAATTTCATCTCTGATCATTCAATTTTCCGAGAACTTTTTCGTCGTGAATTGTTCTCTGAAGAAACACTTTCACTTACTCAACCGTCAGGACAAACTGAATTTAATCCCAAAAGATGAGTAACCTCAGGAACGTTTCAAAGAACCGGTCCTCTACTTTAATTGCCCATACGGTCTTCACCGAAAAGATGGGTCCGCCAGTTTTGCGATCATCGATTTTTTTAACCTCTTTTTGTTTTCGTTTTGTTTCGTCGGTCGGACAACTGTTTTCGACGTTTTTCGATTAGATTTATTTGTTTCTTTGAAAAATGTGTAATCACGTCATAAATCGATCAAAGAGCAATTTTACACTCGGTTCAGTTGGGATTAAAAAAGTCCTCCTTTCTACTTTTACCTGGGGAAAGTCCATCATTTCTTTTTTTCTTGTAGTAAATAAGTAACTGAAAAAAATATACTTAATTTTTTTATTACTGATAGTTGAAAGATTTCAGGAGTGGAATGATAAACAACCTCGGAACGCGGCTCTTCAAGTCGGTGACTGACAAAGCCGGCGACCTCGGCGAAAAGTTCGAGGAAGAATTCTCGCGTCTGTCTTTGAACATCACAGGTTCGTCTTTTCATGTTTTCCATTATAAGTTATATTTTTTACTCGACACGGCGTTCTTTTTACGATGCCCCGCCCACAATTTTCGTAATATATGACGTCTTTGGTGCATACACACAACGGCGCTAACTTGCATACTCCATTTAATTGAAAAAACCTTTTTGAACAAAAAGGGATGAAATAGAAGTTTTTTGAAAGCTTAATGCTTGGAAAAAATTGATTCTAGCCATTTTCATCGTTCGACTGAATTAAAATTTTAAAACATTATGAAGATGTCATACCAAATAAATTCTGCGGAAAAGTTTTTGTTCTTCCCAACATAAGTTTTCTGTTTCATAGTGAAAATCAATGTTCTCTATTCGAATAGAACGTTTTAAAACCGAGCTCATTTGATACAGTTAAATTTCCCGACTTGAAAAGCGAGAGAGGCGGGACGCGTAGCGTGTGCGTTCGCGGCTCTTGGCACGAGTTCAAATCAAGCTCCAGCGACTATTTTTCTCGCTTTTATCATTTATTTTTCTAATCTTTATTGATATTTTCCATTTGCGCATTAAAAATAGTAGGATAGATACAAAAAGAGCGAAAAACGAGCTCTCCAAATAGTCGCTGGCGGCCGAATTGAACTCGTGCCAAGAACCGCGTTCGCGCACGCTACGCGTGTCGCGCCTTTCAAGTCAGGTATATCTACACGGTGATAAAGTTTGTCGGAATATTACCTCTAAGAAAAGCCCGCGTCTTCAGCGGAAGTTGACGCGATCGTAGTCGAAGCGATTTCCCTCTCTACCTACATCAAAGTCGCTCTCGTCATTCTCTGCATTTTGCTGGTAGGACAATTTCCGAAATAATTTCTATCAGAATACCGCAGATTCTCATTATCATACGATACACGGCTTTCGGAGCTCGCTGCCTTTTCTTCAAGGCTCGCGATTGGCTTCTCGCCAACGAGAGCAGACCTCCGCCCCAGGTTTCATTATTGATTCTTTTTTTTTTTGAATCGGATCTGCTTTTCACTTTTATATCAGTTTCTTACAGGTAATTCTGTTGATGCCAACAGAAGAAGGAGGCTACCGAAAGAGCTCGACGGTTTATACAGACCAGCAGACAAAGCACATCCTCAACAAGATACAGCAAGACTCGTTCGAACTCTTCAACGACTCTCCTCCAAGGGTTAGTTGCACTTTCAGAACTGGCTCGGACTCATAATCTTCGATTCAGAGCGAGAAAAAGTCGAGAGCTCCGCGCATCAGCCGCAATTCGCTCCGTGGTCAACGTGTCCCCGAAGAAGACGTCTGACCATTTCCAAAAACAGTTACTTCTTTATCGTGACTTTTCCCCAATGTATCTTCCTTGCACCCTTGCTTTTATTTATGTACAGCGAATTTCAGTTCAAAAGTCATTCTTGCTTTAAACTTTGTAGAAGTTCCTTCATTCGAAAGTTGAAGAAAACGGGTTTTCTTCATTGAATGCCTTTATTGTTGCCAGTATTATGTTTTTGTTGAATAAATTCTTTTACTTAGCTGTTTTTCATTTTAGGGTTAAAGAAGCAGAGGCTATATGTAGGGGGCGCAAAGCCCCGCCCCTTCACGCCACCAAAATGACGATTTTTTTGTTGCAAAAACGGTTTTGAGGCGTTTATACTAGCTAAAGTCCCACTTTAAAAATGAACTGTTTCTGTTAATCTATGTAATCGACAACGCTCTACAAGACTGAATATTTTTTAAACTATGTATTTTTCAAAAATAAGCGAAAAAGTAAGATTTAACACGAAAAAAACTGACAAGTTTCACAAAATCGTCGCGTTTCAGAAAAGCAAGTGAGGAACGCTTCTAAATTTTAAGTATGTTATACATTAACACTTTCTTTATTTTTTGAGTGAAAATAAAAAAAATCTACCGACGCGAAAAAAATATTAAAGCTTGTAAAGTGACACCAAACTTTGAAGCTGAAATGCGAAAAAATTTCAGCGACATGGTATACTTTTTATTTGATTTAAAAACTAACAGTGTGTCCAAAAATAAAAATTCAAAATGAAAATAATTATTGGGACAGCGAATCAAATTATATTTGAGTTTTACCAAAACCTCCTTTTTTCGCCTGCCTCGTTGACGCATGAGAGAATAGGATCGCGTCTATATTTTTGATTATGTTATTAAGCGTTCAAAATTCTATCAATGAAAAAATTATGAAAAAAATCGATCGACGCGAAAAAAATAACGGCTTTGAAAACCTCGAAAAAATGGCAATTTTTTTTGAAATTTCGGAAGATTTCGTGCAAGCGTCCGTAGCAGTGTTTGCATCAAACACACCGATGCGCCCTTTTAAATGTCGCAGGAGCCGTTTTTCGGAGTCAAATTGTACTTTTTTTCCTGTTTTATTTCGAAATAACATTATTTTTTTCATTTTTTTCTTTTTTTCCAAATCGAATGATAATAATTTTTTTCTGAGTAGAAAAAAAGAAAAAAATAAGCTGAAAAAAATCCCTTTGACCTTTTTTTCTAGGTAGTTTTTTTGATATTTTATCAAAAAAATTCTTATGAGGATTGTACAAAAGATTCATACCAAAACATGAGGCTCAGTTCGGACAACCTCTCAAAACAAAAAAACCGATTTAAAAAAACGGTTCAGAAACGCGCAAAAAAACATTTAAAAGAAAGCGTGCGGCAGCGGGTAAACCGTGAGATTTTGCCTCCAGTTGTACGCCGCGCGCGCTCGTTTTTTGGCCATAACTTTTTTCTTAGTGAAGCTTTTTTCAAAAACTAAACGGATTATGAAAATGGACAGTCTCCTCTATCGAACAATGTGAAAAACATATTTTTTGAATCGTTCTGAAGAAATGGCTTGCGGTCCCTAGCTATATGAGATCGGATTCTCTTACAGCTACTCTATAATATCAATCTTAGAAGAAACATTAACTAAATATCTTTTATGAGATTTTGATAACCATGAATAGTATCCATAACATGAATATTTAATCTAAAGTCAACCGTCATCGTCATGAATACATTGAAATAATAAAAAAAGGATTTTTTTATAGGAAATTTAAGAAGACATCATATTTCTGAATCTAGGATGTATACTTTACTTATTTTATCGTGTAAAAAAAGAACTAGAAAACGGAAAAAAAGGATACTCAAGTAAAAAAACTTTCAGAGAAGTTTTTTTATTATTCAAAAAAATGGCGTCGGTTGTTGTGCCGGGTACGCAAACAGCAGACTTGACGTACAAGAAAAAAATATCGCGATCGTGCCGATAATTATTTATTTATTTATTTTTGTATTCCAAGTTAATTTGACGCACGCAGCGAAATAGTTTCCCTAGTTCGAACCGGAACGCACCAAAACGCAGTAGGTTTCCACAGCGTGATTGGATGGCTCCGCTTCCTTGGCAAAAGTTCAATATAATTTTCTTTTCAAATTTTTGGGCGGAGCCGCCCAATCACACTGTGTGAATCTGCCGCGTTTCTCTGCGAACCGGCTTGCTTTTGAACGAGAAAAAAAGTTTCCCCACGAGCGTCAAGTCAGCTTTGAACGCGACAAATCTTTTCCAAACGTCTTTAATTTTTTAAAATTCAACTGTTCCTCTAAATATTTTTGTAATTTCTAACATAGTGAAGAAAAACAATATCCCCTTTATTTAATACTACTATAGTCCGAAATTAGGATGGATTACAAAAAAAAGTGGATTGCGGAAAACTTTCTAAATTTAACTTCAGCTTTTAAAAACTTTTTTTATTGAGTCTTTATTTTCATCTTTTTCGCTCTAAAATCAATGAGATTTATCGAGTTATCTCTCTCTTACTTTATCTCTTAATTACTTTTTTTAGTTCAAGAAAGAATAAAGTATGGTACTAATCTGGCTAGCAAACAACTAAGAAAACGGTTCTCCAACTATTTTGGGGAGTAGTGTAACTCGAGTGGGATGACCATAAACAAACTGTCAGTCACTCATCTGACACCGTGTAATCGAGCACACGACCATGCCCAAGGTTTCTACGGTCCAGTTGGCCCGGCATGAGGGTTGAGGTTAAGTGGAGGAGATAGTAACTGGACGACGCTTTCCTCCGGCCGGTTGACCGGCAGTCGGCGAGAGAGCGTGTCTTCTGCGGAGAGCCCTGGTGAGAGACGCAGGTAGAAATGCGAGGGGAACGCTAGAATTTGAATTCTTGACCCTCGTCACAATCAGCAACCGGAAGCGATTTCAATTTTGAATTTTAATTTTCAAATTGTCTTTATCATTCGATTTTTCTACACCGCATGCCTGTTTTGTTTTTTATCTTCTTTTTTTTAAATTTTTTGTAGCGTCTTTTAAAAAAATTGTCCTATCCTTTTTCTGCAACTTATTCTCCTTCAGCATTCGATTTTTTTCTACACCGCATGTCTGTTTTTTTAAAAAAATTTTTTTCTCTTCATGTAATTAAGTTTCTTTTCAAAATGTTCCTGTTTATTTTTTTCTGCAATTTATTCTAATATGGATTTTCCTAGAATTGAATCAAGCCCTCTCTTAAATTGAACTTTAACGATGTGCCCTAGATCTTGATAATTTTTTTCAAGTTCAAATAATCCTCTCTGTCCAAAATCGTTCAAAACCCTATTGCACGCTTATTTTTAACCGTTTTTTGCGCAGTTTCAATCTGAAAGATTTTTTTTTTCAGCAGCCATTACACTCCAGTCACAATTTTATGATCGTTGCAAAAATTTTCTACTCTCTAGAAAATAAGTTTTTTTGTGCACTTGAATGACTGAAGCTGATCCGCGGGTGCTAACACAGTACCCACCAAACGGAATCCCGCCAGGACCGCCGTATATGGAACAGGTAAACACACCTGATGAGATTAATTTTCCAAGTTCCATTTTCAGCATCCAGTCGTAAGTTACCCACCACAGCAGCCGCCATGGCATCCAGGAATGCAGCCGCAGCAACCGCCGATTCCGCCGGTTTGCATGCAAGAGAGGTTGGAATGTTTATTTAAATTTTTAGTTGTGAAAAAAGTTTCTTGCTTATCTTTTCTCTACGGCTGTGATAAGCGATTGTTTGTCTATTTATTAATTTTTTCTTATCGAATTCTTTCTAGACGTAAGGGCGCCAAGTGTCCCAGAAATCATAGCGGTAATCAGTCTGCTTGAGAATTCTGCTGAGTTTTTCGGGGTAATGATTTTCATAAGCTGTTTTTTGAGGTTTCTTGAGTTTGCAATATTTCAGTGGTTTTTCAAAAAATTGGCCTTTTCAATGTGGCACGATTTTTGTATAAATGTCATGAAGTCTTTCGTTGTACTGAATCTAAAAATTCAACCTATGGTTCCAAGCAAACATCAAGAGTTCGAAAGAGGGATTTTTTACGAAATGAAGAAATTTTTCTCTCTTCAAGTCAGTACGCGTAATAGAAAACTTTTCATTATTATGCTTATTTTTCAATCTCTCTAGGTTTTCTTTTGTAGAGAGATTCAAAGGAAAAGGGTCAAACTGTTCAATTTTCTATTTTTATAATTTCAACCTTGCAGTCTTGGAATTTCATATCCGTGTTGATGATTTTTTTTTTCAGTAGAATCAAGTTTCTTCCTTTTTTCAAACTTCCAATTTGGCAGGCAAAACGCGCCAGTTCCATACCCACGGTCCCCTTCGAGGATGCCACCGACGGCCGTGAATCCTCAGACGATCCACTGGATGACCCAGCACTACGGCTACGCCTATTCGAACTCGCCGGTGCCGTCGGTCACGCCGTCGGTGATGTCCGCCCAGATGTACGGCGATAACATGTCGATGCTCAGCGTCAACACCAACGTCACCGCCACCAATCCCGTTGACGTGAGTTTTTCCTCAGTTTCTGCTGGCATTCAGGACGGTAGTTGAAAAAGAAGAAGATCTTGAAAACGTTCAGAAAAGTAAGAAAGACAGGAAAGCCTTTTGAATGTTCCTCAATTTTTTTTTCTTTCACGTACCATCAGATAATTTTCACCCTTTTATTATTATTTTTGGCAACTTTAAATTTTTTCAAATATAATGTTTTACTCAACGTGCAAAGTCCAAAAGGTCTCAAAAAGGACTTTTCGAAAACACCTTAAAGGCATCTTTTTTCTTGACCTTCTTCTGAAAAGGACCTTTTGAGGAGGAAAACAGGAGGTTCCGAGAAACTTTTGACAACTTTTTAGGAACTCAAAAAGGATCTTTAGACTCTTTTTTTAAGGCTTTTTCGAGGTCGTTTGAACTTTGTCTATGTTTTTTTTTCCCCTTTTTTTAAAATGCGGAAGGTGATTAAGTTCAGGAAAAATAGCTTGAATGAGAGAAATCCGTTGTCGAGTTTTACTTCCTGATTTTCAAATTTTAGCCTTCCCAAAGATGTTTTTCATCGAACGGCTCGACAACTGAGAACATCAATCCCAATCTCAACATGGCTCTTCTTCAGAGCACGAGACAAGTCGATGAAATCTTGAATGTAAGTTCAAATTTTTCTTTGCATTCTTCATTACTGTGCTTAGATTTGGTTCTCTTCGAATTTAATGAAACGCGTGGAAATGGCCAATATTATTTGGAACTGGGCCAAAGGTAGCGGTCTCACCAGCATTGACGAAGTCACCATGCCGGTCAGTTCTTTTTGTTCGAAATTCAGCCAAAACTTCGATTTCCTTCAGAATTTCATGCAAAGGATAGTTCACGTAATTATTGATGGATTGTGGTGTGAGATAAATAACTCCGGAGGTCGTCCCCCGCCAAAAGATGTCAGTTTTTCGTTAAAGGAAAGTTCTCAAGATTGTGTTTCAGTTGGACGTCTCCTATCGCCTTATCGAAATTTTGCATAGGATATTATTAACTCCGTGTGGTTTGCACTTTGTGAGCCTAGCGTTTCGAGCCGACTTCCAACCGCAAAATCAGCCTTTGCTGAGAGATGCGATTTGCCCCTTCGTTGGTATCCACAATAAGTGAGTTGGAAGTCCCAAACCCCGAAGGAAAGAGGAGACTTCAGTCAGCCTCAAGTGGATCGGAGGTCGAAGCTCCTGATCGAGATCATCTGGATCCTTATCACACAAAACGACGCCAACGCCCGTACTCAGTGTCTCAAGTCCCTGAAAATCACGCAAAATGTTGGTTTATTCCTTTGAAAAGAGACAGTAATTGTTTTCCAGATGGTTCCCCGCTTGGTGCAAAGTTTGAAAGATGGTCATTTTGTTAATTCTAGGCTATTGCATATTTTCTTGAAGTTGACCTACAAAGATAAGCAAATGAAGGTTCTACCAAGCTCAGTATTTGATAATCGAAGATTTTTCAGGAATCTCTTTTCCACTATGGCTCTCCACAAAATCTCACTTATTTAGTTTTACATTGTTTTCTCCCCAAATCAATGCAAAACCCGAGTCCGGAACGAAGAGGGTTTGTTTTATCATTTTTTGATTCTTCTGAAACGCTGGGAAAATTTAGACAGCTGATTTCGGATGCGTGTCGCCTTTTGAAGTCTTTGGTTCACGACACGCAATCGATCGATAATTTCATCCGAGTCAATGGGATTCAGGTGAGAAACTCTGCAATTCCCCACTAGAAGAATTTTCCAGATCATTTGCGAGTTATTGAAAACGATAACCGACAAAAGAATCATTCGCGACGCTTTGATTTTGTTCAAAGAAGTCTCAGATTCGGAAGTTTTCAAAGAGTTTCTCATACCGGTCGATTTTGTAAGTCGTGCATGATCACAAATCAATAAAAAGTTGTTCTTTTTCAGATAATTTACCTTATGCACAACTTCCAAGATGAGAACATTTTCCAGCATGGCACTGGTTTTTTAATAAACATAACGGCGAATAAGCCGAGATATAAGGTCCGTGTTCTTCTTGTTTCTCATAGATATTCAAGTTTTTCCAGGAAATAGCCATAAAGTCGGGATGTGTTCAGCTTCTAGAATCTATAATATCCCGTTGTCCAGAGTACGTTCCGTCTAAAGAAATAGAAAAAACGTATGATTTGTAGGATATTCAAGACTCCAGACGATAAAAAGGGCCTGATACTTGACATTTTGTCAAACAGTTGCTTAACGCTGAACAACCTGCTTCCCTTCTGGTTCAGTGGCGGAGTCGAACTTGTCCCCCAGGCGCAGCAAATCCTTCTCGCTACGGTCCAACGTTTCTTATGCCCGGTTAGGCGGATCGCAATTGAACTGAATAGGGAAGAAAACGTTTTAGGAAGTCCTACGGAAGTTTCTAAACCTGTTAGTTTTCGAGGACGTCTCATGGAAAGAACAATTGATTGAACTCCGGAATAATCTACTCAGGGTGAGTTCCATTCCTTAATTCAGAATTGAAAAATCGACTTGCAGCTTCTGACTACGATTTTCCGAACGCCGGTCATTCAGAAAGATCGCATTTTTGAAGTTTTTGACGAAATTAGGCACGAAAATATCATCGGGACTATTCTGCATGTTTTCTCAATAGCGAAAAGTTTATACGCGGTGAGCATCCGAGAAATTTTCGTGACATAACCGGGGAAATATTAAAGGATGCAACGAACGATGGGGACAAAAAGAAGCGAGAAACGTTGATTTTGCGAAGTCTCAAACTTCTCGAATACATCATGACGGGAACCGGGTCCAACATGGTCATGGACATTCGCAAAGCAATCATCAATTTCTTCAGGTCAGTTTTCCTAGCTTAAAAAACATGGGATATTAAAGGCGCATGTTCAATGGGTCATGAGACGAATTGATTTCTCATTTAGGAAATCGCAACTTTACTGCTATAGCTGGCTCACGGCTGGCTTGAGCCATCGAAAAAAGGGTCCTGACACGATAATAAGAGATAGTGCTGGCTCGTGAAGAGCGCAGACAGTAGACGCCCTTAGCGTCCCAAGCTGGCCGTAAATCAGCTATACATTTTTTTTTTAAAGCGCATGCCGTTTTCAAAAAGATTCCGCGAAATTCAGAATAGCCACCAGAGAGTGAAAAATATAACTGAATTTCGGAAATTACGTCGTCAAAAAAAATTTTTTTTCAGACATAATACAACTTGTCCCCTGGACATCATCAACGAAAAAAGCGGAGATTCGCTAATCGTGGTGCTTCTGGAATTTTGTACGCGCTTATTGGAAGTTTGTGGCGAGGCGCCTTTGCCGTGGACAATCGACAGGCTTGCGGTGGAAGGACTTGCAAATCGACGAAACGCTGACATTGGTTCGTTTTTCCACTACTATGCAAAATTATCAATTTTTTCGTTACAGCATCTGCCGCCCAGAATCTTCTTCGTAAAATGCCGGTGTCTGCCTCCGAATTCGAACCCCTTGCCGAAGTTTTTGCCAATACTGATTATCAGTTTTATTAATTGCTCACTATCTATCCAACTATCATGTACATAAAAAACACAAGTCAAACCGGTATTGTGATATTCATGTGTTAACTATGCCTGTTGTTTTTGTTTTCTTTACAACTCTAATCATATTTATTTTCTTTTTTTCCAAAGCCCATCTCTCATATTTCATAATAGGATCTTTATGTTCAAATAGCGACTGATCCTCATGTTATTGATAATCGGGTAATTTTTTTTAGTGCTTTTTACTACCTAATTTCCTGTCTCATATTTGCAGTCAAACTCACAATTCTTTCGTCCAGATTGCTTTTACTGTAGATTGATTATTTATTGCAAATCTGAGAAAATGAATTATTTTATCGCTATTATTCAGTCAACACAGTTCCATGTGAAACAAGAAGTCAAAAATGATAGAGGTGGTTGAGAAACTTTCATATGCAGGAAATAACTACTTAAAAAGAAAAAAAAAGGAATTTCTGGCTCAGCTGAATTCTTTTTATCGTTATTATTCAATTTGATCAGGTCAGAGAAACTAAAAAAATCGGTAGTATCGTTATTCCAAACAGAAAATGTGGGACCTATAGGCCTATGGAAAAGTTGCTTCTTTTTCGATTAATATTTGAAAAACGCATTCATTTAGTTTTCATTATTTTTTTGTTTTTGTTAAAAAGGAATACGTAAAATTGAACTTGATTGGAAATTTTGCGCTTTCCAAGTTTAATAAAAGGCATTATTCCCTCATTTCGTCGGGAAAGAGGCTTTTGAATTTTGCAAAGCATGTAAAAAAGAAAAAAATGACTGCTTTTCTTTTTCGATGTCCCAATCGCGTGCATGCATGCTCCAAGGCAAAAAGGTCTCGCCGCGAATGGGGGTTATCCGAGAGGCTTTTTGCTGAAATAATTTATTTTTTTAAATAAAAAAATATAATATATAAATGTGTATCTTTGTTTTTCTACTGTTTATTTATCATATAATTTGTTCATCTAATTGAATAAACGGGGAACAGCTTTAAATCAAAAGTTATGTTCCGATGGCGCGAGGATTTTTTTAAAAATACCGATTTTTCGTTTCGTAGCAGTTCTCTTGGGATTCATTTGCTCCTTTTTTTTTAAGCATGTTCAATTGAGGTACAAAGCATGTTTCAAAGCGCAAAAAGTTTTCATTGTCGCTCCAAATTTGCTTCAACACAGTGGATCATTTCAAGGAATTTTTTATCGTTTTGAAACAAGTTTCTTCTTCAAATAAACATGTCTCGTTATTCAACACGCTTTCAACATTCAAATTTTTTATGTTGGGGGTTTTCATTTTTTTTTTTCAATTGAAAGCTCATTTTACTGTGCGTCAAAGGAATTTCCTCTTGTTTCGAGAAATGTTCCATATAGAATACTAGATATGAAATTAGAAAAATTTAGCTTGTTTTTCTAGTCCGAGCGCGCGTTTTCTCATTCTTTTTTTACTTCGTTCAATTTCTGGAGCAATTTCCATGCTTGATTTTTGTTTTTTTCAATTGATACAATACTTTTCGATATACTCGAGAATTGAAATTATTTCAGAAATGTCGAGGTTTTTTTCCGTGGTGGACATAGCTCTGATTCTGATAGCGAATCTAGCGAAGATGAGGTGCAAGAGCAAAAGATTAAAACGAAGCCATCCGCTTATCGGTAATTTTTGGTTTTTTGCTACTGTATTTATTTTTCTTATAGCAATGATTTTGAATTGCTGGCGGAAGGCGAAGATGATCAACGCCGAGTAGTGCGGACTCAGAAAGATCGTAAGTTCGACGAACTCAAAGATTTGATCAAACTAATCCGTAACGCGAGAAGTAATAAAGATTTGAACAAGATGTTATCAGGTTTTTTTCTTACCCGATTTTTTTTTTCTATAAAATTGATTTTCTAGTTTTTGACGATTTGTTGAAATCTTATGAAAAGTCGAGAACCATTTTCCAACGACAGAACATCTCGATGCCGCGTTTTTTTATATCAGGTAATTTTCAATTATAAAAAAATTGAGAAAAGTGGATTCAGAGCTGTCGTGGAACTTGAAGACTATTTGACCAATCTTTGGGAAGACAAAGAAGCCAAAGCGGTTTGGCATTTTGTTCAACTTCCTCATTGAAATCCAGTTCACAGGCTTTGTCCAAACTGAACACGAAAGCTCTCTCAGCTATGCGGCAGAAAGTCCGTAAATATGTCAAGGAAATTGAAGATAAAATCAAGGAATATCGCGAGAGCCCTGATCCAGCTGGTTATGAAACTCCTGAAGAAGAGGTTCGTTTTGCCTTTCCTGGTTAGTACACTGAAGATTTTTCTCGTTTTGAAGGGCACTGTGAGCCACAGTTTTGTTCGTTAATAGTTTGATAGTTAAATTTTATCTACTTTGTTTTCACTAAAATTAGTTTGCTATTAGCGTTGAAACAACTTGGATTGGTTTATACACTTTCTTCTCTATTCAAAAAGTCTTTCATTTATTTTTTTTTTCAAACAGAAGAAGGAATATTTATTTATTTACACTGAGAATTTTTTTCAGCTTATCGTCGGTGACGACGAAGAAGAAGATCTTCCGATCGAAAGCGTTAAAACAAAAGTTTCCAAAGCCAAGGATCTCGACAATGAGAAATCTGATGTATGTTGATCGTTGTATTACAATTTTTATCATGAGGTTCAGATGGACACGGATTCTTCAGCATGGACCACTGAACCAGATACAGATGACAGCGATACAGGAGAAGATGAAATCGGAAAAATGGAAAAACTTCGTCGTCTCTTCTTGAAGTTTCTCGAAACAACTTTTTCACCGTAAAGCGAAAATATTCAGAAAGGAGTTCCGTGACGACAAAGGCGTTAAAAAAGACAACAAGCGTGTTCGAGTCCAGAAAAAAGAAACGAAGAATGTTGACCGGGAAAGCGATGACGACGAGGAATGGACTCCAGTTTCGCGAGAGAAAACTGTTGTTCTTTTCGATCCAAAAGAGGAGATCACTCACGAGGTTCATATAGTTTTAGTCATTTGAAATAATAACTTTATCATTAAGGTCATGATCAAAAAGATAAACGAAATCATGTCTCTGCGCGGACGTCTCACAACCGATCGCAAACAACACGTGAAAAATCTGCAGAAGCTGTACGAGAAATCTGTAGAGGTTTTGGTACAAAAGTTTGGGGATGTCTAAAATTTTTTGCTGCAGAAAAACCTTGGCGCTGGAATATTGGTGAAGATCACTTTCTGTATTATTTCCGCCCTCTTCGAACTCAACTCAAAAATAAGTGATTATATGGAGTATCCCAATTTCATGAAGACGTTGGGAACCGTTAACGAGCTTTTGGATATGCTTATCGAGCATCCCAATGTCAAGCTCTCTGTCACTTTCTCCGAAGAAGACGAGAATCTCAAGGTACATACCTTTTTTGCTCTATTCTATACCAATTTTCTGAACTTAGGATGAAACGGAAGACTACAGAATCCAGGGATCCGTTTTGATGGCTGTTCAACGGCTTGATACTGAGTTGACGAAGATTCTACAAAACGCGGATTGTCATTCAAACGATTATATCGAAAAGTAGCTTAGGATTAGAAGTTTTTACGATTATTTTCAAATTCAGGCTGAAGGGAGAAAAAGACATGTGCACTCTGATTGAAAGAACGCAGAAGTATATCGAAGAACGAATTCATTTGGGAATTTTCGATCAGCACGAAGTTTGCAAGGTCTACATGATGCGAATCGAGCACTTCTACTACAAATACAAGGAGCATTACGACGGCGAAGGCAACGTCGCAGAGATAATGGACTATCTTTGCAAGCGAATCTATGCCTTAGACGAAGAAAAACGCTTGAGGTATCTTTCAGAAATTATAAAGACTTCTAGTATCTCGATTTTTTCCTTTGTTATGGGAGGAACTTTTATTATTCAGACAACGTGCTATGCTGTGCCATGTCTACTGGCTCGCTCTTCACGATGAATGGCACCGCGCACGCGATACTCTTCTGATGAGTCACATGCAGGCGATCGTCGATCATTCCGATACCGACACCCAGGTAAAATACGTCAAATAACTTCAAAAATCAGTGTAAATTTTTAGATTCTTTACAATCGAACCATTTGCCAACTGGGGCTTTGTGCTTTCCGCCATGGTTTCATCCGTGAGGCCCATCAAGGCCTTTCGGAAATTCAGAACACTCAACGCGCCAAAGAACTGCTGGCTCAGGCCGTTGGAATGCGACAGCATGAGCGCACTGCAGAGCAGGTTATAATCATTTTCAGGCGTTTTTTTCTCACTTCAGTTCTTGAAACTTGAATAATAAAAAAACTTCAGGAGAAAGTCGAGCGTCAGCGCCAGATCCCGTATCACATGCACATCAACGTTGAGCTGATGGAATGCGTATACTTGATTTGTTCTATGCTCCTGGAGATTCCACACATGGCCAGCTGCGAAGTTGAAATGCGCCGTCGTCTGCTCAGCCGCAGCTTCCACTACCAGCTGAAGCAAAGCGAGAAGGCCTCCTTGATTGGACCGCCGGAAAATACGCGAGAACACGTCGTCGCGGCTTCTCGCGCCATGCTCGCTGGCGATTGGAAAAAGTGTCGCGATTACATCGTAAACGACAAGATGAACCAGAAGGTGTGGAATCTGTTCCGCAACTCGGAACGCGTCAAGGAGATGGTCGTACGCAGAATTCAAGAGGAAGCTCTCAGGTTTTTTGCTTTTTATTTTCTCTTGGTTTGTCAAAAAGGTTCTTTTCATGATGATGTTAAGTGGAATGAGGTAGCCTGTCTCATAAAAAAGTTATTCCTTTTTTTTTTGACGCAGTAATATTGGTTCAGTAGAAATTTTGCATATAAACATTCTACATCGGGTCATCTTTCTAAAACTAAAAAAAATTGATCCATCGAGTCATGTTTGTCTCATGCTTTGTAATCAGAACGAAATAACTTTAAAAAATTAAGAAGGGATAATTTTGTTCAGTTGATTGTAAATTTTCAGAACCTACCTTTTGATGTACTCAACCGTTTATGCTACCGTCTCATTGAAAAAGTTGTCGGAGCTCTTCGAATTGTCCAAACGTGATGTTCACAGTATCATCAGGTTTTCAATATTCCATGCAATCCAATACATTTTTTTTCCCATTTAGCAAAATGATAATCCAAGAAGAGCTATCGGCTACATTGGATGAACCGACCGATTGCTTAATAATGCACCGAGTTGAGCCTTCGCGTCTCCAGATGCTCGCTCTGAACTTGGCTGACAAGCTTCAAACTCTGTCCGAAAACACGGAGCAGATACTGGAGCCGCGGACCAACCGTGGAGGATACGCAGGTCCAGGATCCTGGTTTCAAGGAAGGAACGAGCGCCAAGGAGACAAGCAAAAGGGTGATCGATCCAACTACCAGGTATTTTGAGTTTTTTTTCTTTCTTTTATAGCTTAAAAAGCGTCTTCAGGGTGACCGAAGAACAGGACCTTCAGACGGAAAACGCGGAGCCTGGGGACAAGGTGGACAACAACGCCGCCGAGAAAATCAAAAGACACGCGCTTTCTAAATGTTCCCTTTTTATTAAGGTTCTTGTGTCTCCTTCGGTGTTTCTCATTCGTTTCTGACGCCTGCACTCTTTGAAAGATGTTTTCATTTGAAAAAGGGTGCAGGCGTCAACTTGTTATTGTTATTGTTTTCTAATGACCTGTTTTCTTTGGTTTATTGAGTTTAACTTTATTGGACTTAGTTCTTCTTCGAGTTTTTTTTGTGCTTGTGGGTTTTTAAATACATTTAATAAATACATGATTTCTGGACTATTTTTTACTTTTTGTATTTTGAAGTTATGAACTTCTGCTGAATACTTCTTCACATATTCTATGCACCACATAGTGAAACCTTGAAATAATAATTCGTCTTATATTTTTCAAAGAGAATTTTCAAGTCGGTAATTTTTTTCTCGCTTTTTAACTCAAGTTATCGTTCCGCTTTTACAAAATATTGATATTTTTTTTCATTTCGGTAATTTCAAATGACTTAAATTCGAACATTCAGAGTACCTGTTCAACAAACTCTTGAAACGATGGGCAAAAAGAAGGCTTTCATTGAGAAAAGAAACGCGCAGAAGTTTCGTTTGATACCTCAGTCTGCTGCTGAAGAATGCACTAGCGAGAGGTATTTTTTTCTAATATTTCAGAAAAACATTATTCTTTTCAGGTTCGCTCCAACTGAAGAACATTTGGAAGAGCAACACAAATTCGGAATTTTCTATGATGATGACTACAATTATATGCAACATCTCCGAGATGTTAACGAGGTTGGAATGAATACTGTTTATTAGAAGCTCTATTCGTTTTCAGAAAATGAAGTTGGAAGAAGTTGGGTCAACCGTCGAAGAAAGAGTCGTGAAGAAGACGGTGATTAAAGTGCCGTTTATCCCTCCGCCGCCGTTTGGAGCCCTTGGACCGCAAAAAACCGTGGAGTTCGTGGACAACGACGTGCAAAAGGCGTTGGAGGTGGTTTTCCTGAAGAACTACCTGTATTTTGACTTGTTTTCAGGGAGATTTGACAGGAGCTGGGGAACTTGAAGATGACTTCATCGCTCTTGCCGGAGGAGCCTTGGATGATCGCATCATGACCTATCGGTCGAATTTCGACGAGGAGGATGACGATGATGAGGTTTTTTAACATTTTGTGTTTCTCTACAAACTACTCTTTCTGTTGATATTCCTAACTTTTCGATTCAGGAAGGGATTTTCGACGGATATGAAGAGGAGGGCGAAGACGAAGAGGACGAAGAATCTTGCGTCGTGGGTTTTTTTTTCTTGATTAGTTGAAATATTTTCATTCGGTTTCTTTGTTTGCGCCGTGTCCTTTTCTGATGTCTTTCCTCTATTCTTTTCAAAATTATTCAATATTTGGTCCATTCTTTCGGGTCTTCTATGTCGAAAAACTGAGTTATTATGCCCAATTTCTCAATTCTTCAAATTACTTTTTCTCCAGGTTTTTTTCATATCGCTAGGGAAGTTTCCTACTATTCCTTTTTCCGACTTTTTCTCGATAATCTCTCTGTTTTAAATTTTATTATCTAAAGTAGGTAGTGAATTCATGTTTTAAATTTTTTTAAAAAGGAGAACAATGTTAATAGATATTTTATAAACCGAAAAAAATATGAAAGAAAAAAAGTCGGAAAAAGTCGCCATTCGAAATTTTGCTGGGTTTTTTTTCATACCATCCATTTTCGTACACTCATTCTCCGATTCACACACTTCACTATTACTTGATGACTTTGAAAATTGGCCAGCTTTTCCCCACTTTGCGACCCATTATGACCAGCTTACAGCTTTGAGGAAAGGTTATTACTAATGGGGTCATTGAAAACGCAGATCGAAGTTAAATTGCATCCTAAGGCAAACTTTTATTCTTGCAAGCTTATCCTTTTTACATGCGCACTTATCTTTTATATTTTTTTAAAACTTGTAGACACGCGAGACTGCTCAACGTGATATTGATCAAGCCTTCGATCTCATGATGGAGAACGAATACGATGACGACGGCTTGGTTTGCATGATGACAAAATTTTTACGTGTTCTCTCTATTTTTTTAGGTTGGAGAATTAGATGCCGAGGACACGGATATGAGCGGCGTTTTGGAACCCAACAGTGGTCGGTTGAAACGACTAGCTGCTGAAGTGCCAAAAGATCCCGAATATGACGAAAAAGTGAGGAGAAGAAAAAAGTATAACACCAGATGTTGTGTTTTTTAGTTGGCGAAACAATACGTCCGTGAGAGACTTCGTTTAATCGAAGAAGGAGTGATCAAGGAAGACGAAGAGACGGAGATGGTCGAAGTGGAGGAATCTTCCCGGAAACGTATCAAATGGGACTGCGAATCGTTCGCCACTCAGTATACCAACATATACAATCATCCCACGCTCATCAAAGGTTTTTTCTTCTTTTTTTTCGAACTCTGTCGAAAAAATAAACGAAAACGGTGTTGGGAAATAATTTTATCGAAAAGCCTGACTTTTTAAGACGACCTCACCAAAAAGCTCCGACATAGGCAAATTCGGAAAAGGTTTCATAGAAATGTTCCTTTTAAGGTGACATAGGATCCTTTTTTCTGCCTCACCATTTTTCCACCATTTCTCGAGCATTCAAAAGTCCAGAAAAAATGGAAGTCTCGATAAAGGGAGTTTTTTGCTGCCTTTTTGCGGCCTTTTTAGCGGCCATTATCCACAATTCCGACTTTGCCCGAGAAAATTGAAAATTCTCCTCGATCCGTAGTTCGAATTCGCATGCTCTACCTCTCATGAAACCCATTGTTTTGTCAATAAAAAAAACTTTTGATGCGAAATGATGAAACGTTTTGATTTTATATCAGAACGAAAACTCATAGATCAAAAAACATTTAGTCTTTTCTCTGCTCTTGTAATTAAATTTTTTTAAATTTTATGTCAACCCCTTCTTTCCTGAACTATCGTATTTATTATTGAAGCCTCGTGTTTTACAACAGTTTTGATTGAGGAAAGTTGAAAAGGAGTGAAATTAAAAAGAAATGTTGTAGGCAATTTTAAGTTAGGAAATTTTCTCAATTATGGTTTTGAGCCTCTCTCATCTCTCCAAGAAAAATGCTATAATTTATGAATAGATCTTTTTTTGCAGACGAGAAGGCGAAAAAAATGAGGGGAAAAAATTACCGCCAAGTTTTTTTAGAAAAATTTTATAAAAAGATTATTTAACCCAACCCAATGTGTTTAAGCTCTAAAAATCCTCAAATTTTTTTATTAAAAAAAAATTTTTTTACTTTTTTTCTGCTTTGAGTCATGAATTCTATGACTATGATTATAAATTTTCCAACTCATTTTTTCTCAGAACCTCGGGGGAAGCAATTGTCGAGAAAGAACTTGAAATGGCTGGACAAGCAGGCCGAAAAGATGGACACGGCCGAGGAGGAGGACGAACTCATGGAAGATGAGGACGAAGAAGATGACGACGCCAGCCAGTGTACTGTATCTACATTCAGGTGAATGAAAAGGGCCAGGAATATAGTGGAAGATGTTTGCCTGTATTTCATATTAACCGATCATATTCACACCGTTTTTTTCGAGAAAGAGGATCTGCAATTTTTCATTTTCAAAAAAAGTACAATGGGAGGAAATTCATTCGTAAATATATCTTTGGATAAGAATAAAATTAACAGAGAAAGGTTTTTTGATAAAAAAAAAAAAGGAGAGTAACTTTTTGGAGTGAGAAATATAATGGATATTGTGTTGTATATCGCTCTGGAAAACTTTTGACAAGCTTTTCCTCGGCTTCTATATTACTGTACAATTCCAACTTCATTTGCGAATACTCGTACATAATCCTACCGCCAACCCACAAGTCTGGAATCCGATTTCGTTATCGAGCGGAGATCAGACCCTAGTGAATGAGATTTGAATGAAGTTGGAAATTCGGCTTTATTCGACATACAGAAACTCCTACTGCCGTATCTTCATTAGTTTTTTTTGGTTCTGGATTCTGAATAAGGACTTTAATTTGTTAAGACCGAAAGGAGAGACCCCTGAGCAACGTCGGCTGAGAAAACTTGCTGTGAAAGAGTCTCGAAGAGCGCGACGACAAGAAAAGAAGGCGAACAAAACTGCGTTTGCAACAGAATCGCGGAAGGTTAAAAAGTTTTTGAGAAAAAAGAAGTATCGATTCGGTTCCAGATGGCGAAGGGACGAATCGGACAGCTCAAAGCAGTTCCTCTACCTTAACGTCATCATCGAAACATATTACCACTGTTAGCCTGATTTTGTAGATCTTTCTAGTCAGGTGATGACTGGAAAGAGATGAAGTTCTCATTGAAAATCTTTCGCATCTTTTTTCCAAAAAAGGAAAGAAAAACATAGTTTTTAAACTTTCTCACCTTTCCGATACGTTAGGGCACGGTAAAAGTGATTTTAAAATAATTTCTCGTTGTTTTCGCGCGTTTCCGCGACGCGATTCCTGTTTTCATTATCCAACTTTACTCGCATTGTCACCTGCGGCCTCCACCTTCCCATTATTGTCAGTGACCGCGCGGGCCGATGAGATGGCGAAAAATCGATGGATCCCTACTTCGTTTGCCTGTGTGGTCTCGTCTGTTCGTTGAATGTTTTCACATGAACTGCTTTTATCGGGTTCCTGAGAGAAATGTTTCTTTTTTTTTCCTCATTTCTTGTCTATCGCACCCGTCGATTCCTGAATCATCTTTTTCAAACATCTAGCCGACCTTTAGGCATTTGATTAAAAAAAAAGTTGAGGCTCATGAAATTTGAAATTTGAAAATCATCAAACTTCTTTAGCGAAATGAGAAAATAAATGAACGGGAAAAATTTTCAAATGCCTTTTAGGTTTCGTTTCTTTGCTCAGATTAATCTCATAGGGTTGAGTTTTTTCTTGTTAATCCTTCAGGCTGTATGGAATCGTTGTTGAAAATCCTTATTTTTCTGTTTTGTTGTTATTTCCATAATAAACTGTTGCCGAGAAAGACAAGAAAGAAGGTTCGATTGTGAGGGCGATTTCCTGTGGAAGCTCGCGAAGTGCGGGCGGTCTTTCAGTTTGGCTTGACATGTTTACTCAACCATTGGCGCTCTCTTTCTGTCTATCGATCATTTTCAATTCACAAAAGGGTATTATATTGAATTCGAATCAAGTTTTATCGTCGCTTCGCTATGTGTATGTGAACTCTTCCCCCTTTTCCAACAGAATGATTTTTAGTTTATTATTTTTTTTTTGCTGATTTATCGAGTTTGCGAAAAAGTAGAAAATTGATAAATCATCGGAAGAAAAAACACTTATTCGTCCGAACAAAACTTGTGAAAGTGGTGATAACAGTGGGAACAGCCGACTTTTATCGCCTCGTGTTTCGCGCGCTTTTTGGAGTTCATAGTTTGAAAGAAAAGCAGTTTATCGGATTATTATGTAGTCTGGAACTTTAGAATTGGTGCAATCTGGAAGTTTAAAGTCATTTTTAGTTTTGGTTATCGAGTTTTCGAAATTGGCGTCTATTCGCTAGCATTGCCTCGAGAATGGGAGAATATTTCCAGCTCAAAAAACAAGACCAGCAAAAAATCCTCGTATGAGCCGCAATAGTTTCGCTCCAAACAAAAGCTTAACGGAGGATAAAGACGACTTTTGATACCTTGAGCAGTCTTCTCGGAAAATCTCGTGGCACTTTTAATCTGGACATGTACAAGAACGTGTGTTGCAGAGATGACGAGCCGCGGACCGGGACGGCCGGTCTTTCTGCCGCTTCTGCTTCTTCTGAAGACGTGCACGGTGGCCGGGGAGGACCTTTCCTGGATGTCCGACATCGTCGCCACCGACTTCGAGAAGCAGATGGCCGAGGTCCCCTCTTCTTTTTGAAATATTGAAATATGAAGAAAGAAGAAACAGAGTCTAGTCACCAGAGTGGTCCCTATAGAAGCAACCTTAGAGGTCCTTATAGGGTCCCCTCTAGGTACCACTATACCAACCCCTATAGGGGCCACTGAAGCTCGCAAAAGGGTGGTATGAAAAAAACACCAGCGAAAATTCGAACGGCGACTTTTCCGATTTTTTCATATCGCTAGGGAACTTTCCGACGGCCACCTTCCCGACGAATCTTTTCCGACTTTTTTTCTCGATAAAATCTTTGTTTTAAATCTTCCTATATAAAATAGGTAGTTGGTTTATGATTAAAACACGAAGAAATAGGAAAAAAAAAGGTTTATAGATGTTTTATAAACCAAAAAACATAAGTGAAAAAAGTCGGAAAAGGATCCGTCGGAAAGGTGGCCGTCGGAAAGTTCCCTAATGATATAAAAAAATCGGAAAAGTCGCCGTTTGAATTTTCGCTGGTTTTTTTTTTCATACCACCCGCAAAAGTGCCCCCTATAGGGGTCATTTTTTCGATAGTTACTATGAACTCTATGCGAAAAAGCGTTACTATGAGAAAACTAAATGAACAACGTTTTTTGAACAAAAGACCCCTTTAGGGGACACTTAACTTTTGGCGTCCAAGTGGTCAGACCCTAAACCCCTATAGGGACCACTTTTTCGATTTGAAGATCCATCTCCTTTGCTAATTTCTCAAAGAAAGTTATCGATTAATTTTTTATCCCCTAAAATTTGGGGGGTCCTAAGTGTTCATAGTCAGATGGTGAATTTTCGCATTGCTCATTTTACAGAGACGTGGGAAAGTTTGTCGTGGGCGCGATATCATTCGTTTTTCAATTTGCTTGGCAGAATTCTTCAATCATTTGATTCATTTTTGGAATATTGTCAAAAATGGAACTTTCAGACGGACGCCCTGTCGCGCTATTTCACAAAGGAGAAGAATGACTCAAAGGTTTTCCCAACATGGGAAACGATGAAGGCCAGGTAAGAGGAATTTAATCAGCTTTTTTCCGACGGATATTCTAAAGTAATAAAATAAGTTGATTTGAGAAAGTTTGATGACTAATGTTCGACTTTTTGACCTTCTCTTTATTAATTAAACATTGTCAAAGTTTAAAACTCGATTTTTACTGTATAACTTTTGAATAAAAACTGAAAAAAATTTATCAGAAGTTTTAAAAATTGAAATTTCATTCAAGAGATGAACTATAACAAAAAAATGAGGGTATACTCCGCAGTGAGCCCTGAAAAAAGTGAACTTTTCGTTGATTTTTTCGGTGCACCACGGGTTGGACCTAGATGGCGCGCACCCCTGAGGCAACCTGTTGGAAATAATAATTTTTTTTAGCTACCGTAAAAGTCTATAATGAGAACTGTAGAAAATGGTGATATTGGGAAACGAACCACTTCGAAGTAGTGTACGGAATAAGTACCTTAATGGGAATTTAAAGCTAAAAGGGGTACACCCCTGGTTACACTGCGGGGTAAACCGAGAGTTCGAAGCGGGGTGCACCGCAACTCTTGTTAGAGAAGACGCCTTTTCTGATCTATAAAAGTCGATGAAACCGAAGTTCGAAGAAAACTTTTCGCTTTTCGAACAGATTTCATTCTTGAACTATTGAAAACTTTCCATACCAGAGTCTTCTTGCAGAGTGGGAGAGTTCACGAATGTGAACGCATCGAAAATCCACAACCACAACTACAACGACATGACGGCGTTCTTGAAGCAGACTTCACTCAACTATCCCAACATCACGCATCTCTACTCGGCAGGGAAAAGTGTCGAAGGACGCGATCTTTGGGTTCTGATAGTGTCGGATCGGCCGCGAGAGCACGAGCTTCTCGAGCCGGAGCTTAAGATCGTCGGCAACATGCACGGCAATGAGGCAAGAGTTCATTCCTCTCTAGTTCGACTAAGATCTTTCTCTCTTTTTTCTTAGGAACTCCAGAGTGGTCCCTACAGGGGCAATCTTAGGCCCTTGGAGGTTTCTCTATAGGGACCACTAAAACTTGCAAAAGTGGTCGATGCGAAGAAGCATTTCCATGCGAAATACTAAAAAATAACCTTGTTGAATAAAATTCAGAGATCCCTTTAGGGTCCACTTGAGCTTTAGGGGCTAAGGAGTCAGACCCTGAACCCCTATAGAGACCACCTCCATTTCACCCTTATAGGAACTACTTTTTCGGGCCCTACACGGGTTTTTTTCGCCCCTAACCCCTATAGAGACCACTCTGGAATTCCTAACTTAGTTTGATTCCAAATTTCTTTCAGGTTGTTGGCAGAGAGGCCCTACTCTACCTCATCGAGATCCTCTGTGTCAACTACGGAAAGAATCTCTTTCTAACCGAGGTCCGGAAAGAGAGAGTATCAATCAATCAGAACTTGGCAGATTGTGAACAACGCACGAATCCATCTGATGCCGTCGATGAACCCCGACGGCTACGAGCGCGGAATGCCTGGCGATCGGATCAGCGCCATGGTTGGTCAGGTCCAAGAAATGACCGATTCAGCTGTTCCTAGGGACGCTCCAACGCCAACGACGTCGACCTGAATCGCAACTTTCCTGCCATCTACCCTGAACACCGCGAACAGTCGGGCGGCGGGGATCCGGAAAAGTAAGAAGTGATTAAAGAACACCTTAGGCTTTTCAGAGGGGTCCCTATAGGGGAAAAGTTAAGGTGATCCCTATAAGGGTTTAGAGTCTGACTCCTTAGCCCCTAATGCTCAAGTGGACCCTATAGTGGTCTCTCAATTTCATTCAATACTCGCTTATTTAATCACATTTTCCCCACGGAAATGCTTCTGCGCTTAGAGTTCACAAAAATTTTCGACTAGCATGTCCCTAACTAAAACCCCTATAGGGACCACTCTGAAGTTTCTAAGGGGAAGGACAGAAGGACAGGACAAGAAGGTCAAGATTCTAAGAAGGACAAAAAGTGAGAAAAAAGATAATCATCGATTTTCTGTCTGACTTCTCCCATCAAAACTCTAAATTCCATTTTTCTTTAAAAATGGTTCTGCTCTGAATTTCAGAATGAGTGCTCTTGAAAGCGAGTTTTCAAATTCTCACCTCAATTCTCTGCCCTTGATTTGCTTATTCCTGAGGAATTGCAGGGAAAATGTCGCCGTCATGAAGTGGCTCAAGTCTTATCCCTTCGTCCTGAGCGCTAACCTTCATGGAGGTCTGAATAAATCTGTACCATTAAAGTTGGAAATTCCTTTTGCAGGTTCTCTTGTTGCCAACTATCCCTACGACGATTCTGTCACCGGCAAAGACGGAATCTACACACCGGTGAGAATTCCAAACGAGAGATATATTGCTGGAAATCAAATTCAGAGTCTCGATGACATGCTTTTCGTCGAACTGAGTTACCGCTATGCTCGGGCTCACTCGAAGATGTGGAAGACTGGAAGGAGGTCTGTATTTAGGCCTTCTGAATTCAAAATGAGTTGAGAATATAACTGAATTTCGAAATCCAGAGATGATTGAATTTCGCAAAATTCACTTTGAACACGGCGAGCGCAGCAGTGCAGGCACATGACACACTACACTGTACGGAGAAAATATGGGCGGAATCAAAAATCGAAATTAAATATTGCTTTTTGCGCGTCGTTTCTCATGCATCGCGTGCACTGCGTACAACAAATTTTATTCTTTGCCGTTGCGATGGGCGTGGCTTCGATTTGGTGTCGCCGTGTCAAATAACTCTTCGCATAGAGTACATAAAAATTGTCAATTAGCATGTCCTCTATGAGGGCAGCTAACTAAAAGTCCTGTAGGGACCACTTTTGCGAGCTTTAGTGATCCCTATAGATGATAGTGCAGTGGTCCCTAGCGAGGACTCTCCAAGGTTGCCCCTATAGGAACCACTCTGCAGAACTTATGAAACAAAACGCATATGATAGAAAAATCCAACTTATAATAATTTTCGCCAAAAAAGAAGGTCTAGTCGGAAAATTCCAGATGCGGTCTGTCTGCGGACGGAGACAACTTCCTGAACGGAATAACCAACGGAGCGGGATGGTACCATCTCGCAGGCGGCATGCAAGACTGGCAGTACGAACACACCAATTGTCTGGAAATTACCATCGAAATGGGTTGCTTCAAGTTCCCCACCGACGACATGCTGCCCAAGTCAGTTTACAACCTCCTTGGCCATGTCCATCAGCCGGGTCCAGACTCTGGGAGGAGCACCAGTTCGCGTTGCTCTCCTTCCTCGAGATGGGTCTCACGGGCGTTTATGGCATCGTCACTGATCGGAACAACAACACCGTCGCCAATGCTACGATATCAATGGACAGCGGTTAGTTACAGAAGGCATCTAGGTTGAAAACAGACAGTTTCAGGCAAAACTACCAGAGCGACGGACAAAGGCGAGTACTGGAGGCTACTTACACCAGGAACTCACATGGTTAGGGACCACAGACCTATTTTTCAAACTCAAGCTAGCTTCTCGTTTTTTTTTTTGAAAAAATAATGATTTTAACATGTAGTATGCGAAAACAGAAAAGAAAAACGAAAAATATTAAAGATAAGAGAAGAAAACAATATTTGAAAGTAATCGAAAAGCAAAATTTTTTGCACTGGAAATTTGGTTCTGCGAATTTTCATGCAATCTGCGCGCACTCTCATTTGCATGGGCGGCACGGTTTCATGAGCCAAAAGAGAAGGTTTTACGAGCTTTAATTCCACTTTACCATCACTTTCGTCCCAGTGAGTGCACAACTACAGCCTACAGTGCTCTTTGAAAAATGTGACATGGTTCCCCTTTAACGTTGGAATCATCGCCGGAGTTTTTCAGCTGACCGTTTCTGGACAAGGACTCGAGTCAGACAGCTTCACAGTTACTGTGGAGGCCGGAACTCGCGCTGTTCGTCACGATGTTCAGCTGCTGACTTGTGGCGACAATGAGACGGTTGCGCCAGCCAACTTTTCGAGTATTTCAAGAATAGATTTCAGAAGTCTGACTACTACATACGCGGCCGTGGAAAAGTGCCGATGGCTGTCATTGCGTTCAACGAAAGGTTCCGGTTCTCAAAATCAATGTCTCAGCGTTGATTCAGTGGCGCATCTGTCCTGTACGAACTCGCGAGGTTGACCTGCTCCGGAGATTTGACGCTAGATGATGACGTCTCTTTGCTCATCGTACCGCACTACAATAAGCCAGACGCCTCCACAATCACCGATGTTTAATCAGTGTCTTTATGTCTTATTGAAGTCAGTTTCAGAAAATACGGGAGTTCAACCCGTCGACGTTCTTGGTGGTTGCCGACGGGTTCGTAGAGACGATCACCTTCAGCATAGCCGAAAATCAGCCGAAGCTTTTCAACAAAGCGAAACTCGACGAGAGTCTCAACAAGGCTTTGGGTTACGGCAAGGACTGCGACAAGTTTTCTGACCATCATTTTCCACCCAATACATCGGAATTTCCGGCCTCTGCGTGAGTCTACGCTGGCGATGAAGATCGACGACTTCCGACTTCATGGAGCCTTCGAGATCGGCATCGCCGTCGGCTGCGATCAGATGGTGACACTTGACAGGAAGGCCGCTACTGTAGGCACTGTCCTCAACGTGAGTTCTTGTTTTTTTGATCCTTGAAAGAAGACGTTTTCAGATCATCAAGACGGCTATGGTCAAAGACGCCGTCCAAGAGTTCTCTGTGGTACCGTCGATGAATCCTTCGGATCATTTCACTCCTGAGCAATCGGTTATGGTCACAAGGTAGCTGGGCCCTCAACGAAGCTTTGAGGCGTACTTAGGAATTTTAGAGTGGTCCCTATAGGGATTAGGGAGATGAACAGCCCTTATAGGTAGGGGGCGCAAAGCCCCGCCCCTTCACGCCACCAAAATGACGATTTTTTTGTTGCAAAAACGGTTTTGAGGCGTTTTTACTAGCTAAAGTCCCATTTTATAAATGAACTGTTTCTGTTAATCTATGTAATCGACAACGCTCTACAAGACTGAATATTTTTTAAACTATGTATTTTTCAAAAATAAGCGAAAAAGTAAGATTTAACACGAAAAAAACTGACAAGTTTCACAAAATCGTCGCGTTTCAGAAAACCAAGTGAGGAACGCTTCCGAACTTTGAGTATGTTATACATTAACACTTTCTTTATTTTTTGAGTGAAAATGAAAAAAATCTACCGACGCGAAAAAAATATTAAAGCTTGTAAAGTGACACCAAACTTTGAAGCTGAAATGCGAAAAAATTTCAGCGACAAGGTATACTTTTTATTTGATTTAAAAACTCACAATGTGCTCACAAACAAAAATTCAAAATGAAAATAATTATTGGGACAGCGAATCAAATTATATTTGAGTTTTACCAAAACCTCCTTTTTTCGCCTGCCTCGTTGACGCATGAGAGAATAGGATCGCGTCTATATTTTTTTGCTTATGTTATTAAGCTGTTCAAAAACTCTACCAATGAAAAAAAATTATGAAAAAAAACCGATCGACGCGAAAAAAATAACGGCTTTGAAAAACCCCGAAAAAAAATAGCAATTTTTTTGAAATTTCGGAAGATTTCGTGCAAGTGTCCGTAGCAGTGTTTGCGTCAAACACACCGATGCGCCCTTTTAAGTGTCGCAGGAGCCGTTTTTTTCGGAGTCAAATTGCACACTTTCCTGTTTTATTTCGAAATAACATTATTTTTTTCATTTTTTTCTTTTTTTCCAAACCAAATGATAATAATTTTTTTCTGATTAGAAAAAAAGAAAAAAATAAGCTGAAAAATTCCTTGTGACCTTTTTTTCTAAGTAGTTTTTTTGATATTTTATCAAAAAAATTCTGATGATAGTTATGCGAATGATTCATGCCAAAACATAAAGATCAGTTCTGACAACCTCTCAGAACAGAAAACCGATTTAAAAAAACGGTTCAGAAATGCGCAAAAAAACATTTAAAAAAAGAAAGCGTGCGGCAGCGGGTAAACCGTGAGATTTTCGCCTCCAGTTGAACGCCGCGCGCGCTCGTTTTTTTGGCCATAACTTTTTTTCTTAGTGGAGCTTTTTTTCTAAAAACTAAACGGATTATGAAAATGGACAGTCTCCTCTATTGAACAGTGTAAAAAACATATTTTTTGGATCGTTTTGAAGAAATGGCTTGCGGACCCTACTTATAGGGGTCGAAAAAGTGGTGCCTATAAAGGTCTTTCAATTTCTTTCAAAAAACGCTTATTTATTAGTTTTTCCCATGGAAATGCTCCTTCGCACACAGTTCATAAGAATTATCGACTAGCATGCCCCCCATAGGGGCCACTAACTGAAACCCCTAGAAGAACCACTTTTTAAGCGTTAGGTCCCACTATAGGGGTTGGTAAAGTGTTCTCTGGGACCCATAAGGTTGCCCCTATAGGGACCTAAGTATGATTGATTGAAGCGCAAGTCTGAGCGGGCTAGAGAAGAGCAAATGCGTGACCGAGGTCAAGCCGCCGAACGAAATGTTGAGGCTTCTGAAAATGGGAAGCGGAAAGCCGCCGTACACATTGGTCGCTGCCATCGAAAAAGTACGAGTTCCGCTTCGGCTCAAACGAAAATGAGAGTTCCAGCGAACAGAAGCCCTTGTCTACGAGATGATGACCAGATGGTGCGAGAGTCCGAGCAACGAAGGCGTCGAGAAGGTTCTCAAAGAGTCGACGCTGATCTTGATGCCCGAAATACCTCACACCCAGGTATGCTCCGTTTTTCGTGGCTTTCAGAGTTCTGTTTTAGGTAGTTTCAAGTGAAAATATTCAGAGACTGATGCCTTGTTCAATTTGATTTCGCGAAATGCAAAATGATCTCTGACTTTCCAAAATCTAGTGATCTTTTCCTTTCTCTAACGGGTATTTTGCATTTCGCGGAATCAAATTGAACACGACATGAAAAAACGTTATCTGCGAACCTTAACACGGGTAAAAAGCCTGTCAAAAAATACAGAAAGTTTCAAACTTTAATGTTTCACCGGATACGCAAAATACAGGCCTCAAATTTGATATATAGCTGGGCTGGCTGAGTCATCGAAAAAAAAGGGTCCTGACACGATAATAAAGGAGATAGTGCCTGGCTCGTGGAGAGCGCAGACAGGACACGCCCCCTTAGAGTCCCAAGCTAGCCGTGAATCTCTGATTTTCCGCTGCCTTCTGTTTTTGAGCGCTCTGATCTGAAACTGTATCAAAAAATTTCGATTTGAAAAACCGAACTTAAACTTTAGCTCAACTGCCACGACTACAATACCATCTCGCCATTCAAAAAACTTCTCAATGACGTCATTCAAGCGGTGCCGCAAATCGACTTTGTTCTGCTTTTCGGCACTGGCGGACTAAAGGTATCAAAACCAGGAATGAGATTCTAGCACCCGCGGGTGCTACCGCGGATCACCCATTCATCCCCAGACCCGAATAAACCCCTTCAAGTTCAGCGGGACAACGTAAACGCCTATCTCACGCGCCAGGCCCCCGTTTAGGGGGGATCCCGCCGTAGAGCACGAGTTTCATTGAAAATCATTACGTATTAGCCCAAAAAAAGAGAGCTACACTATGAGGCACATGCTGGCGAGCGCCTGGTTTAGAGTCGGTTGCGGATTCCATAGGGCCTCGGCAGCGTGACTAGAGAGTTGGTTTAACTACCTAAGTTTAAGGTGAACATTAGATCTGACGCAGAATATCATGGTGTCAAGATAAACTTTGGAACCGCTTCTCTTCAGAGAGGCAAAAAGTCTCAAGAAACGCAAAATTTGGATTTTAGGTGCGTTACATAAACGAAACTCTGGGCGTGGCCGATCGGATGGCCGTCGCTTTCAAGGCGGCTCATGGATCCATGCAGAATGCGGACACCGACGCTTGTTCTCGAAGTAAGCCGACGTGATTTAAAAATGACCGTTTTTTGGCTTCCATCCAGGCATGCCAAATGAACGAGAATCGATTCGGCCGTTTACCTGGAACGACACCAAGTCAGCCTTAGTCGAAAGTTGGTATATTCATAGAGGACTTTAATAAATATTTTGTTCTCTAGACTTTTCCAGTCCAGACGCGTTACTTGCTCAAATCGGCTGCTGCTACGAAAACTTGGCGACGGGCCAACTTTTTGAGGAGAATCGCCACGGGATTCGTCGGGCTTTTGAAGAAAGGTATGCCTTTTAATGCGAAGATGTCAAATCTGGCTTCAATTACCTTCAATTTTACCTATGTTCTCTTAAAAGTTGGGCAAGCTGTCCCGGAGTTTTTTTTTTTTGACGACGCTCCGCCCACTTTCTCCGTAAAGTTTAGTGTGTCTTGTGCATACACTGCGGCGCTCTGGCACATGCCGTGTTCAGAGTAATTTTCGCGAAATTCAATATCATCTCTGAATTTCCGAAGTTCAGTTATTTTTTTACTTTTTGGCGGCTATTTTGGATTTCGCGGAATCACTTTCGACACGGCAACAGAAAAATTGCCATTTCCAAAATTAGGGTAGCTTTTGAAAAGTTCACATGTTTTTTTTTTTCTTTTAAAGAATCCGCGGTGTGCGAATAATTGTCGACGATGAGCCGTTGACTTACGAAGTGAATGGCGGAGTGAGATCAACCGAGTTCAAAGGTCCTCGGTATGTTCAGCTCAAATTGAAGACGAAGTTGATAAAACTCCTCAGGTTCATCAATCTGCCTAATGGCCTACACCACGTTGTGCTCTACCAAAAAGACACAATCTTCAGCAAGTTTGATGTGCAGGTAAACTGATTCGTGCGTTGACGACTTTGAGTGAATGGCTTGCAGATCAGCGACCAGACTCCGACAGTCGAGAAGAATCTCGTTTCGCGTTCCTCTAACCTCATCGTCGTCTCGATCGCCTCTCTCCTCATCATTGTGGCTTGTGTAAGCTTCACTTTCATAGACTGTTGAGATTTTGAATGTCATCGCTCAAACTCCGCCCCTTACGCGTTGATCAAACCAATCAGAAGCGAGCCATCTACAGAGGGTTTTTGGAGGCGGAGCTTGACATTCAAAATCTGAACAGACCATAATTTTGCAACCATACTTTGATAGATGGAAGTTCATTTTTTCAACTTTTGATTTGCAGCTTTTCGCTTTCCGTCAGCGTGTGACAACGGTTCTCAATCGGAGGGGCTTTTTCACTGGTTAATTTTGATTGGTCAAGCATCAAAAACTCCCTTTTCAGGGTCGAAAGAAGGGTTCGAAAGAATACCTTTGTACAAGAGCGACGACGAGGACGAAGAAGACGTCTTCGACATGCAAAAACTCTAAAACTGTTCAGCTCCTGTGATTTGTTAACACTTACGGGTTCGATCGCTCTAAACGGAAATCTATATTTTTAGGGTTGTGATACTTTGTCATCTTTCAAAGCGAAATGAATCAATAACTTCCTTTAGAATTTCGAGGGTGCCATTCCACCTGTTTCTTCAAAAGAAAAATGATAGACACATGGGTGAAAAAATTGAGAAACAGGGATTTTTTTCTTATTTTGTGCTATGATTGCTTGAAAATAAATTGCGATATGGTTTTGTACAACTTTTTGAAACTTTGAAACTTTTATTCAGTCTTCAGAGAAGGTACTCTGCTGAATCATGGAATAATTGAAGAGTTGTTCGTCGGTTTGCGAAACTGCCGTTGATCAAGAGTAGACGGCGCGTAGAGCATCTCGCTCTTCTGGTGAAAGTAGTAGACAGACGGTTTTCGAGCGTTTCCGACGATCACTGCTTCTCCCTGTAGGAACAGTACGGCGCCCAGCTTGTCCAGGGCTGACGGGCGTCGGAATATTATCTCATGAGAGAGCGGCAATGAGACCGACCACTCGGGTGGTAGAAATGAGATAATAATTGTACAACATGTTCATTCAATTTCATAATTTTTCTTGTTTCAATGATAGATGGAAACGACTAGGCGGTTAACAAGAACTGTCGAAGCTATAACAAACAACCGCCTTTGACGAAATTGAAATCCAAAAGTGGTTGAAAAAGTTGAAAGCCCGGTTTTTGTTTTGTGAAACTATGATGCTTTTGGTGTAGGATATTTAATGTAACTTTTCTCTCTAGTTGTATTAATATTCGAATCTCTAGAAACCAGAAAAGTGTATTTACTAAATTTCGCGATCAATCAACTATTTTGATTTTCACGTCAAATGCGCTGTTTGCGTACTCGGCGCTATAGTTGACGACAGTTTTTCGAAAAAAAAAAATGCATCATTGATTTTTATTTGTTTTGCTTGTCGTGTTCAAAATTATTCCGCGAAATTCAAAATAGTCGTCTGAGAAAGAAAAAGAAAATTAAATATTGGAGAGTCAGAGATAATCTTGCATTTCGCGGAAATTACTTTTAAAATGGCATTTACTTCATTTTCTACTATAAGTGTGTTGAAAGTAATTTTTGAGCAAGAATGGTTTTAAAGTTTTTAAATAGGTCATAAGTAGATAATTTTTGATGATTTCATCTGAAATGCTGGACGTAGCAGTCTTCGTCAAACGGATGACCGTCGTGCGCAAAGTAGTCCCCGTCTGAAAGTTTCGGTTAGGAGTTGGCTGGTTGAAAATCAACTTGGGATGATTTTGTGGCAGCTGGCGCATCTGAAGCACTTGCGATGCCACAGTCGACCCAACGCCGACAGCCCGAATTCTTTCAGCGGCTCGTTGCACTCTGAAAACTTCTCTGTTGTGAAAGAGCATTATTCAAACTTTCAAATGATCGAGCCCCCAACATTGGTGTAAGCACAATTCACGCTCACGAGTATTCGCGGACCCGAAATTCCTTCCTAGGCAGATAACTTCTACTTTTCCAACTTCTAGGCCGAAACTTCCGAGGTTTTCAAAAACGATTCCAGCTTGACTAGCTGGCGATATTAAGAAATAAATTTCCAGAATGACCGTGGCAAGGAGCGTGGCGCGTGTTCATGTTGCAGTCGTAGCACGCGGGCTTCGTCGCGTCTGCCAAAGACGGAAAACAGAGATTTCCACGCAGCGGTATCTCGAAGCAAAAAAGTTCTTTCTTCATGAATGAAAAAAATTACCTTGCAGAATACGCATTTGAGATGTTCGAGATGATACAGCCGCCCCAAGACCATCACTACGGAACCCTTACAACAGAGGTACGATGGTTTTCTGAATGAAGCTTACCGTCGTGACTTGTTTTCGTGTGATGAATGCCGAACAGTCGTCGCAAGACACCGTTTCATCCGGCTGAATTTTGCATAAAAATCAAGTAAAGCATAGGCAAAGTCGGAAGGATCCTTTACGGGCTCTTTGAGCGTCCGTTATGGGAGCAAAAGCTTTCCATCAATTGTTCCTAAACGGGTGGTACCGGTTTCCCGTTTACTGCCTTTTTCCGTCCTTTCATCGACCTTTATCCACCCTTTTTGGACACGAAATTTTTCAAACTGAGAATATCTCTACCAGGGACTGTGTATGAACCAAAACGTGCTACAGTAATAAAATCAAAAATCATCAATGGCCGAGACTTCCGGCACCTTTTTTGCGGCCTTTTTTCACCCTATTTTGATGCTTTTTAGCCGACCAAGAAAGAAAGGCCGAAAAACGGAACCCTTTTAGCGGCCATTTTGTAGTCACTCCCGTTTTCCACACTCCCGACGTTTGCAGTGTTAGTTTGGAGCGCAATTGAGAAAAAAAAAGAAAATTTTCACAAGGCCATTATATTTGACTATCGTTTTAGTATATCAGTAAAAAAAATGTGATCCTTGAATCTTGATCAAATCCTAAAAAAGGAAACCTTGTAGACACTACTTTTATTCGGATCGCCACTTTTCGACATCTTCGCAGGTTTTAAAATGACTAGTAACAACGGCTTTAAAGTCACGTTTCTAACTTTTTTCATTCAGAGACCTTATGCAAAAAAGTGGAAAATTATTTTCCGCTCTTCCTGACTCCGCCCCCAAGGCTACAATATCTTTCGCGTCAATGTTTCATCTCCAGATGACGATGAACTTTTGATATGGCTGCATTTTTTGACTTCTTTTCATATTTTAGAGCAAAAAAAAGATCAAAAATCATCCCGCGCGATAAAAAATCGACGCGAAAAGGCTGGCTTGAGCCCTCGAAAAAGGGTCCTGACACGAAAAAGAAGAGGTAATGTTTAGTTGATGGAGAGCACAGGCAGGCCACGCCCCTTCAGCGTTTTGAGTTAACCGTGAATCGACTGTACTGTGCCAGCTGTTCTTCGCGACTTGAAAGGATGGAACTTCTCTGCGCTCTCCTTATCCCTCGACGTCTCTCTCTCATGTTTACGGGCTGTTTCCATATTTCCCTGACCTCGCCGCTGAGGGAACAGAGAGACGCAGACACGCTAAAACTGTCAAGTAGTGGCGGACGGGCTATAGCTGGTTGACTTTTAAAAACTGAACAGACCGACCGCCGCGACTTGACAGTTTTCGAGTGTCTGAGTCTCTCTGTTCCCTCACCGGCGAGGTCAGAGAAACGCGAAAACAGCGCGTCAACAAGAGAGGGTCGTCGAGAGACGAGGAGGGCGCAGAGACCTTTTCACGTTGCGGAAAACTAAATGACCTTGCCGGTGAGGAGGTAGAGGGCACAGACAGGTCAAATTGGACATGTATTGATCAAGCATTTCCCATTGGGGTATCTAGCCTGTGTACCACGAATTGGAATTTCACCAAACGACATTCCGCTGTGCCGCTTTGCGCCAAGGTAATCTACTTTCATGTGCTCCCACAGCAATAACAATCAATTGAAAACGTAACCTAAATTCGAAAGACGCTTCGCGAACGCACGCAGCGCAACAGCGGAATGTCGTTCGGTGAAATTTCAAGTCGTGGCAAACAGATTATATCTGCACGAACAAGGAATGAAATGTTAGATACGTTTTACTACTCGAAGAAAACCGTCCTCTGTTTCCGTTTCATGAGTACAGCCCTGGCGTAGGCCGACGGATGACGTCGACGCGTCTTCCCTCGAGAATATGTGTCAAGCTTTTGCGTCTGTGGTGCCATCAAACGAGCAGCAGGTGCGACTCGCCTATGTTTCACCTGAGCTTGTCACTTGGCCTCGGCCGCCATCGATTGATCCGTAGGAGCACTTGCTTGCCTCCGGTGATTTGTGAAAGCCAATTTTCGGCACCCTCTCCTCTCGGCTCTGATTTATGACCGTGTTCACAGGATCTCTCTGTGTTACGAGTAATTGCCCCCCCCAAGGGTCTTTTTTTTTGACAACTGTTTCCCAGTTTTATTTGCTGCAACGTCTGATCAACGAAATATTTATGAAATTTAGATTTTTAATGTGGCCAAATTTAGTGTTCCATATATTAATTTATGTTTAAAAAAAAGGAATGGACTTTTTTTCGGTTTGACTCACTTTAAAATGGATTGAGCCGATATTTCAACTGATGAAATCTTTTTGAATCGTTAAAAGCGTTTTGAAGCCATTTCACGGCACTTCTTCAAAGCTGCAATCAAAAAAATCGTAAACGGGAGCACTTTAGAAACGAAAACTTTTTTTCTTGTTTAAGATTTCGACTTCTTTTCAACTTTTGACTGAAATTTCTTCATTTCGAGAATTCAAAACTATAAGCTAAGCTTTCTTTTCCGAAATTGGCGTTTTTTAATCAAATAATCAAGAAGACCTTTTTCAGGTTCACGTACCAGAAGTCTTGGGAAGATTCTACTTGTTTCCTTGGCTCGTTATGGTTCAGTGATGTTGGTAATTTTTGTTCTAAAAGGTTCATTCGGCTTTGAAAAAGTATGGGAAAAATAGAGTCATTGTCTTCTTGAAAAAAAAAAAACTAGATTCAAAATTTCTCGCTTGCCGAAAAATTCATAGTACTGTTTCTAGCCTTTCTCGGAGTGTTTTAAGCGGTAATTTTATTTTATTTCAAATTCTCATTTTTCTTGTCTTGTCAAAAATATGGTCAGTGGCGGAAAATAAAATGTTTTGTACGCAATGCACACGTTGCACGCAAATGGACGTGCAAAAGTTATATTGTATTTTTTTTTTAAAATTAAAAGCAAAATTGATCGTTTTATAGTTCAAGGAAAAATAATTACTAATTCCTTTTGGTGCTAATATTCTATTTCGGATTCTATTTTAAAAAAAAAGACGAGGCCGTGATTGACTGGCGGTACATTGACGGGCTCGCAAACATCTCGCTTTTTTCTCGCGCCGGTCTCGCATTATTCTGGGCGCGAGCTCGCATTTCTCTCGCGATTTGAAAATTTCCGAAGTGCGAGATAAATGCGAGATGGCGCCAAGAAAAATGCGAGGTCACACGTTGCACAAAAAGAGACGCGCAAAAAGCGGAATTTTTTTTTATTATCATTAAAATTATTTTCTAACTGTTATTTATTCAGGGATTGAATATTGAATATTGAATATTTATTTCACTCTGATACATAAAACAAAATGAACTACAAATAAAGATACATAGCTTGAGCAAGAATTATATTAGAGTTTTAGGGATTACCGAAACAATTCTAAAATAGTAATATTTTTGGAAAAAAATAACATTTCGAATTCAAATGAAGAGAAATAATTTCTTTTGGAACTATTATTCATTTCGATCCCTAATACTTCTTTCTGGCTTCTAACACTGGTTAACATCTCAAATTTGCATGAAAAAAACAATATTATATTGAGAAAATAAATTTTAGTTGGCTTGCAAAGTTAGTTTGAACATTCTTTGAATTTTTGAAGCCAGGAGCAATGTATTAACTAGGATTATGTGGGCCGTTCGAGAGTTGAAATTTTCAGTTTTGTTTGATGTTCAGGCGAAAGCTGTGGGAATGGCTAGTGGACAAGAAGACGAACACGGTGCGAAAATGGCGAAGCTCCATCATCCGCCGCAACGACTCGGAAGATTCTTCACGCGGTTTGATCAATCATATCGGGATTTCTGGCTGATTTGGGCGGTTCGCAGAACAACCGAGTCGTCGCGGGAAGAAGTCGTACTCGGCGGGGAGCCTCGTCGCCGCCGCCAAGCCGAGCTACGAGAAGTTCTTCGACGAGCCCCAAGTTCGGGTCGTTCTTGAGGTACGAGTCGCGAGGGCGGAATGTTGAGGCCAAGGAAGGCATGATGATGGATCGGATGGGCCGCCTAATGGACCCGCTTGTGGGGGCTTAACATCATTTCATGTAAATGCGCCACCAAATATTCTTCCACTCTATGCAAAAGATATTCAAGAGTCCCTTCAAAACTTCCTCGGGTTTCTTCTGATCCGAATAATATGTGGGCCTTTTTCTAAGTTTAGACTTCCAGAAATATACATTTTATCGAATGTCAAGAATCCTTTCGAGCATTTGCATTCAGAAAAAAGGTCCATGTTTTCCTATTATTTCGAAATTCTGATTATTAGTCGTTTCCGATTTATTGCTCACTTACATGAAAGTCTTTTCACTTTGCGGTTGGGAATTTCCTGAAAATTGGCCAGAAATATTCTCGATGCAGCAGATGAAGATCCTGAAAGTCTCAACCTGCATAGCTTCCTAGTTTTCGAGAAATAAGGGCTTAAAAAATGGCCTATTTTAATGAATTTTGAGTTTTCCTAAACTCTAAGGTGCTCTTTCTCGGAAACTAGGAAGTTTTGCAGGTTGAGATTTTCAGGATCTTCATCTACTAGAAGTATTTTGACCAATTTTAGGAAATTCCCAACCTCAAAGTGAAAAGACCTCTTTGTTAGGAATACTCGCGGACATGCCGATTTTTGAGCCGTGATATTCTGATTGCACAGGAATCTATGAATATTTCTTGCGTTATTTTCTCGGAGATAATATAGCTGATTCACGGCTGGCTCGAGCCATCGAAAAAATGGTTCCGACACGATAGTGCACGAGACAGCGCCTGGCTCGTGGAGAGCGCAGACAGTACACGCCCCCTTAGCGTCCCAAGATGCACGGCATTCCTATTGGGGTGAGGGATAGTGAGCGAGGCGTCAAACTTTCTGAGTTTACAAAAAAAATTTAGTGCGCGCTACGGATAAAATGCACTGAGTATCAAACGTTAATAACTTGTTTTTTCGATCGCCTTGGGCTGTGTACTGTAGATTTCAAATTTCGCGCCAATTTTTTTTTTTTGACGTCTTCCCACCCCGTTTGGGAACACCGTGAGCTGGCTAAGCAGGGAAAAAAATTAATTTGTATAGATTTTTCATTATTTATGAAAAACAAACTAAATCAATAACCTTTTTTTAAAAATCAGTAATTTGAAGCGAAAACTGAACTTGAAACTCGCTATTTTTTTCAATAAGAAAACCTCTCAAAGCTTCAGACAAAGAAAAAATTTTCAAAAAATGAGGGATTCTTCCAAGTTTTTCAATATAATCTCTGTTCACAGAGAATAATTTTTACAAGAAATAAAATTTCTTGAATTCTTTCTCGTATCTTGATTGAAGTGCAAGACTAATCCCTTCTCCACTGGGAAACCCTAGAAACGGTTCTTTGACGCGAGCTTCATCCACCCACTTTCTAAATCGACCCGATGCAAGGATAGCCTTTGATCTCGTGTTGTTTATTGACCTATCAGACAGCGGCCCACAAAGCCCATTATTCAAAATTACAACTTTCTCACAACGTTTGCCGCGGCTGCGGGCCACGTGAGTGAGGTCTTGAGCGGAGACTCCGACGTTCGCTCAGGCTATGACGTCATGATCAGGGGGATCGCTACTGTGAAAAGACATGGGCAGCCTATTTTGGACTGGACATTTTCAGTTATAAAGTCACCAAGACAATATCAGCATTCTTGGGAACTCCAGAGTGGTTTAGGGGCGGGATTTCCTCTAGGGTCCCTTTTATCAACCCTATAGGCGCCACTAAAGCTTGCAAAAGTAGTCCCTATAGAGGCTTCAATCAGTGGCTCCTATAGGGGATATTTTAATCGACAATTTTTATGAACTCCATGCAAAGAAGGATATACACGTGATAAATTTAAAAAACCACCTTGATTTTACCCCTATAGGGATCAATTTTACGACCCCTTTAGGGACGTTTATCCTCCTTACCCCTATAGGGATCACTCTAAAATTCCGTAAGTCATCAAAAGTAGCAATCTGATCTATACTTAGTTTCCGAGCTTTTTCTCGATTTAAATCATACGTTTTTGCTCATGTTTGCACCTTAAATTAAATGAAATTATGTGCCCTAGATAAAAGCTATAGGGCATTTCAGAACCGACGGGAAAGCCTTCGAAACTGCGCCTCCGCCGACACTTTTCCCGTTTTGCCGCCGGATCTTGAAGCCGTAGAGAAGTTCTTTTTTAAAAATATCACACAGCTCTTTTGTAAAAAATCCTTGCGACTCTGAAAGTTTTTTTTGTCAAAATCTTAATCTTTTAAATTCACCTTCCTATTTGAAAAATCAAAAATTGCGATTTTCAGAGTTTGTAGATTTTTTAGAGCTTCGTAGAGCTCAGAAAAGGCCACAAAGAGGCCGCAGAAAGGGCAAGAAAAAGGAAGCAAAATGAGCCCCTTCACCGAGTTTTTCATTCTTTCTGAGATTTTTAAGGCTCAAGAATTGGTGGAAAAAAAGTGAGGCAGCAAAAATGGTGCATAAGAGCTGATGAAATGGCGCAAAAAGGCAGCAAAAAAGGAACCTTTTTTACCCTAAAAGGAAAATTTCTAGAGCCTTTTTCCATCCTTTCCGACTTTGCCTACGCGTGTAAATTTTATCTCGGCTCCCTTATTAGGCCGAACTCGTCTTAAATTAGCTTAATATATGAAGAGCGAAATAATGATTATTTTTTCTCATTTTCTCCGGGTTTTTCATTTTCAATTCTAATGATCATTGCTTTTCTTAACTTTCAAGTTTGACTAAAACGATTTTTCGGTGTTTTCACAAGCTTCAAAGTCGTGTTAGTGAGAAAAAATGGGTTTCATACTTGTAAAATAGAGCAAAACAACAGCTGTCAGATCAATCAGTAAATTTTTTTTTTGTTTTGCAACCTTTTTGTGACGTCTTTTTTTGATTGAATTTGAAACGAAGCCAAAAAAAAGGCTTATGTGCTTATTCTAACAAGTTCCCACTTCCTATTCAGGCTCAAATTCGAGTCGAAGACCTTTTTCATAACGAATTAATCGTTTTATTTCAGTTATTTATCGCTTTTCGTCTATTTTTCCATGGAAACTTTATAAAAAAATTTTTTTAATAGGAGTAGGTCTGCCACAAATTAATCCTTTCCATAAGAAGAGCCGAGGAAAGGGGCGTGGTCTTCAGAGCACTATAATATCCCGATATTGCAGGAAATCCACAGCGAAGCCCCCTCGCAGTCCCAAACAAATCCGTTTTAATATACCCGAGGTTTGTTCCGCCATTCACTTCAAATCCATTCTCTGATTTGAATTTTTCCATCTTAGGAATGAAGTTTCCAACAGAGTTCCTATTTTCTAGCTTCACACGACATCTTCCTAGAAACAAAAAGAGCGAATCACATCTCAAATTGCCACGCTATCGTTCCGCAAACGTCCTCTCTCCTAACCTTTTTTTCAAATTCTCATTTTTCTTCTCTTGCCAATAAGATGGTCAGTGGCGAAAAATAAAGTGTTTTGTACGCAATGCACACGTTGCACAAAAGGCGACGCGCAAAAGTTATATTATATATTTTTTTAATTTTTATTTTTTTAAACTCACACGACATCTTCCTAGACTCCAGAAAACAAAAAGAGCGAATCACATCTCAAATTGCCACGCTATCGTTCCGCTCTCCCTCTAAAAAACTTCCCTCATTTTGTCACGGCAGGCTTCTATAGACCAAAGAGTTTGAATTTTTTCCCTTCGCTTGGTTTTCGATAGTATTTTGAGAAGTTTGATGTTTTTTTGGCCTAAATATACTTGGCATAGCTGACTAGAGAAGCTGAATTAGCCCAATATTGAAAAATGAAGTTGATTTTAATGCATATTCTTTGTGCGTTTTGAATTAAAGACTGCGGTTACTTTTTCTGAATTTTAATACTCAGGTAAAAGTTTCTGCTTTCGGTTCCTCGAAAGGCGGTTGGAAACTTTCCAGTATGTTGTCAAACGTCTTCCAAATCCTTCCCAACGCTTCGATTTACCTTTCAGTAGCTTGTTGGAAGGCTTCTGGCAGGCATTTTCAACTTTTTATCTTCAAAAGACCTTCTGAACACCTTTCAAGCCATTTTCAAGACCTTCTAGCTTCCATTCACCTTCTGAACACCTTACCAAGCTCCCCTTTACCTGCTGGTTACCTTCCGAACACAAAAAGCTACCTAGTCCAGCTAGAGTGTCCTGCATTTTCTTATGTATCTATTTTGCTCACATAGAAGGGCATTTTCATTCACTTTTGTTAGGAAGTCTGAAGTTCCCGAGTAAGACATCCTTTACAAAGTTCCTTTAGCTTCATGAATCAGAATGAATCATGACAGGTGCAAATCTCGTTCGAGTGCGAAGAGCCGCGTCGTGTGAGTTTCGACGTTATCGCGCCGCCGCCGGAGATCGACTGGACGCCTTCGACGCCGCCGATGCCGCTCCAACGGATGCAGACAGTGCCGGAGCTGCCTGTCGGCGGTTGCGAACCTTGTCCTAGCGTCTCCAACGTCGTGAGTCGTCTACGGAGAGTTTGAAATTTTGATCGAACGGTTCAGTCGCTGAGTTTCGATGACGAGGTGAGTATCAGTCCGCGCAGACACTCCGCCAACGAGAAGGCTCGTCAGAACTTGATCGCCCAGCGACGGCAAAGCAATGTCCAGGTTATTCTAGCAAACTAAGATCGAGGGGCATGAAAAAATGGATGTAGCCTTTTTGATAAGCTCCATAAGTTCAGACGGAATAAGAAAAAATTTACTATTTTCCAAAAAAAAAAGCATTTTCAAAAACACGAAACGGTTCTTCTTGGCCCTTTTTAAAATCCTACCTTAATACGCAAAAATGTGTTTAACCGGCATCTGTTAAGCCCGTCCGGTTTCGCACACTGTAGGTTTAAATTGTGCATACACCGATCACGGTTTTTTTCGGCGATATCATCTTTAATAACGAGTTTTTTTGTACAAAAAAATGGCCAAATTTGAAGAAAAAAACATAATTACAAAAAAATTAAAAGATCCAAATGAAGTTTTTACAAACGCCAGAAATAAAAAAATGACCTATTCTGAGAAATTCGTCTTTAGGAAAAAGTCGTTTTTTTCTGTAATTGTTTATATATTAAAGTCGAAATTAGCTTCATTCATAAAAAGAAAAAATGGTCTAGTACGGCCAGCAGAACCGGACGAGTCCCTGTAGGTCTGAACTAGGTTGAACCCTGCATTTTTTCAAAATCGGTTATAGTCCGTTTTTGCGACTTCTCGGGCAAAACTGAAAAGCTCCCCAAAAGCTTTTCTCAAAAAAAGACCTTGAAAGGGTCCCCAACAGATCTTTTTTATATCGTTTCACTTCTTTTTTGCATCGTTTCCACATCCTCTAACAAGAAGGATGCTGGAAAGCAACTAAAAAGATCCGAGAGGATTCAAAAAGGATCCTCTGAAGCTATGAAAAAGCAGCTCAAAAGCTTTTTTACATCATTTTAGGAGCTTTTAGAGGAAGCTTTTTATCTCCCTCTCAGGATCCTTTAAGGATCCTCAAAGGAACTTTTCAGTTTTACCTATGTTGAAAAGGCGGGACTTCACTGCGCCCTCCTCATCTTTCGATGCCTCTCTCATGTTTACGTGCTATTTCCATGTTTCTCTGGCCTCGCCGGTGAGGGAACAGAGAGACGCAGACACGCGAAAACTGTCAAGTCGCGGCGAACAGGCTATAAGAAAGAATTTACTATTTTTCCAAAAAAAGACATTTAAACCTGCATTTTTCAAAATTTGTTCTTCCCAAATGTTCTCCATTTTTTCCAGGTACTGTATGACAAGAATAATGAAGAAAAAAACCTAATATAAAACCTCAAAAACTGAAAACTGCTGTTTTCAGTTGGCGCAGACGATGACCGGACGGAGGACCTCCACGACTCTGATCCCACTCACCTGTGCACAAATCCACCTGATCCGGTCGCTGTGGCGCCAGGTCTACACTTCGAAAGGGCCTACCGTAATCGGCACCAGCATCTATCATCGGCTTTGTTTCAAGTGTCAAGTGGTGAGACCTCAGATCATTTCTGATGGAAGGCAGCTTTTCCGCAGGTCAAAGAGCAAATGAAACGAGTCCAACTGCCGCCCAAGTTCCAGAACTCGGACAACTTCATCAAAGCGCACAGCAAAGCTGTAGCTGAGCTCATCGATCAGGTTTCCAGCGCTTCTTGAGACTCATTGTTGGGAGTTGAGGTTGTGGAAAACCTTGACAACTTGGACAGTATGGTCGACGAGTTGACACGGATCGGAAGGGTTCATGCACGGATTCTTCGTGGAGAACTTACTGGTGAGTCTGAGTGACTTTTTTCCATTTTTACATCGAGAATCTTCAATCAACAACCCTCGGAGAATTTCCCTGATAATTTTAAAAGATATCTGAAATGAATTTTTTAGGGAAGCTATGGAACATAGTCGCTGAGACGATCATCGACTGTACGCTGGAATGGGGCGATCGCAGGTAAAGGCGATTCAAAATCGAAACCTCAAAATTCGAAACAGATGCCGAAGCGAAACGGTGCGCAAAGGTTGGGCGCTGATCGTGGCGTTTGTCGTCGAGAAGATCAAATACGGGCACCACGAACAAGTTTACCGAGACTTCAGACCCTAACTCGCTTAACAAGTCGCTTTTGTTCTAGAGAAAGTTGATGTTGGCCACTCGGCAGTCCGTATCGTCAATTGATATTCCGCTTCACTCGTTGCGACTCTGAGAAGCGACTAAATCGAAATTGGTGCACCTCTTTTCTTTACGCGGGTTGATGGGCTTTTTTAAAAGTGTTTATTTTTTTGGTTTAATCTTCCCTGCTTTTACGTTGGTACAAATATAGTGCAGTTTGAACTTTTTTCGATTCTTTTCCAGCCCGTCGTTGATATTGAATTCCTAACCGGCAAACGAGTCACGAATGTTGTATTCCTCGAACGCATGTTGCAATTTTAAACAAAATGAGCATGGCTATTTCTTTTCTAATCTTTATCAAACTTGATCTCACTATGCTTAGAACTTTCCTAACAAATAAACGTTTATTTAAAGCCATGTAGACTCTGAATCATCGATAAATTATAAAAAAAGAGTCTAATCGAAGGCAGAATCGTGTAGTCTGCCGTTGTCTTTCAAAGCCTGAGCTTCATTGTAAAGGAATTCGCCGGCTGGAAAGTTTCTGATCTCGACGACCTTCAAAAATCGTTGCACCACTTCATTTACCATGAAACTACCTCCACAGTGCTGATATCCTTTGCGCCAACTGATCCTTCATCCAAAGAGCAGTATAGATAAGGCTTCTCTCGATCCCACGCCGCATACTGAAGAAAAAAAAACTAGAGAACTTTTTTCAAATAGCAGAATAAGATATTTAACAAGTTCGAACCCGATTCGTCTTTTTATACGTTTTAGAATGTCCGCTGGACGAGACGAGGGCATACTTCAACAGAAGCACGTGGTTCTCCACCAACCAAATATGGTCGTCGTAATTTGACTCGCTCAAGTCCGAATATCTTATCAAAAACGTCCCTCTCTAAAAATACTGCAATTCGTCACTTCTGAGAAGCCAGAATTTCAAATCCACCTTGAAGGGCACCAGGCTTCCATTCGCCGAAACATAGTAATGAACGCCGTCATAGAATTCTTCTCGTTCTTCTTCAAAAAAAAGTTTATTGGGACAACTACTTTTCCTTCTTAGAAGGTGCGTTTGATAAATACCTCTTTTGATTTTTGAGGGCTTTTTCTTCTTTTCGAACCTTGGGCGAGGTATTAGACGACGAGGAGCGCTTTCATTTGTCGAGAAAAAATTTCTCTGAAAGTAAACGTTCGAAATCTTCATTGAATGAATTTTGAGAAGTTATTCCGCTTTTATTTTTTTAATTCTTTTTCGAAAGATAAATTCTACATTTTGAAATTTTTAGGTCTTTTGCTATAAATCATGGCAAGAACCTTGAAGAATGGAGTCTTTTTTTCAAAGTTGAAAAGCTGCCGAGAGCTTCTCGCACTCTGGAAAGGAAGAAATTTCGCAACTGCCTCATTTTTCATTTTCTGAAAGTTATCATGTAGTTAAAAAAAGACTCAAAAAAGCTGCACCTGCGGTTCTGGTCTGAAGTCGAATTGGAATCTCTGGAAAGTCGAATTATATGGATTTGCCATGACTTTCGAAAATGCCCTTCAATCAAAAAAACTTCTTTTTGAAACGAAGAAAAAGTAAAAAAGAGAAAAATAATAATTAAAATGGAACCTACCATTTGGGAATGAAAATCCGGACGTCACGACTTGCCACGTCGATTTATTGCTGTACTAATCATGACCCCTTTATTTCTTTTGCAATGAAAAAAAACTCATATCCATATCCAAATGATCTTCTTCTCGGAATTTTTATGAATAAAAAATTCAACCAAGCAACAAACAGGAACCAAGAAACTCAATGTATCTTAAATAGAACTCCTCCAACCTGTGGAATATCAAAAATTCATTATAAACAATTTCAAACAAAGTTTTGCAAAAAACAAATTAATTGCAACAGCCTTCGACCGCTTCTGCTTGTTCAACCGTAGTCAGAGGTCCGATGAAGAAAAACGCCACGATATGACCTGAAAAAATGAAAAGAATAATCATGGCGGAATAGAAATTTATGAAAGAAAAAAATAACCAAGGAAAAAATGCCTCACCTGCGACCAAAGATAAGAAAATAGGGACGTTATATGTCATGCTGACCATCATCAAGGAGTAGTCAACAAACAGTTGCACAAAAAAGATGACGCAAGAGATCAAGTGCTTAGGCGTCGTGATCGAGTGGCTAGTGAACCTTGGAAACATGCTAATAGACTGTATCAGAAAAAAATGATTACGGGAGCAAGTTTGGCGCTGAAGATGAGTACGAGCCAATTTCTTGACTATCCCAGTGCGGCTCGCAGCAAGATTCCTGAATATTGATCATGCATACTAATAAAATCGCCTCAGAAGGGAAGCTCATGGTGGAAAGTGGAATAGCCCGACGCGTGACGGTTGCGAAGCGGTTGTTAAAAAACGATCGAGTCATTCCTTCCCGAATTGAAAGGCGGGGGAGGCGGAGAAGTGGGCGGTTCTTTCACTAGTTCAATTCAAACGCTTTTTTTTTAAAGCTTCGTCAACGCTCTTTTTGTATCTTTTCTACTAGTTCTTAATGCATGAATTAAAAATCAATGAAGAATTTGCAAAAATATAAAAAGAGCGATAAAAAAGCTCTTCAAATAGTCGTTGCGGGTTGACTTGAACTCGTGCCAAAAACCGCGTACGCGCACGCTACGCGGGAAAAGGAGAGAAAACTAATCATACACCGCTTCGAACCATTCCACATGCGGCCACAGAGTTTCAGTATATGCAAACGGAATGTATTTATTTTTCACTTTATTGAGGGCACGACTGTTGGAAACAACCAGCTTCGAGCGACCGAATTTGATCCATTCGTAGGAAAATGCAATGGCGGCGACTCCCAGGCAAGAAAACACATATGCTGCAACATAGTTTTATAGAATATAAATAAATTAAGTAAAAAAAACCGAGGATTGTGGTGGGCGCCCACTGCTCGAATAATATGTAGTCCTTGACTCGGAAATGAAAGAACATGAGCATCATTTTGAAACCTGAATCAAAATAAAATCTTTCGGAAAAGCTTTACTGAAAGTCCTTATTAAACAAGAATATCAGAAGGAAAGCCAGTTACAGTGTCATTTTTGGTAAGGAAAATAATCTTTCTAGTAATTTCAAACGAACTAGAGCTTGAAAAGTATAGAAATTAATGAAGCGTTAGGAGTATTTACGCACTGATTTGAACAGAAGAAAAACGAAACGATAACAGCAAAACTTTAAACGTTCATTGAGAATATATTCAATAAATAACAGATTTGAAAAATAAAAGATAAAGGAGATGTATTTCAGTGAGTGGCAAGTCTGGACCCGAAAAGGAAATATCCAATCGATGCACCAAGGCAAACTGCGATGCCAAGCCATACCTAAACAAAGGTAATTTTGAGACAATGAGAAAAAAGAAATTCACCGAAAATGTCATGAAAATCAGCATGAGAAGGTATCCGAGGGCTATTTGAACCCCGAAAAGGATGGTCTGCAGGAAGTTTTCAACAGAGAAAAGGCGTTGCGCATAACTGGAATTGAGCTAGTACAGTTTCCGTAAGAGTAAAGGATATACAGTCTAATGTTATGTATGCTAAAAGCTCGGTGAGGTCATAAGAGATGAGAAAAGATATTTTCGCCTCAAGTTGTCCTAGACTCACATATCTTCAACCAAAACCACCGTTGCGTACTTGGTTTTGCGCGAAGTGAGAGGCTTGTACTTCTGCTGCAGGACCCATCGGAGGTACTTCAGAAACTCGTAGAAGATTCCCATAGCAATGACGATCGCGCAAGTCCACACCATCGCTGAAAGCGGATAAATTTTGAGTAATAGTTGTCTTTTTTTGCTCTTTTCAAAGTTCTGTCTGCTTTTTAATACTCTCCACATAACACAAAGATACTCTGATTCAGTTCCTCAAGATGAAAATTCAATAAAAAAATTGTCCGGAAGCCATTCAGTTTCCCTGAAAGTTGGCCAAAATACTTTTCCCTTGAACCAACCCGTCAAAATTTTTTTTTGGTTCTGATCAAATCTGCGCATAAGCTTCTTGTTAATTAAACCGATGCTATGGTTTTTTTTCTCGAGAATAAAAAATTTTGTAGATTGAAAAATCCGGTATATTTGGATCAAAAGCTGTCTGAGCAAATTCTCAAAAACCAAGCAAAAAGTGAAAATACTTGGTCTTGGAGAACAACTTGAACGACACAGTTGGAAACGATTATGTTCTGTTAATTTGCAATTTTGATTTCCAAATATTCATATTCACATTTTCTAAATTTTCGTTTCCGGCTTAAAAAACTCGGAACAAAGCATACCTCCTGGAGTGGTGACGTTCCAGGAAGAAAAAAGAACAGTGTCTTGGACTTTTGTGTGAAACCACATCCACATGTAGTGCATGTCCATGTGCATCGGCATTTTCGTCGTTCCCATCATCATGTCTTTCACGAACTTGTCAACGTCTTCTCGCAAGTCATTGCTCGTCGGGATCTTACTCAAATCGCCGTTCATTTTTTTTTTAAAGTGACTAGGATCACTGTTCCCTGAAATCAAAATTACTATATTTGATTCACGGTTGGCTTGAGATATCAAAAAAAAAGTCTTGAAACGAAAATAAAAGAGGTAGTGCCTGGCTCGTGGAGAGCGCAGAGACGCCACGCCTCCTTAACGTCCCAAGATAACCATGAATCGGCTATAATAAGTTATTCAATGAGGTAGTCCAGAAAGTGGCTAGGGGTGAACCGGAATGGCACAACGGGCCAACTAAAATGATAACGATAGACGGCGACGAAATTCTCGACCCTTGTACGCGTTGATAAATTGCTTTATTTAGATGTCTGTGCATCATCTAATGGAGAGTGGCTTGCTTGTACGTAAACTTATCGAGTTGAGTGTTCTCTAGCAGATGCTTAACGCAATTTTTACGCAAACACTTTTTCGTTTTGAAAAGAAAAAAAAAAGCCATGAATGCGCCTCAAATTTTACAACGATTATTGTTTGGTTCGACCGCACACGCACAATTTCTCACAAGAAACTATAAAATAAAATTTATTTCACGATAAAAAAATGAATGCATGACAAGAAATAACAATCGATGAATAAAACGTTGGTTTTTCAGAGAATTATTCGAAAATCAACAATTAAGCGATTAAAGACCCAGAAAAAAAGGAAAATATAGAAAACTCTTCATTGGACACGAAATTCAGAAGGAAGATTGTACCGCAACCTGAAAAAAGTATCGTTTTGGTTGAGTGAAGATCGAAAACTGTTCCGCAGAAAGAAAAATGATGTTTTTCGGTGTTGAAAATGTTTCCCACAAACTTTACGGTTTTTCAAATAAGTTACAAACGGCTAAAAAAAACAATAATAAATATATGAAAATATAAATATACGAGAAGTTAACGAGAAAAAAACGGCATATTTAGCCGTCGACAACCATTTCTCTTCTCAACCTTTTTCATATAACGTTGGTAACCTCAAGTGCTGTGTAACTTTTTTTGAGCTTTAAAACTGAAAACTTTAAACATCCAACGGTACATCCAATTATAAAACAAAAAAAATTTTTAACCAAAAATTTATATAACTAGATTGCTTCAAAATAATTCCCCTAAGGCTTTTTGTTTTGTTTTAAATGAATATGAACTGACTCTATTTCTTTTTCTTGTTCTTTTTTCCAGCGGCGATTGAAGCCGCGGCGGCAGGAGCCACGTATCCTGGTTGTCGTGACTTGAGCTTCGGAATCATTTCAGCAATAAACTTGTACAAAGCGGCACCTATAAAGCAGTTTTCGAGATGAATTGTTGGATGCTTACTAACGGGTTGGATACTGCAAACTCTTCGGTGTCCCATCGTCATTTTTCAACTGGACACGAACTCTTCCTTGGGAGGAAGGCTCTCGATCCGCATCGCGAGTGTACATCTTACTTCTCTGAAATCAAGAGTATGATAAAAATCAAAAGGTATTTTAAAAAAAAATAACCTCAAGAAGAGGATTCAGTCCGCTAGCTGCTAGTACGTCGTGAATTTCTGCTGATGTTGGAGCTTCAACCGCCTAGAAAAGAAAAGAAAATATAAAAATTCCAATCAAATCCTACGTGCAATTTAGGGATTTTTCTCCCTTCTTTTGTAGACTTCTTGGAGTCCAAATAAGCTGGATATACAACAACCCATCGTTTTTCGTGAGAAAAAGATTCAGATTTGGCTGAAGAAATCGCCATTGTTTCTGAAAATTAACAAAGGCATTTTCTTTTGAGTCGCAGGAGATGAAGAAAGGTTTTTCAGGAAGATAAAAAAAGTGAAATTTACTTTTGTCATAATTCACGAAATTTGAAAAAACTTCTATTTTAATAAAAAAACCAATGTAACTTTTGACTCCAGTATTATTTTATCGAATTCAGGAACTTCCTCTACTAGCCGATATTTCCAAAGAAAATTTAGTTATACAGGAGAAAACACATTAAAAAAAGAAAAAAATAAATTCTCGTAAAAAAATCTCGACGCGTGTTAGGCCCGTGCCATTTGGTCATAAAATTTTTGCAAGTGCCGCATGAACCTACTCCTTTGTTCATGTCCGCAACTTCAATAACACGACCGACGGAATTTCCAATGAATTTTCAAGCATCTGGCTCGAGAAAGGCTTGAGAAAAAAAAGAATTTATTCGTGGATTGGCTGTGAAATTCTTCCACCAACTTGACTATTACCTTCAATATGTTCTATTTGCAAGCATATCCAAATGAATAGCAAATTTTTATTTTGAGTTTTAAGTCTATTCCAACACAAGCAAACCTTCATATCTTGCAAAAATAATTTTTAAATTTCCAAGAATTCCGAAAAAGGACTATAACAATCGAAGTCACATTGTCAACTCTTAAGACTTATTCGCTCGGAGATTAGTTGCAGTACAAACAATTGGACCTCAACTGGGTTGCAGGCGTCATAAACAACCCATTCAGCGTCAGAAATAGGCGAACCCAACCGTTATATGGGTTGTTTGAGCAGGAAACCGGACGGTCGCTTGACAGGTGCAGACTTTTCTCATTTGGTGCTTGGATTGATCTTGGATTTTCGTTTTACTGGCTAAATAAACTAGTTTGGTGGTAACTGTTCATCAAAAAAGGATCCTTCAGCAATTAAATTGAACGTTTCCGTTTCTGGGACGAACAACGTCCGCCTCTTGGAGAATCGATATTCGTCCTCGCAGCTTTTGGAATTTTCATTTTTCCTAGAGGAAATTTTACTTGTTTGTAAGCCATTAGAGCTGCATTGTTCCCTTCAGAAGGTGTCCATTTTCACTTTTAACGAGCCTTTTATTTGCTTTTCAGCGACCTTTTTCCCAAGTTTACCATTTGCACTAATCCGCTTTACCTTTTCTTTTGAACTAACTGAAGGAAATACGTTTTGATGATAATTTTTCTATTCCATCCTAATTTCACACGATATTTGATGCTCTCTTCCACTCCCATGTTGAATTAGGTCCGCCTAATCTCCTCGGATTTCACGTTATTTTAGGCTTATCAAGTAGAATGTCGAAGTTATGACGCCCAGCAGCATTAAAGACACAGGAAACATTTTAAAATTGGTTGAATTATTTCCCGTTTATTTTTACGATAAGCTCTACCAAGCTAAAAAAATTCGGAGATTCCTAGGAATTTTTTTTTGAAAAAGAAAAAATAAAACCTTTTCCGTTTGTTCCCGGCTACATTTATACTGATATTCTTTGGCATAATTTTCGAAAATAAATGAAAGCAGTAAATATCTAAAATGATGCGAACTTTCAAAAGAACTGTCAATCATTAATGATGACTAACTCTTCAAACAGAAAACAAGCCTTTTGTACCTTTTGCCGATAACAGTGCACATTTCCTTTTACCTTTTTCACCAAAATCAATATTACTCGCTATGCTGTCGTCGTTGGAAAAACGCCATCAGATGGGGTCCAAGGCTGCGGAGGCCATTCTAAAGCCGCAAAGCCAACCTTCACGCCGATCCCTTCCTAAAACTGCGCCGCCAGTTGAAAAAAAGCGAGAAATTAACGTGAGAATTTATCCAAGTGAGTTCGAAACACACCTCCCTCGTCATTTCTTCCACTTCAATCCTTAAGAATTGTCGAGTTCGTTTCTCTTTCCTTCTTTTTATTAAAATAAAAAGCTGCCAAATCATCAGGAGCTTAAATTTTTTCTTCGAAAAGAAGCAATCTGTTGTGTTCACGTTTTTTCTGGAAGAATCTTTATTGTAACAGGTAAGATGACCAACAACAACAACGACGGAACCGACTTTGGACGCCTTGTATGGGTGACGGATCCGAACGAAGGATTCGTTTTGGCTAGGATCCAGGACATTTCGCATGAGGGACTAACTCTGCAGCTCGAACGCACTGGAGATCAGGTTTTATCATTTGATTCGATTTTTAAACATTTGCGTTCTTTAATTTATCAACAGCTCTCGGTGGGCACCGGTGAATAAGTATCTATAAGAAAAAAAAACCCAGCTTACAAAGATTATGTTTTTTTAAATATTCTCCGTAGCCTTTGAGCTCGGAGAAACTGCCACGACTTGAAATTTCACTGAACGACCTTCCGCTGTTCCGCTGCGTCGCGAAGCGTCTTTGCGAACCTCGGTCTCACTTTGAATTGGTTCTAATTTCTGATAGATGAACTGTTCCACTATAGTTTGTTCATATTTTAAATGTCAAGTAGAATGACGTCATTCGAAAACGCTCTGTGGATGGATCGCTCTCTGATTGGCTTTTCGGGCCATTAGGGGTGGAGCTTTAGAAGCGACTTGACATTCAAAATCTGAACGGACTATAGGAACACGTGTTGGTCGAGTTCTTAAGAAAAATGAAAAATTAAAGGCGCGCAAAGGCATGTAGCGGAACAGCGGAATGTCGTTCGTTGAACTTCCAAGTCGTGGTGCACAGACTATACATGAGAAATTTGAGAGGATTAACATTTTTTTCGAATTCCTATCCTTATTTTTCTTCACTCTGTAATCTGAACTTCAAAACTTGACAGATAAAAAGAAAGTACGATGAAGTTTTCGCGTCAGAAGAAGATCTGGCCAAGAGTGTGGAGGACAACTGCGGATTAATGTACCTGAACGAGGCGACGTTGCTCAACAACTGCCGAATTCGTTACGCCCAGAACAAAATTTATGTCAGTTTTCTAATCGGTCTAAAAAATGAGTCTAAAAAATGAGATTTCCAGACTTACGTGGCAAACATTCTGATTTCTATCAATCCTTACCAAGCGATCAATGGATTCTACACGCCGGAGAAGATTCACGAGTATCGCGGAAAAAGTCTCGGCCAGATGGAGCCCCACATCTTTGCCATTGGTTGTTCGAATAAAAGAAGTTTTGCCTAAAAAATGTTTTCAGCTGACAAAGCTTATCGCGAGATGCGTCGTTACAAACAATCGCAGTCGATTATTGTTTCTGGCGAGTCTGGAGCCGGAAAAACCGAATCGCAAAAGGCTGTGTTGAGGTCAGTAGATTGAAAAACTGCAGTCTGTTCACGCCGTTTTTATTAGTGGAAGAAAATACAGAACCAAAAATGAAGCGTGCGGAATCAAAGCCTTCGTCGCTCCCATTCTCATGTAGAAAACGCTATTTTTCTGTTGCCGTGTTCAAAGTGATTCCTCGGAATTGAAAATAGCCGTCAGAAAGTAAAAAATATAACTGGATTTCAAAAATTGAGAAATAATTTGGAATTTCGCGGAAATTACTTTGAAAACAGCATGTGCGAGTGCGCCGCAGTGCTTGCACACGACACACTACACTTTACGAAAAAAGTGTGTGGGGCGTCGTCAAAAAACGCCGTGTGTTCACCGTCAAGTCACCGTTCAAACTCCGCCCCTTATGTGTAGATCAAACCAATCAGAGAGCGAGCCATCCACAGAGTGTTCTAGGGGCGGAGCTTGCTACTTGACATTCAAGATCTGAACAGACTGTACTATATATTTTTCTACGCTGTCTCAGAGGCTCAATTGCCTTTTATTGATTTTTTTCGGGCTTAGTTGCCGATCTTTTCTTTTTCAAACCCATTCTTGTACGAGTTATTTTGCTTTGTCTGCAAATAAAATATTAAGATTTGCAATAATGAACCTTAATTCAGGTACCTTTGCGAGAACTGGGGCGCACAAGCAGGTCCAATTCAACAGCGGATTCTGGAAAGTCTCTCTAGTTTTTGAGTCATTTCAATCAGAAGTTAAATTCCAGCCAATCCAATTTTGGAAGCGTTTGGTAATGCGAAAACTCTGCGTAACAATAACTCGTCGCGATTCGGCAAATTTGTCCAGATTCACTTTGACAACGATGTTTGCTAAATCAGAAACAGCTTTATTGGGAAACTTTCTGTGCAGGGCCAAGTCGCCGGCGGATTCGTGTCGCACTACCTTCTGGAGACGTCGCGCGTGTGCCGTCAAGCCGAAGGCGAACGCAACTATCACATATTCTACCAAGTGCGCATCTTGAACTGTTTTCCAAGAAACCGCCAGTTCAGCTCATTGCCGGAGCGCCTGACGACCTCTACAAGAAGCTTCACCTGGCACCTGCCTCCAAATTCAACGTGATCAGTCTCTTTTTATCAGAACGAAACAGTCTAACATTTCAGTACTTGAGCGGAAGTTGCCAGATGTTCGCCCACCCCGGCGCAAAAATAGAAGTTCCCTCAGAGAGAATCGCCGTTCAGGTTCTATTCAACTGTTCTCCACAACTGAAATCTGTTTTTCCAGGAATTTGCCAGAGATACGATGGTCGACGATTTCAGTGACTACCGTAGACTTGCAGCAGCTTTGAAAGGAGCAGGTCTTGACGAGAAGCAACAGGTAGAACATGAACCGAGGAACTCTTCAACATTTTCATGAAGATCTTCATCTGGGCGACGATCGCAGGTCTCCTGCATCTGGGCAACGTCACTTTCGAGGAGAGTGTCGGCGACAGCAAGGGCGGATGTAGAGTACAGCCGCAGGCCGAGGAGTCTGTCCACAAGGCGGCCGAACTTCTTGGCATCGAGCCTGCCGAGCTGAAAATGGGCCTTGTCGCGAGGATCATGCAGGCCACCAAAGGCGGCGTCAAGGGAACTCTGATCCGAGTCCCTCTGAAAGCTCACGAGGCGGCTGCGGGCCGTGACGCCCTCGCCAAGGCCATTTATTCGAAGCTTTTTGACTGGCTCGTCGCTTGTGTCAATAAGAGCATTCCTTTCGAAGCAAGTGCCCAGTTCATTGGCGTCCTCGACATTGCCGGCTTCGGTTCGTCTTCTTTTTCTTAGTGCTGTCTCTTTATATCAATGCCTAAAACTTTTTAGCCAAAGCTAGTTTAAATCAGATCGTTTAATCGGGAAGCTTTTTCATTACGAAATCAACGGTCTACTTTAAAAAAAGCACAGATATAAGTACTTTTTAAAGAAAAAAACGTAATTTTATTTTTTCTCGCCTTTTTTTATTTTTGAAATATGCTTTGCATCGGTGTATAGAAAATTGTTAACAGTAACCGCATACGCTATTTCGCAGACGTGTCATAGATTCGCATTTTGTGAGAAATAACTGGATATCTGCTTCAAATTATTCACGGAATACAAAATATCGCTATACCAATCGAAATCTGAGCAAAATCATCATTTTTCACCAGAGCAGCATTTTACACCCGAAGTTTTCTGACATTTTATAAATAGAAAGTTTTCATGACAAAAAGAACTTTGGTGACAATAGAAAAAATTGAAACATGAAAGAAACGAAGAAAAAAAAAGCGAAAATTCGAAAAATGGCGAAGCGTCTTGTCCATAGAGCAACTTTACTGCAAAGCGCTCTTTTGGCGGGATCTCAAACTTTTCTCTCTCCAACTTTTAATCGTTTTTCCTCCAAAACTAGGAAGTTCAACAAAAAGGAAAAGCTCTACAAAGGGACATATTTGTCTCCAACCCCATTTTTTACTAACCCTATGCAAAAAAAAAATAGAATAAATTGATACTATTTCCCTCTGATTAATACAATTTTTGCTTCCAATTTCGCCATCTCTTCTCTACGATCTTATCAATTTTTTTTCAAGAGTTTTTCGCCGTGAACTCTTTCGAGCAATTTTGCATCAACTTCTGCAATGAGAAACTGCAGCACTTTTTCAATGAGAGGTATTTCGGGGGCTGCCTAGAGTTCCTATCTGTGATATTCAGAATTCTCAAACAAGAACAGGAATTGTACAAGACGGAAGGGCTCAACGTACCCGTGATTGAGTACACTGACAATCAAGACTGCATTGGTAGGCCTTGCGTCACTTTTTTTTGTTTAAAGTTTTTGATTTTGAGAACTTTTCGAGAAAAAGGGGACAGGCCTTTTCGACCTTCTCGATGAGGAAGCCAAGCTCCCGAGACCCACGCCGCAACACTTTGCCCAGGCTGTCCACACCGCGCATAAAGGCCACTTCCGACTTGATGTAGGCGAAGCGGCCCGAATCTCGATAACATTGTAAGAAACTCAGACGCCGCGCAAGTCGAAGCTTCGTCTTCACCGCGACATGCGAGACGAGGAAGGCTTCATGGTGCGGCACTACGCCGGCACCGTCTGCTACCAGACGCAGCAGTTTCTCGAAAAGAACAACGACCAGCTGCACAACTCTCTCGAGATCCTCATCGAGCAGTCCGCGTCCGTTCGCCAGGACTTTTTCCTCAAAGTTCTTTTCGGTTTCAGGGTCGACCTGCTCCGGCAACTCTTTGAGCAGACTGCTGCTCCGGCCGCTCAGGTCAAGCGGACTGGTGGCCGTCTTCAGGCAGCTAGTGTCGGCGGCAAATTCAAATCCCAACTTGTGGCTTTGTTGGAAAAGCTCCAAAGCACGGTTAATACTTTTTTTGGGGAAATTGGCTTAAATTTATAGTAGTTTCAGCATAATTTATTTTTTCTCACAGTTTAAGGAATATTTTGTGTGGAGCCATAAAATATAAGAAAAATAGGAAAAATGATAGAATTTTTCGCGGCTCAGCCTGGTTTGTAAGGGTCCTGTTTTGTTGAACTCGAGTAATGCAGTTTAGAACTTGAAAGAGTGTCTAAATCAATTTTAAAAAAGCTCCAAATCGCGTAAAAATGTCCTGTGTTCCCTAACATGCGGAGGATGTGGTCATTGGGCGTGGCTACATGCAACGGGGGCGCGGCTTATTGCAATAGGGGCGCGACAGTGAGAGCCGATTTTCGTGCATTTACTGAATGGAAATATAGCGTTAAATAATGCTTTTCAAGGCCTCCTTGACCTTTCAGAATAACTTGAATGTATTCTAACGCACAATAAACCTATTAAAAAGGAAATATGAACGAAGTCGCATTTGCGAAACGATTCATCACATGAAATGGTGTTTATTAGAAAAATTCGTCGTATGAAGACCCAAAAGACTTTTTGGAGACGATTCCCTTAAAAAACGCATTCTGAAAATTCAGGAACGAAAAAATGAATCAAATGGCTTCGGAAGAAAAAGGCGTTTTAGATAAAATGTTTTGTAAAACCTCGAAAAAAGTTTTAAAAAAAATCTCTCGACTTATCCTTAAGAAAGGCCTTCTAGGTAAGAACTGGGATTTTAGGTCTTGGTGCTCCTAATTATTCAGCTTTTTCTTGCTCTCAATAAATAACGGTTTTAATGTGATTTCTGCGGCTAATTCAGAGCTCAGATTGACAATCAGTGTGGTCAATTTTGCTCAGAAAATGACTGTTGCACTTTAGGGAACCCACTTCGTGCGCTGCATCAAGCCGAACAACGAGATGAAGCCGTGGACCTTCGACGGCGCGGCGATCCTGACGCAGCTCCAGTGCGCCGGCATGACCAGCGTCCTGCGACTCATGCAGAAGGGCTTCCCCAGCCGGTCGGCGCCCGACTTGTACTTTGTCTTCAACTCCATAGTTCAGCACTCCGTTTGCCGAGCTCTACTCCACTTATCAGCAAATCTTGCCCCCAAACTTGGCTCGTCTGGACCCACGGCTCTTCTGCAAAGTCTTTTTCTTTTTTCAATTTGAAAATTGCAATTTTGGCTCTAGTGTCTGTTCCGTGCTCTTGGACTGAACTCGCAGGACTATCAGTTTGGAATGACCAAGGTTTTCTTCCGACCCGGAAAGTTTGCCGAGTTTGACCAGGTGCTGGTTGGAAACGAATTCATTTGATAAGTCTAATTCAGATGCTCCGTCAAGATCCAGCAACAATGAAGGACTTGGTATCCAAAGTCCGCATTTGGCTGGTCCGTGCCCGCTGGCGCAAGGCTCAGTACGGTGCTTGGAGCGTTATTAAGTGTGAGTTTCGTTTTTCAGAACGAATTCTGATGTGTTTATCATCGTTTTTCTGAGAATATGTGGTAATTACTTTGCTGTTTACGTCGTCTTGAAGGGATACTGGACATTTCGAAATCCTCAAAAAAAGGGATGATGTCGTTTCGCTTTCCATCTAACAACGCCAATAGATGTTCTCGAGAAAAAAGGAACCTTAGAAACTCCAGAGTGATCCCCATAGGGGCGCCTTTATGCATCCTTAAAAGGTCCCTTTTAGAGACCACTTTACCAACCCCTATAGGGGCCACTGAAGCTTGCGAAAGTGGTCCCAATAAAAGACATGCTAGTCTATAATTTTTATAAGCTCTAGAAGAAGCATTTACTCGGGAAAAACTGAATAAATAAGCGTTTTTTTGAATGAAATTGAAAGACCCCCTATAGGGTCCACTTGATCTTTAGGGGCTATAGGCTCAGACCTCTCAACCCCTATAGGGACTATCTTGATTTTAACCCTATAGGTTTCACTTTTTCGGTGGAGGGCTGTTTTTCTCCTTAACCCCTATAAGGACCACTCTTAAATCCCTAAGAAGATGTTCTCGTGGAAAAAAGGAAGTATGCTCTCTTTTCCTGAAATTTCCACTTTTCTCATTTCCACACCTTCTCCTGGTTTTTTTCTCAAACATGCCAATCATTTTCAAGTGTTTTTATAAACGTATTAGAAGCAATCCAAGCACTTGATTGAAAATTTCCAGTGAAAAACAAGATTGCATTCCGCGCCGCTCAGATTCGCCGGATTCAAAGCGCCGTTCGCGGTTTCCTGGTCCGCAAAAAGTACCAAAAGAGGTATGTTCCTTGAAAAGACTTTTACTGTACCCCGCTAGAAAAATGATCCTAATCTTGGTCTTTTTGAAATGCTTTTGTCAGAAGAACTCTCCAGCCAACGGTGAAGTAACCAAATCTGTATGAGTTTCTCTTAAACTCCTTGAAGTCATTTTCATTCAAAAAGTCCCGCCTCTCAACTTTTCCCCAGCGTCCAGAATTTTTTGTTTTGCGAGAGGGCGAGTCTTCTTCTTCTTTTTTTGTTTTTTTTGTTTTCTCATATCTCCCGACTCGTCTTCTCATCATTTACGGCTTTTCCTCTATTGTGGGAGAGCCTCCCAATGAATAATAGACGTTTCTCTGTTCGTTTTAAGCTTTATTCCTATTCATTTGCGGTCTTTTTCTCAGTCCTTTTTTTTCGCTTTTTCAGGCGAAATAATCGCCTAGCAATGAAAAATGTCTTGCTCAAAAAAACGTTTCCGCTGTGAATTAGCCTCATTCCAGGGCAAATTGCCCGCGGCCCTTCTCCAAAAACGGAGGCAAATACGTCTCCAATATCATTAACTAGACCTTTTCTCTCTCTCATCCCTCGTTTCCCTTTTTCTCAGACTTTTTTTTCCTTTTTCATGGTAATCCTTGAGCTTTCTGACAAGAAAAAATTTTGTGAGAGGAACATCGCAGAAATGGTTCGAACTTCTAGTATTCGGAAACAGAAAGAATTATTTGCTAACAGGGGAGGTCATTTAAATTTCTGGTTAAGAATTTTTTGAAAATTGGCCAGAACACTCTGAGTTCCCAGAAAAAGAATCTGAAAGTCTCAACGTGCAAAAATTCCTAGTTTTCGAGAAATAAGGGCTTGAAGCCCAAAAATAACCAATTTTTATGCATTTTGAGAGTTTTCTTTGTCTTTAAGGTGTCGTCCTTTAAAAACTAGGAAATTGAGAAGATTGAGACTTTCAGAATCCTTTTCTGGCACATCTAGAAGCATTTCGGTCAATTTTCAGAAAAATCCCGACCGCAAAATTAAATGACCTCCCTTGTGAGCCATAGGACACTGAGAAACAGCCTGTCGAAAATTTAAAGGAAAAGCTCAAAAACTGATTTTCTTCGGTTTCTTGATCTCTAAAACGTCTGCTGTTAATGACTATCTCATGAGAAACACGACAAAAAAGCTTTTTTCACAAAAAACTCCCAAAAGGATTCGTTTTTGAGCTTTTCGTGTACATTTTCGACAGACTATTTCTCAGTACCCTTTGGCGTTTGGCAGATAATTTTTCTTCTTTGCGAATATTCCTACCTGGGACTACCTATCACAAAAGTTTGGACCATATCTGTTCGCCTCACAACCTTTCCTCGTAAGGGCTTCTGATTGCTCGAAAAAAAAAACCTGAAGGAAAATTTTGCCCTGTTTTGGTAGGACGTTGGTGTCCTTTGAAAGAGTTCTCTGGACAAGAACTTGAATTGAGCTCTCGATGATGTAATTTAATAGTTTTTTTCCAGAATACGAGTTTACCGCAACTCTCTCCAACTATTGTCGCGTACGCGCGAAATGATTGAGGTTGGATTTTTTTTTGTAGTTTTTAGTATTTGGTTTTGTAGATAATCGATAAAATGCAAGAGTCAAGCCAAGAGAAATGGTCGAAAACCGTGCAAGGAACGACCCAGGAGCTCGAGTCACTTGTCGACAAGATCAAGGTGTGTTTCAGGAAGCACCGAATGATCCTCAAGCGATGAAAAAGCAAACTAGTTTGAATAGTTTGAATCGCTTCGAATTGGTTCTATTGATCGAGGTTATTGTCTGAATTTTCGAAATTACTTCGAAAGGTTATAGAAGATTCACGGCTGGCTTGAGTTATTAAGAGAAGGGTACTGACACGATAATAAAAGAGATAGTGACTGGTTGGTAGAGAGCGCAGACAGGCCACGCCCCCTCAGCATCCTAAGTTAGCCTTGAATCGGCTAGTGTTGTAGAACAGAGTTCTCAAAAAGCTGGAATTTTGAGACGTTCATTTTTTGAAATTCATTCCATGTTCCACTCGTTTTTCACAACAAAAACGACCCCCGTTTCAAATTTATTCAAATTTTTATGGATTTCCGGCAGGTCTTGAAACGAAATAATCAAAGGAACCTGTAATTTCAGAATCTCAACCAACAAACACTTTCTCTCAAACTAAATGTGCCGTAAAGCTTTAATCTTAACTTCTAAGGCTGACGGTTTGATTGCTTTCGGAAAGCCCAATTTTCCCTTCATGGCGTTTTTTTTTTTGGCCTTTGAGCTTGATCTCGTCCTCTGATACCCTTCTTTTTCAATATCCTACTTTCAATTTTTTTTCGTTTTCATTTTCTTGGGCAGGCAAATTTCCAATTTTACAGCGCAGCGACCTGGACGAGCAAATCGAACGGGCGGTGCAGTGCTACGAGATGTGCGTGTCGCACGTCGACAAATTGATTCTGGAGCTGAAGCAGCAGCTGGAGAGCGACGAGCTCGCAGAGGTCGAACGAAAGCGACAGGAGCAACTCGCTCTGGAAGCCCGCGAACGCGAGGACCGCGAACGTGCTGAGCAGGAGAAGATCGCGTGAGTTCCGACGGTTAATCTGGCTCTCCTCGGGAAGCTCAGCAAAGACTTGTTGGCGATTTCGCGTTTTGAGAAGTCTACAGATTTGTCCCCATAGGGGCCCTTGAAGGGCTACTGACGTTTTCTTAAGATATAGGGTAAAGTGGTCCCTTTAGGGGACATGCTCGTCGATAATTGTCATGAACTTCAAGCGAAGAAGCATTCCCATATGAAAAACGGAAAAAATGAGCGTTTTTTGAATGAAGTTGAACCCTATAGGGTTCACTTGAGATTTAGGTGCTAAGGGGTCAGACCCTAAACCCTAATAGGGACCACTTTCGAACACTATATGGATTTTTCCCCGAACCCCTCCAGGGACCACTCTGGAATTCCTTAGTACAGCCATGTTATCGGAATCCAGTACCGCAGATGATGTCAAAAACCGAAAACAAAAAAAAAAAATTAACTCAAAACGATTGTGTCCCTTCTGCCTCGGGATTATTGGCGTTCCATCGAGTCTGCTTGTGTTTTTGCTTCTGTTGCCTTGTTGTGCATTTCAGAGGGACAAAATTAGGCTAATTACATTGGGTTTGTGGCGGCGGATCGGAACATAGAAAAAAAAAGAAAAAGAAAATCAACCGCTGATGACGTTTTTTGCATTTTTCCTTGATGCGGGATGTGACACATTTGAATAAATTTTATTATTTTTTTTTGATCGAAAAGGGGAATCTGTTCCATAGATTTGAACCCTTTTTTATCGTTCAGAAAAAATTTTTCTCAATGTGCAGATTTTTTTTAACGAAGAATGCAAAAAGACGACGTTTCAAGGGCGTCCATTTGCAGTTATTTTTGTTCGCGATTTTTCAGGAGAAAGAAAATGGAGGAGGAGCGAGAGAAAGCGCAGAAGGAGTACGAGTGTCGGCTCGCCGAGCAGCAACAAATGGAGCAGCGCGAACGGCAGCTCGAAGAAGAACGGTGAGCTCCCAGGGGGTCTTTTCGGGGTCGCGAAGGCGAAAGTCGTCTCGATTTCTGACCTTTTACTCTTTTTTTGGATTTTGAAGTTTCTGTATGAGGTCAGAAGTTTCCTGAGTAATATCAATTTTTCTACGATCAAAACTTTATAAAAAACTCCTAATGAAGAGTCTAATGCAATTTTTGAACAGGCTTTGCGAATCAACGCATAATTTCCACATGAAAAAAAAAATAGCGGTTGAGTTTGGGTATATGACAAAAAAGCCGTGAGAAGATAGCCAAATATAAATGAGCTGCAGAAAAAAATTTCGCCCTTGCGAAAATTGGTTTTTCAAAATGCGCTCCACGGAACAATGTCGGCAAATTGAAAATTTTCTTTTTTTTTCAATTTTTTTTTTGTAACTGTTTATCGGAAAAATCTGTGTTTATTGAGAAAACGCAGGTCGAAATTGTAAATTTTTCCTTAGATTTCCATTTTTAATGAACTATCTGTTTCTTGACTTGGCTTAAAAACAGTTTTCCTGCCAAGAAGGCTGAATTTTTCAACTCAATGATGAAGATTCGAAAATTGAAAGAAAATAGCTTCTTTTGAATATTTTTTTATGATCCTCCTACTTTCAAGTTCGAAGAAAAATCGAAATTTAAAGAGTTTTAACGGTTCCTATCGGTTCCAAAGCAATTGCCAGAATGAATCTTTTCGAATTCCCTGTTTTTCAAATTAACATGCAACTTGAAATTGTGCAAACTGCCTCTTTTTCTATATTTTGAAAGAAAGCCCATTTCTCAAGACAATTTTCCTGATGTCGTCTTGGAAACTTCTCTTTTATGGCAATGGACTTTTTTTTCTTTCAGTCGCAAAAAAGAGGAACGAGAGCGATTGGATGCGGCCGTGTCGACCCGAATCGCTACCGCGGATGGAGTCCAACTCGCCGCTGACGCTCCTTCTACCTCTGTGTTCGTAGACAATTTAAAAAACACTCATTTTTCGGGAATTTCAGTTCAACGGAAAACAGCACGAGCTCCAAACCGAAGGGAAAATACGACCTTTCCAATTGGAAATATGCCGATCTCCGTGACACGATCAACAACAGTAATGGTTGGTTCTTTTTTTATAATTCTCACATTAGAGTTACTTAGTTACACTTTATGCTTATTAACTCAAAAAACGACACCAAGTTAACGCCCACCTCAGCGGCGGAAAATAAAATGTTTTGTACGCAGTGCACACGTTGCACAAAGAATGTTGCGTACCACGGCCTTTTTGTTAGTGGAAAAAATGTGAAACCGAAAAATGAAGAGGGCGGAGCCAAAACAGTCGTTTCCATGTGACGTCATGAGAAACAAGCGTGGGAATAACAAAGGCGCATGTTCAATGGGTCATGAGACGAATCGATTCCTCATGTAAAAAACGCTATTTCCGTGTTCAAAGTGGTTCCGCGAATTTGAAAATAGCCGCCAGTGAGGGAAAAATATAATTGAATTTCAGAAATTCAAAGATAATTTTGAATCTTCACTAAGAATAACTGACGAGATAAAAGCGAGGTCGGTGGCGGTACATTGACGAGCTCGCAAACATCTCGCTTTTTTCAAGGCGCGATCTCGCATTTCTCTCGGCGCGACCTCGCATTTTACTTGGCGCCATCTCGCATTTATCTCGCACTTCGGAAATTTTCAAATTGCGAGAGAAATGCGAGCTCGCGCCTAGAAAAATGCGAGCTCGCGCCCAGAAAAATGCGAGACCGGCGCGAGAAAAAAAGCGAGATGTTTGCGAGCTCGTCAATGTACCGCGCAGTGCATGCACACGACACACTACACTTTACGGAAAAAAAAATATGGGCGGGGCGTCGTCAAAAAAACCTTGTGGTTCTTGTCTCTCAACAAGATCAAATAGCCCTTAATGAATCAAAAAACTTTCAAAATTCCGGAGTAAAAAGCTAACCTGAACCCGGGGCTTTTGGTCGATTAATGGTGTCTGTCTAATTCGCTCGCCCTTCCCTTTAGTAGAGTCGTTTTTTTTTTGCATTTTGACTAGGTCCTCGACTAATTAGCATATTGTTTCCGATGTGGAATTGCTACTGGCCTGCAAGGAGGAATTCCACCGTCGACTGCGCATCTACAACCAGTGGAAGTCGGACAACACGGCTTCGCGAGATCTGCCGCCGTCGCGAGCTCCCCTCGCCGTTTACAACGAGTCTTCAAGTAGTTTTCAGAGTTTTCCAAAAGCTTTAATCTAAAATTTTCAGCGATTCGCAACAATATGGCGCCTCACATGAATCCCGCCCTGACGCTGCAGCGCTACTTCAAGGTCCCCTTCAACAGCAAAACGGAAAGCACCAAGAATCCTGGCAGTTCGTTTTTTTTCTGATTTTGTGAACTCTTCAATATGTAAATATGAACTATTTTGCAGAAATGGAACTGTCGGGAGCTCCTTCCGGCATCTGGTTTGCCCATTTCAACGGACAATGGATTCAGCGACAAATCAGCGTCAAGCCAGGCTCCAAGCCGGCTCTTCTCATTGCTGGTTTGCTCACAGCATCTTCCCAGTCAAAGGCTCGCTTTTTTTCCAGGTAAAGACGACTTGCTGATGTGCGAGCTGCCGCTGGACCAGACGGGTCTCCAGCGCAGAAAAGGCGCCGAGATCTCGGCCACCGACTTCGAAACCATCTGGGCTCACTATGGCGGCAAGCCTCTGCCCAAGTGGACCCCTTGATTGTGATACGGACGAACCTCTGACGTCATTCTCTTGTGCCTTTCCGTATTTCATTTGCCCCGCTACAACTTGTTCGCCTTCGACTGACTGATCAACTGGCATTGGTATCATTAATATGTGTATTGATTTTTGAAAATAAAGAGATTGGATTTATTGGATTTTTGTCGAGTATACCTGAAGTATTCGATGTGCAATATGAAAAAAAAAAAATTCCTCGTGTTTTTTTTATTTGTCCAAAAGTTTGTATGTTTTTTGGGGATTCTTCACTGAACGAACTTCGTTGGAATCCGAAAACAAGTTCGGTCTGAGTTCGAATGGGTTTAGGAACTTCAGAGTGGTCCTTATGGGGGACAGCCGCTGGAAGGTCCCCTATAGGGCCACTAAAGCGTGCGAAATTGCGGTTTTAGTTAGTGGCCCCTATAGGGACATGCGAGTCGATAATTGGTATGGACTCTAAGAGAAGAAGCATTTTCATAGAATGAACGGAATCAATATGCGCTTTTTGAATGAAATTGAGAGATTCCTATAGGGACCACTTGAGCTTTAGGAGCTAAGGGGTCACCTTAATTTAACCCCTATAGGGACCACTTTTTCGGCGTTTAACCCTTTTTCGAGGTATTTGTATGAAAAAATAGACAAGTTTGAAGAAAAACACACTTAAAACATTGGAAGATACTAATTTAGATTTAAAAATTAGGTTTTTGCCAACGTCAACAAGTCTGAAAAATGGCCAGATTTGAGGAATGCGTCTTCAGCAAGTAAAAAGCCGTTTTTCTGTAATTCTTTTTATCTATAGCCTTGTCCATTTCATAAAATAGAAAAATGATCAAAAAGGGTGAGCAGACGGCGCAGTCCAAGCCGGACGGGATCGTGTAAATTTGAACGGATGTGTTTCATAGAGTTTGATGAGAAAGCCGTGCTTCTCCACCGACTCGAGGGGCTGGTCATTCGTCGGCGGCACGACGAGGTCCGAGCTTTTGGCACAAACGCTTTCCTTGTGTTGTAATTCCGCCCAACTGATCGTCCTGGTTCCAACGTTCTTTATTCTCCTCTCTCTCGCCGCAATTCCTCCGTTTCTCAAGTTCCACAACTAATCAATTATGTATTTTTGTTTCTAACAATTTTTTTTTTTAGATCATGGCGGCAGAGTTCCAGCAGACCTACTGCATCGATTTCAATGGTTGGGTTTCGGTGAGTACAATTTTGAAAAAATTGTGTAGAAAATAAATAATGTTGCGTTTTCGATAATTAAAGTATTTTCAGGGAACATCCACAGCTCCGCCTCCGAAACAGATTGATTTCAACTCCCAAACGATCCCTCAGCTCATTTACACCAAGGTATATAGCCTGTGTACCGCGACTTGGAATTTCGCCAAACGACATTCCGCTGTTCCGCTGCGCGCCTTTGCCAACCTTGGTCGCGCTTTTAACTTTTTTTTCATTTATTAAGGTACTCTATTTTCATGTGCTTCCACAGCAATAACAATAAATTGAAAACGCGACCTAGATTCGAACACGCTTCACGAACGCACGCAGCGGAATGTCGTTCCGTGTAATTTCAAGTCGTGGCACACAAACTATATATAATATTTAAATCGAAATCTATTTTTTAAAAATGTTTTAGGCTTCAAGTGACCGTGTCGCCGCTGTCTTCGAGGCCGAAAAGCAGAGCATGACTTTTGCGAAAATTGTAACCGAGGTGAAAACAAACTGATTTTTTTTCGATTACTTATTGGATCATTCAATAATTGAAAAAAAATGAAAAGGATTAAAGATAATAACGAAATTCAACGCTTATAACCACCTTCGAAGCTCTCGGAACAAAAAAAATGAAATTAAACGGATTATGAAAATTGACGATTTCCTCTATCGAACAGTGTAAAAAAATAATTTTTGAAGTCTTCTGGAAAAATAAGTTGTGGCCCCTAAACAGAGCAACATGAACCGAAAATTAAAAAAATAAACAAATAAACCGAAAATTGCAGCTAATCAATCTTTTTTGAGCAGCTTCTTCGCATAAATTTCATAGAAATTATGCACTAGTATGTTCTCTACAGGGACCACTAACTAAACTCCCTATAGGGACCAATTTTGCAAGCTTCAGTGGTCCTTATAGGGGAGAGAGAGGGGACTCTCCAAGGGCTAGGGTTGACCCTATAGGAACCACTCTGGAGTTCCTTAGTGCACAAGAGGGCTTCAGATGGAGTCTTTGGCGAGCGGCCTTCTGTCGACGGGCCTCAACCCGGGCGACCGCATCCTCGTCTGCGGCAGCAACCATTCTCAGGTCGTCATTTGCGCGTTGGCCTGCGCGAGGGCCGGCCTCGTCTTTTCCCTGGTCAATCCGAACTTCCCCAATTCTCAGACGCTTCATCGAGCTCTCGTCGCGGTAGGAGCGCCATTTGGCCTTTCAGTGACGTCTTCAGGGCGACTTTCGTTGTATCATCTGCTTCCGAGCTCATCAGTTCGAGGCCGACTACCTCAACTCGCTTCTCCTTGAGATTGCGCCGGAACTGATGGCTTCTCGCAAAGGTTTATCGAAGCATTTTTAGTTGGTTCGTAGTTGTCTCAAATCAATCATGGAAAGAATACGTTTCTAACAAGTATTTTAATTGATTCTTTTGCTTGTTAATTACTTTCAACTTGTATTTCATAAAAATCATAAAAGTCCTAAAAGTCCCTTTTGGAAAGGAACTTTTTTGGTACCAAGAAGTTTTCTACAAAATCGGAGAACTTCAAGACCTTATTTTCATAATACAGGAGACTTGAAATCTGCGAAATTGCCGAAACTGACCCACGTCGTCCTGGCCGAAGAGGATCACCGTCATGCGTACGTTAATCATTTATTATTTTTGACTTTTCCTTAAGAACTTCAGAGGGGTCCCTATAGGGGTTTTAGTTAGTGGCCCCTATAGAGGACATGCTAGTCGATAATTGCTATGAACTCTAAGCAAGAGGGGCGGTAATGGGTCATACTATTAACCACTATAGGGACCATTTTTTTTCCCTAGATGAACCACTTTGGAATTCCTGAGTCATTTTATGAAAATTCAGTGGAACTTTCACACTGTCCGAGATCTTCCTGAAGTCTAACAAAGAGAAAGTCGCCAAGTTGCCGAATTACGAGAATTGGAGCAGCCACAAGCTCGCTTGCCTTCAGTTCACATTGGTACAATATATATTCATTTTGATGAGTAGTTTCTGGTGATTTTCAGGGCTCATCGGGTCATCCGAAGCTTGTCGCCCTGTCCCACTATCAAATGCTGAACGGCGCCAGAGCTGTCGTCACTGCCTTTGGCATTCAAAAAGAGGTATCTTTTGGGGAATCTTGCAGACATACTTCAAAAAGCGTTCAGCACGTGTTGGCCTGCGCTTTGCCCGTTTTCCGGATCGCGATCTTCAACCTGGTATGTCTGGCGCCGTTCCTCACCGAGTGTCGGTCCGTCTTTCCGGAGCCGAGTCCGCTTCCGCGCAACCTCTTCTCCTGTGTCAGCAAATACAAGTAAGGGAGAACCTGGCTTTCTTCCAATAGTCCTTAAGATGCTCCACTTTACTGACAAATGGGGCGGCTTTGCGACTTCTGCTGAAAATCAGTCAAACTCAAAGAGTGAAGGCTAGTTTCTTTAGAAGATTTATATCGTCCACGACTTGAAATTTCACGGAACGACATTCCGCTGTTCCGCTGCGCGCGTTCGCGAAGCGTCTTTCGAACCTAGGTCACGCTTTCAATTGATTGTTATTGCTGTGGGAGCACATGAAAGTAGAGTACCTAAATAAATAAATGAAAATGAAAAGCGCGACCAAGGTTCGCAAAGGCGCGCAGCGGCACAGCAGAATGTCGTTTGGTGAAATTCCAAGTCGTGGTACACAGGCTATATATGAACGGTTTTAGGGGGGTTTTTTATCATTTTTTCCAGTTTTTCAAATATATTTATGTTCTACATTGCAGCTATCCGCTCTGGAAAGTGTTCTGTTGATAGGGGACCGAGTTTCGAAAGAAGTTCTGCGACTCATAGAACTTCAAGCAGAAAACGTGAAGATCGTGGCGGTAAGTGTATCTCGACCAACTCTATAAAGATGCCTGTCCCAGGTTGGCTATCTGCTGACGGAGACTGGCTCGATTCCAATCATGGGCGACCAGAAAACGGACTTCACTCGGAACGTTGGACGGCCCATCGCCGGATACGAGGTTTCCTCTATTTTTCAATTTTTTTCCTCATTCGGAAAATTATTCGTCAGTGGGTTGCAATTTAGGCAACGTCGGAATAGTGGATAGACTATCGCTAAAAGGGAGAGGCTCAAAAAAGGCAGCAAAAAGGTAGCAGAAAGGCAGCAAAAAGGCAGCAAAAAGAGTCCGAAAAGGCAGAAAAAAGGGTCCCTTTATCGAGTTTTTAATTTTTTCTAGAATTTTGAGAGCTCAAGAATTGAGGGAAAAAGGGAGAGGCAGCAAAAAGGGTCACAAAAGGGTCCAAAAAGGCAGAAAAAAGGAGCCTTTTTCCTTTTAAAAGGAGCAACTCTATGGAACCTTTTCCGACCCTTTCCAACTTTGCCTATGAAGGCCTGCTTCGCAAATATAGATTTCGGTGAGAAAATCTTTTGCTGGCTTTCTGCTGCCTTTCTTTGGCCTTTTTACTGCCTTTCTTCGGCCTTTTTGCTGCCTTTTTGCGGCCTTTTTGCTGCCTTTCTTCGGCCTTTTTCGAGCCTGTCCCTTTTAGCGGTCACCACCACTCCGACTTTGTCCGAGAATGAAATTTTCATGATTTAAAAAAAGATAAGTAAAGATATTTCATTTGTGAGGGAAATACCTTCTTTCAGACACACTTGATTCCACTGGACGGCAGCGAGGGGAAAATCGCGCCTGGCGGTCTTGGAAAGCTTTTGATGCGCGTCTACTACGGCTCAACCTTCATGGGGTACGCGCCGGACACTTCTGGCAAGGATAAATGGGTCGACACGGGGTGAGAAGTCAAGAAGACGTGAGGATCGGGTATCTTGCAGAGACGTGGCGCGGATGGACGTCGACGGAAACATCGAGATCGTGACGCACTCGGCTGACCTCATCTTCGACAAGAACAACTGCCTTCTCGAGCACTGGAACGTCGAGCGACTGCTCAACCAGAGCGAGTTGCTCAAAGGAGTTCAGGTGAGGCTTCTTACCATGGCGCTCCCAAACGGGGTGGGAAGACGTCAAGAAAAATTTGGCGCGAAAATTGAAACCTCAAGTACGCAGCCAAAGGCGATCGAACAATCAATTTATTATGCCGTGTTCAAAGTGATTCCGCGAAATTCAAAATAGCCGTCAGAGAAAGAGAAAGATAACTAAATTTTGGAGGGTCAGAGACAATTTCGCATTTCGCGGAAATTACTTTGAACACGGCATTAACGTTGAATACTCAGTGTAATTTGTAACGCAAAATGACGTCATTTTATCCGGAGCGCGCACTTACTTTTTTTCAGAAAGTTTGATGCCTTGCTCACCTCCCCTCACCCTATTAGAAATGCCGTGTTCACGGCGACGCCCCGCCCATATTTTTCCCGTAAAGTGTGTTTCGTGTGCATGCACTGCGGCGCTCTCGCACATGTCGTTTTCAAAGCAGTCTTCGCGAAATTCAAAATTATCTTTGAATTTCTGAAGTTCAATTATTTTTTAATCTCTGACGGCTATTTTGAATTTCGAGGAACCACTTTGAACATGTCAACAGGAAAATTGCGTTTTTTTTAAATTTCTCATGACCCATTGAACATGCGCCTTTAATATTCCCTGATTTTTACGCTTGTTTCCCATGACGTCACGTGGGAACGGCGGAAGTTTTGACTTCGCCTGTTTCAATTTTCGAATTTTTTTCACTAAAAAGAACTCCGTGATTCTGATGACATTCCTGAGGCTCAGGTCGTCTCGACAGGCCGAGGTCAGCCGATGACGGCCGTCTGCGTGCCACGAAGCACTCAAAACCAAGTCGCCTACCTCAAAGACGAGCTTCGCGCCATGTGCCGAGATCATCGAGTCAGTTTCCTCTGAATTTTCTTCCAACATTCATATTTTCCAGTTCCCGGAGCCCGAAGCGTTCGCCTTCGTGGAAGATTTCCCTCGGGTTCACACCAAGATCCAAAAGTACCGGATTCGAGAAATGCTCGAGTCTGGCCAAATATCCGTTTTTTAAGTGATTTATTAACAGCTGCCATTACAATTGCCGGTTATCTGTATATTCCTTCTCATCGGGCGTTGCATAAAAATTACATTTTGTGAAATATTGGAAAAAGAAGCTTTATTTTTGAAGAAAGTTTTCCAAATTCTGGTTATTATGGCCTGCAGAAAATTTTTCGAAGCGAGCTAGGTGAGGTAAAATTCAGAAATATACATAGGCAAAGTCGGAAAGGGTGGGAAACGGCTCCTATTTTGCTGCCTTTTTGCTACCTTTTTGCGACCTTTTTGCGACCTTTTTTAAGCCTTTCCCTTTTAGCGGCCCTTATCCACCATTCCGACTTTGTCCGAGTAGGATGTGAACTGAGAAGTTGATTTTTTTTTAACCTAATCCGATGATCAAGACACTTATCAAGAAGGCATCGCAGAAAAAGGGATTAGCCTGAATTCAGTTTTGTTTCTTGAGAAAAACAATGTGCAAGGAAGAGGGCTATAGTACAGATCAAGCTCGGAAGCTTTTTTACAGAGAGAAAATCTTAGCAAGTTTCTCAATATTTACATTTTTTGTCGGAATTTACAGTACGAACAAGGAGGTTGCGTCAAAAATTCAAAAATATATTCGTTAACTATTCGTGAAGTACTAGTTGTGGGAGTTGATCAGAAGTGTCGCATAGTGGCACGGGCCTTGCTCCGCTGGGTGAACCAGTCGTGGCTCTTCGCCTTCTTCGCCTCCTTCTGGGGCTTCTTCTTATCCACTCTTTTGGTCACTAAATGGAAATGAAAGCTTTATTTCAATCGATCCCACTAACCCAAAGGAGCTCTCTTGGGAGTCTCCGAGTAACTCGTTGTGCAGGGAAGATCGTGTTTCCTTTGGATGCAAGGTCTTTGGGGACGGAGGTAACGCTGAAACTTCACCGGTCAATGTTATAATGTCGAAAGGACCTGTTGACGTCCGTCACACTGTCCTTGATGTTTATTTTTGTTGGAGCGCATTGACTGGCTGGCCTTCTGAAAAGAGCAATTTCAGTTCACTGAGATTCCAAAAAACCTTGGAGTAAACGGTAGGGGCGTAGTTAGTCTTGGGATGGGGGGGTTCGGACCTTGGCTGACGCTTTGCGAAACGGCGAACCTGAAATCTTTTGCTATAGTCAGTGTTTCCCGACTTGAAAGGCGAGGGAGGCGGGACGCGTAGCGTGTGCGTTCGCGGTTCTTGCCACTTGTTCAATTCAATCGCCATCTACTCTTTAAAAAGCCGGTTTTTCGCTTTTATCATTTCGTTTTCAATTATTTATTGATTATGTTCATGTGTGCATCAAAAAATAGTAGAAAACGTTGAAAAAGAGCGGTTGCCGAGCTTTTTAAATAGTCGGCGACAATTGAATTGAACTCGTGCCAAGAACCGCGAACACACACGCTATGCATCCCGCCCCCTTCGCCTTTCAAGTCGGGAAACATTGACTATAACAGTTCAATGGAAGATTGTGTCTACCTGGGGTCTTTTTGATTGAAAATCTTCGTTCTTGTAAACACTCGGCCAGTTGTTCTCGGATCTACACGGGGCAAAGGACAGGTTTTTCTAAAACCGAACGAGTTTTTTTTTCATTTGACAAGGTCCGAACCTCAAAGCAGGGACCATAGCGCGGCTTGAAGACGCGTGGCAAACGACGGACCGACGTCGGCGGCTTCTGCACTTTCGACAGCGCCTGAAGTCGGTTCAATATCAAGTCGAGGACACGAATGAAAGTACGGTAGTCTTTTGCGAGGAGTACGTGGCGAACTGCCTTTCCTGACGGAAGGCTTCGATCCACGCCTCCCAGTTCTCCTCCACGTCTTTGTTGTTTTTAAATGCGATGGCAAGTTTCTAAAAATTCCTTTGATACGCAGATATTGGGCCATGAAAACCTTCAAATAGTCCAATCGCATCTCCATTGGGGATGAATACGAGCTGAAGTTTCTGTGCACCACCCGCGATTTCTTGTGTGTCTGAACTTGTCTCCATACTTATCATTGAGGAGAGATCTTACCTGTTCAATAGGTTTTCTGTAACTGGCTGGGCTTATCTCCACTTTGGTTTTGTTGTTCGGCTTCCAGCAATACTTCGGTGAGTCGTCAAACTGCAAAAAAAGGTTTCACATTCCCCAAAATGACGTCATTTACCAACCCTGTACCAAACGGACCCGTCTTCGGCTGTCCTATTCGACCAGAACTTTCCGACAGGCAGCCCCCAGCTCTGCAGGCTGAGTTCATTCTGAAACTTGGTTGTATGAGTGGATTTATTCCCATCTTAGGAGCTCCAGAGTGGTCCCTATAGGGGCAAAATTAGGGTACCCTCTAGGAAACCCTTCACCAACCCTATTGGCTTCATTGAAGCTTGCAAAAGTGGTCTTTATAGGGGACATGCTAGTCGATAATCGCTATGAACTCTAGGGGCTATGGGGTCAGACTTCAAACTCCCATAGGGATCACCTTAATCTTACCCTATAGGGACCACTCTTTCGGCCCCTACAAGGGTTGTTTTCCCTCTACCCACAAGGGTTGTTTTCCCTCTAAAGGGGCCACTCTAAAGTTCCTAAGCTTGGCAAAACTTGCAAAATTTATGTTACTTTCATAAAAATTTTCACTCCTAATTTGTTGCTTCAGCTAAAAGTTAGATCGTTGGTTGTAAAAAAAAAGGATCTATAAAAGATTAACTAAACACTATAAAACCTAAGAGGGAAAACGATTCGAACCTGCTTAGCGGCGACAGCAGGCGTGACGTAGTAGGCGAAACAGACGACGTAGAGCGGCAACATCAGGATGACGATCAGGTTGATCGTCGTTTCGAAGTCCAAGTTCCATTCCAAATCGTGGCCTGAAAATGCCGATGGCTCTTCGGAGAAATTGGGAGAGGGGAGGTATAGGAAAAGGAGCAAGAAACGGACACAACTGAGAGAAACGCTCCGGAATGCACGCCGGGGAGACAAAGTACTTGGCCGCACCCTCCATAACCTCTTTTTCGTTCTCGTCGACGATGTATATCTGAAAAAGCCGAATTCGGACTTATAATCATCAAAAAAAGAGCTCATGAAAGTTGATATGGAGAAACTCAAGTCTTAAGAGCTCCAGAGTGATCCCTATAGAGGCAACCTTAGGGACCCTCTAGGCACCACTTTACCAATCCCTATAGGGGCTCCTAAAGTTTTAAAAAGTGGTCCCTTTAGTGGAAATGCTAGTCGATAATTTTTATGAACCCTAATCGTAGAAGTATTTTCATGGGGAAAACTGAAAAAATAGCCTTTTTGAATAAAATTTAAAGACCCCTATAGGGACCACTAAAACTTCAGAAGCTAAGGGTTTTGCCCTAAACCCTTATAGGGACCGCCTTAATTTTATCCCTATAGGTACCACTTTTCGGCCCCTATACGGGTTGTTTTCCTTCCTAACCCATTTGAGACCCCTCTCGAATTCTTATGTTTCAGGACACCTTCATAACCTTCCATTGTTGGGACCACATTTTGGTATTTTCTTGTTTTCCATAAAATTTTTCAAAACCCAAAATCAATCGAATATTAAAGGATGATACCTCGTCTTCCGCCTCGTCGACTTCACTCTCCTCGTCGACATCTTCATCATCATCATCTTCTTCTTCTTCCTCTTCTTTTTGATTTTCCTGTTCCTCTACTTCTTCCTCTTGTTCTTCAGCCTCCGTCTCAACGCTGGAATCTTCGTCTTCAGTGCTGCTGTATGGATCCTCCAAATCGCTAGCTTCTTCTGACTCATCCGTGTACTAAACAGATATTTGTCTCAGTTGATTAAAATTGGATGGAACCTCGCAGAGCTCTCCGTTCTCGTCGTAGTACTCGCCGACGTCGTCGTCGTCCGTCAGTCGGTCCTGGCCGACCTTCTTGACGTCGTCGACGATGGACCACGAGTCGCTGGACGTCTCGCTGTCCTTCCGAGTCCTTTCCGACATGGTGTTGGTTGATGGCTGGCGACTAGGATGTCTGTCGGCCGGCCCTACCCGCAATCTGCAATAGATCTTACGTGAAGTGTCAAACATCAGTGAAATACGTCCGATTTAAAAAAGACGGGATGTAGAAACAGTAAACAAGTAGGAAAAGGTATAGAAGAAGCGATGTGACCGTGTGCCGAAGGTCAGCGGCGTCACTTGGAAGCAGAAAAAAGAAAGGCGGCGCCGTCAGGAAACCGGAATTCGTCAGCTCTCTTTGTACCGTCACGTGCTCTTTTGTCTTCACGCAGACGTCTCTCTTTTTGCGCTTTTCCCAATTTCAAGAAAGTCAAAGAAGTAGCTGGAGATCAAAGCAAAAGGAGGTCAGGTATGGAGTCTTACTTCAGACTTCTTATAAGGCAATCGACGGCGATGGTCATGTGATTCTTTACAAACGCGGCGAGATGTTGGAGAGCGAAAAGCTTGAAAGGTTTGCAGTTTCACTGTAGTCTGCTTGAACCCACGAAGTCTTGTGACCAAGTTCGCCTTACAGGGAAGGTATTTTTACTTTGCGATCTTCCTGAAAATTGGCCAGAACACTTCTTGGTGTACCAGAGGAAGATTCTGAAAGTCTCATCCTGAACAACTTCCTAGTTCTCAAGAAATAAGGGTCTAAAGCCCCAAAATAGCCTATTTTCATGGGTTTTCTTTGCCCTTATGGCGTCTTTTCTCAAAAAGTTGTGCAGGTTGAAAGTTTCAGAATAGTTTTCTGGTACATCAAGGAGTGTTCTAGCCGATTTTTAGGGAAGTCTCAACTCCAAAGTATATCAAAGTACATTCCTTGTTAGAAACTCAAAGAAAAAAGAAAATTGGGATAACCAGAAAATCAATATTTTTTCGAGTAAAAAATATAATTTTTATCTATCATGTGAGATAAAGAAGCTCACGAATGTTATCTATTAATAAACAAGTTATAAAAAAATAAAATACGAGTGAACTTTTCGAACGATTTTTCCTTTCATAGCTATGACGCCTATTTAAGGTGGCCGGTCGTATTACGGTAGTTTGGATAGGTTTTTCAATAATAAAATGAAATCTTGCGTACTTTTTGTGTTGTAACTCACCTTGTAATCTCGAGAAATAGGTCCTTAACAAATTGCAAAAAATAAAGAAAATTAAAAACATTTCCTGGCTCCAAAACTGACTGCGCAATATTGACCGGCCGCCGTAGTACTCTCTCAAACTTGCGTGATAGTTTTGGAAATTTCTTAGATAAATAATAATAAAAACCTTTTTATAGACGACAAATAATTTTTCTGAGGTCATAAACGGCATGTGAATAAATCGCAGCGGTCGTCAAAATTCTCCGTGTCGGTTGAATAAACAGAAATATTTTGCTCGTCCAAAAAAAATAACTATAAAACTCTTCGGCTACCGTGTGATTCGATACAAAAAAATATGCCAAATGGAATAATTCCGATTGATCGATCTTCAGAAGAGAAAACGGAGGCGGCGGATGTGTGCCTGGGATTCGAGGAGGCAGATGGCAGAGGGCGCGCGAGGAAACGACCAGACAGACGGTCGGGACACGCAAACCGGCTGCTCCGAGCCTCGTGACTTTTGCCGCCGCCGCCGACCTGGTGCAACTTGGCTTACCTTTTCCGTCGCGCCAGTGACTTACTACACACGGACTTTTTCATTATTTGTTGTAATCTCGTGTGCATTAAACACTTTGCTGTTATTTACTTGGTTCAGGAAAAAACACCAAATCTTGCTTAAACCGATTAGAATCTTTCTTTTCTGCTAAACAATTGAGAGTCCAGGAAGACGGGATTAACTAAATTGTTCGATCAGTGATCAAAACTCTTGTCCTTAGCGCCGTATTAAAAGAAATTCCCGCGAAATGCAAAATTGTCTCTGACCCTCCAAAATTTAGTTATCTTTTCCTTTCTCTAACGGCTATTTGGATTTCGCGTAATCACTTTGAACACGGCATTCTTTAGCAACGCTTTCTTTTTATCTTTTTGTCCGCATATAATCAAAAAACACGGCTTTTTCAATTGCCTCAATTACCAAAATGACAACAGATCTATATTTCAATATTTCTAGAACTCTCAAAAAATATTTACCTTATGATAAGGTCCTTATCAACGTACTTTCAAAAAAAAAATAGCATTGAAAATGCAAAAAAAAAAATCAGCCAGCTTTTGTCCGAGTTGGCTCTAATACTTTCTCCAGAACTTCTACACCTGTTCCGAGAGTGCGCGAACAAATAATGGTGCCAACTGTTCACAGCGAAAAAAACTTTCGCTTTTGCGCGCGACAAAGAAAAGAAAGCAAGGTGAAGGTCGCGCGAAACAGCTGCCAGGGAACCATTCCAAAAGTTCACCAACAACTTAGGTATCACATGAACGAATGTTAACACTCGTTCGGCGAAAATAACTCGTCTATCAGGGAATAATCTTACCTTATCATCAGTTCTGGTTCGAGAAAACACAAAAAGAGAGCGAACATTCACCTTTCACTTCCCATCGCTTGATCAGTAATTGATTGATGTGCTTACGGCACTTCAAACTTGGCAAATTAAATACAACATCCTTTTTTTGCCACTTCCCGAAAAAAAAAATTGGATGATAAGAAGCCGAGAAAAGGAAATAGAATGTTTGAAGAAGTGAAAATAGGAACGGACGCGCCGAAAAAGGCCCTGTAAACAATTGATGAAAACTCAGAAAGAACTGGTTCAAACAGCAATCAGCGATGTGTTTCGCGGAGTTTGTTATTATAAATTTTTTTGATGTCGAAAGAAAAACCCTGCAGGATCATCTTTTCAATCTGAAATTCGCAATAGCTGAATTTTAATATCGATGAAAAGTAGTTGAAAAAAAAAGTTTGGGGTATGCAATAATGCGTCTCGGTGTGTTTGCACCCTAAGCACCATAATTTACGGAACGTTTTGACTGGCGTGCCAATAAAAACGCCGTCTAGAGCATATATTGAAAATTTGAGGCTTACTTAAACCGTCTGTATTCGGCTGAAAACACTTTTTCTACCAAAAAAAAAAGGCGGGAGGGGATTTTAGGTAGACTACCGTGAATTGAACGAATTGGACATGACGTGGGAGACCGCCGTGGTGGTTTACATCGATGACATCAGTCTGAACACTCAACAGCTTTGATCTATTACACCCTGAAGCAAGTCTTTGGATTGCGCACAGACACATCAACTGTTCAAATGGATATGCAAATAAGGAGTGTCGTCTATTGAAGGAAACACACAAAGAGACTGATCATCTTGAAAGGCTGTTTGTCAGTCGAAGAACATCGATGTGAAAAGAGTTTTTATCGATATTTATGATGCGACGGCTTAGGTGACAGGAAAATACTTATGGTGTGTATTTGTTGACTGGCATTGGAGATCAAGAAGAAGTAATATTATTAGTTGAAAAAATTGAAAGAAGGATGCTTTTAATAAAAAAGCGATCCTTCAAAAAATGTATCCTGCAGTTAGAAAAAAGTTCTTGAATGAAATAGCATCTTAAAGAAAAGGGAGACGGGGCGAGGTAACAGACGAGAAAACGGCGAAAACCAAACACGTAGCTCCGATACTCAGCCTGAAACATGCCGCATGGCACTCACCACAATGCACACTAGAGAAAAAAAATCCAATACAGAAACGAGAAAGTCATTCTTTACGTTTCAGATAATGCTAATTTATTTCTCTCGCAGAAAGACTTGTCCTTCCTTTCTAGATTCCATATAAAAGTTGGAGAAAGTCCCGACAAATCCTTCTCGATGCGCATTAAAAATGTCAATAAATTTATTCTTACTTTAAGTGCGAGATTTTCACCAGTGTTTAAGGTCAGAAAAAAATTTTGGAAGTTGAAATAGAATATTAGTTCTAAAAGGAATTATTCCTCTTCATTTTATTTCTAGATGTGTATTTTCTAGAACTTTATTGTTTTAGAATTTTTCTTTCGACGATCCCTGGATAAATAAAAAGCCAGAGAATTAATTTTTATTTATAATAATTCTATTTTTGCGCGTAGCTTTTTCATGCATCGCGTGCACTGCGTACAACACAGTTTATTTTCCGCCGTTGCGGTGGGTGTGGCGTCGATTTAGTGCCGCCGTGATAAAACTGAACAAAAACAAATAGAAAGAATTTAGTTTGAACTTAAAAAGTAATTTTTTTAAGCCAAGTTGAAATCATCGTTTTTTTCAAACTAAGATATACTTTTAAATAGATCATATGGACGAAAAAGTGAGGTCTTGCACAAATCTCGAGAAAATCAGGAAACAGTCGGTGCCGGCCAAAACAAAGGTGAGAGTGGGTGGATGCCAAGCGATGGCCCAGGGCGAAAGAATCGCGACAGAGGAGTGGCAAATGTCAGCTGAGCGAGGCTGGAAAAAAAGCGACGCAGTGAGAGCGCCGAGACAGTTGGAGCAAGTGCGCCCAGGCAACCAGAGAAAAAAACTTCTTGGCACGTGAGTCTCGTCGTGTGTTTGGGTGTGAATGCGGAGGAAAACGCTAGTGTTTCTACTTTTCAGCTTCCGAAAAACCCATAAATCGTTCAGAAAACCATCACTGCCGTGAAGTTGTATTTGAAACCTACTGCAGAATAAAAAAGAGACTACTCCAATCTTTCATCGTCGAAAAACACGAAAGAAACCAAATTAATATATTTTTGTTATTTTATAATTAGGGGGCGCAAAGCCCCGCCCCTTCACGCCACCAAAATGACGATTTTTTTGTTGCAAAAACGGTTTTGAGGCGTTTTTTTACTAGCTAAAGTCCCATTTTATAAATGAACTGTTTCTGTTAATCTATGTAATCGACAACGCTCTACAAGACAGAATATTTTTAAAAAAACTATGTATTTTTTTCAAAAAAATAAGCGAAAAAAAGTAAGATTTAACACGAAAAAAACTGACAAGTTTCACAAAAATCGTCGCGTTTCAGAAAACCAAGTGAGGAACGCTTCCGAACTTTGAGTATGTTATACATTAACACTTTCTTTATTTTTTTGAGTGAAAATGAAAAAAATCTACCGACGCGAAAAAAATATTAAAAGCTTGTAAAGTGACACCAAACTTTGAAGCTGAAATGCGAAAAAAATTTCAGCGACAAGGTATACTTTTTTTATTTGATTTAAAAACTCACAATGTGCTCACAAACAAAAATTCAAAATGAAAATAATTATTGGGACAGCGAATCAAATTATATTTGAGTTTTACCAAAACCTCCTTTTTTCGCCTGCCTCGTTGACGCATGAGAGAATAGGATCGCGTCTATATTTTTGCTTATGTTATTAAGCGTTCAAAACTCTACCAATGAAAAAATTATGAAAAAAACCGATCGACGCGAAAAAAATAACGGCTTTGAAAACCCCGAAAAAATAGCAATTTTTTTTGAAATTTCGGAAGATTTCGTGCAAGTGTCCGTAGCAGTGTTTGCGTCAAACACACCGATGCGCCCCTTTTAAGTGTCGCAGGAGCCGTTTTTTTCGGAGTCAAATTGCACACTTTCCTGTTTTTATTTCGAAATAACATTATTTTTTTCATTTTTTCTTTTTTCCAAACCAAATGATAATAATTTTTCTGATTAGAAAAAAGAAAAATAAGCTGAAAATTCCTTGTGACCTTTTTTCTAAGTAGTTTTTTGATATTTTATCAAAAATTCTGATGATAGTTATGCGAATGATTCATGCCAAAACATAAAGATCAGTTCTGACAACCTCTCAGAACAGAAAACCGATTTAAAAACGGTTCAGAAATGCGCAAAAACATTTAAAAAGAAAGCGTGCGGCAGCGGGTAAACCGTGAGATTTCGCCTCCAGTTGAACGCCGCGCGCGCTCGTTTTTTGGCCATAACTTTTTTCTTAGTGGAGCTTTTTTCTAAAACTAAACGGATTATGAAAATGGACAGTCTCCTCTATTGAACAGTGTAAAAAACATATTTTTTGGATCGTTTTGAAGAAATGGCTTGCGGACCCTATTTATAATCATCAATTTAGAAAAACCTTTTAATATCACTACTATATTATTTTTAGCTTGTTCAAATGCTTCTAACATCATATTCTTCAACTAGAGAATATTTAGTCATTTTCAGGAGCTAGGCTTATTCGAAACTTCAAAATTGAAAAAAAGTTTGGAGTATGCGATAATGCGTCTCGGTGTGTTTACACCCAAAGCACCATAGTTCACGGAGCGTTTTGAGTGTCGTATCAAGAAAAACGCCGGGAATTTTGAGCGAAGAGAAAAAAGTGGATGCAAAAAAAAAAAATCAAAAAGTATTGTCGAAGCAGGTCAGTCGGGAGAATACATGGGTAGCTATAATTAGAGCTCAAACGGCGTTCGCTAATCGGTGATCGTTTAGTAGCTAACAGGTGCAGAGATGGTATCTGGATACTGCCGGGAAGGTACCTAGATAATATCGCTATCCTACCTGACTTTTGCGATCGTTACTGCTATCCGGTAGCTGTTTTTCAGCGTTAGATGTAAAAATTAAGATTTTGCAAAGGCCAGCGCGCCTTTAAAATGTTTAGTAAGGTTTTAGTTAGTTATATAAGGTATTTTCTAATAATTTTATTCCATCAAAGCCAAAAACAGCCGTGTTAACTTTATTAAATTGAAAATCTGGTCAAAAATGGTGAAGCATGGCCAGCGGCGCAGTGCAAACCGGACGGCCCCTGCAGGTCTGAACTGGGGTGTATGAACCAATATGAACCAATAAAAACAATAATTAACCAACATACTTTTTTCGCATAAAACTTCGGGGACCTTTTTCATTACAAAGAAAAATAGCCAATCAAGTGTTGTGCGTAGAGCGAAAAATCAAAAAAGGAATTTATTAGTCTTTCAGTGCAAAAAACCCAATGAAACAGAAAAAGTGGACATTGCGAGACAAAGTTGATAAAGTTGATTTTTTGAAAATTTCATTTCTGTGCTACAATGGCGTTGAGAATCTGATTGGGGACCGACATAGTCTGGTCTTCGACGAGAACAATGTCGAAGTAGTTCAGGTACTTGTCCACTAGAACGTCCGACTGCAAATTTGAGGTCATACTCCGGAATTTTAAAGTCGTCTCTCAAGGGCCTAGGGGGACCCCTATAGGTTTAGGGTCTGACCCCTTAGCCCCTAAACCTCAAGTGGTCCCTATAGGAGTCTTTCAATTTCATTCAAAAAACGTTTGTTATTCAGTTCTTCCCTTGGAAATGCTTCTTCGTATAGAGTTCATAACAATTATCAACTAGTATGCCCTTATAAGGGCCACTAACTAAAACCCCTATAAGGACCACTTTGGCAAGCTTTAGTGGCCCCTATGAGGATTGGTAAAGTGGCCCCTTGAGGGAACCCTTCAAGGGCATCTAATGTTGCCCCTATAGGGGCCACTCTGGAGTTTCTAAGTGACCTGGGAAACTGAGTTCTGAAACTTTTTAGGTTAAAAGTCCAAGTTTAAAACTTCAAAAAAGCTTTTCACACACGTCATGATTCACAAATCCGATTTTGAGGGACGCTTGTTCCTGCTCGACGCCGACATCCATGAAAGCGTCGCCGACACTGTCGCCCATTAGAATCACATTAGTTCTGAAATTATGGTAGTGGGTGTTCGAAACTAGAATCCTCAATCCACTAACCGATCACTAAGCTGACCGGAGAAGCTGGCGTCCTTGGGGATCACTGAAGAGTTTTTGCAGAAAACGTGTATTAAAGGTTCTGAGAACGCGTTGACTCTGTCCTGAAAAAAACGTCCAATCTACTAGAAATCGAGAAATCAACAACATTCTCATCGAAAAGCATCATATTGGAGACGATGTGAGTGTTGTCGGCCACTTTTCCAAACTTGAGCCGCAGGTACATCTCAATGATCGTTCCGATACCTGAATATTCCAAAATACTCCTGAAACATTGGAAGAGCCGACCAGCCGAGAAAACAATGAATGGCACTTCGTGTGCAGTGAGAACGTTCATCAGGACGTCGGCTTCATCTCTGAGAAAACGAAAATATCAACGAAGTCTTAGTTGGTGTCACCTCAGCTGAATATTGCTGACACCGACAAATTTTTCGATTTGGTTACGGTTGAAACCGGCAGAAATGATGCATTCGTGCGAGCTGTTCCACCTCAAATCAAGACAAAAAATCGAAAAAGTTGAAATTTTCTGAACGTCCACCATATCCTAGCGTCTCTGATTATTTTAAAGAATCGTAGGATTTTCAAAGTGTTTCCTATAGGGGTTAGGGGTAAAAGCAGGCCCTATAGGGGCCGGAAAAGTGGTCCCTATAGAGGTGAAATCAAGGTGGTCCCTATAGGGGTTTAGGATCTGACCCTAAAACGCTAATTAATTTATTTTTTCGCATCGGGATGGTTCTTCGCTCAAAGTTCAAAAAAATTCTCGACTAGCATGTCACTTTTGCAAGCTTTAGTGGCCCCTATAGGGGTTGGTCAAGTAGTCCCTAAAGGGGACCCTCCAAGGGCTACTAAGGTTGCCCCTAAAGGGACCACTCTGGCAATCCTAAAGTTCTTTCATTGCTTGGCATGGGGGTTGACCAGGTTGCTGGTTTGATTTAAATTTTACTAGGGGACGTTTTCACCCCCCCTCTTTAGGACCTCCTAAGTGCAAAACAAGAAAAAAATTTTTTGCAAGAGATCTTTTTTCGAGAAAGTACGTGAATGAAACTACACTTTATCCTAGCCTTGCTCGAGATTTGCGAAAATGATAAAGAACTTTTTCGAAACGGTGATCCCAGCCAGACTAACCATTCCTCCATGTGCGGAATCTTCTCCTCGATGGTCATGTGATGGTCGTGTTCGATGGGCCCGTACTTCTTCCACAGACCGATGAACTTCAACAAACGAGTTTCAGGCAGACAAGGAGCCGGGGAACCTTATCGTAGAAGTCTGGATAGAGTTTGCCGACGGCGTCGTCGAAGATGCAGTAGCAAGAGGAACATCGTTTGCCCTTCTCGTCCGCATATCGCGAGATCGTGAAGTCAAAGTCCGAAATCACCTGAAAGCCTGCAGTTAGGATGAAAAGTTAAGAACTGAAAATCATTAAAACCAATTATCTTGTGGAAGTAAATCTCGGAAATCATCATTAGAAAAATGGAAAACAGGTCTAAGAACATTTAAAAATTAAGAAAACGGCTTAGGAACTCTAGAGAGGTCCCTATAGGGGCAACCCTAGGAGGCCTTGGAGGGGCCACTCTAGAGACAACTTCACCAATCCCCATAGAGGCCACTAAAACTTGAAGAAATGGTACCTATAGGGGTTTTGGTTAGTGGTCCCTATTGGGACATGCTATTCGATAATTTTTATGAACTCTAAGCGAAGAAGCATTTCCATAAGAAAATCGGAATGAATAAGCGTCTTTTGAATGAAATTGAAGACCCATGTAAGGTCCACTTGAAGTTCAGAGGCTGAGGGTTCAGACCCTGCACCCCTATAGGGACCACTTTTTCGGCCCCTAGAGGGGCTGTTTTTCTCACTATGCCCTATAGGGACCACTCTAAAATTGCTAAGTGGGGAAGAATCAATCATTTACCATAAGTTTCGAAGCGCCACCGGCGATGAACTTTTGCAACTTGGCCACGACCAGGTCGACGTCTCTCACACGAACCTGTGGACTACTGAGTAATTCCTCGATTCTGGGCATACTTCTGAAATATATTCACTGTCCGTGAAAAATGATTTAGCAAGTCTGATCAAAAACCTCTGCTAGAAAGTTTGTTTTTTTTTCGGAATAGTTACTCTGCTTTTTAATAAATTAGAATATGTAGTTTATGCATTTTATGCTACCTGTTGTTATAATCGAAATCAAAATGGGAAAAAAACGCGGAAATCAGCTCAAAAGCTCAGAGAAACGGATAAATCCGTACAAACAGAAGCGATAAGAATGATAAAAGAACAAAAGCGATGTCGAGATTTCCGTCGCCTCGAGTTTTCGGTCAAAGAAAAGACAAAGAAAAGACAAAGAAAGATCCAATCAAACAAGATGACACTGAGCAAATTACTTTTTCAACATGTTGGTTATAGTTTTAAAAATAGATTTTCCCTAGACTTTTCTCTTTTGGGTTTGAGTGCATCGAAGGTTATGTGAATTCACCTTTTTTCCTATTATGCCGTGTTCAAAGTAATTTCCGCGAAATGCTAAAATGGTCTCTGACTCTCCAAAATTTAGTGATCTTTCCCTTTCTCTAACTGGTATTTTGCATTTCGCGGGATCAAATTGAACACGGCATTAGATTTGTGAGAAAAATGGGAAAAGGAAAACTGTATTCATTTCTTGTACTACAAAAAACGGCGAGTCGACGCCACGCCCACCGCAGCGGCGGAAAATAAAATGTTTCGTACGCAGTGAACACGATGCACAGAAAATGACGCGCAAAAAGTGAAATTGAGTGTTTATCATGAGTTAAATAATTTTCTAGCTGTTATTAATCTATGGGTCGTTGAAAGAAACTTCTAGAATATTAATATTTAAAAAAATCACATCTAGAGCTCGAATAAAGAGAAATAATTCTTTTTTTAGGACTAATATTCTATTTAGATCCTAAAAACTTTTTTTCTAGCTTCTAAACACTGGTAAAAATCTCAAATTTGCAAGAAAAACAAGATTATATTCAATGATTCGCAAGATCTAAAAATATATAATTCTTTTTCTACACGACTAGACGGATACATTGCGCGTAATCAGTGGTATCAGCGCGGGGGTGGCGTCACCAATCTACGTAAACGTCTTCGAGTACCTGAGCAAATATCAACTTTGAACACGAGTACCTGTTGAACAACATTGAAAAAAAAGGTCGGAAGGACATTTTTTATACACATAGCCATACAAAAATAGAAAGTGATTAAAGTGAAGCAGACTGAAGAAAAAACCGCTAGCTTGACTAGCGTATTTCACAACAAATTGACAAGAAACCGGACTCACAATCTGACCATCTCACCTTAAAAATTAGAAAAAAAAACTATACATTTTCTATGCAATCGAGTAATATGAAGATAAAGATCCATACAGCCTAAAAAAACTATACAGACCAAAAAATGAAAAAAAAAACCGGAGGAGCAAAAAAAATTTATGTGCAATTACCGGGTTAGTAGTGACCAAGGTTTCAGTAGAAAGGCTAAGGTTTGTACTCTAGTAAATATCTCCAATCGAAGGAGATGTTCCAAGTTGATATGGGGCCGCCGGGACGTAGGAAAACAGTTTGACAAGAACTGCTCGAAATTGTGGGAGGAGTTAGGGAGAACTATGTATATCGAGGGGGTGGAGTTTTACTTGGAGACGAGGTCGAAGATCCGTTGAGGGACGTTCATCGTGCTGTCGTGCACCAGGACGATGTCGTAGGCCGCCATGTAGTGGTCCAGCGAGGCTTCATCGTTCACCTGAATCTCCATTTTAGGTAAGGCCAAAGGCAACGCAAATCGAACATCGCCGTTGTAGAAGCCGATACGAAGGGTTGGCCCGTCTTTTTCGACGCCGACGTCCATGTGAATGTCGCCCATGCTGTCTCCCATGAGGATGACGTTTGATCTGAAAAAAAAATGGAAAGTTATAAAGTTGTCCTGAAAGAGAAACTTCCTACGCACACTTAGAAACCCCAGAGTGGTCCCTATAGGGGTAGGGGGAAAATAACCTTTATAGGGACCGAAATGTGATCCCTATGGGGGTAAGATGAAGGTGGTCCTTATAGGTGTTCAGGGTCTGACCCATTACCGTCTAAAAATCAAGTGGAACCTATAGGGGTCTCTCAACTTCATTCAAAAAACGCTTATTTTTTCAGTTTTTTTCCCATGAAAATGCTTCTTCGCTTAGAGTTCATAACAATTATCGATTAGCAAGCCTCCTATAGGGACCACTTCTGCAAGCTTTAGTGGTCCCTAGAGAGGACCCTCCAAGAGGCCCTAAGGTTGCCCCTAGAGGGACCACTCTGGATTTCATAAGTGTTCTTCATTCTTCATGACTTCAGATACTTTGGCTTTTTCACACTTTTGTTTACTAGAAATTCCCATTTCCTACGTTGCTTCGACGAGAGCCCAGACAAACCAGAATGCTCAAAATCGTGGTTAAAATTTATGAAAACATTTTTTTGTAGACTATTCCCGTTTCATTACTACTCTGCTCAAAATCACTAATCCTTTGCATATTGCCTCCACTGAAACGATAATAAACTTATTGAGTTAAATTTTGGAATGTTACACTAACTTTTTTGCCGCGAATGAATGAATCAAAATCAAAGAATAAGGTGGTATGAAAAAAACACCAGCGAAAATTCAAACGGCGACTTTTCCGATTTTTTCATATCGCTAGGGAACTTTCCGACGGCCACCTTTCCGACGAAACTTTTTCCGACTTTTTTTTCTCGATAAACTCTTCGTTTTACATCTTCCTATATAAAGTAGGTAGTTTTTTCATAATTAAAACACAAAGAAATAGGAAAAAAATGTTCATAGATGTTTTATAAACCGAAAAAGATAATAGAAAAAGGTCAGAAAGGGATCCGTCGGAAAGGTGGCCGTCGGAAAGTTCCCTAGCGAAATGAAAAAAAGGAAAAGTCGCCTTTTGAATTTTCGCTGGTTTTTTTTCATACCACCAAGAATAAAGGTATTCCTGCCTGAACCTAAACGCCAATCTTTCCTTCATGTTCCGGTTTGAATCATTTCAATTCCTCGAGAACGTTCTGAACAGACCTGCCAGCAATCTGATGGAAGAACGACGCCTCCTTCTGGATGACCGACGAGTTTTTGCAGAACGTATGGATGAGCGGTTCGGAGAAAGCGCACGCCTTGTCCTGAACACGAAAGAAACCATTTCAACACGCTCTAGTTAATTTACATACAGCAAGGTGAAACAGGTCACTGAGTTTGAGGACAAAAAAGACTCACATTGGAATCGAACAAGATCATGTTGGAGATGAAATGGACGTTCCGGGGGACACTTCCTAGCTTTTGGCGGAGGAAAATCTCGATGACGTTGCCGATGCCGGCCGAGAAAATGACCAGAGGTGTTCCAACAGCTTCCATACTTTGCATCAGCTCCGAAGCGCCATCTCTGAACACTTATTCGTTTCCTTCTCCGGGATAGCTTCCCAGCAAACCTGAGCACAACGCGCGATTTCCTGACAAAATCCTCAATCATGGCACGAGTGAAGCCAGACTGGACGATGTAGCCGTGCGACGTTCCCCACCTAAATCTCATTTTTATTCATATGAAAACTAAAATGAACTACCAAGCCTCCATGTGAGGTATCTTTTCCTCGACCGTCAGTTTCGGGTCAAACTCGATTGGGTAGTACTTCATGCGCAACTCATCAAACTGAAAATGATGAAGATAGTGCCTCAAAAATTATATTAATTGAAAAAACTATCACACCCAATAGATAGGAAAAGTCGGAAAGGGTGGAAAAAGGCTCCATAAAAATGTTCCTTTTAGGGTACCAAAGGTTTCTTTTTGCTTCATTTTTACGTCATTTCATCGGCTTTTATGCACCATTATTGCTGCCTCTTCTTTCCCACCATTTCTAGAGCCTTCAGAATCCCAGAAAAATGGAAGGCTCGATAAAGGGACTGTTTTTGCTGCCTTTCTTGGGCCTTTTTTGAGCGTTTTTCAGATGTTCTACGCAAACTTCTTTTTGGTGATAAAAAAGGTAATACTTGTGTGCAGCGAAAATGTTTCATTGTTTGTTTGTTTCATACTCGTATTTGTATGTTTTGAATGATAAGACTCCCGAAATTCAATTCATCATGTTAACATGGGGAAGGTGCAAGCCCAAAAATACCAATATAAGGAGTAATACAGAGAAAAAAAAATTTATATGAATCATAAGGTTTTTTACTCGTTATTTGATCTAAAAAAAACTGCTCCCCTCCTTAAATAGATGAAGTTATCGCAGTTATGTTGCTGAACCGGACAAGGCATTCAATGCTCATTCCAAAATTGGGTAGAGGCCATTTTTTGTAGATTACCTAGGTATTCTAGGATCGTCCTTTACCAAGTACTGTGAGGGGCGCGTATATGATAAGATTATAGCCCCCCCCCCCCCTTACCAGTCAAAATTTGCCTTGGGGGGTCTTGTTCGAACGTGTTGGGCTATAACCGGGTGAGAGGCGATTATGGAATTTTCCCATGGATCCTGAAAGGGGGAAAACCTTCTTTCCGAGTTCTGGATCGACGCGCGCGGCGTTGTCGTCGAAGACGCCGTGGGTGGTCGACAGCCGTTCTCCAGACTCGTTGGCGTACCGGGAGAGGGTGAAGTCAAAGTCGGAGATAACGAGCAGCTTCTTGTTGCCGGCGGCGACCATCTGCCTCATTTTGGCGGCCATCGAAGCGGGGTCCGCGATTCTCACTTGCGGCAGCGATGAAAGGCTTTCTAGCAACACTCCGATGCTGTCCACATACCTGAATCCGTCAATCAGGAGCGTAATCTTCGTTTTATCAAACGCGATTTTCTATTCACAGGTAAATGCTGACTTTTAATGACCTGTTTCCTTGCTCTTTTTGAGCATAATTGGGAAAAACGGAATGGACAAATTCCTCTCGGTTCAGAGCTTCATGAAGACTATTTAAACTTTCAAGAAAATCACTTTTTCTTAGATTCGACTACTTTTCTTTCGTATACATATTCCCTATAAACACGATAAAACTCTCCATAGAAAAACAGTTGATAAGAAAAAAATGTTTCAAAACAACTTTCTTGTGGATTTACTCAAGTTTTTCTGAATCAAAATTGATCAGAAAAGTTCCGTTTAAAAAAAGCTTCTTATATCTAGGAATTATCAACCGGACGCCAAGGTGTTTGATGATTATTCTTCAAAAAGTTGAAGAGCGTCTTTTTTTTTAAATTTTATGTTCTCTCATTTTTTTATTCCCCGTGTCCAAAAAAACTCTGAAAATTTGAGGTTTGAAACGAACTTGAGCTTCTCGAGGTCGATTTCACTGGCTGCTAGTTGAACGGCGGCGCTGGCGACCATGTCGGGGTTAGTGAAAACGGGCATTCCTATCGTTGAGTTTTCTACGCGGCGGAGATCCACTGCAAAATGTTCATTTTGGAACGAAGTTTGAATAGAAATAATTGAGAAAAAGCGACTTCATACACATGAAATATTATGTTCTCTGTCATCAGAATATTTTTCATAAGCAGAAATCGAAAAAAACCTCAATTTAATTAGTGAAAGAAACCCCTGCGAGTTGCCGGAGCGGTTAATAGTGAAATGAATTTAGTTCTTGTTCGATTACGTAGTCAATTTTTAAAATTAATATATGGAAAATGCACGTGAATAGAATATTTTTTGAAACTGGCGAAAAACATTTTTCGTTCTGCTGAAATTTTTAGAAAAGGTACAAAAAAGTGGTATCTAAACAGAACTATATATATGATTTTTCCTACTGAAAACTGGAAGAAAGAAGTTTTGAGAAGCTAGTTATACTGGATTTGCTCAGAAAGCAGTTTTTTCAAAGAATGGGGCCACAAAAAAACTTCTCCTGATTTCCTAGCATGACTTATCAGCTCATCTCATTTTTTAGAGAGAATCTCGAGCAGCTAATCTCGAAAAGCGGCTGTTTGAAAAGTTATTTTTTAGTTAAAAATGCGCTCACGAGACGCGATTAAAAACTATGTGACCGCAAGTTTTGGAACAAAATCGATGAGGTGACCTCGTGAAATGAAAAACACGTGAGCAAAGGTCGAAAATTTCCGAATCTTCCCCGTGAGTAGAGATCAATACACAAACGAAAAATATGAATAAATGTTCGTGACGGAAGATTTTTTGAAAGCACTTCCGTTTCGAAGTTTCGAAAAGAAACGTTTCTCTGGGTTCTCGTGGGGCGCACGAGCTCTTTAGTTTATGGCGAATCAGGCGATCAATTTTTCGTTCCTTTTGACCCTTCGAAATTTGAAAATTAAACTCATCATAACAAAAAAGAGTTCAGAAGCTGTTTTTTAAAAAGTTAACTCGGGTTGAAGATAGAAAAAAAAGGAAAAGTACTGAGAAAATTCGATAGGAAAGCAGAGAAAGAAATCAAGTATTCTATAGAAAGGAAATCGGTCACACGGGACTTAAATTCAAAAAAAAAAAGAATAGCATTTCGAATTCTATCGGAAAAAAGGACCCATCATGAAAATTGGAATCAACATGTAAAACAGTAGACATGAAGTGGAAATATCTTGCAATGGAACGCTTAAATACAGAAACAAACTGCGATAATGTTAACAAGTAGTATAGAGATAAGAGCGCCAGACCGATAAATGATATGAAAAGTACAAAAGTTCGCAATTTGATAAGGGTTTTTGACCTACTAGTTCAGCGAATCCAAAATTTCTGACCAAGTTTCCACCTCATTTCGATTTTTTTTATACTTAAATTTAAACTATATCTTTATAAAACACTGAAGATTAATGTTAGTCGTAATATGTTTTCGTAAAACTGACAGGCTTCAATCTCCAAGTGGAAGGTTATAAGATAAGAGACAGTTTTTTACGACATTTACGATCTTCGATAAATTAATTGGACTTCCCATGCCCTTATTACACATTATTTTTTCAGGCGATAGCTACTATACGATTTCGTTGAAAAATCTCAAGGATGATGGGCGGAGCGAGACCATTTACAATCATGAACTCACCTTCCCAAATGAGAACTTCGATCAAAAACTTGGCATGGAAAGAAATTTACCGAAAGTTTCGAAGGAAGAAGAGCAGGGCCGATCGGCAAAATTTCGGGAAACCTCCGTCAATTTTGAGCATCTCAAGAGACGTCGGAAAGCAGAAACGCTCCGCGAACGCATAGATAATCCGCCGATTTTCTTCCGTCTTTGTTTGTGTGGAAAGGTCCTGTCTGAAATTTTTTTATTTTGCCAGCTGCCCACTTGGCCGGTTTACTCCCATGGAATCGGAAAAAATTCACAAAATCTATTGGATGAAAACTGTCTGATTTTCATTGTAAATGTTTGAAAAAGGTTGAAAAAAAATAAAATAAGAGAATCTTTTTTCTGGGATCAAAAAAGAAAAGATTTGGAAGCCTGTTAGGAACAAAAAAAAATATTTTCTCACGCTTGAAAATAACAGAGAAGCAGAAGAAAGAAGAAAAAGAAGTAGTAAGCAGTAGAGATGAATCAATATAATGCCAGAAAAGAGTGTAACGCAGAAAAAAAAAACTCGTTGAGAGGATTTTTTTTCTGACTGAACAGTTTCAAAAAATAAAATAAAATAATGGAGAATATTCCTTCAGTTCCGGTGCAAATTCTACTGATCTCAAAAGCCCCTTTTTCCAGGTCGAAAACCAGATGCTCTGGCGCAAAACAGAAAAAAACGAGGACGCGCCAGACGGCGGCGTGTTGAACCAGTGTAATGAAAAAAAAAACTTCGAAAAAGAACAAACGATATCAGTGAATAAGATGGGTGATTGGCATGACATACAAAAATAGCTAAAACTCGTGATGATTCTTTTTGATGAAAAACATATTGGAAAATATTAGTAAGCTCTAAAATTTGAAATGAGGACGACGGAAATCAAACTTTAATATTACGAGGCTTTCATTCTTTGTATAAACTTGTTGAAAAAAACAAAAAAAGAAACCGAAAAAAAATTATAAAAAAACTTGTCTTTCAAAGAAAAAAAGCACTAAAAAAAGAATTATTATATACGAAGTTCCTTTGAACGCGCCGCTTCGCAACGAACAGTTGATTCATGCGCTTGGTTACTGTAACTCATGTAGAATTACGTGCTTTTAGAAATTTTTTTCATTCGTACTTTGCACAAGAGTTTTATTTTCTAAATGTTTTCGTAAGTTAGAGATGAGTGTTCATATTATTATTTTTTTAGGAAAAAAAGTTTGTATTTCAGTTGTTGAACTTCTAATTATCCGCTTTGAAAGTTCATCAATTTGATGAAAAAGCATTTACTGGGTAAATAAAACTTCAATTTTTTTGGTTGTTAAGCCGTCTACGTAGAATTTTTATTTTCTTCTTTTTCATATAGCGGATAGTCATCTTTTTTAAATAACTTTTTAACGAGATTTAAGGTTAAAAAAATTCCCACTATTCTATTAAAAAAATAAAAAAACGACCTCAGGAAAATTCCGCAATGAGAGCGACCCTCGAGACAACAAAGGCGCTTCCTGCATCCATGCATCTTGTGCGCAGAAAAATTGCAATCTGCACTAGAATATTTGTATTCTTTTTTTGGACATGAATTCACCTTAAAATTGTTTTTCTTTAAATATTTCACGCGCTTTTTAGAAGTTAAAATTGTTTTATACCTTTTTTCAGATATAGGATGGGTGCCGATGGTAACGTAGAAATCAAGAAGAAGAAGAAGAAGGGCGTTCAATTCGCACCAATCGAAGAGAAAAAATCCGACGAGCAGAAAGTTGGAAATGAGAAAGTTTGCTCGCAAATTTGACGATGAGTATATTTTTATATTTTTCAGAAGAAGAACAAAATCGTAACAGAAGTCGAGCAGTTGGAACCGAAAACCAAAAAAAGACGTAGAAGAGAACGCGTCAAGGGATCTGAGTGGGTTTTTTTTTCTGTTTTTGAACTGATTTTTATTTTTTTTAAAGCATGTTTTTGATAATCGTTTCATTCCGACTTTTTTGTTCCAGAAAAAGAAGAAAACTTATGGAGAGCCTAGTTGGACCAGAAGTGGAACGGCTTGAATTTGAAGGAGAGAAAAAACAATTCTCTGATTTTGGACTGGATGAAAGGATTTTGAAGGTTGAGCCATTTCTTATAAATACTAAATAGGCATAAATGTTCAGGGAGTGGGGCAAATGGGCTGGAAAGATCCGACGCAAGTGCAGGAATCGTTGGTGGGCCTGGCCCTCGAAGACAAAAACGTGATGGCGCGAGCTCGCACAGGGAGTGGCAAGACGGGAGCTTTTTTGCTCCCTGTCATTCACAAAATGATCGCTGCGTCAGCTGTAAGTTTAACCTTAGATTTGATGAAAAAAACAACTTCATTCGCAGAACTTTGACGGTTCCATCGGGCCGATGGCTATCATTGTCGCACCGACCAAGGAACTCATCACACAAGTTTGCCTTTTCTTTTTTTCTTGTATCTGGAACAAACCTCATTTCACATGTTGGAAAGGGTCGAAAAAGGCTCATAGAAATGTTCCTTTTAGGGTGAGAAAAGTTCCTTTTTTGCTGCCTTTTTGCGCCATTTCATCGGCTCTTATGCACTTTTTTGCTGCCTCTTCCTTTTTCCACCAATTCTTGAGCCTTTAAAATCCCAGAAAAATGGAAGACTTGATAAAGGGACTCTTTTTGCTGCCTTTTTCGAGCCTCTCCCTTTCAGCAGACATTCTGATTTTGCCAGAGATTTTAGTTTGGCTGTTTTGATAAATTTAACTGAAGTACAGTTTAAGTTAAGATTTTTAATAATATTTCCAGGTTTTCAAACTTGCGCAGAAAATAATCGAGCCCCTTCCTTTCCTCCAAGCCTTGAACCTGTGCGATTTCAACGAAGAGGAGAACTCCCTCTGGGTCGAAGTACTCATCATTATTATTTATGTCCAAGTGCCGATAATATTTCAAGGATCAATCGCAAATCGTCGTGACGACGCCCGGGAAATTGCTCAAAATGCTGTCTCTGAGGAAGTCGTACTGTTCTCAACTGCGACACTTGGTTCTCGACGAAGCAGATCTTCTTCTTTCCTTCGGTTATGAGGACGAGATGACGTGAGAGTTTCTCGGAATCTGTTCAAAAAAGCATATTTTCAAAAACACTTTTTTTAAAGCTTTTTCTTACAGTGTGGTAGAAGCAGAATAAAATTATTACTTACAAGGTATGTCATTATACTTTAGGAATTCACTGAAAAATCTTTCAGAATACTCCTCAGAATACATAAAAAGGATTCTGAAAGCCTCAAATTGCCCAACCTAGTTTTTGAGAAATGAGGGTTTAAAGCCAAAGAAAACTTCGAAATTAGTCAAAAAGGCCATTTTTGGGGCTTTGAGCCCTTATTTATTGAAAACTAGGAAGTTGTGCAGATTGAGATTTTTAAGACCCTAATTTGGTATTTTAATGGAGATTGTGACAAATTTTCAGAAAATTCCTAGCCTCAAAGTAAAATGACCTCTCTTGTTAGGAGAAAACGGTATTTTCTAAATTTCTTGTGAAATGCTTTTTTTGCAAACAAAAAAAGAAGAATAAGCTTTAAGGAATTTTGAAGTATTAAATTTTTGAGGAATCCGCGCTCAAGTAACAGGGGTTTGGACAGTTTGCGACAAAGAGTTCGAAAATTTCAATGTAAAAGTGCTTTTTGTCAGGTTGATCCGAGCGAGTTTGCCGCCGAGCTATCAATGCATTATGACTTCGGCTACCCTGAAAGACGACATGACCTCCCTGAAAAAGCTTTTCATGACGGGACCTGTGGTCACGGTCAAACTGACGGTTCATTTCGAAGCTTCCTCCTCTTCTTACTGGACATTTTTGAGGAAGGAGATCTGCCGAACGCCGACCAACTGATGCAGTACCATGTGACCTGCGAAAACGACGAACAGAGGTTCTCGATCCTCGTGGCGATGTTCAAGCTGAAGCTGGTCATCGGCCGGACCATCGTCTTCGTCAACAACATCGACCGCTGCTACAAGCTCTCCCTGGTCCTCAGGGCTTTCGGCATCAAGTCCTGCATTCTCAACTCGGCGATGCCGGCCAACAGCCGGTACCCTTTCAGTTTCTCCCGCTCTATTCAACGTTTTCTTGAAGATGTCACGTAATCAATCAGTTCAACGACGGAATGTTCCCAGTCGTGATTGCGTCGGATGTGACGGACGCAGACGGATCGCGACTCGCCGATGCCGACGTTCAGCCTGAATCTTCCAAGCCGAAGGTACAGTTCATTTTGGAGAAACCAGATTTATTATTTTTCTGATAATATGGAAAGCGCAACGGACATTTTAATGCAATGAAAGTCCATTGAAGCACGTTTTTGCTGTGTTTTATGGTTCTAGTGTAAGTTGAACAGTTAAAATAGAAAAAAGTAGATACCTTGATCTTTATTTTGTGAACGCTTTTTAAGCTTATAATCGAATAATAAAGTCATTTTTGTACATTCAGATTTAAAAAAAAAATTTTTCAGTGAAGGAATTATGAAAGTATCATTTGGGAAAGATTTCCTATTGAAAAAAATTGTTTGACGGCTTTTGCATCAAACCCCTCTAGGGACCACTTTACCAACCCCTAAAGGAATTTTTAGGTGATCCCTATAAAGGCAATCTTTAGAACCCTTTTAGGGTCCCCTTCAGGGACGGTTTTACCAACCCTTAGAAGGGTTATTAAAGCTTGCGTAAGTGATTGCTATAGGGGTTTTAGTTAGTGTCCCCTATAGGGGACATGCGAATCGAAATTTTCATGTACTCCATGCTTTCCGTGCGAAAAACTGAATAAATAAGCGTTTTTTGAATGGAAATGGAAGGCCCCTATAGGGACCACTCAAGCTTTAAAGACTGAGGGGTCAGACAATAAACCCCATAGGGGCCACCTTGATTTTACCCCTATCAGGACCTTTTCCGACCCCGAACCCCTATAGGGACCATTCCAAAATTCCAAACTTTGACTTCCAGAGGAAAGGAGAGAAACTGGACCAAGAAGCAGGCGTCTCGCGAGGAATCGACTTTCATCAAGTCAGCAACGTCGTCAACTTTGATTTCCCTCAGACGACGGACGCCTACATCCACAGAGTTGGCCGGTAAGTTGAGAAGACGTTCACAAAACGTTTCTCGCTTCCATTTCAGCACGGCGAGAGGTTTCAATAAAGGTACGGCTCTATCGTTTTGCACTCCCGAAGAGCGCGGATATTTGGATGCGGTTCAAGCCGACATCAACGAGCAAAGTACGTTGAAAAAAGGCCCTTGTTTGGTAATAATAATAAACTTTGGTTCAGTGGGAAAGGAAGTTTTGACGCCCTACCAGTTCCGTATTACCGACTTGGACAGTTTTGTTTTGAGGACCAGGGTGATTGGAAAAAAAACTTCTCAAGACACCTCAATTTTTTTAGGAAGCGTTATCAAAGTGCTCAAAAGGTGTGATCAAGAAAGCTCGGATGAAGGAAATCCGACAAGAGGTGATTTTATTCCTTAAGAAGTGATAGTTTAACTGTAAGTTCCACCATTTTTCGGAATTTAATCCTTGATTTTCGCTGACTTCTGGCTTTCAGATAATGCGGTCGGCGAATTTGCAATCGTTTTTCGCGAAGAACGAACGCGAGAAACTCTTGATGCAGACCGATTGTCATCCGATTTCCCTCAAACTTCAGTCTCCTGCCATAGCCGACGTGACCGACTATATGGGTAAGACGATTCGACAGATATTTTCGCTTTTACTCGTTTTAATAATAATAATGAATGAATGAATGTTTATTTCGCTCACAGACAGATCTGTTTATTCAATGCCATTATTTAAGAGAAAATATTTAAAACATAAGTGATTGCACATAGGAATTTCAGAGTGATCCCTATAGGGGTTGAGGGGAAAAAAACAGCCCCCATAGGAGCCGAAAAAAAGCGGTCCCTGTAGGGGTAAAGACAAGATGACTCCTAGAGGGGTTTAGGGTCTGATTCTTTAGCCCCCTAAAGCTTAGGTGGCCCCTATAGGGGTCTTTCAATTTTATTCAAAAAAAGCTTGTTTATTTATTTTTTTCGCATAGAAATGCTTCTTCGCATAGAGCTCATAAAAATTATCGAAAAAAAAGTCAAATAAACTTTTTTCAAATATAGTGCTGATAGTGTTTCTGAATGGTTTTTACTGCAGTTCCTGAGGCGCTGAAAGGCATCGATTACTCGACTTCCACGAGAAGAAAAGGCAAACTTGGTCAACGGCACCGCAAAAAGACCAAAATGGGCGCTCAGCAGAAGAAATTCGTCCGGAAGAACAAAGATCCTCTCCGCTCTTTCAATATTTAAAGCCTTTTGATTGTTGATTTTGTTGTTGAGTTTTTACTGTTTCATCCAATTGTTTTCATTGTTGTTCAGATATTTCAATAAATAAAACAATTCAAATGCCAAACCAGATTGTTTCCAAAAGATTTTCAAAAAGAGCGGTCAAGGTTTCGTCACCCTCACCTTATACACACACACACACTACACAACTCGAACCGAAGTTCGACGGGTCTTTTTAGTTACCCAAGAAGAAGAAGGATGAGGGGACTTCGGACCGCTCACCGCCAAACCAAAACGGCGACGGTGAAATACCCCTACGACCATTTTGCGTCCGACCTCAGGCGGCTTTCGCTCTCTTCTACTTAGGAACTCCGGAGTGGTCTCTGCAGAGGCAACCTTAGGGACCTTAGTGAAGAGTGGTCCCTATAGGGGTTAGGGTGACTTTACCAAACTCTATAGGGGTTACTAAAGCCCGGAAAAACTATCTCCTAAGGGATTTCAGTTAGTGGCCCCTGTAGGGGACATGTTAATCGATAATTTTTATGTACTCTGAGCGTAGAACCATTTCCATGCGAAAAATTAAATAATTAAGCGTAAAATAAAGTTGAAAGACCCCTATAGGGACCACTTAAGCTTTAGGGGCTAGTCAGACTCTAAACCCCTATCGGAACCAACTTGATTTTATCCCTATAGGGACCACTTTTTCGGCCCTTCTAGGGGCTGTTTTCCCCTCTAACCCCTACAGGGACCACTCTTCACTAATTTAGCCGTATTTCTCGTTTCAGCTGGAAATGAATGATCAGCGAATACTTCAGGCCTCCCGCTGAGTTTCGGCATTCCAGTTCTTCTACTGATGTCGAATTCTCTCTTTTGCACCCCCGCTGATAAAAGTCGCTCCGGATTCATCAAGGTGTGATCTTTTCGATTAATGAACAGGTATTTTGAGAAGCAACTTAAAATCAGGGACCAAAATAAACTTTTTTTTTAAATATCGGTGGTATGCCCTTCGCGCCAAAAAGATCAAATGTTGACCCGCCGCTGAGGAGTCTGAACCTGCGACTATACGTTACATAGTCTATGTAACAATAGATGTTCTCGATTTGCGATTGGCACCCGATAGCCGCTATCAGATTCTTTATCATAATTCTTATCGCCTTGGTTCGCAGGTGCCAACGATAATGTCGTGATTACAGGACACTCAAGGCTTCTCCTACCTCATGTCTACTAGGCTTTTGAATACTCTTTTAGAAAAAATTCTTTCCTTTTCTTTATAAATCTGTTTTTTTTTCAAATTTGAGTTTGAAGTCTTTCCTTTCTCCCTTTTGCCGAGTTCAGTTTCCAATTTCGATTAAATTGTTTTTATCTTGTAAAACTCGCACTCCAGTTTGCTTGGGAATTTTAGAGTGATCCCTATAGGGGTTAGAGAGGAAAACCGTCCCTACAAGGGCCGAAAAAGTGGTCCCTCTAGTGGTGAAATCAAGGTGGTCCCTATAGGGATTAGGGGTCTGCTCCTTTGGCCCCTAAAGCTTAAGTGGCTCCTCTAGCGGTTGGAGAGAAAACCGTCCAGACAAGGGCCGAAAAAGTGGTCACTCTGGGGGTAAAATCAAGGTGAGCCCTATAGGGGTTTAGGCTCTGACACCTTAGCCCCTAAAGCTCAAGTGGACCCTATGGGGGATTCCAATTTCATTCAAAAACGCTTATTTATTATATTTTTCGCATGGAAATGCTTCTTCGCATTTAGTACAAAAAAAATTATCGACTAGCCCTATAAGGACTACTTTTGCAAGTTTTATTAGCCCCTGTAGGGTTTGGTAAAGAGGTGTCCTCTCCTCCAAGGGCTCTCAAGATTGTCCCTGTATGGACCACTCGAAAATTCCTAAGCGAAAGCCCTATAGAGACCCCTTTTGTTAGCGATAGTGGCCCCTACAGGGATCACTCGAAAATTCCAAAGCACAGCTGCACGGAACAGTTCACGCGCCCTCTCGATGCTATCAAGCTGTCGACAGCCCAAAATCCGTCACGCAATCGTCGCGATCTTGCGCGTTATCGCGCCGCCGAGCCCGTTTCTCCAAAAAGAAGTGAAACGCGACTGTTATCGGAAAGGACGACGACGGATTCGTTTTCGAAAAGTGGTCACGATTTGAAGGAGGGCAGCACGACTGGCGAGGAGGCACAGACGGTCCGTATCGCCTGCGCATCTAATCGCCCTCGCCTTCGCCTCGTTTTAACCCATAAATACCATCGTCCAGTTTCGGCGATTGTTGCCGCCAGCCGTCGTCTCCCGCTGTGTGCAACTTCCAGGATACGTGTCGCTTTCCTTCTTTCTTCGCCCTTCGCTTTTTCAGACCGCCTCCTCCAAACTGACAGATCATCTTCCCGCCCCTGCCCGTCGATGTCGACCATAACTCGGTGCCTTGGACCGTGGTGACCGGCCGCTGCTCATATTTCACTGCTGTTTCTTTTTCCAGCCATTCTCTACTGCTACTCCTTCTACTAGGAGAACTAGTTGAATCAATCTTCGATGTACTAGATAAGGTCTTTGAAGTCACACCTTGTAGGAAGTTATTTTGAGCCGACGCCTTGTACGACAGCTTCGCAGCGTCTCTTAAAAGTAGATCTAATGAAGTTTAAGCTCATCCCTACCGAGTTATTCTAAGGATTTGAACTAAACTGGATCTAAGTAAAAGCCAATGAAAATTTCGCTACATACTTGGACAACGGACGTGCTCCGGACTTTTTTAAGAATTTCTAGTGACCCCTTTAGTGACGTCAGCACTCTTAAGTGATCCCTAGAATTGCACAAAAACGTCTGGAGCCCGTCGGTTTTGCGTTAGGAGTGGCTTTGCAACTTCAAAATAAATGCACAAGGAACATTTTCAGAAAAATATTTTTGCTGATATCGGTCCATGGTTGAACTGTACTGGGTTTCAAATGTTCGAAATTTTTTCAAAGTCTTTTAGTTCTTAATGAGTTTAGTTACTACCTGCTCTCGCGAAAACAAAAATTTTCTTGAAATTTTCGGCAAAAGCAGAGAGGAGAGGTCTCTTTTTCCTTCCTTTTCAAAAAAAGACGACAGCTAAATTTTTTCGCATAACCTGCCCGCTTGATTGAGATTTTCTCATCAAGTCAAAAAAAAGTATTTTTGAAAAACTTGTTCTGGGAGCCATTACACGGGTTGGCGAGACGTCAAAAAAATTTTGGCGCGAAAATTCAAATCTCAAGTACACAGCCAAAGGCGATCGAACGAACAGGTTATTGACGTTGGATACTCAGTGTAGTTGTGACGTCATTTTATCCAGAGCGCTTTTGTAAATTCAGAAACTTTGACGCCTCGCTATTACTATCCTTTTTCAAAAGACCTTTTTATCTTCATCCAAAAGTCGAAGTTCTCTAGATTTCAGCCTGGTTGGATGAATTCGGTTGTGTTGCGACGCGCGTTTGAACGCAACAAATCACTCGGTCCTGTAAGGGCCTCTTTGTCTCTCCGAGAAGAAAGAACCCCACGGCTCCGCCCCGACCTTTCCGCGCGCACAGAACATTTGAAACTTTGGCGCCAACATCGGTTCGTCCGCCCCCCCAAAGACTCATTCTCTCTTGCATCGGAATGATTTCGGATTCGTCTGGCTTATTTCAGAGTCAACGGATCACTTGAGGTGAGTTCCCTTTCCCACCCAAAAAAGGACAATGTCGAACTCTTTGGTTGTTCAAAGTGGTATGTCGGTTCCATGGACAGACCTCTTTACGACCGAAGGCATCGACCATTCCTCTTTTCCTTCCTTTTTATAGTGGCCATTAAGCTCACCTCTATAGTGGCCACTTTAGTAGTTCTTCATCCAGTATTCCTTCCAAAAACTCTGATAATTAAAAAAAAAACAGAATGGACCAGTTATGTTGATCCATTGACCCCTAAAGCGGCCACTAAAAATTTTAGTGGTCTAGTAGTAGCACTCAGACCGCTAAAGCTGCCACTAATTTTTAACCCCTTAAGTGACCACTAAAACGTCAAAACCCTATAGTGGTCACTAAATTTTTAGTTGTCTAGTAGTAGCACTCAGACCGCTAAAGTTGCCACTAATTTTTAACCCCTTAAGTGACCACTAAAACGTCAAAACCCTATAGTGGCCACTAAATTTTTAGTGGTTTAGTAGTAGCACTTAGACCGCTAAATTTGCCACTAATTTTTAACCCCTTAAGTGACCACTAAAACGTCAAAACCCTATAGTGGCCACTAAATTTTTAGTGGTCTAGTAGTAGCACTTAGACCGCTAAAGTTGCCACTAATTTTTAACCCCTTAAGTGACCACTAAAACTTCTAAACCCTATAGTGGCCACTAAAACTTCTAAACCCTATAGTGGCCACTAAAAACTTTCCCAGTGCTCTGAGAATTCTTCGCCAGGATGTGCCCAATCTTGCACGCCTCATAAAATCGACCCTTTTTGAAAGTTTCCCTGACAGGGGAGGTCATTTTACTTTACGGCTGGGAATTCCCTGAAAATTGGCCAAAACACTTTTTTATGTACCAGACGAAGATCCTGAAAGTCTCAACCTGCCTAAATTCCTAGTTTTCGAGGAGGGTCTAAAATCTCAAAACAACCTATTTTTATGGATTTTGAGGCATTTCTTTAAGGCGTCTTTTCCCAAAAAGGAGAAAGCAGGTTGGAAAATCTAGAACCTTTTTCTGGTACATCAAGGATTGTTCTAGCCAATTTGCAGGAAAATCCCAAAAATGACCTCCCTTGTAAGTGTACTCAAAGTGGACAACTTTTATCATCTTTATCTAGAAAACACAGATAAAACAGTTGAGCAAGCATTGAAAAGCAGCAAAAAAAACAAGCGCGGTATCAAAAATTGGTAAGTCTAGAACAAAAAACAATGAATTGAAACATCAGCAGTCTCTAATAATTCAAAAAGGCACGTATTAAACAATTTAATGATAAACCGAAAGACAGTGGACGAAGGCTGTACGAGCGAATTGCGAGTCTTCCATCTTTTTCAAATAAAGTTCATACAGTAATTTGATTTTCAATTTTTGTTTTTGTCCGTACTTAGGATTTTTGGAGTGGTCCTATAGGGGTTCGGGAAAAAAAACCCTTATAGGGATCGAAAAAGTGGTCCCTATAGGGTTAAAATCAAGGTGGTCCCTATAGGGGTCCAGGGTACGACATTTTAGCCTCTAAGGCTTAAGTGGCCCCTATTGGGGTCGTTTAATTATATTTAAATAAAGTCATTTTTTTCGTTTTTTTGCATGGAAATGCTTCTTCGGCTAGCATGTCCCATATAGGGGACGCTAACTATAACCCTATAGGGGGCACTTATTCAAAAAAAAGGTTTAATTTTTTTAGTTTTTCGCATGGTAATGCTTCTTTGACTAGAGTTCGACTAGCATGTCCCCTATAGCGGCCACTAACTAAAAACCCTATGGGGACAACTTTTGCAAGCTTTAGTGGTCCCTATAGGGGTCGGTAAAGTGGTCACATCCTCCAAGGGCCCCTATAGGGACCACTCTGAAGTTCCTAAGTGAAATTTGAGAAAAAATTTAACCTAAAATGCGTTTGGAAACCCGAGGGAACGACTCACAGTTCGCTCTCGACTAGTCACCTGTTGGGCGGCAGCCGGACTGGCACCGCGATTGAGACTTGGCTGATGGGCTCGCCGCACTTACCGTTGGCCGCCGTCCTTCGTTCGCGGATCATGGCGCGAAGGCGTCGTCGCTTCCGCAACTGATCGCAACACACAAAAACCAGCATCGCCACTACGATTCCGGCAAATCCGACGCCAGCAGCCGTCGCGATTTCCCGCGAGTAACCTGCAGTTGACTAAATGAAGAAAAAAAAAAGAAAATGCACTTCTTATACATACGTAGGAACTCCAAATGGTCCCTACAGGCAACCTTAAAGGCCCTTGGAGGGACCCCTCTAGGGACTACTTTACCAACCCCTATAGGGGCTATTAAAGCTTGAAAAAGTGCTATAATAGTTCTAGTTAGTGGCCCCTATAGAGGCTAATCGATAACTTGTTATGCGAAGGAGCATTTCCACCCCTGTAGAAGTTTTTTTCCTCCCTAACCCCTATAGGGACCGCTCTGGAAGTCCTATGTACTATTTCCAGTCCTGACAACAAAAAGTTCAGTAGTTGCACTGATAACGAAAAGAATTGCGAAACAGTTTTTTTTAAAAATAGTTTTCTTAAATTTTGAACATGAACTTATAAATTGCAGAGTGGTCCCTATCGGGTTCAAGGGAAAAACAGCCCTTATAGCGGCCGAAAATTAGGGTCTGGCCTCTTAGCTTCTCAAGCCTTAGTGATCCCTGTAGGGGTCTTCAAATTTCATTTTAAAAACGCTTATTTATTGAGTTTTTCGCCTGGAAATGCTTCTTCGCTTAGAGTTTATAACAATTATCGACTAGCATGTCCCCTATAGGGACCCCTTTAGCAAGAGTAAGTGGCCCCTAGAAGGGTGGGTAAAGCGGTCCCTCCTAGGGCCCCTAAGCTCGCTCCTATAGGGACCACTCTGGAGATCATAAGAAAACGTTCAATTTTTTGATTGCGTAAATGAGCACAGAGATGGTCAAATTCAAGACAGAAAAGGTTGAAAAACGGACAATGCTGCTCGTCGGAGAAATCCCCCTCGACGCAGTTGTGGACGCCGTCGCAGACCAACGAGCTGTGGATGCAAAGACGGGATCTCGACGCACAGATTCCGTGACCCTAGCAGACCTTATTATGAAGTTGGAATGAAAACGGGGAAAGTACCTGTTCGACGCAGACCTGGCCCCCGTGGCAGACGAACTGTTCCTTGCAAGTCTGCAGCTCTTCCGACGCCGCAGATTCGTCCAAGTTGATGACTGGCGTCTGGTCTCCAATCAGCCCTTCAACGGCCGTCCAAACTATCTGAAAAACTTTTTTTCATCACAAAAAGATAGTAATTCAAAAGAGTGATCCCTATAGGAGTCATGGGAAAATAAAAAAGAGCCCCTATAGGGCCGAAAAAAAGGTTCCTATAGGTGCAAAAACAAGGTAGTCCCTTCAGGGGTTTAGGGTCAGATTTAAGTAGCTCCTATAGGGGATAGAGGGTAAAAGCTTAAGTGGCTCCTATAGGGGTTAGAAGAAAAACAGCCCCTCAAGGAGCCGAGAAAGTGGTGTCTATAGGGGTTTAGGGTCTGACCCCCCCCTTAAAGCTCAAGTGGTCCCTAGAGGGGTCTCTCAAATTTATTCAAACAAGATTATTTGATTAGTTTTTCGCACGGAAATGCTTCTACTAACAATTATCGACTAGCATTCCCTATAAGGGCCACTAACTAAAATTACTATAAAGACCACTTTTAAAAGCTGAAGTAGCATTTTCACCATAATTTTATGAATCAGCATTTTCACAACAACTTCATAAAGCTACAAAAAAAGGACAGAAATAATGAAAATTGACAAACTTTGAATCCAATCCGCTCGTCAGACATCATCATTGACTTTGCAGGCCGATCTCGAGTTACCATTCTGAAAAACCTTTTTTTTTAAAACAATCTCGTTAAAATGAGAAAGAAATTAATGAACAGGAGAAAAAAAAATATTTAGACATCATAGTTAACGTTAAGTAAAAAGGCAGTAAAAAGGAAACCCTTTGCGCCTGTAACAGACTCTCAAAGGGCACGTAAAGGGTCCTTCCAATTTCGCCTATAATAAGACGGCCTCCACTGGCGGTCTTTAAAGGCAAGTGAATGCAAGTGTGCCATCAAAATAGTTCCCATTTTGCTGCCTTTTCGCCATTTCATCGGCTCTTATGCACCATTTTTGCTGCCTCTCTCTTTTCCACCAATTATTGAGCTTTTAAAGCTCTAGAAAAAAAATGGAAAGCTCGATAAAGGAACTCGTTCTGCTGCCTTTTTCGAATTTCTCCCTTTAGCTGTCATTATCCACCCATCTGACTTTTCCCGAGTGGTTTGATCTTTTGAAACTCGACTCTTCGAATGAAACACCTCCGACAGGGAAAAAGCAAAAAGTCCCACGGTTGCACACGACACGAGGCGATGCAAATGAAGACGTCACGGCCGAGGGCAGCGCCTCACTAAATTGCATTAAACGTGCGGCTGTGCGTTTGGGGAGGCTCGCGTTTCCGCTTATGCTCGCTCGGTTAAGTATTTCTGCCGCTCTTATCTCATTAGCCTCGTCTTTCTGGTGTCTCTCAAAACATCTTCCGCCTCGGGGGATTCATCCGACCTTGTGTACAGTCAATACGAACGCTTTCATCCGTTCTTTGTTTCAGAAGGAGATTGTTCATTTCTCAATGTCTACTTTCAACTAGCAGGCTCATGGAAGCAGCTGAGCAAAAATGGGAAAAATTACTTCAAAGATCATTAATCAAAGCTTAAAAAAGAGAATAAGAATCAACATAGTTAAAAAACTTCAGTAAAAATGATCAAGCACAGGGGCGCGTAGCTCAAACCCATCGTTTCGGATCACTAGGGGATTCCAGAGGGTCCCTATAGGGGTCAGAGAGAAAAACAGCCCCCAATGAAGAAGTGATCCCTATAGGGGTAAAACTAGGATGGTATAGGGGTTGGTGAAGTGGTACCTAGGGGGGACCCTCAGAGGGCCCCTGAGGTTGCCCCTATAGGGACCACTGTGGAGATCCTAAGCTTGTAATACCTTTGAGACCCCTGATTACCAGTTTAGAAGAAAAAAAATAGAGATTGTTTAAATTCAATTTTTGATGTTTTTTTAATCAAGAATTTGAAGTTCTTAAAAATTGGCCTCTAAGTCTTAGATCTTTAAGATCCCCCCCTCACAAAGTACTAGGCTCTTTGGAGTGAAAAAAAAATCAGAATTCAGAAAGGAAATTAAAATCGTGAAAATCCAAGAACTTTGTTTCAAAAAAAAGGGTCGATAAAAAGCTTCAGAAAGATAATTTCTGAAAATCGAGGCAGTTGAAAAAGGAAAGAAAACGATTATTCAATTACACAGGAAACCAAAAAACCAACCGTATAAGTATCCGATTTGCGCTTGAAAGGTAGCTTTTCATTCCCTCTTCCGAGTAATATAACTGGCTGCCGCAAAATCGAGCTTCCGACTCGCCTGCATCCTGAGAACAACTACTTGTTTCTTTTTGAGTTTCCAAGGAACCAACCCTCCTCTCGATTTGTTCGTGTTTGTACCCGTCGGTGATGGTGAGAGAAGCGCGTTCGCATTCGGCTGAAACCCATTGTTCAACTTCGAGCCGTGGGGACAATGGCAAGAAAAGGGATTTGAGAAGAACTTGGCAAACTTGAGAAGGAAATCTTTGCCGTTGTTCGTAGGAATTTTAGAGTACGCCTATAGGGGTTAGAGGGACAAACAGCCCTGAAAGGGCCAAAAAGTCGTCCCTAGAGGGGTAAAATCAAGGTGGTCCCTATAGGGATCGGTAATATGGTCGCTAGAGAGGACCCTCCAAGGGCTCCTAAGGTTGCCCCTATAGGGACCACTTCGGAGTTCCGCCGTACTGAGAACTGAAGGAAGGGAAAACCTGACCGATGGTTGGAGCCAGGTGGAGATGAGCGATGCGGATGTAAATTCTTTGTCGGGCCTCGACTCTGATCAGCCAGTTGCACGAACTGTTGGCCGGATACGTCGTGGGGTAGCCCGGCGACACGATCACCCCTGAAGTGTATACTTTCAATCGAGTTCGACACAATTCGCTTCCTCTAGGATTTTTAGAGTGGTCCCCATAGGGATTAGAGAGAAAAACAGCCCTATAGGGGTCGAAAAAGTGGTCCCTATAAAGGTAATACTAAGGTGGTCTCTTCAGGGGTTTAAGGTCTGACTACTTAGCTCCTAAATCTCAATTGGACCCTACCTTATGATGTCTACAAAAATCAATAGAATCGTGAGTAAAAACTTTCAAGAATTTTTGCCAAATTTTATTACTTGAAAGAAATTTACAAAAATTATTTGTTTCGCGTTACATTCAGGATCCAAGTGCATTCAAGGTGCAAAGTAGATATTTTCAAAACATTTTAACAGTTTATTCTGTATTCCACAAGAAGTTCAATGTGAGCAGGTCTGCTCTTCAAAAGAAAAAAAAGACTATTCGGTTGCTTCCGGAATATCTGAACGTATTTTTTCCTTACCCCTCAGCTAGAAAAAAAAACGAGGAAAGATTCTTGCAAATTTTGTAAATATTTGTAAAAATGGGCTTAATCAAACTCAAAGCCGGAAAATGCTCGAAAAACAAAATTTCTGTCTACGAATTGCTAGTACATTTTACTAAAAGCTGATCCCTGAATCTTCTGAAATTTTGGCCATAAACTAAACTGTTGAAGCGAAATGTATCATATTGAGAGTGAAAAGGAGAGTTTATTCAAAAATCAAACCTGAAAGTTGGCCGGGTTCCGTATGACCACCACATCCGGAAAACTGCTCATCGACGAAAGATTCAGGTTCACGAATGGCAGCTTAAAAAAAATGAGAAACTTTTGATTTAGACATTGACCTTGTTACTGAACTTTAAAACAATAAAAATGAGAGAGTTTACCTTCAGAAAGCATGCGGTACTGTATTCGGAATCCTTTGTGAGCGGTTGAGGCCGATGTGCTCACAAACTGGACCTACAAGCGGAAAAAGACACAATTGAGAGAAATTGAAACAAAGAAACCTGGAGCCAGGACTGCATCGTGTAGATCGGCAGTGGAAGCGTGCTCCCACACAGTCTCTCTCCCACGTGATGTCTTCCTGTTATCGTAAATGGTAGTAAATAGGAGGAAATTCAGGGTTATTATTTTGAGGATTGAAATAGAATATTAGTTCTAAAAGGAATTAGTACTCTCCATTTGAGTGCGAGATTTGATTTTTGTTTCTTTTCAAAATAATAATACTGTAGAATTGTATTTCGGCAATCCCTGGATAAATAAAGCTATAAAAAAACTTGATTCTAATAAAAAAATTTTTTTATGATTTATTTTTTTAATTGATTTTTTAAAAAAATCAATTTCGCTTTTTGCGCGTCGCTACTTGTGTATCGTGTGCACTGCGTACAAAACACTTCATTTTCCGCCGCTGTCCGAATTTATATTTTTTGATACTTTCTTCTTTTAAACATGCAGTCTTTAAGAGTCTGAGCACAGATTTTTTTCGAAAAGAACAGACTACCTTGGCGGTCGACGACGACGACAATTAGGTAGGCGTCGAGACACTGACCACTGTGCGGATTCTTCTCGGCGATGTCGAAAGACACGAAAGCGAGCTGCAGGACGTTGGATGGCGCCGTCGTCAGATTGAAGACACAGTCGAGGCCTCCCGAGTACGTCGAAGGATACCCTGGCGACTCGATGAAGCCTAAAAACAACATCTTGATCGAAAGTTTTTGTCTTCTCAAAAAAAGGTGATTAGCTATAGGTTTCGGAGCGCAGAATTCCAATTGAAACTTTAAAGCGCTTTCCGTGAAAATTTGAAATAAAAAAATACTTCCCCAGCAAATTTTTTTGGAGTTAATGAGGTAGTCTTTATTGAAAAAGAAACTTTGAGAAATTTTTTTCGCATACTGGATAAAAAAAAAAGAAAACTAGAAAGTCGAGTAAAAGCCAGCCTTCTAGGAAAAAAAAGATTTTTTTCTTTTGAAGGAGCTCGGGTCGGGATGGTGGATAATGGCCGCTGAAAGGTTCGAAAAAGGCCGCAGAAAGGCAACAAAAAGGGTCCCTTTGTCGAGCCTTTCATTTTTTCCAGGATTTTTAAGGCTCAAGAAATGGTGGAAAAGAGGAGAGGCATCAAAAATGGTACAAAAAGGCAGCGAAAAAGGAACATTTCTATAGAGCCTTTTACCCCCTTTCCGACTTTAGCTATGAACGGAATAGAAAAGCTGAAACCTGTCGTAGGAGTGGAGGAGTGTATGTGGCGGACGGGACAGAAAGAGGCCATCGAGGCGACGGCGAACAGCGCCAGAAGGGCGACGGCCGCCATCAACGCAGCCGTTCCGTCAAGCCGTCACGTCCCATTGCATCTGCCTTATTTTGTCTTCCGGTACTTCGTAATCGCGATTGATGGCCAGTGTGACAACGAAAGCCAGGGGTTTAGCAGTCTATCAGTCAGAGGAGCTATTTTCTCGAGTTGCCTTCTTTTTTCAGAGTATAGTCCATTTTTCGCAACTTAAAAGGGCTTCTCTGCGCCCTCCTTATCTCTCAACGCCGCTCTCATGTTTACGTGTTATTTACATGTTTCTCTGACCTCGCCGGTGAGGGAACAGAGAGACGCAGACGCGCGAAAACTGTCAAGTCGCGGCGGACGAACTATGACTATTTTTCGATCAGAAATTTCGAGTATAGTCAATGTTTCCCGACTCGAGAGGCGAGGTAGGCGGGGCAGGGGGCGGGACGCGTAGCGTGTGCGTTCGCGGTTTTTGGCACGTGTTCAATTCAGCCGCCATCTACTCCTTTAAAAGCCAGTTTTTTGCTTTTTTCATTCCTTTTTCAATTATTTATTGATTATGTTCATGTGTGCATCAAAAATAGTAGAAAACATTGAAAAAGAGCGATTGCCGAGCTTTTTAAATAGTCGGCGACATTTGAATTGAACTCGTGCCAAGAACCGCGAACGCACACGCTACGCGTCCCGCCTCCTTCGCCTTTCAAGTCGGGAAACATTGACTAAATAAACTTGAATTTCTCTGGAACGTCAACGTCGTCTTCATAATTGTGAAAATAAAAAGAAGACCTTTCAGAATAAAAACATGGAGACTTGAGAAACGAATAAATAAACGACGAAAGTAGAAACGAATCAAAGTGCCAAAGTTCAACAGGTTTTGCGAGTTATAAACGAGTTGCACATGGGTTGTCAACACTCAAAACGTCGAGACGAGGCAGTCCGGAGGAAGAGAGGCGCCGTAGGCGGAGCCTCTGATGAAGACGAAGAAGAAGAAGAAGAAGAAGAAGCTTTGGGCCTCGGCGAAAATTGAAATTCGCGCATCTCTCTCCGTCTTCGTTCGTTTGAGAATTGCAGAGGTCCGGCCGCCCAAGTGCTTCGGCGGCCAAACGGAGGCAAATGAGCGGCGAAACCCCCTGGCTCTAATTATTTGAACGTCTTCGGCAAAAACACGCCGTTTTCGCTTTCAAGGTAATTGTTTGAGAGCCCATTTTTTCCCAATTTTTTCCAGAACCAACATCACAAAGTCCTGGCTTCATGCTTCCGAATGCAGAAACTTGAACGGAATGAGTAAAAAAAGTTTTTAAAAGTAACCAATAGATAACAATTTCAATAACAACAAAAAGAAAATCAACAACATGGGCAGAGTACCCGAACAAGTCCAATAAGGCAATAAATGAATAACAAAGGGCAGATTTAAAAAAGAAAAAAAAATTATTCTCGTGAGGTAAGAAAAGAAAGCCTGAAAATTGATTTCGCAAAAAAAAGTTCAAAGGCCGGAAATTTCCAAAAGATTCACTACTCGTACAAAGTCGGAATGGTGAATAAAGGCCGCTAAGAGGAAGAGGCTCAAAAAAGGCCGCAGAAAGGCAGCTAAAAAAATTTCACCATAAAACGAACGTTTCTATGAAACCTTTCCCACCCTTTCCGACTTTGTTTATGTAAGAAATCTCAAAAACTTTCTGTTTAACAGTATTCAGAGGTGCCTATCAGACTCGTGACAAAACTTGCTCAAAAGCAGAGAGAAAACTGAGAAAGGCGTCAAAAACAAGAATTGTACTCTGAAGAGCGTCGCGAAATGCAAAGCTTGGAATTGAGAATAGAGTCAATGAGCAATTGTAGCTACAGGTATTTCGGGGCAAGTCTATTGCATTCCGAACCGTCGGAGCTTGAAAGCGTCAACTTTTGGCTGCTCGTCTGGCCGCACCTCGAGCAGAACGACACGGAAACCTGGATGCTCATTGGCGTTTTTGTCTTCCATCGTCGAAATGCGCCGTGTTCTGGGTCGGTTGGGAGTCGACGGAACGCCGCCATTGGTGAGGGACTGGTTGGAAGGAATTTGCGAAGAAGAGGCAGGAAGTTGGCGGACAGCCACCATGTAGGCAGGAGCCTCCTTCTCGTAGTCTTCGATAGCTCCGCCTTTTTCGTTGAAACAAGACTTTTTTTGCTGAAAATTTCCTTGAAAATTGTTTCGTTTTTGCTTGGTACCGTATCTATAATCGAATATGAAGCATTTGCCGTGGACAGAACGAATCGATGGTCATCGATGGGCAAAATGGCGATCGGTAGAGACGGCGTCGTTTTGCTGAACGAGTTCAAGTGCAAAGCCTTTGCAGAGGCACTGTGCAGGACTGAGCCGTTGGCTAGTGATACCTGAAAAAATGTCGAGACTTTGAAAATCTTGGGGTTACAGGACTCACCTCGTGGAAGACCTTTTTATCCTCACAATTGTCAACAATGGCTTCTTGGGTCGAGAGAACAAATGCCGATGAAGAGTTGCAGAGCACGTCGATGGGCAGGTCGACACGAACAACCCGTGATTCTGCTGCAAAAGTCCAAAGTTGTAGGTGAACCAACCAATCAGGAAAAAAAGGGGTATATGTCAAAAGACCTGTGAAAATCGAGCTAACCATGATTCCGAAGTGACACTCCTGAATGAGACCAAGTTTACAAGATGTTCTATTTCACACTGATTCCAAATCTGGTCTCAAAAAGTGCCGAGATCTGTGAAAAAAGTTATTCGTTCTCAAAAGTCGAAAATTTCAGCGCCTCCGATTGAGCTCTTTTTTGGAGCATATATAGATCTTGTCTTTTTGATAACATGAAAAAAATTAATTCTTTCCAAGAAACTTTTAAGCCTAGATATGATTTTTCAAAGCTCAACCAAACATTAGGGAAAGCGAGCGCGGTGACACTGAAATTTTCGACTTTTGAGGGTCCGTAACTTTTTTCACAAATCTCTCCGTCAGTTTTTGAGACCAGATTTGGAATCAGTGTGAAATGCTACATCTAGTAAACTTGGTCTCATTCAGAGGTCCCAGTGAGATCGGAGACTATTCCCTTGTAAAAAAAAAAGTGAGCTGAAGAAAAATAATGTTTTTTTCGCCGCTCGTTTCTCTCAGCTGATTTTTCGCTGGCTCTTTCATCTCAAAAAGTGAAACGCCTTGATTTTCCCAGCTCTTTTGAAAGATACCCAAAAAAAACCCACCTTTCTCTAGGTTCACCACAAAAACTTGAGCTCGTGAAGTCATGACTATGGCGTGCTTTTCACACTCTGATACGCTGAGCTGGGTCGCGATGCCGCATCCAGCTACAGTAAAAACTTTAATTTGAAACCGGCGATTAGAAACAGACTTTGCTCGAGAAAAACTCTAGACGCGTCGTCGTCTTGAAGAGAGAATCTCAGGATTTGGAAGTCTCCTGTGGACAAAAAACACGAGTTTTGCGATATCTAAAATTCTGGAAAATTCACAACAGCCCATGAGGAAAGCAGACATGAATGGCTGTGGAAGGCGGCGCTGTCCATTTCAACTTTTGAATCTTCTTGGAACTGACGTCGACCGCGTAAGCAGTGGTTTCATGAGACGTGGAAATGGCTAGGAACTTTCCGTCCTTCGAGACCGCCCTGATAAGTCACGACCGGTATTCGATGTGTCAGCAGAACAAACCAAGCTTGGATGACACTCTTTTCAGGCGAGAAGATGCGAGCGAAGTGTATTTGTTTGTACTTGAGAACGATGGATCCGTTCTGACCGTCTTCTTCTCCGTTCTGGTCGTAATAGAGGTCGATCCACGAATCGCCAGCCGACGCTGTGATTTCACCGACCATCCTAACGTTTCTCTGAGAGCGGAGATGTTCAAAAGCCTCATAAGCTAAATTGATCACCTGCAACTGCTTGGCCAAAGGGCGACAGCCGTCTTTTCCTACGAAAACATCAAAATCTTCACCCGATGCGTAGACCTTTACATAAACATTGCGGTTTGAAAATGAAAAGTTTCTGACCCTGTCATTATAACTGGCCAGACAGCGAACATCACGTACAGGTCCCGTGCGCCGTTTCACGACACGAAACTCGCCTGGCGCCTGAAAAAGGAGCCGTTGCTGAGACGCACTCAATTCCCACCGTTTGGCTGACTACAGTAATCCTGGGATCGACACCCGCAACGTTAAGAAGGCCGTCGTTTATGCACATCGAAAGAACGTGGCTTTGCAAACAAGATATTATCTGAAATTGTCTGATTTTTTCTTCTTTCGGACTCATAAAAGCTTGGGAAGACTAAGGCCATCTTTCATCTTTTTTTTTTCAAGCAGGATGAGACGTTCAAACTATTGGCCACTATAGAGGCTCGCCAAGGACTACTTGGAGAAGGCACTAAAGTGGCCACTAAACACACCTTTACAGTGGCCAATATATTCCGTTTTAGTGGCCACTATAAAGGTTCCCTATTTAGTGGCCACTTCAGTAGTTTTTCATCCAGTAACTCTGATAATTAAAAAAAAACAGATTGGACCAGTTATGTTGATCCATTGGCCCCTAAAGTGGCCACTAAAATTTTTAGCTCTTAGAACTCTATAGTGACCACTAAATTTTAACCTATTAAGTGGCCACTAATTTGACTACTATAGCGGCCACTAAAAATGTTCCCAAAATTGCAACGGTTTGACTGACTTCCTTGAATGAGATTTTCCCGTTTCAAAGCACCCAATTACCTGTATAAGAGCTGCATTCTGGGGATTCCATAGGGAGACGTTTCCACAAGAGTCTCCACAAGCGAGCAAGTTTTCCTTCCAGAACAAGACCGACCAGGCGATTGTCGGATCTCGCCGTGTCTTGGAAAATGCATTAGTCACAAATCTGCGGCATCCATTCTCACCTGCCGATCTAACTTCAAAGTATGTTTAATCGCTCGGTCACTAATGATAACGACACCGTCGATGACGCCAACTGCCGTCTGAAGGAAAAATGCGCAAAAATGGATATTCCATTTCAGAAAGTACCAAATCGCCAGAGCTGGCTACACAGAAGAGCCTAGAATCGACTCCGGTGGGAACAGAGTACAGAATGACGCGAGAAGTGGCGTCGAAGAAGAAGACGGCCGATGAATGAGACGCGAGAGCGACGATGTAGTGCGAAGACTCGCCTTCTGAAGTCGTCGGCCGACGGTAGATACAGGAACTCCAGATGGTCGACGACGCCACTTGGCATCTCTTCAAGAGATTCGTTCAGAAAATGGATCAAACAAAACACTTTTGATCAGAAAAGATACGAAAAACTTTGCTCATAACTTTGTCGTGAAGATTTCAATCTTCTTGAAAGATCCTGAAGCTTCGGGTTTTTTTCTGTGAACTCAAACTTCTTCAATGAGTTAAAAAAAAAGTCATTCCAACTCCAGAAAGTTTCAAATCCATATAAGAAAGTTTTGACTGAAACCCCGTTTTTTCGAATCTTTTCTGACGGTACTGTAACTGTTTTTTTGAGCTGAATCATTGCTTCTCAAAAAATTAAACTAAAGATGATTATGTTGTGAACCTGTGGACGCTCGGCCGAGTGCGGATCGATCATACAAACTGAACCATTTGCATGTGACGTCATCAACTCAGAACCGACAAAAATTGCGTGTTCGATAGATCCATTCTCTGGACATACAACCTGCAATTTCCGAAATAAATGAAATGGAGTTTTCTGTTAAATCGCTGCAAACAGAGCCTAGATGAAAATCCTTTGTTGATGCTACTTGGGTACTCCAGAGTGGTTCCTATAGGGGAAATCGAATCAGTCCTCTCTAGAGACCCCTTTACAAATCCCTATAGGGTACACTAATGCTCGCATAAGGGGTCACTATAGGGAACATGCTAATCGATAATTTTTATGAACTTAATGCGAAGAAGCATTCTCATGCGAAAAATTAAATAAATAAGCGTTTTTAAAATGAAATCGGAAGACGCCTATAGGGACCACTTGAGATTCACGGGCTAAGGGGTCTGACCCTAAACCCCTATTGGGACCACTCTAAAATTCTTTTTTTGCGGGAACGAGTTTTTTTGTCCTCAACTCAGTACTAAAAAAATTTAAAAATTTCTAATTTTTCAAAAGTTACGATTAGTGGCAACTATGAAAAAAATTCTTCTATACTTTTTAGAGAGAATTTCAGAATAAAAAAACGTCCGGAAATTCCAAAAACTAGTAGTTATACACATTTTCGACAAAGAAAAACCATCATCTTTCAGAATCAAAAAGAAAGTTTTGGAAAAAAAACTGACCCTTTCGAGAACGGAGATCCAGCCAGTGAGAACGTTGTAGAACTCGACAAAGTCATGAGATTTCGGCACTCTGAAAGAGGAAAGATCAGTATTCTGGACACGGGAAACCGACCTCGTTTTCCTGATGACAGCAAGTTTTCCGGTGGCCGCGTCGATGGCGATCACTCGCGCCGTCCTGGCCGTGGTCGGACACAGGACCTGGGCGCTTTCCACCACCACATTCATGGTCCTTTCGACCCTGCTTTCGGAATTTCCACACAATTTCAACACCTTTCAACCATGTATTACGCGAAAAAGTCACGACTCGAACAAAAATGTACAAAATGGCGTGAGAAAATTTATTGTCATACGAAGGATCCAATCGGATAATAGCAGGATGAGACCTCCACCATAAGTAAAAAATAAACCGTGCATAGTGTATAAATGGAGGATCGTGCAAATGACGTGCAAAGTTCTAACAAAGTTCATCAGCGTAAAGTTGTACAAATTAGAGTAATTAGAATCCAAAGGCAGTAGTATTCGCAATGTTTAAGTGAATGAAAATGATTTTATAGCGTTTTCAATGACCAATCGGAACAAGCCTCAAAATATTAAAAATTTGTGAACTGCCTGGGAAAGTTTTTAGTGGCCACTATAGTAGTCAAATTAGTGGCCACTTATGGGGTTGAAAATTAGTGGCCACTATAGAGGTCTAAGTACTACTACTAGACCACTAAAAATTTTAGTGGCCACTTTAGGGGTCAATGGATCAACATAACTGGTCCAATCTGTTTTTTTTTTAAATATCAGAGTTACTGGATGAAAAACTACTGAAGTGGCCACTAAATAGACAACCTCTATAGTGGTCACTTTAGAGTCCTCTCCAAGTAGTCCTTGGCGAGCCTCTATAGAAGCCTCAATAAAAATTTTCCCAGAACGACAGAAAAAATTCTGTTGCCTTCACAACTCAAATTTGAGACGTGTTTCGTTTTGACATTGAGCAAGAGCATTTACGGTGCACAAAAATGAGTTTGATCAGCTTGAAATTTGAACTCAAACTAATTTTTGGACTGTAAACTATCTTGAAAGCGGCTTCAGGATTGAAAAAGATCAAAAAATCATGAGAAATTTCAAAGGTCCGTGTCGAACCAATTGTTGTTGTTGTGAGACAAGGCGGCGGTGATGGATTCTCGATGGCCGCCGTCCGACGTCGGGTACATCTCGGCGAAAAGTTCGCGTTCCATTCCATCGCGTTGCCAGTCATTTCCACTGTCGTAGTCATACGCCTAACAAAACATTGGCTTCAAGGCGAAACCCCAGAAACGAACCCTTGTCGACGCATTTGAATAGTCCCCGTCGTGCTCCAGATTTTTGAGGACACCATTTGCATAGGTGGCCACAGCTTTGTGTTGAGTGCCCCTGGACTCCATCAGAAGTGTTGTTGCGCCTGAAAAGAAGAGACTGAAAGGTCTTTGGAAGATGTCGAACCAGCTTCTTCGACGGCCCGTGCTCCGTCCGGACGCTTGCTCAACTGATAGAGCAGACCGAGGAGTTCCCTCTCAAGAAGCTCGTCCTGGTTTGAGACGACCTGTTTGATAAATTTAGTTTAGCGAAAAAGTTTGAAGGTTCATTTACATCTGGACGGGCAAGAACGTGAACGACAAGGTCGAGGAAAGGCGGCTGCTCTGCATTTCCGGGCTGTCCTCGGTCGTCGCAAAGCACAGAGGCGACTGCTGGGTGGTTCGCCAGTTGGTGGAGAGCCGAAACGGCGCCTAGAGTTATTGAAATAACTGGATGAAGGCCTCGGAAACAGGAAAAAGAGCTAACAAGTCATTTGAAGAGAGAAGTGAGGGTCAAAACCAAGATTTTTTCAATTTCCAGTTTTATTGTGAGCATGAAGGTTTTCATCAAGTTATTTGACGCATAAAATTTGATAATGAGAAGCTTTAGTGGCCCCTATAAGGATAAGTAAAGTGGTCCCTAAAGGGGACCCTCCGAGGGCTCCTAATGTTGCCCCAATAGGGACCACTCTAGTGTCCCTCAGAAAGACTACTTGAGCAGTCTTTTTTATCGACAGAAAAAGTGAAAAAACGACAAAACTTCATGGCGATTTATCATAACTCGAAAAACACAGCGATCGAAGTTTGGAATCCATAAGTTACCTTCGATGACACCCCACATAGGAACGCCGTCGACTTCGATGCTTGGATTCTCTTCGATGGCGGTCACGGCTCGTCGCAGAATATCGACGGTCAAGGAGACCACGGAATCGCCGTGCTCAGTCTCTTCCTGAAACGAAGGCCGTGGAAATTTCGTGTTGATTCGAATGTACTTGAGTGAGTTCCATCAAGTTGGCGGGCAACAGAGCACAGTTGCGAATGACGCCGAGCGCCGCCTTGATGACCGGCGTCCGTAGCGTTGCCAACTGGTCCAAAACAATCGGGAACGCGCGACAAAGTCGCAGTTCATTCTGCGCCTCTTCTGCCAGCGAATGACGGGCGGTGCAGTGCCGCAGAGCACATAGAGCCGGTTCTGTCGCGTCTTCAACGTCGGGGAAACGACGAATCGCGGTCACCAGAGCGTCAATTCCGCCGTGAGAACAAACCTGAAGACTGACATTGAATGAGGGGATTTCTTTGGGAGCGAACAGTTTGCTTGTTTCTCATGTTGTTGCAAGTGAGGTTGCTGAGAATTCCACAAGCGCACGCGGTCATGGCGTCATTGGAAACGCGTATGATTTCGAGCAGTTTGACAACCTGAAAAAGAAAATCGAATAAATTCAGTTGGAGATCCATCAACCAATGGCGTCAAGTTCTCCTCGTTGGTGGCCGCATCGGAGAGATTCCGCATGGCTACCAGGACCGCAGTTTGCGTTCTTTCGTCGGTCGCACGACATAACTCGTTGTACAGAGCCGGCAAACAGCCTACAAACATAATAAATGAGATGTTGATCATTGCGCAGGGCAAACCAAGGCTGATTAACGCCGGCTTGTTGCGGGGACAGACGGAAAGAGATCGGATGCATCTGATCACCGTGTACATCAACTTCCTGTGTTCCGTGTAGGCTCGGAGGATCGTCACGAGGATCTGAGGGCCGCTCAGCGAGAGGAACGCGTCTTTCGACGGCAGGTCGTCTGAAATCAACCCCCTTGGTCTAGAAAGTTACTCCGAGTTCTTAGAAAAACGAGAAAAAAATTCAAACAGCAAGGCTTTGAACCTTGAAAATCCCCACTATTACGAGGCTATGATATCGCTTGAATTACTACCAGCTTAGGAACTCTAGAGTGGTCCCTATAGGGGATTTAGTTAGTGGCCACTAAAGGGGAAATGCTGTTCGATAATTGTTATAAACTCTAAGCGAAGGCATCTTCGTGGGAAAAACTGAATTAAAAGCGTTTTTTGAATGAAGTTGAAAGACCCCTTCAGGGTCCACTTGAGATTTAGGGGCTAAGACTTACCGATGAGCAAAAAATAGAGACTATCGGCAACCTGAGCGAGAAGCTTCGGGTTCGATCTGCAATTAGGAGACAATATTTCGAATGAGCTGCTTTATCACTTGTGCAAGTGTGGAGTGAGAGCCTCGATGGCCTTCAGAGCTCGAGCCTGCGGTTTCGAAGCCTCGACGTGCATCAGAAGGTTTCTCAACGTCGTCACGGCGTAATGAACTACGCTCTGCAATATCTGTTGCGGGTGATTCGGGCGAGACTGGAACCTCATGAGGATCGTGCAACATCCTGATGATTTCCGCGAGTCCGCCGCTTCGGAAAATTAGCATTGGACCGCCGCGGCTCTCCGACATGTGCCACAGTGCTCCGATAGCATTGCGTCGCACATTCACGTTGCTGCTTCTTGAAGGAAAACAAAATAGTTCAAGAAAAATGATAATACTAAACTTTATTTTCCTTCATGGTTTTCTTTATATTTTCGCTGTAAAATACTATCGAAAAAAAAAAACCCCAAAAAAAAAAGAATCTGAGGACGTTGATTTTCGGATATTTTCGCTGAGACTACGCCAAAAACCCACAAAGCATCAGAACGCTTATGAGAAGAAGAAAAACAAAAAAAAGGTGATCCTGAATTCAAATCGACTTTTTTTCTTTTTAATCAGAAAGATGGGATTTTTTTATAAAAAGCAGATCACTTGAACTAATATCACATGATACAACTCTAGCGTCAAACTCAGGAAACCTCGAAGCGGCCAGAAGAGCTTCGATGAGCCGCGCGTTGTTCGCAATCGAGGGATCTTCACGCGACAGCACATAGATGCGGTGAACAGCGCGGGAGACAACAGCCTGAAAGAATTCGTTCAGTAATGGCAAAAAATTGAAATTAACTAGAACAGAGTTTTGAATGACATGACTGATATCAAAAGTCAACAACTTTGACAAGAAGTATACACACCAATTTTGATTTCAAAAAAAACCTCGTCTTGGTCTCCGAGTAGCTCGATGAGGTCGGGAAGCGGGAGACCGGTCATGTCGGCGGAGCCTTCGTAGGTGAGCAGAGTCAAGACGGCGTCTTTCAGTTCGCGCGCCGGCGCTTGCATCTGAATACCTCTGTGGAAATCGGCGTGAAATTCACATCAGGGTTGTTAAAATAAAATGAGACGGTGAAAGATCTGACGGCGGCTGTCGGAGGGGAAAAAAGTGCGAGGGAACCAGTTGGCCGGCGACAAATTCTACCTCATATAACTGTGTTACGAAAGCTTTAGAAACTGTTCCTCGATGAGATAAATTACTAATCGATCTTAAGAAGGAATCCACAGTACCAAACGTTTAAAAAAGTTGAGATTTACATTCGATTTTTTCGAATACCTTTCTGTAGAGTCGTCGTCATAACATCGGAAATGAAAAAAAAAATCAACATGAAAATTTTCTTTTCTTACGTTTTTCTTATTTAAAGATGTTAAATGAACAACTCGGCAAAAATGGTGCAAAAGAGCCGATGAAATGGCGCAAAAAGACAGCAAAAAAAAAAGACAACCTAAAAGGAAAATTTCTATGGAGCCTTTTTACACCCCTTCCGACTTTGCCTATGAAGCTAAGCGCGAATTTTTTTTTCAAAAATCGCAACCGAAACTCGAGAAACACAATTAAATGAAAAACTAGTAATAGAAGACACATATTTAGAGATTTTGAAAAGAAAAAGTAGGGTACCATTTCGACGATGGAACTCCGCGAGGTGGTCGCCGTTGCAGAAGACGTCGGCGGATTCCAGTCGGGGAACATGGCGGCACGGATCCGCGACGCCCTCGATTCGATCCCATCGTAATCGGCTTCTGAAGCGCTATCGATTCCGAAGTGATAGCGGCCGCAATCATATGGAGGACAAACGAAACAAAAAAAAAAACTACAGATATGGATTTCTCTAACCGGTTTGTCATAGTTGTTGGCCGGCGATTCTTCAAAAAAGGATCGAGAAAAACTTTCGAAAACGTCATTTCGAAAGTATGACAGGATAAGATTTAGTCTTTGAAAAATTCTAGAGACCCCGAAAGCCGAAAAAACCAAAACTAACCGACAGTGTTGTAAACGGAAGTTATGAAATCAGTGGTTCCTGGCCGAAGAAACATCGCCTAAAAATCTTTTTCACATCAAAACTTTACATTGGAAAAAAAAGTAAAGAAGGCGAGATGACGCCGGGAAAAAAACTATTTTGAAATTAACAAATTATTTTATACAAAACGCATTGAAAAAATCCATTGCGAAGACTCGAACAAGAAAAAGCACAAAATATGTCGAAAAAGTATGAGATGCGATTTGGAGATCTCTGCGATGATTCGAGATACACGGTTCATGATTGAGAGCGAGATACCCAAAAAAACCAGCGGTAGGCAGATCAGAGAAAAAATGAATAAGAGATGAAAATAATCGACAAAGGATTCCGGTGGATCGATTTTCCATGAACAAAATCCAGATTATTCTAGTCCTAGGCAACAAAAAAAAAGTGAGTAGCAGCCGAATATGAAAAAGATATTTATAGGCAATATTCGAAAAACTGCTTAATCAACAGAAGGACACTTCAATAGCAATTTCAACCACTTCAAGTAACCCACATACAATTGATAAAAATTGGTGAATCAAAAACAGAAAAAACTACCAGAGAGATGTTTTTACAAATGAGGAAATGGAGTTGAACCAACCGCCTCCATTGACGTGATTATGTGCGGCCATTTCGTTGGTGACGACGCAGGACGTCGGATCGCAGAAGGCCTCCTCGTCGAGGTAGTCGGGGAGTGGCGGGGCCGCCTCAAAACTGCGCTCATCCCTCCCAAAAAGGCGCACCCACCTTGTCCAGCCGCTCGCTCGCATACATCTCGAACCGCTCCTCGACGCCGTCGACCTTCACCAACTGCACGATATACTCACAGCCGCAGTTGAACAGCAAATCAGCTATTTCCTTAATTTATTCCTCCTAATCCATAAAAAAGAGCCGTTAGAATTTTTTTTTTCCTTTTTTCACCTTCAAAGAACGCATCAAAAACTTTTTCAGCCATCTAAAACTAACGCTGGAACTCTTCAGACAGTTAAAAAAATTTATTTTACGTCAGATTTCGTACTCTTTCCTTGAATATAATCGCGTGTTCATCGGAGAAACGGAACATATTTCAAAACGAAAAATCGTCAAAGTTGCTCCAAAACATACTAATTCATGTTTTGGATCAATTATTTCGCGCTTCGAAGCATTTTTCGTTTTTTTTTTTTTCCGATTAACACGCCATAAATAGTTAACAGAAAAAAAAAAATAGTATCAAGGATGAGATAAAAGTTGCAAAAGGCAAAAAATTCAAATAAAACTATGTTTCTATCCGCTAACAGTGAGGTTTCCAATTGAAATCAAAATATCTTCAAATTTTCAAAAAAAGGAACCTGCGATTCAACAGTAGGGACAGTTCTAAGAACTGCGCGAGGATGTTTGGTCTCGGTGAAGTAGACGCTGATTACGCCTTTCTTGTTGAGCAAAGCTCGTTCGACGTCGTGTTTCTTGGCCTAACCTCTCTTGAATTTGCAGTCAATGAAAAACTATCACCTCGTCGAACTCGTTCCAATCAAACTCGAAAACCATCTGCTTGGACTTTCGGCCAACGAACTTTCTGTGCAGCGAGCCTCCTCTGTCGATTTCTTTGACTGCGGCAACTAGCGGATCTTCGATTTTTGACTGCTTTCTTAAAATTTGAAAGTTCAACGTCAAAATTGAGCCTTACAAGGAAGGTCATTTTACTTTGTTTCTTGAAAATTGGTCAGAACACTTTGCAAAGTACTGTATGAAGATTCTGAAAGTCTCAAAACACGAATTTTTATTTTTTTGAGTAACGACGCCTCAAAATCTGTTAAAATGAGCTGTTTCAGGGCTCTGAACCCTCATTTCTCAAAAACTGGGAGTTTGCGGCTTTCAGGATCTTCATTAGGTACATCAATGATATCACCTCCCTTGTTAGTGAAAAACAGCCAGTTTGAACAAAATGGAACAAAAAGTCTTGGATCTGATCCTTTACGAGCGAACTGTATTAACAAAAACTTTTCAAAAAAAGGTTCGGTCCTTTTTTTTAATTGAAAGTCGTGTTTAGAATGATAGCAAAGTACAAAAACACTCAGCTTACAAAATATGATTTTTTTTTTCCTCGATTTTGAGTTCCAGTTACTACTGAAAATTCAAGTGAACGTGCCTCGAATCTTCTATAACACGAAGACGACTCGAGATGAGAACGAGGTTGTAGTTGACGCTGGGCGAGGAGATGCGTTCACAGGCTTCGCTTACCGCCGGAAGAAGTTTGGAAGATTCAGAGAGAAGTTGCTCAACGTCTTCCGATCTTTGGGTCAAGAGCAAGAGAATCTCAAAAAACTACTGAGTGTGGAATGTTCAAACTCCAAAACTTTTTTCAATGAAATTTATAAAAAAATTATTTAAAAATCCAAAAATATATGTTCAATGTTTAAATCGAAAATCTAACTTTTCTGATAAAATTGAAAAAGTTAAGGGACGGTGAAAGAAAATCGGAGGAAACTAACCTTGACCACGTATCTAATGACATCTGGATTGTCGTCATTCAGCAAACTATTCAACAAAGAAACAAATACTTTATCCTGGAAACTTCGATCAGTTCCTTTGAACAGTTGAACGGAAAACCTTCAAAACTATAGAACGATGTTCCGGCTTTGAGCATAACTTGTAGTAAGCTCGAAGCGTCGCGACCTTATCCACGTTTTGGACATTATCTGACGGGGACATCTATCTTAATTAAATAGGTTTAGGCTATAAAAAAAGCTCCAATTTTTTAAACTAAAAAGAGCTACTACTTGAACAAAAATAAAAAAATTAGAAAAAGGAAATAATGTGTGAGTAAAGCACTCCACACCCGCCCACATAACTGAGCCGCGCCGGCAAGTGGCGCATGGTTTTACAAAAGGAAAATTTACTTCTGAACTAAAAAAAAATTTGTTTCTAAACTTTCTAAATCAACAGAGATCGACTGAAAAAATTTAGACAGCAAAAAAAAAAAGGTAATGACGAAAAATAGTAGAGATGCAGAAATAAATGTATCTTGGTGATGTGATAAAGTGATAAAGGAGATGCATTTTTTTCCATCGAATTGAACCGAAATTTTATATAGATATATCCTTAGTTTACTGCTTTCTATCAAAAAAATATATAATGAAAATGGATCAGAGAAAACATAAGTTGAAAAACTTCCCAGTACTTTTTTTCTCAAACTAACGGAGAATGAAATTTGAATCTCCAGACAAAATAACACATTTAGAGACAAAGATAATGAAGAAAAAAATTGTTGAATTATAGATTCTAAAATGAACGAATAAGCGAAAAATGTGCTTTTTGTCGTAAAAAGGTGGTATGGAAAAAACACCAGCGAAAATTCAAACGGCGACTTTTCCGACTTTTTCATATCGCTAGGAAACTTTCCGAGGGCCACCTTTCCGACGAATCTTTTTCCGACTTTTTTTCTCGATAAAATCTTTGTTTTTAAATCTTCCTATATAAAGTAGGTAGTTGGTTCATGATAAAATCAGAAAGAAATAAGAAAAAAAAATTTTTATAGATATTTAAAAACCGAAAAACATAAGGGAAAAAAAGCCGGAAAAAGATTCGTCGGAAAGGTCGCCGTTTGAATTTTCGCTGAGGTTTTTTTCATACCACCAAAAAAGGCTTGATATTCGACTTGAAGAGAATTTGACCTTTTGGGCCGAACCGGCCATTTTGCTTGGTCGGGCTTAGAAAAAGGTTGGGTCGGCCCTCGCACAAGCCTGAACACGTCATAAGGAAAAAAAAGATTGATCTCTCCCGCGTAAATCAACCCTATACGAAACTCCAATGAACGATTCAACTGCGTCTGTGGAGCAGCTTTTCCGATTTCAAGAAAACTTCAATTTTTCAATTTTTTAAATCACGTTCTGCCTTTTGCTATTTCTTCTTTTTCTATTTTTGAGATGTTCAAATTTTGAATTCCGAACATATATAAAGCTTTTTTAGAGGTTCATGTGATAACTAATTATATAGCAAGTCCGGAGAACTTGAATGTTTCCTCGAAACCTGGAAGAAAAACTCGTAGTTCTTTTCTCTTTTTTTTCTGTCATCGCGGAAAAAAACAAAACAATTTTTTACATAAATAAAATTTTTACTTTTTAAACCGATACGACTTGAACCTAAAAACATATCTTTAGCGTTCTCAGGTGCCACATGTCTTCTGAGGAGAACTTATTCTGTAAATGGGGTATCGTCATCAAGAGATCGAAGAATTGCGGCGAAGTGAGAAATCGAAATCTTCAAGTTCAGTTTTTTTATCATCAGGTAGAAGTTGCCGTGATCTCAAAATATGAAAAACCAGGAAAAGTGGAGTTTTTTGGTCTTAATCAAAGAGAAATTTCAACAAATTATTCTCCTCACCCAGGAGACACTGTCAGCTACACAGTGAGAAACGGTTTTGTACAGGTTAGATAAATAGTATTCATTCGCTTTGATTATTCATTTCTTTATGACAGGACTTTCGGAAAAAGGAACTATGGTTGCGAGATTGGACTGTTTTTAATGGAAACGAAGTTGCGGTAATTAATTTGCAATTTGGCTTAAGTAGATTTGATTACAGATTCACACTATCATGTTTCTGAAAAATGACCACAGAATTATCAGCAATGGTTGCGAGAATTGTTATATCGTGGAAACTTGTGACTTCGCTGAGGTTTGACGGGGTTAGCCGGAATTTTTCTTAATTCCGCTTTTTTTTGGGTTGAAGTGCCTATTAGGGTTATAAACGAGACGATGGAAAAACGTCACCCACTACAAGCTAAAACGGAGCCGTTTTTCCGAATAGCAGTCCAAAAGTATGTTCCAACAGTCAAAAGTTTTCTCTACTAGTTAGATAATTTTTCAGGTGCGCAGATGGAGCATCTTCACGCTGGCGCTACAGGGATGATTTACCTATTGTTCCGGTTTACCGAAACTTCTGTACTACTAATGTTATTTTTCAATCTTTTTCTATTTGGAAAGTGATTTTATGTGTTAAGAATCCGCCGTTTATCCAGGAGGATCTCGATTATGGGATCATAAACGCCCTTGTCATTTGCAGTAGTTCGCAGGAGCGCCTTCTGTGGACAGAGCATATGGGTATTTTATATTTTTTTCTATTGTTTATGGAAACAGTTGAGTTTGAGTTTTTGTTAGTTATATTTTTTTAAATAAAAAAAACAGTGCTGTTTAGAAAAAAATATTGACTTGGAAAAAAAAAAATTGAAACTTCGCTTTTTCTAATTTTTTTTAAAAATAAATCACTATACATAGTCAAAGTCGGAAAAGGCTCCATGGAAATTTTCCTTTTTAGGGTGAAAAAGGTTCCTTTTTTGCTACCTTTTTGCGCCATGTCATCGGCTCTCATTCACCAATTTTGCTGTCTCTCCTTTTTCCAGCATTCCTTGAGCCTTTGAAGTTCTAAAAAAAAAAATAGAAGGTTCAATAAAGGAACTCACTTTGCCGCCTTCTTGCGACCTTTTTTGAGCTTCTCCCTTTTAACGACCACTATCCACCATGCCGACTTTGCCCGACTATGGAATCTCTACTTTTTTTTTCGTTTTCCTAGCGTTGCCGGCAAAAATAAATTCAGGATGTGCAATATTTCCGTCGACATCCCAGGCGTCTCTTCCAGCAATCGGAACCTCCATGGGGATTCTTCTCCGGTACGCAAGTCCATTTTTCAATTTTCATTTTTCCAATTCAATTTTTCAGAAGAACCTCGCGTTCGGATTCTTTCGGATTCCCTGTCTACTATAAAGTTCCACCCGACGGACTTATCAAAATCACCGAAAAGCCACCTTTCGTCGTGAAAATCGACCATCACGATCAGCGGATCTATGTGGGAGGACGTTTCTTGACGTCACTTGAAGAGATTTCCAGGTGGAGAGCTCTGGCAGAGTCAATCAGTCTTTCGACGCCGCCGAAGACAATATTTTCGTGAAGGGAATCGGGCTGGTCAGGGAGAATGTGAGCAAGTTCGTGATTTGGACATTTTTGTGGTTCCGAGCAGGATAATCGAGCTTTTTGTACACGAGAAATCGAAAAGCATTAAAGTGAAGCCTAAGCCATTTAATTTCTCCAACTAGAGAATGGCCTCTATGGGACTTCCGAATAGGACTAGGCTTCCTAGGTGCAATTTTTCACGCTGATTCCAAGTCTTTTCTCAAAAACTGCCATCGAGGCTTGTGGAAAACCTTTGGGGCTCACGTAAGTTGAAAGTTTCGATGACTCCGATGTAGATCTTGTCTCTATAATCAAGAAAAAACTTAAAACTATTTTCAAAAAAAGCCTAGATATGATCTTTCAAGGTCCGCACTTTTATGATTTATCGTGACCATATAGACAAGATCTATATACCCTCCAAAAATGAGCTCAACCGGAGCTTCCGAACTTCTCGACTTCCAAGATCCCCTAACATTTTTCGCAAGTCTCGTGAACAGTTTTTGAGACCAGACTTGTGAATAGAGACCATTCCCTATTAAGTATAAGATTGGAGATCTCCTCAATAAATATACTTTTTTTTGGCCAGACTTGAAATCCGTGTTCTCACGTCGAATGGTTCATAGTTTTGCGGTTGAAACTGTGCGTCTTTCTGACTTGACTGTTATCGAAAAAAATCTTTTCTGTTAAGGCATGCCACCGTCAAGCGTTGAGCCACTACTCCTTAAAATTGGATGAAATTTATTTAAATTTTCTTAAAAAAGTATCTTGACGGTTTTGCGTCGTTAGAGTGCTTATATAAGAGTCTTACTGGAAGCTTAATGATTTTTACTACCAGAAAAAAATACGAGGAAAACGCAGAGAAAAAAGGGTTTTCAGATACGTTCAACACTTGCGTCTGGGGGCTTCCTGCGACGTCAGGCTCTCATTTGAAATTTCTCCAAGGACCAATACGGTTGTACCACGCGTCGAAGACCTTCTCGCAGTAATTTTTAGTCTATTTAATTCTTATGAAAAAAAGAAAATTGAAGTTGTTTTGGCGGCTTTCGAACAAGACCGTAGGAAGGATAGACTTGTTGCAAAAAGGAACAAAAAGTTTATTTAAATGTATTTTACCGATTTTTTTTCCTTCCGAAAAAGTGAGCGATTCTCAAAAATTTGGAAAAAGTAGTGTTTGAGAAAAAATAGACAACATGTAGCGTGTCTATGGTCCTCAGGATCGCAAGTTCGATCCTCGCCGCGACTCAACCAAGGGGTTCAAGAAATTTTGGTAATAGGAAACCACGGCTTCATAATCCCCAGCTGTCACAAGAACGGATATGTCACTCGATCCAGTCCATAAAATATCACTGATATCAGGATATAGTCCGTTTTTCGCGACTTGAAAGGGCGAGACTTCTCTGCGCCCTCCTCGTCTTTCGACGACCCTCTCTTGTTGACGCGCTTTTTTCGCGTTTTTTTGACCTAAGAGAGTAGACAGGGAGAGTCGGACACTCGAAAACTATCAAGTCGCGGCGGACGGACCATAGGACCTTGCCTAATCGAATCGGGGCACCGACGGCGCTCAAGCGGTACAAAGGGAAAATGTTTAGTGGCCACTATAGAGGCTCGCCAAGGATTACTTGGAGAGGGCACTAAAGTGGCCACTAAACCCACCTCTATAGACGCCACGGCTTTCCGTTTTACCACTATAGAGATTCTCTATTTAGTGGCCACTTCAGTAGTTTTTCATCCAGTATTCCTTCCAGTAACTCTGATAATTTAAAAAAAAAGCAGATTGGACCAGTTATGTTGATCCAAAAGTGGCCACTAAAATTTTTAGTGGTCTAGTGGTAGCACGTAGATCTCTATTGTGACCACTAATTTTTAACCCCTTGAGTGGCCACCGATTTGACTACTATAGTGGTCACCAAAACGTCAAAACCCTATAAGGGCCAGTAAAATTTTTAGTGGTCTAGTAGTAGCACGTTGACCTCTATAGTGGCCACTAATTTTCAACCCCTTCAGTGGCCACTAGAAATTTTTCTAGTAAGGATAAGAAAAGTTTGAGAAAATTATTGTAACCAGAAATAGCCCATTGAAAAGTATGTAGCATAATTTTCGGCGGTTAATTACAGGGAGACGAATTCCAAATCATACTGAGAATCGTGTGTGTGAGGCGACACAAAGAGTCGAGATTCAATAATTATTACGCCGTCGTCGACACCTTCGACCAGAGCGAAGAAACTCAAAGACGGATCTCTCAGTTCGTGAGTGTTCCTCACCGACTTCTCGTCTGCGGACTCAACGAGAGAAGGCCACCCGGAGACTCTTCTTTCCTTCTGAACTGCGTAAAGGCGAAGATACCGTAGGATAAACCTTTCTTCTCTCACTTACTGCGTTTTCTAGACGTTTCCCGTTGAAAGATGAGCTGCCAATGGTTGCGGAGGCTGTCGATGTCACCAAACTCATTCGAACAGATCGTACCGCCCCTTTTTTCGTTTCTGAGGGAAATGTTATGGTTTTCCCAATTCACTTCCAAACCCTGGTAGTCTGATTCGTAATAGGTGCAAGTCCAAGCTCGATTCCTCAAATATTCAAACTCTTCAATTTTTCTGCGCAGCGAGAACCCTCCCCTGCTGCTTGTGGATCCACAACAAAAAAGCGCTTCTTTCAGCTGTCTCGACGAGTTTTGGGTTCTTGCCACTTGGTAGAACTTTTATCGGAGGCACATCGAACTGTGATTTTTTTCAGTCACTTTTCGGATAACGAGCCCGAATTTGTGGTGTTGAAATGCGCGGAGTACGAAGGAATGCTGTCATCCGATTCTTCATCAAATCTCGCAGTGATTAATGATTCAAGAGACTATCGTGTTCCCCAAGCTCCTATTCCGCACGACTCTGGTGTCAAGGTATAGAAGTCACTCCTAGTCGTCGAGATCACAGTTTTCAGGACTTTGAGCCGCCATTGCGACAAAGCACGCCTTTGCCTCCCGACGACTCCACAAATCGACCATTTGTCCCAAAAGTTAGATCTTTTTCAATGTTTAGACTTCCACAAAAGACCATTCTTTCCGTAATCTTAGTTTTTCGGTTCTAGAAGTTTTTCCACTCGAAATTCCTTATATGGAGATGAGGGTCCTGAAAGTTTCAACATGGGTAGCTCTTTTTTTAACATAGTATTTTTTTCATATTCTTTTCTTAGAAACTCCAGAGTGGTTCCTATAGGGACAACTTTAGGGGCCCTTGCGGCTCTCCTCTAGAGACCACTAAAGCTTGCAAAATTGGTTCCTGTAAGGGTTTTTAGCTAGTGACCCCTATAGGGGACATGCTAGTCGATGTTTTTTATGAACCCTATGCGAAAAAGCATTTCCATGCGAAAAACTAAATGAATGAGCGTATTTTGAAAAAAAATTGAACGACCCCTAGAGGGGCCACTTAAGCTTTAGGAGATACAGGGTCAGACCCTTAAGACCTATAGAGACCACCTGGATTTCATCCCATATAGGGACTACTTTTTCGGTTCCTATTAAGACTGTTCTTACCTCCCATAGGGGTCACTTCAAAGTTCCTAAGATCCGAAAGGGATTTATCACCAAAAATGAGCTTTCGTTTTTTTTTCGAAAAAAAAAACTAGAAAATTGTGAAATTTGATGTAATAGAAAAATGTATATTTGCGAGTGTGACGACCTACTTTTTCTTCATTTGATACAATTTACGAATTTAAAGGAGGTTCCTGCATCCATGCCTTCGAGGAGAGCTCTCAACGACACTCTGCAGACCGAAGTTTGTTCAAAATTGAACATTTCTATACTTCAACACACAGATCGTGACCGAAAGTATGCTAGATGCCCTATCAGTCCGTGGCTATGGCCCCAAAAAGGAGTCTGATAATGGCAGCTTTTGTGAGAGTTTCTCCAGGAGAGGAGCAAAAAAGGTCTACGATTCCCGCAGCTCGTCTCTCAACACAAGCTTTTCGACAACTTTTGATGACGATAATCGATTTCTCAACTCGTCTGGATGGTTCCGCGGTAACGATCGGCGTTCTAGGTCAATCACTTTCTTATATTTATATTTCTCTTGCTTCAATCATCCTGATTGTCGGGGAAGATACAGTAGTTGCTTCCTTGTCGGCTAACCAATCAGTGTATGGTTCTAATGAAAGAGTCCGATTTTCAGGTGGCCACGGAACTTCCCACTGGGAGTTCGGTCAAATCCACGTCTGAGAGGTGACGCCGAGATTTTGAAAGACATGCTCAACGAATTTTCGTGAGTTGCTTGTCGAAAATCGGAACTCAATGATATTTTCAAGAGAAACGCGTTATATTATTCATCCGCGAGAGTTGGACAGATACATAAGCTGCTGGATGAAACCTCCGAATTGCCATATATCCAAGATCAAGGTTCACATTTCTCCTAATTTCTCCAAAAAAAGTTGCGGTGCACCCCGAGTGTAACCGGGGGCACACCCCATTTAGCTTTAAATGCATATTTAGGTACTTATCCGTACAAGATTTCCAAGTGGTTTATTTCCCAGTATCACCATTTTCCACAGTTTCATATTGGGCCGTTACGGTAGCTCGAAAAAAATTCTTTATTCCCGACCGGTTGCCCCAGGGGTGCGCGCCATCCACGTCCACCATGCACCTTGATGTTTTCGGTTTTTTCGGAACTCACTGCGAGTTACACCTTCATTTTTGTTAGATTGCTTTCAAATCTACTTAGTTTCCAGTTGGGGCAAAAGAATCACAGTCACGCTTTTAGGAAAAAGACGTTCATTTGATTGGCGTAGAGCTTCAAGATACAAAAGATCCGAAGCTACCTTTCCATTGTCTCGTTCGTTTTTCTCTACACCATGCAGAAATCGACGAGCGAATGATCGTTGTGCCGTTTGGGTAAGTCTGATCTTTTTTAGGAAAGAAAAGAAGAAAAGAGATTTATAGAAGGAACTTTCCTCATCTCCCTGAGGATTTCGAGTTGGGAGTCAGGTATCGAGGAATCTTCCAAAAATTTCCCGGCGAAGTAAGTTTCTCCTGACAATCGGCAACTATTGTACATTGTCATCCGAAAAAGATCTTTATCTAATGCACTGAAAAGAGTTTCCCACGTCTACGAGGGTTTCATTTCAACGGAGACGGCCGCATTTTCAAGCAACCTGATGTTGGAGATATCGAGAAGTTCAGGACCGTCACTATCAAAAACAGCTTCGTGGTCCAGGTGACATTGAAGCTAAGGCGATTTTCACTAGATCGGTTAAGCTCCTCGTCCAATGTTCGAGGCCGATGAACGACCCTTTCACATGTTTCGAGCTTTTCACTTTTCTAAACGACCACATCGTCGTCCCGAAAAGTATTGTAAGTCTCTTATTCCAAGTTTGTCAAGTTTTTGGTTGCGCTCCATTGTCAGTTTTTCTCAACTTGACAGCATACATCGGCTGAACCCCTTTAGCGCGCGAAAAGATTTGAAAATGTACTGAGATAGGCCGTACTTTTTTTTTTTGGGGGGGGGGGGTCGGTCGCAGTTTGAGGGGGGTAGGCCGCTCCCAGGAGTGGGTAATTAAAAATGTTTCAAATTTTGAAAAGACTCGCATTTGCCCTCAAGATTCTTGTCAAAAAGCAACGTCGCGTACGCAAAAAATCCCAAGAAACCCTTTCAAAAGAATAAAAAAAAAACTAGAGCCATTAAAAACCATCGTCAGGCGCATGCGCATCTATAGCTGATTCACGGCTGGCTTGAACAATCGGAAAAGAGTCCTGACAAGATAATAAAAGAGATAGTGCCTGGCTTGAGGAGAGCGCAGACAGGCCACGCCCCTTTGGTGTCCCAAACTATGCATGAATCGGCTATATTCAGACTCGAACATAGCCAACGACTTGACAAGCGAAATGTAAACCAATATATTAATTGCTCATGTTAAACAATTTGAGATCTTTGAAGAGCAATTGTCTCGAAACTACGACCGTTATGAGTATTGGGCAACAATTGAACCGCTCCCAGGGGTTGAGAATCGCTTCAGAACCACTTTCAACTCGAAAAAATAATTAAGATTGGGTATTATCTACCGTCTTCCTCCCAAAGATCCTCTTGTGTGGTCTACTGGAAAATGGTGCCGACAATGATTGACGACAGCGACGGCGGCCCTCGTCTCATTAAGGTCTACTCAATGATGGGAAACTTCAAGACATGAACTTCAGAGGGTTCCTGCTATTGATCACAAAATCACACGTCATCCCTTTGTCCGCGATCCTCCACAGAAGCTTGAATGCACCATTGCTGAAAGTGCGGAACAGAATCACAAGGTAGAAAAACGAGTCATTCATAACTTTTTAATCGAGGATGAACTATCTATTTCAGAATCGATTGGAAAAAATGCGGGCTCAGAAGGATCCCCGGATTCTCGAGGTCGATGACCCCAATCCTAACAAGGAGGTAAAAGTTCGCGAGGTTAGAAAATCGAAAATGATGATAACTTTTATTGAAAACTTCAGATAACTCTTGAGAAACGCATCGAAGAAATTTTGTTCTGTTTGAGGAAACTACTCGAATTTTTGACTCAAATAAAAACAGAAGGATTTTTCGGCTTTCTTTCTGAGGACAAGGTGGGTTATGTCACCAGCATAATCATAATTTTTAGCTCTTCAGAGGGACTAAAAGAACTTTTTTAGCGTGTTTTTAAAGATCGGAGTGAGGACTATGACATTCTTTACAAACTGTCGAATTAGGAACTCCAGAGTGGTCCCTATAAGAGCAACCTTAGGGGCCCTTCGATGATCCCCTCTAGGGACCACTTTACTAACCCCTATAAGGGCCACTAAAGCTTGAAAAAGTGGTTCCTAGTGATTTTGATTAGTGGACCCTATAGGTGACTTGCAAGTCGATAAATCTTTTTGAATAAAATTGAACGACCTCTATAGGGTCCACTTAGACTCCAAGGGCTAAGGGCTCAGACCCTCAACCTCTATAAGGACTTCTTGATTTTACTCCTATTGGAACCACTTTTTCGGCACCTGAAAGGGCTGCTTGTCCCAATGTTCCCGATAAAGACCACTCCAGAAATCCTTGGTTATTTCTGATTTACTAAAACTTCTCAAGGGCAGTAAAATTTTCAGGTCCAGCTTATGATCGAGGACATTGAGAAAGACACTCGAAAATGTTCAGAAGACCACAAAAAAAGAGAAAAAATTCGCAACGGAAATTCTTTCTTCTTGACGCTGTTGCTCGGATCTTTTGCAAGACTCCAATCCTCAGTATTATACGAAGTCATTTTTCGTCACCTTCGTTTTTTTTTCCTCAGGAACTCGGTAATATTCTACTGAAATTGATGGGCAGGAATGTCGTCATGAATGCTACCTCACTCAAAATGTCTCCAGATGAAAAGGATCTGGTAGGATTCTGATTACCAGTCTTTTCTTTATAAACTGTCTAGGTTTCCAAGTTGCAACATATGGGACTCGGATATGATGACCTCCGGGACTCCACGGAATGATGCTTTTTTTTATTGCTTACACTTTTTCTTGTTTCATTTTTCCATATTTTTCATTAACCTCATTCTCCAATTTCAATGAAAACAGGGCTCCTGAAGTTCTGAAAAACTATGCGGTTAGATAAGTATATTCCCGTTTCCTGTATCTTCACCGAATAGAAATCAAATTCATTTTTGAAATTTTTATCCATTTGTCATTACATAATAAACTTTTGTACATTTTTTGGCTTTCTTGTTTGTTTTTGTTTCTCAGGTTTTTTCATCCGACAGCTTTTTCTACTATACAAAAACTGATTCGGCAGATTCTCCATACACATATTCGCCCTGTCAGCCTATCGGCCCCCGTCCATTTTCTAAACCTGGCCCATAGAGCGAATTTCTCCAAGCGAAATATCAGCCTTTTCTACGACAAAAATCACGTTTTGGTTCTTTTTTCACTTGTATATCATCAGACGCTGATTTAGCATAAAAATTTTCCTGGTAAAAATTTTGAGTTAGGATAAAAAATTCTTTGATGGAATTCAAAGATTTCATTTGAGATCTGACCTCACCGGAGCCCGCTGTAGGATTTTACGCAAAAAATAAAAAAGCTAAGCCCGGACCAGGTCGTCGAGCCTGAAGCACAAGCCTGCCAACGCGTAAAATGGAAACACTTGGGGAAAGTGCGCGCCATTGTCAGACATGAACTGGATTTACGCTGGAGGAAATTTTTTTTTCACATTCGCTCAGGCACTGACGGCGCGTGTTTGTTGCCAAAAGTGCGCATGCGCGCCGCCTGCTGCGCGCACGCGCGGGGTGTCTCTTTTGTTTTTTAGCTTTTTAACTAACTGAAAAGCTATAAATTTAATATTTTTCATGTCTGTTCATCTCTTAACATTGCTCTGCACCAGTTTATAACAATTAGATTGCACAAAAATGTGAAATATCAAAGTTTCACTTTGCAACTTTTTTTCATAAGTTTGTTCGAAAGTGCTCGGAATAACTTTAAAACGTGAGCAGGGGCACTGGGTAATATCACAAAAAAATATAAAAAAATATATTTCAAAAACCTTATTTCAGTGGAAAAAGGCGAAAAAAAGAATCAGTACCCCGCGCGTGCGCGCACCAGTGCCTGAGTCTCTGCGGGTTGCCAGAATTTTCACACGTTTTTATTGAGAAGCTTCGGTATTCATTTAGTTTATGATATTTTCGAGTTTACCGCTGTTGTAATTATTGATTTTTTTTTTGTCTTTTGTTTCGTCTGGTATGCGCCGCAATGCATTTTTCTCCCCGTTTCGAATGAAATGATGTTGTATTTTCTTTTTTCAGTTGTTCATATACAATATTCTATTCTTGGAGATGACTGCTCGGTTGGAATGCTACAAGACACCATGTATTTGATTTTCTAAAAGAAATCGATCTAGCTTTATTTTCCAGGTAGCCCGACGGGACTGAACCCTTTCATAGCGCCCGAAAAGCAAAAGGTTTTGATAATTTTTTTTTTGAAGGTTCAAAGTTTTCATTACAGAAGCTGTATATTACAATGCCACCTGGCCCAAAATCTCTTGAGTATAAAAAAGTAAGAATTTTCGCAACTTCTTTTCTATCTGTCGATTGTTACAGTTGCGGGATCTAGTGAAGGAAAACACTACAGAAGATTCTCGAAACCATGCCATCATTTTTAAGAATCGATTGAACGATGTATTTTCTTTATTTTTTTTTTTCGAAAAGTTTTCCATCAATACAGATCCTGGTAGAACTACCGAACGCTGCTCATAGCGGATGCTTTCCCCAAAAAGCGGTTTCCACAAACTTGGCCGATCAAGAAAACCCAAAAAAAACGGGTGGATCTCCTTATGCGTTGAAGAATCCGAGACGAAATCAGGTAGGACATGCACTTCAATTTTTTCTGATAATAAAAGGTATTTTTATGACTATGAATTCCATTGAAATCGCAGAATAAGTTTATAAAGTAATTCTTTGAAGAACTAATGAATTTATTTTCATTTGCAGAAACCCGAACGCTCGAAATACGTGTGGAGAGCGACTAATACCACAAAAAAAGAGGTTTGTAAAAAAATATTTTTTTGCTTCTAATTTTCAATAAATCATGTGTATGAGTTGTACCGACCAAATTTTTACCGAAGTATATTCTCAGAAAAGAACATTTCATTTTTAGGCAAAGTCGGAAAGGGTGTAAAAAGGCTCCTTTTTTGCTGCCCTTTTGCGCCATTTTATCGGCCCATGTGCACCATTTTGCCGCCTCTTCCTTTTTTCACCATTTCTTGAGCCTTTGAAATTCTAGAAAAATAGAAGGCTCGATAAAGGGTATTTTTTGCTGCCTTTTTTGAGCCTCTTTCATTTAGCAGCCATTATCCACCATTCTGACTTTGTTCGAGTTCAGTTTCTAAAAGCTCTTGCCATTTAACTATGCATTTTTTGTTTGATTATCTCGAGGTTGAACTTTGAATAGGAATTCACGCTTTTATAAACGAAAATTTCCCTTTTCTCACTCTTCTTTTCTTCAGATAACTTTCATCGCTCCTCCCACGAACAAGCAAACGATAGAAGTTCAAACTCCACAAAAGAATGATTCGCCGACTAATTCGACGACGCCGCGACTGACGAGTTCCGTTAGGACGAAGCGTGCAGAAGCAAGGAATCGGCTAGAACAGCTCATCGGAGATCGCGGAAAAGCCAAGAAGCTCCACGACAACCAGCCGACGCTCAAAATCATCACAGACAACGTGGAGACCTCGCAACTCACCCTGGCCCAGTCCGGAACTGAGCCCCAAGTTCGAGTGGAAAGAGATTTGGATGAGGAAACTCGCACTGTCTTCATCTCTCATACTTCTGAAAACGTTAGAAATTTCGTATATAGTCCGTTTTTTGCGACTTGTAAGGGCGGGACTTCTCTGCGCCCTCTCTCGTTGACGCGTTATTTTTTCGTTTCTGTGACCTCGCCGGTGACGGAGCAGAGAAACGGACATGCTAAAAAGTCGGTCGGTTTGAAAAACTAGGCCACGCCGCAATTTTGCTCCATGGAACACTTCGAATTTCGAACTGTTTTTTTCTTTTCTGAATTTTTCTTCCTTTTTTTTTAAATTTTACTATAAAAAGGTTTTCGCTTATTTTCATTCAACTGTATCGTTCTCGCGAGAAAAAAAAAACGATGGTTACTACAGTCAAAATTATAAAGTGATTCAATTTTTGAAAATTCTTATTTATTTTTCTGGACCCAAAAGAACTTCATATAACCAGGCTTGTGCGAGGGCCGGCCCGTCACCCTCCCGGCCCCCCGACCATTTCATAAGCCCGACCCGGCCTTAGCGGGGCATTTAAAGTTTAACAAAAACTATGTTTTCAAAAGTAAAAATAACATTTAGGTGAAAATTTTTTAAATGAAATTTTAAACTTTTTTTAAAGCCCGGCCCGGCCCGAGCCCACGCGGGCTTTTTTCTGAAATTAAGGCCCAAAGCCCGGGCCAGGCCGCCTGACCTGACGCACAAGCCTGCGTATAACCAAATGAGCGGAATTAAAAATCATAAGTAATCGAAAAATGAGATAATATGTAAAATACACACAAAAAAAGCAAGAAACAAAATTACATCTAGTAAAAGGTAAAACATTACCAAGAAAAACAATAATAAATAAGGAAAAGTTCAATTCGAAGTGAGGATCATGCGTCTCATATCCTAGAAAACTGATAAAAAGGAAGGAGAGATATAGAAAAAGGGAAAAAAGTCTGAAATTCGATTATCCATGAAGCGAAATTGCGGCGTGGTCTGGTTTTCCAAACCGACGGACTTTTCCAGCATGCCAGAGAGACGCAGACACGCGTAAACTGTCAAGTCGCGACGGGCGGACTGAACTTCTAGAATGAATTCTAGACTTTGCATTTCAGGTATCTTCAATAAATCAGACATTGGACGCAGAACAAGTAGATATAGACAGCGTTCAAGACAACTGCCTTCTTTTCCGTTTCGGCAAGTGCACGGTGAGCAGTATTTTGCGACAATTCATACCTTTCTCTCTAGGAGCCCGAGGCTTGTCGTCGCAATCATACACCTCCGCCAACTGAGACTTTCGAGTATAACTCCATGTTTCTCAAAAGCTAATCATGATACTTCAGGCAGCATCAAGACGGTTTCTTCCCGCTAGTTTCAGTAAATGCTCCCGTTTGTTCGGTAATCAACATTTGAAGTCTGACTTATGATTTCTTTGTTTCCAGGAGTACCTCAAGTTGAACTGCTTCAATGCCCGCTGCCTCATGCGACATGTCAGGCAATAGGCTAATCTTTTGTGTATCTTCTTCCCTTACTGGTACTTGATACGAGTTCATTTTGTCCAGGTTATTTTTTGATGGGAGGAAAATCAAATTTTTTTCGCATCAACATTTTCATGTTTTCTTCTTCATTTATTGAGTATGCATTCTGGGAAAATTGGATTTTATTGTATTTTTTATGGATTGATGAAACCCTTTAGTTTTTTTTTTCAGGTTTGAAAAGGAATCAAATTTATTAAAGTGAATTCGTTTTGTCCTATAACGCAGAGTTGAAGAAAAAGAGAAGATATAAAGGGAATGAACCATGCCAAATTGAACTAACGGCGGTCACTTTCAGTGATAATTGAACTGATTTTGCGATGGTGGCGTTCATGGCGGTTTTCACGACAAAATCACATCTGAAACACGATTTCCGGTCCAATCTTGCAGGTTAGGAGTTATCGAAAAGTCTAGATACATATATCTGCAAGTTAGGCCTTCTGTTATCCCTTTTTCCGCCCTTTCATCGGCCTTCATCCACCCTTTTTGGACCCTTTGAGAAACACAAATATTTTTAAACTGAGAATAATCATTACCAACTGTGTATGAACCAAATGTGCTAGAGTATAGTCTGTTCCGATTTTGAATGTCAAGTCGCTTCTAAAGCTCCGCCCCTAATGGGCCGATAAGCCAATCAGAGAGCGAGCCATCCATAGAGCGTTTTCGAATGACGTCATTGTACTTAACACTCAAAATATGAACAAACTATAATACAATCAAAAATCATCAATGGCCTTTCAGCACTCTTTTTGCCCCCTTTTTTGAGGCTTTTTAGCTCACCATGAAAAAGGCTCAATAAAGGCTCTAAAACGGTTCCCTTTTAGCGGCCATTTTGCACCTGTTTCCCCCTTTTCCGACTTTGGTAGTGTTATTCCTCAAGCTCGCGTTTGCAGCTCTCAAATTGCAGTTGTAGCTTCACTTTTCTCTTGGAATGACGGCTATTACTGTTTGGAAAAGACCATTTGCTGAATCAGAAAAATCGAACGTTTTTGTTTGAACACCTTGACAGAGGTCGCAGTCTGTTTCGCTTCAGAATCCTCATCCGACGGTTTATGTTTCCAATATTAAATACGTTATCTTGCATTTTGTCGTGGCCGCGCTTGATAAGGTAGATCAAACAGTGCAACGCGGAATTTCTCGTATTGTTTGAAAGACGAATTCATTCTCGTGCGGTGCGAAAAGGAACTGAGGCTTTTTTCCGCTTTCATTTCATATTCATTGCCTCCGAAAGCCTTTCAAGGGGTTATTAATATGAGGCCGTATCTAATAAAGCGGTAAAAGATTTTCCCATGTTAATATTCGTTTCAATTTTGAATATCATTTTTTGAAAAGTTTCTCTGTGAATTTCTCTTGCCATTCCTAGGGGAAATTCACACATAAAAAGTCGCGATCGCTCTTTTCTATGATCATTTTTTCTGCTTTTTCGTATCATCCAACGACCTCTTGATATTTCCTCCTTTTTTTCGCTACAAAGTCTTTTTTTATTAATCATTTTTTTCAAGTTCAAAGTAGTTTGTTGTTCTGAAAATTATCGTTTTTTTCCTGTCGACTCCAATTTTTTTCCTGATCGTTTGTAGTTACTATGTTACATGTAAGTTGCTTAGAAACGCTGTTTATGAGTTTCTGACTCGAAAGTGACCAAATTTTGTTTTAAAAGAGACATTTTGCTTTTTTTGCTTTAAAGATTGTCCTCGAAAACATTCGTCGCGAATCTTGCGTAGAAAATTGTAAACCTAAAACTTCAAATTTTCCGATCGAAAATTAAAAACTTTGGCCTGTAATGGGTCAGCCCTGTCTATACTTAATATACTTAACATGCTATCCGGTCCCTTTGAAATTTGTAATATTACTTTCTTCCAATCATTTCTTTTCATTAATTTTTTCACTTTCTGTCGAACTTGGTCCCAAGCTTCCCACAAATCGCGTAATAGGGCCAATAACTGAAAAAAAAAGACGGATGGACGGTCGGAGACGCCCTTTTATGGGCAAGTCTGCTGCAGAATTCTTTTAACGTGTCCGTTGGAACGACGGAGAGAAGATGTCCCAAACATTCAAAGCAAAATGCTTAGTTCTATTTCGAATCAAGGTATAGTTCCCTCACAACCAATTAGACCGATCTCCAAGTTTTTTCGAGTCTCTGACTTACTCCGCAAGCCTGGATATCACTGATTGTATATTGAAAAAAAAATGACAAATTAATTTCCTGTGCCTCGCTTCAGCAGGAAGAAGAATGAAGTCTATATGAACTAAAGCTTCAAAATTTTCTTTGATTGAGCTTTTCCAAGTTTTTGAGATTTCGAAACTTTTGTATAGAGACTAGCTTTCTAGGGGTTTCCACCATAGAAATTTTCACAAGTCTTCTTGAAATTTGGGCCTAAGCTCACTTGATCTCAACTAAAATGGCATTTCATATGGGGTATATCGAGTGAATCTTGCTTAAAAGTTGATTAATAGGTCAAAAAACAGTAGATAAATTTGAAAACTGAATTTTTTCCCCAGAAGGGAGGTCATTTTACTTTGAAGTTCGGATTTTCCTGAAAATTGGCTAGAACAATCCTTGATCTACCAGAAGAAGTTTCTGGAAGCTTCAATCTGTACAACTTTCTATTTTTCGAGAAAAGACGCTGCAAGTTCAAAGAAAACGCTCAATGTCCATTAAAATAAACTATCTTGGGGATTGGACCCTTATTTCTTAAGAACTAAGAAGTTTTGCAGATCGAAATTTTCAGAATCTTCTTCTGGGACATCAAAAAGTATTCTGGCCAATTTTCAGGAAGATCCCAAAGTAAAATGACCTTCCCTGTGAGCAAAATGTTCAGAATGAGGACAGTGGTCGAGACCAAAGGCTAATGGAAAACTTTCTCTTTCCAGAAATGAATAATTTTCTCGTTGGTTCGTCCTCAATGATTATCTTTCCAAGAAGGAAGAAAAAAAAGGCGAGAAACTCGGGTTTTTGTGTGGATCTGAACTGCGACCGGCCGTGTTTATTTGCCGCTGTTTTGTTTGCGTCGCGCGGCCATCCGCCACGGCTTCTTCCTTACATATGTTCTTCACTTGTTCTTCAGTTCACCCCCCGCAGTTCATATTTTGATGGTCTTCTTCGAACCGGAACTTTTTAAAATCTTACTAAGGATTGTTCTTACCCCCCGCTCCCGTTGAAACTTTGCTTAAATGTACTTTAGGACCTACTGATTGCAGTACAAGAAAAAATAGATCTCGTTTTCGAATTAGGACATTTCAAAAGCTCTTAATAGCGCCAATTTAGCGTATTTTACGTACTTTGAAGCAACTCGAGAACAAAATCTATTGCGTGGAATTTTTTTTCTTGTTCTGGAATCACGAGGTCCGAAAGTACACTTCAGCAAAGTTTCATCGAAAGTTCAACCAGTGGGTTAAAAACATTCCCTAGTTAGTATCGTATAGTTTTACGAATTTGAACAGCTTCTTTTTGAAAATATGGCGTAGATTTCATAGTCGTTGGTGAAAAAAAACTCAAACCAAAATTTTTCCAAAAAACGGAATCGGCAGACCAGCGGCAACGTGCTATTTAAAGCATTATTCCGACTCAAAAATTTATGATTTTGGAATACATTCGCGGTGAGAAAAATTGTTTGCAAATGCCTATTTCATTGGAAAATGTTTTCTTTTCTATTTTTTCATAAGAAGTTTCTCCTTTTTTCTAGATGAATAGTTCCGAGATTTTGGGAAGAGTTTCAAAATTGGCTCTATGACTTTCTGAACTCAAGAGTTATTTTGACAATGATGAATTTTTCCGATCATCTTTTTTTTCTCTTTCTCTTTCTTTTTTTTTTTTTCAATTTCCGATCATTATTTTTTTCTCAAATGCTCCTAGAGTTTTCTTTTTCTACATGACGGCTTTTAGATTCAGACTTGTTGGTTTTGAATTTTTGCTTCCAGTAAGAGTTCTAAAAAGGCACATACACAATAGACTGAAGTGATTTTAAACGTGAAATCGATTTGAAAAAAATATGATATTGCAATTTTTACCCAGAAAATCGAAAATCCTCACAAAAATTCTTTCAAAAATCCTGCTTTTCCCTCTTTTTCTCTCAATTTTACAGCAAAAGACGGTTCACAAGAGGCCATCGCTAAATGTTTTACGGAAAATGTTTTCTTTCCTATCGAGTTTTTTTCTTTTATCAAACATAAGAATGGCTGTTGCCAGACGTTTTATTTAATGTTGGAAATTTTCTGTTTACTGGAAACTTTGGGCTTGCTAAAAAATTCGAAAGCTTTTTCATGACGCCTATTTTTTCAAGTTTTCTCAAATTTTGCAAAGTTTTTTGGTTTAAAAGTACGTATTTCTTCTCAGTATGACCAGTTTCGGAGTCATTTTTCAAAACTCCTGGTCATTTAATTTTCAAAAGTCCACTTTTTTTCATTTTTCTGGCAGAAACGCTCTCAGATTTCAATAAACTGTTACGAATTCAACATATTTTGATTCCAGGCCAAGTTTTAAAAAGTTTGACATGAAATTTATTGCAAAAATCTCCACTTTTCAGGCGTCAATATTGGGTTTTTCTAAACCGAAAAACATACCAAAATCTAGAGTTCTACGCATTTGGGACACTTGAACAAGAGAAAACTTTAAAACTTTCAAAAAATGGCTTTTTTGAGAAAGTGACCGAACCGGCCGACCTTTCCAGCATGCGCATTTGAATTTACGGCTGGGAATTTTTTTTTAATTTAGCCAGAAAACTCCTCGATGTACCAGAAAAATATTCTGGCAGGTTGAAGCTTCACAAACTCCTAGTTTTGAAGATATAAGGTCGCAAACCTCAAAAATAACCCATTTCAACGGATCTTGAGGGTTTTGTTTGACTTTGAGGTGTCCTTTCTCAAAAACTAGAGAGCTGTGCAGGTTGTAACTTTCAGAATCGTCTTCTGGTACATCAAAGAGCGTTCTGATCAATTTTCAAGAAGATTCCCAATTGCAAAATGAAATAATCTACCTTGTAAGGCAACTACGGTAATCATAAATTTGTCCAAAACTAAAATTAGTTCAGACTCCTTTGAATTTTTTGTCCGTTTTCAGCTTGTGGTGAATGGAAAGAGAAACTTTTCCCCTTTTCAAAGTTTATTTAACATGTTGAATGGAAATGCTGTCTATTGGCAGCATCGGACAAAATTGGTGTCCTTTCCATTCGCTCAGACTCGTTGATCTCCGTCATGCCCATGCTTATCAGTTTTTTGTCACTCAGCCATATGCAAACGTGTTCTTCGTGTTCGTCATCTCTTGTCGCGTTCATCGGAAAATGTAACAGGAAAGAAAAAAACGCGAAACGGTTTTCTAGTTTTAAAGTCTTCCAAATTTTTATAATAGGTAAAGTCGGAAGGACCCTTTACGGCTTCCTTTGAGCGTCCGTAGGGACCGCAAAGCCACGCCCCTTTTCGCGATAGAAAAAGTGGCTTTTTTTTGGTTTTCAACTTTCATTTTGCTGTAGTTGCAAAATATGTAGATCTGGATAATAAATTTTGACACACATATACAGAAAAGCTTCCTCTTTCGTTTAAAAAATATTTCACGCATTCCACATTTTTCGTCATAACTTTTTTCATCCTCAATCTTTTTCGAAAAACCAAACAGTTCTGAGTTTTGAATCGAAACAGCTATCAAACCATACAAAGCTCAATGCTGAAAAAAATTTTCTGAAAATTCGTCTGCGGTCCCTAAGCGTCCGTTATGGATGCGAAGGTTTCCATTAGTTTTTCCTAAATGGGTGGAACGGATTGGGAAGACAGCCCTTGGCATTTCAGCCAAGCCAAGCCATTCAGAAATGAAAAAAGAGCATTTACGTGATCTTTGGCAACTACGTGGCGATAACACCAAGAACTAATCATTTTTCAATTTTGTAAATTTTTACTTTTATTTTTCTGCAAGTTTGGGTTATATAGACTTAATAGACATTTCAGCAGGGAGTTTTCACTGAAACCGAGTAGTAATTGATTTTTTGACAAGTTAAAATAAGGTAGATTTTCAATCTCAGAAGATTTATTTGGGCGAAAAATTTTTTTTTTTCTTTGAAATTTTTTAAAGACGACATTTCCCATTTCGTGCACACGTTTTATACATTGCTCAGAACAAGCGTTCCCAGATTTTTGGAATCAATTTGCCATTTTGTCCATCTGACTATTTGAAAAAGTCATTTCTACGTTGTGGCAAGGCAGCCTCCACCTTTGTCCGTGACTTCATAACCTTTCGGTCAAAATTAATTCACTCTGAATGATTTCTATCAATCACCTTGATTCCAGTTCATTTTTCGAATTTTCTACGATTCTCAAACCATTAGTAAAATCATTTTGTTAGTTCCGGTGAGACCAACTCTCGCTAAGTTGGTTGTTTTTCGGCATGTCTTACTCTCTCCTCTTTCAGAAAAAAAAAAACGTATTTTTTAATTCCCTAGAATTTTTATCTGTTTCGATTTGACTCCCTCTGAATATAAATTATTCCAGGTATGCAAATATGAGAACGAGTTTGAATAGAAAGTTGATCTCGTTCCGGAGACGATTTCTCCCGTCGACAAGAGTCTTGCTCCTGACGGTTATGGCGTTTGGCCTGACCGCCATGGTTGCTCGATATCATCGACTTTCGGTTTGTTTTTTTCCTTCTCTCATTTGGTAAAAAAATTTAAAAAAATATAAAAAAATAAATATAGGACTCCAAGGTCCGCCAAAATTTCAAAAAAAGTTGATAATGAAGGATGCATGCTGTCAAATATGTTTTTAACAGTTGGTAGTTCTCCAGGTGCTCACATAAAGAATATATATTATGTTCAAAAATTAAGTTCGTCAAAATATAGTCAATGTTTCCCGACTTGAAAGGCGAGGGAGGTGGGGCAAGGGGCGGGACGCGTAGCGTGTGCGTACGCGGCTCTGGCGCCAGTTCAATTCAATCGCCGCCGACTATTTAAAAAGCTCGGCAACCGCTTTTTTTCCAATGTTTTCTACTATTTTTGATCCAGACATGAACATAACCATATAAATAATTGAAAAAGAAATGAAAAGAGCGATAAATAAGCTCTCAGAATGCTCGCTGGCGGTTTAATTGAACTCGTGCCAAGAACCGCGTATGCACACGCTACGCGTCCCGCCCCTGCTCCGCCTCCCTCGTCTTTCAAGTCGGGAAACATTGAAAAACTTCATCGAAACTCGTGAACGTTGCATGAAAATGACACCCAAAACGCACTTTTTTGAAATTCATGTTCGCTTTCAAACTTTGACTGACAACGATTAGACAAAGTGAAACAAATATATGAGCCACTTCTCTATCTTTTGGAAGTCAGAACTCGAAAAATGAGGTTTGGACAAAAAAGTAAACTCTAAAAAAAAATTTTAAAAAATGAATAGCGTATGTAATTCTACGAGGGAGTGCATGCGGAGCGAACAATTTTGCGCGTCGCAACGATGGTACGACAAAATCTCAAGTCCGCAAATCTCGAGGACCGTAATCTTGTGTACACAGATCTAAAGTCCCATAATCTTGGAGACCAAAATCTTGGAGACCAAAATCTTGGAAACCACAAACTTGGAAAGTAAAAATCAACGCTTTTGCGAATAGATTTTATCAGAAATTGTATTCGGTGATCCAAACAAGAGAATATAAGTAGATAAAGTGCAATAAAGAAGACTAAAAAGGAAGATTTCTGCTTTCCAAGATTGTGGTTTCCAAGATTTTGGTCTCCAAGATTTTGGTTTCCAAGATTATGGGACTTTAGATCTGCGTACACAAGATTACGGTCCTCGAGATTTGCGGACTTGAGATTTTGTCGTACCATCGTCGCAACGCTTTTCGGAGTTATTACAAAAACAGTTTGAATTTTTTGACATTTTTCTGTTGAATTTTCCACAATTCATGTTTTTATTGAATCTCGTTGGCTCACTTTATAGGTTGCATTCATTTGTTTCATTGTTCTTTTGTTTTCGAAAAATCGTTGGCGGTCCACATATTTGAATAAATGTTTTTTTGTTGAAAAGTTGGGGCGAATCGATAGCTAGAAAATGTATCACAAATGGCTTTGACAAACAAATGTCGCATACGTTATCAAAATTTCATGCTATCTGCATTTGGTCGATAAAATGTGCCCTTTTCAGAAAGAGTTTTCGGAGAGACACGAACTTCAAAATCTGGATCACGCAATCAACGAAGACCGCATAGATGTTAAAAAGTTGCAAGAAAATGAGGTTTCAAAGTTTTGAACGATTCCCATTTTGCCGATTCGTAGAGAGAAGAATACCGTGCACCTTCCTGCAAATGGAAAGATGAACCTCCCGAAGAAGCTCTCACTCATTTTAATGTACCTTTTCCGATTTTTATAATATTGAACCCAAAGTGTTCAGACTTTCGATATGTACAAGGAATCCGTTGCTCGGCAAATATTAAACGAAAGTTCCATCAAGCCGGAAAGAGGCAAGCCCAAATCAAGTGAGAAGCCTAAATTGCGCGTCTTCGTTCTTCCCTTCACGCACGTTGATCCAGGTTCCAACTTTTTCTGCTTTTCCTTATAGAAACTTTTTAAGGATGGCTGAAAACGTTCAAAGCCTATACGGATAATACAAACCAGATTCTCGACAATATGCACACTTTCATGTCGAAAAACCCCAAAATGAAGTTCATGTGGGCCGAGTTTGTTTTCTTCGAGCGCTGGTGGTCAAAACAAAACGAATCGGTCAGGACGGACGTGAGAAGGTGAGGAAACTTGACACATGGGAAAATCCTTTTTTGTTACTTTCCAGTAAAAAGTAGACTGTTACCAGATTTAATTGCAGTTGCAGATGATAATCCTTGCAGATTCGTGACAGAAGGCCGTCTGGAGTTGGCCTCCGGCTCGTGGGTCATGACCGACGAGGCCAACGCCTATTTTCCAGTCTCCGTGGACAACATCGTCGAAGGCCATCAATACCTTCATCAGCATTTCGGTTCGGACTTGCGTTGATCCTTGTCTTGATTTCATTTCCAGGTGTTCAACCGTCAACGATCTGGTCAAACGACCCATTTGGATACTCCAACTCAGTTCCCTACCTTTTCAGTAAAACAGGTTTTCGAAATCCGAGTTCTGAAATTATTTTCTGATGAAAAGGTATCAAACGAAATGTCATCAACCGTATCCATCACTCGCTGAAACAAGACCTTCAAAGGTTGAAAGGGATTCCTTTCAATTGGCGTCAGTATTTTGGTTTGGGAGGTGGTCTCATTGAGTTGATCATGGAAAAGTTGAAGATAAGAGCGGCGAATTCGACGTCCTGACGCAGGTTCTACCGTATACTCACTACGATATTCTGAACTCTTGCGGACCTAATGCAGCGCATTGCTGCGAGTTCGACTTCAAGGTTCAATACTTTGCTACTTGAGAACTCTAGAGTGGTCCCTATATGGGCAACCTTAGGGCCCTTGAGAGGGACCCCTCTAGAAACCACTTTTCCAATCCCTATAGAGGCCATTAAAGCTTGCATTTTACCAATCCACCTAGGGACCCCTAACGCTTGCAAAAGTGGTCCCTATAGGGGTTTTAGAGCCTCTTTACCAACCCCTATAGAGGCCATTAAAGCTTGCAAAAGCGGTCCCTAAAAGGGTTTGAGTTCGTGGCCCCTTTAAGGGACATGCTAGTCGATAATTGTTATGAGCTCTAAGCGAAGAATTGGAAAAACAAGCGTTTCCGTTGAGTGGAATTGAAAGACCCCTATAGGGTCTACTTGAGCTTTAGGGGCTAAGTGGTCAGATCCTACGCCCCTATATGGACTACCTAAATTTTACCCCTATAAGGACAACTTTTTCGGCCCCTGTAGGGATTTTTTCCTCTCTAACCCTATAGGGACCACTCTGGAATTCCTAAGATTCGCAACATTACAGAGAATGACACATTGGAGCTGTCCAGGTCCGAAACCGGTCCCTATAACTAAGGAGAATGTCGCTCAAAAGTTTGGGTCTTTTTATTCCAAGAAAAATAAACGACTGTCTAGAGCGGCAACTCTGCTCGGCGAGCTCGAAACGATGAGCAAGATGTACGAGGCGCCGGTGCTTCTGATGATGCACGGGGACGACTTCCGATTCGACATGATCGAGGAGTGGCATCAGCATCACGACAACTTCCTGCCCCTCTTCGAAGAAATCAACAAAGGCGATCGAGCTGAAATTTCGTTTGTTCCCGATCCGGGTGTTGTGAAATAGACGGCCTTTCAAGATTCGGCACTTTTACCGACTACTTCAACGCTTTGGAGTCCTACTACAAGACTGAGGAATTCAAGCCGCCGACTCTTTCCGGAGATTTCTTCCCTTATCAGTACTTATCAAGCTGATTTTTCTGAATGCTTCTCATCTTCAGATGCGCCCTGGGCGACTACTGGACTGGCTACTACACCACTCGACCATTTTACAAGCGTCAAGGCCGCTATCTTCATGTTTGTTTTGAGGAACTTGAGATACAGGCCGTTTCTATTCCAGTATCTCATCCGCTCAGCAGATCTTCTTGTGGCCGATGCCCGTCTCCGTCTCTCGGCCGAGCAAATTGCCGCCGTCGACGAAAAGTTGCAGGATTCTCGTCGCACTCTGGCTCTTTTCCAGCACCACGACGCCATAACGGGTAGGGCTAAGATTTGTCCCAGAGAGAATCCGTTTCTTCTGTAGGAACCAGCAAGAAAAGCGTGATGGCAGACTACTCGGAGCTTTTGTTCGAGGCGACAAAAAGCTCACAAGAAGTTATTCAGACGGCTTCCAACAAAATCCTCAACATGGATACGAAATCGGTGAGAAAACTTTCAAAAACGAGATTTGAAGCCGTACAGATTTCTTCTCCTGCCTCTGCGAGTGAAACCGTCGCCCAAGAAGTGGTCAACATCCAAAACGGCCAAGAAGTGTTCGTGTGACTATCATCGACTTCTATTCCCTGGATCTTTCTTCAGATCTGTGAACGTTTACAACAGCTTACCGTATGTGATAGAAGACGTGGTTACGGTTCGCGTGAGCGCTTCTCGAGTCGTCATCGTGGAGAAATCCTCGAGTCAACTCCTCAAGGCTCAGATCGAGCCCGTCGTTGTCAAAGGAGTCGTCGACAAAGATTCGTATTTGGTCAGTGTACTCTTGTTACTTGCATCCATACAGCTGATTCACGGCTGGCTTGAGCCATCGTAAAAAGGGTCCTGACACGATAATGCTCGAGACAGCGCCTGGCTCGTGGAGAGCGCAGACAGGCCACGCCCCTTAGAGTCCCAAGCTGGCCGTGAATCGTCTACACTTTCTCTTGGTTTCTGAAAGATCGCAAAAAATGCCGAACAGAAAAAAAAAAGTGGTGCTCTCCCTAAAAAAGAGAAAACTCATCAAGTTTTGTTAGGATATTTATCCTAAAGTTTTTGCTCTAATAGTTTTCGATTGATTTTTTTTTTCTGCTTGATCGTTCAAAACGACGCCACGCGACACATACTCAAAAATATTGAATACTAATATTTTAGAACTTTTTTCGGCGATCATGGGATAAATAACAGCTAGAAAATAGTTTCATTCTTAATAAACAATCAATTTCGCTATTTGCGCACGTGTGCACTGCGTACAAAACATTTTATTTTCCGCCGCTGCGGTGGGCGTGGCGTCGATTTGTTCCAGCCTCTCTTTTCACTAAAAAATCCTCAGAGTGAAAAAGCATATTTTAATAATCTAAATAATTCAGCTGGCGTTTCGAGCCAGACTCTCTCCACTCACATTCACCAAGTTTATACTTCGCGGAGAGAAAAACAACGAGCATACGGTAACCGCTTCGGTGTCTACGGTCGCTAGTCAATATGAGCAGCTCCACGCTGTTCCCATGCTCCCAAAGTCAGTTGACATCCAAAAAACTCGATAAAATTGCGCTCAGATCTTTCGAAATTGATCAGATCTCTTCGGATGATTTCCGTCTCAAAACAGATCAATTGAGCACTAGACATGATCCCTTGACAGGACTCTTGAAGGTTGTTTGTATCATCCTTTCTTAATCAGAGCAAGAAGTTCAGGAAGTCTCGAGCGTAAACGGAGGAAATTATGCTGTCAATAATTCTTTCGTCGAGTACCTGAGCGCCTCTGGTGGAGCATATTTAATGCGTGTACCACCGAGTCCGCGGGTCTGTTTCGTGTCTCAGAAAGAAAAAAGACTTGAATTCCGTTTAGCCTCTGTTTTCGAGTGATTTGATGCGCTTCTTGGTCCGGGGACCGATCCAGCAGACTGTCCACGTTTTCCATGAGAATATTCATCAGAAACTGACCGTCAAAAACGTTGCAGGCATAATTTTCTTTGTTTGAACCTCTACGAAAAATATTTCCAGGTGTTCTTGGAGCGCAACTGAACATGGATCTTCGTGTTGATATCACCAAGAAAAGGAACGTGGAAGTGATGATGCGACTTCAGACTGACATGAAACAAACCTCGACCTATTCAGATAGTGTCGGTTTGCAGGTGTGTGATTTGATAATCTCGCATATTCAAATCTGATCTCAGTTGCTCCGAAGGGAGTCCTACTCGACGCTCGCCGTCGCGGCCAACTACTATCCGATGCCTTCGGCTGCAGTCGTCGAAAATAGCCGCAACCGCATGACCGTAGCTTCCAACGTCGAGCACGGCATGATGGTCATCGACGGCGGAGTCGAGATCGCCATTGGTTCAATCTTTGTTCTCCGTTCTAGTTGATATAGTGTACGTTTATAGACCGAATGTTGAATCAAGACGATGGGAAAGGGCTTGGAAGCGACTCAGACTCCCTGCCCACCGATCTGAAACCTGTTGATATGCGTTTTTCCATTTTATTCGAGCAGATCACGCCCACAGAAAAGGTTCCCACAGATTCTCTGTACAAAGTATCGAGTGTTCCAGAAAACTCCTCATTACACTTCCCATACAGCTGCTGGTCATCTCTCAGTTCAGGATGTCCTGTATCCGCCTTTGGTTCTTATTGGGAAAGGTTCCGTAGAAACTGGTTTCCAATTGATCGAAAACCCTTGTAGAATCTTCGGAAATGGATTCTCGAGCTGCCATGTCATCATTGCCCTGTGACTTCCAGCTTCTCACTTTGCGTCAGATCAACAACAAAGAACGTCTTCTGATTATGTTCCGTCATCCTGTTGTTTGCTCCAATACTCCTGTCATTTGTGGCTCTGACATGCAGGTTTGTTCACTTTTTCCAGTCATAGGAGATCAAGAAAATCAAACACAATAACCTTATTATGTTAAATTTTTTCTCTCAGTGATAATCGAATCAATACTTAGAGTAAATGCAAAAGTGATTTCAGAAGCCGTTGGTCTCGTATCTGAAGTACTTGGGAGCTAAGACGGCTCAAATAACGAATTTGAACGGTTTGAAACGCATCGGGTCTCCCCTTTCAGTAGACTCTTTTCCTGACTTTGAAGTCAAGTCTTTCGACTTTTTCACACTTATAATCAGTCCTTGATAGGTATTTTTCTTAGGGGTTTCTTTCAGGTTTTCTTTTTTTTTTCTGAGGTAGTTTTTCATTCGGGTTTGAACTTCACCGGTTCACCTCTACTTTTTGTGGTCTGAGTAGTTATTTATGCACATTTTTATAATTAGTTTACTTGAATTCACACGGGTGTTCACGTTTTTCTTATTTATTACTTCGTGTCATATAATAAGGCAGTTGTTGGTTATAAATAATTTTATCGGTACTTATATGGTTATTGAGCAGAGCAATGTGAAGCAAGTCGTTTTTACCGTAATAAATCTTGAGCAATTTCCTAAAAAGTACGCGCTTTTTGCTGAGATGAATCGGACTATTCTAACTAAAGATAATATCGATACTATGAAATATATTTTTTCTGGAACAATAGCACCTTTCGAATAAAAAAAGTGATAGGATTCATCCTATGGCAGTTAGAGAGGCAGTTTTAATGTCTTTCGCTTTGATGACTTTCCTGAAAAATAATTCTGAAGATGAGAATTTGACAGAAGGTTAATACATTTTCTTTGATGACCACTTCAGTAATGCCGGAGTCTCACATTGCACATTGATGTCGAAGGTCCAGCTGATTTTCTGAACAGAAACCAGTTATTTTTTTAAAAGTTAGTGATGAACCTCGGTTGTGCTCACGTACACTCGCACTTCTTTGAGTTCTCCCAAATTCAGTGCCTCGATGTCCATTTGGACCGTCTGAGTGCAAAAATTCAGTTTCTTGTCTTGATCAACAGCGAACCGTGTCTTCTGGAAACTCAGTGAGACCTGGATAGGCTCTGAAACCAGAATCGCCTTCTGTGCCGACGAGGTTGATGTATGGTCGGAAAGATCCCTTACTGCCAAAGGTATGCAGTTGGACCGCATATTGATAACCTGAGACTATGATGATTGACCTTCTTCTTCGAGTTTTGACGGACTCAGCCGAGGAGCGACGTCTGGATAGACGCACATCACCTCGAGGACTTCGAAGTCGCGGAACTCGCTGTGGATCAGAAATCTGACTTCTGTTCCACTCAACGTTTCGACGAGTCTCATCTGAATGTTGAAATGGCTACTTAGTGCGAGGAAATCAACCTTGTGGATACAGAGGCTTTTGCCGGGCGTCAGTTCCTCGACACCTATTCGGATCTTCTCAACTAGCCCAAAATGCTTGGTTTTCAGCTGAAAAGCGAATTGTACAAAAGGTCAAAGAATGGAGAGACTTGAAAAATGAGAACGTTGTTGATGGGCTCGTCGGTCCGCGGTTCCATCCTGAGCAAAGGACCTTCTTTTGGGCACAGTTCAACGAAAGGCAGCTGGCAGTGCTCGCCGTCCTCAATCAAATATCATGACCTTTCAATTCGAGAATAGAACTTACATCGACGCTCATCGATAGGATGAACGAATCTTCTTTCGGAGCTTTCCAGCCTTTTGGCGTCTTTCTCTTTGTGGCTAATCCTTCGATCACTGAATTAATCTGTCGATAATCAAAAAACTTTGAAAAGTTCGAAGAAAAAGAAAGATGAAGGACGGCAGAATAGGTGAAACTGTCTAACTGAGAATCAAGATATTTTACTCGAAACCTTAGGAAATCCAAAGTGGTCCCTATAGGAGCAAACTTAGGGCCCTTGGAGGATTCCCTCTCGGGAACACTTTACCAACCCCTATAGGGGTCACTAAAGCTTGCAAAAGTGGCCCCTATAGGGGACATTCTAGTCGATAACTTATATGAACTCTACACGAAAAAGAATTTCCATGAGGTAAACTAAATAAATAAGCGAGAATAAAATTGAAAAACCCCCATAGAGAGCACTTAAGCTTTAGGGGCTAAGAGGTCAGACCCAAAAACCCTATAGGGACCACTTTTTCGACCCCTATAGGGATGTTTTTCCTCCCTGACCCCTACTGGGACCACTTGAGATTTAGCGGCTAAGACGTCGGACTCTAAAACCCTACAGGGACCACTTTTTCGTCCCCTATAGGGACTGTTTATCTCCGTAACCTCTATTGGAATCACCCATTTCAGCAACTTACAAATAGATATATTTTTTTAATATTCGAGATCTGCTAGAAGAACTATTAAAGTTCTCCAAAAATCTTGCTTTTTTTTTAAATTTCTTTTTTGAAAGTTTTCTGTTGAAAGAGTTCACTTTTGACGGAGAGAGTCTTGTAGACGGGGCCGTCGGCAACAGTCGTGTCCTCACGGACGCTGGAAACGCCGAGAACATAGCGGAAAGGGGCGTGACCTGTCTCCCTCACTGTGAACTCCGATGCGAGAAGCTGAAAGTATTGTTAGTTAACGAAATCGACTGGGAGTTTGAGGACTTGGTCGCCGACGGGAATCTGGAGTTCGTGGTGATCGTAGATGGTCTGAAGGACGGCGAGACCTTCGATCACGTCGTTGGCCGGTCCCTCGAGGTCGCCGATGATCCTCACGTCTGTGATGTTTCCCAAATGAACGCAATCCACCTTGTAGGAGTAGGTCTGAACTCTCGGCGTCATCCTTCTCTCAGCGTCTTTTTTTCACCGTTTTGTCCTTGGAGCGACTTGGAAAGATTGGAAAGACGCCGGAATCGCTTGTGGCGCCTATCAGTTGCGCTTTGAGCTGTGGCGAACGGGCCAATTCCAAGTCCGCCAGCGTGACTTTTCCTTCGTATATAGTGGCTAAAAACAACTTTTCATTTCTTTTTACTGGTAAATGGACTGGAAGCTTGAAAGCTCAAAATTCACTCGAGTTCCCCCTCGGGAAAAAATCAGAATGGTGAATAATGGCCGCTGAAAGGGAGAGGCTCAAAAAAGACTGCAGAGAGGCAGCAAAAAGAGCCCTTTTATCGAGCCTTCCATTTTTTTTTTGGTCAAGAAAGGGTTGAAAAATGCACCAAAAATGGTTCATAAAGGCAGTAAAAAAGGAACCTTTTTTGTACCCTAAAAGGAACATTTCTATGGAGCCTTTTTCCACCCTTTCCGACTTTTACAACTCTAGTAAATAGAAATGAAGGCTCAATAAATGCCGCAAAACGGAACCCTTTTAGCCGCCATTTAGCAGCCACTCTCTTTTTGCATCCATTCTGCATCCATTCTGACTTTGCCTGCCCTCATAATGAAACATTATAACTATGGATTATTGCGCCAAGAACCCAAATTCGTTTGAAACCCCTTTTCGTTAGTTCAGACTCATATGAAGCTCACTAGGAAGCGGCTGAGATGTAGCGCGGTATATGGGAACCTCTCGAAAGGCCTGGTATCGCTTAGCGTCTTCCGGCGGATTCGTCATCAACCATTTGTTGACACTTCAAATGGAAATTAGGGAGTCAGGAAGAAATTTCGGGAAGATTAACCTGACGGCCATCCGCTCTTCAGTGTCAAGGTCGCGAATCTCGAGATACTCGATGAAGTAGTTGGGTCGATCTCCTGCACCATCAATCTCGAAGCGCACTTTGAAGAGCTCTCCGATCTCGCCAAAGTCCACCTGAACGATTTGTCGATGGTCATTCAGGTCATCTGGACGAGTGACCTGAATGAGAGGATTGTAGGCCGGGTCGCTGAACATTCGGTCGTTCTCGATGTAGCTCATGGAGACGCCGTTGACGCCGTAGCCGACGATGACGAGATTCGACGAGGTGCCGCCGAGGCCGTCGTGTCGAGTGTGCACGATGAACTCCCACCGACCTTCTGCAAACCCCCGATTTCGCTCTTTTTCGGAGCAAGAGCTCACTCGTGTGGTCCGAATCTCTCAGCGCAGCTTCCATGTAGAGAAAAGTCGATAGGAACAGCGTTCTCTCGATTTTCCCGTCCACCTGTATCCAAAACTAGCATTTTGCAATAATTTTCAGTGTCATGCCTGCCCGCCGTCGAGCCATTTGTTGCAAAAAAACATGAATTGGCGTGACGCCAGCGCGTTCTCAGCAACCATGGCGTATTCGATAAAAACTCCGGCGCCTGTCGAAGTGCTTTTTTGTCTTGGAACATGATGTCGCCCTACCGTAGCCTTTGCTGTCGTGCCCGATGACAATCTTGCTCAGAGTGCCCAAATGCAAAGATTCGACGTGAAAGCGCACGACCTGGTCTTCTCGGAATTGAGGATTTTCTATGAGGAGCCAGTCCGACTGCAAATAATCTCCGTTCGAACTGGAGAGTCATAGGAAAGACCTCTTGTCTGAGGACGATTTTCTGGCTCGAGGCCTCATCCCCGTGCAACACCACGTAGAGATCTGCCTCCGTTTCGGCGCCGTACCGAAACCCGATTTTCACCTCGATTGTGTAGGTCATTCCTGGAAAGATGGTCGTTTTTTCGATTTACTGAATCGACTCACTCGTTGAGTTTGTTGACTTCAAGCTCCTTCCTTCATCTGAAAAGTTCGCTTTCGCATCGGATGACTTTTAAAGACGTGTGGCCAGTAAAAAATACTTTTTGTTGCGCGTAAACATTTTATTATAGAGCTTTTTATTGGGACTCTAATAATCTACAAAACTTTCTGAAATTTCCTATTTTTCGAGAAAAACACGACTAAAAAGAAGATCGATAAAAATTATATGGAGCCGGTCGAAAATGAGAAGATCGAAAGAATTATACTATCTGGGGGACCAATTGGAGTACGGTTCGAAAAAAAAAATTTTGGGTTCGGGAAAGCATCGACCTTTTTTCTTACTGTTTCAAACCTAAGCATTCAAGATTGCAAACCATTTTCAATAACTGTGAAGTCATCCGCTGTTTCCTCTAGCGGCTGCTGAGAGGAGGGTAGATTTGGTATCTCTTCGTTGCTTTCATTGAATCGCACTAAAATTCAGGTCATCAATTTACGGGATCGCAAAAACTTACCCTTCAGCACTCGACGAGTCCGATAGCCTCTATAAACGGCTTGTATCTTGGTTGCAGCAGCGTTTCTAACGTTCTCGCACATGACTTCAGGCTCTTCCGTTATTTTACGCAGAGGTTTTTGATCTCGTTCTTCGTCTCTAGTTTGAACGCTTCCTGAAGTTGACGGCACTTCCAGCTCCATATCGCTGTCTGTGCTCGCGCCTAGATGACCGAATCGTCTATCGTTGGCTTCTGGGGTTGTTATTTCTCGAGAGGAGTCTGGAGTGTGTACAGCAGAAGTAGCGGCAACGCTGTGCTCAGAAGTGTCGGAAGCTCTTCTCGCAGAGAAGTTGGCCTCAGAGTCGGGAGTTCGCATTGCAGGCGAATCTGCATGACTTCTAGACGACGCTAGCGAATTTCTGGTCGCCGAGTCAGGAGTCTTCAGCGCTGGGGTCTCTGCCTGACTTCTGAAGGACGCTCGTGAAAGTCGAGAATTGGGAGTATGGAGGGCAGGAGTATCCGTCCGACTTTTGGCTGACGAGGTCCGAGGCGGAGTGACGCTGCCGACGGCGCTGTCGGTTGTGGCCGAAGATTTGCGTGGGTGGTCGTCGAGGTCGCTCTCGCCTTCCACGATGAGATCTTCCTCGCTGGTCGCTGCTTGGCTCTCTTCTCGGATCATTTGAGCCTTCCTCTCCGTCATACTATCAGCTCTTTCGTTGTCCCAATGGCTCCAGCTGCCTGTCGAAGTGGCCGAGTTTCCAGTGCCTGAGTCGACGTCGTCCGTCTTTTGAGCACCTTGTTTTTCGAGCTCAAACGAATCGACGACATGACGCTTTCGGCTGACCAGTGCATCTTTGGGTTTGCCCACCGGTTTCTCTGCAAAATATTTCCTGAGGCTAGAGTTCGAAATTACCCGGTTTTCTCCAGACATGAAAAGCGATATGGTCAGATTGACAAGAGTAAGAGCCTCTTTTTCATGTTTTTTTCTTTAATTTCGATAGTTTTTTGTTTTTGGTTTTTTTCATGACTGAGGAATACCATTTGATGGGATAAAGATAAAAAATGTTTTTTCCTACATTTTTTCAACTTTTTGGCACACGCAATAAAACCAACTTTGCCCAGTTGCCCATATCACCTTTCAAGTCTCGAGAATCTGACCATAGAAACATTTGGGACAATGATTTTTTTTTTTCAGTTTTTATGCCAATTATTGAAAATTTTTGTTTGAAATCCAATCATTGAAACTGAGATGGCTAAAAAAATTTGAAAAAAAATGTCTTTTGCAAAAAAAGTTGCTGTTTGACCATGATGGAAAAAATGAACAGAGCTACCAGTTTAATTGGTTGAGAGCTATCTACATTTTTCACCCAGAGATTTTTTTTTTAATTTTCAGAATAAGGAATTATGAACACTTTGAAAGAGCTCTGGTTTTCACTTTTCAGAAATTCAATGAGCAAACTTTTCTCGAACGCTCTTTCTGCAAAGGTTTTCCGCGGTGCCCCTGTGGCTCTCCGAAGACCTTTCGTTATCGGCGGCATGACCGTTCTGAAACTTTGGGAGTTGATTTTGGACTGGGTCAAGGAACACCTCGTCGACTTCTCGATGCCGTTCTCGCCTATTGATTCTGTCGTGTTCGTGTTGGACAAAGAGTCTGCAAAGGACGGCAAATCTTCTTCGTTTCTTGGTTGCCTGGGAAACCAGACAATGGCAGGACGGACCTAGATCGAGGAGCCTCGGAGCGTACCGACTGGGCCTAATCAGCGGTAGTTGCACCGGTGCTTGAAGGAAGGGACGCTCGTTGCGTGGACACGCGATGATCTGTCGGAACATCCATTAATCGAAAATTGATTCACAATCACTTTTGGGGAAGGATGAGACATGATCTCCTCAACCTTCGTCACTCTGCTTCCTTCTGTCGTGTACAGTCGGTAGATGGCTACCTTCAAGAGTTAACCTGTGAATCTTATAAACAGGAATAACTCGCCTCCAATCCTTCGCTGACCTCTCCGAGCAGCTTCTCCATCGACGGCAGCTTGTACGGATTGAGCAAGGTTCGGTAGAACTTTCCCTTTCCATTGAGAACAAAGAACACCTGAGGCATTATTATTTTCATTTGAAGTCAGGAGGATATAAGTGGAGCTTCGCTTTGGAAGGACCTGCGCACTGGGCGACGTTGCTCCTTCAATTTTCGGCGGAGCGACCTGGTCGATCACCGAGTCGGCCACGTGGTCAGACATGCCTGAGTTGAAGAAGAAATGAAAATCGCAAGAACCTGTTTCGAGGGGATGCTCAAGCCTAAGGTGCGAGTCATTCGGAGTTTTTGCTGATAACTGGGAGACGTGGATACCTGAAACGATGAAAGGTGTTGACGATGCCTGACGGGCGACACGAATGGATGGCGCCTTGAATGGCATCATGGGATTACCTATCCCTCTTTTCCTTCCTTTTTTTCATCTTTCTCCACCCATTGTAGTCGCAAATCCGGAAATGTAGCCGCAAGACATTTACCCAGAAGGACTGGCCGCCAGGCCGCGTGTTCCGCAGCGATTCTGAAGCCGTTTCACGCGCCTTCTGGAGCCTTTCCAACGCCGAGAAGTCTACGCCGCGGCTTGTCTTCGACGAAGACGCCACATACCTAAACTTCTCTTTGTTTCTTTCTGAAACAGCTTCGAAATTTTTTCAACAAGGGAGACTGAAATTCCGATAGTTAGTAAATTTTTTTTTAAAGCATACTACATAATTATTAGGGTGCTAACTAGGTTTTTTTAAAAAGCCGAAGACTTGTTTTTACAAGGGAAAAAAAAGTTCCATATCGAATATCGGAGTTTCTTAGAAAATATAATTTTTTTCAAATCTTGAACAGAACAACTTTTTATTTTTCACGATTTTTCAGTTTTTTTGCTAATACTTTTTATTACCAGTACTGTTAAACAATAATTCTCGAAAATAAAAAAATTGATTAAAAAAACACTTTTTTTGACTCATTTTTCTAATTGTCGAAGAAAAAAAATATTTTTGCAGTATCTAATAAACTAGTCAACTGGAATGCTATAAAAAAATTGGTTTATATTATTTTTTTCGAAGGGGTTTATTCATGAAATCAAGCCCTTTCAATTGCACGTGATTCCAAAGCGAGCAGTGAAGGTAATATAAAAAGCGCGAAATTTGAGTTTTTTTTTTCGTTTATTTTTTGGCTCTTCAGTTTAATTTCGATACATGTTTTGCTTCAGTCATATAATTGGCAAAAGAAGACTTTTTTGATTTTCGAGATCGATAATTTTCACAACTATTTTTCGTCGTTCTGTACCATTTTTTCGGTGGCTTTTTATAACTAGACGGTTTCCTTTCCAAAACTCCAAGAAGATAATGCAAAAGTATTCATAAAGCGGCATCCTAAGCTCTTGGAGAGATCGGCTACGTCAGCAGCTGATAATCCCTTTGAATAGATTCTGGCATAAACGGCCGATTATCTCGTCTCAATAGGCGCTAATTCTCCAGTACTATTTTCAACAAGATATCCGCTCTATATAAAAGTGCAGTTTTCAAAACACAAGACGAACTTTCCGAGGTGTTCGAGTTTGTTGATGTCGTCGATGGGTGTCCGACCCATTGGAGTGGTAAGCCGCCTGACCTGAAATTATCATTATTTCGGAGCCATAAAAGATTTCGACACACCCCGAAAGGCATTTGGATATTGCGGTTGAGGTCGTCGAGCAGGCCGTCGATCGTCTTGTATCGACTTTTTGAGATTGGAACTCGCAGACCCTCAATTTCTTCGTTCATTTTCCAGAAGATATGAATAGATTCCGGAGAAATAACTCCAAGCAATTTTTATCGTGGATTATTCAATCATTATGATTTACAAAAAATGGAATCATAGAATGGTTATGACTTTTTTCACGCCTATTCAGCAGTCTGAAAATTACACGGTTTTTTGTGTATTCTTCAGAAGAACAATACTTTTGAACCTATCAAGTTTCAGAAGGAAGATTGTATCATCAGGAGAGCAAAAAAGTCTGCTCTTGGATAAAATAAAACTCTAAAAATGAGTAATATTCAGAAAATGACTTTTAAACTTATACTCATTAAAAAAAAACTGGAAAACCTACCGAAAAGTAGGTGTCGCCCTCTTTGTAGAAAAAGACGGTCTTGGCCGAGTAGGGCCGAGAAAAAGTGCGCGTTGTGTTGTCGTAGGTCCGTATCATACCGTTGCGTGGCTGCACTGGCAGATTTGGCAGCTGCATCGCCCAGTCCTGTAAGCGCCTAGTTGAAACCGAAAGCTAGCTTTTGAGGCTTTTAGAGAGGATGCGAAGGTTCTTCGGTCTAAAAGCATACATCGGGGCTAATCCATACCCCAGCCTTTTTCGCGCGAAAAAAAGAGTTGAAAATGAGATAGGCCGCACTTTTTGGGTGGAAGGCGCGCACCCCGGGGTGGGATCCAGCCGACTTATGCCCAGAAGATGGAGTTCTTTGACCCAGAAGATGATGAACAAGGACAGTTTTGGGGAGATTTTCATCGAAATATAAAATTGGCAAGATGTGCACTTTCCCTAGCACAAAAAGGGACTCCGCCTCTAAAAGGCCGAACGCCGTGCAGTTTTCCCTCGGGTTCTATTTCCTTTTTCCCAATTTGAAAGTCGTGCACGCAATCGTAAATAATAATGTGAATGAAAATATCTTATTTTTCTTCATTCAATCTGCTTAATTCTTTATTTCATGCTGGTTTTTTGTCGCCATTGATCAAACTAAAAAAAGACGATAAAAAAATTTTGAGCAAAACTTGGAATTCTGTTTCTGTTCTTTCCCAGGGTGACTAGGATTCAGAGCAGTGATCTCTCAAACTACTTTTCACAACATTTTAAACCTCGTTTGTCTCTTTTTTGTTATTCATTCGATTATGAGTTGAGAAAAAGTATTAAGTCCCTTTGAAAGTGAAATATTGAGAAAATAAAAGGAAGTTCTCATGCTTAAGAAATCCAGAGTGGTCCCTATAGGGGTTTAGGGTCTGACCCCTTAGCCCCCAAAGCTCAAGTGGACCCTATAGGGATCTTTCAATTTCATTCAAAAACGCTTATTTATTCGGTTTCCCATGGAAAAGCTTCTTCGCTTAGGGCTCATAACAATTATCCGATCAGCATGCCCCCTATAGGGACCACTTTTGCAAGCTTCAGTTGCCCCTAGAGGGGAAACCTTCAAGGGCTCCTAAGGTTGCCCCTATAGGGACCACTCTGGAGTCCGTGAGTAAAACTGGCGCTTTGGGGGTCCAAGTCGAAAAATTGCTTACTTAAAAAAATTTTTCTCACAAATTGAAAGACGGTTTGGAAACATGCCAAATGATGAACAAACCTTGAACTGCTTGTGCGACAAGTACATGACAGAAAGCAACTATGGGGTGAGAAACGCCGCGGCCGCCGCGCCTTTCGAGGGGCTTCCTTCAAGGCTTCCATAACATGCAAAACGCAGCGCAAAACGACTTTCAAGGCAACATGTGATTAGGAAAAGAAGTATCGGCGGTGGGATTTCTTCCACATTTGTTTCATTCACATCCAGGTAATGCAAAAAAGTGAGAAAGTTGAAAAAAAAAATAAGGTCGCTTCTCACGAGCGTTGAGCGTACGAGAAAGAATATGTGTTTGGGCTGCCTCAGTGAATTTCCTGCCTTTGATTCACGCGGAAACAAAAAAATGATTCAACGATTTTAATTATGGTTTTTTACGTCATCCTAGGAAGAAACAAAAGACGCTCAGATGCGGATATTTTCAAACTTTCTGAGAGATAAAAATAACTAAAAATACACATTTGAATATTTAATATTTGAAAAAAGAAAGATTCCTCAAATTCGACCTAAAAAGTTCTTTGAAAACCGTACAATAAGTACAAAAACCATATTTAAAATAACCTGGAAGTGGGGGTCAGATAAAAGGCCATCGGACATAAACGGGCCAACGACGTCGTTGACACTGGCCGGCTATAGTTATTTGCTCGATTCGGCTTTCCTGTAAATTGGAAAGGTTTTCTCTCGGCTTTCATAGGAAATCGCGCTCGCGAGTCAAAACTTGCAACCTAAATGAGCTCGTTGATTGGTTCATTGAGTTCAATATGCTTGAACTGTTGGTACACGAAAAAAAATATAAAAAAGTAGCTAAAAAAAAGTTTGAAGCAAGTTTTTTTTCGATCTGATTTAAAGGTCACGTCCAGGATATTTCTGGACATTCCAAGTGAACCCTTCAGTGACGTTAGTACTTTTAAGCAATCACTTGAAAGGCTCAGAAACGTCCGGAGCGATTTGACCGAGGAAGAAATTTTGAACTGGATTAAACGAAACAATTCAGAATGACTCTTTGGAAGCTCGCCAAAAAAAAACAAGCAAAGAATTACATTTTTGAAGGAGCATAGAAACATGAGATTATTTTCACGAAAACTTTTTGCAAGCTGCTTCGAAAGGTCAGATGATTATACTCTATTGAAAAAGTTCACTCTAACAGAAAAGTTCCGATTCGTTGGGCATGCGTTTTTTGATTACGTTCCGCGATCACTTCAAAATGATTAAAGCACCGAAGAGAAAAAAATTGACGTAAAACAGAAATTCAAAAGATACTGGAAGAAAAACGAAAGTCTTGAAGTGAAGCTGCTCAAATTAGGTCCAATTTGGTACACAGACTAACAAAACGGATAAACCTAAATCGGAATGGGCTATACCAGGAAAGCAGCTCGCTGGAGCGGACTTGAAAAACGTGAAAAAGGAAAATGGACACGAATTTAGTTCATTTTTTGCACTGTCATTAAATTTCTATTCAGAAAAAATTATATATTCGACGTTTAGCATTAATTTCTTTTTCGAAAAGAAAGCAGTGGCAGACAAGATGAAACGGGGATTAATAAAATGAACGGTTTTGTAGATTCCGATCACTCAAGAGGTCTTTGCGTCGATAAAAAGTTGTCTTGACATTTTTGTCTTGACGATTGTGAGATTACAGACACTTCCGGAAGGCGTTACCAGTGTCTGAGCATTTCCGCAAAGAAGCAAACGTGGGCGTGGGAGATTTTTGCTTACATTCATCGATGCCAATCTATTCTACCCTCTCAATTTTCACATAACTCTCTTCATAACCTTGTTTGCTTCGAAAAGGAGAAAACCTCAGGTGTCGTGCGGAAAAGCTCGCTTCTTGCAAGTCACACGCTTTTATTATTTTCAAGTGTATCAGGCTTGGTAGGTTGTTTTATGATGGATCGTACTAGATCTCGTTGGGTGAGAAAGAGAGGACGACTCAAAAAAAAAATGTATCTTCAAACAATCCTCCAGGAGACAAAACTTTTAAAAAGGAGACATTTAAAAAGCTTTTTTTTTTAGACGTCTAACCGAAAAATATCGTGGCTGATATATCTTCTTCTAAACAGTAACTTAACGATAGAAATATTATTTATGTTTTCAAATTTCGAAATCTAAACAGTAACTTTACGATAAAAATGTTTTTAAATCTCTCGAAATTCCGAATCTTTTTTCGGAATCAAGATTTTCTTCAGAATATCCAAGAACTCGGATGTGCAAAGACGTTTGATGAAACAGGAACGAAGAAAATTTTCTCGTCTGGTCTCTGGTTAAGTTTTCGCGATGTTTTTCCGTCGTTACTGCGGCAACGTGACATGCTATCGCAAAGGGAACAATTGCGAAGCAACAAAAAACGCCTTGAACACAAGTAAGATACGTCTGATTCGGAGTCATTTTCTAAACTTGGTCTAGGCCTTTCACGATCAGCCTCAAACTGTATGAAATGGCTCTTAAAAGTTCAATAAAAGAGCTTGTGAAAACAAGAGGTTCAGAAATGTTTGCAGTTCAGCTATAGATGAGAGAAGTCTCTTTTAACTTCCGTTTCATTCGAGTTAAGTTACGCATAATTAGATTCCATATTAGGGAACAGTTAATGAAAGTATGAATAGCAAGCAGTAAATTCATCTCCGCACATAGGCATTTGTAAGGATATATTCAACCGATTCTCTTTTTACATTCTATGCCAAGCAATATTTATTATACAAGCTTTACACTACTTCCAGCGTTTCAACGGGGTATTTAGGGTATAATGTACATCTGATTGTTAGAAGGTTAGTGTATATCAATATATTTTCAATTCAATCTGAGTTAGTGGTGGCATTGAGGGACCTCGTCAGAGATGATGCATGTTCCATTGTTGATGGCGAAGACAGCACCGGCGTTGCATGTGAATGGAATCAGAGTTCCCGACGTACACAGACCGAATCTTTGAGAGCATTCGTTGCTGACCAAGATCCCGTCGATCTCACACTTGACTGTACTTGGTCTCAATGCCGTGATAGCCTCTGGAGAAAAAATGGTTCCATTTCAATGGGAATACCAAAACCTTGTTCGATGAGGTCAGTGCAGTCGGAAGACTTGGATGGGAAATCGCAATACTTCATCTCGTCGTCGAAAACGAGGTGCGACGGGCAGTCGAGGCGATCAGTTTGTGAGTTTGAGCAGGCGTAAACTAGCGATCCGCATCCTCAAAATGAACAATGAGATAAAATGCAGCTACAGGAAAGTGTACAAAGAGAACATACCAGCCGAGTAGAATCCGTCATCGTTGCTCTTGCAGAACTCAGCCGTTTCTTGACCAGAAGATTCGCCAGAGCTTTCTCCGGAAGACTCACCAGAGAATTCTCCGGATTGCTCGATGGAAATTTCACCAAAGTTTTCACCAGAACCTGAGTCTTTCCGTCTTGAAAATTAAAATTCAGAAGTTTACCAGTCGAGTTTTCACATTCCTTGAATCCTTTAGGGTTATTGAAGGTCTGCTCTGATTCATCAAAAGCCAGAGAACTGGGGCAGAACATGAGGATGGCTCGTCCGTTGACGCAAGACGTGAACTGAGTGGAACATTTTCCGAAGGAGAAAAGTCCGCCTTTCTAAAAGGAACGGATCGTGTTATTATATTCACATGTTACGAAAACCTTGCACTCGGAGACAGGAGCGACCGAGCATCCGAGGACTTCGGACCTCACTCCGCAGACCATTTTGCTTGGGTCGTCGAATAAAATTTTTGACACTCTTGGCGAGTCTTCCAGAGCATGTCAAAAACTTGGAGGAGCAGGCTCCGTTAGGATAAAGACCGTCAGGCAGGTTCTCGCATTCTGGAAAAAACAGATAACCTTGAAAGAAAATCTACAAACTGTCGCCTCCATCGACCCATGAAATAACTCCAGCGATTTGTCCGGAAGATTCTACAGAAGCCTCGCCCGAGGATTCAGTCGAGTTATCCCCAGTTGATTCGCCCGAAGACTCAGAAGACCCCTCTTCGATGATCTTCTCCAAGCAACCCTCGAGTTTGAAAGGGAATTCGCAGACAGCGGTCAGAGGGTCGAAGAAAAGAGCCGCTGGGCATCGCATCAAACGTCCAGATCCGGAGGAGCAGGTCAGGAATTGAGGTTCGCAAATGCCGATTGGGTAGAGTCCGTCGGGAATGTCATTGCAAACTGAAAAAAAAATCATTAACTCAAGTTGAATGGAGAATGCAAACTAACCTTCCCCAGCATCAACCCAGTCATTTTCTACAGAGCCTTCACCCGAGCTCCCACCAGAGGATTCTCCGGAGCTTCCAGATCCTTCGCAGCCGAGGACGTTGGTTTCCCAGTCGCACACCAAAATTGGAGGGTTGAAGAAGAGCGTTGCCGGACAGTTCATGATTCGAGCGATGCCGCCAGAACACGTCAAGAAGTTGGATTCACACGTTCCTCGCGCATAAATTCCATCGGGCAATTTTTGGCAAACTTGAAAACATCCATTTAAAAAAAAAGTTAAATTATTCAAACCATCGCCTCCATCGATCCATTCGCCGCAACCTTCGCCCGAAGCTTCTCCAGAACTGCCGCCGAAGCTTCTCCAGGATTTTCGCCCGAAGCTGCGGTGGTATGAAAAAAACACCAGCGAAATCTCAAACGGCGACTTTTCCGATTTTTTCATATCGCTAGGAAACTTTCCGAGGGCCACCTTTCCGACGAATCTTTTTCCGAATTTTTTCTCGATAAAATCTTCGTTTTAAATCTTCCTATATAAAGTAGGTAGTTGATTCATGATTAGAACACAAAGAAATAGAAAAAAAAATGTTAATAGATGTTTTATAAACCGAAAAAGATAATAGAAAAAGGTCAGAAAGGGATCCGTCGGAAAGGTGGCCGTCGGAAAGTTCCCTAGCGATATGAAAAAATCGGAAAAGCCGCCGTTTGAATTTTCGCTGGTGTTTTTTTCATACCACCGAAGCTTCTCCAGAGAACTCTCCAGAGGCTTCTTGTGCAGCTTCAAGGACTGTTTTCGAACACTCAGCGACGTTGTGCTTCCAATCACAGGTCGAGCAACTCCCCCCGAACAGGTCAGAAACTCTGTAGCGCAAGGAGCCACCGGATATAATCCATCGAGAAGGTTTTTGCAAGCTGGAAAATAACTTGTTATTGAAAAATACAACCTCACAAAATTACTCACCCTCCCCTCCATCCTTCCATGGCAGCTCCGATTTCTTCTCCGAATCAGCTAAAATCGCCTTTCAAGATTAAGAACCTTTTTTTCTACAAACCTTGACACAGAGCCGAAGTCGTGAGTGCTGCTCCGACTAAGAAACACGTCAACTTCATTTAATCCCTTAAAAGTTACAGGATTGGAACGATTTTTTTTTCAACTCCGAGTTGGAACGTGAAAAATGGCAGATAAAATGTGTTAAGTGGTTGAAATGGTCGAGAAAAGTGCGCCAATAAATCGCTAATAAATTTGAATAAAATTAATGTTCTGTATTTACCAAACAGTGAATCCATACATTATTTATTGAGATATATAAGATAAAGTTCAATTGAAACGAACTTGACAGAAAACATATTAGAATACGGTGTTCCGAAACGGGGTGGGGAGACGTCAAAAAAAAATTTGGCGCGAAAGATGAAATCTCACGGTGTTTTTTTCATTACGCTAGGTCAAGACTTTTCGTAAATAATGATGCTTAGAGTGTAAGCACACCGAGACGCACTATCGCATATTCAAAATTATTTTTGTTCAATTTTTGAAATTGCAATTTCAGAATAACAGCTCCTGAAATGTTCGAAAGTTGTCAGTTTGAAGAATATGATGTGAAAAAAAACATTCACTTACGTTAAAAAAACATTTAGGAACGATTTCGAAAGGGGAAACTCTAAATTAATGATTACAAAATAAAAAAAAATATTATAAAATGGATCAGCTCCCATTGAATATAGTCTGTTCAGATTTTGAAAGTCAAGTCGATGCTCAAGCTCCGCTCATAATGGTGCGATAAACCAATCAGAGAGCGAGCCATCCACAGAGTGTTTTTGAATGACGTCATTGCACTTGACATTCAAAATCTGAACAGACTATAAGCATTTATAAATACGAAAAATATTGAAATGAGGAAAGTTCGAAGAGCAAAGGAAAAAGAAACATTTTATAGACCTTGAAAACCTAGCTTCAGAAAAACAAATAATGGATAGAAAGCAGAAATTTTAGGAAAAACCTCGTATGGCGAAATTTTGTACAAAAATCCACATTTCACTCCAAACAAGGAATTTTCTCGTTGGGCTGTTGGCACTGAAACATAACACTTTAACCAAGTCCCTAACTAAATCAACTTACTTCATCGTCGATAATTCCAGCAATGATGAAAATTGCTTGGGCGCAAATTATTCGCGTATCGCAAAAATGCTCTGCCACCTCGGAAATGGGCATCTTCGCAGTGTCTTCGAAGCTGAACGACTTTTTCCCAACACTCATGCCGAGAAAGCGGCCGGAGCTATCAATGATCGCAGATCCGGAGTCTCCATTCGACCGTGGGTTGACCCATAGAACCATCCTCCTAAATCGAACAATCAAAATTTGTAAAGTTAATAAATCAGACATACTCATTTGATCGGAAATACATCCTTCCTGCCAGGTGGGCTCCCTGTGCTTTGACACTCCAATCTGCCAATAATCCTTTCCGGGATACAATGCGCCATAGTTAGCAGGGTAGGATGGGAAGGTTGCACTTTTGAGTTGGAAAATGGGGACGTCATGTAAATCCGAAAATGCAAAAACTACAGCCTGAAATACAGCTTAAATTAAGCATACTGGAAAAAGAAAACCTCGAAAACCAGCGATTTATCACAAACGTTGTGCAAAACCAGCTCTTGGTTCTTTACTAGCTTTGAATGATAGCCATGCCGGTACGTTACAGCGTACTTCGAATCGATCGAAAAAGCGCTTCTGTGCACATGTCCAGCGGGGTCGGAAGTAGACGCCGCTATTCATGCCGTGTTCAATTTGAATCCGCGAAATGCAAAATACCCGTTAGAGAAAGGAAAAGATCACTAAATTTTGGAGAGTCAGAGATCATTTTGCATTTCGCGGAAATTACTTTGAACACGGCATTAGTAACCAGGGACATTGCCTCAACTACAGTATACCTGTTCGGTTGAGCACTTTTGCCTCATATTCCATATTTTTTACAGACCATTGTTTTTCCTTTTCCATATATTTGAACGGTTCACTGATGGCGTTTGCAATGATCGCCTTTTTCAGTAAAAGTCAGAAAAAAAAGCTGTTCTCGGATATCTTCCGGCGAACTCATATTCACACTTCAATCACGTTCAAAAAAGTTTTATTATTAGTTAGTAATGGTTATGGTTGAATTTGAGTGGGTTCATATAGTCTGTTCAGATTTGGAGTGTCAGGTCATCGCTTAAACTCCACACCTTATGCGTATATCAAACCAATCAGAGAGAGAAAGAGAGAGTCATCCATAGAGAGCTTTTAAGGAAGGAGTTTGTTACTTTACTTTGGAAATCTAAACAGACTATAGGATGCAAATAATGGGCTTTTACTAATCAAATTTGGATTTGAAGTTTAGCTCTAAATTTCTCGATAAATCTTACAATATTGCATAAAAAAAAACATAAATACTATGATTCGGATATAAAATTAATCGCTGTCGCTCGAAATTGATTGATTGAATTCGAAGATGCCATTTGAGCAAAGACACTTCCTTCCAGGCAGTTGTTCTGTACACAGCAAATGGGCCCAAAGTGCGCAGAACGTACACTTAAGCCATTCGATCATTTCAGTGTCACTTTCTCCGCAATCCTTCTGACCATGGTGAGATAAACTTTTAGGTTCAGGAATTTTTTCGAAATAAAACATTGAAACAAATAGCGCAGTGCGAGATCGCCGAATTTTTCACAAAAAAAGGGCCGACAATTTTCCGCACCCATGATTTAGCGGTGGTATGAAAAAAACACCAGCGAAAATTCAAATGGCGACTTTTCCGATTTTTTCATATCGCTAGGGAACTTTCCGACGGCCACCTTTCCGACGAATCCCTTTCCGACTTTTTTTTTTCTCGATATAATATTCGTTTTTAAATTTCCTATATAAAGTAGGTAGTTGGTTCATGATTAAAACACAAAAAAATAGGAAAAAAAAAAGTGTAAATAGATGTCTTATAAACCGAAAAATATAAGGGAAAAAAGTCGGAAAAAATTTCGTCGGAAAGGTGGCCGTCGGAAAGTTCCCTAGCGATATGAAAAAATCACCGAAGCTTCTCCAGAGAACTCTCCAGAGGCTTCTTGTGCAGCTTCAAGGACTGTTTTCGAACACTCAGCGACGTTGTGCTTCCAATCACAGGTCGCCGTTTCTATTATCGCTGGTGTTTTTTTCATACCACCGATTTAGCCGCACCCAAGCCGCACCCATGATTTTTCGCTCCCAATTTTCCACACCCAAATATGATTTCCCACACCCACGTATACACCCGCACCCAAATGATTTTCCGCACCCATATCCTTAAAAAAATATAGCTAGATTCTTTAAAAAAAATTCGGGTCTTTTTTTTCGCTCGTTTCTTTTTGAATCAAATTTTTCCCTGCATCTCTGAACCTGTTTTTACAGTATGATGATAAGCATTGAAAAACTATTTTAAAGAGAAAAGACTATGCATGTTGTTCCATTGCATGAAAAACTGCGAACGGCTCATTAGGAGGGACTTCTCTCGAGTTCAAAAATTGAGCGGAATTTTTTTAATGTCGATTTCCAAAAAGCTAAGGAAAATAGTTCTCGATAATATTTAAGCAAAAATAGAGCCTTCTTTCAACCGAAGATGCATGTTGGTTCTTCGTTTTTCGTATAGGAATCTGCGAACGGCTCATTAGGAACAAACCACGGGTGTTTCTATTGCGAAATAGAAAACTAAAATGAAATCAGCTCCGCCCAGAAACCTTTTATCTGTAATGGAGGAGCTGGATACATTTCATTCTTTTCTTTTATTTCAATTGTGTGCGGTTGCTCCCTCTGTGGAGCTCGCCTTTTTTTATTTTTTTCCGTTTTTATTTCGTTTTTTTCTTCTATATGTATATAGTTGGTTTAATTACCCAAGTTTGAGGTGATAAATATTGCTCTCTACGTTTTCTGTCGTTTCTCGTGAAAGAAAGAAGAAGGACGGAGAGTGCATTACAACGGGTTTTTGTTTCTTCAAATGAGCTTATTTCCAATCAATTTTTTTTTGTAGTTCTTTTCGCCCATAGCCGACTTTCAGTTTTGCCCATGACTATTTAGATACATCCGTTCAGATCAATTTTTTTTCAACATTTTTTTTGATTTTAACCCAAGTTTGAATTTGGAAGTATCTGGTCTATGACTTCTTTTTAGGGTCGTCTGAGAGTAGAAATGAAGTCGCCACAGATACTGCCAAGAGTCCTAATATTGGCATGACTTTTCAGATTTTCTAAATTTTTTTGATTATTTTTTCTCAGTCAGTCAATCATTTTGTAGTTTTAGTCATAGATATTATCGACTGAGCTGTGTGCAAGAGTTTTTGAAGCCCCATTCAAAATCGTCTCAGGCGAATTTGATGTCCAAATTTGTAGTCCAAAGAGTTGAAAGCATTGTCTGACGGTCCTTTTTCTGAGCACAGTTCATCCAGTTGCGCTATGACGAGCTCACTTTTTGAAACAAGCATGGAGATCGTGTTCTAGGTCAAATCCCAAACTCATAATTTGTAGATTAATCTCAGGTTTTTTCTGGCTGGAACTTTTCAAAATAATTGCCAAGTTTTTTTTCCTGTGAATTGTTAGATATGTTTCTACTGTCAATTTCTGAACAGGTTTCGCATTAGCGCGGGTGATAATGATTTAAGAATAGCTCTGCGAGATTTACCTAATAAATGAGCTTGACTAATACTAATTCTCAGTCGTTGCATAAATATAATTATTCAGAATGTAAGAAAATCTACTAACGACTTGTTAGTATTGATTTCATTTTTTTTAATTTTAAATTTTCCAATAGTTTAAAACGCGTCTCCAGAGGAAATCTTATCTTTTTCAGATGGTTACACAGTCTAAGAATCACTTCGAAATACATTCAGAGTTCAGAGTGTGTTGCGAAACAGTATTTGCAAACGGTCACGCGGAAGAGGACACTCAAGCAGAATTTACCCATCCGAGAACCCATCAAGCTGTTTTCTTCCGAACTTCAGTAGTTTCATCCGAAACATGCGGAACGAAAAAAAAAAATCAAAGCCCGAGCTCATTGACTTTATCAATTGAGAACTTCCGATTAACATTGAAAAACTGGAGCACTAAGAGATCGAAGTTTTTAAAAAACGAAAAAGGAAAAAAAGACTGTATTAAGGGGTCTGAGGAGGTCCCAAAGACTCTGGAAGCTTTCTCGAAAACCATTGATACAATTTTCTTCAGTCTTGAGAATAAGTGACAAGAAGTGCGATAAAAATCCTCCGAATAAAAAAACATTTCAAAAAGATCTCTGGCTCTCTATAGTCTGTACAGATTTTGAATGTCAAGTAGAATGACGTCATTCAAAAACGCTCTGTGGATGGCTCGCTCTCTGATTGGTTTATCGCGCCATTAGGAGGCGGAGCTTCAGCGAGGACTTGACATTTGAAATCTGAACAGACTATAAAACCTTCGTTTTTTTAATGTATCTTGTGCGTTATCAGAAAGAAGAGTACCCCACAATAGTTTTATTAACTAGGTGTGGTAAGATGAAGTTGAGGAGAGAAGTCGTCAGTCCGAGGCTTGAAGCGACGGCGAGGCTGGAGGCGAAACGGGGGCGGTACGAGTGATTATGATCTGAGTTCCCGACTTCTTTTATACTCTTAGTTGGGATATCTCTCACGTGATCTATCATTTGATCACTATCAATTCACATATTCAACAGTTTTTTTTTTCTTTTTGACGGTCTTTTAGCTGGAATCACTTCGAAAGCGGTATAAAGACACGACACTCCTTTTCCCGATATGATTATTCAAACTTTGAAAAGCTTGATTGACATGAAAAATTGATGCGAAAAATTTAACTTTTTTGGGCCTAAATTTTTTTTTTGGGAACAAGTGAAAAAAAAAACTTTGATAAAAATTTTACAACATCGGTTTTTCTCATTGTAGAACATCAGTGGTTAGAATATCTGAATTAAAAAAAATATAAAATACAAAGTTAAATCATCCAAATTTTTAGGCCAGATTTTTTAAATTGATATTCAGCGTCGATATTTTTTTAGTAATTTCACTGTAGAAAGAAAACCCATAATGTAAAAAGTCAAAATGATGAAAGCAAAGAAGAGCAGAAAAAAAAACACGCCAAAAGCTTATTTTTGGCAATGGAAAGACAAAATTTTCGAAAACTGGCAATTATCCAAGTGTACGGGAACATAGGGTCCCAAAGCGATGAGACAGCGCGCCAAAACTCTTGGCTCCTGCTTAAATACGTTTTTTAGTTGGGTTTTTTCTTCAATGTTTCTTTTTCAATTCTTGTGTTTTTTTTATAGTTTCATCAATTATTTCTTGATATTAGTATTTTGTTATG